CGACGGACGCTGGGCGCACATCCTCGTGTATACATCAAATGGTCCATTCAATCGAATCAATTGAATCAACAAAATATTGTATTATTGCCACCATGACACTATACCTATTTTACTGACTTTATTACCTGATCGACACGATCTTCATGCTCAGATGATCCTTTCATTTGAATTTTTAAAAGACAGCCATACCATCAGTATCTTATATCATATGACTATATGTAACAGTACTGCAACTATCCCACCGGCTTCATTACCTGATCTACATCATCTGTCTTGTCCAATACTGTCAGCGAATTCAAGTGTTGTTCAGTACTGGTTAAAACAGAAGGCACAGACTGGAGGTAAGAGAACCGTCTCTTCTTTGGAGCCTTACCTCCACCAGTGTTATCAGCCGCCGCAGCAATACGCATCATCGACAAGTGCTCTGACTCGCAGTCCGCAATCAGCTATAGCCACCATTAGAAGTCATTTTCTGATAACAAACAAATGCGGGCAAACGCCAACTCACCTTCATCCCCAAGCGACTCACGATCATGACAGTGTCAAGTCGTGTAAGAAACTTGCGACCTACGTTTGCCCCATTTGGACTCACGTGCTCACGAAGCCGAAAGTTTACTGAAAGCTCAATGAGCTCACCGGCACGCACCATGTCAAGGGATGACTGCACAGGAGTAGACCACCTACATAAACACAACATCACCTCAAGCAATGCAGACAGATGATTTCATATCATGACATACCTGTCATCATACTCGCCCTTCAGCTCCATGCATGACACAACATTGTCTGATGTCCACGAGAGCCTCCCACCAGCAACTAGCTCTGCCAATGCACCATACGGGTCAATAACCATGTTCAGATCGGCACTGTCAAACAATAGTGCTTCCACCATAGGCGTGAGCACACGTGTCTCTGCAATAAAACACGGCATGGCATCAAGCCAGACATCATCAATTACAGATGTCGTTCCACGGCGTGCATGCATTTCCATGAAACGTAAGATGTTTGATCGGGCAGTGATGGCTCGCCGGAATGCAGGACCTTCACCGGCAACCACAACAGTCTGCAGAGCGAGATTCGGATTTCCCCTCGGCAGCCTAGATACGAATCAATCACATCGGCAAGCAGCTTGTGAACTGCAGAAGTGACAAACCTGAATGAGCGCCTGAAAGGGGGCAGAAGACTCATCTGAGAAACAAATCCAGACACACGCAGTGTAACCTCCTCGCGCGAGCTTCGCCACACCAGGTACAAATACCCACCCGAACCGACCTGAACATCAAATTGACGCTCAACTGTCTCGAACTGATCGTACGTCTCGAGCAGGAACTGCGATCCCTGTCCATCGGCACCCATTTCCGGATTCGGCGCCTTCGTACGTGTGGTCCACTCGTCGAATAATTTCACTGACCAAGATTCAGCCATCATCCAGTCCCATCACGAAAACAGAAACTCGACGCACCACAACGCGCATCCTGAAAGACCTTTGCCATCGTGTCAGAACTCAGGTGAGCCTCCAAATTCATTTTGATCGAAAGCAGCAAGATTTTTACTAAACTTTATACACCAGTGTCAATTGCCAGCAAGACACGATCAACGAGCAAGAACGAACACACCGGTGGAGGTAAGTAGCCATCCACAACGACCGACGCTCGCCCCCGCACGACAAACCGTTCGCGCGTCAGATTCAAATCTTACCGTCGCGCCCAGCTCATTGTGGACACGCGCCACTGCTGCGCGTCAAATTCGGCGCACGTTCACGACCGCTCTAGCCACATCTCCACCACTGACACGGACGGTCGCCGACGTTCTCCGCCACCATTGCCAACTCGGCCGCGACGTGCAGCAATACCAACACGGAACCTCGCCCGACCCAAACGCGCGTCCCCACTGGGAGCGCGTTCGCGACCGCTTTCCGCAGCACCTCGACCGCGGACGGCCTCCACCACCTGCATTCTCGCCAATGCCACGACCACGCGGACCTGCCGTTGGAACGCCAATACCGCGCCTGGCCGACCACAAAACATGCGCCCCCCCTGCGCACGCAGTTTCCTCCCCCCTCTGGCTCAGGTTTCGCGATCGCGCGCGGCTTGACCACCACGCGGACCTCCCGGCGTGCCAACACCAATCCCGCGCTGAGCTTCTCGCAAAACACGCGCACCCGCTCGGGTGCATATTTTTCTCCACTATTTTACTTACACTTTGCTGACATCCAGCAGTCCCAACACCGCACCTCGCCCGACCCAAATGCGCGTCCCCACTGCGCGCGCAATTCGGCGCGCGTTCGCGGCCCCTCTCCACAGCACCTCGACCGCCGACACCCTCCACCACCTGCATTCTCGCCAATGCGACCACCACGCGGACCTGCCGTTGGAACGCCAATACCGCGCCTGGCCCACCGCAAAACACGCGGCCCCGCTACGCGCGCCACCACCTCGACTCTCTCCCTCACACTTCGCGACCGCGCGCGGCTTAACCAACACGCGGACCTCCCGGCGCGCGAATCCCAATGCCGCACCTAGCCCATCGCACAACACACGCACCCGCTCGGTGCGTATTTTTCTCTGCTATTTTGCTTACATTTTGCTGACATCCAGCAATGCCAACACGGTGCCTCGCCCGACCAAAACGCGCGCCTGGACTGCGCGCGCAATTCCGCACGCGTTTGCGCCCCTCTCCACAGCACCTCGACCGCCAACACCCTCCACCACCTACTCTCGCCAACCGGACCACCACGCGGACCTCCCGTTCGAATGCCAATACCGCGCCTGGGCCACCGCAAAACACGCGCCCCCGCCGCGCGCGCCGCAACCTCGACCCTCTCCCTCACACTTCGCGACCGCGCCCAGGTCGACCACCGCCCGGACCTCCCGTTCGAACGCCAAGGCCGCACCTCGCCCCTCGCAAAGCACGCACCTGCGCTGCGTACGCAATTTCCTCCACACTCTCGCCCCCGTTTCGGCACCGTGCCCAGACAGCGAATGCCGACGGACATGCCCCAACAGTCGCACCGCGAACAACTCCCACCTCGCCCGATTTCCTCTCGCAACCGCCACCATGGCCTCCGTCACTGATGCTCCTGCAACCACCACTGGCAGCAAACGCAAGATGAGGCATCTGTCACCGTCCGCACCAGTGCCTTCACCCGCAAAAAGGCAGAAGCCCGAAGACAGCGACGACATGTAAGTCTTCATACCCACTCACCGCCATATACCAGCCAACATGCAGTTCTTTGCAGATTCTCGCCGACAGCACACACTGACTCCACCGCATCCGATACTCCCGCAGACGATGCTCACGCCAGTCACCGACCCGACGAGACTCCCGGTAAGCCCTACCGCAACAAAGGAAAGCGCGTCGAGAAAACCAGGACACCGTGAGTCGCTGTTTGCCACCAGACAGACACTTCCGCTAACTGCACCATATATACAAGAACCGAAGTGCTCCAGTCGCTGTCGAAACTCAGGTATGCCCTTTGGCAATTATCCACTGTGACTCACACTGACACTTTCTTGCAGAGAAACACTCGCCGTGACACGTGCCATGAATAACGTGTTTGTCCTCGTGCAACCCGTGTATCTCAAGAGGGCATTCCCTTCGAACATCGCCGAGTATGTCCATTTGCCCTTGCTTTTTCTGCCATACTACTAATCGACCCCAAAGACGTCTGGACCACGTCTCGATCGCCACCGCACACGACATCATCAATCTCGCGACCGCAGACCCCACAGCACTCCACTTTGTCACCATCGGAGCCTCCGACTACCTTCAGCTCAAGACGAGCACCCATCTCACGCTCTTCTCTGTCGTCGGCTCCGTTACCCACAGCGACCTGATCAGTCCGAGCGGTCGCAGCCGTCAACTCTGCGTTGCACCATCAGCACTCACCTGGCCACGTGCGGCCGCCGTCCTGGGTGCCATTCTCAACAGACGAACACTCGTCTTCCCGTCGTTCCATGCCGGCCTCTCCTTCTCGACAAGGTTGACCACTGGCACCTCAAACACTCCAACCAAGATCCGCGGCATGGCTCCCGCCACTCCGGTGAACGCACAACGCGGTACGTGACGTCTCGCACTACAAAATGTTCGCTAACGCACCCTGCAGGTCCACCCCCCGTGCTGCCGGCCGATCGAGATGGTAAGATCGCCCCCAACCTTCTCGCACATGCGCCCTAACTCACTCCTCCCGCAGTGCCGACTTTCGACGGGTGTAAGCCCTTCAAGTTCTCCATGCGCTCCATATCGATGCTTCCCAAAATCCACGACGATCTCTCCACAGAGTCTGCCGTCCTCCTGCTCTTCACTCTTGGGAAGTACATCAAGAGCCACCCTGAACTCGACGACGAAAACGCCGACACCACTATCTCCCTCAACATCCAATCCATCATCCTTCTCGCCAATCCGGGATCGATGCCCCGCGGCTTCCTCGAGGACGAGCCCATGCCCCTCCTCGGAGTCTTCCGACCGAATTCCGAGCCTGACCAACGCCACTCGGATGACAGCGACGACGATGATGCCTCGCTTGTCTAGTTTTTTCCATTACTGTAACTATCACAAATGCCTGTACTTGTACTATACGTATCAATCACACACCCTTGCTCATACAAAAACCGTGAGCACCCCGTCGGAGTCGGGGAATGGCGCTCGCGCCGCTACGATGAGAATACTAGGCATTTGGAATTTTGTCCTTGGAATTCCAGTTGCAAGCGTGCTGACGAAGAAGAGCGCGAGGGTCCAGGGAAGTTCGCGGATAAGCATGGCTTTGGTGAAACGAGGAACGTTTATTCTACAGGTCCGTGAATCGACGCTTGCTCAGACGTCGCGTGTTTCTCAGAATGACTACCGAGCAGTCCTTCGGGGCTTTTCTGCAGGCTGCAGGGAATTTGATCCCCATATATTTTTTGACAACTTACTCCGTCTCTGTGCTTTCCTGTTCAAGCACAACGGGCAGTTTGCTATTGGCGATCAACACTGCTGTAAATAGTGTTTCGCGGATTATCATGGGCATTCTTGCAGACCGTGTCGGGCGGCAGAACACCATGGTGCTGAGTGTAGGCACAGCTTCCTCACTCTCCGTCTACCGGCTAATGCTACCGCAATGCCAGGTGATCTTATCAGGCGTGTCCGTCATGGCACTGTGGTACGACTCGTCGCCTTCGCGGTTCCTCGCCTTCATCATCTTCTACGGCGTCTTAGCAGGGGGATACAACGCCCTCCTGCCAAACACTATCGCCGAAGTCTACGGTGTCCAGAACTATGCCAGCGTTAATGGGTTTATTTATTTCATCCGCGGCATGGGTGCAATTTTTGGCGCACCGATTGCGGGTTTAATTCTCGGCAGCCACCAGCGGGGGACCTCCTACGGTTCTGGTATGCTGGCTGCCAGACTGGAGGCTTTGAAGTCGCGCTACAACGATATTGCTGTATTCGCTGGGATTCTCCTCCTAGCTTCAGGCGCGTGCGTGGCATACGTGAGATGGCTGGATGCTCGGGACAAGGGCGCTTGGGCCTGGAGAGCGTAGAAGAGTTCTGGCTCAGCAGGTGCGACGGAAGGCGATATTCAATTTTCTGGAAAGACCACTAGACAAATACAGGTAGCGAAAAGCATTGCACATAACGGTCTAGGATGAAATTTGCAAAAACAATTGTCACAGCATCTACAACAATGAACGCTTCAAGATCTGATGAATGTATATCCCAAAACTACGAGCACGGCAAGACAAGATGCCACAAGGCAGAAGCTGCACTCAACTCTATTGAGACTTCGCAAGCCAGGGTCCCTGGGGCCCATCAGACCTCATGACGAGGCCAGATGGCAAGTACTCCAACTGCGTCGATCTTCCACGACCGTAACAGACACGACACGTAGGAGGAAGTGTGAAGGGCCTTGACTTGGTACGTGGAGTGACGAAACGGCATCCTGCGCGATGCGATGGCAGGCACAAATGCAGTATGAATGCATACCAATCAACCCAACAAATGGAACGTTGTCGCACGTTCACCGTGGTACTGCATAGAGCCCGCGAGCCAGAAGTATGACGACAGGTGGTGGTACGTCTTAGGGTGGAACGGATATCCAAAGAGATGCACAGGACAGAATGATATTCAACAGAAACACGTAGCGATATGCATGTGGGCGAAATTTTGACTTTTGTCACAGGAAAAGTCTTGTCTTGAAGAAACAAAAACGCAGCAAGCAGATGGCAGCAAACGCTGACCACAAAACAGCGGAGAAAAAAGCAGGTATCGTACGTAATAATTTCCCACCCTTCTGAAGGGCCACCGTTACCATATGTGGCAATACTGCATCCATCTCCCACAAGCTTGCGTCCTGTTTCGCCTGTGCTTGACTCGTAGCCGCCATCGAGCTCCACAGCGGTTAACATGGATTGTAGTGATACCATCGTTTGAACGCTTCAGCTTGACAGATTGGCGAACTCGTTTCTTAGCTTAATGTGTCCTCTCGCCAATATCACTCCGGAGAGTTGATTCCTGTATTTCTGCCGAAAAATACCCCAAGAATATATCCTTCGGTACAGGACTTGTCATCCACTCTCGGGCGCCGCTTAGTCTCTCAGTAGTTGCGGACTGTCGATTGGAGCGTTTCTGCAAGATGCATCTGCGACAATGCTGTTCCCCGGCAGGTACAATCCGGCGTGGGCGAGCTGCTGGTATTCTAGGAGCTCGGCGGCGATAACGACATGTGGCCTTCGTCCGTGGCACGTACGTTTGCACCACCTCTGGTTTCCTCGTTTGCTTCGGTGGGGACGCCACAGGGTGTTGATGCAATGGCCGGCCATCTAGCTGGTCCGTCTAAGCGCTCCTCTGGCGAGAACAATCTTATGATAGTGGTTTCTCGTCATTATCAAGGAAGGTTTCCTGCCGCCCGCTTGCTGAAGTGACAGCCCTCTCATGATGCAGGGACCGCTACCCTGAAAGCCTCATGCAGGTATGTCAGTTGTCATGGGCTGGTCTGATTTATGACTGTGGTTTTCCACTTCAGAACAGAGTTTAGAACCACCCTGAATACGTGTGATGCCCGTTGACTTCGATTAGCTATACTTATTCTTATTTCGTCTCGGGAGAAGACGAACAGGGATTAATAGCCAGCAAGCTCGCCGTCGTGTGATGGCTGGTATGTATTGTGATGATGACCCTCATAAACTTTGCACTTTCTCAAAGGGCCGTTCTCTAGCCTCACACGAGCCTCCTTCTTGTCACTGTGATATATACTATTCCGGTTTTATCCACGGCATCCCGCAGTCCTTCTCCAGGTGCCCGCTGACCATTGCAATGTCCGCCGTGAAACGTCCTGTAATTGCACTTCCAGGTACCTCGTTATCGCTTACCGCTTGGTTCCTACCACCAGCCGTGAGGCGCGCGAATGGTGAGCCTTGTCTATCACTGCAATTTGTCATTCTGTGTTGGTCTGTATTTCGCTCAAGCTATTCACGTCATATTCGTCCACAACAAACCTTACCTTCAATTTGACTTAATCGCTTTGACCTTGTGTTCAAGGGACGATGGCCGCGGCCCCGCCACCTGTACAAATTCATCGAGCTCTTCTCGTCAATGTCTCTGGCCCGAATTCCCACGTCTCGTCTGATCGTGCCCCACTCCGTTGGCGTTGGCACTCATCCTATATTCTTCCGGTCAGAGACGGTAAATATAGCTTCTGAGATTATTCCCTGAATTTGCCGTTCGCATCCAACGGTTTCCAAAATGCCTGTTTAGTCAATTCGACCATCCGTCACAAAGTTGCTGTGCTATTGGCCCACATGCGTGGCAATTCTTGTGTCCTACGCATGCCTGGTTTAGCAAACTCACTCAAGCCACCAACTTCCTCTTTTTTACCGGCCTTCGGCGAAGCAATTCCGTATTGCCGGTGCACGGCCACAGCAGGAACACGGAGATCATCCTTCTCGTTGACGTTCACATCTCAATACAACGACGTTCTTTTGCCTTATTTTCCCTTACCTTAGTCGCATAGAAGAAACTTCGGCAGTGTATCACCTCGACCGGGCTATGAACCAATGCAAAGACCCGGATTTCAAGCACTTCCACAAGGTCCGCAGACCTACCGCATGCTCGGTGAACAGTCTCACGTCAATTTTCAAACGTACGACTGATGCGCTGGCTACCACTGGTTGGAAAATATCATGATGGTGTGTCCTGCAACGAATTTGTCAAAGAATATTACGAGTACGACTTTGTGATTTTAATCTTCCTGTTAGACTGCCCGTATGGTGTTGTTTTCTGTATCCAACAGTAACATACATTTTTCTTGCATAGTGACGAGCACGGAGGAGTTCTATTCCCCAGCGTATTAGTGTTTCTTTGACGTCTCACTCGCGGATATTGTGGCACAATAATGCGCCCATTTGGACATTCAATATTCAAGATGTTTCGCCACTCCAGACACGCAAATAGCTGAGAATACTGGGTGTTGAATATTCGCGAAGGCATGCTAGATGATTCAATTGAGAAGGAGGCTGAGCTTGAGCTTGCTGGATCCGCGACACTGTGGCGGCAGGGCAATGAATCTCTGCATCTGAGCTGATCAGATTTCATCGAGTCGATGGTGGCGGCTGAATGTGACGGCCAAGCCGCCGGTCAGGTAGTTTGCAACGAACATGTGCTACCAGTCGGTACCTGAACTTCCCATGCGCGATGAGCCTACTCAAGCCGCATCAGTTGTCTAGTTGGCACAGTCAATACGTTTGGGCAATAATTCCCCTTAGTTTCCGGGGGATTTTCGGTCTATTTCTCAAGGCAATCCGGCTTCATCCTCGGACAGCAACTGAGACCCACTTATCAACACTGTTATCGGTCGGTCAGGTCTCTATCTACCATGCAAATTCACGCACCTACCAGCTCTAGCACTCGCTCTGTGGCAACAACAGCGGCGGTCATGAAGATCTATGCAGGGAAGCTGTTCGACCCATACACGCGCTCGCTGCTCAAAAACAGGGTCATATCTGTCTCTCCCGATTCCGGCCTTATCACCGACGTGCAGGCTTTCTCCCCTGCAGATGCAGCACGCGTCGATTTCTCCGATGCTGAGGTGGCGGTGGACCTGCGAGCTGCTACGGTCATGCCTGGATTCGTGGATGTGCACGTACATCGTACGTCTGCAATATCAACATTCAGGTCTAAAAGCCTCTGACTCGATACGTGATGCCATTTCAAGTATTTCTACACCCATACTCTGAGGTGAACTGGGAAGACCAAGTCACGAAGGAGAGCCTCGCGGAACGCACCGTGCGTGCCACTATCCACGCAAAGCGGACGCTTATGGCAGGTTACACGGCTGTCCGGTATATTTCTCTCATCTGTAAAACTAGCCCTCCGAATTCGCTAATATACTTCTTACGCCGGTGTTCTGGTATGCACACAGGGACCTTGGCACGGAAGGGGCGGGCGACGCGGACATCGCGCTGCGCAAGTGTGTCTCAGGCCCGGACCCGCTCATTCCTGGGCCTCGTTATTTTACCGCGAACCGTGCCATTGTCACAACGGGCAGCTACGGTGTGTATATTCATGAATATCTGGGTCCTCTGTGATTTTATGCCTTGCAGGCCCGAAAAGCCAAATCTTCCTGAACAAGGAGGGTATCGACGGAGTAACCGGCGCAGAGGTCGTCGACGGAGAAGTCGAATGTGTCAAGGCTGTACGCAGGCAGGTCGGTGCTGGAGCGGATCTCATTAAGGTAAGCCTCCACTTTATAATACACATGCAATGTCCACGATTAATTTACCATTCAGATTTATTCAGGCAAGTGGATGAATACCTAGATTGGCCTGTGGACACAATAACGGTCCTGATGTGCAGACTACCGTTTCCGCTCTCGCATGAATAACGCCGGAAAGGCAGTCTCAAATGCCGCCATCGCAACATTCAATGAGAAGGAGGTACACGCCCTTGTCTCCACTGCTCATGCGCTCGGAGTTAAGGTTGCCGCACACGCCGCCCATTTCCACCCGAACCTGGTTCAGGACGATCTCCTCCAAGTATCGTCGATCGAGCACGGCTACGACCTCGTTCTGGACGGAAGCAGCGACATCACAGACGAGACACGCGCGCGGATGGAAAAGCTGGCTGCACTACTGACGAAGAGCAACACCAAGTGGGTGCCGACCCTGTCCGCGTACCACACGATGGACGGGGGCGCAGGCGAGACGTGGAAACGCGCCTCGCGCGCGTTCAAGCTCGCGCTGGAGTGCGGAGTGACGAGCATCGCGTGCGGCGGGGACACGGGCGTGTTCGCGCACGGGGACAACGCGCTGGAGATGCAGCTGATGGTACGGCTCGGCGCCGACTGGCGCGCGGTGCTCAGCTGGGGCACGCTCGGCGGGTGGGAACTGGTCCGCAGCATGGATTGGGAGGGTGAGAAGGGCCGGGCACGTCTCGCGCGCGTGGAGGAGCTCGCAGAGGATGCGCGCGTGGTCGGCGACAACGAGGTGCCGTTCGGGGCGGTTCGCAAGGGCTTCGCTGCGGATATCGTCGCGACGACTGGGAATCTGGAAAGTGACTTCGCGGGTGCGGTGGATAAGGCGGCGATCACATTCGTGATGAAGGGTGGGAGGGTGTACAAGCGCGATGGGAAGCCGCTGGCATGAGCCGCGGCATCGAGTGGGCCGCGCCACAGTGTTGGACACACCGGATTGTGGGATTATGTATGGTTCGCGTGAAGTACTCGTATGTTGTATACGGATATAGCTGATGGAAGAGGAGTGACAGATCCGCCGTGCGCGCGGTTTATCACCATCTTGTATGCCGAATGTTGCTTACCAATAACATTGTGTATGCACACGGGGGAGCTCCCTGCATGAACCTCACCCTGCGGAAGAGCTTCCCATCTGGCCAAGTTGAAATATCACTCGGAGACATCATACGCCGTCTGCTTGGCTTATGGGCGCTCAAAGAAAACGCGATCGACACGCGTTAATTAGGGACGCGTCTGTCACGTGCATGCGCTCCACTTCCCACCCTCAGATCGACCACCGGAGTCAGAAACTGGTTAGGTCTTCGAAGAGCACCGACACTTGCATGTACTATATTAGATGATTGACAGATAACACATCTAGTGATACACAGAGCATTAGACAGCGAGGCGCAGAGAAGCACTGTAAACCCGCACGATGACGATGACGACGGGGCACAAGTAACGTACACCAAGAACAAGATTCGGGGACGGGCGAAGAAGATGAAGTAAACGGGCCCTTTTGAGGGCTGACAAGCACAAGCAGGAGAAGACTGCGACCAAGGCGCATGTACGTACAAAGAAACGGGCGTGGCAGGCACATGACCAGCGCAAACGACCGCGATCTGCGCGAAGGTGCGAACGATGTACACGAAGGGTGAGCAAAGGCCATCGCCGCCGGGGCGAAGGAGAAAGACGAGAATGGCATGAGACGCACTGTATGTATGTAGGGGATATAGAGATGTAGGGCGATAGCGATATAGGGATGGGACCGTCCGTCCGCGTGTCCCGCCATGTGCGATATACAATGTCCACGACGGACGGGCACAATGTTCGGTGGGCGCGCAGCGGTCAGCAGGTAAACACATAGGCACGCTGCCGCACCCATGTCCGTGTATCGTACAACGCAAGGCTCACCGAAAGACCGTGACGACTAGTCAACGGGGCCGGTCTGTCAGCGTATAGCACATTTTGCGCCCCTTCTACATCGCGTTGGTGAGATCGTCGGTGCTCCTCGTGGCCTAAACCTTGCTCATGACGAAGGGGCCCTCGAGCGGTATGGCATGCGTATTGTGCGTGTAGGCCCGCCAAGAGCCGACGAAGTTGGTGTTCGCGACGATGTACCCGCGGAATATGAACACGCCGAGTTCGGGGTAGTGGACCGGTACGCGAACGATGGCAATCAGCCCATCCCACTTGCGCACGCGCCCATAAAAGCGGAAGTGATGCCAGGCCTGGCCGTGGCGCGGAAGCGTCTGCAGTACGAGAGGATGAGATGAGCAACCGAGCAGCAAGAGGAGGAACGAGCGCACCTCGCCGGTGACGATGATATCCTGGATACCGTTACACGTATGCATCATGTACTCCATGACGCTATCGGTATCGCTCCTGTCATCGTCGTCGTCATACGCGTCCGCATCCACGTCGGTGTCCTCAGCATCGCTACCGTCCTCGTGGTCCGACTCACCCATCACTTCGTCAAGCAGCTCGTCGACGTTGACGTCAGGCCCGAGCGCGTTATCCACGGCCATCCGCATCTCTTCATCTTCCGCGGCCTCCGACATCGGGCTCGAGGAAGGCAACCTCGAGGCAGACGTCGAGGGCGGGCCGGCAGCCGACGTCTCCTTCCGCAACGCGAAGCTGCGACCCCCGCCGTCCCCAATCTCCGCCTCCTGCGACGCGCGCCTCTGCGCATGCACGCGCATCTGGAGCTCCTCGTCCTCGAGCCGGCGGCGATGAAGGCACGACATGCAGCGGTCCTCGCTGTGCGAATTCGGGCGGCCCTCGACGTACGTCTCGTAGTGCGAGACTTCGTTGTGGGTCTCGTCGTCCACGCGCACCATCCCGTGCGACTCGCGGAACGAGACCTTCGGGAACCACCCGTTGCGGATACCATCGTCGTAGTCGCTCGGCGAGCCCCCGTACGCGACCGCGACCTCCGGACTGATGCAGTGGTGCTCGCGGAGGCGCATGTATACGGGCACCGTGGAGAGGCGCGGATTCTGGTCGGAGAAATCCTCTGGGAAGTTCACGGACCGGATAAGCGCGAAGTACTGGCCGACGTCGGGAATCTGGGTGCTAAAATAAGTAGGAACATAGACACGGAGAGGCGAGATACGTACCTGTATGACGCCCTGCCACTGTCCGTCCAGGGTACCGTATGTGTATACTACGCCCTTGAGTTCCGGGATCTCCCAAGGATTCGTGCAGCACGTCAGACGGTGCCAGTCGTTGTCCCAGCGCGCACTAGGACCCTTCAGGCCTCTGCGCCAGACACCATCGTCCTCGAGCCTACCCTCTTCCTCGGTGAGCGCAGCTCGCCATTCCCACGTGCCGCGGTCAACGAGCTTAACGGACTTGTGGGCGTTGACTTCCACGAGGTCCGCCTGGGTGAGGCAGACGTGCGTACGCCCGAGCTGTATCGCGTGTTCGCGGTTGAGCGGGAGCGAGGACGGAATGTCGAAGAGCATCGTCCCGCTGAGCGTCATGTACAGCAGCTTCGCGCCTTGGGCAATGAGCGGCGGGGAGATCGCGAGCGGCAGATTGAAATGGCGACGACCCCGCTCGATAAGTGCGTCGGGCTGACGATAGAGTGGGTAGAAGCCATGCGGGGTCATAAGCGTATACGGAAACGCGTTCTGCAGTTCGTCCGGGAGGGGGAAGTCGAAATGGTTGTCCGGAGCGTGGAACGAAGGATAGCGAGCGGCGGTGAGGACGTACGGACGAATGAGATCCATGATCTGCTTGCGTTTCTCCGGGGTTATGGCAGCAAGCTTGGCTGTATGCAGAGGTGAGTACGACGACAGAGTAGGGGAGACATGTGACGCACCATCGTCCAAGTCAAACCATACGAGCCAAATGACAAGAGCGTTGAGCGCACTCTCCGCAGGCCAACCGTTGCTGTCCTGTCTGTTCTCCCACAAGCGGGTTACGAGGAAATTGTGGAGAAGGGAGCCTATGTTCGCCCACTCGAGCTGGACGATGTTCTTGCCGTCGTTCTCGACTGCCATGATAAAGGCAACCCAAAGGTCGGCTTTGAGATTGCTGTCGAATATGTCACCGCGCCTGATGCGTTTCAGAGCAAGGCAATGCTTGCGCAGCTGCCATGCGAGATTCTTGGAGTACGTAGCGCGTACACCGAGGCGACGGAACGCGGCACGCGAGTCAAATCTGGACCGGAAAATGCGACCGTAGAGATGGGGACAGCCATGCATAGATAGGGAATGATATACATAACGACATGTGAGGAGGAGAGGGACCAGGACGGAGGGAGGACCGAGCGGGTCGATCAAGGTGGCCTCGAGGGCGATGTTTTCGAGGACGGTGACGGGAATGGCGCAGAGCCTGGAGTGCTGGATCATGGCGGGGCGGGGGCGGGGGAAGGTGGTATCAGGAGGAGAAGGAGTGGAAGGACATGATGAGAGGAAGGGGAGGGCTTTATCTGGCTGGAGAGGATGCGGGGGCGCCTAGTTGTGACAGAGCATATAGTAAGGAGCGGGGAGCTGGAGGTGAACTCGCGAAGCGGAGTTACGTCACGGTCACGCGCCGGAATACCACGCGATCGGGCGAGATCTGCCTGCCGATCGGCGTTTCCCAGGGCCTCCCAAATTGGGCACCCAACTTCTTGAGCAGTGGTTTGGCCGGCACGCTCAGCCGCGTTCATTTCGCGCGCATCAGCTCTTTCTCTTCGCAACGAGCCTTCGCGGGAGAAAGCGCCACACATCAATTGTCTTTTCTTCCGCATCAGCTCACGGCGTGGCGCAGCGTAACACCGCTTGTCCTCCTCGTCCTCTCACGCACCCGCCGCTTCTCTCCCCCCTCTCTGCCCAGACTCTCGCCATATATCCTCTATTAGCCCTCTCCTACCCGGTCCTCTTTCTCCCCATCCTCCTCATTGCCCGACCGACCCTCCATGCTGCGCGTATCCCAGGTCTTTTACGTGTCTATCAATGTACTTCCTCTTCTCCTTCTCGTCCCACGACCCACCACATACCGCGACGTCAGACTCCGCAAACGCACCGCAGACTGGTCCATGCCCAGTCGCGCAGTGACCATCCTTATCTCCTTCTCCCCGTCCTCCATTTCACCCTCTTTTCAGTACCTCCTTCTTTCTCTTGCTCCACAAAGTTCAATCCCAGTCCGGACTTCGAACACACCAACTGCCTGTGTCTCGGGACCCAAATGCCATGTGTCTTCCCTCCGTGCCCTTTCTCGCATGTGTGCATTAATATATCCGCTGTCCATGCCGTCACCCTGTCCCCCGCCGTGCGCTCGCGCCTTCGAATTCGAACCGTTTGTCATCCCCGGCCGAGACCCACTCGAACCGTTTGCAGTCCAAGTGCTCAACGCGTCTCTGGATGTCATGATGGCAGCTCTCCCCTTCCGATAGGCCCGTCTCCACCGCCAATGATCAATCTCGCCATCCCTGCCCACTCACCGCGCCAGCTCGTCCGCTCCAGCTCGCTCTGGATCCCGGCCAGCTCTCCTCAGTTCAACCCGTCCCCTTTCTCCGCTCGTCCGTCCGACGCGTCTCGTGTCTATTTGACGCGTCCTGTCAACGTCTCACGAAATGACATCTCGATCTTATCAGCAATCTCGTGTCATTAAGTCCCCCACCGCTCCCTCTACTCTACATCGCCATTGCGCAAAGGGCGCACGCCTCCTTCTCGCTTGGCGTGCCTTAATGTTCGACGCCACGGCACACCCACCGAACTCAGCCCGGAGTCCGTCCGGTTTACGTATTATACCCCCCGGCGTCGGGATTGGTCTCGGAAGTCGACTGCAGTATGCTCTCTGCCAGCCCGATTCACACTGTCCATTTTCGAGCATATGCATATCGCTCGCCAACCCACCGGGCAGCACCCAGGAGACGCACCCCAGAATGCGTTCTCCACACACTTCGCGGCTTGACGTCGAAGCTCCCTGCCCGGCAACAACCCTGGCCTGATCGACTGGCGTCTACACCGCGGACGCCCGCATGCGATCACGTCCAGCATGAAATTAGGATTTTTAGCCAGCGGGGCCCGCAATTCATAGCGCGTCGAATACAATCGCACAAAGTGCGCCCTTGTTCTGGATCCGAGCACGAAATTGAATTACGATGTCCGTGCGTGCTTTTCTCCTGCGCACTTTGTCCGACGCATGCAGCTAATGATGCCCTCTCCGTCCGTCTCCGCCAACTGATGCTTGTGGGTGCGTGTACGTGTACCCAGCCACGCACACTTCCATCGTGTGGCAGGCACACAGTTCCGATTTACTTCGCAGTCGATATTAGCTTCATGCTTGAGCTGACGTCCGTTTATTCAGGATCCACACCGCTCTAAACTGGGCTGTGTGTGTCTCCGTGACGTCCAGTGTGGATGCAGTCAATTTCGTTCCCCAAAGCGAGCAGAGCGCTCGCTGAAGCTCGCCGCCAAGACTCCGTGCCTTCCGACGCCGCCCGATCGGCGTGGGTCCGCAACCCCGACTCTTAACCCCGACGACTCCCAACCCCGCCCCCCCAGCCGGCAGTAATCGCGCGTCACGCGTAGGCGTCCGCACCCTGCTGCCATAGTCTCCAGCATATGGGGCACCGACGTACATACGGGGCTCGCGTCGTGCAGCCATGTTACGACATGACAGCGCACAGGGTCATGTGCGCCACGTGAATACGCAAATTGGCTTCGCACATATCCACGTACCCTGTCGACTTGCACAATGCGGCATTCAGGTCTAGGTGCGCCATAGCGAGGTAGGTAGGTAGGTAGGCAGGCGCCTCTGTGGGCAAGACCGGCAGAGTGTTCGCCACCATCACACGTCGGGTTCTGTTCCTGACGATTGGCGCAGATTTGGAGCGCGTGCTCATTAAGCTCGTATCTGGAGAGGTGGAGCGGAACGCGTCGTTGTGTCGATTACGAGAACCGGCTGCCGGACACATCGTCTCTTGTCTCGCCATCCGTGGCAGCTGCAGAGGCCGTTGAGGTTGACGGAACGTAACTGCGCCCACGGTGACTCATGCTCCGCTGCCAGATGTACGTATACCTGCCCCACGCATCGGAGACTATCCCTCCAAGCGGGCTCGCACGGTGACTGACGTGGTGGTGGATACCGAATAGGCCGAATACGCTCGACCGAGATAGGTGTTCTATGATTCAGTCCTCAAAAGCTATCGCACTACCCTTATACACTCAACGCACCGCGCGATATCTGAGGTATAATTAGAAAAGTTCGTTCATCCATGATTCTGCAGGGTCTGCTGAAATTTGTTTTCGATTCATCGTGTACGGATTTATTGGGTCCGTGCATATGTTTTTGTTTCGATCCAGCAACTCTTGACACCCAAATGGACCGACCGCACAGGGCTGATGCCGTAATCTTTCCATCGCGAACGCTAATGCTGCGGAGTGTGCTGCGATGGTAATACAGCATGAAGATCTGGTAGCTGCACCGCTATCAGTGTTCTGCGTCCATTCTCCGAATTTCTCGAAGAACTGCGCGAGGCTGTTTCTTACGACAACGCACGGCGGACACGGCCAGTCGCGGCAATGCGCATTCCCGACGACGACGACATTTCGTGCTGTTGCGCGCAGCGTTCTTTCGACAAACATGCGCTGCCCCCGCCGACGAGGGCTACGTCTCGGCCCCGTCGTGAGTTTGCGACTCCGCTTTTGCGACGCATCCTTACTTATGCAGGCCGCTCGAAGCTTATGTTGCTTGTGTTGCTTGTGTTACGTACCCAGGTGCCCATCATGATCCAGGTGTCTGTGAGCGATTGCACATCTTACGAGAGGCGGGATGGACACTGGACAGTGACTGTTCAGATGAGCGACGAAGATGAGCCTGTGGCGATGACAGCTGCCGGTCGACGGATTGCCAGGGTTATTTATCTAATGTGCCCTGTTCGGTACTCGACGCAGAGAGGTGCCGGTTGCTTTTGACTTTTCAATGTGAGTATGACCTGTTTTGTCGAAACGACATGAGCTTATTCACGGAGTATACTCTTATCACAGGTCCAGAATACTATTCACGAAATATATTTGTATGCTACGGTAAGGTTCAGTCTTTGCAAATGGACATCCTGAGATGCCTCTGGATGACCAATCACCTTCGCATGGTGTACACGATCCGAAGGCATGTTCACGACTGAACCTTGTCAAGACGGCGCAGCGGGGAACTGGTCTACATTTCCCTGTTGATACTGGCGGGTGTTCTCTCTGATCTTTCTATCCGTCGCTGTCCCTGATGGGATGCTGGAGCGCCCATGGTTATGTCCCACGCAGTGCATCCCCGCAGTGCAAGGTCTGGGCACGATGCAGTGTGAGTGGACTAGTTCTTCACATGGCGGAATCAGGGAGCGTTGGCCACTCAGCGTCCTCCCAAGATACATGTGGCGGCGTTTACATCTTTTGTTTCCTGAAGGGGCGCTGTGCATATATCACATCACGGACCTTCTCTGGGTACAAGGTTTCGGCATGACATAGCAAGTTTTGACTGTCTCCCAACGTCGCGTGGATTGCACTCTCACTCGGTAGGTTTTCATATTTCCGGCGTCTGTTACGTATGTCAGACGTCACCGTGCTCTTTCGGCCTCACAACTGCATACATACTTATCTGTATGGGCATCCTACGTTACACTCTCATGGTGCTGTGCTGAAGTCCGTTTGCTATGACAATGAACTGGCATGCCAGGTCCCACGGCGTGCGACGATACTTCACGCCTTATGGTACCTTGAGGCGAGGTAACTTAAAAGACGTACAGGGAGCTTTTCCAGCGGGAATGCACTCGATGCTTGGACATCCCTAGATTAGTGCAGTGGCGTTCTCAGAAAATAAACACGGTATGTCCACAGGCGCACTATGATTTGTGTGCGCCGCACTTACGGTCGTATCCTGTGCTCGGTGATGCGATTCACGTCTCTCCGTGTGTTCCAGTTTGGTCTGCCATCATCATCGCATCCTCCACATCCAGAAACGCGCGCTTTCCTGTCCCGCAAAGATGTCTCTTGGCCCGTCGTTCTCCCATGCCATATGAGCTAAGCTCGTTTCTAGTATTCGTGATTGCCGCTCGGCGCAAGGCAGACAACTTACTTGATTTGTTGAACAGCGATGCGGAATCCGTATTCGAATTTCATCCGCTCGGACGTTGTTCACCGTGACACTTCATGTCGTTCATGACATGATGACCAACTGATGTCTTTCGTTGATGGGGATGTCAAGAGCTCATCTTATCGGACGCTCGCATCCTTGTGGAGATGGCAGGGCAAGTGTATCCTCAATTCACGCTCCCTTGTCGATAATCTGGTGTGCTGGTGTGCTAAATTACCAAATATGTCTCTGGGCTCGTCTGTTTACCATAGATTCTCCATCTAGATCTATTGGTCCGTAGGCCCATTCCTACCTCTGCGGCTGTGCAGGTGAACTAGCACTTCTGGCGATGCAGTTCCTATCAGATAATCTGGTGCGTCCTTCGCGAAGAGTTGCGTCTATCACGAATGCAAGCCTCGGTGGTCGCTTTTCGGAAGGCCTAGAATTCTCGAGCGTCACGTCCCCACTCGGCGACGAAGGCGCTGCATGCACAGTATGGTGTCTTTGGCTAGTGCCTTACGTGTCAGTTGTTTTTACGATTCCGCATGATGGAGTATCGATTTGGCGCCGATGGCTTCTTCCGCGTTGAGTGTCAAGGTGCAGTGGGGAAACTTCGATCGACCTACGCTTATCATACGAGCGTTTTGCAGGTATGTCTGGCTGCTCTCTCCGTAGGCAACTGAAGCGGCATTTAGGAACCTTCGAGCTGGATCCACTACAATCAGTGGAAATTTTCTTTGTCGCTCCTTGGTGTTGGACAAACGTCGGCGCTCGTCGCTGCACTTCTCTGTTGGTCAAATCTCGATCCCTGTCGCGCGCCTGAGGCTCCAACGATGCTGCTCACGGATCACACAGATATCGGAAATGATAACTGCGTCAAAACGCAGACAAAGGAGAAGCGCTTAAGGAGTGTGCGATGACCCCTTCGGTGAGAACTTGTTTCTGTCTTCGGTTGCCGAAACTGACTGAGGTGCCCGAACTCGGCGGTGTCGGCCAGCCTGCGAACGGTAGGCTTCATGACACGCATTGAGCGGACTAGGTGCGATGATAGCGACTCCTTCTAGCTTGTGACACAATCTGCATGCTATTTTCCTATCCACCGGCCGTTATAGCGAACAAATATTGCTTGGCTATAGATCCATTGGCACGGTAAGACGAGACGCATGCATGTAGAAGGTTAGTCGGCCATCGCGTATTGACTCTCAGCCGCTGTGCAGACCCCAACCTCGTTCATCTTCTTGATTCTTGTGTCTCAATGTTGCTGATGGGCCGCTCACCGTGTTCCATCAGAATGAATGGACGACGCCTAGTTCACCTGCATGGTAGATGGCGATTCTGCCGGTTTTACTGCATATGTTCCATCATCGTGTTTCCTTTCTCAGTGAGTAGTCGTGCTGTTCAGTCGGACGCTGTACTGGTGATCAGGCCACGCTGACGCTATTGTCGTCAGATATAGCGCAAGTTCTGAGCAAGAGGCCTTTGACCGATACGCGATTCCGCCAAATTTGTGGCTGCACATCGTGACCGCGGTCCACTGTGACCCCCTTCGCGTTGACTAGCAATTCGCTCTGTGTGATCTGGATAGGTGAGCGCTGTATCTCCATTGCTCACCTGATGCGCGTTCTGTCGCCTATTGTGTTACTTGAGTCGAGTCATAAGGGTACACCCCCATCTTGTCACCGATGACCTCCCGATTTCTGCGCGCAAGCTGAGTAGGCCTCAGCACGAACGTTCCACGCTCGCGCAGTTCAACTACAACACATTTCAATTCGACACGTCGTAGAACCTGATTGAGACGGCAGCCGTCCCGTGATGACTGGCGATTGCTTACCCCGGCCCCCAGGCTTCAGCTTCCATGACGCAGGGCTATCAGAATTCAAAACTCGGTAGCACTCCTAATGGCAGAGCTACCTGACTTTTGCCAGGGTCACTTGATGATCTGCCAGTCCTACTCTCTAGTGCCCTGATACCCACCTTCCGGATGCGAGAGTGCTACAAACCTTAGCAATTGACCTTTGAGCAGTGGTATGGGATACAAGTTCAACCACCCGAGGGAGATCCTTCTCCCAGTCATCTGGTGATACCTTCCGTCGTACACATTGCATAACGCCTCGCTGGACCCTACATACTGTAGTTGTCTGCGAACTGCCGTCATGCATTTCCTTTGGAAGCTCGAACATCTTCTGGCGCGGCTTCAAATACGCACTGCCGGTGGGATATCTATGCGGTGCCTTGCCTCTGATGGTCTTGCTGGTTGCACCTTCCGTCGTCGCGGACTTCAAGTTGGTTTGTGAGTCCATTCTAGGCGTTCATATATCCATTTCTGTGTTATGTTCTCCCCACACTGGGATCCGGAGGAGTACAGCTATTGCCTGTTCTTGTTTATCCCAGGTCCTTTCACGTAGCGCTGCCCTTGTGTTCGCATCGTCCTCGGACTCTCACTGATAGCGGTCTAGTTTCAGCGCAGCCCTTGAATCTTGCTCCATTACCAAAGCCAGCCGCGACTGGCGCAAAGGATATCCTCTGGTTTGCTTATCTCGAGCCATTTGCCATTCTCATGAACGTCCATGTCACATACAACAATACTTGCAAGCTGACATCCTGGTTTAGATGCATGGCCAGTCTGTGGTCAGCCAAGAGGTGTGCACCACCGTCATACCCGTCAACCTGTAGTCCGAAGTATCGGAGGCGATTCATATGGACAATCCCTAGCATGTGTCTCATCCGCCATCTCTAAGAAGGGAGGAGACACGCGCTCACAATTTTGACCTCAATAGCGAGGACATACGGTGGAGATCTCAACCCGTTTTCGACATCATGACCACTCTCAGCGGAGCTAGTCCTCTTCTTTCCATTGGGGGGAACCGGCAGGTTCTGGAGCTGCGGGTCGAGGACAGCGGGTCTGCCGTAAGTGTGCACGCCTTGCGCCATATCTCGCCACGGTCCCCGTTAGGGTCAGAGTTTGCTCGGAGCGCGGGGGGCGGCTGCGGCACCCACCCATCAAGCGGTGGGGAAGCGACGGAACGTCTGCTGTCGATGCTTCTTCCTGTTCTCGGGCGTGGCTTCTTGTCCTCGAGCGCTGCACGCTGGGATATCATGCGTCGTACCGGTCCGTCTACTGCCAGGCGCCCGCTGAGGTTCCGCATGCGAGTTAGTTGGGTGCCGCGCTCGCTTTTGTGCATTGTTCAGGGCTTCGAAGATCCGAAGGCCTGACATATTACTCGTTTGTGTTGCGGAGGGAGAGATGATTGGGTCGGGAGGGATCCGCGGCCTCGGTTTGAAACACATTCAGTCCCGCCTGACATTTACCCGGGTCGGTGCTCGCGCTGCCCCTAAGTGGCCGCCCATCTCCATGAGTTCGTAGGTACAGTGTCCTGAAGACCATGCGCAACTGCCCGATAACAATTGTATGCAACTGGATTGCGCGAACCGAGGTATTGCAGAACAGGGTATCGTCCGATACTGTACACACAGACAATAACTAAAGATCGAGGGATACTATGCATGGAAGAATAGCCGGATGCATCTCACGATCAGGCGGTCAACGCCTGCTTCCGCATTTCTTCGAAGCGCGAGCCCTCCGCCTCGGCATGCTCGACGGTTTGGAGGAGCTTCTCCTCGCGCGACTGCAACCGTTGTTCCATGCCAAGGATCAATAGGCGGACCTGTTCGATCTGCGTTGTACTGGCTTCTTGTTTCGATGCTTGAGCCTGGGCGAAAATGCTTGATTGAGTCCCGCTGCGATGTCCTGTATTGATGTCAGATGGCGGTCGAAGTTAAGGTCTTTGTGGGATAAGGAAAGTCGACGCACGGGTAGGAACGGCCGATGAAGATGTGATGTCGAGGTTTGCCTGTCGTACATGTTCATGACATGTGCGCGCAGCTAGCTTGGGGCAAGAGCCCTGACGTACCTGCCAGTTGGCTCCAGCCAATCTCTCGAGTTCTCTCTCCAACATTTTCTGGCGAGTCCTTTCCCTGAATGCGAACTTGTCAGGAATGACCGCGTTCCCAATGGCACAACGTCGCTCACCTCTCCAATTCAGCCATACACCGCTCATTCTCGCGCTGTGTTCCCTGCAGTAAAATCTCTAGGTTGGTGTGTTCCTTCTGCATTGCTTGAACTGCTTCCAGAGGTGGTCGCTGGGCTAGTTGAGCCTGCAGGGTTTGAATTTGTGTCTGCAGCTACACTGCCCTATTAGAACCTCCGTGCATAGTATGCAAAATTGCCAGTAATGCAGAATAGGATCGATGTACCTTGTCGTTCTCCCTGTCCTTCTCAAGTAATTGGCGTCGTAGGACGTCCTCAATAGATTCGTCTGGTGATTCTTTCAACATGCCCAGATCGTCCGCTCCGAGAGCCAGAGACGGCCGAGCATAATGCCTGACACTTTGTGCGCGGCGCATTGATTGTGAATTTATCGAGGAATAAAGAAGAGGATATTGTGAGAGTCTGGGAGAACGAGGCAGCTGGCCTGTCAGTTGAACTAACCTCGGGTTGCAGGCGCGTTGTTTGCGCTTGTGTGGCAAGAGCTTGGGTTTTCAACAATCCACAACAACGCATACGCGAGGGCCGATGCACATGCGGCCAGTCGCGCCGCACCCTCCCAATCATGACGAGTCGCACACCCCCAATCATGACGAGTCACACACACCCAATACACACAGCTACTCGTGCTGCGCAAGACGCTGCCAACGCATCCTCTCATCTGACCTCTCATGCTGCAGACGGCGCGGCAGAGGACGACGTTATGGATCGTTTCACTCGGCCTTCTCACTGGGCCACAAACGCGCACATCACCGACATAAAACAGAATAGCACGCAATGGAACAAGGACCGGGAAAAGTGCATAGCGGGTATAGCGAAGGCGAGCGAGGTTTTCAACGTGCTAGGCAAGCTCTGGCTACGCGTGCCACCGAATAAACGCGTGCGAACTGTCCACCATATGCAAGAGCTAGTCCTCCATAGGCAAGTGCCCACCGCAGGCGGAGAGTTGAAAGATATGATGCAAAAGGGTGACTTTGACACTATCTGGCTGCTCTTAGAGGAATCTGAGCGCAAGCGCCACCTGCTCGCGGGCATCGAGGGCACTTGTGGAAGGGCGTTCCTTGGCAATATTGTCGCGTTATATGTCCCGAAATTACCTCGTCCAATTTCCTGAAAGACAGAGGTCAAATATTCATTGATTTTCTTACCGCTTATGATGAAGGAAAACATGCATCGGACCCACAGTGGCCTTTCTTGTTCCCTGACGAGTGGTGGGAGCATGCAGTGGACAATTGTCCTGCACCACTTTTTGATGAAGACAAGATGTCTAACCCTGAATCGGAACGAATTCCTCAGTGCGTTTTATCATGTGCAGCAGCGTAGCAGTTGTAAATGAGCTGACGACGCAACACTAGGTTGCTTCGTGACAGATGCGGTTCTGTCGGTAATCGATAATATCGTGAATGGAAGCAAGGAAATGGATCCTGTCTTGAATTTGGTGAAGCGCGATACAGTTAACGCCAGGGGCATGGCGAAGACATTCACGACCTTGCGGGACAAGCCTCTCACTCATTGTGAGAACTGCGGGAAGAGCCCAGAAGACTTTGGACGGGACACGCGCTTCATGGTATGCAGTACATGCAAGTCGAAACTGCACTTCAGTATCCACTATTGCTCTCAGGAAGTCCGTATTTGTCACTTTTCTTTTGATAACTTAGCTGAGTGTTTTACCAGACAATGTCAGAAAGAAGATTGGAAGAAGCACAATCAGCACTGTGGTAAGACGGTGCACACCAACGCCCTACGGGGCACCGCAGGCGACAGCCTCTGGCAATTCCCCGAAATCCCTGACATCATGAACGACCTTGTACCCGATTCTGATGGCTACTACGATATTGCGACCATTGGGGTGAAGGCGAACGGCGAGTACGAACGCTCTCCCGTGCTTTTGCGTCAAATCACATTGATCGAGGCCGACAAGAAGGCGGACTACTTCCTGTTTGACTCGCGCGGACGAGCCGTCCCGTTTTACACGCCGTACAAGTAGACGAAGCTCATGTTCCGTGTCCTGCGCGGCAGTGCGATGTCCAAAGCTGACAAGGAGGGTCGCGAACCAACTGCGGAGTACATGGTCAAACACATGTCGGGTGAACCGGGGTTTAGCCGCACACACATTGTGCGACAGCTTTCTGAGGAGTTTGGGGACGACACGGAGGAGAAGTTGGAGGCTTTTGAGCGAAGGAGTGCAATGTCGGGCACGGAACTGACCTTCATCGAGTCCATGAGCAGGGGCTTGAACGCAGTGGGCCCGCGCCTCGACTCGAAGTACTTCAAAGCTTGAAGTCGCGATGACTCGGATAGACCGCCCGAAGCTAATCGAACCATTATGTTGTGTAACATCACGTACGTCAGTTGGCTGGTCTAGATGAAGTATGTATGTTGACGGTCGGTACCTTGCAACCTTCGCAGTCATTTATAGATCAGCTCATGGAATGGAATGTTATGCCAGTGAGAGAAGAAACCATGCTGTAATGTAAGACACCCTTTCGCAATTAAATTGATATTCTACGGCCAACGCCAAGATGTTCATACTGACAATCAAATCATCTCCGTGGCGCTTCTTTCAAGGTGCAAAGCGTACGAGAGGCATTTCGTTCACGTCCTCGAGGACCTGGCGAGAGCCCTATTTTTTGAAGCTCTCCCACACCGACAAGCAGTCATCGATACACCGAAAGTTTATTTTTCTCGATACGTGAGAAACCACCACATTCATTCCGAAGACAATCAGGTCTCGGAAACTATGAGCAGGAACCCATGCACAATATTGTACGCTGTCTAAGACATATTCCTGCGTTCCATTGTAAAATAGTTCTGGACTCAATGTATACAGATGAACTTCTGGTCGCATGTAAATGCTTCCTTCTTGGGTGCGAACAGGCGGTAGGTCAGGCGCATACCATGTGGTGTTCCAGTTCAACCTCTCCAAATGTCCGCTCGTTCTTGTATCTCTGGTGCTAGGTGTGTGCCCCAGGCTTAATACTACACGTCCGCCGAATTCTGTAGGCTCGAATGCAGATACATCCTGACACTTGGGCGAACATAAGGGCTGCCGCACGGTTTTTATACCACCAAAAGGGACTGCGGCGATCTCAGGCGCCACAAACAAAAGATTGCTTGGAGTTCCGAATCTCGCATCTCGGTGTTATACCTTCTCTTGGAGCAAATAGATGAGCAACGGGTTCAAACGTAGTTGCGGAGTAGTCACGGCGAGGGCACCTCATAGAACCAGATGTGCGCTCAGGGAATATGGCGCATCAGCAAAAGTGGGCACAGCTTGCATACTCTTACCACTAAATTTACCGGGTTTGACAAGTGTTATCGTTCGATCAGTCTGCGATACCACTAAGTATGCTGTATGACACCTGCGATACATGCTCCATAGTCTAATCGATGTGATGTGAGTGCTGTATATGAGAGGACGTGAGATGTGCGTTGAAAAATAAGAAGGGAAAGAAGGTCGGTATCAGTACTGGTGGAGCTCACGAAGAGGCGAAAGTCGTCATCAACTCTGCCATGGGTTGAGATCAAGCACGCTTGCAGATTTCTTTGCATTGTCACTGCTCAACGTGCTGCCAGCCCATCGAGCCTGCTCTATATTCAGCGATGAGGGCGAAAACGTTATTGATCCATCCATGCCGCCGAAGGACAATGAAGTGCCCTGTGCAAACGGATCATCCGGTGGTGGTAGAATGTAGGACGTGGATGGACCGCCAAACCGCCCGCTAACGCCAAAGGAAGGCGTTTCTCTCAACCGTAAATTGCTGGAGGTCGGGCGGTAACTGTAAGAGCTGTATCTCGGCGGCTGCTCTGGTTGCTCCGATGGCCAAAACGAGCTGTTACTTGCTTCGTACAGTACGGCAGAAGGAGCTTCAGATGCAGGTGATGGCTCTATGTTTAATGCGGGTATTTCGGTGTCATGTGATGCCAGTGTTTCCTGGCCTCGGACGTCATTCAGCGACATAGACCTTGCTGTGGAATCACTGTTCGAAATTGAACTCGGGCCAGCGACTGGCTCATCCCGATCGTCCATCGATGGCAAGTCCAGTGATGCCCGTATCCTTGGTATTGGTTCTGGTGATTCGGATATGGGTAGAGGGACAGATTCGGAACGATGGGTGGGCTCGGAAATATGGGGGACGGGAAGTCGACGTGGAACAGGTATCTGCACCTCTTCGGGTTTCCGTTCAGATTCCCCGATGACTTCCTTGATCGCCGCGAAGTTAAATCCAGCGCGGACGGGAATGTTGGACGCTGATATGTCAGAACCATCTGCCACAGGCGGCTCACTAGACGTCGTTTCCGGACCATGTGCTGTCGGAGGTATCAGAGGCGGAGGGGCCGCCTCTCGCGGAGGAAGGTCGTCGTCAACACTTGACCGCGGTGAGAGTGTCTTCTTGTGTGGCGAAATCGACGAAAATGAGCCAGCGGACGGTGGTCTTGAGACACGTGAGGTGGGCGTGGGTGGCTGCTTCTTCCTTGAGAACCATGATCGCTTCTGCTTCAAGTCTTCGTCCTCCCGGACCACTATCCGCTCTCCCTCAAAGTCGGGCTCCTAGTAGAGTTAAAGACTGTCACGGGGTCGCTATCATCTGAACACGTATGCGACGTACCACCGGTTCATCGAAATAATCAGCCGACACAGGAAAGCCAAGTTGATCGAGAATTAGAGGCATGAATGTGCGATAACTCATGTGCCCTGCGATCTTGTCAGTGACGTCGACGTTCTCCAAACCAGGCACGTCTTGTACAGGACGCAGGCCAGCAACAGTGTTGAGACCGCCGCTCGTTGCACGGAAGAGATAGTTGAGCACCCAGTCGTTTCGTGCGTATGCATTCACGAACCGACCCGAAATGACAGAACGCACTTCGAGCCATGTGTGTAACGGTGCGGTAACGGTGGCGCCCAGGAGAAAAACGTCTTGTACAATGCCAAACACCTTCAGCTTTGCGAGCTCAAGGAGGGCGTAGAAGATGACACGGGAGCCCAGAGAAAAGCCAATGAGAGTGATTGGGCGAACGCCGAGATGTCTATGGATGAGCACATCTGCCAGCACACGACCCGCAGCGCGTGCACGATCCAGCGCATTCGACCAGGGATTATCGATGAGGTAACCCAACTTGGTCAAGACTAGGAGCCAGAATAAGCCGTGTCATAACCACACTTCTGAGAGACTTACTGATTGGCCACTGTAACGCACTCACCAGCGCTGTCATAACAGTAGCTTGTAAAGCAGTCTGGGCAAGTTGTGTCAGGACTTCGCTCGTCAAAATCTTGAGCGCACTGCCTGTTTCTTGAATCATTTCTGGTTCCCACAACACACTGAATACATCTCCCACCACCGGATCCAAGACGCTGAATGGCAATCGTACATCGTCTAGTTTGCCGTTCATGAATCTGGGATCCAGTTATTTTCAAGCTCGGTCAGTCAAAGTCGCCGAGCGATGTCTTGGACTAAGGACATACCCAGACACCGTGAGGATGCAGTTTACACGCTTGGTATTGTGTAATGGAAGGATATCGAATGTATGGACATATTGCGTCCGATTCGCCATGCCCCTCACAGCAATACCAGAACCAGTCAATACACCGCCAGTTGTTATAACAGCAGCTCCACCCGCACCCGCCAGAAAACCGGTGGTGCCGGTTATACCCACTGTGGTAAGGGCAGCACCAAGACCGGCGCCGATGACGGGTGCGAGAAGACCCGCAGAGAGACCAATAACCAGACCGCCGCCTGATTTGTGTAAGATAAGATTGAATATACAGAATATCACAAATAACCTCACCTATCGTAGCAAGTCCTAGCATCATATAGCGCCTCTTTTTAGAAGTCTTCTTCACGCCGTCAATGATCTCTTTCTGTTCAAGACTCTCCACTCCCTCCTGGATTTCAAGCGCTTCTGTCACACGCCGCTCAAACTTCACGACATCCAGCCATCCGAGACCGAGTTTCAACGCAACATTCTCTAGCAGCACTCGGGAACGCGCATCATACACACTATCGGCGATGAGGATGAGAAACAGATCGCAAAGAATGGTCCATCGGATGTCGAGTGTGACGTTCTTGTCTGCAGCAGAGAGATGAGTGCTCACACCAGGCACAGTTGATGAAGTATCCTCTAAGACTTTTGCCGTAGTTTGCACTGGCTTTGGAGGTATCGGCGGAGGCACCTCAGGGCTGCTGTCTGCAGAAGCGGCTTGCGATGATGTCTTAGTCTCCGATAGGTCGGCAGAGTCACCCTCTAATTCCTCCAGTCGAGCTGCATCGGACACTGCCCGTTCCTCTTCTTGTCGTTGAGCTTCTGCGGGATCATACTCCGGATTCGCGACCGTCCGGGTGGTCATGAGGGATGGTACGAGGTCTTTAGCTTGAATGCCATGTAGCGCCAAAGTTTCAATCATCTTCTGTTCTATCGGACTTGTTCAGTGTGGGATCCATCTAGACAGTATGCACTATTCACCTTCAGTTGCAAGCTCCATATGATAATACAACCGACCCATGATTTTCAACGCCCACAACTCCATGTTATCAATTGCCTTCTTCAACTCCTTCCGTTTTACCCGCTTTAACGAGTCCGACATCTCGCGGCTGGTCAGAGCACAGAGACCGACGTACGCTACGCGCTGAGCCTCGGTGAGGAGGTCCTTGGTCGCCTGCATCTGGCTAAGCGGCGTCATGGCCTTGTCCTCGTCAAAGAGGTATCTCGTTCGGAGATGCACTTCATCCGACTCATCCTCCTCGGTCACCCGCAGACGAGTATATTCGCTCTCGTTCTGGTCCACCTTCGAGCGCCACTCCTGGCCCTGGTAATCCACATCCAAGAGATTCCCAGTAGCGTTGCCTGCCCCTCCAGATGGTCTTTCCTTCCTTTCAGGCGCAACGTAGTGGTACTTCCTCTGGTCTTCTTCGTCAAGGCCGCTAGCGAACTCATCGTTCCGGACCACCGGCATGTCTTGCCAGCCGTCATCGTCGTCGAAAACGTCTGGTTCAATGGGTGCTATTGGTGATGGTGCCAGAACGGGCATCACAGCAAGATAAACTGCGCAGAGACGGTTAGGACAGAAAAGGTGTGTAGGCAATGGGCATGAGGTACATGAGTCCACACTCGTACACGTGATCTCCGAAGTCACGTTTCAAATGCCTGCCGCTCCGAGTCCCAGTCCGAGTCTCGTCCTTCGACTCCAACATCTCCGAGAACATACTTACATAGATCGGTACAATCTGCACAACTATACAGTATCTAAGGAAACCGTCGCACGACCTACGTATGCACGACACAGATGGAAAACCCGCTATGTGCCTTTTACCCTGGTCTTGCCTTCTTCCCTATCGTGAGCTCTCTTCCGCGCCTCTTCCAGCTTCAAAGTCGCCTTGAGCTTCCTCTGCCGCTTCCGCCGCCCATTCCCTCGTTTGGCACCCTCTATGACAATCTCCTCGGCCAGCCGACGTTTGCGGCGAGCGCTCTCCTCGGCTCTCTGCTTCTCGCGTTTCTTGTCGCGCTTTCGGAGCGTGGTCATCGACGCTTTGAGCAGTGTACCATACGCGGAGTGGAACTTCTCGAGTTCATCCGGTTGAACCTGTATCATGTAATATACGGATCAGTGAACAGGAGAGAAGGAGAACAGGTAACTCACTCTGGTGGAGAAGTTGGCTTCTTTGCCATCAGTCACACGAATTAAACATGGATATTCTTTATTTTCATCATCGGCAGAGGACATCTGCGCATCCTCGCCGTCATGTGTTACTGCAGTCCATGCGATGTAAGAGTAAAGATTTGAGAGTCGTGCGAGGAATAACACATGTACGCACGTCTCTTATGAGTGAGCCATATTGACCCCCGCCCGTTCGATGACTCAAAAAGTGCTGTCAATCGTTTGAGGAACTGGAGACAGTCTTCAGAGAATTTCTGCGATTATTCCGGAGGGAAACATACTGTATCGTGGTCGACCAGCTGCATTGAAGCTGGGAGATGGACACCAAGTCCGAATATGACACCTGTCACAGACCGGCTTGTCATGTGATTAGTGACGGATCAAAGTCACGTCTTGCTCGCGTCTTGCTCACGAAATGTTTTCCAGGGTACACAAAATGGTCGGCTTGTTCTTACAAAAGGGCGGCACAGCACCTCTGTGCGCTGATATTCCTCTCATCCACTGCAAACTCATTTTCTCGCTGCAGCATATCCCTCAAGAGTTCGTGTGGCGGTGGTACGTGATTTTGTGCTCCCAGATTACCATGTTCGTGCTCAAATCCCGTCAGGTTGAGAACAAACTGCTATAAAGCTCGTGATGACTTCGTTCCTCGCTCCCACTGGTGGCGCCTCCCTCTTACTATCCTTCCGCCTTCAAAAACACACTGTCCTGGTTATAGGGTCCAACAATTTGGCAGCATCTCGCGCCTTCGCAGCGTTAGAAGCAGACTCTAGGGTGATAATTCTTGCCAAGGGTGGAGTTCAGACCGCATGTAGCGAGCTCCAATGGCGCAATAGCCATGGTCAGCTCACCATCGTGGATTGGGATGATCTGCCTTGCACGTCAGGTAGTGGGGTGGGTAGTGATCATGAAGCTGATGCAGTAGATGCATATGTTTCTGGTATCGAGGGACTCCGTTTTGTCTGCGTAACAGACACGATCCTCGGGCCGGAACCCTTCCTGCGTCGCAGTCGTGCCTCCGCTGCGCGGATCGCCCGTGTCTGTCGCGCTCGCAACATACATATCAATGTTACCGATATGCCTGACCTGTGCGACTTCTCCTTCTTATCGACTCACCGATTTTACGACACCGAGACTGGGCTTGCAACACCCTTGCAAATTGGAGTTACTACCAACGGTCAAGGATGTCGCTTAGCTGGCCGCCTGCGGCGAGATATCGTCGCAAAGTTGGCTCGCGAGGCGGGCGGCGCTGTTGCCAAGGTTGGGAAACTGCGCAGTCTTGCGAAGACGTCGGACGAGGCTGTATATGAAGAGGGCGACGTGGGGCTGTACGAGGAGGAGACGGCGTCGACGCCAAACGTCCCTTTACCTCCGAGGAGCGCCAATGAGACTATTTTGGAGAGTGCGCGAAGGCGTATGAAGTGGGTTGCGCAAGTCAGCGAATATTGGCCGATTCAGAAGCTCGCTGGCTTGACGGAAGAAGAGATGGTCCGAGTACTCGATGGAAGACATGGCCTCCCAGGAACAGCCTCGTCGAATCTGCCCGCCGAAGTTTTCCCTGAGAACGGCGGAGAAAGCTCACTGCACTCGCTGGCGATACCCGCTGCACGTCGCGGTCGGATTTTTCTGGTAGGATCCGGACCTGGCCATCCTTCTCTGCTCACGCTCGCCACGTATGCGGTTCTCACGAAACACGCGAACCTCGTCCTTTCTGATAAGCTTGTACCCGACGTAGTACTTGCACTCATCTCGCCAAAAGTGGAAGTGCGCATTGCGCGGAAATTCCCTGGTAATGCGGACAATGCCCAGTCCGAGTTGATGGAGGCTGCCATTGAGGCTGCGGGGCGCGGCTTGACAGTAGTACGGGTGAGTTGAATGGCTTTCACCCTGTAAATTGCATTGATGTATGTCTATAGCTCAAGCAAGGGGATCCGACTGTATACGGGCGTGCGGGCGAGGAGGTGTTGTATTTCCGTGAACACGGCTTCGAACCGATCGTCATTCCAGGCGTCAGTTCTGTGCTTGCAGGGCCCACGTTTGCCGGAGTCCCCGTCACGCAGCGCGGAGCCGCAGAGTCTTTTGTCGTCTGCACAGGCGTGGGGCGGCAGGGCAAAGAAGTGAGGCTGCCGGGATACGAGAGGTCTCGCACGCTGGTCATCTTGATGGGCGTTGCGCGGTTACCGCAGGTTCTAGAGACCCTGCTGTCCCGCGCGGAACAGCCCTCGTCGCGGCGGAACGGCGCTTCGTATCCTGCATGCACGCCCATTGCCCTCATCGAACGCGCGTCCATGCCGGACCAGCGGGTGATCTTCTCCACATTACGGGACATCTTGGCTGCGCTGGAGAGCGCTGGCGAGCAGCGTCCGCCGGGTATGCTCGTGGTGGGTTGGTCGGTGCTCTCGCTGTGGGGGAAGGGCGACGTGAGCATTCTCGATGATGGGGCTGCCGAAAGAGACGAGGAGAGGCTGATGACATGGTTAGAAGATAGACGATGGCGGATTGATGATGGGCTAGATGCTGGATGGAAAGATCTGTGACGGAGAACTACTTCGTGATATATTTATTAATGCTGTAATGTACTCATGGGTGGGTTGTCGGAAATGAGTGGTGAGCTTGATAACATCCTTAATATTAACTGGTATCAGTTTACAGCTGGACGGCTGATTTTCTCGCCCAGGTTTGGCGTAGGCCTAACAGCAGGGCGACACGCGTCGCGCTGATCACGTGTTGGGTGCTTTGTGTGACGCGACGCGACATGCGCGCCGTGACTTCGTTGAACTCGTTAGTGACCAACCTCGATTGGCCACTAGACAACCGCAATGCCACCCCGTCGGTCGAGTCGCTCGACTCGCGCATCTATGGAGCCTATAGAGACACCCAAACCCCCTCCCGCGAAACCCCTTCCCAAGCGCAAACGCTCCGAAGCGCCAGAGCCCCTGGTGGCCGAGCAAGAAAACATCAAACCTCTTGCCAGATCGCGCAGATCGACATCAACAGGTTCCAGCGCTGCATCGACGGTGAAGAGAAGGGTTTCGACGCGCTCAAGGAAGTCATTGGAAGAAGTACCAGAGACAGATGAAGAACAGGAGGTGGAGGCCCCTCCACCCGCGAAAAAATCGCGTCCGTCGTTAGAACCCGAGCCTGAGGAAGTGGAAATGGTGGATGTGGACGAGAAGGAAGAAGTGCAGCCCACGAAGACAAAGCGGGCTTCGTCCAGGAAGCCTGCGACCACAACCAAAGGCGCCACGCGTGCCTCCAGTCGTGCCGCCAAAGTGCCGCCTAAATCTCGAAGGGCCAAAATCATGGATTCAGATGATGAAGAGCCAAAAGCTGTCGAGGTTTCTGACGACGAAGCTCCCAAACCACTCAAGGGTAGGAGGGTCCCTGCAACAAAGGCGGTGGTGATCTCAGAAGATGAAGAGGAGGCTCCGCGATCAAGTCCTAAGGGCAAAACTATGCAGGTAGATGAACAGCCCGAGGCAGACGAGCCGGCACAAGCTCAGGCCAATGCCGAGGAAGAGGAGGCTGAGGTAGTTTTGGCATCAAAGCCAGAGGACGACGGCGTTAAGTCTGGAGTTGAGGAGGAAGAGCAATCGCTGCTAGACCACCCTGACCTGGCCCCTCCACTTTCTCAATCACAACCCGCTGCGCCAGAGGAACCTCAGGGCCCCAAGTCTCGCCTAGTCATCCACAAGATGGCCCTCGTGAACTTCAAGAGTTACGCTGGCAGGCAGGAAATTGGTCCATTCCACAAAGTATGTTTGACATTGTGCTCAGTGAAGTGAGGCTCATTTTTGTACAGTCGTTTTCATCCATTGTCGGTCCGAACGGGTCTGGAAAGTCGAACACGATCGACGCACTCCTATTCGTGTTCGGATACCGTGCGTCCAAGATGCGGCAGGGCAAGCTCTCCGAGCTTATTCACAATTCTGCGCGGCATCCCGACCTTGATGATTGCAGTGTGGAAGTGCACTTCCGCGACATCACCGATCTGGTACGTTGTATGTCCTATTTCATATGCGGATCATACTCATTTGGTAAACAGCCCGGACGCGATGCCTTCGAGATTGTCCCTGGCTCCGACCTCGTCGTGGCGCGCACCGCGTATAAGAACAACGCCAGCAGGTACAGTATCAATGGGCGGCAGAGTAACTACACTGAAGTACAAACGCTGCTCAAAGGCCGCGGGATCGATCTGGACCACAATCGCTTCCTCATCCTCCAGGCATGTCTTGTGATCATCTCGGATGTCTTTTATTCACATCAACTTGCAGGGCGAAGTTGAATCCATCGCGCAAATGAAGCCCAAGGCGGCGACCGAGCACGAAGACGGTCTCCTTGAGTACCTCGAGGATATCATCGGCACGTCACAGTACAAGGCGCCGATCGACGAGGCGCTCGTCGAGATGGAGCGCTACGCCGAGGACCGTGTGGAGAAGCTTAATAGGCTGCGCATCGTCGAGCGCGACCGGAAAGCTCTGGAGGGGAAGAAGCGCGAGGCCGAGGAGTACCTCCGCCTACAGAACGAGCACGTCCGCGCGCTCTCGCGCCTGTGGCAGTGGTACCTGTGGAAGTGTCTGTTGAATGCGGAGCAGTATGAGAAGGTCATGGTAAATATGAGTTTAGTGTCTCTTACTGTGAGTCTCACTGAGGTGGGCCCAGGCTCGGACCGAGAAGGAGCTCGCAGATGAGCGGGAGCGGAACCGCGACGACATCACACATTTGGAAATGCTTGAAAAGCATTACGCGCAACGTACTGCTGCGTACGAGGTTCGTCCTTCACTCGGTACTTGTCCTTGCACTGATGCATCCCCACGTTGTTAGGAAGTCAAAGCTGCCGCAGCCGAGGCTGTCAAAGACCTTGCAGTTCATGAGAAGCAGCAAGTCAGCTTGGAGGAGCGACGGAAACATGCTAACGGCAAGGCCAAGAAGCTCAAGAAGACTATGCAAGATGTTCGTTTTTTGTTATTCGATAGTGACTGGATCACTAAATCCACGATCACCGCAGGATGAGCATGCACTAGCCGAAGCAGTCCGTGCGGTGAAGGACAACGGCTCTAAGATGGTGAGCGAAAAGGCCACGGTGGAAGAGTTCGAGGAATCCCTGGCGGAAGAAGAGAAAGTGCTTGAAGAGATTCGAGATAGCCTGAAAGGTCAGAATTGTTTGTGTACTGTTCTACTTTAGCTAATCACTGCCACTGCAGACAAGACACAGGTGTTCCATGATCAGATCGAAGTGAAGCAGAAGGAACTCCAGCCTTGGAACGCGAAGATCAACGCGAAGCAAGCAGAAATCGATGTTGCCACCAGCGAGCGTGATATGCTCGCCAACAAGGCAGAGGCTGCAAAGGCCGCGCGTGCGGACGCCCAGGAAGCCCTCGAGAAACTGCAGGCTGATCATGACGCGAAGGTATAGTTATACTATCTCGTCTATTTAATGGAGCTTAGCCGCTGGATATCTCAGACTACGGAGCTGGAAGAGCTGAAAGGCAGCAAAGCCAATAAGCAGAAGGAGATCAAGGATGGGGAGAGGAAACTGCAGGTATGTGGACATGTAACACAACTTTCACTCTCTGATGTCCCTGTCATCCAGGATACGCGAGCCAGGGTACAGGAGTTGCGTTCCAAAGCCTCGTCTTCACGACAGAAAACCGACGAGGCAAGGGCATCGCAAGCCGCTAGCACCTCGCAGAACAAGGTGCTGGATAGTTTGACTCGCCTCAAGAATGCAGGTCGTATCTCCGGATTCCATGTACGTCTTCACGATATATATGTCTGACTTATGACTCACTTTCTATCAGGGCCGTCTCGGCAGCTTGGGGACAATTCCCGACAAGTACGATGTTGCAGTGTCCACTGCATGTGGAGCCCTCAACAACCTCATTGTTGACACTGTCGAACAAGGCCAAGCATGTATTGAATACCTGCGCAAGCAGAACGTTGGCCGTGCGTCCTTCATCGTCCTCGAGAAATTGTCCGGCAACGGGCTGAACAAGATCCCCACCCCGGAGAACGTGCCGAGGCTCTTTGACCTAATCACTCCGAAGGATCCGCGCTTCGCCCCAGCGTTCTTCAAGGGCGTCGGAAACACACTCGTCGCGAACGATCTCGATCAGGCAAACCGTATCGCTTTTGGGGGTCAGAGAAGGTGGCGCGTCGTGACCCTCGCGGGCCAGCTTATCGATTCGTCGGGTACCATGTCCGGAGGCGGCAACCACGTCGCTAAAGGTGGAATGAGCTCCAAACTTGCGGCGGATGCGGTCTCGCCCGAAGTGCTCAGGAGGTACGAGCAGGATAGCGAACAGGCCGCCCGGGCGCTCGAGGAGAGCCTCCAAGAGCTTCGTGAGATGGAATCTGCATGGGACGCCATCACAAGATCTAGTCCGCAGCTTGACATTGATATCGAGAAAATCTCCCTTGATATCGGGACTGGCGCCAGGCGCATTGTTGAAGCCGAGAAGAGACTCCGTGAACTCAAGTAGAATTTCCAATTCCTCTTGATGATGAAGATAGCTCACGATATCCCAATAGATCACAGAGCAAACCGGACGCTGATGACGTCTCCAGAGTTGCTGCGCTAGAGCAAGAGATTGCGAATTCGACTGCAAAACTGGAGGGGTTGCAAGAGAAGGCAGGCTCCATTGAGAAGGAGATCAAGGTTCTGGAGAAAAAGATCCTTGAGATCGGAGGTGCGCGCTTGCTGTCGCAGAAGTCGAAGGTCGATGGAATCCGCCTGCACATCAACCTTGCCAACGATGAGATCACCAAGGCGGAGGTTGCAAAGGCTAAAGCGGAGAAGGACACAGTGAAGCTGGAGAGCTCGATCGAGACCAACAGCGCGAGCATCAAGGAGGTTGAAGCCGAGGTTAAGGACCTTAGTGCCAAGCTCACCGAATGCACTGACTATGTGGATGAACTTCGCATCAGCGTTGACAAAGCCCAGGTTGCCGCGGAGAGCTCTAAGGACGACCTAGATAGCCTCAAGACCGAGCTCGATACGAAAACTGAAGAGATCCAAGCGTTCCGACAAAAAGAGGTACGCGGTCATATCTGTTTCTAGATATTTAGACTAACGCGCTCTTCAGATGGAGCTCTCACAACGCCTTACAGACGCGAAGAAGGATTGGACTGATAACGACCGCTTGTTGGAACACTGGCAGGACGAACACGATAAGTTGAAGCTTGAGGACATAGAGTGAGCTTTTTTTGGCCGGGACACGTTCCTTGTTAAAGTTTGTCACAGCGATGATGATGAGGATGAAGAGGACGGGAAGGCAGAGCCAGAGGTGTCCGGAGAGGGCGCGCTGAAACAAGAGCGAGGAGGCGCGCCGAAACCGAATGCCCGTGAACATTCACCTTCCTACGAACTGCACACCTACAGTGCTGTGGAACTGTCTGTTTTCAAGAGAGATGAGCTCATTGCTGATGCTGAGCTGCTTGACGGTATGGCTGTTCCTCGTTGATCACTCGTCGAGGCTGAATATTTGTCTCAGAGAAACTCAAGAACTCAAAACCGGACCTCAGTGTGCTCAAGGACTACAGGAAGCGTGAAGAAGAATTCTTGAAGCGCGCACACGACCTTGAGCAAGTCACGAAACTACGTGACGCCAAGAAACAAGAGTACGATGGTCTCAGGAAACAGCGGCTTGATGAATTTATGACTGGCTTCAACACTATCTCCTTAAAGTTGAAGGAGATGTACCAGGTGAGCATAGCGTACTGCTGAAAGTCCAGATTCATAATGACGAATCATTGTAGATGATTACTCTCGGAGGTAACGCGGAGTTGGAGCTTGTGGACAGCATGGATCCCTTCTCCGAGGGTATCATCTTCAGTGTGATGCCGCCGAAGAAAAGCTGGAAGAACATTTCCAATTTGTCAGGTGGTGAGAAGGTGCGAGCTTAGATTCTACGTCAAGGTAAGAAGTGACTGACTACGCATCTAGACATTGAGTTCTCTTGCACTGGTCTTCGCGTTACACGTTTACAAGGTGAGAGCTTTGCGAAGTGGATGACATACAATCTGACAGTCGTGGCAGCCTACGCCTTTGTACTTCATGGATGAGATTGATGCCGCTTTGGATTTTCGCAATGTATCGATTGTCGCCAACTATATCAAGGACCGTACGAAGAACGCACAATTTATTATTATTTCGCTTCGGTGCGTCATCCATTTACATCCACGAAACAGCGGAGGTCTGACTGTGGGTGCAGAAACGATATGTTTGAGCTGAGCCATCGGCTCATTGGTATATACAAGACCGCCAATGCCACTCGCAGTAAGTAATCATGTATACTGATTGATGTACTCTTCTGATGAGAAAATTCCGTAGGTATTTCTATCGACAACCAGCCTTTGCATGCTATCCCACTGAATGTTGCTCGAGCATCATAGAGCGTACACATGAATTTCGTCATGCGTTGTAGTGAACGGTATTACTTATGTTCTACATTGTATTATTTACATTATCTGATGCTATTGTATCGACTGGTGACGCACTGGATGGGAAATGACAGACAACATCAAGTCGCCTATGGTCTTGTCTTCCCAGACTGTGGTGGCGACGGCCGTGAGGACTTCTGAAGTATACCCACTTGGCAACACGAGAGGTAATCCTTCCGCAAACCAGCTGTGCTGGGAGGCTACACCAGCTTTTAGCCTCATGTTAGGCGGGTATACCAGGAAGTTTTTAATAAATTCCAAACAGGGAGAACCTGTGTTGTCAGTCTGCTCCCGCGTTTCGTTCAACGGAGGCAAGTTAGGCAGCAATGATTGTATGCCCACAGGAGGAACAACTTGGAACGATACTTTATCAGCGTCGGGCAAGTCTTTAAACGTCTGAAATTCCGTTCAGCTGGACGAAAAATAAATGCGAATGTAGACCCTCACCGGCCAACTCTCTCCTGTCGGAGTGCCAAGAGTCTTGAAGATACTCCATGCTAGACCGATCGATCCTCTTGTGGAATCAAAAAGCGACTCTCGGACCCACACCGTGTCTGGGTTGTCTGCAGAGATCTGTCGAGGAATAATGAAAGGTTCCTTGAATGTATCTCCGTCGTCTTCGACCGAATCTTCGTCGTCACATGCATGACCTTCGTATTCAACTTGCAGTTTGAGGGGTGTAAAAAACTCGGCAAATGTTGCACCGAGGCTCCAAAGATCAATCGCAAAAGCGTCATACGCGTTTGCACCGAAGAGCAGCTCAGGAGCACGGTAGGGGCTTGGTGACATTATGTAGTGAGATTACAGGTAGGAGATGAAAGGCCAACACCAACCCCGTAGACACGTCAAAACACATCTCGCCAAGGGGCTCTGGCCACAGCTCATGTTGTGCGAGGTCTTTGGTATCCGTCCATGCAATGCCAAAATCTATCAGCTTCACGGAACAATCTTCTGTGAGAAGAATATTTCGAGGTTTGATATCGCGATGAGCGATGTGATTATCGTGAAGGTACCCCACGCCACGGATGATCTGAAACATAAGGGACTTCGCGAGAAGTACGAAGGTCGATATTCTCGAGTCTGGACCCGCATCTTGAGATGGAGAAGGTATAGATCCAGGATGCGAAAAAGGAGAAAACGCAGGACTAGAAAGCAGGACGGACAGTTCATAAGGAATGAAAGGCATCCAGAAGTGGATCGAACTCATTGCACGCTCCCAACCATGTCCGATAATCTCGATGATCTTGGAGAAGGGTCTGTTGGACACGTCAAATTAGGGGCTTGTATATGCAACGTACGTTTGGATGTGATAGATTTTGTAGTATCCTCAGCTCTCTGAGGATGTCGTGTGGTTTCTTGGAGAGTTCGGGACGCGTAGACGAACTTTTGATGGCGCACCACTGGACAGGCGTTCCGTCGTTTCCAATCCAATAGTGTGCCTTCACCACGTAAGAAACCGGACTCTCTTCCAGAGTCTTACATGAGTCCTAAAAGTTGCAGGTATCAACGGTACATTTCAGAATGGACAAGACGCTCGGTGTACCGGATCGAAAATAGATTCCAATTCGAAGTCGGGTGCCGCTACTAAACCTGAGGAATTGGTAAGTGCTGAAACCGAAGGAATCTGCGCAGGTGAACACACCTGTGGGGTTCATCCTGCGGTATCTCAGTGAGTCAACGAAGCTGAATACAACAGGGTCAAGCGAAACTACAACCAAACATGTGCAAACTCCGATCGTGCTGTGGTTCAAGTTGAGGCTACCTTTCTACGTGACTCTCTTCTTGTCTAGTGTACTTACAGTACATGTCCGACTAGCCCTTTGTATCGGCCGCTCGTCAATGCGACCCTTCAGCAGCCCCTTATGCTCAAGGTTATCTTCGAGAAGGCCCGGCGGTTTCTGAACAATATTGTCAGACCTCGGCCTCACCTGAAGGTTAGCATCAGGTACTTTGACGAAGGGTTCAAGTGGTGGATGATACGACCACGTCTGTCTCACAGATTTTGGAGGTTCCCAGATCTGACCGCCAGTCATGTTGTCGGAATAAGTCTCGTGAGTTTATAGACAGCCTGCTTAAACTTCGTACGTTATACCACCAACCAGGCAGACGAACCGTTATGCAGTACCCCTCAGACAGCAAAATTTGCTACAAGGTATTGACATCTCTTTGTAATAGCTGTCCTGCGCTCATATGAAACCTTTTACTTGAGCGGAGCACTGCACATACTACCTCCAACCCGACCACTCATTTTTCCGCACCGTCGATCGATGATGGAATGGTTTGTGACTCCGGCTATCTGGGTGCATATAGCGACTGAACAGGCTTTGCAGATACATACAACTAATCCTCATCCGTTGAAGTCATACCGACAGATGAAGGTGACTGACATCTTCGCCATTCATGGTTCATCGAGTTGACTCTGGCAAAATGGGATAGCATAGAAATATTGGCAGGCTTACCACTGCAGTAGAGGAAGTCAGTGTGCCTCTTGACACAGTTCTTAATACTGACCGTGTTTCAGCGTCAGCAAGATCCTACAAGAGTGCGGCCAAGTATGCCTCCAATAACACAGCTTCGCCGATTCAACAGGAGAATATCCCGACTTCCCACCAAGCATATTACTGGTATCGATTCGTCCACTCTGCAACATGCTGCAAATTGTCCTCCGAGAAATCCGTATAGCATGACCGGTAACGAGCTGGTGAGTTTGATGCTCGAACATATCATATTCTTTGTTAAATGGAAAGACTTGATTAACCTTTGCAAAGCTTTCGTCTCATGGGGAAGATGGCAGTGTAACTTCATCGCAATACGTCACCGCGCCTTCAGCCTTCTCAGACTGGTCCGACTCTGAGGATACCAATCCGGTCTTGCAAGTATCGGATGCCGACTCCGGTGTGATATTTGAAGAAGTCCGCCAAGTATGTATATGGGCAATCCGTTGGTTGTTTGCTGATGGCATCAAATGCTTGAAGGGAACAAACGTGGAAGCACAACCGGCTCAACTAGTACTTAACGGTCAAATAGACCAAGGGAATTGCTTTGTCGCGCCAACCAACTTTTCTGGACAAACTTTACGCGACGAGAGAAGGCTTGCTCCGTTCGATCCGTCTCTCCCTGCCTTTACCCTGACCATCCCCACTCCTCAACTACCGCCTTCGCCGGTTTTCGTGCTCAAGTCGCCCATTACAGTGTCCAAATTTGTATCAGCATCATCTAACCCTGCAAACGCTGGGATATCCACAGCTATCCGTGGCTCTCCTGCGCCTATGGTACCCGCGTGCGATCGCTGTCGCCTGGCTGAACCAGAGAGCAGCCAATGTTACTCCTGCTACCAGCAGTGGCTAGCATGCAAAGTCTGGTATCAAGCAAATGATGGCGGGAGGAGAGCTTGGCTGACCGAGCCGTATATCAAGCCTGCGGAGAGTAATGCGATCAACAGGGCGGTGACAGAGACGTTCTGGTCGCCAGAGAGGACACCTTTCGATCCGCGTGGCCTGGGGATCTTGACCGACGCACTGATAGGGAGCTCTATCCAGGCTGAAGGCTTTCCACATCTAATTGCGTCGTCTACTGGATCGCGCGAGGTGGTAGCCTGGAAGCCTCGGCGCGGAGGTGTTTTACTACTGCTTGCGGAGTCCTGGAGGGCGAGTGTCAATGCACTAAAGTCTAAGTTGTCTTCCTGCCAGAGGCGTATCGCTCTGGAATTCAAGACTCTGCGGGTTGCTGAGGTACCCGATGGTTGGTCTTGCCACATGAATCTCGGCTCCGAGGACGACGCCCTGCTGGACGCATGCTTCGAGCAGCCTCACCGACGAGCGAAGATAACTTCCAGCTCGAAGTTTGTCGAACAGCTATTCGACTCGCCCAGCAACGCCAGCAGCAGTTGACACAGATACCTCTGGTTCTACTTGGCCTCTTTCGGGCTCACCAGATACGGTGATGGACATCACATGGTTTTATCTTATCTTCTAAAGATTCCCGCTTGTACGACACACTTCCCACACGCTGGCTTGCCCATGTTCCACACGACATGTCTTACGACTTCATTCACGGCTCCGAATACTTCCTGGCCCCATTCATTCACGAGCCCTGGTCCACGATTGGATGTCATATCTGCCTCGTATCTTGCCGAGCTATTACCACTCAACTAGTCCTGCAACACTGGCGATAACTAGGATCGATGTGTCTCTACTTGGCGACGGGGCGCGGCAGTAGATCTCACACGGTTTTGGCTTCTCTTTGGAACGTTTTTCCCGCCTGCACAGCTACACTTCTCGCGTACAATTCCTCCTCCATCGTATTACGTCCTGTATACCCACTGCATGAATTCCATGTGGCGAATAGTTCATTGGGATTTTGTCGTGTGCCCTGCAACTCGCTGAGAGACTAAAGTTGTTCAAGTTTGTTAAATGACCCCTCTGAGACATTGGCTGGACTGAGTTCTTGCTACAACTACAGATGCGATTGCTCAAGGACGAGGAGCGCGTCGGTAGCAGTACTACTGGTGATGGTGGAGCGATGCGTCGGAATAGGCCGGCTGTATCATGAGAACTGACCCAAAGCAGTGGCAGCCACGGTGCTGTCTCTCCCGTTCCTCTGGTTCAATATGGGAGTATAGAAAGCTGGGGTCGGTGCTATGGGAGCCCTTTCGTTAGCAACCACCACTCTCACTCTCACTCCGGCGCATGGCTCGCTCGACGAGCAGCAAGACGAAGAGCGCGAAGGCCGGTGTCATCCATCGGATCCTCTTCCGATGTTACTCTGCTGCTGGAATCGTCCTTCGCCATGCCAGGAAGCATACTGGCGTAGGAATGATATGCTCAGTAGCGTATTTCGACCCGTGAGCCTTTGTTGATGGTTCGACGTGCCCGTCGGATGACTCGCCTGAACTGCAATGCAATGACAGGGGTAACTGGGGTGCCGATCTCCAGGCCGGTTCAGAATATGGATACAAGTTGCTTTTTGTCGTGCTGTTGTCCGGCTTATTTGCAATCTACATGCAGGTATGTTCGCGCACCCTAGCGCGGCCACTTTTTTAATGACACCTGTTAAGATTCTTGCTTCAAGATTGGGTTGTGTTACTGGGCTAGGTCAGTTCTATCGCTCAGATACTGTGCCCCGTGGTTGACGCTCGATGGAAGATCTTGCTTCACACTGTCGGTTGCTATTGCATGATCGTCCTAAGCATACTCGTTTATGGCGATGGCTCGTCCTTTATCCGTTGTATTTGCTTTCAGAGGCGGCGATCATAAGTACCGATCTTGCTGAGCTGTTAGGTTCTGCCATTGCGCTGTGTCTGCTCTTCCCGAAGCTTCCTGAATGGGCCGGCGTACTGGTAACTGCAGCCGACGTGCTTGCACTACTGGCTTTTAGGGATCCTCTTCGAGGCCAACCTGTTAGGGTATTCGAGCTTCTGATCGCAGTCCTGGTAGGTCGTCTCATTGAATTTATACTAGTGTGTCCCACTTATGTTCGAGTCATGTAATGCAGGTCTTCACCGTTCTGATTTGCATGGCGGTAATCATCTCTAAAGCTGGAGTGCATTGGGGCCACGCTTTTGATGGTTTTATACCTTCGCATGTCTTGATCACACCTGGAGGTCTTTATACTTGTCAGTGCCGTTGTCCAAAACCGATGGTGAAGCTCTACTAAGATCTCATCAGCTGTCAGTATCCTCGGTGCGACCGTGATGCCGCACAGTCTGTATCTTGGTTCGGCCTTGGCTACTCAGGATAGGCTACTCAAATCGAAGGGAAATGATACTCTCATCTTAGCCGAAACACGCAAGTGTGAACTGTCGATGACTTCCTTGCGACTTTGGCGACCGCAATTGTGGGCATTCGTGAAGTCCCTTCGCGAACATTTCGTCGTTGCTCCCATGCAGGACGACGCTACTACTCCAAAATCGCATGAGGAACGGGAGAATCATGCGCTCGCGTTTGTGCGGGCACATTTGTACCATGGAATTGTGGATATGGTCATCAGCTTGCTTGGCCTAGCTGTTGTGATTAATACATTGTGAGTGCTGCTTTGTGGAGCGTGTCTTATGGGATGAGCTGAACATCGTCCAGGATCCTCGTCCTTGCGAGTGCAGTTTTCTACTCTCCGGGATCGGTGAATTCAAACTCGCCGGCGACTCTCTTTGATACGTATGATTTGCTGCGGGACCGACTGGGTAAAGGTAGGTGCACTGTCGTTCGACGTCTGCATGGTATGGCTGAGTCTGCTTGATTGTGCAGCTGTTGCAATTTTGTTTGCCCTTGCACTTTTAGCTTCAGGTCAAAGTTCATCCATTGTTGCGACTCTAGCGGGTCAAACTGTCTCTGAAGGATTCATCCGATGGAGGATGTCTGTGAGTATATGGATCCAGGTAGTTTCACTCTCCTGGTCTAATTCCTCCCTCCTAGCCCGTCGCCAGACGTTTGGTGACCCGATGCCTTGGTCTGATTCCCTCCATGGTCGTCGCGAGCGCGTTGGGTCGTGCAGGAATCAGCACACTACTGATAGTTTCCCAGGTTGTGTTGTCGATCGTGCTACCCTTTGTTGCGTTTCCCCTCATCTGGTTGACTTCGTCGAAGTCGATCATGAGCGTCAAGAAACCGCGACCTGACAAATCATCTGTGGAGATACCTGCGTTATCAAGTGATGATGCCCCCGATGAGGTCCAGCTTAAAGAGGCCTGCGTAGAAGTAGAAGAAGACAAGGAAGCTGCGGAGGAAGAAATGGTGGACTTTTCGAACGGGAAGTTCACAATCTGCCTTGGATATAGTATTTGGCTCCTCATCGTGATCGCGAACGCATACACGATCGTGACATTGGCCATGGGGGAAGATGGTTAAATAACTACGGACACGACCAAAACAACGGAGCAATCACTGTACTTCATCAACAACGACAGCATAGATTTAGTGCTTGTATCATAGTCATGGACTCACACTACATATGTTGCTATATATTAGAATAGTGTCACTGCGCTTCCCAGGGTCGATATGTCCGCCGTGAAGCTGACTGACAATGTATTTTCTACCTGCCAGTGAAAGTGCACTGATAGTATGTAAACGAGGACTCAGAGCAACTTCTCCAGAGGTGAAATGATCATGCCAGGCTGTGAAACACACAATTGAGTTACACTAGGGCGTTTGTGAACGGACTACATACCTTCTTGACCACTCTAGGCAACGTCGCGCGTTGAAATGCTACCCTCGTATTCCACTCGGTACCCAGTGGCGTCTCGACGCTGCGCTCAAACTGCGCCTTGCTGGTATACGGGTATGGCAGGTCTTTAACCAAGTACTTGGCCGCCTTCTTATCGCGCTTCTGGGAGATAATAACGTGCGCTTTGTTGTGGTCTGCACGAGAAGACGGGTCTACCCCTGGTACCTTCTTGATGAGATGTGGTTTGGGGGGTGCTTTCTTTGTGCCTACCCCACCCCATGACCCCTAAAACAGCAGTTAACTGGAGGTTGATCGTCTGTTAATATTATACTTACCCATCCAGGAAGTGTAGTGTCCACCTCGTGTGGCGCATCTTCCTGAATCTCGCGCCGTTTTTGCTCCGCGAAATCCTACAGAACAATAAGCATACAAGAACGAGCTGACCTCAAATTAATATATACCTGGACAACGCGATCACCAGCGAAAGCAAGGGCTACGAGATCGCGCTGGGCGAAAGCCTGGATGCGGTTCGCTTTGACCTTACCCTTACCCTTACCCTTACGATCTAGGTTTCTCTCCTGTTCCTCCAGCTCGCTATTCACTTCAGAGTCCTCGTCCTCAGCGCCAGATATCGTGGACGGCTTGGCGGCAGAAATAGTGTTCGAATGACTCTCAGGAGATGACGACCCTAAAGCCTTGCTACTGCTGGCCAGAGTGATGACTTCCGTCATGGAGATTTCCACGGTGGCATCATCCTTAGCGAGCTCCTTCTCTTCTTCCTGCTTTTTCGCGCTCTTGCGGAGCTTGTTCCTAGATTTTTCAGCAGCTGCACTGTTTTTACTCACTGCCACCTCATGCTTTTTCTGCATTGGCCCACTGACATTCGTTTGTGGTACCAACCATGGGTTGATTTCAGCGATAGCCGAAGGGGGGTAGGAGTGTCGAGCTACAGGAGAATCTAATGGTGGTGAGTCGGAGTGCGGGTCCAGGAAGTCAGAGGACTTCAATGTGACACTCGAAGTATCGGATGGAATGGAACCAACAGGGCGTAATGAGATAGACTACACCGTCATATCAGTCACAAATCAATGAACATTTCGAGTAGACAAACTCACACCTACACCTGGACGGTACGTGACACGGCCTCCTACACGCTCGACGGTTGCCCCATGAGATTGCTCCTGATCAACCAATTCGGCACCTTCGGCGTCCTCGTCGAGTACCGCGCCACCCATTTCTCTGATGAAGTCGTCCACATCTTCATCCACTCTTTTCTGATTCCTGGCTGTAGCGTCCTTCATGAACTTCATGTCGAATAAACTCTTGCCTTTTTTCCCGCTCTTGACATCTGCATCCTCTTGTGCATCCAGTCTGTTGAGTTCCTCGAACGCGCTCGCCTTGATCCGCTGTATGGTCGCCTCCTCGTCCTCGTCCTCGCTCTCGCCGCCTTCAGTGCTCTCATCTCCACTGTCACGTTCCCCACGAATCTTTCTTCGCAACTTCTCTCCACGATCCAGCATCTCCGAAATCTCTCTTCTCTGGTCTTCATCCAACTCCCCTCGAGTCTTCATCGCCTTGGCCCACTTCCCGGTGTTCTTGTGCCTCAAAGTCGCCCTCTCCCTTGCCCTGTCCAACTCACGCTTGAACCTCGTCTCATCGCTTTCTGGATCCTCTTGATTCAGCTCGCCTAACTTGGCAGCTAGACGTATACGTTCTTTCTTCTTAATGCGTCGGTAAGTCTTGCTCTTAATCTTTGCGACACGCTTCGCCTTCGCCTCCGCACGAAACATTAAATCCCGCATCTTCGCGAGCTCTGCGCGTCGCGCGGCGACCTCCTCAACCGACAGATGGTTCATTTTTAGGGCCTCAGTCTGTGCAATGTCTTCCTCGCGCATCTTTGCAGACTTCAGTAGCTTATCGACAGCACTCTCGAGTTCTGTCGTAGGCTAAACCAACCCATCAGAAATCATGCAAATGATTCGCAAGGCGGTGTAAAATACCTTGAACTTGGCTGCCAATTCCAGGTTCGATGTTTTCCCCGCGGGGTGCGCTTGTAGTGGAAAGCTGAGATGTTCGGCCTAACATCAAGATAAAATAAACAATGAGAATGAAAGCAGAACCGATGTCACAGTACATCTCTGATGCGTTGCATGGTTGCCTTCCACTTATCGACCTCCTCCTTCGTCTGCTCATATGCGGCTTCACGGTCCAACCGTTCCGCTGTTCGTTGTGGAAGAGGTGCAGACAACGTCTTGTTCGATCCTGACTGTGATGTCAAGATCTTTGCCGACTTCCTCAGGGACAGAAGGTTAGAGGATTGAGCAATGAGCGGGGCGAGCAGGTCGTCGAGTTTTAACTTCTCGCCGCCTGCGCGACAATAAATGGAACGTAAATACGGCATCGAGAACAGAATGAGGACAGCAACACACCTAAGTGGGCAGCGAACTCGTTCTCTTCACCGGCCTCGGTTCTTTCCTTCAGAATTCTCCTCTTCCTCGCCCGAATCGTATCGTCTCCGCGCCCTTCAGTGCCCTCTGCATCGTCCGGGGCCTTGCGTTTCTGACCCACATCCAGACTTGAGACAAAATCCTCGAGATTCTGAAGCGCAGAAAGGTCCTCGTCTTCCCCCTCCGAGGCCGATATACGGTGATCGTCGTCCTCTTCCTCTGATGCCTGGAATTGCGATTCCCCTTCACCATCTCCAGCATCCATTTCTTCATCCTCGTCATCGTTCCCTTCATCAACTCCCTGCACATTCAATATCGGTTTCTCGGTTTTCTTGTTTTTCCTTGATTCAGCGCCCTCCTTCTCCTTCTCGCCCATGTTGTTCCCGCTCTCCGGCTCCCCTCTGCCGTCCAGTATGTCCAAGACATCAATGAACTCGTCCGGATAGCCCTCCTCTTCTTCCTCGCCATCCTCGGACACACTGCCGTCGCCGTCCTCCAAACCTTCCTCCTCTTCGTCCTGATCGGTGTCCTCGTTTAGATCAACTTCTGCAAACCGTACAGCGCGTTCGGCAGGTTGCTTTTTCTTGGGTTTTGACTTCGACTTTCCCTTGTTCTATACATGTCAAAACACGGTAGATTGAGTAATATGTGTATGTGTGTGGAAACGACATACCTTGTGGGAGAAATCAAACCCGGCGAATCGCTCCTCATCGCTCTCCTCGAACGCCTCATCACTGTCGATCTCTTCGTCGTCTTCTGATCCAATTCCGCTATCATTGTCATTCTCCCCGACCAACCTCGGTCTCCTGCCACCACTCGGACCACCGGTCTCCTCCTCGTCTTCGGTCCCATCTCCGCCCGTAAACCCAGCCCATTCGTCCCTCCCCACCTGGAGTCCCACTTTTGAGCGCCGGACTTTTTCAGGCTGATAATCATAAACGTCTGAAATATCCCTCCGACCTCCTGATGGAGTCTTGGATTTCAGCGATTGTTGCCGTTTCGCATACCCGGACGCGTTCATGGCTTTGCGGGATGACGTGCGCAGCTTGTTCATTTTACCTTGTTTCTGGGAACGAGCCATAGTTCTGGCGATCCCGGTGTGCGTCCAAGGGGTGGGAACTGTAAGAAATAGTGTACTGAGCGAGTGCGGCACTCTAAGAAAGAACTACAGTAATAACAGTATGCGGAAACTTTTCGGATGTCTCGATCACGTGATGCCCAATATTGCTGGGCCCCCGCGAATCAACTAAGAGCTCCGATCCCGGCGACGACATTTCTCGGGGGTGGCCAACTACCCATTTTCGGGGGTTTGCACACAACCTGGCGGGAGGGCCATTTTCGGGGATATGTGGGATCGAACATTCGGCCGCCTAGAATTACGGCCGGCGGAACAAATTTTTCGCTTCCTGCGCGAAACCCAAGCTTTTGTCAACCAAATTACTAAAACTTTTTCCTAAACCACATATGTCTAAATTTGAGGCCGATCCTCCGAAACCTGACACTGGGGGCAAAAGTGGATGTTCTGCCTTGGAACAGTGTCTGAACATCCAAGGAACAGATTACGTTTTTGGACATGTCACATGTTCTGAACATGATAAGGAACATCTAATATGTCTTGCACAATGTTCCATTGGAGAGCATGCTGGAGACATGTTGCATGTACCATTCTGGAACATATAATATGTCTCACACAATGTCTCATTGGAGAATGTCCTGCAGACTTGCTGCATGTTTTATTCTGGAACATTTATCATTTTGCTACTATATTCTGGGCTTGTCTCTTGGTGCAATATGCTCTGTATAATAAGGATTTCCCATGGCCAAACACATTACATTTCTGGCCACCGTTAATCTTCAGAACATTGTGAGAAGATGTTAAGTGCTCCTACTCCAAACATACAAGATGTCCTGGGCACTAAGAACATTTGCAGTACATGTATAATTTTAGTATAATTTTAGTATGTATCATACATGTACTGCAGATGTTCTTGGTGCTCAGGACATCTTGTATGTTTGGAGTAGGAGCACTTAACATCTTCTCACAATGTTCTGAAGATTAACGGTGGCCAGAAATGTAATGTGTTTGGCCATGGGAAATCCTTATTATACAGAGCATATTGCACCAAGAGACAAGCCCAGAATATAGTAGCAAAATGATAAATGTTCCAGAATGAAACATGCAGCAAGTCTGCAGGACATTCTCCAATGAGACATTGTGTGAGACATATTATATGTTCCAGAATGGTACATGCAGCATGTCTCCAGCATGCTCTCCAATGGAACATTGTGCAAGACATATTAGATGTTCCTTATCATGTTCAGAACATGTGACATGTCCAAAAACGTAATCTGTTCCTTGGATGTTCAGACACTGTTCCAAGGCAGAACATCCACTTTTGCCTCCAGTGTGAGAGATCCACCGGCCAACCTCAGTTTCCGGGGGTTCTGGACCTAACCTCAGGTTGGAGGGTCACATTTCGGGGGGGTCGCACCCAACTTTCGATGACTTTTTGGCCAGTTTCGGGGGTCGAAGATCGAACATTAATTGCCTCCGGCGGCCCATTTTTCGGGGATGGGTGCATCGGAGCTCTCAGTGGATTCGCGGGGGTCCTCTCTAAACGTCTGCGCTGCACCTCAATATTCAATCATAGCCGCTTGACAATGAGCCTGAGTAACACACACCAGTCATTACAATTGACCTTGTAAGTCCCTCTTGGAAATATACCGTTATGTACAGTTATCCTGAACCATTGACAGCCAGGTCAGTACTTCGACCGAGGAGATCCTGCAAGCACTCAACTCTCTTCCGCCGCCTGTTTGGCACGGTGGAGGTACAGACGTTTGATGTGCTTGATATCACAATCGTATATGATTGGATACCCAATGGATTAACCAGAGTTGTCCAACCGTGTGCGCATCTAGCCAGACGTGGGATGAACCAGCTAGTGAATTCACAAGGTGGACGCTTTCTGGCGCGGGATTGAAGGCAACCCTGGACATGTGAGTGATCCCGTGAAGCCCAGTGATTCCTGTGTAGACGAACGGTCGTATACCCCTCAGATCACGGTCAGCCTCACGGAGAAACATCCCGGCAAGATATGATTCATGACGGCCGGACGAGTTGCACGACGGCGCCCTGCGGATTGGAGATTCTCTGATAGATACGACAGGAGACCCTTAGGGAACAATGGTGTGTTCCTCGTAAAACTTCCTGCGCTCGTGCCGTCCTAACCGTCCACTTGAGGATAATTAATGCGGAGATCCGGCAGCAAGTTGCTGGGCGATATTCACCACCGTGGTCTTTACTCGAACTTACATGCTGATTAATGATTGCATGCAATGCACCTAGGACCGACCAATGTCTGGTGCGGATTTAGCATTTGATCTAGCTCAGAGCCTGCAGGCCATGTTCGTCGACCACGGGCGTTCTGCATGTAAGCTTCGTTCCCAGTAACGATTCTGCGAAGGTGGGTGGCGTGGAAGTCCGTCAATTATGCGGTGGGAGACTGCGCTCAGCGATACGTCTCACTGATGATGACCTTCTCACTAACCTTCTTGCTCTGCGTGTGGATATTTGAAATATCTCAATATTGCTGTTCGTTCTTCGGGAACGTATGCTGTCTCGTATACCGACGATGACCACTATGATTGATGAACAGACCACCCTTAATTAGCTCTGTCACTTAGACATGCTTGTCCAAGCACGATGTTCAACAGCGGTCCCGCGGCCATACTGCGAACATGTTTGCGCCGGCCAAGCCACCCGATTTCCATCTCTCTCAATTCCACATAATTCCTCAGCCAGGAACCGTTGTCAATAGTCGTTAAATAAATTGGTTGTTCTCTGTCGTTGTATCGGTCCCGAAAGATTCGATTGCCGTGTTATATACTTCTCATCGACGATGCGAGCTGGTTCGGAATCTGAGATTCGTATGCGGCAATAGTGAGTACGGTCGAATACTTTACGCAGAATTTCCTCGCTATTCTCGAGACTGACTGCACCGCTGTTTGACGCCTCCTGCGTACTTGAGCGATGTCGATGAAGGCGGAGTGACCGACGCGATGGTAAGGCGGCGCTGGCGCTGATCGTATCGGTGTCTTCACTGGCGAACCAGACGCTAGCATCGACGAACGTGCGAGGCACTTGCTCCGCGGTGGTCCCCTCTCTCTATTTCTCACACCTATCGTCGGAATGTTGTCAGAACCAGTCCCTTCCAAGTTCCCTGGACTCGGGATGCACGGTCGCCGCACACTCAGTGGCTCCGTCCGCCTACAAATGCACTTTCTGCCGTCTCTCTAATCTCTCAACGAATGTTTTCTTCTGCCGTTCTCTACACGGTAGCCGCGCATCTTTTTCAATTACTGGTAATTCGTTGATACCCCGTCTGGTGCTGGTATTGGACTATGTCGAGAAACTCCAAGGTTTCGTCGCGCAGCTCGAAGGTTTCGTCGCGTTCTTCGCACAGCGCACCGAGCTCATTCCACATCGACATCGCACTAGCAAACGGCGAGCCGCTGAAATCTCCCGCGGATTCTGGGTACACATCTGCAAGGGCCTCGAGCTCGGTAAACGTCGATGTCTCGCTGGATGCTGCCTATCAGCAGTGGAAGGCCGCTGCTGAAGCCAGCCGCTCTGTTGAAGAGCTGGACCATTCCGTCGAGGAGTGTCAGGCTCAGCTGAAAGATGCCAAAGACCGTCTAACGGAGCTTGAGACACATCGGTGAATATATCCGTTTCACGGTCCCCGAGAGACGTATTGACGCTTCGTAGCAAACCGCTAAAGAGGAAGAAGTCGATCATGAGCGGGATCCTCGGAAAGTCCAAGCAGAACGTGTCGCAAGTCGTCGACACAACGTCATCCGCAGATTTGGCAGATGCGAGGAGCGGTGTGCAGGAGCCCGAACGACGTCTAGCAGAATTGACGGCTCAGGCGAGCGCAGCCCCATGTAGAATGGCGTGTAACATCTGAACAAAGGCCGTGATCATCGTACAGCTCCAGGCCACTAAAGTTGTTGCTGAAAAGCTGGACGAGTGTTTCGATATCCTGAAGAACAGCTTGGCCGACGGTCCCTTACCCTCGTGGCGGTATATCGAGTCCGTGTCTATCCTTTCTTGTCCTCCTTCGTAAAGTGATTCACCGTGGTCATGTCCAGAGGTAATGAAGAAGCCATCAGTCGAGCCGAACACTCCGCTGCGAAGATCGAAGCGACGTACATCGATGTCGGTCTTCTTTACGTGTTGACAGCCTCGTGTCGCTAACAGACATCTGTCTTGCATTAGAGCCAGAAGACGACAGACGCAATGCTGTTCGCGCAGAACGCCGTACAGTCCTCTCACCACCACTATAGTCACGCCATGTTTCTCTTGGAGGGTGTCTGTGGCTCTCATAGGAGTAAAATTGCAGCAATTATGGCCGATGAGCAGAGCAAGGAGATGACTTACAAAGGTAGGATGGCGTGGTCGCCGTGATCGCCCAGTCAAATATTAAATTTATTTTACAGAGGCGGCGCAGTGGGCGCAGAAAGCCCAGATATGCTTCAACGAGTGTCTGCGTACGTTAGAGCCATTCAAGGACTTCCTCGGGGACGAGGCACAAGGCTGTGACGAGCTGGTGCAGACAGGTCTACTGCAAGCTGTTCAGCTGTACAACCTAAATTACGGCGGGAAAGCACTGCAGTTCGGCATCACAAGTACGTATTGTTTCACATTTTCTTGGTCAGTGCGCGAATTTATCCCGCATCCACTTAGCACAAATGCAGATAATGCTCCAAAAGCAGGAAGCCGTGTTCGAACGGCTCACTGACTTCGCTGTAGCAGTGCAAAACTTCACGAAGCACAGCGAAAGTGTACACCGAGAGATGCGACATAAGCGTGACGCAGCAAGGCGAAAACTTGTTGCGTTGTGGATGAACGACATCTCGGACTATTCTTCACCTTCCTCGCCCATTTCCCCACTGTGAAGTGTTATTTGGTGTATTCTCGGTCCCGGTGCGATATTTATCCTGATCTATTATTGTGTTTCGATTTGCTGTGAGGTTGTTATGTACGTATGTCTGTACTGTGGCACACTCTAGATGTAGACCGTTCGTGTAGTACCTGTATGCTTCTATGATATGATTTTTATAAATCTGAACACCCGCAGCGGTATTTAGGTCCGACTCGGCTGCCAGTACTAGTGCATTTCTTGCTCGGAGAGCAAGCCCTCCCGACCCAAAAGTGAAGGCGTCCTTTTTACACAGTCGCTGTGCGTCTTTTTTGTGGCAATTCTGTCCGCGCTCTCCGAGAGTTCCGTCACCACCTGGCCTTTCGCGTTATCCTGGTTCTCCGAGAATGAACATGCTACTCAGGACATTAGACGGAATTACGTTGCTCAGTGGGTTAGGGTTAGGGCATCACCTTTAGATCTCCAGATCTCCGTTATTCTGCTCGATCACAGTACCCAAATCTGGTCCTGTACCTTGCACGTCCGAGTCCCGGCATCGATGAGTCCTCGAGAAAGATGTGGGTGCTGTTCTTTGCGCAGCGACGAATCTGCCTTATACTATTTTCTATCCCCGAAGGCCGCGGAACAACGTCACTTTCAGCCTGATTTCTGTGTCGTGCTAGCGAGCCCAGCTGGACAGAGAGCTCAATATTCCACGTCGTGTTCCTTCACCGGTGACCCACTGATCATGAGTTGAGGTCAAGCCGGCGGCTATCGGGAAACGTACGCACGTTCGTCTGCCGAGGTAAGTCACGGTAATACCAAGGACGTACAGATATCGTCCCTAGCACCTCCCATGGTCCGTCCACTTTCGCACCCCGTCGACGTGGCAGATCTGGCAATATTCTCGCCGCAGCAGCATACTGGCACAGGCTGAGTAAGTGCGGGAATGTATTGCCCCTTGTTCTGGCACTGCGAGTCACTCTACGTGGGGGTACTTCTTGCGGCGTATTCAGCGTCGGTGCTTCCTTGTACCCAACCCTGTGATGACACTCGCGAAGAATCGACGGCTCAGATTTACATGTCCGAGTGTAACTCACTTCTCAAGCCCTTGGCTGGATCTGTTAATCGTGTGCAAGGCACATCCATCTCTTCAGGCTCTTCGTTCACGACTCGCGTGAGCGTAGACACTGCCATCAGCTCTTCTTCCCGCATCGCTATCCCGTTGCACCTGGATGCTCCACCCTCTCGTACCAGTGATGCGGCGGTTTTCGCAGCATATCAACGATGGAAGACCGCAAATGAAGCCAGTGGTGCCCTCCCAGATATGAAACGTGCGGTCGCACAGTGCAAGACTGAAGCCGACAGTGCGAAGGCACGTCTGGAAGGGATGAAGACTCAAAGGTAAGCCCGTCGCTACTAAAGTTGCATTCTTACCTATTGACGTACAATCGTACGTTTTCAGCACAGGCCTGCAGAGGAAACCGTCGATCATGCGCAAAATTGTTGGAAAAGCAAAGAAAGATCAATCGACTGGAGGCACAGAACTCCTTTCCACGGGTATTACAGAGGCTAGGTGCAGCAAGGAGGATGCTGAACGTCGGCTGGCTACCCTGTCTGATCAGGTAAGTACACACGTTGTACGGGTACTGGTCCTCAGTGAGAGGTATAATCATCATACAGCTTCGTGCTTTTGAAACTGTTGCTGGGATGCTGGACGGATATTATGACACATTGAAGAGCATGATGGTCAGCAAACATTTACTTGCGTGGCGGTATAGCCTGTATGTGCACCACCTGTGTTTCGGAAAGGATGTTACCAACTGATGTGGTTATAGGGCAAGTGAAGCAGCGATCAGTCGGGCGGAGAAGGTCGTTGCCGAGGTAGAAGGGGCATACACCGACGTGAATTACACCTCCTTTTCCGATGCCTCACCAACAGCCTAATGGTCTATTCAACAGAGCCAGAGAATGACTAATATATTGCAGCGTGTCGAGCTGGCTATACAATCTACCCACCATCACTACAGAAATGCCATGAATGACCTGGACGCAGTGTGCGGTGCTCGCAGAAGCAAATGGGAGTCTTTGTTGGCTGACGAACAGAGTAAAGAGATGACCTACAAAGGTCCGTGCATAGTTCCAAGCATGATAATCGGTCTGGCGCTGACTTCACTCCGCAGCGGCTGCTGTATGGGCGCAGAAAGCCCAAAAGTGCTTCGACGAGTTTCTACGTGTATTCGACGCACATAGAGATCTTCTTGGCAACGAGCCCCAGGAGCGCCATGAGCTGAAGCAGGTTGGACTGCTGCAGGCCGTCCAGATATACAAACTCAACTATGGAGGGAAACCACTCCAGATGGGCATCATCAGTACGTGTCTGTGCATCTTGGATTCATCGACAGGCTAGACTTACATGTGAGCAGAGGAGATGGAAGTCATGCTGCAGAAGCAGGAGGCTGTCTTCCAGCGGTTAACAGCTCTTGCCGTGTGGGTGCAGGATTTCACCAAGCACAGCGAGACCGTCTGCCAGGACGTGAGAGTGAAGCGGGACAGGGCAAGGCACAAACTCGTCGTGGTGTGGATGGACGACAGTATGCCCAGGATGTAACAGCTTGCATCTTCAAGCTTCAAGCTTCAAGCTTGGGCCTGTCCAGACGGTTGGCCCATACATTCTGCCCAGTGAGTGCTGTTATGGTTCGCACAGTACGCGACATCCAGCTTCGGGGACTTCCGGTTCGTCAATCCTGAACTTCTTCTCCGTCGCGTCCCCTTGACTTCAACTAGCCGAGGTGAAGACCTTGCCAGAAAGCAACAGATCCCGACCGGAGGTTGCATTGGAGAGATCGCGTGGAGGAGATAGATGAGACTCGGGCCCGATCCGGAGAATGCGTCGGGTCGTGGGTCGGACATATGTTGGGTGGCATGTAGCTACAGTAGTATGAGAACTAGGAATGTGTAATTGATGAGAGTCTCCTAGAATTATTATTAATGTTCATGTTTTGTGGATTGGCCGGAGGCACGCGCCGGTGGACTTTAGACTATGACTTCGGGATTGACCTTGCGCTAGAGGCTGAGCGACAACAAGCACTTGTATTGTTTACTGCGAGCTCGGCGATAACTCTCCGCTCGTCGACATTACACCTCCGAACCGTCTCCTCTCTTGTTTCCGCGCGAGGGCATTCTCCCTGCCTCTCACGCCCGTGTCATTTCCCCAGCCACTCCGCCATCATGAACGGCGCATCCACCGCCAGACACGGTAGACCTGCACCGACCGGCATAACACCCCCAGCACCCGCTGCCGCACCCCCAGCACCACCAAATCACGCCCACCCACCGCCTGTGGCGCGCCCGTCGAACGGCGCCGCTGTCAATGGCACGCACCCGCCTATCCAGAAGGGCAAGAAGAAGGCCGCAGAACAACCTGTCGACCCATCACAAATGTACGAGACCCTCAAGAACCGCATCGCAGCTCTCGAGGAGGAGGAGGTCCATGAGGAGGAGGAAGAAAGGAGATTCAGTGCGTGATGAGGTAGCTCTGCTTGGCTCCCCAGTTTCACCCTGGCTTTGCAGCCGAGGAGGCACAGAACTCCGTCTCGGGAATGGGGGATAATGCTGTACACGGGAAGTACATCGAACTGGTGAGTACTGCTCCCCCGTCGCGTTGGCGTGCATGCCACTCCTCACGCTGCTACTAGTTCGCAGAGTTCAAACGACTGGAACGCGACCATGCGAAAGAGAAACAGAAATTGGTAAAGGACAAGGACGCAGGTACGTGTACTTCTTATGAACGCGTTCCCTGTCAACCGAGCATGCGCATATAGCGAAGAGCCAATTAAGCAAGGCGAACCAGACTAAGACCAAGATGGAGAATCTCGCTCGCGAGTTGCAGAAGGTAACGCGCATGCATGAATCTGTGCTCTGGTTTAACTCGCTTCGCAGGATAACAAGAGGTTACGGGTATGTTGCCATTCGCAGGCGGCGGACATGGGTCGGTTTCTCACAGGCGTCGCACAGGAAGACAGCAAGCGTCTCGCAACCTGTGTGGAGGAGGCCCAAGAGGAGGTAAGCCTGCTCCTGTCTTCCGTGCGCGCCAGATACGTCATAGTGGCTCGTAAAGATCACGCAAATGAAGAACGACATGGCGAAGCGCGCGGAGCGGGCAAAGGTCCAGGACACAAAGTACCGCGAGATGCCCGACATCGTGGTGCGGGTCGTCTGCAAATATCGCGCAGAGCTCTACTTCAAAATCTCTCGGAAGACGAAATTGTCGCGGCTGTTCAACGCGTGGACGGAGCGCATGGAGTCTGGCATAGGAAACAAGGGTGATGGGAAGACATTTCTGAGCGGCGGGGGACTCGGAAGCCCACAGGTGAATGGCACCGCGAAGTCGGACGCGGCTAGCCTTAGTTCTAGCTCCACACCACCTGCGAGTTCAATGCAGTTCGTGTTCACCCACAGTAGCAGATCTCTGGAAGCAGACCAAACCCCTGAGGAGGCTGGTATTGAGGATGGGGATGTTATTCTGGCTGTAGAGATCATGGATCTGACGGAGGGGCCAGGGACAGAAGAGCTGGTGAGTATCCATGCATGTATCTTGTTTGGGATCTCTCGTCACGCGTTATAATGATTGATGGCGCAGGACGAGGGTGGGGAACCTCGGCGGGAGAAGTTGAAGAAGGAGTGGGCGGAAAGTCCTCAAGAGTAAGTCGGCTTAGAGATCATTGTCTGTGCGATATTCACACTGCGCGCAGAGCTAGGAAGACGATGGAAGGCATCTTCGATGGCATGTAGGTATTTTCACACTTCTTGGATTGGATGATGGTCTAACTGCGTTTGTAGTGTCCGAGAGCGGATGAAGGACGTACTACGACAGTACGAACTTCGAGAGCGGCATTTCGAATGTGTCGTTCGCTCGAAGGAGCTGGAGGTGCTACTTTCCCGTGCTCGAGCAGCAGAGCAAAGGCAGCTAGCCGAAGGCGAGAAGACTCGAGCTGATAAACTGGAGGAAGATGTACGTAATTCTAACCCTCCTGAAGGTCGATCCCTTCATCTTTCTGCACTGTTAGATTAAACAACTCCGGAAGGATTTGGACGACGCCACAGATCAACAGACAATCCTGATTAATAAGCTTATAGCGTGTTGCCAAGAAGTACGTACTTCTCTCACCTTCCTAAAGCTTAGCAGACTGATCCTCCTGCTAGGAAAATGTCGACGATAGGACGCAAAGAATATTTGGGTCATTGCGAGAAGAGCTGGAAAACCGTGAGTGAAACGTACAGGTCCCTCCGAGTCTCCTGATTGAGGACATGCCTACCAGGTGCCAATCATATGGCGAATAATGCGCCTCCCGAGGGCTCTCCAGAAGTAGGGATCTGACAATGTTGTGACGCAAAGGGTGGTTGTTCATGCTGGAGATTTTCGCCGGGCTCGCATTCCACGATGGAAGCAGTGGCTCATTCGCGATGTAAGCCTTACTATCAGCATGTCGAATCCGTTTGCATCACACAGCTTCTGAATTGCACCGACATGATGGTGATCATCGATTATGAGAACGGTAACATGCGACGATGAGCACGAAGTCCACTTGAGTAGAGAAAAGTGGCTAACTAACTGTACAGAAAAAGTCTTGTCCAAGGTTGTCCGAGATTAAGTTCGCTGTACCCTAAACCAGAGCGTCTAATTCTTCGACCGACTCAACCATGCCCGACCGAGCAAGCTTTTTACCCTTCACCGGCGCCAACCCCTCGCCTGCGTATGTTACCAGTGGGGACAGCTCGATGTCAGCACCCTCCACCACCTTCGCGCCCGCGTGCTCCAGGAAACGCTTGTGCTGGGCGAGCAAGTCGCGGCGGCTCGTTCCCGGGTCGTCGGAGCCCGTGCCCGGCGCATTCTTCAGCGGGCTGAACTCCTCGTTCCGTGCGACTTCGAGCACGGCGAAGCGCTTCGTGAACGGGAACACGTCGAACACGAACATCTCGAGCTTCATGCCGTTCGGCTTGCTCGGCTTGACGGTCGCGCCGTGAGAGTCGACGAACGGGATCTTTTTGCGTGCGATATGGAACGCGAGCTCGTCCTCAAACGCCTCAACACCGTCGAGGAACGCGGTCGTGTAGAAGTGGTTCGCGATGTTGCCCGCGCGGAATGCGAGCTCACCCGTTTTCAGGTCCCTCCGCTCCGCCTGCTCCTGCGAGATCTCGGAGTACTCAACCACGCTGAACTTATTTCCGCGTCGCGCGACGACGCCGACGGCCTCAGTGGGGGAGGCCTTCGGCACGACCTTGGCAGCGCAATCGGCTTGTTTGTTGATGCAATAGCCGAGGAAGACAGGGTCGGCGACGCGCACGAGGCAGTTGTCGACGCAGTACGCGTGCACGAACTGGACCTTGCGTTGAGCCAGGTCAGAGAGCACCGTCTTCTTGGCGTTGGCAAGGGGTGCGCGCAGCGCAGCGTAGAGCCCGCCGTTGCCATCCGGCGCGACAGCGACGCGAGACGGCGTCTCGAGGATAACCTTGCCATCCATAGTAAGACACGGCAGTGTTCCTACAATGCAATTGGACAAGGAATTCGGGCGTCGGATGTGGGAACATACCTTGCTCGAAGAACACGACATTTTCGGGTGAAAGTCCAAAGTACGAGTGCTTCTTGAAGAAGTCCTCCGTCTCGCGACGTGTCGGCCCACTAGTCATAACATACCAGGGAATAACGACAGAGCCAGCTGTCTTCCCGCTCTGCTCCTCCGCAACTGTCTGCAGACGCGCGATGCGTTCCGCCTGATACTGGAAAAGCGACTTGTGAGAGGGTAGGCCGATGTCGTAGCAGCCCTTGGGCGCACTGCTCCCCAGACGCGTGCCCTGCCCACCGGCCATCAACAGCACGCCAACCTCGCCGCGTGCGATAGCCTGCAGACCGACTGCGCGCCATTCGCTCTCCTTCCCCGGGAGACCAATGACAGAGTCGGCAGCATCCTCGGGTAAAGGCTCGATAGCGTCCTTGCCAGCGTTCTGTGCAGCCGCCTGCTCACCGCTGATGGCTTTCTTGTATATGCGGTTCACGCGCTCGATATCGAGGGCATCGAGCTGTGCGAGGAGTAACGAGCGCTCCGATTGAGAGAGGGTGGGCCAGAACTGGAGTAGATGTCCCTGGCCAGCAGCCTCGTAGCGCTTGCGGACTTGATCGATGGACATCGTTGCGTGGTATCTGTGTGTGAGTCGAAGCCGACGAAATTAAAAGGGTATGGGATAGAACGAATGTAAACTGGATGAAGGGTCGTGGTCGAGTTGGATGGTGGTGGGTGGAGGGCAACGCGGGATTACTTATTTATGTAGCTAGGGAGTTGCCACAACTCATGGGTGGGCTATGTCCGAGGCGATGTGTTGTCCTGCTGGTTTCCCTTCTGCGTTCATCTACTGCGCTGCGCGTCCCTGTTCTGTGCTCGGATTTCCATCCTGATGGGGCACTGGATAGCCCGGCATGCTGTTAACTTCTGCTGTTGTAGAAGGGAAAGGCGCTGACAAGACAGTTTGGGCGTCGCGGGCTTTCTTACGAACATCCTCTGAGTACCTACCTGATCCTAGTCTCCCTCGGGCAGACCGACACTCTGCTTCAACTTCGTGCCTCGGGATATCCGTGATCCTGACTTATCGAGCTCTGCCGCCTCATGTCTACAGAGGCTGCTTCTCTACCCCTCTGGATAGTGCTGGCAAGGCACATTCTGGCGCTTGCAGCATGTACCATATGGTGGCCTGGGGTAGCCTTCGTAAAAATTTCCAGGTAGAGTTTGTCCAGAAGACAACCGGCGGTACATGGTCTCGCATGCAGAAGATCTGGTAACTTAGCCGCCGCACGCTGTTCTCAACTGTTCTCAAGCTGCAGTGCACTGATAGCTGATGCGCCCTTTCCTGCCGCAAGAACTTCGCTTCCGTGCCACATCGACTCTTTGTCGAGGGTTCTCAGAGTCTACCCGTCGACCTCATCTGAATTCAGGACGTCAATCGACTCGTTTTGCCACAGAGACGGAGTTGAATCCTCCCAGGTCTTTATAGCGCACACTCTTAGTTGGGTTTCACGGTGGGCTGCAGCAATCATCACGCGCACTTGTCATCCAAGAACAAGTGATTGCGGTCGCGCGTTTGACAGCTATGTAAGTCGAAACCGATGGACGCATTTCGACGAAACTTACTTCAGGTACGCTGCTTACGAATTATCCCGGAACAGCAAATTCGTGTGGGGTAAGCCATGGCTGGCCAATCAGCAAGGAGAATTTCCATCCAGAGCGGTGTATTTGATGCACCCCGAACTGAAAATGATGAAGCGAGTTTCGTCGAAATGTTACTATCGTTTTCGACTTAGCTGGAACACTGCTTGGCAATCTCTGTTTGGTGGATTGATCTCTTGGTTCCATATTCACCTGGGCGCCTACTGAACGTACAAATGCGGGTCGCCGTCTCGCCCTGGCATACCAAGGTCACGCAGCCCACTGGCAAGACGTAGAATTGAAATAAATAATCTCCACTTGACACCTGCGTATCCACCACGAGACCCCACGAACAGGTTCCATTCAAAGGATGTTGACTTACGCCGAGATAGTAACCACTACACCGATGATACGTGCGCTAACGCCCCGGACACGCTCGGGACATCCTACTGGAAGATGGAATAAACTTCGTGCCGCTCAGGTGCCTGATCCGGTCTCCTGCACTCACCATCTGCACCAGTAGATTACGGTCAGGCCGCTGTTTTGTACCAACTGTACTTACCAACCTCCCCGTGGGTCGACTAGCATCGTCGAATGGCCTTCAGGTACGGTGCACTCGGTGGAAGATGGCATTAGTCCCGCTGCTTGGAGGACGGGCCTTGCGTTACGTGAGAGTCTCCCCTGCTTCCTTTCCTACTCCGTTCCGACACCGGACCTGCAGAGCGCGCTCCAAGAAACGCGTTTGTCTGTCTGGGAAGTGACCTGAAATAGAGCGGACCATGCCCTACCAACTCAGTATGTTGCATGCAGATGGCTGCCGAAAACGAGGATCATTGATATGACTGCACTGACACGTGGATGTCAATGGAAGTTGACCTGATAGTTGGCGGGGCACAGTTCCGCGTCTGTTGGTCCGGAAGGCAATAATTTCAGTTTTCCCTGCCTCATGGATGTCAGCCATATAAAAGCCGTCAACCTCTATTCTGTTCGTTCTCGGACCAACCTCCATGCCTTCTTCCTTCTGGCGTTTCGCACCCGCCTTCGCGCTGTTGGCTTCTAGAGTCCTCGCAGACAATCCCATCAGTCCTGGCTTCGCCTATGGTTCGGAGAAGGTTCGTGGTGTTAATCTTGGAGGCTGGCTTGTGCTCGAAGTGAGTCCGATGGCCAATTTCCGACGCGTCGTCGCCGACATTTGTTGGCCGCACAGCCCTGGATCACACCCAGCATCTTTGATAACACCGGAAACGAGAACATCGTTGACGAGTGGACCTTCTGCCTTTACCAGGACACCGCCACAGCCACCGGTGTCTTGCAAAACCACTGGAGCACTTGGATCACGGAGCAGGACCTGGCGGACATTGCAGCCGCGGGGTACGTCAAGTGTTCATCCGTTGTGGGCCTCTCTAACGTGTGATTTGACGAAATCGAATTCGCTCTGCCCACCTTTCCGATAGATTGAACCATGTTCGCATCCCAATTGGATATTGGGCGTTTGAAGTAGGCCCTGGGGAGCCTTACATTCAAGGACAGCTCCTGTATCTGCAGGACGCCGTAGCGTGGGCGGGGAACCAAGGTCTGAAGGTCATTGTCGACCTTCATGGCGCTCCAGGCAGCCAAAATGGGTGAGTAACCCCCCACACCTCGCACCTCGCATTCCGTGCCGCATACTGAGATTATGTGGGTAGATATGATAACTCGGGGGAGAGGCTGTCGTATCCCGGTTGGCAATCAAATTCGACGAACATCCAGAGGACGGATGCTGTCATTAAGACGATTATCTCATTGTTCGCTAACATACCAAATGTGGTCCCGATCGTCGCTCCCCTGAACGAGTCAGTGCCCCCGATTCAACACGTCTAACAGACCCTGATATGTCTTCCTTCACAGGCCTGCTGGATATTATGGCGATACCGTCCTCACGCCTCTCAGGCAGTACTATTACGATTCATATGGGAACATCAGGTATGTGATTTCTGTATCGCGTTCCGACGGAAGGATTCACTTGCGATTAGATACCCGTACGGAAATTCCCAAGAGAGCAACACCGTGGTTCTCCTCCACGACGCGTTCCAACCACTGAGGTGAGTCCATATGGCATTCAGTTTGGTCAGACTGTGACCAAAAGATCTTGGAATGTTACGCGTGCAGTTACTGGTCAGGCTTCCAGACGGCGCCAGGCTGGCAAGGGGTCGCAATGGACACGCACATCTATCAGATGTTCTCCGACTCGGTGGGTTTGTTCTATTCTTGGATCCCTGCATCTGACTTTCTGCGTCTATTTCTTGCTTATCAGGAAGTCGCGTATTCGGATGCGCAGCATATCTCGGCGGCTTGCGGGATGGCCTCCTCGCTCGCGAACTTCGATCTGTGGTTGATTGTCGGAGAGTGGACTGCCGCGTCGACTGACTGTGCGACTTACCTGAATGGACGCGGCATTGGTGCACGCTACGACGGGACATACTCTGGCTCGACATACGTTGGGAGCTGCTCGGGCCTGACGGGCGATGCGACGTCGTTCAGCAGCTCGTACATGACCTTCCTCTCGCAGTACTGGTCAGCCCAGGTGGGTGTCTCCATCTGATGAGTTGCGCGATATATTGACGATGGATATGTTCCTGTTGCATCCATCAGGTCGTCACTTGGGAAGCTAACACCTCCGGATGGGTTTATTGGACATGGAAGACGGAGAGCGCGGATGACTGGTCATACCAAGTCGGCCTACAGTACGGCTGGATACCCTCAAATGCCGCCAACGTCCCGTATCCCAATATCTGCTCGTGATTATCAGCACGGTGAAGGCGGCGACGCCTCGGGAAGGCCCTTGCTGAAGCACGTTCGTTGATTCCTCATTCCTGTCTTCCGCTCCTTGCGTGCTGGAGCGCGAGATGTCGATACCCGTGTGCGCATTCACGACTTATTTATTTAACGACCTTTCTTTATCATCATGTTCTCCTGTGATTCTCGCATGTACAGGATACATTGGGATAATCCATCTGTACTTGTTTCACGATGCAATATAATTCTGTTCACGAGGTACTAAGAGTGTATGCATACTGCTTGTAAGACAACACACATCGGCAAGTTATCGAGTAAAATTACAAGACGGGCGGAGAGTATTAATTCGTGAGCCTTGGGTTAGGGTTAGCCCAGGGTGCCAACATAAAAAAAGGCCTGCCCAGCCCGAGGGCCGAAGCAGGACAGGAAAATATTGAGACGGTGCATGAACCGAAGCTCACACAAACCGCAAGCTCCCTCTGAGGACAAGGTCGCCGTGCTATGAACGGACCCTACGGCCCACAAACCCTGGTACGTGAAGGGGCTTGTGCCATCAAGGTAAGTATGAAGTGAAACAGTGCTGGAGGCGGCCTTTTATAGATAGACAAAGGTGCGCACGGACCATGGGGCATGTCGATGTCACGTGCCTTTCCAAAGAGGCGTCTTTTTTATGGCATTTATAATTATCGAGAGCTGCTGCAATTGATCAGAAACGTCCACTCCTGCTGGAAGAGGATTAGGGAGGATTTTGAAACCAGTTCAGAGGCAGGCCCCGGGCATCTACCCTTTATAACCTGCTGGCAACGTGAGTACGCATCCACGGCCATAGGACTTCGAAAGCACCGCATCCCGTCTGATCTGCGCAGTTAACCGGAGTGCCGCCTAGTTAGTACCGCGGTGGGGGACCACGCGGGAATCCTAGGTGCTGTGGTTTCCATCATTTTGGAACTCTTTACCCATCTTTTTGATACACCGTTAAGGCTTGGAGGCTGTGAACGTTCCAAATTCTATCTTAGAGACATTCCGCTGTTTCTCCTGCGTGAATACGTTCATCTCCCATGGGCCAAGCTAATAAGGTTGACTACATCACCTTTCCTGTACTCAGCAGAACATACAGTACTCGTACTTCAGCATGTAGAGTGTATCCTTGCCTTCCCTACATTATATCTCCTCGCGTTCTGAGGCTGCGAGCGCCAGGCGGAGCGCGACGCGTCTGCTGAACGTGACCGTGTTCTCATTGGCTGACGTCTCGGACTACGGTACTACTAAGTACTGACAGTACTACTAAGTACTGACAGGCCTGTACGGTGTAAAGTTTACACAACTGACCGAGCGTTAGTACATGGCGTTGGGTAATCTACAATATTTGTATTGCACCCTGGCCTAGCTTTCACGACACTCAAATGACCGAGCAGCAGAATACTACTGTCTTTTTTTGGCCTCATATGATTATTGTCTCGGAGGAAGTAGCCCTATGGTAGACATTGCAGTATCGTAAGTACGCTCGAGTGTACTGTGGATTGGGATCAATGTAAACAAAGTGATGCTGCTGTCATGTCACCGAGAAATCTGCGAGTGATAACCTGTTTCACTTGACGTACTATGTAAGCGCACGACTCACACTACAACTTGGGACGTGAATCTGACCTAACCGTGTCGGACAGTATATAACAAATGCACGATGCGAGGCCATCCGGATTCTCCTGGAGAACCTGCTTATGGCATGAAGCTTAGTGCGTGCAGTAACGGTGATGTATGAGAAAGGCTTACAAGATGTCCGGCTTTAGGGACATATTGTACAGAAGCCATCTTCCGGGTTCCCAGGACCGATTCGTGGCAATACTTAGGGCTAGCATTAGGCAACGGGTGTGTTAGAGCTACTTCTGAAGAGACCGAAAGCAGAACAAAACTGACACAAAATCCGTTCTCTTTCCGAGAATGAAATGCACCGGAAATGCAGGATCCAGTGTAGCGAGTTGGTCCACAGCTTTGAAGTGGCAGTGGTTCTCGTCTGAATAGGCCACCTTTTCTTGCGGTCTCATACACTTGAGGGAAACCCTTGACACCTTCCCATCTTCCTCTGTGGTAATATCTCTCAGGCCATGTTCCTGTCAAAAAATGTCAATGCAGGCAGCATAGGACTATCGCGAGATGGCATGAACAAAGAAGAGCTCGAGGATTCTCGGATCCCAGATCTTCCACGGCAATCGCTTTCTGAAGAATCCTCTGGCTTCGTTCCGGTCGTCCCACGCGTCTCTCCTCCCGTCAATCATCTTCTGCGTGTTGGAGAGTCCAGCGCGCAGTTCCGTAAGGTGACTGTCAAATACAGGACGTGTTAATAGAGCAGGCTCAGCCAGGATGATGATTTTGTATGGAGGCTGAATGTCACTCGAGGAAGTTGTAGACATCATGCTATGCAAGAACGATTAGATTAGCACAGGGAAGATAAGGGGAAAGGAGAAAACTCGCAGGGCGGTAGCTCCGGAAGAGTGACCGACACCGACAACGTCATGTCCTGAGAGGTGGTCCGATTTGAGGAATGCCTGCAACGCAGTCGCCCACTCCTGCACCGCTGTGGCGCAGTGAGTGTTCAGCGACCATAATTCGAAGGTGTGTCATCCGTAACACTCACAAAGGCCTGTGGGTAGTACCTTCAGTATGGTATCATTCAAAACAGCTGATTCTCCATGGTTCCGCCAGTTGAAGGACCAAGCCTCGCCGACAATATGAGCATGAGTTACAGGATGTACGAGGTTGAGCAATGCTTCGCTCACTGGCTCCCAGAACTCCTCATCTGTATCGAGAAGGGTAAGTTATGAACAGTAAAAGAGACGCTAATGGGCACCAGCGCAGTGGGTGAAGACGAGAGAGAGGCCAGCTTCCGGTTTTCTGGGAGACATGTACCGCTTGCCGACGAGACGCAGCCCTGGATCTCGCGCACCTGGGTAGTAAAAGGCGACAGTGGACGTTTCAAATGTCGAAGACATCGTCGAGACGACTCAGACGGCGAACACAATCCAGCTGTATATATCAATCGTTATTTGACTCTCGTCATTAAAGAGCCCAGAGTGAAACGTCTCCGGATCTCCACTTCAAAGTTGTACAAATGTATGCTGGGGACGACCACGCAACGCGTCTCGCGCTTCATGGGCACCTTGAAGACAGTACGATCCCAGATAGGCCCATAGTTACAGCCTCTAGTTAGCGTGAGACTGTCTTCCTTTCTAATAGTTGCCAGAGACTTTCAGTTTCCGGGCCAGCTGAGGACTCGGACGCGAAAACGTGACCTTCACGCGCATCGCGTTGAATGGGCGCTAACCGGCTGTGGCTTTCCTCTGAACGTCGCCTCTTACCATTCCTGTCCACACAACCCATTCCTGAAACATATTCTAATCTGCTCAAATATTACAAGGATGTCTCACTCTGGTGAGATGCTGAGAACTTGATGTTTGTCAACGCATTTCTCTGACACCGGGGATGATGTCCATTCAGAATTGCCATCACCAAAGAGGCTGCGACTCTCTTCTCCAACATATGACGAACAATGTTGTCTCAGCCAGGAAGAAATTAAGGCATTTGACGACTACGAGAAGCGAATGACACAGAGCTCCTCTTCCATTCCCCAACCATCGCACGTTTCATTGCCTGGCTCTGGGAAGAGGAAAAGAGAGAAATCTATCCAGCAGGATCCTGAGGACAATGGCGACAGTGACGTGTCCCACGACAAGAGCGAATACGAATCTTCAGGTGCGTAAAACTTCCCAACGTTGATGAGTCTACATACTATGTTCTCTTTCAGCTAATTCGTTGTTGCAACGAGCAACCCACCCTCGTCGGGACGTGAGAACCCATCCATCGAACACAGAACCCAATGCAATTTCTTTATTTGCGTCTTCCGCTGAATTATCTGCTAAGGAAGATACTACGGCACCAATTTCTTTCACCGATCTTCCTGCTGCAGGAAGATCCTCAGGCGGATTCACGTCCGCAGCATTGCTCACTCCGCAGGAGCATCCGGCAACATCTCAGAAAGATACCAATAATGATGATATTGCTCATCGCACTACTACTGTAACCCCTGCGAAGCGCTCCGGGTTCGGGTTTGCCTCTGCACTAACCATGGCGTCAAATCCCCAGTTTGACTCTATTCCTTCATCATCCCCCGATGCCACCCCGGAGCCGGACTACTCTACTTGGTTCGAACCTTCAACAGTTCCAGAAACCGCGATGGTTGGCTTTCAGTCAGCGAAAGACATCAGTAAGTCCATGGCACCGTTGGAATGTGCAGCAGCAGGTTCTGCTGGCTGCCTTTCTGGGTTCAAATCCGGGCGCGATATATTTCTCAAGTCCTTTCAGCCGGAGCATGAAGAAGAATCGAGTAGCACGGTGCCCCTTAAAGCGAGCTTGCCAGGATTCACGTCCGTACGCCTACTGCCTGGTGTTAGTGGAACTCCCGCTGACCCATCCCTGAGCGAATGCACCTCTGGGCTCAGCGTCTTCAATCCAAATAGTTCGAATGGTACTAAGGGCAAAGCCCGAGCGAGCAACTGGACGGCTCCTTCAGCCGAAGCGTTGGCTCGTGCACAGCAGCTGATGAAGCGTTGGGAGCAGGAGATGGACAGCAAATCCACAGACGTAGCTCAGCCCGAGCAAGGGAAAGAGAACATACAGGGCGCACACCCCTCGGCGGCCTTCGAGACACCCTCGCGCCCGGCTCTACGCTCTGTGGAGAACGCGTTCTCCCCCGCGCAGCCACCTGAGAGTCCGAGTCCAGCAGGCGCAGAAATGGGGAAACCGTTGGCGCCAGCCAGCAGGATGGGCATCCAATCGAAGAACAAGATGTTCAAGTCCCCCCTCCTGATGCGGCCCCCACAGAAGGCGGCGTCGAGCATGCCCTTTGTGGCGCCGCTTCTCAACCCACAGGATCGGCCATCCGCCAAGCTCCCGGCTGCCTTCCCCGCTCTCTTACCTGCAGAAGCCTCTACGTCTGATCTCCCGAGTACTCCGGCTCCTCGTGCTAAAGCGCTAGGCTTAACGCCGCGGAGGCTGGGAGGTATGGCTGCGACAGGGAAGCCAAAGTTCTCCACGCCGTTTAAGCTTGGTATGAGACCTGGCGAGCCTGGAAGGTCACAGCTCGAGCAGTCCCACGCTAGAGAGAAAGAAGTGACAATAACCGTTGCGCCTATGCAACACGGCTCACCGTACTCCATTCGGCCCAAAAAGAAACAACACAAATTCTTCGACTTGGGTGAGCCTTTTCTTTCTCTGTATCGCGCACTGCTCATATCCCTTTCAGGTAAGCAGGTCTCGAGAGTATCACTGACAGCTACTGAGCTCTTCCCGCAAAAGTGGGCTGCAGATGAGCTTGCCAGCCACGGCATGTTCGTACCCACTTTCATCGTGTATGCTCCCATTAAACTGAACATCTTCCGTAGTGATGCGAAAGAGTTGGACACGATCACGCCCGGTCTGGCATTGTACTACTCTTTCCATGCTACATGGGACGCCCCAACTTCCACGCCTTCTGAGCCCGTCAGACTTGGTGCCGATGCGGCACTCGCCCGACTACTCGAACTGGGGTGCAAGCTTGTGACAAAGGAGTGGACCGACAACCACTGGGGCTTGATCCTGTGGAAGCTCGCCGGTATGGTCTGCATGAATCCAGAGCACGAAGATAACCCAGACGAGAGAAGGTGGTGCTTTGAGGAAGTTGTGAAGCAGCTGCTCTATAGGCAAGGAAACATTTCTACGCATCGCACGCACGTGCCACTCATACTGATCGACCCGTAGGTACGAGCGCGAGCTGCATGGTGGCACGCGGCCTCCGCTGCGGCTCATAACGACGCACGACGCGAACCCGTCGTGCCCTATGGTTCTCTGCGTGTCCAACGTACTGTGGTCCCCGGCAGGCCTGGCGGACGACGGCACACCCACCGAGCCATACCCCGAGCTGGAGGTGACAGATGGGTGGTACAGGCTGCGTGCCGTTGTCGACGCTCCGCTTGAGCGCGCGATCCGCCGAGGCAAAATTCGCGTCGGGAGAAAGATCGCGGTCGCCAGTGCTAGAGTACGAGCTCCAGTATAAACGTTCGCCCTAGAATGTCTGCTGACGGACCCGACAGCTCGTGTCAGAGCGCAAGGAGCCTGCAGAGATCTTGGAAGCGTACGACTCAATGACATTGCGGCTGTCTGGTAATTCGTGTAATCTAGCGCCTTGGCATGCGAGGCTGGGCTTTGTGAAAACCCCCTTCGTTGCTACGCTGGATAAACTGACATCTGACGGCGGAAATGTCACCCTTATGGACCTTGAAGTCATCAAAGTGAGTTCTGGCATATACACAGTTACCAGCAGCAGCTTAAGCTGCCGCACAGGCCTACCCCATCGCATACATAGAATTCATCCAGAGAGACGGAGAGATGGACCGCGAAGGCCCGTGGTGCGAGAAGGAGGAAGCGAGGCACCACCGGAACTGGGAGGTGCGTCGTGGTCGTCCCTATCCCTATTGCACGCTCAAATTTATTGCATGTACAGATACGCAGAGCAGTAGAGGAGGAGAAGCTCCAGAACGAACTCCAGAAGAAGATCACTCTCTACGAGCGATACGCCATTCGCGCGCAACTCCATGCAGGTGGATACAGGATTCATGAATGGGGTAAGCACACTCGACGGGAGGCAGGTGCTCGTAAACGTTGACTTGGAACTCGGATACGCTTGGCGTGTTTCTGCAGAAGGAGCACCAGACAACATCGCCGACCTCTATGAGGCCCTGGAAGATCGCGAGAATGCGAGCAAATTTATCGAAACACTTGACAGAGGCGACGCAGCATGGCTCGCGGAGCATATCCGCACGGAGAACGAGAGGCTGGAGGAAAATATGCGGGAGGAGGTCGAGAAACAGCTCGAGGTGCGCTACATCGCCCTTGTTCGTCTACTGCGTAGATGGTGCTGATGCTTCACCAGTCCATCTGCCCGCCCCGCACCGTGAAAAGCTTCCGCGTGGTCCTCATGCGCGACGCGCGCTGGGCGAAGCGGCAGCCGCTGCGCACCGTGCAGGTCACCGTGTGGGACGTGCTCTCGCTCACCTTTGAGGAGGGTGGCCGGCCGGGCCACTTTGCTCCAGGCCAGCAGTTCTTAGTGAGTCTCGCATTATCAGTATATGGTGGATCTCACGAATCCGTGCAGGTGTCGAATCTGATGCCAAGCCAGCCGGGTGCGTGGATGGGCGTCGAGCCCGACGCTGTGGTCTACCTCACCGCGCGGAGGGACGCCCGTTGGACCCCTGTGAAGCGGCCTACTCCCAGCCCGGCTGCGTACAGTCGACCATAATAGCCTGCTAAATTAGCTTACCATGCATACACTCGTTCTTGGAGGCATGCTCCACTGTATTACCTGGATGTTGTATTGCAATAGCTTTTGCGAAATACGTTATATCTTGTAGCAGTCAAAGCACAGCACGATCCGAAACCTCATCATTGCGTCTCCCGGCCGCCTCACGCCTCACGCGCCGCCGAGCCCGTACTTGCGCAGCACTCCGCGCCAGTCGCCGGTATCCTCGTGGCCCATGCAGATCACAGTCGCCTTCTTGGCGGACTCGGGGCTGAAGATGCGGGCAGCGATGCGGCGCAGCGACTCCGAAGTCACTTCGTCGATCCTGTCGCACATCTCCGATACGGGTACCTTGCGGTCGTGTACGAGGATCTGCAGGATCACAAGGGAGAACACAAATGACGTCAGGACGCCGATCCCGGCGCTCAGCGAGTGAAATGAGGATGCGAGGGACGCACCTGCCGCCCTAGGTCCTCGACCTCGACAGCACGGCTCTCAAGTGCCATCATGAGGCTTGACTTCAGCTGGTTCTTCGCGCGGGACAGCTCGACTCTGGACGTCGGCGTGTACAGCAGGAGGCTCAGCTGGTGCGCGAGGTGCGGAAGGATCTGCGAGGGTGAGTTGCCCTGGCGGCCCGCGGCGGGGAGGAACGACGCAAAGAGGCCGAACAGCGACGAGTCCGTGTAAATATGGTGGAACGACGCGCAGTGGTCGATCTGCGGGTAGTGGTTCAGGATGTGCGTGTACAGCCGCGAGTACATGCCCTTGCCCGGTCCGCCTGGGCACGAGGACTGATGTGAGTATATGCGGTTGTGTATGAGGATGGAAGAAGCGCACCTGCTGAGAAGCTCCCACCGCCGCCGAGTAGCACCTGCATCGTCGCGAGCGTGTAGACGTCATCATCATGGATGCCCACGCCCTCGAACGCTAGATATACGTGGTTGAACTCCGACGTCCGGTTGCGGATGAATCGGTGTCCGCCTGTATACGTCGAATACAAACCCGGCGTCAAGTTCAGCATCGAATTCGGCGGTGCCGGCTCCGCGCCAATGACAGAGGACAGAGGGTACAAATACGACGCAGCACGGGTGAGGGACTTGTACAGGGATGGGGAGGACGACGGTAGGAGCTGCGAGGGCACCGGCTGTGGAGGCGAGTTCGGGCGGGAGGAGACCGTCTGCGGCTGTGGGGCTGGCGCCGGGACGTACTTTAGCGACGAAAAGTGGTTCTCCGCGAGCTCGACGAGCTCCTCGTGCGGCATGCCTGCGCCCGCGATGACCATACGCTCTGGGCGGTACCACTCCTGCATGAACGCGCGCATGGTCGGCTCGTCGATGAGGTCGATGCGCTCATCGGGGCACAGGAGCGGGTTCCCGAGGGTTTTCCCATCGTAGGCGACCTCGTGGAGGACCTCAGGTAGGATCATCTCGGGCTTGGCGCTGACCTCACGGAGCTCGTAGCGAGCGGCCTCGCGCTGGGCGGCAAGCTCCTCGGGGAGAAAAGAGGGATTAAGAACGGTGTCGGCGATGAGGGACATGGCAAGGGGAGTGCCTTTGTGAAAATGGGAGGATTGGTACATGATGGACTCGCGCGAGGAGGAGCACATAATCTGGCCGCCCAGCTTGTCTATGGCAGAGGACATTTCGGCGTCGGAGCGCAGGCTGGTCGTCTGACATGGATTGGTGAGTGTATTGCTGAAATAAACGGAGGGACATACTTTGAAAGCCATACGGTCGAGAAAATGGCTGACTCCTGACGTCGCAGGGGACTCATAACGAGAGCCTGTGTCGACATAGAGGCCGACGGAGGAAAAGTACCCAGGAGTGGATTCTGTTGCCACACGGATTTTATTGGGTAAGGTTGTAATCTGTACAGGTGAATTTGAGATGGTGGAAAAGTCACGGAGATGTCTGCGCCTGAGTCCGCTACGCAGGAGTGAAGTTGGTGGCCTCTTCATTGCCGTTTCAGTCAAAGGCGCATAGGCGGGACCGTCGAGCGTACAAGCATTAGCAAGTCAGGTGGCTGGGTAAAAAAAGGAAAACGGATTGCAGAATAACCAAAGGCCTCAGCGTGGTTCGAACACGCGACCGCACGATAACATATTGTATGTCTCAATTACTGCAATCGTGTGCTCTACCACTGAGCTATAAGGCCACCGTGTGCTTGGTGAGAAGGTAATATTATGAGGCATTTCCACAGCTAGACCCGTGAGCGGCGAGACGGTTAAGTGAAGAGCGGACGACGAGGACGGTCTCTGGTGCGATGAGCTTCACGAACGCGTCAGGCCTGTTGTCTCCTCAGTTCTGGGGCCCAGTCACCGCAACCCTCGATTGGTGCGAGGTCAGTTCTTTTCTCCTTTCCGCCTCATCTGCTCAACCTCTCCGCCCCAGGCAAACTACCAATTTTCCCGCTACGTCGCCGAGGCAGCCAACACCTTCTCAAACATCTTTACCATCGCTCTCGCCCTCTACGCTGCCATACAGGCTCGCACCGAGCAACTGCCCCCCCGCTACCTCGTCGGCTACGCGGTCTGTCACTTATCCTTCGCTGCACTGCGCCACACTGACCCGCCAACCTGTCCGTCGGGCGCATAACCAGGGTTTCGCGCTCGTTGGCATCGGTAGCTTCATTTTCCATGCTACCCTTCTCTTTGAGGCCCAGCTCGCCGACGAGCTCCCCATGGTCTACGTCGCGAGCTACTGCTTTGCCATCCTCTTCGATAGCGCCCCCGGCTACAGCCTTCGCAACTTTCGCGCCCTCCGCGTCTACCTCGCCATGATCGCCTTCAACGTCGTCTTCACCTGGTCATAGTACGCGTTCCTCCCCTCTACCCCCGCACTCCAACCTCTGCCCGGGTTCCTCCCGCGCTTACGAGTCTCTGCTGACTGCTGATGCTATACCCGCGCAGCTACCTCTACCGCAACCCGGTCTACCACCAGTTAGTGTTCGCCACGCTCCTGCTCGGCATCATCGCCCGCACCGTCGTCCTCCTGCGCAACCCTGACATCTCCCAGCGCGTGCCCCCACAGGCCAAGTCCACGACCGCCCGCCTCTTCCGGTGGGGCGCCGCCACGTTCGCGCTCGGTTTCTTCGTCTGGAACTTGGATAATATCTTCTGCGACACGGTCACGGGATGGAAGCATAGTATCGGCTGGCCCGTGGCATTCATATTGGAAGGTGCGTGTCTCGTTGCACACGCGACGTGCACGGAGTGGTTGATGTTCGGGCTTCAGGTCATTCGTGGTGGCATATCCTGACGGTCAGTTGGTGCATCTGATGATGCACGATGCGTCTAACCTCTCAGACAGGCCACGGGCACGTACCTGATGCTGATTGGAAACACCTGTGAGCCCAAACAGTCGTTTTCTGTCTCTTTTTGCCCTGACTTCGTTCTGTAGACTTGTAAGTGGCGGCGGAAGCGGTATATCTCACCTTTGACGTGCACGCTCATTTACACCGTTCTTGCAGTACCCTCTGCATAAAAGATGACTACCGCAACTTCGTCATCAAGCCCGTCCTGGGCATCCCCAGCATCCAGCGAGTCGCCAAGAGCAAGGCGCAATAACTGCCGCACGACTCCCGCACGCCGCAGCCCATTACGGCGAGGCGGGCATTACAGGCTGCATAAATGTCAATTGAATCCTCACGAGTCACGACAAGTTACAACACGCTACAACTATATTCGTAGAACTTACATGTCTTGCTAACGCGCTGTCTCTGAGCTGTGCTGCGCCTCTTATACGCAATAATAGTTCCCTTGGATACTTCCGAGTTGGAAGTGTTGCGGATCGTTCGTGGGTGCGAGGGATTCCACATTGCGATGGAGAACCAGTGGACAATAATGTGCGAGTAATGATGTGTGATATCGTTGTCCGGCAGCGCGTATGCGAAGCTATGAGTAGGGGTGCGGTCGTCAGTAATTACTGTCGGCGAGGAAGATAAGTGGCAACACCGACGAAACACGCCGCAGAACTCGCCTTTTGTAAGTTAATAATACAGTGGTAGAGTGCATCCCCTATAGTGGCTCGCCGACCGTCCACTTGACGAATTCCACCACCTCCACACCGGTCCCCTCCTCTCCCTCCTCCGCTACATCGTGTTCCCTCGCCCACTTGTCCAAGAACGCGCGCACGCCCAGATCGCTTCCTTCCCCGCCCCACATTGCAAACGGCTGCGCGTACAGCGCCGCCTCAGGCTCCTGTCCTTCCCGCACCCGCACGCTCTCCGTGGGGAACCCGATGATCTGGCGACCAAGCGCGCCCATGAGCTTCTCGAGGTCAGCCTGGAATCCCGGGGCAGCGAGAACCGCAGAGACCCGCGAAGACTTGAGCGCAGCGAGCGCGAGGCACCCGATGCGGCCCTGGGTGTTGTCACCCACAGACGGGTGCGCGCGCGCGGCGACGCGGAGCGCGAGCTGGGAGTCCGCGCGGGGGTCGTACAGCACGCTGTGCGCGCGGCGCAGCGCGACCTTCTCGCCGACACGGCCGATGAGGTCCTGGATCGCCGCGGCGACGGTCCCGCTCGGCGCTGGGGTGGACGCGCCGGTGTCGCGGGCGAGGAGCGGGGCGCCGAGGAGGGTGTCGAGCGGAACGGGCTGCGCGCCGGGTGCGTCGGCGAGGAAGGCGGCGGTGTGCGCGATGTCAGCGAGGAGCGTGCCGAAGAGATCGTTGCGCGCGACGAAGTCGGTCTCGCAGCTGAGCTCGACGAGCGCGGCGCGCACGCTGCCGGGCGCGCCGGGAGCGAGGACCGCGGCGCCGATGAGCCCGTCCGACGCGATGCGGTTGGCGACCTTGGCGGCCTTTTTGGCGGCCTTGGTGGCACGGTTAGATCTGAGCCAGTCAACTGCGTCGGGGATGTGGCGGTTGGAGGCGAGGAGGGCTTCCGCGGCTTGGGTCGGGGAGACCTTGTCGCCGACGACGCTGCGGAGCGCGGCGACGAGCTCCGCGAGCGGGGTCCTGGGCGGTGCGGTCGAGTAGAGGCGGGCGGCGGCGACGACGGGGAGGGCTCTGTGGGCGACGAGGAGGCCTCTGCGGACAGCGAGGTCGGCTCTGCGGGCGGCGAGGTCGAACATGGCGGCGCGTCCAGAGTTTTTGCGCACGCCGATCAAATCTGAGTCCGCGCCATTTCTCTTTTGGGCAACTCCTCCCGCCCTTCGCTCCGACCAAGCTTACGCTCGTCTACTCAAAAGTACAATACCCCCCGCCATGGCGTCTTTTCCATTCAAGTTGCCGTCCATAATCCCCCAGGACCTCCAGTTCATCCACGAACTTGTCGGCGAGATCACTGGGACACCGCCGCCGAAACCGGCTGCTCCGCCAGACATACCACACGACCAGGAGGGCATAGAGAGCTCCGACAGTGATACTGATAGCGAGAAGGAGGTCGAGGCAGATATTCTCAATGGACTTGACGAGGAGGGGACGTCAGATAGCCCTGCTATGTACGTTATTTCCGCGCAACCCGAAGGCTAAGTCTCACAGAGCTTGTCTGAATTTTATTAGACCTGTGCCGTCGGTATCTACTAGCGACTCCGACACCTCTGATTCTGACGTTGAGTCTGAACGTCCACGGCCTGCGCGCAGCACGGCCCCCAGGCCGGAAGAGCTCGACCTCGACGAGGAGGAGTCAGGTCCCGCTGTGACTGCCGATGCGCAGCTCAAGACAAAAAACGAGATCGCAGAGCCTGAGATCATCATCCCCTCTGTGGAAGAGGTCGGCCCGCAGGAGGTCCTCGAGCGCGTCGGCGAGGTGATGAGCATCGTGGACAAGGTCGTTATTGTTAGAGGCTCGGCGTCCGAGATCGCCAACAGGGCGTCGGAGAGAGCCCTCGACTCCGATACTCTTCTTGTCTTCGAGGACAGGAAGGTGCTCGGCTACGTGAGAAGCCAATTATTTGCTCGTCGTGCCTAGTTCTCATCTCGCCTGCATAGATTTACGAGACATTTGGTCCCACAAATCAACCTCTCTACCAGGTGCGGTTCAACCAGAAATATCCGCTTGACCCAGAGAAGGTGCAAGTCTCCCGCGCGGTCTTCCACGTTCCCGAGCGCAGTCACTTCGTCTTCGTCAGACAGCTGCAGCGGCTGAAGGGTAGCGATGCCAGTAATGTCAACGACGAAGAGCCCGCTGATGACGAGATCGAATTTTCCGACGACGAGCAGGAGGCCGCCCACAAGCGTGCCGCCACGCAAAGGTCTGCCTGCCGCCCTTTTCTACCTTCCCGCTTCGTTCTTACTAATTGGTCGTGTTTTCTTAATTTACCCCCAGGCGTGAGCAGTCGCGAGGGCGCTCCCAGTCCGTGCTGTCCTCTCGACAGCCAACACCCACGCCCTCCCAGATGCGCGACCAAGACATGGTCGACGACCTCTATGGCGCCAGCCCTTACGACGAGCCAGGCACTTATAACGACATGGACTTCGGCGCAGGACCCTCCCGTCCAGCGCCAATACCCTACGACGACCCGTACTCGGACAGCTACGGCATGGAAGAGCCACAGCCCTCCTTCACCGCTCCTCCCGAAGTCTCTGATAGTCGGAGCACGATCGAGCCGCGGTCCCCCGAGCGATCTGACGGCGGTAGCTCGTTTGGCGAGACCGACCGCAGTTCCCCGCGAGGACGTGGCCGCGGGCGCAAGAAGGACGGTGCGCGCGGCGGGCCTGCATATACCGATGTCCGCGAAGAGCGCGGGCGGGGGTGGGGACGGGGACGGGGCCATGCGCGCGACCGTGCGGGGCGCCGGGGCGAGCGCGGGCGAGGACGCGGAAGGGGCAGCGGTCGGGGTTGGCCGGGGCCCAGTCACCAGCATGCGTACGCGGAGGACCGCGAGCGCAGACAACGCTCGCTGTCCCCGACGTCCCTTGCGATCGCGCGGGCGACGGGGCAGTATGCCGACGGGACCACCGTGCCGCCTGATGCGCTCCCACCGCCGCCGCCAGCTGCTGCACCGCCGCCCGCGGTGCAGGAGGGCGGGTGGTACCCACCGCCTCAGCCTCAGCAGTACCCCGCGTATCCCAGTCCGCCTCAACGTCAACATCAGCAACAGCAACAGCATCAACAGTTTGATTCTCCGTTTACGTATCAGAACCAGTATGTGCAGCCGCATATCAACCCGCGGTTCGCGTCTGCGTTTGGCTGGGACGTGGGCTTCGCGCAGAGCGCCCAGTACGCGCCGCCGTATGGCCAAGGACATGGCTATGGCGATGTGGGTTATGGAGGAGGTGGGCAGCCATCTGGCAGCTGGAGCGATGAGTGGACTGTCGCGGGTGGCAACTCGTCCGCTGGCCGTGGAGACCCTCAGAATGGAGGGAGCTCTGGGCCGTGAGTTACAGTACTTCAGAAGCGACGTAAATTTTTATTTCTTGATCATGAAGACATTTGAAGGAAGAGTTATATTTTGCAAATCCCGCTGGCGACCGAGCGTCTATGGTGCACCGCCACTGGCGTTGAGTCGAAGAAGGCGATGGCCCCGGAAAATCCCAAAATGGTAAGAGTGGTTGAGCAAGAAAGTTGACAATTATACTGGAGAGCAGCTGCAGGTCGGGCCACCGACGGCCTCTTTGTCTTCCCAAGGTCTCTTCCCTCGTGCACGCCCTGTCTCCCCTCACCCACCGCTCTTTTACCTCGGTTTTTCCTGTACCACACTCATGTCGAACGGCAAGGTCGCTAAAGCCCTCAAAATTCCTTCAGAGAAGGCGGCGGGCAAGCGGCGGGCCTCAGCGGTACCGCCCCCGCCAGAAGGCCACAGCGAGACCGACAAGTCGGTGGCACCGACCTCTGCGCAGGGCTCTCCGACGAAAGCAGGCATGCAGACCCGCCAGAAGCGCGTTCTCCCGTCGCGCTCGCGGAGGGGCGGACCCGGGGTGGGGGCCTGCGACACGGACGTGATGATCCTGGACACGATGCGGCGGAGACGTACGTCGCGCACGCGCCATCACCCAGCTTTGCATACTGACGTTGGTGGTGGACACAGTCGAGGGCGAGCCCCTCATTCCTGCCGGGACGCGCTTTCTGCTGACCACCAACTCCGCGCTGGTGCCGTCCTCGTCTGGCGCGGATCCAGGCCAGCTCGAGATCAACGCCCAGGCGTTTGGGCGGTATTTCGACCGCCCCGAGGTGCGCCGCGCGTACAGGACGCAGCAGCTCATCCAGACGCCCGAGTTCACTCAGCTGCCCGACGACGCGCACGTCGGGGGCCGCTTCCGCCCGCGCGGCTCAGAAGACGTTCGTCTCCCTCGTTCTCTCCCTCGCGCCATGTACACATGCTCACGGATTCCCCGGCGGCCCCGCGTCGCGCTGGCGCCCGCCTCTGCAGGAGTCGGCAGACACGTCGGACGCCGCGTACGAGAAGCGGCATCGCAAGTACGAGACCTTCGAGAAACGCGTGCGCCTCCGCGAGAAGGAGCAATTGAAACACGAACAGTACAAGCTGAAAGAGCGTATCGAGCAGCTGCGCGCGATGGACGCCTCCGCGTTCCTTGCCCTTTCCGAGTCAGACTTTTCCGACGCGCCACCGCCCATACCTCACGACGCTATAGAACTTGATGACGAGTTTGGCATTTCGCACGCACACGGTAGCCCTGCGCACATAGAGGGAGAGAGGCGGAGGAAGGAGATGCTGGACGTCGCGTTGGGGCTGGAGGAGCGGTATCATACCTTGCTGCCTCCCGATCGGAGATGGCTGGAGAAGAAGGCAGCCATGCAGGGGAGTGTCAGCTTATCGGTCGAGCCTGAGCCCGAGCTCGAGCCCGTTGCAAAGCTCGAGCCAGATTCGTCTGAGGAGGAAGACCAACTGGCGGGTGACGACGAACCAGAGCGGGAGGTAGAGGTTCTCCACCCTCAGCGCCATGACGAGGACGGTGAGTCCGAAGTAGACTTCGAGGAGCGCGATCGTGAACGCTCGAAGACGCTCAAGCTTAGAATCAAGTTCCCTCCAAAATTCAGACCCACCGAACCACCAGGCGTATCCACGAAGCAGATCACCCTCTCGCCTTATCTGAAAGGCTCACTGGTGGGAAAGACAGAGATTCACACTGTCACCAAATCTCTTGGCCCAAAACGCGTTCGCGCGGCAAGTGGAAAATTTCTACCAAAGAACAAGCCTGTACATGACGCCGGGACGGGCAAGCCACATCTCCGCAAGCGCCTTCGCACAGACAGTTCTGCCTCTACTGGGCAAATGTCTCCATTCCTCCGGAGAGGAGAGCCAGGCGAGTCGGTATCCGCTGGCCCTCGCCGAATGGCCGGCCATGCTTCGCCAGCTGCCTCGAAGCCTTACGCGTCTCACACCCATACGAGACACCACGAGCGCCCTCCGTGTCAACTGGTGCTCGCGGCCGAGCGCAATGCGGTTGCGCCGTTGGCGCGCAAGACGCAGCGGCATGTCACCGCCTTTGGGACGCGGGTTCCTCCAGAGATTGAGGAGGTGAGGGACTACCAGATCCCCGACTGGGTGCTCCCCAGTGATGAAAGCGGAGACGGGTGGAGCGAGGTCGGGGGTCGTGCTTCTTCGTACACAGCTGCAGAGGATCATGCATCGGTCGTCGGCTCCAGCATTGCGGTCAGCAATCTCGTCACGACGGTCGACTCGCCGCCACCAAAGGAGCTCCTACTTGTAGACGATCAGGATGACCCTGGTTGGACCGTACTACAAGACGATTGAGATATTTATTCTGTCTTATTATAATTCACTTCTTGGGTCACCTCCTGGTTAGTGCTTGTATTTTTTCACGCAGATTCATCAAAGTAGTGTGTAACTTACATTTTAAGTAGTAAGTAGTAAGTACTCAGGCTATTATAACCACGTATGAGCAGATACCTCTACGGAGATGGTCCAGCGTTCACCTCATTCACAATCAGCTTTTGTACTATCCCAAGTGCGTTCCGCCTCATCCTCGGGCCTGCTTCTGTCTTGCGAGCCATGACGAGTTGTGCGATACCAAGAGGAGTGCGCTGCTCTGGCTCGTTGAGCCCTTGGATCTGGGGAAGATACCGAGAGTAGTCGCCTCCGGAGTTTTCCAGGGTGCGCTGGACGCGGAGGGCCATCGAGGGGGACATGGTGGGGCGAACTTTGGCTCTAGGTGTGGGAAGGGATCGCTGGGCAGGAGGTGACTCCGTCTGAAGCTCTAATGCAGCGACCCGAGGGGCAGTGGACCGTTGCGCTGCAGAGGGAGCACCGAACAGTTTATCCAAGTCGGTCGTTTGGATCTCCATGGACCCAGCAGGTGCCTTGGTATGTGACGGTTTGTCTCTCCCGGCCTTCCGCACCTTCCCCCGTACCTCTTTCGCCTCTTCTACTGCCTCTGCATGAACTCGCTGGTCGGCCTGGCGTTGGCGCGCACCCGGTGGACGAGCCTCGCTGCGTGAAGGCTTTGTGTGCACCTCCTCCACCTTATCCTTCGTAGCGCCCTCCCATTGTCTCCTCGTGTCGGCGGTCACCCGTGTTCCATAGCTGTTGAGCTTGTGCGAACCACCCCTTGCATTGACTGCGATCGCACTGGAAGCTGGGGAGGCCTGGCCCTCCGGCTGTTTCGCACGGGACTCTGCCTTCGCCTGCGCCAATCGACGAGCGAGGGAGCCGCCAAACTCGTCCACCCCCAGCCAGCTTATGTCCGGCCTTGCGCTGTTCAAGCGTGTGCCCAAGCGTGAACTCGCATTATTTTTGAGTGAGCCGAGTTTCAGGGCCTCCGCTATAAATTGAGACGTTGGCTAGGGATCAGAAGCAAAAAAAAGCAACAGAGGAGGAGTAAATGCTCACGAATGAGGATGTTCCCAAAGCTGCCTGCTATAGGGATTGAACGCTTGCGATGCGGTATGCTGTTAGTCTGTCCGTCCGCCGACGACTCCGAGGCAAGGGAAGAGTTCGAGCGCGCAGCAACAGGCTTGAGACCGGGCGATGAGCGGGCCAAACTGCACTGACAAGAGGCCGTTAATGATGGTCGGGCTAACATCACAAAGCAGGACAACGAAGGATGGCCGGTGCACGTCGACGTCGTCGTGGTCGTTGTGCAATGTGCATGAGCGCGTCGTCGAATATTCGCTGTCCCGATCATCCACGTGCTCGGACTTAGCGGTACGCGTCCTGCGGCAGTAACGACTCGGAAACTTACGTTCTCTTCTCTGCTTTCATTTCTGGGCTCGTACTGGAATATGGGTCGTCTTATAGGCCGACTCTTCGTTGGGTTCACGTTGTGTCTGATCTGTTTCATCGCGTACTCGGCGCAGATCTTCATAATATGGCCATGGTACGGCCACGAGCTCTCCATTGAACTGCTTGTTCTATTGGTTCCATTCAAGTATGTATGGAGCAGTCATCATCTACCTAAACTTTGTCTCATAATTTGCTGCGTAAAGTCTGCTCGTAGGGATGTTGCTATGGAACTATTACCTCTGTGTGGTGACAGATCCTGGCAGGGTACCACCAGCGTGGGTTCGTTCGTGATGCCTACGCGCGCTCGCGAAATACGTGCTAAGCATCGTCCTTAAAAGCAACCTGACCTGCAGGATGGCGACGGTTATGAAGTGAAGAAAAACACGCGAGGACCCCGATATTGTCGCACATGCGAGAGCTACAAGCCTCCTCGCGCACACCATTGCAAGCAATGCAAAAGGTATTTCAATACTTTCGAAGCCGTATCATGGTAACAGAATAGAGATCTGCGGTGTTCAGGTGTATACTGCGTATGGGTAAGTGGTAGCCCCTTCGTACTCATCGTGACACTCATCCCGACGCTCACAGATCACCACTGTCCATGGGTAAATAACTGTATTGGCCATTTCAACTATGGCCATTTCCTGCGCTTCCTATTCTACGTCGATATCGCGTGCTCATATCATGCCGCGATGGTCACTCGTAGAGTGTATGTCGCTTCCGTGGGCAATTATTTTGTTCGTCTCCAGTGCATGTACTATACCAATGCTGGGTACTGAATTCTTGTTCGAAGGATTACCTGAGCGGAACTGAGCTCATTTTTATTATTTTGAACTATGTCACCTGCTTGCCAGTGCTGCTTGCAGTCGGTGGATTCAGGTTTGTTAGTCTGCTAGCTACAAACGCCCGATTGCTCACCATGGTCGTGCAGTCTCTATCACCTATATTCTCTCCTAGGCAACAGTACCACGATAGAAGGATGGGAGAAGGACAAGGCTGCTACCCTTGTCAGGCACGGCAAAATCCGGGAGGTAGGTTTCTACCACACAACTGTGATAAATTCCTGCTAATTTGCCTACCAGATCAAGTTTCCTTACGTGGGTCTACCAATTCCGATGTTTATGTGAAGAGCGACCTTGACGTTGTTCTACGTTGTAGAACCTCGGCATGCGACTTAACGTTGAATCCGTGCTTGGAGCCAATCCTCTTCTGTGGTGTTGGCCGACCGTCACTCCCGGAACAGGACTGAAATACCAGCTTGCGTACGGAGACGGTAAGTGGATCGAACTTACTGCGAAGAGGAACAACGACGGGTACGGCGTGGATCACGGCTACGGCCATGCAGTGCCAGAGCCGTGATCAGATAAATTTGAGCCCCTCTCAGGTGTGCAACTATCACGATACCATTACTATGTAAGCACTCATGCATTACCTGTTTACAGTCCTCTTTCGCAGTGTCTTATCCGTCGGTGGTTCAATGCTAACGTTCTTGTACAGACTCAACCGCGGAGGCATGGCCACCACAAGATCCAAATAGAACATATACATACCCAGAGCCCGACCAGAACCATAAATTCAGCCTCCCCTCCACTCCATGGACATACGAAAACGGCACACTCAATCCGAACCTTCAGCCGTCCAACCCGCGCCTCCGCTCCTCCTCCACCCGCCGCAGAAAGCCCAAAGGTCCCGGATACTCTTCACTGCCACCATACCATCCAGACTTCCACGAGGCTCAAGACGACGACGCGTACTCCGCCTCAGCGTCTTCCGCGGGAGGCGAGAGCGATGGGGAGCAGGAGCAGGGCCTGGGCGAGGATCCCCACCATATGTACGGGTCCTTCAGCGGTGTTCGCGTGCGGAGGGGCTCGGAGGGGTATGAGGTGCAATCCGCCGACAGGGACAAGATTATGCGCAGGTTCCTGGAATGCCAAACGCGTGAACCTGGGAGGTACCAGCGCTATGTACCGGAGCCTCCAAGTGAGTCGGAGACGGACGAGGAGGCTACACTGTCCCACAAGGAAGAATAATCTATGCATACTATCTATCAGAATGAACGATTGCCCACGGGATTCTGCATCATTAATTTATACGCATGTGTACTTCGGAATATTCGCATAATATCGATAATGTGTTTTCACACTCGCTCACTTGCAAATGGAAAGGCCAGGAAAGCATCTGGTTCCACGGAGTCAACGGAAGTAGATTGATACCACTAGAGTAGGCCCGAGAGCATAACAAGTTACAAAGCTATAAACTGCAAACCGGAGGATTAACCGCGAGATATTAGACCCGATCCGAAAGAGCCCACCAATGGTATATAATGCTCTCAGATCACTCTCTCCAAGTACACCTTCCACACCATCCCACCCTTCACCCCTACCTCTAGCACGTTCGAGCCGACAGTGAGGTCGACGTCCCACTCGTCCTTCTGTTCTGCTATTTCACTCACCGGAAGCCCGCCCAACCGTACCTCACACTCCTCGTGTGGACGAGCTGGCTTCGCAGGCGCCTTTCCTTTCGCCTTGCTCTTGGCAGTGTCGGCGACCTTCGGAGGCGTAGTGTCTGTCTTGGGAGCCTTCTTCCGTGGGCGGCCTCTACCGCGCTTGACCTTCGGCTCTTCCTCTTCCTCCTCTTCTTCCTCCATTTCCACATCCTTTCGCTCATCGTCGCTGCTCTCCTCCTCTTCCTCTCCACGGGGCAACAGCCTCACGCCGGAGACATACACCGCTGTCTCTCTGAATCCGAGACGTACAGCCCAGGTCTTCACGCCCTCGGCATAATCGAGGTCGAACCGCCGCCCCAGCGGTTTAGTGGTCAGGCACACGCACTTCAGCTGGCGGTTGTTCTGAGGTATAGAAGGCGCAACGGGCTGCGACGTCGCCGCGAGCGCTGGGGTAACAGCTGTAGTGCTCGGAACGGATGAAGTCGACGCAACTGCACTAAGAGAAGGTGCACTAGGCTGATGGTATGTCGCGTTGGGGTAGTGTGTCGAATATGCGGAGGGGTAGGGTGAGGGCTGGCTGAAGGTAGCTGGCTGTAGTGTCCCGGCACCAAGAGACGGTGCTGGGACCTTAGGCTTGACATGTAACGGAGCATGTGCGGGGGCTGAGGACATAGGCTGATTGGGCGGAGAGGCTGCAGATGCCAACGGAGTCGATACCTTCGGAGGGATAGTCGGAGATCCGGCGGCTTCAGCAAGCCCTTTAGTTGGAGGTGCATGATGCGGATGGAGGCGCAGAACTCCTGTGGAAGACGAAGCAGCTATTGGAGTCGGCGCAGTGGCTGTCTGCGCTGTAGGTACCGATGTGCTCGAACTAGCCGCGGGCATCTTCAGCCTAATCTTTGGATGCACTTCTGCACCAGGTGCGTAAGCTGGAATCAAGAACGGTGCTGGTAAATCCGACATTAGCTGGCGGAAGGTGTTCTGAGGTTCAAAGTTAAATCAGTATGCAAGAGCTGCGATTCGAAAGTGGCCAAGAAACACACTCGAAGTACCACTGCATCCTCCCATATTGGCGTGTGCTCTTGGTTGAATTCCAAAGCGTTGGAGAAGACAAGCTCGACGTCATTGGCAAAGTCCGTGGCAGTGTGGTACTCCTTACGCTTAAGGTGTTTCTAAAGAGCGGTAAGCTGAGCAGGCCATCCATATCACACGGCTGTTGGGTACGTACGAAAATGGCTTCAATGCACTGGGGTCGTTTGATCATCTTGTAATATATCGGCCATTGCTTCCTGTTGGGAAGCTCCAAGAATTCCACCGAAAGAACTCGGCCACTGACCGAAACATGTAAGAATTGTTTACTTCAATGCCGAAGAAAGGACGCACTCATCATCGGTCTTCTCTACCAACTTCTGCAGTCGTGTTTTCAGCAGTCTATTCATATTAGGGACCTTCTTCTTCTTTCCGCCTTCATCTTCAAAACCTCCACCACCACCACCACTACCAGGGCCGTCTTCACCATCTTCTGCAGCATCTTCTGTGGTACCCGTCATCTTGGCGTATTCTTTGGTGGCCAATTTCTATGGCGATACGACGTAAGTCACAGACGCCCGACCGGGTAGACGAAGTGAACGAGGTATAGATGAAAAGCTCACATGAAGATGCTTTGCATCCTTCCATATCTGACTCTCCCTGATGTTGTACCGTTTCGCGTTGCGAAAACAGGTCTCAAAATCCTGCTTGATATCTTCCAAGGATGTGTATGCCCCTGCATCAAGCTGCGATTTGATATCATCGAGAGCTATTGGACGCTTGATCTGGAGGTAATAGTCTGGATATTGTCGCTTGGAAGGTAGACGCAAGAAGTCGACAGAGAGAGTACGGCCTCTGCACAGATATCCAGGAAGTAATGTGCCATTTCGTGGAGAAGAAAGGACGCAGAGAGACCGTAAAGAGTAAGCATCGGGGAAGCAGATTGAACTTAGTCTACAGCGGTGAAGCTGAAATAGTCACGCACTCCTTGTTCACCGCGTCCTTCACGACCTGCCACAACCTCGTTCCCTTCTCCTTCACTGCCTCTGGGTCCTCCTTCACTGCCCCAGCTGCCGTCGCATCGCTTTTACCGTTGGCTGTCTTGTCGGCTGATGTTGTATGTTCTTCTCCTGGAGCGGTGGCCTCCTTCCGCCGCTTGGCGCGTGGAGCGTCGATGTCGACGCCCGCGGCGGCAAGATGACTTGCTTCCCTCTTCGACATTGCTCGAAGGACGACCGCACCGTCCGGGATGGTTCTTCAGTCGATGTGGACAGTAGCTGGCCTAGGGATTGTCGCCTCTCGATATCTGACGGCCTGTACTTTCGCTCATTCAACTTCGTCACTGAACCTCGCGTTCCATATACGGCCAATTCACGTGATGCGACGCGTCTTGGCGCCGATCAGATACTAGGCGCGTGCGTGGCATTCAGTGGCGCATCCACCGAGAACTACATATTGCAGAGGTAGCAAACACTAAACGTTGACCGTACAACTCTCGATGAGAATGGAGACGAAGCAAGGCATTATCAGGTTAGTCCTTTGGGCAGTAAGTACTCCTTGTTCTGCCCTCATCAACTTCGCCAATGTGGTAGCACCGAATCTCGTCAAGACAATGAGCCAGTGCGACATCGCTCGCTGTACATCCTAGACGATACAGTAGTGATTCGTGTATGTGGTCTGTATACTTCCAGCTTCCACTGGCCGATGCGATCTACAGGTGGAGGATACCCTCTATAGGGTGCATCGTTATTTCCTCAAGCGGCATTCTTCTGTGTTTGCAGGATTGTTCGATCTACCTCCATGTCCCGATAAACCAGTGGAAGGTTCGGGTGACGAAACCCCGATACATCTTCAGCAAGTGGCCAGCATTGATTTTGAACGACTTCTGTCCTTGTTCTATCCGAGGTAAGACTCGATCCTCGCTGAAGCTGGACTACAATCCCCAACGTGTACCTTCCAGTACTAATGCTGACTACATCGATCTATGCAGGAATGTCCAGAATGGCGACCTCGCCACCGTAGACGAGTGGACGTCTGTTCTCGCTCTAGCCAGCAAATTCGGGTTTGATGAATTCCGTGAGCTTGCAGTTGCACGCCTGTCGCAGATTGCGACCCCCGTCGATCGCATAATGCTGTCGCGCGCCTACGACATGACTGGTTGGCTTATTCCTGCGTACGCTGAGCTATGCAAACGTGATGAATCTCTTACCCTTCAGGAGGGTCTGCGCTTGGGAATGAAAGATGTTATTATGTTGTCCCACATTCGTCAAACCATCAGAAGGGGTAGTTACTTGACAAGTATCAGGATGTCTGACAGCGATATCCTTACATATATTGACCAGCAGCTAAAATTATAATTTTTGTAATGCCATGTACTCACAACTGGATGGTTGATGTTGGTCGATGCAGGCGCAAGGCACAACAGCTCTTTGAGCATGAGTACTTGAGTCTGCATGATGATGATTTTTAGCTCGGACAATCCTACATATAATTTCATCTTCACTTGCAACGAGAGATTCATACTGATTAATGGTCCATTATATGCAACACAATGTAAGGTGAGATCGGAATAAACATATCAATGCATAGTAATACATATGCGGTGGTAAATCGTCAGAGACAGGAGCAGAGTAATACAATAGCCACGAAAATGAAACTCATCAAATGTCCGAGGGTAAGATCATCGACGACCGCTCTCCCGTGAACCAAAGTCCGGTGCTCGAGAAGCTCTGGTAACCTGTGCAGGGACGTTTCTGATTTTCCCTAACCAACCCCGTTTCGCAGCCTTCTCTGGGTCCGCTCGTGCACCTCGCGGGCTATTTGTCACATCCGCAATGGTTAACGCAGAAGAGGCTGGCGCTCCCGTTGTCACTCTCCGAGTAGGTGACGCCGAAGCTCGGTCAGAATTTGACCGCGACCGCACGGGCGTAAACCCAGTACGCATGGGTACCGTTCGTCGCATCCGAGGGGTCGTGATCTCCGTACTAGGCAGGCTATCGACCGTGAAGCCTTGGCGTGGGGCGCTTTCACAATCCTCGAAATCATCAGGTGCTCGTCGCTTCTTGCCAGCTGTTGAAGAAGACGCCTCTGGTTCCGGCTGTAGGGGCATGCGCCTGGTCTCGGGAGTGCGAGGTCTGAACGCCGGTGCTTGCGATGTTCGACGGTCTGGTGTCTTCGATCTGGGTTGCGCCGGCGGCTCAGAGACGACTCTGGAAAGCGACCTGGGAGCAGAAGCGGTATATGCTGGTACCGTGGGTGCAGGTGGATGCGGTGGTGCATGCTTGGATGCGGTGCGCTGTAGAGGGACCGCAGAGGTGGGTCCAGGGGCGGGCGCGGTTGGGGTCGACGATTCGCCAACCGGATTAGTGGAGGATGCTAGTTTTGTCTGCAAGCTCTGCACTTTTCGAGTGAGGGACTCCACTTTGTTGGTCAGCTTTTTCTTTTCCTTCAGCATACTAGGGGAAAAAAATTAGAACTTCGGCACCGCATACCGGTAAGTACGTGCTTACTCGATGAAGCGATCGTCGTTTTCTTCAATTTCGACAGACTTCTTCCGGAGAAGTTCTTCCATCTCGGTATTCTGTTCCTTCAGCTCAGCAATAATCTCCTCGAGCTTCGGGCTCGCCCTGAGGGAACTGACTTCTCGACGCAGAGCAGAAATGGACTGTTCGCTTTGAATCACTTGCATCGACAAGTTCACCTCTGCTGCCTTGCAGGCCTTTTCAATCCGTGTATAATCCGCATGAGACCTTTCCAGCTCCTCCTTCAGAGACGTAACTTGCTTCTCGCTGTAGTTGATGTCAGCGACACCAATCCAAATGAAGTAGGATAGTATACCCATACCTGTCCTTCGCTTGGCTCTCCAAGAATCGCTGCAACGATTTCAACCGTTGATTTTCGGCCTCCATGCTCGTGATATCGCATTGAAGTCCAATTTTCTCCTCCTGCAGAGCTTGCAGAGATGCCTCCGTTTGCTCAAGTTCTGCGCGAACGGCGGAAACTTCTTTCTGAAGTGATGCTTCCTGGTTAGTCTGCTTCTCCAATGCTGCCTGCAGTTCTGTCTCGTGGGACCTCTGGACGCGAGCATGAGCGTCAATCGCCGATTGTAGTTCCGCCTTGAGACGCTCAACCTCCCCACCAGAGGATTCCAAGTGGCATTTGAGTTCCTGTTTAGCGTTGGACAACTCTTTGAGAAGTTCCCCTTGCCGACCGTTAAGCTCGGCATGGGCAAGTTTCGCCTCTTCCAATTCCGCAGAGGCAAGATCTAGATGATGTTGTAAGTCCTTGAGCTCGCCTTCATGATCAACTCGCGACCGCGTCAGCTCAGCTTCCAGGCGCTCCATTTCTGAGCAGGATTTATCGAGTCGTTCTGCGACATCCTCCTGCAGGGCCCTTAGCTCATCACGAGCCTTCGTGACTTGATCCAAGCCATCCAGCGCACGGTTAAGTTTGGCCTGCAAAGCATCTAGCTCTCCTTGGTGACGCTCTTCCATTTCGGCAAGTTCCCCTGAAGCACGGTCAATAGATGATAGCTTGGATGTAGCCTCCGCTAGCTGACTTTCGAGCTGCTGCTTGGAGCGGAGAAGCTCATCTTGAACTAGAGTATCTGCCGCTGTAGCTTCGTCGTGGACGCGATTGGCTTCTTGCAACTCCGCGGACACCTTCTCCAGGCGACTCTGCAGACCGGAGAATTCCTTGGAGTGAGAGGCCTGCAGTTGCTCTAGTCTGTCCCGCAATGCTGCCTCATCTTGTGAGCGCGTAGTATTGTCCATTACATAACTCTGCAATTCCTCCTTGATCTTCTCAAGCTTGTCTGCGTCCTGTTGATGTAAACTTTCCAGTTCCGTGTTGGCAAGCCTGAGCGCCTGTAAGTCGCCCTCGAATTTCGTCTGCAATTCGGCCATACAGGCAGCGTTACTGACTTGGCCGTCAGCATATTGCTCCTCCAGCGACTGGATTTTGTGTTGCAGAGAGGCGATCTCATCAACCTTGCTTCGAAGCTCGTCGCCCGAGGTCTCGAGCTCTTTCTGCATCGTCAATTTCTCGCCCTCCAAGACTTGAGCAACATGACAGTTCTGTCGCCATTCCTTATGAAGCTCGGCGAGCGCGACAGAAGCTTGCATAGCTTCCTGCGCTGCCACGTCGCTCTCTTTCTGGAGAGCTTGTAAAGCAAGAGCCTTCTCTTCTAATGCGCGAGTGGCCTGCGCAGCAGCGTCTGCTGCATTGTCCCGCTCTTGTTGTAGGGAAAGCAACGCGGACGTCTTTTCATCCAGTGCAAGAGCGGCCTGTGTGGACGCATTGGTCGCGATATCCCTATCCTCCTGGAGAGAACGCAGCGCCGAAGTCTTCTCTTGAAGCGCAAGAGCGGCCCGTGTAGCTGCGTTTACCGCATCGTCCTTCTCCTCCTGCAGGGATCGCAAAGCACAGGTTTTCTCTTCGAGCAGGTTCACCGCGTGATCCCGCTCCGTGCTCATGTAGTTGACCTCTCCCACGAGGCGCTCCCCCTCGACTTGGACGACATGAAGCTGCTCTCTGAGCCGGGCTTCCTCCTCGGCATGTTTGGCCAATAGAACCCGCATCTCATCAGCGACATGCCGCTGTCTCGCCACGGTGGAAACAATCACACCGACCAACGTCTCCACCTCGGTGTCCCTGCTCTCTTCCATCTGCTCCAGTGTTTCTTCAATCTCCTCGCACTTCGACCGGGCTTCGTCCCTCTCCTCTCTGGTTGTCCTGCAATCCTCTACCATTGCGTCCTTCTCGCTCAAAGCCACTTCGAGTTCGGTAGTCATCTCGGCTACGCGCTCCTCTTGCAACCGCAGGTTCGTCTCAAGCCTTTTGATATCGTGCTGGTGGACACCGATCTGCTCTGTCCGCCTGAGCACGCGTTGTTCGAGAGTCTCAATCTGCTTGCGAAGGGCGCGCGTCGCCTCCCCTGAAGACATAGCACAGAGCTGCTGCCCGTACCGTGTGTCCGCTTCCGCGAGCTCTTGTTGCGCAGATTCTAAATCTTGTTGGGTGTGCTTAAGCTGCAGAGCCAGCGCATCTCGCTGGGCTTCAGCATCAGTGAGCGCATGCGTAATGTCCGCGACCTCGGCCTCGACGTGAGCAAGCGAAGTTGCGGTTTCTTCACGAGCACCGCGTTCTCGTGAGATGTCGTCCTCGAGCGTTTGGACCGCTGATTGTAGAAAAGACACCTGAGACCGAGCAGCGTCCGTCTCCTGCGCAGAAGCAGCGAGCTGCGTCTGTAGATGTTGCACTTGCTCGTCTAGCATCGCCACCCTCAGCACATATTCTTGAGCGTCCAGCAGTTGACAGTTGGAATGAGCCAAGCTCTCCAACAGCAACTCCACTTGAGCGAGATCTCCAAGACGCTGATTATCCACATACTGAGCGACAAGTGCAAGAACCGTCGTAGCGCGCTCGTGATGGGCAAGCCTCCTCTCCAACTCCTTGCGCGTCGCTAACAACTCCAGGATTTCGCGCTGTGATACTTCGTCTGTTACAGATGCGGACCGAGCGGCGATGTCAGATGCATGAGCGGCAGCAAGCTTCGCTTGGAGGTCCTCTACGGCAAATCTGTTCTCGGCCTTTATGAATTCTAGGTCCCGGCGTAAGGCGTCCCGTTCTTCGCGTAAACGATCGATTGCGTTCAGTAGACGTTGGACTGTAGCTTCTGTCTGGAAACCCGGACTTGATGGCGGGTTTTGCAAAGAAGCAGTAATCCGGCTTTCTAAAGCCCTGTGACGATCATGAGTAGGCAACAAAGAAATGAAAAGACGAACATACTGAATGTGCATCTGAAGGTCCGCAATCATTCGTCCCGACTGACCTTGTTCCTCCAAGGTCGACTCCTTCTCCGCAGCGAGTTCCAACAGCCTAGAGTCGCAGTCTTGCACCCTCGTCTCCTTCTCCTCCAACTGTCGCTGTGTCCTGTTCAGCTGGTCTGTTACGACCGCCATATCGCTCCTGTAGGTCGCTGTAATACGCTCGAGCTGCGCCTGGAGTGACACGGCTCTTTCCTCCTCTTCCTCCAACCTTTCCAGTAACCTCGATTCTCTCTCCGCGGCATCCTGTCCTCCTAAGCCACTTGAAATCTTCAGCTCCTCCTCACGCTCCTCTAGCACAGCTTGCATCTCCTGTAGCTGTCTATGCAACCGCCTCTCCATAGCAATCTTCTCGTTCTCGACCTGAACCAGCGTGGTTTGTGATCGCGCGAGACGATCCGATAGTGTAGTAATTTCCGAGACTTGCTGAGCGTTCTTGAGACGGAGCTCAGAGGTCTCTTGCTCAAGGGCAGATGTGCGGAAAGTGGAGACGGATGAAGACCGTCGACGACACTGCACCTTGGTTGTCGTAGCGCTCTCGCTCCGTCGGAGTTGCGCCTCTTCACGTTGCTGTCGTGCGTCAACCTCCATCCGCAGCTGCCGCACAAGCGTACGTAAATCATCGTTGTCACGTTCTAACCTGACCTTGTCTGTAGAGGAGGAGTCTGCATGAGAGGAGAGCATGTCAACTGTGGCCTGCAGCTCCCGCGCGGCTTGTTCGGAATTCTTCAACTTCTTCTGGACCAAGGCGAATGCTGAGTCAGTGTTCTGTCTGGTGTTACGTTCATTCTTGAATTCTTCTGTGCATCTTCCCAAAGCCTCTTCCAATTGGATCTTGCCGTCTGCTTCGCGACGTAGCTGTAGTCCACAATTCAGTGAGTACTAGTAACCGCGTAGCGAACACGAAATACCTTATCACTAATGTCGTTTAGAGTAGTCCTGATATCGGATATTTCGATGTCCTTCTTACTGAGCTGGCTGAGTAGTGTGTCGTTGTGTGCATCTAGAAGGGATGAGAAACGGAAATTTGGACAAGGAAATACCTACCTTTCTCAAGCAATTGTTTTTTGAGTGCGAAGACTTCGTCTGAGTCGTGGTTGTCTCCTATTCCCCAGGTAGACATTGTGTCCTACGGGGAGCGTCGATGGGTCCTGTAAAGTCGGGAATGTGAGTAGGCGCCCGTGAACATGAACAACGGACGCGAATTCACGTGATCGCGCATCCTCACGTGTATAACGCGCGTCTCCGACTATCCGAGGCTGTAACATGTTGCACATGAGGTTGCATCATCCATTTCCGTCCACCTCGGATTCACCGAGATGTTCTCAAAACACTCAAGAGACTACACAGATTTGTCTCTCGAATTGGAAGATGCTCTCGATTGGCAAGCAGGGACGCTCAAGACATTGAAATATCACTTCAATGTTACTGCTTTCGCGGCAGAACCTGTTTCTGGTCTTCTTGCATTTGGTGAGATCAGTTCACTTGTCTGCTCGCATTTAATGGTTAACTAAAGGTTTGTTATGGGTCGCAGGTACTGCTGAGGGCAGCATACTCGTCTATGGCGCTCCTGGAGTTGAGTGCCAGCTGAGTGTTCCGGATCCACCGAACGTTCGGGTGCAGCTCTTGCAGTTCGCTGTCTCGGTCTTCAAGTTGCTCTGTGTTGGTGAGTTGCGGACTCAGCTCCCAGCGGGTTGTGGTGTTGAACCTATTCCATGTCAGACTCACATAACCGATTGCACATCTGGGATCTCGCGAATCTTGGCAAGCCGAAACTTCAAAAGATTGTTAGCTTTGCTCATCAAATCAAGTAAGCCACCGACTCGCACTTCTGTGTTGATCTGACATCGGCATCCCGGTACACAATAGCTCCCTCACTGTATCGCCCGCACATGCGCATGTCCGTTTTCATCTTCATTTGACGAGCCTCTATCTCTCATCTATATGTCTCAGGCATTTGTCGCGCTGGCAAACGGAGAAGTGAAGACGTATGATCTTCTGTGTCTTCGTATCTCCCCTTATGCCGTGCCGAATACATGGGCAGATTATGAGGAGAAGGTACTGGCAAGCGGAGCCCCAGTGATACCCAATCCTGGCTCGTAAGTTTTGCCATCACCTTTACTATCTCACCCTGTATTAAACGAACTCTTAGCCGAGTTATTGTGGATATTAGTATCCATCCAAGGGATCTCAATCTCATGTTCGTTGTCTATGGAGGTAGGATGAATAGCTCATAGGTTAGCGATTCTTCTATCTCACATTATCTGGTTCAGGAGGGGCAATACTATTTGATCTGGTGCGCATTGCTTGTCGCAGCGGGTTGATCTGTGTGACCATAATCCATTCAGAAACAACGACATCTTGTGCATGCCTACGAGTTTACTCTGCAACCAGGTGCGCCAGGAGGAGCCGGATATCATGCTCAGGTAAGGATGAAAAGGACTTGTCAAATAGATGCCAGGCATTGAATCCGCGATTTGCAGGACATCCTGTTGCCTCGCCGACCGTCAGTAACTGCCTTCGCCGTTCACCCGTCAGGACATCTTTTCGCTGTTGGTCACGCAGACGGAAGTATCGCCTTCTGGGCTCTGGAAGATGAGGACAAGCCAGTCTTGGTGCGCACTCTTGACAGCCCCGCCGACGAGGATGTCAGCACTGTAGATGTATCGAGGTTGGACACAGCGCTGGTCTCTGGCGTACCCGATGCCGAACATGCAGCCGAAAGTCGTGAACCGATTTTTAAGCTCGCATGGAGTGGTTTCCCCAATTCCGCAGACCCACGCGGGGGTGAGACGGTCCTCACTGTTCTCGGTGGTCTTTTGCAGGACGCGTCGCCAGGCGTAACGACGCTACTTCTACCCGCACTCAATCCTCCGGCGCCCCCATCATCTTCTTCTGCAAATGTAGCCGCAGAACCTTCATTGCATCCCGATACACGGACTGCGATTCAAGGGTTGCTCGCACCATTGGATGTGTATACCTTCGTCACACTTGGTGCTGTGCAAGATTTTCTTCTTATGCCGCGCGAGAATCCCCATTTCGCGGGTACTTGGGATCCACAGGCCATTGTGCTGCTAGCTGAATCTAAAGTTGACTCGTCAGGAGATCTGCGCTCCGTGGATGCGTACGAGTTTCCCCCACCATCCTTCCTGATCTCACGACTCAGTCGCCCTACAACGCCAGAAGCTGATCCTGCGGAGAGTGAATATTTCGTCGACCCAGAGCGCGATCGACAAGCCGCTTTCAGCGAAGAACTTGCTTCTACACTCCAGTCGATGACCCTCAGTGCCGATCCGCGTCTCCTCCAACTACCATTTGCGCTCTGGATCGTTTCGGGAAGCACACTGGTTAAGTTGGACCGAGATGCGTATCAGTTGCTGACTCACCAGGATGATACAGACCACGCCGCCCTACCCACGAAGGGCGGCGTGGCATGGCTAGATGATGGAGAGAGCCAGATGAAGACGTTGAAGGTTAGCACTTTCTTCGTTTTGGTGTCATATTTCTCTGAATATTCGTGGCAGTATCAACCGCGCCGGATTGTGGTATCTTATCATCCTGACCTGACCATCACCTTCGGAGACATCAGTCCGCATCTACTGACCAGCTACGGCCACGACTCACCGTTACGCAGCGCCTTCCCTTCTCCTCTCCCCTCGTTGACAATCGAACTGGCGCCGCTACTTGCGGAGCAGTCTCTTCATCCATTCGCTCTGAAGGACAGTGATGCAGATCTAGATGCAATTGCTTCCATTCACCTCGCGCCAGAATCGCTCGAGTGTGTCATCGTCCTGCAAAATCAGGCGGTGATCTTGTATAAGTTAAACGAGGATGAGTCGAATGCTTTAAACTTTGTCCAGCAGAACTTGGCAGACGAAGAATTGGTATCTCTCCAGCACATTCCTGTACGCAAAGGCTTGCGATTCCTGCCTAGCGTAGGCGTCAAACCTGGGAAAGAGACTGTGACTGCTTGTGCAATTTCTGATGTGGGTCAGTGAGAATGAATTTTGAAAATTTGCCCTTCGTATTCATGTATCTGCGACAGGTTTCCTGGCATTAGCTTACAGCTCCGGTGCGCTGCTCATTGTGGATCTGCGCGGGCCCCGGATCATACATCGCAGCGCGCCATCTGCGAGCGGGGAAAAACAAGCTTCACACCTTCATCACCAAGCCTCTACAGAGCCCATCATCTTATTGACATGGACAATTTGTTCTATTGCCGCAGGTAAACTCGCTTGTCAATCACGTTGATCAAATGGAGTGATATGCCCTATTGAACAGACTCGACTGCGCGTGTTCGCCTTATTTCGAGCCCTGCATCGGGTGCCGCCTCGATTTACACACTTTCTCGCGCACCTGATGGCTCTTGGTCCGTGTCCAACCATCCTGAAGCCACCGATGGTGTTACGCATCCTGTTCCAGGAGGTTCAGTCATCCTTGACATCAAGACAGGCGCGCGGCTCCGCGCGAGCCGCTCAGCTCTGGCTGCTACGTTTAGTGGTGAGCCAGACACCGAGCGGAAGTGTCTCTGGGTGTGCGCCGGGGCGAAGGGTGCACGGTGTGTGGCAGACGTGAACGGAGACAAAATCGCAAAGGTCGAATGGGGTTCGAAAATTGGTACCGTACGCCAGGTGGAGATCGTCGAGAAGAGTGGTAAGAGGTCGCTTGCACTGATCCGTGCCGTGCTGATGCGGCTGGCTGCAGGCGCGTGTGCCCTCGTCGCATTCACAGACCACGACGAGGCGCGCGTGTATTCTCTCCCTTTCCTCGAGCACCTGCACACGCTGCAGCTGCCGCATATACCCACCGCGTGAGTCTCTCGCGCTTCCTCCGGTCTTCTCCCATGCTCACCGCACTGGACCCAAGGCACCTCGTAACGGACGATTCCGGCGAGTTTCTCTCGCACGCCTTCCACCCCTCCGGGCTTGCAAGTCACACCTACCTCGGCTCGCTCTTCGCCGCCCGACGCGGGGCCCCATACGCTACACCGCTGGTCGACCTTGCTCATGGCAAGCCTCCGGTCCCGCCACAGCCACACCCTGTCTCGCTCGGCCCGGCGTCCGGGTCTGTCATTGGATCGTTGCTGGGATACGTGGGTGCAAGCGGCGTGGCGACTTTGAGCGGGCAGCAGATCGATGCGCTGTGTGAGTGCTATTCTTATTGTGCTACGTGCTGTCATGCTGTTCCACATGATGCTGATTCTATTGGTTCTGTATCTTGTGCCCCGCTGACCGTCTCAATCACTGCTGACTGCAGTGGCCGGGCCAGACCGACCTCCTCTCCCTCCCCCTCCCGCGAACTCGTTGCCTCGGGCAAGATCGCAAAGTCCTGGGAAAGGTACAGACTCAGGAGGTCGAGCCACGCCATCGTCGTTTCAAGCTGCCTCATCGATGTCCAGTGGGGTCGGTGATCTTTATAACCGCCTGGGAGCGGCGCTCAATGAGCGTGGGTGCGCCGCTTTTGTTGCAGTATATCTTCCGTTGCGTGTGGTAACAATGACGTGCACTGCTTATGTTGCAGACAAATGCTGGGAAACCTTGAAGAGTCGTTCAACTCACTGCAACAGGGAAGCCAAAACATGGTGACACAGGTATGATCCTATCTTTACTGTCATGATTGTGAAAGTTCACATAGGTACGGGATGCAGGCCAAACGTTTGGCTGCCCAACAGTCGGCGAAAAAGTGGTATAATTTCTGATCCCCACCCGTCAATTATTCATGTCTGTCTCCCGCAACTACGTCACTCCAAATCATTTCTATCGCGCGAATATACTTGTATCATTGTATCACTACTAGCTACGTTCAAGAGACCGATCCGTATCGTACACATGTATCCTCCAGGCACACCGTAAATTATTTCTAGTTGGCAGGCGGCTCCTGGCTAATGAACATACCGGTCACGCTCGCTGTGATTTTCTTTCTCTGCTCATTAAGCATTCCGAGGAAGCCATCATCCCTCGTGGTTTCTCGCTTGTGATCCCATTCCTCCGTATGGCGCGTGACTTTGTGCTCGTCATTCGTCTGTAGTGTGAGCAGAGAATTGACGACCTGCCCATCATTATTGACGCAATTAGTGAGCACATGGTGGGCGCATATGTGCTCGGAGTATACGGGTACCATACCTTGGTGGGAGATTTTGCATTCGGGTCACGGTAGTAGGCGACATCCTGGTCGATCAGAACAGTGCTCTTTGACAAGGAGGGGGGGTTTTCCAGAATGCGGAAGCTAGGTATATCAGCCCGCGGAAATAACTGTTACAAGGTACAATCGTTGTTGAGCACGCGGTACTACCTTGTCTAAGCCTCGGCAATGAGTGGCACATGCGCCACATACCTTGACGAGCCCATTGAATTGAGCTCGTATGGACTGGATGCCTTCTGCAATCCCGATGGGGTCGTGAAAAACGGCATCGGAGGTGTAGATCTCGTACGTCCTCTGAAATTTCGTCACGATACAGACGTGATATCAGCCGGGAGAGATATGGATTAATGGCGACATGCCTCGGACGGTTTGCAAGTGTACAACTGGGAAAGCGATATCACACCATGTACCATGAATTTTGCGGTAATGTTTACCTCCTTGATACTTTGAATTATTTTTTCTTCGTGAGACTGTGCCGTTCTCTCTTTGAGAGACTTAGTTTCCTCGGCTGTCAGACCAGATGCGTTCAATGCTTCAGAATTGTTGGACGGCATGGCGTAACGTGCGGTGACGGGAGAATGCGACAGACGTCGTACAAGTTGATGGGGGGAAAGACGAAGGAGCATTCGGTGCGTCCAAACAGTTCGCCCAGTATATATACGAGACCGTCAAGCGCGATCCCGGCCCCGAATCGTCAGTGACGAACAACGGTGAAGAGCGGGACTGATCCTTTTTTGGTAAGAGGATTGCCGTTGTGGGCGAAGGAGGGCGGGCGATGACATCACAAGATAGAGGATGTCGTCAGCCACGATCAGCAACCGAGTTTCCGCATAAGGAATCTACTCTTTCTTGTTCGTCGACCTTATTCGTCGATTGCGTAACCGGAATGTGGCGGCTGTCACTTAAGCCGGCGCAGATCACTGCTTCGCGCGCTGGCGTGTCCGTGGGTGGCGCAAGCAACTGTGACCAAGTTGAACACAGCGCCGTCATAGCCAACAGCCGTACGTATGCTTACCTCGCATGTCGCAACTTTGTCAACCGATGGCAAAATCTATCGAATCGTCGCTTCGAGCAATCCATATGCTCAGCTTGAGTCGGTGATCAGTGTTCGAAATAGCAAAAGGTCGAAGACCGAGCCATAGCCATTGGTGCCGACCTTCTCCAGACCTCTGGTGAGTCTATATCGGATTACACACGACTCTGGATCAAAGCATGTCCCTGAAAGCATCTAGCGTGAGGGCACCGTCATGTCACGGCATGCGGGGAAGTGCTCAGCAGCAATTTCAAGTGTTCGCCATTCCTGCCGCAAGATGTGCTGCAGGCTATGCTATAAATCATGCTTCGTTCGGGAACGTGTGTCAGCGGAGGCTGCGGCCAGCCTGCTGCATTATCCGCCAGTTTTTGGAACACTGTTCGAGGTCATGGACAACTAAATGAAGATGACACCAGTTCAATAACAATCAAAAGTTCCGATACGTAGAAGCGATATTATATCGGTGGTCCATCGCTGCCACCCTGAGACAGAACTCTCAAGTACACACCTGCTGGTCTGTCACCGGCGAAACCTGGGAGATCGAAGCTTGCACAGAGTGCAACGTATCCCGTAACATGTCATGGAATAGCTTGTTGCATGAAACGTGACATATATGCATCACGCAGGAGTGTCGACGGGAAAACATGAAATATGGACCCAAGAGGCATTTGGGGCGTTTCACATTTCAGGCCTGTTGAGGCTGGCAGCCTGGCTATTATTAGCTCTTATCTCGTCGCTCCCACTGACGATCAATTCTTCTGCGTTGGCCATAGCAAGGATTCAGCTGCGCCTAGTCTTCTCAAATATACTTACTCTGGGAAGTATGAGTCAACTCGAAATGATTTACTTTGTCTGAGTGAACCACGTCACACCGCCGCGCCACACTTGGCACAGAAATCCTCTCAGATAATTGAATGCCAGCGTCAACTTATCTGCGTTCGTTGTCAGGCTCTGCTCGGTCATATACCTTCAAAAATGCCCTGGAACCGGGACATATACTGCCATCGTGCATTATTAACGAGACTACATTCGGCACAACAAATCATGTAGTTTGTCCCCCACCGCAACTGAGTACTGATCAACCGCGCCGATGTGGATGGGCTGAAGCCTGTGACGTGTAACTGCTGACCTCTAGGACCTCTGGACCGGGTGTTTTTCCACGGATAAGTTGTAATTCTATTACAAAGGTGCACGCATTCACTCTATCTTATCGTCCTTTCTTGGCATTTAACATTCTTCTGTAGGTTGAGGATGATGTTTCAGCCGCAGCACAACCCAGATATGGCCGCGGGAAATCCTCATAGGCAACGGAGGCGAGTCGCTGCGTTTTTCAGCACTACACGCAATTCTCTTTAGTATCTGTCTCGAGCGCGTTGATTCATCTCTCCCAGGTCAAGGAAGCTGTGTCGGGGGGTTGCAGCCTGCCCTGCCGTTGTACCACCGTCCATCGCAACACGGATCTTGCGCGGTGAAAACGAAGTCTCTTGTCTGGAGATGGATTGATTAATCACATTGCGATCACATAACCTTGCGACACCACGAGTCTCGTCGCTTCTTTCCCTGACCTCACAAGGATGGGCCATGCGGATTCCAGCCGTCGCCATGCGCTGCGAGATCGCAGATATTTCGCCAAACGTTCGCAATTCGGCTTTCGGCGTGAGCAACAATGCCTTTGCGTGCTTGCTTCTAAGAGTGGAGCAGATGCATAAATACCAGCGCATCTCAAACTCCGTTTCCACGCCTCGAGCTTCACTCGTATCGCACACTAGCCATGGCTTTTAGCTCTCTGCTCTCTACCCTTGTGCTCGCCCTCGCCGTTGCCGCGAGCCCGGTTGCGATCCCTCGGAACAACTTCGTGTCGCTTCCGATCGCCAGACGCTTCAACGCCACCGGCACTGTTAACCTACTCGAACGGGATCAGGCTCGTGCGGCCGCCCTCAAGTCGAATGCACAGGCAAGACTGCAGGGCCGCGCAGCTAGTGTCGCCGCCACGAACGCTGCCGATACCTACACTGTCCAGGTATGGGGTTTTTTACGTCATTCCACATCTGTCTCCGACATGCATTGCGTGCGCTGTAGGTCGACATCGGCTCTGCAGGCACTTCCTGTGAGTATACTGTTTGGTCGCTCTCGCCGGTCAAGCTCATATGATCCGACAGATACACTCTTGGTTGACACCGGCTCTTCCAACACTTGGGTCGGTGCGGGCAAGGCGTTCGTGTCCTCTTCCTCCACTGTTGACACTGGCGATGGTGTGGTAAGTCTGCGTATGCCCTGTGAGGCTAGTTACGCTCACATTCGACCCCTTTAGTCGGTCACGTACGGCTCAGGCTCCTTCTCGGGTTTGTAAACTTTGACAGAGTGAAATCGCTGAGACTGAGAACTATGCATGACAGGTACCGAGTATGAGGACACCGTCTCCTTGGGCAACGGATTGACCATCAGCTCGCAGTCCTTCGGTGTTGCATCGACATCTTCTGGGTTTTCAGGTGTTGACGGTATCATTGGGCAAGATCCTTTCCTCGCTCGGACAGTACTGGCATAGCTGATCAGGTTTCTAGTATTGGCCCTGTAGATCTGACTGAGGGTACGCTCAGTAACTCGAATGCAGAGATTCCCACTGGTAAGAAAGCTCGCCTGTCCGAATCACTGCCCTTGATGACTTTCTTCGTACTAGTCACCGACAACCTCTACTCTCAGGGTGTCATATCCGAGGACCTCGTCGCGGTATCCTTCGAGCCCACCACCTCCCAGAGCGTGACGAACGGTGAGCTTACCTTCGGTGGAACCGATTCCTCGAAGTACACCGGCTCCATTGCGTATACGTAAGCACAATGTGACCCTCCTGGAAAATCAGCTCACATGTATCACCAGGTCTCTCACGTCTACTTATCCCGCCTCCTACTACTGGGGTATCGATGAGTCGATCACTTATGGTACCGAGACCATCTTGAGCTCGACCGCCGGTATCGTCGACACCGGTACCACCCTCATCCTCATTGCCAGCAGTAAGTGTTTTCTATAAGCGCATGGGAGCCCTGTTAATGTCTTTTGTGCAGACGCCTACAGCAAGTACGAGTCTGCTACCGGTGGCACGGCAGATGCGAACACCGGTCTCCTCCGCATTACATCGACCCAGTACAGCAACCTCAAGACCCTGGACTTCAACATCGGCGGCGTGACGTACGGGCTTACAGCCAATGCCCAAATCTGGCCTGTACGTCCCTTACGTGTCCGTGCTCCCGTGCCCTGCTGACAGCCGCTGTCTGTAGCGGGCGCTGAACACTTACATCGGCGGCACCTCTGGCGACATCTACCTCGTCGTCAACGACATCGGCACCCCCTCCGGCGAGGGCCTCGACTTCATCAACGGCTACACCTTCCTCGAACGCTTCTACTCCGTGTTCGACACTGGCAACAGCCGTGTTGGCTTTGCCACCACTTCGTACACGGCCGCGACAACTAACTAGATGCAATGGCTGCTGCAGAGGGCGAAATGCAACGTGGAAAGGGACTATGTGGGTTTGTACCTGTCTTACGAATGTACTTTTGTTGTACAATTTTGGTGCAAATGGATTTTGTGTGGGACTGTATACCATTGTGTAGATATGCTAAGCCTGAGGCCTTCTGAATTCGAGGCGCCGAGTACTGTTGCGTCGGAGCGTATCACCATGATGGATGAGACCTCGAAGCCTGAGGAACAGTGATTCGTGGTAATGTGTCTTTCCTGGGTTCCCGTGATCGCTGCATCAAATCCAACACCTTGACGCCAGCATTCAGCAAGGCTTGTTCGACGGGTGATTTAGGTAGTATAGTGAGCAGATACGACAACTACCGTAGCTAATCTATGAGGACTTCGTGGGAGGCAACTGGTGGTGACCACTTGCATACCGGGTTACCTGGATGGATCATTAATGTCGTCTATAGGGCGAAGATTAGCAAAGTGGATACGGAATACGCATCGCAGGTTCGCCTTCGCCGGCGAAGTATACGCGCACGTGACCAGACGCGACGCGACAGGAGGTGGCGGAACGCGTTGGCGCGTGGGGAGATCGACATGACGTCACTTCCCCGCATTGTTAATTGCATCCACCACCCTCGCAGAGAAGGACGACCACCATGCCAACCACCCGCAGACAAGCAGCAGCGCTATTCCAGCCTGAGCATGACTCTGCTACCACGGCCAAATCAGCCGCTAAGGGAAGAAAGGCTGCCCCGAGGAACGTAAATGTCAAGGCTTCCCCAGACGCCGTGATGGGCGAGAAGAGAGAGGCAGGACAGACGGAGAAGGAAGTGCAAAAAGCGAAAGAGGAGCCGCCTGCGAAGAAGACAAAGATTGAGAAAACGACTGAAGGAAAGCTGAAGGCGGAGGAAACGGATCAGACGAATGCCCAGATGCAGGATAAGAAGGAGCAGCTGGGCAGGAAGGAGAAAATAAAAGTCGATGATTCGAATACAGAGCCTAACCTGGCAAATAATATCGAGACTAAAAAGGGCGATTTTGGGAGGCGCACCTACGAGAGCGGTGAGTCTCCACCTGCCTTGTGTCGCTATCGCCCGGTGACGAGAGCGCTGCAGGAGTAATTGAGCGAGGGCACATTTATTTTTTCTACCGTCCTCGCGTAGAGCTCGAAGAAGCAGTATCACTTGACGATGTCCAGCGCTTCTACATGCTACTCATTCCCCGTCCGCCGGAATTCAGCACAGCGCCAAATGAACCCTCGCACGCGTCTGGTGAGGAAGCTGAAGACCAGGAAATGAAACTGCTGGAACCAGGCGCAGATGTCGTGCCCGCAGCGGAACCGACCGACCAGCCAAAGAAGAATTTCCGGCTGCTCGTAATCGGCAAGAAGAGTCTACCCGACCCTGAAGTTGGAGGAGGCAAGGGCGGAGGGAGACACCAAGTCTTTTGGGCGACTATTGTTACCGTAGGTGATGACTTGAAGGAATTGCAAGAGGGATTGGGTGCAAGCACTTACGAGACCAAGACTCGAGGTGAGTGCGCCTGTTCGTTTCGCTTGTGCTTCGCGCTGAAACGTACACGAGGCACACGCCACCAAGGGTCTGCTCGTCTTGCGGCCCGTGGTGCATACGCTATCGTCAACAGCGAGGCTCGCACACCGTCAGGGCGCGAGACACACTTGGGGTACTACCTCTCCCATCCAACCTCCGAGAACTTTGGAAAGGTACAAACGGAGCTGGGCATTCACACCACGTCATCGTTTGTCTTGCAGGTGAAGAACCCGCTCGCGCCTCCAGTAGGCCCTGGCCGAATTGGGTTGCCCAAAGGTCGCCGTGTGGATTACCCCGAGGACATCATGAGGCAAGTCTTTGGTAAGGGAGGTGGGCGAGGGAGGGAAGATTTCGGTTTGAGGTTTACAAGTGTGGAGTGGAAAGATATGTTGGACTATGAAGGCGTCGAGCTCTTATTCATTGCGGCAAGAAGCGGCGACGTGGGTTTGGAGACAAGCTTGGGGGAGGGGAGAGGATCAGGTGAATATCTATGATGCTTCGACATTAACACAATTTTGAAGTTGAATCCCCAGCACTACACGAGAAAGAAGAGGACGAAGCCAAAGGAAGCATACAGGACATCTTTAAGGAACTTGCCATGGATGCCCAGAAGATTCCAGCTGAACCTCTTGAGGGTGAATGGGCGTGAATGAACTCGCTGAAAGTGATGGAGTTTCCTTCGCTAGCGCTCTACAACATCTATATGTATGAATGTCTGTTTTATTCTACGTACCTTCTACTGTCCACGATTCGTCCACGACTGCCATATTACCTTTTGTCGAACGGCGGACACTTGCTGTACAATGTATTCTGCATAACGGGGTGTATTCTGCCTACGCATCAGCCTTCACGCAGTGTGCCGTCATCTGGATACTCTGATTCCAGAATATGTGAATGTCACACGTTCAGGTTGGGGTATACAGGTGATACAAGGAACTGCGGCGATACATGTCGTCAGAGTCGTGAGTCATCAAATGGGCACGAAACTTCCTGGCGGACAACAACAGAGAGCTATAGCTGAGCCTCCGCTTGATCGTCCGCGTCTATCCGGAGAACCTTGACCCATTCGCGATAGTTAAAGTTTCCTTGTCGGTCAGTAAATGGTCCTTTCAGGAGTTTGTCAATCTGGCGCGAGATGTCAGGCAAGAAGCGCACGGGCTGGTGTTCATAGAAGACTTCATGCAATGGCCTAGACGTACCTCTTTCTCGTCCATGCGTTCCCCGACGTCGCCCAACCACCTCCTGACCTCATTGCATTTCACCATGCCCGTATCGCCCTCGTCGAAGCACTCGAATGCTTCCAACAGCTCCGTCTCGGTGTCGAAATCGTACAGGTGCTCGCCCATCATGGTAAGAAACATGGGGAAGGTGATCCCCCGGTCGCTCGCTGCGTCGGCCTCCAGCGAGGGCAGACGCGAGTGGAGAGCGCTGCCTCGGCGCGCGCCAGGGCGTTCAGCGAGGAGGTCGTCGACCATCGACTTCGACGGGGTGATCCCTGAACGCGCGCGCACACACAATCAGCACGCGCACCTGCGCAGGAAGACAGAGAGCGCCGCACCCAAGCTAGAGAAAATGTGCTTCAGATCCTGCTCGCTCACGACGCCGTTGCCGTCGTGGTCTATCAGGGAAAATGCTTCGCGGAACTGCTGGACCTGCGGTGGGGAGAAGAGGGAGAACACGCCGGAGGGCTCGCGGCGCTGGCGGGATCGCTGCGACTTCGACTTGACGGGTGTGGACGTAGGGGTGATGTCGGGGGAGAGGTGGCTGGGATAGCGAGACATCGATTGTATGCGTTGCACTGCGCTGTTGGAATGCGAACCACCTGGAATTCAGCCAACGCCACAAACCGCGTATCGGGCAACTCCCGATCACATGGACGCGTCACGCTCCGTCGCGTAGTCAGCTAAATTTACTCGTTTTACGCGAGAGCGACCTCAAGCCAGTATTCAGTCCTTGCATTGAACAATACACAAAGAACAACTTTAAAATCACTAAGTGAATAGAATGATTTAGGGATAGAGCAACAAATGGACGTCAGCGGTTCCCGCTACGTATACCAATCCCCCAAAGCATTCGCAATAGCCAAGTCCTAATCATTTGAAGAACCTGAGTAACATGGAGTTGCTTCCCAGTGTCAAGTATCTTGGCGGTCTCTTGCTGATAGCAGCAGTCACCACCGTCTTTGCAAATACCTCTGCGGGCATAGCTTCGGGCCCTTGACTTTTGAAGTTCTGTTGATCCCCGCTACGATGTTAGCCATGTAGGATGAATAACTTAAGGGTCCCCAGGGGCAAGCTGAAGGTCTTCATCATCGTCGCCGAGATGTTGGTCTTGACCCCACCAGGGGTGACTAGCATGAGAGATATTGAAGGGCATGCATTCCATGTAAAGGACTTCCGAGAGTGTCGTGACACATGTCTTGGAGGAGGCATATATGCCACTCCAAGGCATCGGCCTATTGTACATTCAGACCAACTGTGAACAGTCTGACAAGATGGATACATACGTCTCGCCCACGATCGGAGATATGTTCACGATGGTCCCACTTCTGCGCTCGGCCATGTGAGGGATGACCACTCTCGCCACTCGCAAGACGGAGAACGCATTCGTATTAAATGTGTTGAGCACTAGCTCCATCGGAACGTCAATGAGAGGGGCTGCGCAAAAATTAAGAGGGACGGCCAGGTTGGATATGATATAATTACGCACCAGATGACACTACACCAGCGTTGTTTACAATGATATCGATCCTGCCTTCCTTTTCGAGAATTTTCTCACCACCACCTGGATACCCTCCTCGCTTGTGACGTCCAACGCAGGCACTGGATGCTATCATGCGTGAAGCCTTCCATCCGCTCGAGCCTGCGAGCAGTCGCGCAGACTTTGCATCCTTGAGACGCAAATTCTTCACATCTAGAGTAAAAAATCAGCTTCCAGGTAAGTATCGGGATTCGAATACTATGCAAAGTACAGCGAAAAGCCTATACCGCCTTGACTGCATCCGGTGACAAAGACGACTTTGGGAGAGGCAGACATGTTGACTCGGGAAGAAGTGCTTCAGGCGCTATCACTCTTGTATGAAGGCAAACCGTAGACACAGGCGTACAATCGGCACGAGCTATCGCCTGCGTTGTGAATAGTTGTAGAACCTTACTGGGCGAAACGTGATCGACGGAATTGTATCACTGTTACAATGGTTATTCACGTCCCGTCTCATTCTTGTGTGCCAGTTTTTGCCAACACAGTTGTCGGGGACCTTGTCAAGCGAGCATCAGAGGATCTTGTACGACAAGAGTGACTGGAGATCTGAAGATCTAACCAGGCGATGACGATCGTCCATAGGTGTTGAGTTGCTGATTGGGAACAAACCAAATAAACCAAAATAGGGGACCGCGTCCAGCGCCGAGTTGGAATGAAATCAATATGCACAGAGTGGCGGCAAGGACTTCCCGATACAGTTATGTCCTCCGACACTGAACTCTTTCTTCCAACAACTTTCCCTTATCCCATCAGGCTCGTTGCCCTCGCCGCCCATCCCGACGACAAGATTCACCGTGGCGCGCGACTCCTCAGCTACTCGTTCACCTACACCCCTCCTGGCGCCAGCCCAGAGCTCCGGTTCGGAACTTGGGACTCTTCGATGGAGGGTACAGTTAAGAGATGGAGCTTCCGCGAGGGAGATATCATCTCTGCGCGTAAGGCAAAGGAGGTAGCCGCCGTTTACGTTAACGAGCCGTGCAAGCATGGCGTGCAGCTGGGCGGCCTGTGCTGCTTGTGCGGCAAGGACATGACCGAGTGAGTGTGCCATACACGATAAGCTCGTCCCCGTTCTCATCCTCGGTTGCAGCTACGATTACACTGGGTTCTCAGATGCATCTCGCGCGTCTATACAGATGACGCATCTAGCTAATGGCCCGACAGTATCGTTGGAGGAAGCCCAGCGAATAGAGAAGGAGACTGCAGAAAATCTGCTTAGTACGCGGAAATTGTCCCTCATCGTCGATTTGGATCAGACTATTGTGCACGCCACTGTCGATCCTACCGTTGGCGAGTGGATATCCGAGGGCGAAGCATGGGAAGTGCGCCAGGCGGAGAAGGCGCAGGCTCAGCGGGACAAGGGCAACGACTCCGATGACACTACGTCTGACACCGACGACGAGGTAAACCCAAATTGGGAAGCTCTAAAGGATGTCAAGAAGTTCAGACTCGGCCCCGAAGCGCTTGGCCAGCCACCACGAGGCGCGAACGTCAAAGGCAGGGAGAACACTATCGAGCAGGAAGGGTGCATGTATTACATCAAGCCTCGGTGCGTCCCCCGTCCAGTAGCTTTAGATCCACCCACTGATTGCTCTGAAGCCCTGGCTGGAATGAGTTCCTGCAGACGATGGCAACTAAATATGAGATGCACGTGTATACCATGGGTACGCGTGCATATGCCGAAGAAGTGTGCGCAGCGATTGACCCAGATGGCAAGATATTCGGAGGTCGTCTCCTTAGCCGAGATGAAAGTGGCAGTGAGTTCCCAGAGCTTGTATGCCATCCAGAATGTGCTAAGGAGAGTCGAGGTCTCACACAGAAAAGCCTGCAACGGTTGTTTCCGTGTGATCAGTCGATGGTCGTCATCATCGATGACCGAGCCGATGTTTGGGAGTGGAGTCCAAATCTCGTGAAAGTGATACCATGCAAGTACAAGATATATAATTTTGAAGGAATCACACTTATCTTCTCGTAGACGATTTCTTCGTTGGTATTGGAGATATCAACTCGACATTTCTCCCAAAGCTTGATTCATTAGCATCTGCTATCCCATCCGGTCCACCTCCTACACCGCCGAAGGAGCCTTCGATAGAAGATGCTACACCAACGCAAGGAGAGGAAGCTGATTTATCATTATCTATATCTTCGGAAGAACCACCCCCAATATCCGAATCTGTAATCACCTCTGCCGAGGAACCTCAGGCAGACGAAACCAGTGACTTCGTCAAGAACGAGATTCTAGAGCGCAACACTATGGCATTGGAAGCTCAGTTTGAAGAGCGGCCGTTAGCGAAGAAGCAGGAGGCGCTTCAGGAGGAGGAAGAGAAGGAGGAAGCTGCTCAGAGCGCTCAGAGCGCTCAGATTGCTGAACCGCAACCGGCGGATGCTGCGACAAGCACACCGCCCGCGGCGCCTGCACCACATCACCATCACAAGGAGCGGAAACCCCTACTCAAGAATGATGATTACGAGCTCATCCGTGTGCGACAGGTATGTAATCATGCCATCTTGTCTTGTTTATTCTGTTCCGATGCATGTATGCAGCTCTTGGAGAAAGTCCACGAACAGTTCTACGCTGCTTATGACTTGCGCTCTCCTGTCACCAAGACTTCAAAACGCAAAGGCGCTGCGCCTCCTCGAGTGCCATATGATGTCAGAGTGAGTTATCATCAGGACTCGTGTACGAGTAGCAGCGAGATCTGACTTACCCTAGAGCATTATTCCTGTGATGCGCGCGGATGTCCTGCGAGGCGTTCACATACTCTTCTCAAGCGTTATCCCGCTGGATACTCGTCCCGAGGTGACCGAGGTTTGGAGGACAGCCCATGCATTCGGTGCAAGGTGTTACACCGAGCTGTCTGGTCGGATCACCCATGTCGTAGCTACTAAGGTGAGACAACCCCTATCGCCTTGTCGTCTCTTCACGCGCTCATGTTATCTCCCAACAGCGCGGAACCGTGAAAGTAGATTCTGCACGCAGGCAAGGCGGGATCAAGATTGTGTGGCTCTCGTGGTTCACCGACTCGGTCGCGCTGTGGCAGCGCCAGGACGAGACGCGGTACCTCATCGACCCCGAACCGCCGGTGCCGGCGCGCCTTGCGAGTCCTCCTTCGGATCCTCATCAGATTTCTTCTGATCCTGAGCCGGATGCAGATGACTGGGACGAGGAGCGCACCACCGCCGACGGGGAGCGGCTCGCGCTCGACGAGGTCGACTGGGCTGAGGTCAACGACGAGGTCGATGCAGCAATGAACGAGAGTGACGACGATGACGGTGATGGCGATGGTGATGGCGAGCAGAGCGAGAAGGGACAGAGCGCGAATGTGTCGGAGGACGAGGGATCATGGACGGACGAGTCGAACAGTCTAATCAGGTTGGTCGGTCTGACAAGTTGCGTTAATTGTCTGTGCTCATATCGCCATGCAGCAGTGCCCCACCCTCGCCACGAATATCGCGGAAACGGTTGCGCAGCTTGACTCCGTCAGAAAGCGGGCTGAACGGTAACGTCAACTCAGATGCCCTGCGGTCTCGTCTGGCAAAGCGCAGGAAGATGGTGGCCGATCGGTCTGGCGCTTCCAGGCTCAAGGAAGAGATCATCGTCGATGAGATTCCCGCCGAGCAGCCTCCCAAGCTAGCAGCGCTGCCTGTTGGCGGCAACGTGGACGACGAGGAAGACGGGTCCGATGGTGACGCCGAGGATGACGGCGCCATGGACGAAGACGACTTCTTAGCTCGCGAACTCGAAGAGGAGTGGGGATAGCATGTACGTCATGCTCGCCTACCTGCCTTTATCGCATTCTGTGCTTTTCTAACTGCGTGTAGCTGAGCGGTATCCTAGCTCCGTATATTCTCTCACTGTAGCGTTTAGTGTATACTTGTGTGTATCTGGGGCATCATCACATTAACGGGACCTTCTCTGCTTTCCGGAGCAATCGCGGCTGATACCATAGCATTTCAAGAGCTCTTTGGATTGGTAGCGAGATATTCTCCATACAACTTCCACAACCCTTTCACGTCATGCCCTGTCAGTTCCTCGAATATAGCGGGAGTGTACTCCTTGTCCTTCATCGTCGCATTCAGCTCACGGACGGTACCACAGCCGTACCGGCTCTCGATCCACTCGAGGAAGTACGCGGTGGAGTCATACCCCGCGTCCCATTTATCTCCTCGGCCTGCTTTCCAGTGTGGCGGAACGAAACCTGCACGTAATCGGACCCAATCTAAGACCATGATCAGCTTCATGATGGGCAAGAGAGGGGGTCGACCACCCTCTCCAGACGTGCGCTTGAAATGGGTACCTGCTATGCCCTCGACGAAGCCCCCGGGGCATGTCCCGCGTGCATTGTACTGATAACAATGTGTCATTTCGTGCGTGAGCACGCCCAGGATCTCGTCCTTGGCCCGTACGGCGCAGTTCCGGATGTGGTCGAGGGAGACGTTGATCTCCTTGTGTGTGGGCCCGCCGGTCGTGTACGCGGGGACGCCCATCCCGGAGCGCAGCACCAGGAGGACGCTGCGGACGCTGCAGGCGGGAGCGGGATGTCGATAAACTCGGGAGACATCCCGGATGGCACTCACTTCATGGGCACGCTTTCATGCGTATACAGCGAGCTGCATACAGCGACTACTGCGTCCTTCAGCGCGTCCGCGGGCTGAGTGCTCTCCAAGAACATCCGCGCGCCGGGATGGGCGAGATCCTCGACTCGCAACTCGAACGTAGGTATTGGCCATGAGGAACTGGGCTCGCCATAAGATGACGGTGGCGCAGGAGGCGGCGATAAGTAGACGGGCGAGTAGTTATACGGAGGCATCGTCGCGGTTCAGTTGAGAGAAGAACATGGCGGTGTATGTGGATACAATCATGGACACATTACAATCGTGTATCAACCACCACATTCACAATGGAACCACTTCACATCGATGCAAGGATACGGGACTGAGCGCCAGGAAGCAAATTATTCGTGATGTATGACAGAATACAAGGACAAAATACGTGGGTGTAGAATACAGTGGTGGTACAGTGGTAGAAACGCCACCCTGGTGGACGATGAGCATAGTATATCCCTTGTTTTGGTCTGTCCAAGACTCACCTGGAGAGAAATTCTCAATGTCGGATGTCTGCCGCCGCCTCGACCTTGAGGACCTCCTGTAGCAGCGCCTCCCTCCCATCCTCCAAGAACTGGATGTACTCGCGTGCCCTGAACAGTATCCCGCTCTTGCCCTTACTCCCTCTGCCACGGCTACCACTCCCCTTCGGACGTCCTCTCGTCGGCATGCCTGAGCCCGGTGGGGCACCAGCAGGTGCGAGTAGAGTTGTGAGCTGCAGGTACCCGTCACGGATTGCGTTCCGGCGTTTCTGCTCGGACATGATGTGATTCAGCCGCTTCTGAGGGGTCGAAAGGGGCGGTTTAACGCGTGTTAACATGCTCGTGTCTGCTGACGGATCGAGAGGCGGGGACAAGGACGACGACGTAGAGGTCGTCGCGGTGGTGTCTGGTCTCATGTCGGCTGGCGCGGGCTCTCGTTCGGCGGGAGGTGGATAGCTCTTGACGCGCTCATTGTGTGCGGCGAGTGGGGGTGGTGGAAGGTCGTCGAAGCGGGGGTTGTGGTCTGGATATTGTATGGACGAGTGGAGTGTGTCCTGGGGGTCAACCTCGAACTCCCAGTTGAAGTTCTCGAGAAAACCAAGAAAGTCGGTTGTCTCTGAGGCGGAGAAGAGGTCTGCAGAGGGCGGGAGCGGTGGGGGAGACGGAAGGAGGTTGTGGAGGGCAGGATTGAAGAACTGGAAGTCGTCGAACGCGGGCGGTGGAGAGGGCGACATCGTCACGGCGGTGTGACCAGCCCGGGGCCATTTGGCTGGCGTGACCTCCGTGGCCGGGCCGCTCCGGAGATGGGGGTCCGGCATTGACCGGCGGGCGGCGAGACAAAAAGCGGAGGTCCGTGCCCAAGCTCCGAAGCACCGCCCATCACCTCCATGTCGGCCCTCAGTGACGCCTCCACGCCGGCCCAGGACGGGCTCCCTCCGTCCATCGACACTCAGCATCTCCAACAGCCACAGCTCACCAACGACCTCCAGTCTCAACAGGGCCTGCAGAATGGTGCTTCACCCACACCGAATGGTGAGGGCAGTCGGAAACGTCTGTCTTTGCCTACGTCGTCCCCCTCGTTGTCGCTGATCTGTTTCCGTCTGCTAGCGAAAGCACCATCTGTGCGCCGGGCTTGCACCGCCTGCCATACGGGCAAGACCAGATGCAGTGAGGTTCTTCCATGTCAGGTGTGTCTCCTATCTACCCCAACTATCGCTAGCTTATGGCTGAGTTGCAGAGCTGTCTCAAGAGAGGGTTAGGCGCAACGTGCGCATACCCTGACCCGGACGCTGACAATCCACAGAATCAGCCACAAGCCCGTACGTTCCGATGACGCATATACGCGGTGACTTGACTCCAGACATATCTTCTGCTGCTTAGAACCCGTTGGCTTCGTACCTCCTATGCCATATTCTGCACCACCAATGCAGAACTTCGGTCACGCACCCTATTACGACTACAACACCTTCGCCAACACTTCAACCTCGTCATTTCGACCAAACAAGCGGCCACGAAACCTCACAGAGGAGGAGGCAGCCGCTATCACCCGTAATTTCACCCGTGGCGACTTCTTTGTCGGCACAAGTGCCCCAGTTCGCATCGACCCTCGCCTTCCAGTAAGGCTTACCCTCGCCGAGGGTGATCAAGTCCATTTCTCGATTGGGGAGGCTATGGTTTAACTCTGTGTACATCGTTTGACTGTATTTGTCTTCTGGCTGTACTGGCAGGTGTGTAATTCTATTACTTCGCCCTGTGTATGTATTTTGGTATTGGTACTCTGATGGCTCACCTTTACCAAGGTGAGATGGCCGAGCGGTCTAAGGCGCCAGACTAAGGAGCGTACGAAATCTGGTCCGAAAGGGCGCGGGTTCGAATCCCGCTCTCATCATACGTTTTGTTGTGATATGCCTTTTTGACATAGGTGTGCAGTGGTGTTTTGTAACATACATCGATTGTGTAGTGAGTCCCCAGACGGCATTCCGTCCACAGCATTGAACTCTTGTTGTTTTTGCTTCAAATTCTGATTAGTTATGAATGCTTGTCGAAATCTGTGCAGGTGGCCTAAGTATATGTTTCAAGTCCATGAAACACTTTGGTTTTTGGTTAATGTGTTGGTCCGGATCATGGTGGCTGTAAGGTAGCAGGTTGTGAATGTTATATGTGGACTCTTGCCATTGTGTCATACGTAGGTGTGAAATCTCTACTCTCACAGGCCAAAACCCAATCCACTACTTGGCTTACTGACTTGTTTGGCAGACTGCTTTCTAACACTTATATGCTACACATTGCCTGCCAAGATTAACCACAAAGGACTGCAATTAGTCATTGGATTCAGTCATCTCCAAACATGATTTTGAGATTCTCGATACTCTCTGGGTCTGCATTCCCTTTGCCTCGGAATGCTTCCTTGACAATTGCAGTCTTCCTCTTCTGTATCTGCAAGATACGGCCTTCAATCGTTTCGGATATCTACCACCAGATTGTCAGTCCATAGACAGTGGCAAGAGACAGCACTTACAATGAAATGTTTCACATAGACTGTCTTCTCCTGGCCAATCCGATGCACTCGGTCAATTGCTGAACAGAGTATAAGAGTCAGTGGCCTCTGTAACAGTGCATAAAACTCACCTTGATTCTCCGTGGCAGCATTCCACCAGCAGTCCATCTGCAATCGGTTTTGACTAGTAATCAACAGCCGATACATGTAGCACAATTACTCACCATGAAAACATGATTTGCATTTGTCAACTAGAGTCAATGGTCAGTGATTTTGCACGACAAGAGTGGGAAGACATTGTACTGACATTCAAACCAACCCCACCCGCCTTCAAGCTTATGATTAGCACTTTCCCATCTCTAGATGGAGATTTGAACCCAGAAACGGCTTCGCTTCTCTTCTTTACATCCATCGACCCATCAAACCGGAACCAAGCCAGGCGTTCTCGCTCCAATACTACTTGGATCAGGTCCAAAAAGCTTGTAAACTGGGAGAAGACGACAGCTCGGAAGCTGGGGTCCTGGTCCCTCAGTCGGCCTAATAGACGTTCAGCACTCGCCCGAAACATAAGATAGGACACTGACGGAGGTTCTGCATCAACGCTTCGAGCTTCGTCGAAGATCGGAAGTCGTTGCGCCGCAAGGTGACCACAGGCTCGGGAACCTCGGCTTTTGCGTTGTCGGTCGACTCATGCGGCGTCCGCACGACTTCGAGCAAGTCGCTCTCCTACGGACGTAATCATAAGGCGACGACCCTCCAATGATCTGAAGCGTCTCACCTTCAGCGGACCTCGCGAACAAGTTGGGCACCTGCCATCCTCCCCCTTATCGCGACATGTCTCAATGAACGCTACGATACAATCCTTGCAGCTGAAGCGCATGAAGCGCAGATGTGAAGTCAGCCCAGAGTACAAGTGCGACGACCAACCAGACGGGCGTACCATTGGTGCATACAGCTAGGAATAATGGTAGGCGCATCCATCACGTCGAAGCATATGGGACATTCAGTGCCGCCGTCTTGCCCGAGATTGGCCAGGACATCTTCGGCGAAGACCTTACTGTCACCTACAGTGTTGTCTCCTTCGCCGAAACGCTTGATTAAGGTGTTGACATCGACAACACCGTCCCCCTTTCGATCAGCGTCAGGCTTTTCGTCCGTCTTTTTGTCGGAGAGCACCAAGTTGGGATGAAGAACGGCGCGTCGTAGTCTGTGCAACTCGATCAGCATGTTGTATGGACGAGAACGCGCCTAACGAACCGCATGAGCATGGCGAGGATGTGAGTGTAGTTCCTGCTGACGAGACCTCTCGCATTGAGCTGGTCGAAGTCCTTCTTTGCGTCTGAGTACAGGGAGTCGTATATTTTCCGCTCTAAAGGAGAGAATTCCAGGCTTTCAAAGATCACCTATAGCGCAACAAGATGTCCAGCAAGGTAACGGCCCCACAACCTAGAAGGTCTCACCTCTTTACCAGGAAGGTCTACGATTCTCTTCCCATCTGTATCGAGCATATCTTTCTCGCGTCTTAGTAAGACGCTTTCCAGAATAATTTGCACTACTTCGACAGCCTTGGGATCCCGGGCAAGGAAAGGTAACGTGATGAACCTGAGCGACATCGGTAACCGAACATCAGGAATACGAACTGGTGGGAAGGAAGTTGCACTGACGAACGGAAGAAGGTATAATCCGACCAGGGAGTAAAATCAAGAAATTTCCTGAAGATATCCACGTAAATCGGGCACTCTGGATACCCGCAGTACACTTACAATAATGAATATAGATCCTCCAGTCGATTCACGATAGGCGTCCCTACATTGCGAACGTTCTCAGTACCATTCGTAAATCGTTATGCGCAACTCACCTGTCACCGCCCACCGCCTTCGAGCGCGCAAAGCATACACGGCTTTTGCAGTCTTGCTCTGCCGCGATTTGCAGTGATGAGCCTCATCCAGCACAACACCTGTCACGCATGGGTACTTCACTGGCGACTCAAGTAAGAACGTACTTACGAAGCCATTCAGCTGCAGGTGAGTATATACGTAGCACATGAGCCGCGACGCTTAGGACGGTATTTGGGACTCACTCTCGAAGACTGGTGATATTTGACCGCTACTCGACCTCTCGCCTTTCGCATGCTCCGATACAAGGGTCCCATAAGAGGTGATAACCACATCAACAGCATTATCATCGTCTAGCAGAGAATCAAGATCCGCGCGATTCTGACTGTGCCAGACAAGGGCCTTCAATGTGCCCGGTTGACTGGACCTCTGAAGTTCCTCGGCCCATTGAGAAAGAAGCGAGGTAGGAGCTACGATGAGCGTCGCAGACGGGCCTCTAGACTCCCTCCCATGGTGCTTGGACACAGAGCGGAACGCGCTGTTTAACTTCAGTTGACGATTCTTTGTACAGCTACGATTGGCATCTACGCTAGGCGCTTCTGGCCCGCGCGCAGTCTGGATGAGAGCTGACAGCATGATAGTCTTGCCCATTCCCACTGTGGAAAGATTGTGAGTATCACAAACGCTTGAAGGGAGAGCCTACGAACTCTCTGCATGAATGACAACAATGTGTCACGGTGAGATTCAGCTCAAACAGAAAACGGTGTAGAAGAAAACGTCACCGTCTCTGAAGGGAGCGAGTCAGCACAGTTCTACGGGTGCCGCAAGGTCACTACATACGCAAGAATACCACCCCGACATTTCCGCTCCGCCTTCGGAAATTCCAGGCTCAGCTCCCCCGAATACTCATTAAAGTAGAAGGCTTTCTCGTCCGTCAGGTCGATCATATTTTTACCTGGTTCGGGAGGGAAAGTATACCTAGGCGGAAGTCAGCTTATGGGAGTCGGTGATTGACGGTGGGCCGTACTCCTTCCATAGAGGATGCATCGACCGTGCTTCGCGTGCGGATGCGATCCCGGTTTCGATTGAGTACATCCAACTGCATCATTATCAGTCTGGAGGAGAGCGACGTAAGTGGGTGTGACTGACAGCAATGCTTGCTTCTGGTATCCGCGCAATGAGAGAGAAAACGTGTCCGCAGGGTCCATTTCGCCGAGCTTCTGGTCATTTTGCTGAGCCCTGAGCGAGAGCTTAGTGACTCTACATGGTGAGCTAAACAAAGGCCACCACCTTTTGTAGATAAGATCAAGCTCGTTGTCGGAGATATCGTCGCCCTCTCCTTCTACTTCAACCTCTTCTCCATCGCCAACTATCTCCGTTCTTACCGGCTTCTTGCCCTTGTCAATTTGGGGTTGTTGAGTCAGCACCTCGAGGTCTTTCTTCTCCAGTTCACCACGCGACTTTCGAGTGAAGCTGCTTCCTCTTGTCGGCTTGAGGGAGACGACTTTGAATAGTTTCAAAAGGGCGCTCTTTCTTTCGCGCAGCATTTGCTCTGTGGCAGTCTCCTGGCCTTCGTTGAACATGACCTTGGGTCTCTCATCCGAAAACGTGCTTGGCGCCTTGAAGGCTGTTGCCTTCATGTGTACGGACAGGGACACAATAAGGTCCGCGCCAGAATGCAGTTTTGCAGGGCAGTCTATAATGGTACTCCCCCGAAAGTCAACGATATCTAGTCAAACATAAGATACGACAACGACTTGAATTCAACGAGCGGGACTCACCGAGATCTAGCAATTTGGAAACCCATGATGCAACTTCTTGAGGCAAACGACCGAACTCTGCAGCATGTAATGAGTACTCTCGTTGATAGGTCACTTATATGTATGCATTACCGAAGCCTGATTTGTTTGTCAGACGGACAACGAGGTTCTCCTTCTTCTTGGTCGGTTTCGCTTGAGGCTTTAGCATTGTAGCAATCGAAAGCTGCCGTTTCCCGCGCTTCCCTTTTGCATCCTTCGACGAAGACAACTTCACAATTGGAGGTTTCAGCTCCTCCTGAGTATCGCGGTCAACGCAGATTTCATCTCCTGGCTTGACGTATCCGGTCCCACGCACAGTGCTCCACGCGTTCCCAACCAAGAACGAGCCAACATACGCTGAAGTAAACACATTCGCAGTGCCCTCATCAGGTGGGGGAGAAAACCGCTGCTTTTTTGCTGGACGTTCTTCATAGTGAACGGAAGAAGCGGGTGAGGTCGGCCTAAGGTCGTGTGTAGACGATGCGCTGCTCGGGACGCTGGAGGCTCTAGGTACCTCATCAATATCCGGTATCTTTATGTCGCTATCCAGGTCCATCATCTCGTCTGCAAACGTCTCTGCCTGTATAATCCTTGCTGGGTCGGTCGTAGGTGCAACTATGTCTTCATTGTCGTCTGAGTCGCTGTCGGCGAAGAACAGTGGTTTCTGCGTAGAGGAATGAACATATCCATAAGACTGGTGTTCGGAGGTATTAATGACTGGGTCGTCTTCGTCGTCGGAGCCAGCAAATAAGGTAGACATGGTAGAGCTGGGGAGAGAGGTACGCGTCTCAGCCACCAGCGCGTTTTCCTCCAAACAAACGTCAACTCGGTACTTTCCGCGCCTGCGAAGCACGAACAGTGTTTGGAAGTGGACTCTTCGAAAGACAAAATGCAGCGCGCTCTGCCTATGGTATGTTCACCATCTCCTATCTAACTTTTTCTGGACTTATGTCCGTAGCAACCCACTGTGGTCCTCCTGAAGGAGGGCACAGACACTTCCCAAGGCAAAGCCCAGCTACTCTCAAACATCTCGGCATGCCTCGCCATCTCGGAAATGCTGTCGAGTACGCTCGGTCCAAGAGGAATGGACAAATTAATTGTCTCGGAACGCGGAGAGGCTCAGATCACTAATGATGGTGCAACTATCCTGAAACTACTCGACATCGTACACCCTGCGGCGAGGACACTTGTCGATATTGCGCGCGCCCAGGATGCTGAGGTTGGCGATGGCACCACCAGCGTAGTTCTTTTGGCTGCGCAGATGCTGAAGGAAGTGCGGGGTTACATCGAAGAGGGTGTCAGTCCACAAGTCATCATGAAGGGGTTCCGACAGGCTACTCAGTTGGTAAGCAAACTTGCATCCCGTCGTACGCGGGATCTAAGGTTGTATATTCCAGGCTATCGATCACGTCAAATCTATCCAAGTAACAGTCGACAAAACGGATCCAGAGTAGGTGATGTCACATACTGCAAGTACTATTCTGCTAAACCGCCGCTCAGAAAATTCCGCTCTCTTCTTCTGAAGTGTGCTGCCACATCAATGTCTTCGAAGCTGATACATTCAGAAAAACCGTTCTTTTCTGAAATGGTAGTCGACGCCGTCCAATGTCTGGACCAAGACGACCTAGACGAGTCTCTGATTGGCGTCAAGAAGATCCCTGGTGGCGGCATGCAGGATTCCCTCCTCATCCGCGGTGTTGCGTTCAAGAAGACGTTCACTTATGCTGGTGCCGAGCAGCAGCCAAAATCATTCCATGATCCACTGATTGTCAGTCTCAACGTGGAACTCGAGCTGAAGGCAGAGAAGGACAATGCCGAGGTCCGCGTGGAGGCGGTATCAGACTACCAGGCCATTGTCGACGCAGAGTGGGAGATCATATACCGAAAGTTGAACGCGATCGCGAAAACTGGCGCAAAAGTCGTCCTCAGCAAACTTCCTATCGGTGATTTGGCGACCCAATGGTTTGCTGATCGCGACATTTTCTGCGCCGGTCGTGTGCCCGCCGCCGATTTGCAGCGAGTCGTGCAAGCCGTCGGTGGTTCCATCCAATCCACTTGCTCCGATATCAGGCGCGAGCATCTAGGCACCTGCGGCAAATTTGAAGAGCGGCAGATCGGTGGCGAGAGGTACAACGTCTTCCAGGAGTGCCCCAAGGCCAAGACATGTACGCTTCTACTCCGCGGAGGCGCGGAGCAATTTATTGAGGAGGTTGAGCGCAGTCTGCACGATGCAATCATGGTCGTGAGGCGGGCCGTGAAGAATGGCGACGTTGTGGCCGGCGGAGGCGCCATTGAGGTACGGTTGAAAAGTCAAATTTCCTGTCTGTTGGCTCATTCCCACCGTTGTGCCTTAGATGGATCTGTCATCGCAGATACGCAAACACGCGCTCTCAATTCCAGGCAAGCTCCAGCTCGTCATGATCGCCTTCGCCAAGGCCCTTGAGATCATCCCTCGTCAAATTTGCGATAACGCCGGTCTTGACTCTACCGATATCCTGAACAAGCTGCGCATGAAGCATGCAAATGGCGAGCGATGGTTCGGTGTCGACGTCGATGGCCCAGAGGGTGTCCGGGACAACATGGAGGCCTTCGTCTGGGAGCCCAGCCTCGTGAAAACCAACGCGATTAGCAGCGCCGCTGAGGCAGCATGTTTGATTCTCAGTGTTGATGAAACGGTTCGGGGTCCTCAGAGCGAAGCTGTAAGCCGATGATGTTCTACAGTACTTACTACTTCTGCCCCGCTCATTCTGCAAATTTATAGCCCCAAACAGGTCCAAAAGCACCCCCAGGTACAGCACAGCGGGCGCTGAGAGGCAGGGGCCGAGGCATACCAAGACGGTGACGTTGCCGTGATTCATGAAGCGCTACGTAGTGTATCGATATCTTTGTTTGCAGATAGAAATTGCTCATGCTGCCGTCTGAATGGATGTCGCTTGTGCACCACGTGTCATGTGACCGGGTTCCCGCGGCAACGCCATCTGGAGAACGAAAACGCAATTCAGGCATTCCGTTACGACTTGCAATATGTTGAAACTTGACGTGACCCTTTATCTCTCTGCTGTGATGCCCAGGCTGCTTGGTATCTTGGTGATTATAAGGACAATGCTTCGACGGAGTGACCTGAAAGCGTCCTCGCTACTCATCTCCCTCTGGCGCTTCAGGCATGGCGACAGTTCTGCTCACTAAGCCTCTACAAACGGAGCAGGATGAGCCTTTCAAGGAGGATGGCAAAATCAGCCCGTCCGTGAGCGTATCGGATATCGTTCCGCTTGGGGCACCTATCGAAGGCGACTCTCGGAGACACTTCTGGCGACGAAGGAAGGCTGACTTGGACACCGTCGCGACCCAACCGTCTGTGTTCGACGATCCGGCTACTTTGGAGCTCTATCGTCCTCCAGCGGTGTACGAAAACGCTCATCGATTTGACCCGGATGCTCGCTGGACTTGGCGCGAAGAATATGTGAGCACGCCTCTGTTTTGCAGATCTTTTGCACTTATCATCTGTGAACAGCGCCTCGTTCGGAAGATCGACTGGCTCATCATGCTTTGGGCGTTCATCATGTTCTTTAGTCTAGATCTGGACCGCGCGAATATATCCCAAGCCAACACCGACAATTTCCTGAACGATCTGAAGATGACGACGAACGACTTCAATCTCGGCAATTCGTTGTTTAAGGTAGGTGCGATTCTTTGATTGACGCTCGAATGCAAGTGACGCCGATACGGTTTCGACAGATATGCTTCTTGATCGCTGAGCTTCCGTCGCAGCTTGTGTCGAAGAGAATCGGACCCGACATCTGGATACCTACTCAGGTGCATGATGTCCTTCTGTATATCTTTCTCACGCTCAACTTCTGTATGTATCTTAGATGATATTATGGAGTTTTGTCTCACTGGCTCAGTTCTGGATCAACAGTCGTGGGTCATTCTTGGCAACCCGGTACGTATCAAACGAGATTGCACACTGTATTAACTAATTATATACCTGTAGATGCTTGTTAGGATTCATGCAAGGCGGATTTATTCCGGACGTGATCTTATATCTTTCATATTTTTACACAAAAACTGAGCGTGAGTAGGACTTATATTTGATTGTGAATTTTACCCCATTTTTTCTCTAGTCCCCATTCGTCTTGCTTGGTTCTGGGTCTCGAACTACATGGCCCAGCTGATTGGAGCATTCATGGCGACCGGTATTCTCCGTATGAGAGGCGTTAACGGGAAAGCTGGATGGCGTTACCTCTTCCTCATTGAAGGAGGATTGACGCTATTGGTCGGCGTCATCTCTTATTTTATGATGCCGCCGAGCCCGACTCAGACTAAAGCGTGGTATCGTCCCAAGGGTTGGTTCAGTGAACGGTGGGTGTCAGGATATGACCGGTCCTGTATCACCACTCATACTCTCAAAAGAGAAGAGATCATTCTGGTAAACAGAGTTCTCCGCGATGATCCTTCGAAGTCCGATATGCACAATCGCCAGGGGCTGACGCCGAAGAGGATCTATGAGGTTCTGAAGGACTGGAGACTGTGGCCGCTCTATATCCTCGGCCTTGTACACATGAGTGAGTCGTTGCGATTCTTGGCGAATATTGTGTCCTTATAATTGTCATGTCGACGTCCAGTTCCCGTCAACCCTCCACAAACATATTTGACATTGTCGCTTCGGCACCTTGGGTTTAATACCACTATGTCTAATCTTCTCAGTATCCCGTCCATCGTCCTCGGCATCGTCACTCTTTTGATTGCCTGCTACCTGAGCGAAATCGTTAACAGTCGTGTGGGAGCCACCATCATTCTACAGTTCTGGGCGCTTCCGCTGCTTATCGCGCTTTATACGTTCAATAAGCACACCTCGCAATGGGTGTACTTTACGGTCGTCACATTGATCACGGGCTATCCATACGTCCACCCCGTGCAAGTGGCATGGGCGTCGACGAACTCGTATAGCGTTGGAACGCGAACGGTATCTGCTTCCATTTACAACATGTTCGTCCAAGCAGGGGGCGTTGTTTCTGTGAGTGCTGATCCGATAGGAGCATAACACGGTAACGAATAAAGCTCTCCATCTCTCTAGGCTTACATGTATCAAGCTGATGATGCGGTTCGTTTCTCTGTCTTCCCACGTTCCCGCACAACGCTAACTTGCACTAATCTATCTGTCCACCAGCCGCTCTGTACGTTTCTATTCGTCACTGCTACTCGGAGTCTAATACATCCTTTTTGCGAAGATAAACGAGGAAACAGGGCATTGATTGGAATCACTGTGATGAACATCTTCATATACGTATTCACATTCTTTTTCTACCGGGGTATCAATCGTTGGAGGGAGAGGAAATGGAATTCCATGAGTCCCCAAGTTCGTCTCGATGCACATGCTCCCAGGGTGACACTGACGGCCGCTGTCGCGTTTACAGGAACAACAGGAGTACCTGGACACCACTACAGATCAGGTAAGAGTCATCATTAATACAACGTCTACCGCAATTTGACAACTCTGTACAGGGCAACCAGAAGTTGAACTTCCGGTTCGCGTATTGATTCCTGTTCCCTTCGAGCTGTACTTTACGGTCGAGAGCACATGAAAAGACGATGTGGTAAATGTATTGTATAGAGCCGGCGCTATTCATTCGTTCATGTCAAGGTAGACACAAAGTGATAATCCTTCGTCTTGTTAACGGTGACAATTTACCTGCCTTGCATATGGGCCACCATTTTGTCAGGCGCGGCTTCACCTCCTGGCTAATAACTTCTGTCCTCCCTTGGTGACATGCAACGTTTTGTTCTTAAATTTCGACTCCTCGTCGCGCATATGCCTCGAGGGTTATTCCCCACATACTTACTCGAGGCGTAAATTTCACAGTATGCCTTCAATAGTCGATCTTTGAGGGTCCGCTTACTGTTGCGGAAGTATCTTGGAACCGATCTGTCATGCCGGCGGCGTCGTTCTCCCCGAAACTGCTTCCCGTTCAAGTTGTGGGGCCAAGTAGGTCCAAGTCACTAACGGCTTCCACCAGCTTGACCTCTAAGCAGTGCGCTCGAACTACCTAGATGCCGCGTCTGCGGCGGCTGTGCCTGATCATACATACCGGAGGCCACAATCGCCATCAGTCACTCATCCTAGTCTCTGCATGCAGAGTAGACACTCTGCTTCAACCTTCGTGCCCGTGTCTGACAACCCATCCCACGGGTCGCACGCCGCGCCGTCCATACGTCCACTTAGATCCAAATATTTGGTGATGGGCATCGGTTCTGTAACTCCTGGGCCTGTTCTCCCAAGTACTGACATCTAGACTCTCACTGTACTGCTGCCCTTGTTGCCCATGCCGTAATTTTCCCTTTGATATCTAGCTGCCGACGTCCATGTCATTTCTAGGCTTCTTGTCCAACGCCATTGGCGGCGTTAGCGATGACCCAAGAGATACGCAATCACGACGTGACCGACATCCGTGCCGTCTCAGGCTGTCCTGCTCAGTATTATATGAAGGTCGGACCACGGAAAGATGCACTGGCTGAAGTCCTCAGAATTTGTCCTACTCCACCCTTATGGCGACGATTCTGTCCAAGCACGTTTTGAACGGAGGCTCCGCAAGAGAGACGCTCTGTGAAGAAGAAGATATCCCCAGCGTCAGCGTGTTGCAGCTCGGGGAGTCTACAGCGGAAGATCGTCCTCAGCGTTCATTCTGGAGACGAGCTCACAGAGAGCTTGATTGTGTCGCAACACAGCCATCCGTATTCGACGACCCTGCTACTCTTGAGGTGTATCGCCCTCCTGCGGTCTACGAGAATGTGCATCGGTTTGATCCTGACGCACGCTGGACGTGGCGTGAAGAATATGTGAGATAGTCATACATGTGAGCGATCATTTGCTAACAACCTAGTGAGCAGCGAATGGTCCGAAGGATAGATTTGGTTATCATGATATGGGCTTGTGTGATGTTCTTCTGCATGGATCTCGATCGCTCGAACATCACACAAGCTAACACCGACAACTTCCTGAACGACCTGCATCTCACAACGGACGACTTTAATCTCGGTAACTCCCTGTTCAGGGTGGGTGCACTTGTGTCGGTGTCTTGGAGCACGATTTGACTACTTCAGTAGCTGTCTTTTCTCATCTCGGAACTTCCTTCGCAGCTCATATCAAAGAGAGTGGGTCCCGACATCTGGGTACCCAGTCAGGTTTGACGCCCACTATTTGCACTCGTGTCTTCATCGCTAAAGTGCCGTAGCTTGTCTTGTGGAGTTTCGTGTCTCTGGGTCAGTTCTGGCTGACGGGTCGCACTTCGTTCTTGGCTACAAGGTCTGTCCAAGAAGATATCGGCCTTTCTATTTGCTGAAACATCACAGATGCTTGCTGGGAATTATGCAGGGCGGCTTTGTTCCTGATATCATTCTCTACCTCTCTTACTTCTACACGAAACGGGAATGTGAGTTAGTCAGCCTTCTCGCGCCCATGTTACATCTAAGTGCGCTGAAGTACCAATACGGCTTGCATGGTTCTTCGTGTCAAACTACACAGCCCAGCTCATTGGGGCATTCCTTGCCACAGGTATCCTTCGCCTAAATGGTGTCCATGGAAAAGCGGGTTGGCGCTATTTGTTTCTGATTGAAGGAGGATTGACGCTACTAGTTGGCTTGATATCCTTTTTCATGATGCCCGCAGGTCCTACCCAGACCAAGGCCTGGTTCCGGCCCAAAGGTTGGTTCACTGAACGGTATGACACCTAGTTTTCTTCATTCGTTTTGTTAGAATAGTCGCTTTCCCAGAGAGGAGATCATTATAGTGAACAGAATACTGCGAGATGATCCCTCCAAGTCAGATATGCATAATCGGCAGGGGTTAACACCGCGGATGATGTTTCGGATTTTGCAAGACTGGAGGATGTGGCCTATCTACGTTCTTGGGCTTGTTCATATGAGTGCGTCGCGACTGTTTGTGCCCTGCAAACACTTCTGACATGACCATCCGAAGTTCCCGTCATTCCTCCACAGACATACCTGACGTTATCCCTTCGGAACCTTGGCTTCGACACGACCCAATCCAATCTTCTCAGCATCCCTTCTATAGTGCTCGGTGGCCTTAACCTGCTAATCACTTGCTATCTCAGTGAAATCATCGACAGTCGTGTGGGGGCTGCGATTATTCTTCAGTTCTGGGCCTTACCCCTGCTCGTTGCACTCTACATGTTTAATGAGCACACCTCACAATGGGTCTACTTCGCGGTCGTGACATTGATCGCGGGCTATCCATACGTCCACCCCATACAAGTTGCGTGGGCGTCGGCGAATTCTGGTGGCGTCGGGACGCGGACCGTGTCAGCTTCCATATACAACATGTTCGTGCAAGCTGGTGCCGTCGTCGCGGTGAGTATTGGTTATTGGTGTGAGGGCGTGACTGAACGCTACGCCTTCCACGCTCAGGCTTATATTTACAGAGCCGATGACGCGGTACGTGGTGCTGTTCTCTGAGACACGTCACCCTGCATAGTGAACTTACATCGCTTCGATAGCCCCTCTGTGCGTGCCTTCTGCTCAAGTTCTCCGGACGAATTTCGTGACATAGTCTTTGAAGACACCCGAGGGAACAGGGACCTACTAGCAATCGCTGCCATGAACATTTGCTTGTATACCTCCACTTACTACTTCTACCGCAGGATCAACCTCTGGCGCGCAAAGAAATGGGATTCCTGGACCCCAAAGGTTTGCCTCGCACTTCAACCGAAACGTCAACTATTGACGTGAGTCATACAGCAACAGCAGGAGTATCTGGACACCACGTCTGATCAAGTGTGTTGCACACTAGCCACTTGTCTGTTACAACGAGCTAACAGTAACGGGCAGGGCAATGAACGAATCAATTTTCGCTTCACACATTGATGAGATGTTGATGTAGTAGGACATAACAGATACGTATTATGTAACTCCAACAATATGTAACTGCAGACTAGTGAACAAACTGCTCCTTCCGCGCGAGTGCCGCTGCGGCCTTTCGCTGTCTCTTGTGCTGTCTCAATACAGACCGCCGCTGCCTCTCCTTCAACCTCCACGCCTGGTCATGCTCATCGACGTACTTCTGCCCGACGTTCACAAACTTCACACTTGGTCGACCGGGAACATCGACGACGTGCTCCTCAAACGTCGCAAAACGAATTGCTCTCTTAGCCGCTGCAGCTTCCCGAGCAGCATGCTCTTGCTCCAGCAGGCCAGGGAGAATAAGCTCCTAGAAAAAATATTTGAGTCAAGGTATCACCTCGGGAGGCTTGATATACACCTTGCCATCCACCGCAGGCTCCCAGAACAACCGTTGATACCGCTCACGCGCACTATTGTTGCCTTCTGCTTCGAACATCGAGTCAGCCTCAGAGGCATTCTCACCCAATTCCGCAACACCCCGGTGGGGATTTACGCTTGTGTCCTTGGTGACACCAAGAATCGTTTCCATACCCGCAAGGAAACCTGTTTGCAAAGGCTTATTCTGTGAAGGTGTGGATTAACAATGGCTACTTCGAAACACCACCAATTATCTTTCATGAGATTGAAAACGGTTGAACCATGGTCCGGGCGATACAAGGCGCAATCGACATATTTATAATACGGGAATGATTTGTTCTCATCACAGAAATGTATGATTTTCGATCAACGGACAACATTCAAACTCACCTCCTGCTCAACAACAACACGAAGAGCGAAAATATGTTAGAGATGACTGTGTTGGAGAAAGGTATGAGACTTGGGGTTTACCTAAAACAATGATCAGCATGCTGCACAACCGGATAGACGAGCACATGTGACAGTTGTCAGAAAGCCATGCATGTATAGTTTTTATAACCATGTAGATGTCTTCAAGACTAATCGATTTAAACTCATCATAGAACACTGCCGCAGGAGATGGTCTCGAATAACGCGTGCGACTAACCTTTGTCCAGTGTTCCTCTAAGCCTTTCAGTCTTAGAATGGCATCAACCCTCTTCATGCTAATACCATAACGCTCCGAAAGTACTCTGACATTGTACGTGTCGGGATTTGACATGTACTCCCTGTACATGATCGTACGCAGGTGATCGGATACAGGAGCGGGCGGTTTGAAAGAAGGATTCAACGGGAAGGGCTGCGAAGATGACGTGTAAGTAAAACCAAGTCGCAAGAGAACAGAGGTGGACGAACTTAACTACTTCTCCACCTAGCCAGTTCCGTGGTCGATGGAAAGGGTCCTCGTATTTCTTTCCTTCAGTGCTCAGCCATTGGTCGTACTTCGGGTCCTCAGGTGCCCTCTGGGCGTCAGGGTCGTCTACCTCAGGTTCACCTTCATCTTGCGGCTTAAGCAAAGCAGCAGATGCCAAGCGACGGACTGCTACCCATGAGCGAGACGACTCTCGTAGGTAAAGGTTGCGCAAATGGGAGAGCATTGCAGGTTCTCGTCATAAAAAAACTCGATTAGCTCAAATGCTCACGTGCTCATTTAGGGCAAGCTTGTTCACGCGAATCTCAATGATTTTGCTTCCTCCCAGTCATCGTGATCATGTCGATTTGCGCACCAGAAAGTCTTCCCGGTGCACTGTTCGATATCTTGAGAGGGTTTGCCGCATTATGTCCATCTTTCGCCATGCACTTTCCCTCAAATTCACCCTTCACTGAAGTCCACGGTTTTTTCCTTGAATGCGTCCTGCTTAACTTGCATCTTCGGAGGTACCCTCCTGCCAGACAATATCAGTATTCGTTCTGGAAATGGGCAATACGTCACTTGGAGGAACTTGTTGTTGGCGAGGCATGCAACTAATAGTTAGCCAGGAGTGTAGCTAACGGGATTTTCCAAGGATGCTGAGATTGACCCACGAATCTATTCTCATCTCATATCTGTTATGCCACAATCTATACCGTATGTGCGTATTTCTCGGTGAGATATGTGTCTTGTTGACTCGCGTAAGAGGGAACATAGGATTTCCTCCGCCCTCAGAGACCTACGCGACGTATTTCTGGAAGTCGGAGGGAATCCCCCACGGTGCGACGGCTCTTGATAGGGTGACCGTCCTGGAGTCTCGCACCGTGATTGAGAGCGGCACGACTGGTTTGAGGACATGGCTTGCGAGCTACGTTCTGGCTCACTATCTGATCTTACATCGAGGTAATCGCCAATCTCACATCTTGTGTCTCCGTTCGAGACATGCTTGACAGCAATGTAGCGCTAGTACAGGGTAGACGAGTCCTTGAATTAGGCTCCGGTACCGGCCTTCTTGGGTTGGTCATTGCTGCTCTGCAACAGCATCCTGGTCAACGAGAGCTTGCACCACCGTCTACTCTGTGGCTTACTGACGTCAACAGTGCAGTGTTACAGAGATGCCAAGATAACATCAGACTTCCCTGCAGTAGGCATCTATGCAACTGTCGTTGTCTATCCGACTTTCCTTCTGTCGCTGAGGATCGGCTCCAGATTCATCCTCACGTCACCCAAATCTCAAATGCCGACTGCTGGACTGGACGGATGCGGTTGATCCTCTTACCCGTCCTTCAGTGCAAACCTCATTGGCTGAAATGGATTTAGACGTTGTCGCTGGGGCTGATCTCGTTGGTCGTGTGAACTGTAGTCCCCTTCATCCCAATTGACAAGCAACGCAGGTTTATGATCCCAGTATCATTCCTGCGTTGCTCGAGACCCTCCATTTAGCCTTGGAATCCCGAAGTACCCCTCCGCCTGCGCCCCAAAGTCGCGCAGTTGCGTTCGTCGCTTTAACAGTCAGAAACAAGGAGACTTTTGCCCGATTCTCGCGAGCAGCTGGTATGTGTGACCGCATTCGATTAAATGAGAATTAGGTAAATCATCTATCCGTAGGAGACATGTTTCTAGTGGAAGAATTGGACAATGGTCTGAACGGGGCAGATGTGTTTTTACACGGGCCAGAACTCGGTAACATGCAGCAAGTGAAGATATTCGAAATGAAGCTGAGAAAGGATACAGATGCTTTATAGGCTAAATGATACACGGACATCATCCTTAAAAAATGACATTCCGCAAGAATTCTCTTGCAGCACCGCGACTATCCTAGAACGCTCTGAGGCTTGATGCTGCCACAGAAGCGACAACTCCAGAACTGGTGCGGGTTGTCCGCCTCTCCGCACGCAAGGCAAGTCCAACCTTCCGGAGTAGCACGGTCCTCCACAGGCGGACGGACCAAGAGGCATGCGGCACATTGAAGGTTCAATGCATCATTCACGAGGGTACAACGTGGACAAGCCCATTCACCGTCGGAGGATGGGGGTATTGCAGGACGTGAGATCGCTGGGCCGTGGCGTGAGATCGACGCGGAAGGCGACGGTGGTGGTGTCCTGCTGCTGGAAGGCTTGCCAGAACGCATTGAGCGGACAGGTCGCCGCTTCGGAGTTCCGGTGGAACTCGAGTGTCCGCTGTGGTCGTCCGTCTGGCGCACAGTGATAATGGGAGTACCTGCCGCAGACGGTTCCGAATCGCTGATAACGACCTCTGGCTCTGAGTCTGAATCCAGGGTGAGATCAATAACTTTGTCTTCGACGCTCTCCTTCGCCGCCTTCTCTGCCTCCCTTGCAGCGGTGGCCCCTGATGCGCAGGCCTTGTCGTCACGCGTTCTCCTCTCGGCAGCCTAGAAGTTCAGTCAGGTCACAGATGGGAAGGGTGTAGTCCAGGGGAGCGAAACGCACCTCTGCAGCTAATTGGCGTGGTGATTTGCCGCTCCTAATTCCTCCCAGACGACCGCCGCCGCTCATCAGGAAGTTGAGACGCCTTCGCTTCTCCGCAGCTTCGAGAGCTCGTTGTCGAGCCAGGTGAGCCGGCAAGTTGTGAGAAACGTTGGTGCCAAGCCTCTGTCCCTTGGAGAAGAAGCCTTCCCCAGAATATCCGGAGCGCTTCAAGGCATCATATTCGTCCTCAAGTCCCGCCAGATATTTGTAGAATTCGTCATTGTGAGGACCATGCACATTGTGGGTGAGCTTCCAAAGCATTGAGAGACCGACACTTTCAAGCCAATTTCACTGCGTACTTCATGTAACATAACATGGACGATGTCATCTTCTTCGAAGAATGTGTCTGGAGCATGCGCAGGGCGAAGCCGCAGTAGGATCTTCTGGCCTCCGTTTATATCTATTTTCGCTGTGACTATTCCCGAACCTCAGAAATGAAGACGCAACCTACTGAGACCTGATTATCGAGTAAGAATCCTCTGTCGGTGTTGTAAGGGAAATGAAAGGACTACGTACCCACAAGGTTCGGGCTTTCAGGGAAGAACTCAGCGAGGACCGGCAATGTCCAGCCGTGTTTACGCATTATAGGCTTGACAAGTGATGCCACTCGCTGAAGCAGCGGAAGTGCCTGGTCGGCCTTTGGACGATCCTTTAGGTGCGTGAAAGACTTGACGAACACCTCAGGCATAGCGGGAGGTCGTAGTGGTCAACAGTGTAGTTAGAGTGCCATTAACGGGGAGGTCTGACTTATAGCCCGCCGCGCCACGCGTCTGACGCGTCCTTGCCCGGAACCACCTCGAAAGCTCAAGCGCTCACTTTTAGTCACCAATCTATCCACGTTTCTTCATGCAACAGGTATGTATCATACACCACATCTCTACAGTCTACATTTACAACAGTACTTATGTATAACGAACAGAATAATGATATGCGCAACATGATAATAATATGCGCCGAGAAGTGACTCTTCGGCGCATATCATTATCTTGTTCGTCGAACAGCTGGCTGTACAACAGTCGGCAGTGGAGATTGAACATAAAATAGTTATGGGGTGAAACCACCTGCAGGTGAATTGAAATGATCACGCTTGCGGCGCCTTCACGGCTTGATACACGGATATTCTGCGCACGTTCATCAACCGCTTGTCATCCTTCCTCGGAGAGTCGCCTGGAAGGTACGGCTGGCGCTCGAATATAGGTAAAGTCGCCAGGTTCGAGAATAACCGCAGGAGCATCGGTTTCGGCGCTGGTGTATCGTCATCCTCTTCCATTCGTAAGCCGGGATAATCTGCGGGCCAATTGAACCTCTTACGTCTGAACCTGGATGGGACGTTGTGAGTACGGACAAGGAAAAGCGCTTTCTTGCAGTAAACGTACTGGTCATAGTCCCACACCCGCTCGCTGAACTGCTCCTCGGATATCGTAGGATCACCGTTCTTGTCCCTCTGATCCAGAGCAAAGTTTGTCAGTGCATGCTTGCAACCCAATAACGTATTCATGTTTTTGCAGGCATGCATCTCCAGTTCGCAAGGGTCAAAAAGAATCACCGTTGGGGGTTCATACCGATCTATTCCACAGGTAGTGCGGTAGACAACCAATCCGGGTGGCTGATACGGAGGCCTGTTGCACGATGAGATGCTCTTCTTGCCGCTGAGGAGAAATCTGGCTGCCTTGGGAGCTATCGAACCGTCGGACAGGACTCGAGCGGCCTTAGAATTAACATCTTCGCCCACTAGAACTGTTTGCTCGGGAACAAAGAGTTCGAAGAAGTGCGACTTGTGTGCATTACCAAACAACCCCGTGAGAAGTCGGGGAATCAGCATGCCAGGTTTGCAGGAGATCTTATATTCGCGATCCAGCATATTCTCGAATAGGCCTTCAAGGCTGGTAGCAATGTCGACACTCATTTCGTAGTTCGTTCGCGAGTCCGACGGTGTATAATCTCCGTGAAACCGACTGGGCCATTCGTGGGGGACAATGCTCCACGTCCTCGTCCGCCTAAGCGGGATGTCGCAACTGAGAGGGCCATCATTACCAACGCCGGAGTCCTCGCCGTCAGAATAACTCGTGATGGGTGTGGAGTTACAGGACAGTGGTCGGGTGAATTGGCATGAGGCCTCCGCAGGAGATGAGATGCAAGGGAAAAACAATTCGTCATCGATGAACTCAAGTCGTCCTCCTGGCTTGAGGACTCGTCGAACTTGAGTGAGAACGAAATTCCAGCGCTCGGTCGGAACGCATAGTGTCAGATTGGCCATCCTGACTAAGTCAAAGGTATCGTCTGGAAAAGGAAGATCGTCCTTAACGCTATGTCCAGACGGTTAAAGAGTGAATGTGCAATCATATAACAACAAACTCACAAGTTGCCACGAACCCAGGAAACATTCTCTCGGCGCACCCTGCTCTGACTGAATCTGTGAACGTCGATGAGATCAATACCCGTCACGTGTGAATCAGCCCAAGAATTCGCAGCATGCAGGACCCAAAATCCCTGCCCACAGCCGAGATCAAGGATATTCTCCGGTGGTTTGCCATAATACTTGAAAGTAGGTAAGGCATTTAAGTGGCACAGTAGTACGAAACTGTAGTGTTCGCTGCTCGAAGTCAGCATGGTAAAGCTGGAGCTAAGGTTGGAGCTACACTCACTTTTCCAATGACGCCGCACTGTACGACTCCATATACGGTGCGTCTTCACGTCGAAATGGATGATGAGGCATGCCCCGATGTAGCACAGTGCAGTTCACATTGCGCAACCAATCTTTATCGTGGTGGCCGCCATTGCTGCCATCGTGTTGGTCATACTCCTCATCGTCGGGAGGAGGGGAAGATAGTGGACTGTTCGGCCCATTGATCGCAATTACTGGTTCGGTGTTCGTCGTGTCGTCTTCTGGTGTGGGAGGTAGAGCTTTGTTTCGCCATGGTGGCAGCGAACGGTTGCCTACATAATCGCGTGCAGAACTCCTCTCGACCCGTACCGGAGAAGTGGTGTGCTGAGAATGTGCACTATCGACTTGCGAGCCAGACGACTTGTGGTTTCTGCGACCAGGCTTTTGTTGAAATCGAAAACGCATAACGTGGAAAAAAGGAGAAAAAGGAGAATATACAAAGAACGTTGGGCAGAAGTGTCGAAGTATTGGCTCGTGAATGAGAGCCACTAGCGAGAAGTGTTGGTTTCAGACGCCGAGAACCGAGCTTTAAAAGCGTGGCCTTGCAGTTGAAAACGCGGAGTGGCGTACGCCGTTGCTTTGTCCTTCCGCTAACAATGGATGGTCAGTGATAAAATGAAAAAGTACCGCTTTCAAATACACCATCGCATAGTCGGCAAATCTTGCACAGGTCCTGTCCTCGCTGACGAGACCAGTTGCCGTCTCGAGCACGGTAGGCCCTAAACCCAGCCATAAGCACGCCGCTCAATAACACCTTCGTGTCCAGATGACGGCAAACTATCTGCGAAAAGGCCTATTCAGCCACTGTGTGCATTTTGAAGGCAATTACAAGGCCTACTATAACTGGAACGGTGCTGAATGTTGATCATAAAGCTATCATGTAATCTCCCGACTTACCAGCGAACATATCTTTGCAGCTATCCTTCCGAGTTGCCCACCCTCAAGAGATAGTTGACCTACAGAACAAACGTCTAATGATACACAACTACTAAGGGAAAGGAGGCCCCGCAAGGCAGGGACCGCAACTGGGCTCTCTTCGTCATACAGTGAGGTGCTTCATATGATTTCCGCACTCCCGCGGAGACGATTCTCAATCATCCTTAGCTGGAGGGGGGCCACAAGGTTGGAGCATACGCTGAAACGGAGTGAATAAGATTGCTGCACACAGGAAACGAGACAAGGCGTACCTCAGTCATCTCAAACTTCACCCTTCCGACTGCCTCTCCATCAGCGATTGCCAGGTAAGATGCAAGGGTGGGATGCCCCACGATTGATGCAAGAGTGTCCCGATGTTGGTGGGTTAGCCATTCACTGAGGCACGAAGGCTAGGTGAGCGCCGCCTTGTAAGGAAGATGAAAAGACTACGCACTACTTCGTCAGGTCTGCATGGCCTAATGAAACGCGGAGAGTCAATAGCATGCGAAAGAGGTCCGCAGGCCTTACTTACCGGTACCCGTGTAACGAGCGTGCACTGACAAGTGGGTAGAGGTTATGTTATTAGACCATTAAATCCAACTGAAATATAATACTCACAATGCTCCAACTGTGTGTTTGCGGTGTATCTCAGCTCGGAGGACTGCGGGAGAGGAATATCAGCGACCTGTACTCGCTGAGTGCATCATTGGATGTGACTGACCATAGCAAGAGCAGTGTTTGCTGTTGTTGATTCCTTCAGCTCTCTCTTCAGCGCGGTGTACACCGCACAAAACATCGTCCGGGCTCGTTCACAAAACATCTACGACATTTACGTCGAGCAGACTCGAAGACTATGGAAACTGACACGGGCAAGCTTCATGCCAGGCTCTCACTTTTGAACGGTGCACTAGACGATCTCGAAACCGAGCTGGAACCTCTATTCGCGCAAACACTCCCAGAAACTGTTGTAGGTTTGGAAACTATACAACAAGCGAAGTTGCAAGTCGCGTTGCCATATCTTGTCTATGATTTGGTCTTTAGTAAGATTTCTGCGCCGCATGTAGACGAAGCTAACACGTGGAGAATTCAGTATACCTGAGGACGAGAGGAATCGACCCTAAGACACATCCAGTCATTGGTGAATTGGTACATATTGAGACGATTTATGGTTCATATACATTTTATGATTATTTTTCAGGATCGAGTCAGGCAGTATTTTGACAAACTTAAGAATGCCGAGGATCCTCCCAAGAGTACGCCTTTGCCTCAGCTTTATTATCAAGGTATATTCTGACCATAGTTTATTTTGTGACTATAGGAACAGTGGCCGTGGACAAAGGAGCTGCAAACCGATTCATCAAGCATGCTATCGCTCAAGTGAACACCCAGAGACCACCAGGCGATCAGGAAGGTCCGACCCATATTCGATTCAACGAGGATGGCGACATTCGTGTACCAGTGAAGGTGACAAGCAAGATGCTTGCGCGCGAACAATATCAGAAGGAGCTGAAAGACATTGGGAGTGAAGAAGAAGAAGAACTGGAAGTCATTGACGTGACTCGAGACGCCGCAGATGATGGTATCATGAACGGAAATGGGAAAGGGAAGGGAAAAGCGAAAGCCGTCGTCGACGAGGATATCAATGACACCAGTGCCAGGAAGCGAAGACGACCACCTATCGATCCTTTTGCTGGTACGTCCCGCTTTCTTAGTGTATTTAATTCACCTTAGTGATGATCTCGTGGTCAGGTTACGGTGACGAGCCGGCCCAAGCAAGCAAGAGTGCCGAATCTCTGAAGAGAGGCAAACCGACAACAGAAGACATCATCATGGCCGACGGACCTAACCCAGGGGGTGACAACCACCCAATATCTCTCAAGTCAGCTCCGGAAGCATCCACGAAGAAGGACAAAAAGGCAGCGAAGAAGGCTAAGAAGGCTAAACGGAGGGACACCACGAATTGATTTCACTATCGCCCGTTCGTCCACTTTGTTTATTCATTTGAATAAAAACATGTGCAATGAGTCCGAAAAAGTTCTGGGATACAATATCAATCTAGGGGGTGCAACAATACATAATGTACAACTTGGTAAAGCAGAAACGCGACGATGTACACAACAATGATACAGAAGATACTCTTACATTAACACGCAGCCCTCACGGTCGTTATTCATGTCCATCACCAATGGTGAAGTCGCACCCGATCTTCTTCCTCCTGGCGACCACCACTTGGCGCGGCTAGACGGCCCAGGCGACTCCCCCGCCCCGCTAGATGATACATTGACACTGCGCTTCGACTTGCGCTTCTTGTCCCGCGCGGCCCTCACGGCATCCACCGTCTGCCACGAATAGAACGTCTTCAACGCCACACGATACTTATCGCACTCGTCCTGCCCGACATTCAGGCCTTCCTCGTCCCTCGCGTCCAAGTACCCGAGCTTCTTCGCCTCCCACGCGCGCCAGCCTATCCGCGGACGCGTATGCGGGATGAGGTCCTTCACCGCGATCTCGCCTACGTTACGGCAGTCGATCGCGACGACCTGCGCATTCACCATCTTTCGCTCGCGCATCGTCTCCACGAACTCACGCACAGTGAGTCCCGACACGCGCGTATTGTCGGCCTCCAGAACGCGTAGCCGCGAGCAGCTGCAAATGAGCTCCTGCATGGCGTCGTTGGTGATGTTGTTGGCACCCGAAATGACGAGATATTCCAACGCGTGGCCGGGCTGTGGAGCGACGGGCGTGCGCGAGGACGGCGCAGAAGCTGTCGCAAGATCCGGGGTGATCGCAAATAGGAGGTCGTCCGTGATCTCAGTCGCATCCTCCAAGTCCAGTCTGCGGATGAAGGGCGTAGTCCCCAGCAGGCGGACGAGGCCGTCGTCCCTCAAGTCCGCGCCTATGCCCGCCATTTCCAAGAACTCGAGTTTCGGCACAGCGTGTGCCAGATGCGAACACGCGTGGTCCGTCAGGAAGATGCAGGATGACAGAGCCAGGTGACGGAGGCACGTCACCCGCCGCCAATACGACGTCGGGTCCGAGGGATCGCGGCCGGCCTCGCGAGACGTGAGCTGCACGGCCGTGCCGTCGACCGCATCTGCTTCTGTACAAGCCACGAAGGCCTCGACGGCAGAGTTGTGTAGGTCGCGAGCGTAGCTGAGGTCAAGGACTTCGAGATCCGGAGCGGCCTTCCCGAGACACGCCATCATATCGTCGGTGACGCGTTTGAGGCCCGACAGTCTGAGCACCTTCAGCGGTAAGTGTTCTTTACGCGCGAGCCTTGTGGAAGCCAGACAATGAACACCATCTCCGTCCATATTGGGGCATCTGCTAAAGTCAAGGGTGACAAGCTTGGGGCAATACACCGCAAGGATGTCGCAGGTGGTGTTCGTCACGGCGGTCAGTCCCTTGACGCAGAGTTTCTGCAGGCTAGGGGACCGTATTAATAGGTTGTGAAGAGAACGCGTGCTGAGAGCCGAGCAGCCCTGCAGATTAATAGATGTGAGGTGTGTGTGCGTCAGATCGCCCGTGATTGAGGTTTGGATACAGAGGAAATTCGTGATGTCTAGGAGAGTTGTGTGCGAAAGGCTGACGTGCCCGGTAACATCGATGTGTCGGATGAACCCGCCAGCAACGTCGCACAGCTGGGCGAGGACACTGGCCGGCAGCTTTGGGAAGTAACGGAGGTCCAGGTTCGTCCACAGTTGCCCGTCGTAGACGAGGGCCTGCCAGTATTTCGATACCTGCAACGACCATGACGTCATTCACTAAAGTATACCGAGAAGTAGAATATACCAACCCGGCTCAATCTGAACAGCTCTCGGAGCCCCTTCGCTGTTCCGACCCACTTGTTGCGCGACGAGGACGCCTTGAGCACGGTCCATTCACCCTCGCGGACGTTCCTCTGGTACTCCGCCTCATGCAGATGGACCAGTGCAGCCAGCACCTGCACTTTAAGTTCATGCGGGAGGTACTCGTCGAAGTAGTTGCGCGAGACAACCCGAATGGGCTCAAATATATCGGCAGTAGTTACAGGCACTAGATCAAGTGGAGTCGACGGGAGAGGTAATGGAGAAGAGTAGGAACGGCCCTTGGTCCGGAGCATGTTGCACTCATTGGAGCCACGACCCGCGCAGTAGAGAGGCAGCAGCGGATCGAGTCCGCTGAGACTCAGGTCAAGATCCAGCATAGGAGCCGCCGTCGTTCGACCTTTGAGATCTCGCGACCAAGGGGAGAAGCAACTAGCTTCTTCACAGCCAGAGACATCGATGTCACTCGTTGAATCTGCAGAGGAAGGACTCTCCGGCGGGCTGGTGCGCTTCTTGAACAGGAGCTTGCGCGCGAGGTTGCCTGGCCCCTTCGTCCCGGCCAACCTCACCTTCACCTTCGACATCGACAGCGTCGAGAGCGAGCGGTTCGAGCGGACAGACAGGCTGGACAACGAACGTCTGCGCGAAGGCACGCGCACCACGCCGAGGACTTGCCCCGAGAACTCTGGCGGAGCGCTCACACGATCTACCACCGAAACGTTGTGGCCTCGTTCGGATGTGTTGATCGATGCGGAGATGGACCTGTACGAGGAGGGCCCGGCAGCAGCAGGGGAAGAAGCTTCGAAGGACGGCCAATCAGAGCTCTCGTAGTTGAGCTCGGTGTAGAGCGACAACGGAGGCAAGCTGGGGGGCAGCTCTCGTGCCTTTCCCTTGCCTAGCGAGTCGCCGATGTCCTCGTCCGTCTCTTCGTCGACATCGAGGACAGGGGTCTGTGACATTTGTAGATGAAGAGCTGACCGGGACAGCAGGGGTCTAGAAAATGGCTCGCGCACCTGCACGGAACTGCTCGCCGAACCCAAGGACATGGCGAACATGTCGTCCTCGGCATCGGGAGCACAATCATCCTCGAGTACTCCACTGGCTGCGACGAATACGGGTTGAGGAACGCCCTTGCCCTTGACGTCGGTGTCCTCCATCTTTCCAGACGACAACGGTGGGCGGGGTTGGGATGTCTTAGAGATGAAATTGGAAGATGAGGGCTTGCCGGTCAAGTCCACACCATTTAAGGAGGAGAGTTGTGGCCTCGCAGATACCTCGAGGTGATTAACAGGCGATATTAGCTGGTCATAAGAATCAAATTGAAAGAGGGGGTCTTCGTTATCGATGTGGTGAGTATGGCTCATGGTGAGAGCATGCAGTTCTGAGCGGAGCGATAATAAGATAACGGGTAGAGATGGTGGGGGCAGATGAAAGGGAAGGCAGGAGACCGAAGCTATAAAGGAGGACTGGGAGACGATGCTGAAGCGCCTAGGACATGAATGAGGCTCATCTGGAGTTGCTGCCGCATTCGGTGCCACCCGCCGAGCCTGAGGCTCTCCACTCATCCGTGACCTCATCCGCACTCCATCCGCATTCTAATTGCAGACCAGAGTGTCAAGCATGACATGTATTAAACCGACGGACTTATTGCCATATGCATACAGCATCATAATAATTGTACAACAGAGATACCGACCTACGAATTCGGGAAGGCACCCGCTGCGCTATCGCGCAGAGCACATATCGTCTGAGGAAGCATCGCAGAAGAAAGAAAGCTGACAGATGAGATCAAACGGAAACTGGCAAGCAACGGAACGCGAACAGCAGGAGGAGACAACCGACGGGAAAAAAAGGAGCCGTCAAAGGATCACTTGTCCTTCTCTTTCTGCTTGTTCCAGTTCTCGATCACCAATTTGAACCTGCCATGGCCATGAGATGGGGGAAGGTTGCCGTTGAGCGAACAGAGCCCACGCACCTGTCCCTGTGGGGCATGTCGGGATCCTGCTCCTTCAACCGAGCGACTTCCGTCTGCATGAATTTATTGAAGTCTGTGAGTTTCTTCCTACCACCGGACGCCTTCCCTGAAAATGAGTCCATGTTAGCGTTAACGACGCTATAAAAAAACAGCGGGTAAAGCGTACTCTTCCGCGTGGTGGTGTTCTTTTTGGCCGTTTCAGTACTGGCGGGAACAACCATGGTTGGCAACTGCCGCATTGTGAGCGGGTTCGGAGAGCCTGGTCAGGGGAACGGAGCTCACCAGACAATCTCAACGGCGGATGCGGATTACTGCGGTGGTGGTGGGAGGGTGAAGAACGTGGTTGGGGGTCAAGAGCGAGTGACGCATCGTCTGGAAGTTTAAGGGGCCTTATACGAGCCCAGAAATTGCAGTGACACTTTTAGTCCCGTCGAGCACCGTTTCGCGCACTTCCCCGCATTCCGCCCCCCAGACACGCCGTCTACGTACCCGCGTCGGTGGCTGAGCACTCACTCCTACTATCGTCAGCTACGGTCTTTCTTTGGCCAACAAAATTCGAACGTACTTTTCACTTATTCTTGGGCGAAAGTGTGCAGCTCAAGAGTCAAAGATCACCTCCTTCATGATTATTTGTGGGGGAAACACCAGTTCTTTCCCAGAATAGGCGCCGGGGTCCTGGTCGTGAGACTACTGAACGTCGCGTCGCGTCACAGCTCCAGACGCGTCTTCTGATCACCATAAGGTCACTAGCTCAAAAGTCGCGCCAATTGTCTCAAATCCGGCGATCTGCACCTCCTCAATTCGTCCATCCACAACACATAATGCAGACATTAAACATTTACAGTGCAGCATCCTTCGACCCGCCTGCTGTGCGCTCGATGCCCGCGACGCTGTCGATCAGGCTCGCCCCGCTGATGATCCCCGTCGTAGCAATCAAGAACTTGCGGCCTGTAGGAACCGTTGAGACCGGGCGCAACGGACAATGTGGATGGATGCATACGTACCTCGACTCTGCCGGCCCACCCATCGGAGGGCAGCGATCTCGGTGTACGTACACCCGCCCAGGAAGAATACGACCGTCGTTGCCGACTGCTCCCTCGGAGCCACTAGCGACATCCCGTCAGACACCGAGGATTTGGAATAGCGTCTGAAACACTCACTCAATGAGGCAACTGCCGTGTTAACGCTATCTGGCCCTCCAGGGACCTTCTGCACGATATCTACCGTGTCTCCAGGAATGCTCCCGACGACGTCCTCGAAGCCTTTCCACCCGACGATGGGGTGCGCCTGTACCTTGCCCAGAGACGGGCCCTTCCCCTTCCTCCCGTCGGGATCATCCTTTGCCTTCTTCTCTTTCTCCGTAGCAGGGTTGCTGAGGACACCGCCCTTCTGCGCGACGCACTGCACGAGGCGGACGCTGACGGGCGCATACCCGGAGTAGACGTAGCTGATGTCGTTCTCGAGATCGTCTACGCTGTCCGGGTCTTCGATCAAGAGGCGGAGCGGCTTCCTGAGGGACGTGTACGGGTACTTTGAGGCTAGCACAGATGGTGGGGTGGAAGCTGGCAGCGGGTGGGGCAGCAATATTGCTAACGATGGCGCCGACAAGGAGAGAAGGAGAGGCAGGTATTCGTAACCGTACGCCTGGAAATATGGTTAAGCACTTTAGAAACACAGTGAGGGTGCGAACTGTACCTGCAGGATTTCCCGCTTGAGGTTCTCCAGAGTCTTGCTCTTGATGCCTCCATTGATGATGCTGGCCAGACAAAGCAGACGCAGGACAAGCTGCATGTCAGCACCTTGAGCGATCATATCCTCAATTGCACTGATCTGTGCTGATACGTCGTAGGACGCCAGGAGGTCTACACGGGAGTCAGGTAAATGTCGTCACCTGTTAACTAGAAATCGCGGACGCACTCTGTTGTATCTCCAGCGACTTGTTGAACTGGTCGGTTCGAGTCAGAGGGACGAGCATCTCCGACAAACCGGTATCTGCACATGGTTTCACGGGCTTGAACGAATGCAGTACATCCATCACTTACGAAGTCTCAGCGACTGGTGCTCGGATTGCAATCCGCCCAATTTACCCACGAAGTCTCGCAACTGCGCTACCGTTTTCGCCTGATGCCTGAGCTGATGATATCGTCAGCGCGGGCGCGACGACATCAAAACACCTTCCCCAACCTTGTAGTCCTCGTCAAGTCTGTGTGCAACTTGATTAAGCTTCCTGCCCACCGAGGAGAAGTTGAGATCCATCAGCTCAGCGAGCAGCGGGTCGGTGGAAGTCGTGAGATGGTGCTTCTTCTTCTTCTCTTTCAGCAGCGAGGGCGCAGACGGAGTCGAGGCTTGGGTACTCGTAGATGCGCTAGGTTCCACCGGATTGGGGGCCGAAGGGGGCGTAAGAAGCGACGCGGGAAGTTCAACATGCGCTGACCATTCATCAGTGGATAAAATTGTAGTATGTGAAGGCATGACTTACAATTCTTTATACCGATCAACTCGTCGATCAGCCCTTCGTAGGTGAGCTGGGTCAGCAGCGGCGTGATCATGTCGGCTCCTCGGTCGACGATGATGAGCGAATCCATCCTGTCCGACTGTGCTGCGGGCCCGCCGCCTGAGGAAATGTCGACGATATGGCGGGTTAGGAGTTTCGCTAGACGCTAGCCTGTTTGTTACTCAACGACGACCCTCACTGACCAGGAGAGATACGTACACCGGCGTAATCACCTTTCCCTACTACCCGGGGAAACAGGCCATACAGTTTCTGGAGAGTGATGAGCGCTTGCATCGAGTTGTAGATCACCGTCTCGTCTCCATCCTGTACACCTGACATATGAGTTCTGCCAAGGGACATGGATGAAGCAGACTTACAACCCAGAGTTCCTTGAATGCGTTGTCACATTCCAGCGAAATCACGTCCTCAGCCAGGGGGATGAATTGGAGATTATAGGACGATACTGTTACGTCCCCGAGGACGCCTTCCTCCTCCAATATTCGAGAAACAAGGGTAGACATCCGAGGCACCAGCAGGATGGTATAAGTGTGCTTCTGGGCTTCCCTTGAGTGCCGCTTGAGCTGGTCTACAGTCCCACATGTTCAACACGGGCAGAGCGTGGCAATGGGAATCCGGAGCACACCTGCTAAAATCTTGACCCATTTGACCAGTGGTCGACACAGGTACACGATGTTCGTGGTCGTCGCAGACAGAGGCCCTGGCTCCAGCCAGAACATCTTGTCGACACCATGGTGCTATTCCCAAGGACTCATGAGCTGAAGCACATTAACCCACCAAGCAACCGACCTTGAGCAGCGCAACTTCCGTAACGAGACCCAGCGGGCCAGCGAGTGTGGGATCTAGGACGAGTGTTTTGGCACCATTGACCTGAGTAGACAACGGTCCAGCGCAGCACTGGGAGAAGTGACACAAACAACGTACCGCATTCAGCGCGTCGATGAGGGATTTCCTGCTCAGCTCCTTCAACGCAGAGACGTCGAGCAGATGCTCGTCCTCTGCCGTCTGCTTCGCGGTGGGGTCGTCCGGGTTGGAGGTGGAAGAAAGAGCAGCCATGCGTGTCTTCCGCCACCGACGCGACTCGCTCGCGACGCCGCACGCTCACCATCTCCGAGCTGCTAAGTACAGGTGCCTGAAGTTATCCCCATTCTGCTCTATCCCCTCCGTGCCGCATCATTTTCTGGACAATGGCGATCCTCAAACTCGAAAGTCAAAAGGGTGGAGGCTGTGAAAGCCGCTCTGTTTATTACTGCACCGTGCCTCTCCTCTGTTGTAGACCTCAGTGTGGGTCGCCAGCTCAAGCAGTATGACGACCCAGCTTTTCGATAAGTATGCAAGTTAAATTCCTCCCTGAAGTTTTGCATGTTCACGGGGCCTTGCTTCTTAGCTGGTACGCATCTACCCAATCGTACCTTCCGGGACTTCGTGGGTTCACCGTCAGACTGCAAACCACTAACTTGGAAGACCTATCCATATGCTTTCTTTTTCTGGTTCCCTTTCTACCCATGGCCTACCTCGTACGGAGAAAGGACACTCATGTTTTGCGTCTACTTCTCCTTCCAGTAGTGCTTGTCATGGCTATCCGGGGTGCGCATCGTTACAAGACCGAAAATCCGTGCTCTTGCCTTCTATCAGCCATGTTATCCTACTATGTGATAGCCAAATCGCTGGAATTTGCGTTCGCAGAACGTGGCAGGTTCAAAGTCGGAGAAAAGAAATTTATAGTGATATATGAACCTACGGCTGACTCTGCCAAGGACAGTCGACGACACGGCTGGATCTTACCTATATGGTTGGCGGACCCAATCGAACACCTCTCAGCTCTATGTAAGGGGAGGAGGGTGGGACTTCGGTCGCGACATTTTCGTCCCACCATATACTCGACCATCACAACGAAACGTATTCCTACGAGCCACCGCACTCTCGGTCGTCCGCAGCTTCGTTCTTCTGGACTTCTACTACTCCTGCATCAGGCTCATCCCTGGCGCGGGCACCCTCACAGGTGGTACGATCTTCCCGGAGCACCTCTCGCCGCTCCAGCGCTACGCTGTCTCCACCGGCGTGCATTTCGCGATGGGCATGCTGATCATGTACGGTGTCGGCCTCGTCCACGACTTTAACACTATGCTCGCGGTAGGCCTCCTTGGTCACCCGCCGTCGGCGTGGCCGCCGGTGCACGACAGCCCATGGAAGGCGCGCTCGTTGCACGAGTTCTGGGCGAAGCGCTGGCACCAGGGCCTCAGGCGTGTGTTTGTGGTGACCGGTGGCTCTGTGGGTACATGGATTGCGGGAAATGCTGGGATGGTGATCGGTACCTTCCTTGTGTCGGGATTGTTCCATGAGCTCTCGATGTACTCCTTTGGGAGGGGGTTGGATCACTGCACGACGCTCTGGTTCACCCTGCAGGGTTTTGGTATCGTGCTAGAAAAAGTGTGGAAGATGCTCACTAGCCGGAAGGTTGGCGGGGTGTGGGGACGGCTATGTACGGTGCTGTTTGTGATCGTGTTCGGGCAGATGTTCAGTGAGTGTCAAAAGTTTCACCCTGTTTTTACTACTCTGACAGCGGACTCCTGGTTGACTAAGGGAGTGACGAGTGACAGGAATCGGACCGTGGGCTCTTCCCAATAAGCCAAGTCCGACGAGGGTGTTCCTGTGGCCTACATTACGACATGTGAAGGCGTGTGTGTCGCCGTGATGTGAAGTGCACTGCAGTACACATTGCCACATCTGCTTGTTCTGGAATATTCTTGCCGAGGTCCCTCGAGAACAAATGAACAGGTCTCAATGATTTTGTTTTAGGAAACCGTCTGGAAAGTACACCTTCCCAACAACATAGCAGATCATGAGAGCCTTGCCGCTTAGTCTGCAAATTCGGAAAGCTCGGGAGCACTGGAGCATATCCATGAGTGTTCATCGTGTCTTCTGACTGAGACAGCAATTCTTCCGCCACTGACGCGTACGCGTCTTACCCGAACTTGAGTTCGCACATCCAAAACCTCTCACATTTATGCTATATCCCACCTATACACGGCACCGTGGTCGACGAGGATGCAGTTGAGCGTCGCAAGTTAGGCTGGGGCTGCTAGTAAGTAAATGCCACCGTTGTTCGTTCCTGCCACGCAACTTCACCGCTAGCGCTCGTTCCCGTGAATTCTGCTCGATACTGGCACCAGTGAGATTACACTGCAGTTTATCCAAGATATACCACTAGCACTTAGAAGGTCGGCACAGCGGGAACGATATATGGGCTTTCACTGCCAGGGTCGCTCGTTGACCGGTTTATGTACGATCGATAATCCAAGATTACATCCACGGCCATAGGACTCCGAAAGCACCGCATCCCGTCTGATCTGCGCAGTTAACCGGAGTGCCGCCCAGTTAGTACCACGGTGGGGGACCACGCGGGAATCCTGGGTGCTGTGGTTTTGTTCTCCCAATTTTTCGGAAATTAGTTGAGATTATAGACGATTCGGAAAACCTTGGCGTGCGACATTTTTTTCTCGCGCGCATCTCGCGACATTTTGGCGCGAAAAGAAGTGGGTCCCACACCTGCAATACGACAAGGCGCGTTCAATGAGCCAAAATCTAGACCTCCCCGGGGTTCCAGCATATGTACAACACAGTAAGACATTGATGGATCGTCTTGGTGCACGTCGACATCAATAGCATCGCAGAATTGCTTTTCTACTAGGTGGAAGACAGTTAGAGTATGAATGGTGGCGATCAGCCAAAAATGCCATATAAGGGCAGCTGGAAATAAGGCCAGAAAAACATTGATGCACGTCAAGGTTTTTCAAATACTCTGTAATGAGAGTGCAGAGCAAAGTTATGCAACGAGAGGTTTGTTTGAGGGGTAATATTAGACAAAAATGCAAGGCAAGTTTGCCACTGGTCAGATAAAAGACGAAGGAGAAACCACAGCACCCAGGATTCCCGCGTGGTCCCCCACCGTGGTACTAACTGGGCGGCACTCCGGTTAACTGCGCAGATCAGACGGGATGCGGTGCTTTCGGAGTCCTATGGCCGTGGATGTAATCTTGGATTATCGATCGTACATAAACCGGTCAACGAGCGACCCTGGCAGTGAAAGCCCATATATCGTTCCCGCTGTGTAGCAAGTGCTAGTGGCCCGGGTACATTATGACGGAATAATTTATCATTCACTTGTGTTCCTCTGCAGCGGCGTCCCACTGGCTTGTCAATATTACGATCCTTCTGCCGATCAGCTCTCGCAGCGATCGGACAATGTGCCCTCGGTGCTGAAATTTGAAACGTGGCATAGTTCTGCTCTCCTACTCTCCAAAGGAATGCAGAGGTATCACGAGTGTGCTGATTTCCGCGTTATTTGCTGTTATTCTCACAATCTGTACCATGCTTAGACTGGACAGTGGCCACCACATTTTCCAGGACTTTGTCCCATCGCCCTCTGACTGTGAACCGTTAACCTCCAGGATCGCCCCAAATACCTTCGCATATTGATCCCCCTTCTTTACTTGGCGCACACCGTTAGAGACTGAGGTATGCACTGTGGCGTCCGTACTCCGCGTGCAACCAATTACTCGTCCCTTGCGTCCTAGGCATGATTGCTTTCTACGTGATGGACAAGTCTTTTGGACTTTGCGTTCGCCGAAAGCGGCACGCCAGTGGTCGAAATTAAAGAGAGGAGACTGCGCGCAAGGCACGAACCTGTCTCTCTTCGCCATGACGGCGTACAATTGCTAAAGCAGTCCAGTAACCGGTGCTTTCCTGCGTAGATAACGGACACAATCGATGTGCTTTCGGCAATGAGAGGGCTGGGATGGGGCCGTGATGTCTACGTGGCGCCTTCTTGCATGCCATTATACTTTCGCTACTCCGCAAGTAACCTCCTGCTAGTGGACTTCTGTGATTCTTGCCTCAGACGGTAGACCCATCCCTTGAAGGGGCACGATCTTCCTGTCTCGCCTGCCACCTATCTTGCGCTGCGCAGTCTCTATTGCCACGCACGCTGCGGCCAAATTACTGATTTTCTACGGTATCGGACTCGTATACGACGCTCTCACGGTCGTGTCGGCAACCCTCCTCAACGATCCACGGCAGACCGTGGTGGGCGTGCTCGCTGCACGACTTCTGGGCGAAGCATTGGCACCAGGGCTTTCGGCGTACATTCGTGGTGATTGGTAGGCCCGCGGGCTTGTGGATTGCGAGAAATGCGGGGATGGTCGTCGGTCCCTTCATTGCATCGGGCTTGTTTTAGGAGCTTGTCACATATCCCTTAGAGCGGGGGCTTGACCATCGTACGACCCTCCAACGGTGTCGTATCTTGCGGCATGGGCGAACCTCGCTGGTTACAAGATTAGTGGGATATATGGGCGATTATGGACTCCCGCGTTCCTTTTTGTCGGGCTTGCGCAGATGTTCACTGAGCAAATATTCTCAGTTGCTCGCGCTACATCAGGATACTGGCCAACTTTCAGCGGATTCTTGGTTAATTAGGGGTGTGATGGCCGTAGTGCTTACGGTCTTCCCGGTGAGCAGAGTCCGACAAGCTTCGTGGTTTGGCTCGCACTACGACATCCGAAGATGCCTGACGTGTCCGATGCATTGCCTCCGTGATAATGTCTGATCCCAATCTTCCACGAAATACGAGAGATAAGCATCTCGGTGAGTAAAACAAAATATCGCTACAGTAAGGTTACGGTCTCCCGATGACCGAACACTCATATCGAGTTTCGACGTGCGCTCTTCCCTCTTCTCTTGCCCGTTGCAATGGCGGGACCCGTGATAAACGCGGAAGGCAGCCGTCCTTCCTCGTCCCATTTCTCTAACATATCCATAGCTGCATCATACCCCTTCTTCTGCATCTCCTCGAAACGGCCGAACTGCAGTGTACCGAACTGGCACCGCATATACCCGTCAGCTCACGCATGAAAGTAGAGCAAGAAAATACCACACCTCCTGTACAGGCATCTGCATATATAGACATCCTTGGGCAACCTTCGCGTCTTCCAGCGTTTTCACGCTCGACACACTATTGAGCAATACATCATGAAAGAGTCCAGTCGAAAATGTGCGAGGCACTTACTATGCGAGTCGACTTTGGATCTCTGTGATAGCAGGAATATATCTCGCATTGGAAAATGGATTCCAGCGGTTGATAAGCAGCCACCAGCCAGACACTGAATCCCCGAAGCTACGCGGAGAGTTGTCGTCAATCTGTCGATCGGTCCAATTCAATTACCTGCAGGGTTAAAACAAGCTGCCACCTACCGAACCAACATCGCTCGCAATGACGGCACTGGCTCCCATCGCCATCATTGTAGAGACCTAACACAAGATGTCTAGCTGCTCGAACACTCTGAAACGCAGGATCCATACCGGCAAGTTGTCAACTAAACGATGCAGGTGAATAAAGTACAGCACATGATTGTGTAGTTCTTACTATATCCACCGTCCACAAGCATATTCCCGTTGTCGCACAATGGAGGCAGCATGCCCACCAATGTCATTGACGCGCCTGGAAAGCGGAGCTTAGAAAAGGCAGTTATGTCGCCAACTCTCAACTCACGGATAAATCTCCAGGCGTAGCCCGTGTCGTGAATCTCCATACGCGAGGTGTTAATGTTCGTGGAATTGCAGAAATAAGGTAGCCACATGTCTTCGATGTGGAGATCGTAGAATGCCTAGCAAAGTCAACGGTAGGGAAAGTGTTGACCACAAAGCGGTAAACCGACCTTGTAGATAGACCGATTGAATTCATGTCCCTGCCCAACACGGTTCAGCATATGGATTATTGCCCATTCACACTGGCACTCACAGTTGTATATGCAACCAGTGGGTAAGTAACATCGGACAGCATTCTCCAGATATTCGCCATTCTGCCGCTGAACTGTTTCGCTCGGCCTGCCGTAGAAATTAGATCACCTTCTCGCGCATATAGACCTGCGACAAAGGCCCCGATACTGGTACCTATTAAAGCTTAGAAGGCATGCGAGCGTAGTGTTAAAGATATACGTACCACCGATGTGATCAATTGGGATGCCTTGTTCTTCCAGCGCACGGAGAACACCCTGAAATGATCCTAAACAACCTTGTCTATATACCGTGCAAAAGTGATCATTACCAGATGTGAGATACCACGGGCGCCGCCGCCTCCCAGCACAACGCCAATGGACTTCCCGCATATCCTCCTGGCCAACCGCGCAAAATCACTGGCATATGGTGGTCGCTGTGGTCGAGCAAGGCTAACTCCTCCCCTGTACTTCTGTATCCCACTCTGTACCCTGTCCTTCAGGTTCTTGAACGCTGCAAGTGCAGCTGGATCTTGTGGTTCTGATGCATTTCGCGTAACGGATGAGATGATTCCCTTCTCAGAGTCAGTTGTATGAAGTAAGGTAACGTGTGCAGCTGGACATACAGGGAGTTCAACGTGCATGTGCTGGTGTACCCATGTACGATTCTGTTGACAAAGTTCAGTGTTGGAAACTGTATGCAAACACAATGCTCACCTTCAACCATTCACGAGTAGATCCAGGCACAACGGAACGATCTGGATGAAGGAGGACAAGCTCCTTTCTGGCCGTAGTCTTCATGGAAAGTAGCAAGCGTTCATACTCGCCGATACTTGGATCATCGCCCATACCGACAACCATGACACAGTCAGCCTCGCATCGTCTGTAAGTGATAATCGGCAAAAAAAAACGCGTGTATCACCTGCCGTATACAAGTTTGCGTCCAAGACGAATTTACCGGAGAGTCTGCAACATACAAGACTATCCTGTACTTCTGCTCTTGCTCCGCTAACCAACCTGCGGCCTTCAGCTTGCCCATCCTAGTAAACGCATGGCGGCCCAGGTGGTCCGACACAGAAGCTTGATTCAGGTAGAACGTAGGTGCACCAATGCTCTCTAGAGCAGTATGTAGTTTTCGAGCGAAAGCATCGATCGGTACATTGCGAGACACGGGAAGGACTGCCACATTCTTCAAGTTGATGTTACGAGAGACATCCGACGGGAGTGTCCTAGAGGACGAATCTAGCTCTACTCGGACTCGTGAAGCAATCATCTTCAACAGCCTGCATGAAAATAGCGATCGGTGACGCTCGACGAGAGATGTAGGTGCAACTCACTGGGCTGTCGTTCGGGGATTTCTGATGCTACATCGGTCAGGCTATGGACAAGAAGGGAGCGAACGTCCGCACCTCGATGATATAGCATTAAATAATGTCCTCGGCATTCTGATCAGTTCCGTGTCACGTATGGCGTGAACTGTATTACGGCGAAGAGAGCTAGTAATGGCATCAAGTTCCCCCACTGTATCGCCTTGACCGTACTCCGCAAGGATGTTTATGCCGCCGCCGTCTTTGTCAGTGATTGCACGAAGACGTCCATTGATAACAATATAGAAACTGTCGCTGACATCGTTCGGACGCCAGAGGACTTGCCCCGCGTTGACTTGCACCCAGTCTAATGAGCCATCGATGTGAAGCACTATCAAAGGCTGCATGTCAACAGCCGTGAGCATGTGAGTAGTACAAGAAAACTGACCAAGAGGAGAAAGCAGAGATATAAGACGCTTTGCAAGAGTGAGCAGGACGATGGGGCGTTTCTCCAACAAACGTTCCAGTGCATGTGATGGGAGAAAGCCGACGTAGGTGTCAATCTTGGCAACGATGTCCACATATGAAGCAGTCTGGCAAAGTGATGCTGGCATACCTCATGAAGTGTACCTCATAAAGATGGAAGAAAAGAACTCACACAGATAACCTGCTATACCCCCAGGTTTCACACTAAAGAGAGGTTTCTGAGTCTGATCCTTTCGACCTGCATTGGCAACGAATGAATTTCCAAAAGATTCGTAGTATCGCCTACTCGAACGCTCACCATCGAGATGGGCCAGTCCTGTGTCAGGAGTGGCCCTTAGCTTCGCGTCGTTGTGTTCCGTGCTTCCCTCAGAAGGTAACAACATGTCCAGATAGCCTTCGATCACATAGAACAAACCTGAGAGCAGATTCAGTGACAACCGCATATACACTGTAGACAACGCCCACACCAGTGTTCCTATCTCCTGCCTTTGCGAGTACTGATCCAGCAGGGAAAAACAAAATCTCTACCTCGTTATCGAGACCACTCATGTTCCCGTCGGTCACGATGGATGACGATCCAGTCACCGAGGAAGTATCATCGCCCATCTCCAGCAATGACAGAGACCCGAAAGATGATTTAAAAAGGCCACTTTGCGAACGGCCGGCTTCGCTAGCAGGGAAGGCAGGTGAAGCTTCAACAGAATCGTCCCCACTAAGCGGAGGCTGGATGAGCCCGATGGACTTGGCAATGCAAGACATAACCTCATCGCGAAGATCAAAATCGTCAGAGTGCACTCGCTTGCCGCCATGTGCATTGCCCTGACGAGAAACAGTCAGGGGATCATGTCGTAAAGTAACAGTATTTCTGCGAGTTAGCGGGGTATAGATGTCGCCTGTATTCCCAGTAGAAGTGTGCAGGTCGCCTGCTTGCACCTGCGAATGGGAAGCTGGAGTCCTCGAAGGAGTGGTTGGAGCCCAATACGTAGGAGCGAGACTATCTTGCACTTTGTTAGAGGCTGTAAGTGAGACTCTCGATGAGTTAGCTGAGGAAGACGCGTAGCTGAAGAAGTCACTCTCTGTATCAGAATCACTGGAGAGACCAACTCCGTCAAATCGCTGACGAAGATGTTTGAGACCGCTCTCATAAAAAGACGGAGGGAGTGGGTGGCAAGCAATATCGTTGATAGCCTTCTCAGTCCGCAGGACTTCCGTAGTTAGACCGAGATAATTATGGGCAGCATTGAACGTAACTCTCGAAAATCGAGTCAGAATGACTGCATATACAAAAATAAGGTAACGACCATAAGAACACAGCACTGACGAACCTTGCACGATATGAGCGGTGGACTTCGGGAATTTCTTGGTGAGCCTACGAAAGGCTTCCGCAGGTATAACCGCCAAAGTACTATCCTCAGTGGCCCGAGCGACGACGCCATAGTGAGACTCTGTGTCAGTAGTCGATGCCGATGCATTCATATGCGGACGAGGCAGGGAAGGAAAGGTTGCCGCAGATACCCCAGCGAGCCCTGGATCGCCAGATCTGGAGCGCTCTCCGGGAGACGAGACATCAACAGGATGGACAGTAGATCCTCCCGAAGACACTGACTGACGACGTTCGCGTGAACCTATATTCGAAGGCGTAGCTCCGGTCAGATCAAGGTTGGAAACATCAGAATCTGACCGATGAGTACGAGAGCGAGGTGGCGCAGAAGGTGGACTACCGACCGACTCCAGCTCTTCATCCGCTTTTTCTCCATCCTGCCAGCTCATTTGCACGTTCTCCGTGAAAAGGCTGAGGATAGTGAACAGACTAGAGAGCGTCCCGCCAGGGCCTACTTGGTTCAATAATTGGTATCCGTTCATGTCCTCATTATCCCATGAACCACGGCTATTTTCATGGCGAGGTTGTCCCGTGCGTGCATATACTTGCACACTACCGTCAATGACGCAATAGAAGCTCTTGTCCTGATCGAGCGACAGACTGTCGCCTGCAATCAGTCGCCGTGTCTGCAGATGTCGCGCAAGCTCATGAAACACCTAACATCATTACCATTATTAGCACTAGTCTGAGAAAATATCGCATAACGTACGGGTTTCTCGAGGAACCCAAACACCCGTACCGCCTGCAAAAACTCATCCAAGTAATTGTGGAACGCAGGAGCCTGTTCGGGAGTGTTAACATCAGGATGGAGCTCCTGGGCATCTGCTTTGACTAGAGGTGGCTCCTTGAGTTTAGTGTACGTGTTGAGATATCGGAAGCGTATCCAATAATTCAGTACGACAGCTGACAGAGCGAAAATGAGCGCAAACGACCAGAAGTTCAACTGACAGCAAGAAGACGTTCAGCGAGTACACAATTGGTACGTTCTGGCATCGTACCGTGAGGGTCATGGAGTAGGACAGGATCGCGTAGATGCACTTGGGTATAGTGATAGTTGCAAACCCAATGAGAGCCTTCACCCACGACAGCAGCCATACTGTTGGGGGTACAATAGACGCGTGAGCTAACTCGAGCAATTTTCCCAAGGACTCCGCTTCTGGACGCACATATAACCCAGAAGAACGCCGACAAGAGCAGAATGAGTGGATGCCTTCCGCTTCCGCTGGTCGCGTTGCCGTCCGTAGTGGACATGGCACAGCTAGATTTATTGCTCAATTTCCTGTTGGTGTTACACGAGATGAAGTGATCAAAGTCTCCGCATGGTGCAACTGCAGGAAACAGGGTGCAATAAAGTACGCTGGGGCCCAACGTGCGCGACATCACGTAGCGCCCGATCCCCAGTCGCGTCTAGCACGTGCTCACTCAGCACACACCGCTGCGAGCTCAAGTCACAAGATTCAGATCGATATCCGGGGTATATTGCACGAGGAAAAGTACGAAGAAACCACATATAAGTATAGAGACAATCCGCCGATATAGTATCTGCCGAACCAGCGAAGACACAATCTTGACCAGACAAAACAAGAAGTACAACGAAATTTCAGATCATACAGGGTATCTAATGACCAACGAGTCGAAGGAGTAGGTACAAGGCCGATCCCAGAAAACGAATAGCAGACAAGCCAGCGCTGTGCACAAGCATTAGCATGCGTAAATCACGACAGACGCAATTTAAAGAGAGAACGTACAGGCAGTAGAAGAGAAAACTGAGGTATGGGTTGAACGGCGCCCCATCTTCACTGGTGAAGTGAGTGTCGACCCAGTGGATGAAAAGGTTCGAGGTAAAGACCAGGATCATGACCCTGGTTATACCTGTGAGTACAAACAGAGCTTCCGATTAAGAAGGCAGAACGAACATGTTCGTCCCAATCCATGCAAGTACAACGTTCGTACGGCTGCTACGATCGTGGTCAGCTTGCTTCGTCGCTGCATCTCGATGCTGCTTCTCTTCAAGAGCCTTGACAGAGAGCGCCTGACGTGAAGCAGCCCAGAGCTGGTCGACGTCCTCCCGGGCAGTGGGTAGTTCCACTTCCATGAGTTCCTTGCCATTCTCGCCCTTGACTTTCTTGGCGGCTCCAAGGTCCTTCGCGGAGCCGTTGTCTCCCTTCGTTCCCCTACATAAAAAGAGTTCGAATGGAGGACAACGCGTAGTATGTAAGGGTGACGGACCATGTCACATCGTGCAAGTTGCACATGGCATACATCACTGCAACAACTGTGATCAATCAAGGTCAAAAATGTTCAGCTAAATCTGCGTACTCAAAATGTTCACATCTGCAATGGAACGGTCCGCTCAGTAAAGTAGAAACAGAAAAATACAGGGGGATAAGGCTTACAGCTAGGGAGAAGAAACATGTACTGTAAGAAGGATGTGAACATATGCCACGGTTCCAGGTGCATGAATGATCCGATGAAGTATAGGCCATAGGTAGCAGCGAGAGAGATGACAATATCCCGGAATGGCGCGTTCGTCTTCACAAGACTAATTGCAAGAATTGTAAATCACGTAATGATCTAAATAACAGTCAAGTGAACTTACTTAGGGAAGTTCTTCCAACCCGCGACAGTGTGCGGAACGGCCATGTAGACGGTGTACCCTGCACACCACAACGTGATGACATTACACAACCCAAATAGGACCATACAGAGCGCATAAATCCACTTCGAGCCCTGAAGACATAGGACCTGTGAGATGTCATCAACCACGACGGGTGACGCGTATGCATACCTGAGGCCTGTTGCCTAGGGAACACACAGTGACGACGAAGATAAGCGCAATGTAGAGCTAAGACAGAATGAGCGTTAGACACCGAGACGTTCGGCATTGGAGCAGACGTCTCACCTTCAAGAACACTTGGAATACGTCCTGTCCGGCGCTATCGCTCAGGAAGTTGAACGCATTTGATGTGCTCGAGGTAGCGGAGGAAACCAACTGCAATTCCACACCAATCAAGATCTCAACGAGTGCGGCATTAACGCGGAACTTACAAAGTAGAACGCCAGGTAAAAATTCGCGAGTGACGTCCATGTAAATAGTAGCTGAACTGCGTTGTAGATGAACTCGAGCTACATCTGTGGTCAGATCAAGCTTGAAAGTCTAGCTAAAAAAATAGCAAACCTGAAGAATAATCTTTCGAAAGAAGTTCTGTCCCGATGGCCAAATCTTCCAGAAAAACACAGTAGCGTGAATGGAAGCGAACAAAGAGCCGTTCAGCCAGCGACGGCGTTGAGAAATAAATTCTGGGACCTGCAAAGGCCTTCAGGTCAATCCCTGGCACGAGTTTGAATATATAAACCCACGTACAGTAGTAGGCACGTCGGTGGACGCTTTCGCGCTCTTCACATATTTCAAACTAATCGACAGTCAGCGAAGCCAAGATCGACGAATGAACAGTCACGATACTTACACCCAGCCCTCCCGTTTCTTTGTTACTATCTCGAAACACAGGATACGATCTTCGGCAAGATACATATTCCGCTCTGAATGAAGCACGCTACGATCAGCATGCAAATCGAAAACGGTGCGAAAAACGGCATACCGAACAGCCCGGCTCCACTGGAGCCACCGTGCATCGCTTCACCCTTGAAATACGATGCCAATGGCCCTCTACCATCCGGACCGTTGAGAAGAGCCTTGTAACGGTACGCACTGAATGCGCCAGGAAGTACACTGATGTAACCGAAGACACTCTGGACAACACACTCGCGTCAACAATAATGACAAGGCACAGTATCAACCGGCAAACCTCCAATGGCTTGTCGAGAATGTTCGAGATCTTGTACTATCAACGAAAGACGAAGAAATGAGCAACATTTCGTAGACACCATGCATCATGCATACCTCAAAATTCTGCGACGCCGCCAGCGGACTTGTAAGAAGCAGAGAACAACCTCTTCCGGTGTCAACGCAGATTCTACGTATATGTTGACGTGAGCACAGAGTACACTACGAGTTCATCTTGACTGACTCTCCGCAGGCGCCGCCGACATTGGAGTGCTTGTCGAAACCTGCACAAAAAGACTGAGATGGAAATTTGAACATCGGTACCAGCTGGACCGCGCTTACACTTCCACAACTCGTAAATGGATGTACTAGTTGGCTTCGTTCCCACATCCAACAGCACGCAGACTGATGACAACAGGAGAATATGAGTACAGTAGTATCTAAAAAAGAGCCCTTACCATTAGGCTGGATGAGAGGCCCGAAGGCGTTGAAGAACCACCTGTGACTGGAAGACAAATCCATCAGACAGATGTCAACAGAAAGGCTGATCGTTTCATCTACCTGTTCAACTTCTTCTTGTTCTGTTCCTTCAGACAAAAGATGATTTGAACGGGACAAGCTCCCATAGATACTTCTCCTTTCTCAGACACGACAACATTGGAAGTGTACCTATGGTAGTAGTCAGTAACTGCCTCGGGATACTTCAAATGATTGCTCACTCGAAGATATGGGCCGTAACGTCCTTGTTGCCCACAGAGTCCTTCGCAATACCTTCCTGATAGCACCCCATCTATCGGACGATCTTAACATCGAAACATGATTGGTCTAAGAACCAAATGTCATACCAGAGATAGAACTTGGAGTGTTCGTTTGTTCACTTTGCTCCGACCGTCAGATACGATGCAAACGACGACCTTTTGCCAACCGTTCACACCCCACGTCTTGGAGCGCGAGCGGCCGCAAAGATGAGTTACGTTCTTGATAACGCTGTTGGATGGCTCAGACTGTATGCGCGCATGAGCACCATTTAGGCACAACACTCACGCGTTCATTGTCTTCACGAACAGGACCTCGTCCTCGTTGTACATGGTCATGACAATAAACAGCTCTGTATGGCGTTTGTAAAGATACGGCCGTAGGGAATACTTGTAACGCATAAAGTCGTCCGGATCGCACGTCGCGGCCGTGTAGCGCAGCTTGGTCATTTCCTCGACGTTGTCCATTCCCTTCGGGACAATATGCGAAGGAACTTGCATATCCAGGATGAGGTTGCCCTGCTGGAGCTCGACCTTGCGCACCACCCGTTGCTTGAGCAGCATCTCCCGCGCAGCGGACCAGCCGACGCCGGGCCTTCCCTGCTGCATAGGCGGATAATTCTGCTGGTAGGGCATGGTAGGGATTGGAGGGAGGTTGTGCAAGGAGACCTGGCTCATTTCATATTGGGGGTTGAGGTGGGCATGCGAACCTGCGTAGCTACTCTGGAAAGACTTCGCAGATTTGGAGTCCCAGTTCAACTGAGCATCGTAGTCGGCATAGTGATCGTGGTGGTTGTAGACCTCTTGTGGAGCGGTATACTGGCGCTGCTGGTGCTGTGGGGCAGGAGGCAAGTCGGGAACTACGCTTCCAGTGCTGGGGGGATAGTCTGCATAGGCATATCCCGGTTGTGGACTGTTGTAGCGATCGTGTTGAGGTTGAGGACGATAAGCCATTAATTCCGGCACCTGATCACGGAAATGGATCTACACAGCAAAGAGTGTGATTTGAAAAGAAGGGAGAGAATGGCCGTCTAGAAAGTCGGAGAGAGTCAAAAGAACGAAGGGGATCGCGTTGTCCAGCGAGACGAGGGTTGCTAACAGAAACGAAGGTGATGGGTGTTGGCTATAGCATTCGGCGCTTGGCGTAGCATCGCTGCATATGGCAACTTCTAATCATCCAGTCCACCACGGTCACCCCGGCCGCCATTCTCAAAATGTCGAACTCGGAGAGTCGACGGGAACTTGAAAAAGCAGAGAACGCCGTATGTAACGATGTTATTCACACTCAGAAGAGACTTTACGACATGTGGAGTCAAGGATGCGCAGCACCGAACTGAAGTAAAAAGCTCCGGCAGGATGCTCTGGCGTATGTGTTACCATATGGCGCCGAATGGTCAGACGAAATGAAACCTGACAAATTTTGAGAAGGCCCATCTGCGCAGACACGCCCCTCCATCGCGAGTGCCCAAGATCGGCTGCGCGCTGCAGGATCGGAGCGTGGAGCGCAATTGACTCTGAATGTTGTGGTCCGGGGAGGAGTTGCATCCAGATGATCTGGTCCACCGGGAGAAAGTCGGGACACGACTGCAGATTATCGATGCAGGGGGCCAAAGTAGCGCGGCCGGAGCCCAAAGCGTTTCAGCAACGAAGGAAGTCGGAATTTGAGCATCGATCGGGATGGCTCAGCATTCAATCGAGTTTTGTACAATGTATGCGACGGCCTAGAGGCAAAGAGCAGGGGGTTGGAGGTCAAACATTGAATGCAAAAGAAACGAGACCGGACTGTAGGTGAAACTGCGACACAAGGACTTAGCAATCAAACTGGTTATGCCCGAGGGGTTAGAAAGGCTGCAGCAGGTTCTCGAACGGCAAATTGAGCGCTGGTCATGCCTGGGAACCTGCTGCGGTATATTCCACCTGGTCTACGCAGAGAAATTGGAAGAGAACTTGAGCAATTAAAGTCAATCAGAAAACAATTTTCGAGACGAAGTTGAGCAAGGCGTGAGGAGAAGAACCGCTGTTGATGAGCGTCAGCCGATCGATGGTGCAGAATAAAGCGACCAAAAAAGGAGGAGTTCCCACGGTGCCCAGTCCGCCACATTGCCTGTGTCCAGCGGTCTCCGTCTCTTTGTACTCAACCCCTTGCAACCCCTCATAAATACCGTCTCTCTCATCTACTATCCTCCACTTTTGACTCACTTATCCACTCTCTACTCGTCTTTGGTGAGTACTCTCTTCATTTCCTTCCTCATTTTGCCCAGTATCGCATGATCTGTCGCCTCGTGCTCGCCTCACCCATCTCGCCCGCCGCCGTAACAGTGTGCGCCACGGAACGTAATTGTTGCAGTTGCAGTGGGAGTTGCAGGACCCTGCCGTCCTCATCGTGCGTGGCCAGACATTAGTCGGCACCCGTGGAGCATGCTGTGTTCGGCGTTCCCAGGCTTGACAACTCTTGCTTCTCAACATCCGCACCTATACCTGCCCTTAGCCCCTTCTTCAACTTTGAATTCCACCTTCGTCCTCCTCTCCTACTCCTTCTCCCCGTCCCTTGTCCACTCGACTGACACATTGTACCTAGTTTTTCCTTCACGTAGCATATAATGTCTCAAATGCCGAACAACGATCCGAATGCACACAGGTTGGATCTTAGGGTTGGCGGGAAGTATAGGTTGGGGAAGAAGATAGGCTCTGGTTCATTCGGTGAGGCGCTTTGTTTTCACATCTAGTCGTTTTCAACCGATGCACGTTACAGGTGACATTTACCTCGGAATTAACATCATTTCCGGGGAGGAGGTTGCCATTAAGTTGGAGTCCGTTAAGGCGAAGCACCCCCAGCTCGAGTATGAGTCGAAGGTCTATAAGACTTTGGCCGGTGGTGTCGGTGTTCCTTTTGTCCGTTGGTTCGGAACAGAGTGCGACTACAATGCCATGGTGATGGATCTCTTGGGGCCATCCCTGGAGGATCTCTTCAACTTCTGTAACCGCAAGTTCAGCTTGAAGACCGTACTACTTCTGGCTGATCAGTTGGTATGCACACCTTGCTCCCCCTAAATTGTGTGTTGTTCCACTTATTGTCCTTGCGCCACGTCAGATTTCACGAATCGAATACATCCATTCCCGCAACTTCATTCACCGTGATATCAAGCCCGATAACTTCTTGATGGGTATAGGAAAGCGTGGCAACCAAGTCAATGTCATCGATTTCGGTCTCGCTAAGAAGTACAGGGACCCCAAGACTCACCTGCACATTCCGTACAGGGAGAACAAGAACCTCACGGGAACTGCTCGCTACACTTCGATCAACACCCATTTGGGTGTGGAGCAGGCTCGCCGTGATGACTTGGAGTCCCTAGCTTATGTCCTCATGTACTTCCTTCGCGGTTCTCTCCCTTGGCAAGGACTGAAGGCTGCCACCAAGAAGCAGAAGTATGATAGGATCATGGAGAAGAAGATGACCACTCCTACTGATCTCCTTTGCCGTGGCTTCCCCAACGAGTTCGGCATCTTCCTGAACTACACTCGTGCGCTCCGTTTCGACGACAAGCCCGATTACTCTTACCTGCGCAAGTTGTTCCGGGACCTATTTGTCCGCGAGGGCTACCAGTACGATTACGTCTTCGACTGGAGTGTTAGGAACCAGGACGATGCTGGCGCTAGCACCAGCGCCAAGGGAGTCTCCGCTAGGAGAAAGGTCGTCCAAGAGGAGGACGACGCGCACCGTCCCAGCGACCGGATGTGAGCCGATAATTTGTTTTAACCCGCGCTGTTGCTGAACTGTATTCCAGGCTTCGTTCCCATACTCGTCAACAGCAGCAGGCGGCTGGTTTGCCAGGTGCTGTTGGCCAGCAGCGCGTCAGGGGACGGGACAATGATATCTGGTAAAGTGCTTTAGGAGGAGTCGGGGGTTGAGTCCCTTTAGCGCGCCCGGGGTTAGGCCGAGCATGGGGGGCGGAGGGCAGGTGAAGTGGTGGTTTGCTCGGTTGCGGTTCAGTCGATGTCGCGTCTGGAACCCCTTGGTTGTCGGTTAATTCTATTGGTCGGAAGCGCTCGCGTAGGGATGGCCTATTGGACAGGCCGCTGGGATGAACAGGATGCGTCGAGGGAGAACGTCCGGTATCTTGCGTCCGTGGCAAATCCAAATCCTCGACATAGTCACCTCCCTCTCGCACGTCGTCGGCTTGTTCATTCACGTCACATTCACCACCTCATTGGCCCTCTCCGACTACCCGATGGCGCTAAGCTCCTGGGATCCGGGTACTCGCGTCGCCCGCCTCTCGCGATACTGCCTGCTGTTTTTTTCCGTACGGACGCTTGTTTATTTCACGTTTGTCCTCTCTCGTGTCTTCCTTGCGCGCGACGAGGACCGACCGCCTTCTTCCATTCGCCATACATCGTTTCCCCTCGCGCCGTACATAATGATAATGGTCTCCACCCGCTATATCAGTCACTTCCATCCATCCCATTCCCATTTGTACCATTACCATCGCCACCATCGCCACACGCGGCTCTCTTCCTCGCTGATGGATGCTTGATCTTATAGTCCTCTTTTCCTCCATCTTTTCGGATCCGACATTCGTCGGACTCGAGGAGAGCGTGCAGGATAGGAGAGGGCGTCGCGTCTGGTTTGGTTTTTAGGCGCGTTGTGTTGAAGCAGGAACGGGGGTAAGGAATTCTGCTACCACTCATACAATGTCTGTATTGTGCAGATCCTCGTCACCGTCGTTTCCTGTTGATTCACCTCTATACCATGACCAGGCGCATGACTACTGTACTCTCGTTCAAGTCGGGTTTACTTACAGCGCTCTCGCGCAAGCCCTTTGATCGTAGTATACATTTCCTGTAATCGCTGTGTTTCACTTCACGTACGTACGCAGGCTCGAGTTTATTGAGATATATGTGGTTGCTACATATCTGAAGTACTGCTTGAATCCTGAGCTTCGCTCGAAGTTGAGTGCGTTGGATCACGTGCTGAGATACGTTACGGCGCTTGTATTTGCAGTGCATCCGAGTCGAGTAAACCGACCACGTCGCGCTCAAGGGCGCGCCCACCGCCGCAACCATGTCTCTCGTAACCAAAAAGGACGAGGAGAACGGCCTCAGCACATACTATAACAACAAAACGACCGTTATCCAGGAGGCCCGTGTCTTCAACGATTCCCCCATCAGTCCCCGAAAATGCAGAGCACTGCTCACCCGGATCGTGTACTTGCTCTACATTGGGGAGACCTTCGGGACGCAGGAGGCAACGACGCTGTTCTTTGGGACGACTAAGTTGTTCCAGCATAAAGATGTGAGTTCCGATGGTCGTGGTGCTAACAGTCTGTTGATCCTGCTGGACATAGAGTGCTCTCCGGCAAATGGTGTACTTGACGATCAAGGAACTGGCTACTACGGCAGAAGATGTCATCATGGTCACCAGCAGTATCATGAAAGACATGCAACCCAACTCAGAAGTCATTTATAGGCCGAACGCTATTCGTGCACTCTGTCGGATTATAGACGTATGTTTTCTCGGGTTCTATGCCGTATCAATGTTACTCAGGTTTTGACTACTTAAGCCATCCATGGCGCAAGGCGTGGAACGGTTCTTCAAGGCGGCCATAGTCGACAAGAATCGATCCATTTCGTCCGCCGCACTTGTCTCTGCATATCATCTATTCCCGGTAGCGAAGGATGTAGTCAAACGATGGGTGAATGAAGCGCAGGAAGCCGTGACCCCAAAGTCTGTGTCGATGTTTAGTGGCAACACCTCGGGCTCCTACCTTGGCTGGGGCGGCTCCTCTGGTACTTCGAACAGCGGCTACCAGCCTGTTCCGTCGACGAGCTACATCACACAATATCATGCTTTGGGTCTACTTTATCTCATCCGCCAGCAGGACCGCATGGCTGTCACAAAGATGATCCAACAATTGGGCGGAGGGAAGTCTGGTGCCGGCACCACGTTGAAAAACCCCATGGCACTCTGTATGCTCATCCGCTATGCAGCCAAGGTCATTGAAGAGGATCCTAAGTACGTCAAATCCGTGTACTTCCCGTCATATGTTCAACTCTTCGTACAGTGTGCAGCAGCAGATGTTCGACCTTCTCGAGGGCTGGTTGCGGCATAAGAGCGACATGGTCAACCTTGAAGCCGCCCGTGTCATCTGCGAGATGAAGAATGTAACACCAACACAGCTGACAAGACCAATAGCGGGTAAGTACGGGTATATGCTACTTTTTCTGGTCATTCATAGGATATCGGCAGTGCTCCAGCTTTTCCTCTCTTCGCCGAAGCCCACGTTGAAGTTTGCTGCTACTCGTACCCTCGCTTCGCTGGCCTTAACCCACCCTTCAAGTGTCGCTGCATGTAATATGGACCTGGAGAACCTGATCTCAGACCAGAACAGGAGCGTAGCCACATACGCAATCACTACCTTGTTGAAGGTCTGCATTCCTATTTATTGTTTCATTGATGCAGTCTCAATCAGTCCGCAGACTGGAAACGAAGCGTCTGTCGACCGTCTCATGAAGCAAATCACTGGCTTCATGAGCGAGATCAGTGACGAGTTCAAAGTTATCATCGTTGATGCCATCCGGTCGCTCTGCCTCAAGTTCCCCGCGAAACACGCCTCGATGCTCTCCTTCCTCTCCGGCGTCCTGCGCGACGAGGGCGGATACGAGTTCAAGCGCGCGGTCGTGGAGGCAATCTTCGATATGATCAAGTTCATCGGCGAATGCAAGGAGCAGGCGCTCTCGCATCTCTGTGAGTTCATTGAGGATTGCGAGTTCACCAAACTCTCCGTTCGTATCCTGCATTTGGTCGGCATGGAGGGCCCGAAGGCTCCGCAGCCTACGAAGTACATTCGTTTCATCTACAACCGTGTCGTATTGGAAAATGCTACTGTCCGCGCTGCTGCTGTGTCGAGCTTGGCGAAGTTTGGGCTGAACGGCCTGGACGATAAACTCGGCAAGAGTGTTAACGTTCTTCTCAATCGGTAAGCGGTCATATATTATGCTTATGTATTATCACTGACTACAGCTGCGTAGATGCTTGGACGACGTCGATGATGAGGTTCGTGATCGGGCTGCCATGTATCTGAAAGTGTACGATGCACCCAGTCTTGCTGCAACATACATCAAAGAGGGTAATATGTTCGATGTGTGGTTCGTGCCTGAGATTGACCGCGGGTTTCCAGAGTCTGTGTTTTCCCTTCCCGCTTTGGAGTCCAAGTTGGTCTCTTACATTAGCGACACTGACGCTCTGGCGACACCGTTCGACGTGTCATCAGTACCGAAGATCAGCAGAGCGCAAGCAGCGAAGGAGGCGGCTCGTGAGTGCGCACCCTTATTCCAGTGGCAAGTGCTGATGTCGAAGTTTTCAAGGTCCAAGTAGCTTGGAGACCATTGGCGTGCCGTCGACATCGAAAGCGGCGACGCCTCCGCCGCAGACATCTGCCGAGACACAATCAGCATATATCCAGCAGTTGGCGGAGGTCCCAGAGCTTGCGTCGTACGGCCCCGTCCTTCACAGCAGTATCAAGCCTGCGCAGCTCACTGAGAGAGAGACTGAGTACCAAGTCTCGTGTGTTAAGCACATATACAAGGAACATATTGTATTCCAGGTAAGTGCGTTATTGTTCGCAAAACATTCATGGGCTCACGGCGCGCGTTGTAGTTTAATGTATCGAACACCATTCCGGATACTGTGCTGGAGCAAGTATCTGTGATTATGCAGCCGCAAGCAGATTCGGGATTGACAGAAGACTTCATTATACCCCTGCCGAGCCTTTCCTTAGCGACATCTCCAGGCATTGTCTACGTCTCCTTCACGCGCGATAGCCCAGCAGAGTATGCAACCACCTCGTTCTCATGCATCCTCAAGTTCGTAAGCAAGGAATTGGATCCTTCGACGGGCGAGCCAGAACAAGAGGGCTACGAAGACGAGTACCAGCTCGAAGAGACAGAGCTCGCCGCGGCAGATTACATCGTCCCCAGCTATGTCACGTTCGCGTCGGAGTGGGATCGCCTGCGGGACGGTGGATCTGCCACAGAGACATTCTCGCTCTCTGCAATGGAATCTATGAAAGGCGAGTGTGCTATTTCGCTCGTGCGACCTGTGAACGTATCTCTGATTTGCTGCTCAGCTGCGTGTGACTCGATCATCGAGATCCTCAACATGCAACCGCTGGGTGGGACGGAGGATCCGCAGAACCCGACGGTGCATACGCTGCAGCTGTCTGGGCTGGTCGCGGGCGGCGGTGGCAAGATTCTGGTGCGGTGTCGCATGACCTACTCGAAGGCGCAGGGTGTGACGCTGGAGCTGGGTGTGCGAGCGGAGCAGGAGGATGCGTGCAACCTGGTCGTAGCCGCGATCGGTGGTTGACACTGAACGTGTGTATGCACGTAGAATCTATGTTATTTTTTCGGAACAGGCTCAGGGTGCGCATGAGAGAGCTCTGTGCCTTCTGGCTGTGTGGTCGCGCGATGGCATGAGAACGCACTCATGGCCGTGTCAGAGTCGGTCGTCGGCTATGTAAGGTCCATCCGCGGGTGCTCGTTCCCCTCGGTTTTTCTGCCAGGAACCCTCCGCTCAAGTATTATGGTTGACGCCAGGCCTGCACTCCATTTTACATCGCTGTCGTACGACAGCGTACTTCTCAGACTACGTATCATATTACTGTTCATCAGCGCAGCCATATCCGACTAGTCCGACAAAGACTAGCATTGACTCCGCACGACCACCTCCAGCTCAGGAGCAGTGAATACTCACCATTCAAGATGTCAGTGCCGTCGCTGCCCACCGCGACCACCATCCAGGTCGACACCCGCGGCGCAGTGATACTAGAGGAGGAGTCCCCAGATGTGCGTGCAGCTTAGGGGGATTTGGGGAGCGAATATCTGACCGTGCGCAGACCCGCGACAGCCGAGGCATCTACCTACCCAACTACATCGAGCCGGTGTCCCACATTGCAGTAGACGTAAGATCCTCGCTCGAGCACGCCATCCCCCTGCTGATCATCCCATTCCAGATCGGGGGGTCGCTCGCGAAGGTGGTGTATTTCACCCGCTCGCCTCACCCGCCAGGCTCGCCCTCGATAGCGGCGACAAGAGGCTCCAGCACCACCGTCAGCAACCTCTCGACGCCCGTGTCTGCTTCCCCCCCAGAAGATGTGTCTCTTCCCCTCGAGCCCTCACCCCCACCGCTGTTCGCGAAGCTCAATTACAAGCTGAATGGTGCACTGACCCCCGCCGTGCTGGACCCACAAAATGGTAACAACGGGCAGGGCGTGCACCTCGCACCCCCACCGCTGGCCTCAGCGTCGGTGTCACTACCGGACCCGCTGGACCACAGCCGGCTGAACGAGTCGCTGCTGCGGCGCGTGTCGGTGCAGCACTTCCCGGGCGGGCAGCTGAACTTTGAGAAGTTCGAGACGGAGCACATCGAGGAGTGCGTCGCGTTCGTGCGAGCGCTGATCGAGCGCTCCGCGAAACTGAACGGCGTTTCCGTTGCGGAGATGCGGGGCGGCGTAAAGATCGTTGCGACGGGGGGCGGCGCGCACCGCTTCTACGAGCTGTTCGAGCACGAGCTCTTCGTCGAGGTGCGCAGGGAGGACGAGATGGAGTGCCTGATCGAGGGCCTCAAGTTCATTACGCTCATCCCGGACGAGGTGTACTATTTCTCCGACGAGCTCATCCACTCCGTCTCGCATCCGTACCACCTGCTGCATGCTGGCGTGCTCGAGCGCCCAAGTCCGGACCCACCCAAGTATGCGGTGACGTTCGTGGAGAATCCGACGCCGCAGCTGCCGTGTCTACTGGTGAACATCGGGTCAGGCGTGTCGATCATCAAGGTGAACGAGGACGGGTCGTATGAGCGTGTCAGCGGGACGAGTCTGGGTGGCGGTACGCTGTGGGGTCTACTCAGTCTACTCACACCAGCAACTACATTTGATGGTGAGTCTTTATGGTAGTGTCTGCCTTCCGGCTACTGACGGGACCGACAGAAATTTTGGAGCTCTCCGAGAAGGGTGACAATGCCAAGGTAGACATGCTCGTCGGCGACATCTACGGCTCGGACTACAGCAAGCTCGGGCTCAAGTCGACGATGATCGCCAGTTCGTTCGGCAAGGTGTTCAAGAAGAACGGCACGAAGGGCTCGTTCTCACCCGAGGACATCAGCAAGAGCCTGCTATATGCAGTATCCAACAACATAGGGCAGATAGCGTGCGTCTCGTGCCTATCGTCGCCGAAGGGCCGAGATGGTGCTGACATCTCGGTTTTGCTCAGATACATGAATGCCGAAAAATATGGCCTAGATCGGATCTACTTTGGTGGTTTCTACATCAGAGGTGCGCCACCGAGTTTATGTGCGCCTGTGCGATTGACTGATACGTGCGTAGGTTATGCGGCAACAATCAGCACACTCTCATACGCTATCAGGTTCTGGAGCAAGGGTACAAAGCGGGCGCTGTTCCTGCGGCATGAGGGCTTCCTGTACGTGATATCTAACTTCCTCACGCTGTCTTGAGGTTGGCTGACAAGGATTTCTACTGGCAGTGGAGCCATTGGAGGATGGATCAAGAACATCGGGGAGGGCCAGCGAGGCATGCCATTACCTGGTAAGGAGGACGAGGATGCTCCAGCATGAGATACGAGACGCTGGAAGGACCAGACATTCGTGTATTTATTAGAGTGGAACGCTAGGTGAGTTGCTGTATATTAGGTTCCACTATACTTTAGTAGGTGTACATACGTATGCATTGCCTGATGCGCACAGTAATCATTCCGCGGCCTCGCACCGGGGCCTAGTTTGATCGAGGTAGAGACAGGAGTAGTTGCCTATTGCATTCCAGATACAAGAGAGCTGCTAGGAGGGCTCTGCACAGCAGCTGCTTGATGTCTGATCAACGAAGGCTAGGAAGAGAATTCGGGCGAACCGACGTCTAAAATTTGAGTGAATTATGACTGAATTCGGCACGTCATACTGCTATAGATGCGAGATCATATCAAGATCTGCAGCATAATTGACTTGACAAACTCGAATTCGAGACTGCACTCGGCAGTGTAAGCTCACGAGGCATCCGAGCATTACACCGGCGAACGTACGGAGAGCGCAAGAAAGCTCTGTGAGACGCCAGACAGATACCTGGAGAAGCTTGAGCAGGAAAGCAAGCGAGGAGAGTTAAGCAGTCTGAGAGGGAAAAAAATGCGAAGCGCCCATAGTAAGTCATGTGCCACGTGGGCGGAGTGTCATTCATGAACTCACAGGCACAGCAAATCGGGCCAGTTCTTCCCGAGTCTTTTCCTCAAAACCTATGCGGTGTGCATTGTCGCTGATGTTTTTGAGTGCGACGGGTTGTTGTGAGGGCTCAAAGATGAGAGAGATCATGGAGGATACAGAGAGTGCAACGACGAGTGATGGACAAGAACAAGAGCAGATAGAGAGTCCATAAGCGTGAGACAATTGCAGAAGTGGGCAGCTGCTGTATAAGTCTGCTGCTTAATTTTCATAAACCCCTAACGCTTTGTCACCTTCCCCTTCCTCTCTTCAATGCATTCCACCATTCCTCCCTGGGCTCGCACCCCTCCTTCTCCTCCACAACAGCACGATAACTCAACACCAGAACGCATGGAGAACACAAAGAAGCCCCGCCATCGCCATACTCCCTTTCAGCTCGCCCGCCTCAACGAGCTCTTTGAGAGAACCGAGCATCCGTCACTTGAGGAACGCACCAATTTGGCCGAGCAACTTGGCATGTGAGCCATTGTCTGCTCTACCAGGGTGGCTGTGGCTGATTTGCGTTGTGTTACTTTGCCCAGGGAGACAAAGACTGTAAATTCGTGGTTCCAAAATAAGCGTGCATCCTCAAAGAAGCGCCATAAACTTCCTTCCGTAGCAGGACAATGCGAACTCCCGCCTATATCTACGCTCCTCGCTTCGGTCTCTCCATCAGCTCCATTACGTCCTCCTTCGGAGTACGACGAGCTTTCTGAAGACGAACACTCATCGCGTGCCACTCACTTCTCTACCTCTGACCACAATCAGCAACAACATACTCTTTTCTACACCGACAATCCTCAGCAAAAGCATCTCTTTGAGTCCGACAACACAATGCCGCGCAAAGCTCGTTCTCGCCCTTCCCATGCTCAGACCGATGAACTTCGCAAAGTGTACGACGTCAACCAGCATCCTTCCAAAGAGGAACGCGAGGAGCTCGGTCGCAAGATCGGAATGTATGTCTAGCCGAACATTTCTTGATGGCTCGTTCATGATTGACATGTGTTATATCAGGCGCTATCAGAGCGTCACGAACTGGTTCCAGAACCAGCGTAGCATTGCCAAGAAGCGCAAGGAAGAAGAGGAGACTCAAGCCGCCCTGGCTGCTGGTGCGATATCATCCAAGGGCAGGACATACACCTCCTTCCCTCCAGCAGCGGGTGCTGCCCATCCCTCGCTCGCCGTCCCACCGTCATCTGGTCATCCATCTCTCCCGCCTCTTACGGTTCCCCATGTCCCTCGAGCTCGGAGATCCGTCAGTGCAGCACCTGCTGCAAGCAGGCCCACGTCTCCTCGCGCTTCACCATACCGTGCTGCTGCAGATCGTGTGCTTGTGGCGACTCACCTACGCCCACGACGCACTCGACCGGAACCGCATCAGCTCGAGGCCCTGAAAAAGCTGTTCCGGCGTACGGAGACACCGTCGATCGAGGAGCGGGGCGCGCTCGCGCTCGAGATCGGGATGGAGGTGGGCAAGGTAACGAACTGGTTCCGGAACTTGCGGCAGACTGCGCGGCGGCGTGCGCAGAAGGGTGGGAGCGGCGAGGAGGACGATGACTTCGAGATGGACATGGACATGGAGCTCGACAACGTGAGCTTGGCGACGTACAACGACTCGCGCAGCGTCTCGCGCTCGGCTACCCCGTCGCAGCTCGCGACGTCCTCGGCTACGTCACTAGACGTACCGATGGACTTGGAGGACGTGCGGGTGAAGGTCGAGCAGGCGGACAAGCACCGTAGGATATATGCGCACGTACTGCATGCACATTCGAACTCGGATATGGGCAGCGAGGAGGAGTACCAGGAGGCGGTAACACCCGAGTCGTCGCCGCCTCCGTCTGCATATCCTCCCTCGGCACCTCGCATCCGTGAGCTGCAGATTGCAGTAGATGCGTTGGCGTACGCGGAGACGGAGAAGGCCAGCACGCGATTAGACACCGGCGTAAAGGTCGAGGACGCGTTGCTGCTATTAAGTTTCCACCAGCATGTTGCGTTATCGCGCTAGAAAATATTGTGAGCCGTCCGGTCGTTCTCTAGCGCTCTCCCACTTAGGTCAGGTCATACAGTATCGTATGAAGCCTCTCCGCTCCATAGTCGGCGCCGCAGCTCCATACACGCATCCTGCACACCCGTCACACTCTATGCATATTCTGCTTGTCCATAATGCCGCCAAGCCCGCCATGTCCGCCACGAATGAACACCTTATCGCTATATACATATTCCGCATCCGGTATTCGTATCCTGTAATCCTCAGCGCCCCGATCCGCGCTACCAGAACAAGTAGCATACACACGCACGTAGCCCCCATCGCCGCGTGCTAGCTCGGGTTCCCCACACGCCCGCCTCCTTCACCTCTCACGTTGTGTGTCCCTCACCATCGAACTGTCACTTATTACTCGCTGTCGTGCTGCGGTCCTGAAATTTCTTCCTAACTCTTACTATTTGTCATGTCGAAGCGGTGTTGCAAACTGCGCCTGTAGAGCTGTATCTATTTGTGCGGTAATCCAATCTTGAAAGCTTGAAGATGGACAGCGATGCGTATGTCCGTGTATGGCTCTGCTATCTTTCTCTTTTTTTTCCTGAGTTTCATCCGCTCCACTGGGACTCGTCATGGATGAACTGCCGGATACGAGAACGTACGAGCCTCCACTCTCTGTCCAGTTGGCACCGACATGCATATGGCTTCACGGCTGATTGACTCGCAGGGCCCTACAGAGGATGGCGGATATATTGCTCCGGAGGTAGCAACATTCAGCAGTACTTAGTGTTAACACTCGGTACAAAACACTTCACCTGACACAGTATCACGCCAAGGAACAGTAATGTGAATCGCACACTTCGCATCAGGTAAATATGCAACTGTGTCTATCTCTGCTGCACCAGGACCATCGGAAGTACTGACTGGAAAGCACACCGCAGACCTGCTCGCGAACCCGTTCGCGCGGTCCGCTCTCCTTTGCTTCGCGGACGCCGCAGCGGACGTGCTCTTCTTCGTGCTGCAGTTCGCTGGGCTCGAGGGCTTCACCCTCGACTGCGCGAGGGCGAGCCGAGTCGCCGTCGCACCGCGCGGACGTGAAGCTCACCCCGGGCGCCGCGCACCAGCTAGGCGCGCGGCTCTTCGACCACCCTGAGGTGACGTTCGCCTGGAGTGCGCGCTCTTCCTCGCGGTGCTGCGAGCGTACACTGTGTATGCGCCGCCTGCAGTGCGCGGGGATATGACCAGGACAGAAAGTAGATGCCGATTGTCGTTGCAGTCATGCTTGCACAGCAGGCGCACTTCTGCTTCGGCGCGTGAGTGTCTTTGTTTCCGTTCCGTCTTGTGGGGCTGACTGTATTGCAGCGCGCCGACGGGGCAGACGCGATGGGTGTATGTGCCCTTGTTCTTGCTCGAGATGCTGGGAAGCTGTTGGGATACTTGGCACGTTGAAAGGGTGAGATGCGACGGTGACATCGGTGGAATACAAAACGGCGACGTGAATTGTGATAACTGACCGTATGGCTGTACGATACGTAGCAATTTAGCACAGTGTATTCGCGACAGTGTCTCCTGTCCCAGAGGCGATGTGTCTGATCTCATGTCTATTAGCCTGAGAGATATAGATGACGGTGAGTAGCCTCGTTGCGACGTCGCGGTTGGTTTGATGCCGTTTGGTGTCTCGCTCGTTGTGGTGAACGGCGCTCAGCTGGAGCTGGTAGCTCTGCAGGCTGATTTCCGTATTCTCCTGGCTTCAAAATGAGCGGGGAATGTGGATCGGTGTATATCCGACTCCGCGAGGCCGGTTGGTGAGCGGCACCGGGAAGGTCGCTGGCCGGACTCGAGAGCATGGCGGATCGACTCACCGTCGGCCGTGCTCTGGGCGCGTACATAGCCTACCTCGTCGTCCAACTCCTTCTCCTCGTCGTTCGACACGACGACCAGCGTTGCAGAGTCGACGATGTCCTCCGTCCTGCGCACCGCCCGCGCATCCCTCCGCGGCCCCGCACTCGCCTACGCCGCCCGAGCCATGAGTTCCGTCCCCGCGCTCCCCCTCTCCCCACCCTCCCCCGACGAGGAGACAGCCGCATTCTCTTCCCGCGTCGCCGCCCTCGAGTCCTTCTTTGCTCTCCCCCGCTTTGCCTCTCTCAAGCGGCCCTACACCGCCGCCTCCGTCGCGTCCAAACAAGGCTCTCTCCCCGTCCTTCCGCTCCCCTCCACCCTCCTCGCAGACAAGCTCTATGCGCTCTTCTCCAAGGCCGCCTCAGAGGGTCGCCCGGTGCACACCATGGGCGCGATAGACCCCGTGCAGCTCACACAGATGGCCCCCCACCAAGAGGTCGTCTATGTCAGCGGGTGGGCCTGCTCCAGCCTGCTCACGACATGCCACAACGAGGTCGGACCGGACATTGGGTGCGCATATCCTCTCATACACCCGTTATATGCGCTGAAATCTCCCGCGGCGCGCTCTGCAGAGACTACCCGTACACGACCGTTCCGAACCAGGTCGAGCGGCTCTTCCGCGCGCAGCTGCTGCACGACAAGAAGCACTACGATGAGCGCATGTTTGCGAGCCCGGAGGAGCGCGCGAAGATGCCGTATGTCGACTATCTGCGTCCCATTATCGCGGATGCAGATATGGGGTGAGCATTGGGACTGCATGCCTCGTACTACTCTGAATTCACTATGACTGCAGACACGGCGGACTTTCGACCGTGATGAAGCTCACGAAGCTCTTTGCAGAGTCTGTGAGTATGACGGTCTTATCGCCTTAGGCACGCATTAATGGAGCACTACAGGGCGCATCCGCAATCCACCTCGAGGACCAGCTCGTGGGCGGTAAAAAGGTGCGTTCTCCAATCTCACACATCGTGGCAAACTAACACGCCCCAGTGCGGGCACCTCGCGGGCAAAGTGCTCGTTCCCGCGTCCGCGCACATCTCGCGGCTCATTGCAGCGCGTTTCCAGCTGGACATGCTCCAGCACACGATGCTACTGATCGCACGCACGGACGCCGAGTCTGCGAAGCTGCTCTCGTCGACGGTCGACGTGCTCGACCACGAGTTCATCCGCGGCGTCACGGTACCCGACACCCCGCTAGCGGAGGTCATTGCGCGTGCGGAGGCCGACGGCCGCCCCGGCTCCGAGGTCGACTCGATCGAGAAGGCGTGGCTCGCGCGGAACCCGATGTGCACGTTTAACGAGGGTGCGTGGTCGCGTCCGATTTTCTGCGGTCAAGGTAAGAGTGCTGAGGGCGTGCTTCGTGTTAGCTGTGGAGAAGGCAATCCATGCATCGGCCATTGAGGACAAGGACACGGCTATCCGCGGGTACCACGAGGCCGCTGCGGGTAAGTCAAACGCAGAGGCACGCGACATCGCACAGGACATCCTTGGCGAGCCCATATTCTGGGACTGGGACCGTAAGTCCTCATTTGCACCACCTCTATGTTTCCTCGTTAGCTTGGTCTTCCTCTGCAGTGCCGAAGACGCGTGAAGGCTACTACCACTACACCGGAGGCGTCGAGGCGAGTTGATCGCGTACATGCGCGCTGTCGCGAGGCACTGACGAGTGACGGACGGTAGGCCGCGATCAAGCGCGAGCTCGCGTTCGCGCCGTACGCGGACATGATCTGGCTCGAGACGAAGCTGCCCGACCTCGCACAGGCGCGCTACTTCTCGCGCAAGATCCGGGAGAAGTACCCCGGCAAGTGCGCGTCCCGCTTCTCTTCCTGTCCTCAAGAGCCTGATTGCGATGCTGCGCAGGTGGTTCGTGTACAACCTGAGCCCGAGCTTCAACTGGTCAGCGCAGGGCTTCTCAGGTGCGGTGTCGGCGAAGGTGTGCTCGGTTCTAGCTCGGCGCTCATGCACGGTGTAGATTCGGACTTGAAGAACTTCGTGTGGGACCTGGGCAAGGAGGGGTAAGCTGTCCACCCTCGGTGATCTCAGGTAAACTGAGACGCTGTTCCCCCGCAGCTTCGTCCTGCAGCTGATCTCCCTCGCGGGCCTGCACCTCAACGCGGCCGCTACAGGTACGCACCTCTGCAAGTAAGAAAGGACAGTGCTGACTGACTAATGGGAACACAGCTGAGCTCGCGGCGCGGTACAAGACGGACGGGATGCTCGCGTACGTCGAGCTGGTCCAGCGCAAGGAGAAGGCGCTCGGGTGCGACGTGCTCACGCACCAAAAGTGGTGCGTCCCACCTTTTGGCATCTCATTCGGTCTATGCGTTGACGGTGCTAACACCATACTTGTACGCACAGGAGCGGCGCGAACTACATCGACCGCATCCTCACGACCGTCTCTGCGGGCTCGTCGAGCACTTCCGCCGTGGGCGGCGACTCGACGGAACACTCGTTCTGAGCGGCCGCGTGGCCGTGCTGGGGTGACATCTATCGCGTAGATGGGTATATCTCTGATGATAATGATGATCTGACTGAATGAAGCTATGGGGACATCCCCATCGCAGTGGTCGTCTCAGCCAGCCACTTACAGGAACACCGCGAAGCGGAACAGTCTATTAATTGCGGTAGATTAAGTTAAAAACAAGAGAGATGGATACGACATAACATGCAGCCGCATCGTTGGACAATCGAACACATACAAGGGAAACCGAGCAGCGAATCGAGACCTCCACTACGCCGACGGGCAGGTGCCTACGTGAGTGGCGCATGTTGCATCCTGAATCACAAGATACGATGCTCGGGCTAGTAGAAGACATCGCAATCCACTAGTACTGGGCTCCATTTGCAGTATCTCGCGCCCACTAAGATTGGCCTCCACGGGTGAGGGCCATTAGCGGTGTCTGCACCAGGCCCATACATGCCACTGGCACAAAAGGAGCAGCACAGATCCTCGCACTTGTTGAAATTAAGTGTGGCCAATGGAGGGATATTACAGTGAAAATGAAGATTTGAGCACACTGGCAAGTGAACCGCAGGTCTCTTAGTGGATGGCCTCACTGATGTGCGTTATCCCTTAAACCATGTGCCCTTGCTGTCTTTCAACCACTCTTACCATGCTCAGACATCACACAGGGGATGGTACATAGAGAAGAAATTGTGCGAGATAAGCGCGACACCAGCCGCCAGCACCGGCGATGCTTGTATTACATGGCAACTACGAGAACTTATATCTAATGAGATAATAATAACACAGCGAAAGCAAATGCGGAATAGACACAGAACGAATGCAAAGTCGGATGTACACGGAATTAGATCGTGGTATATACTGCGGCGCGCGCACCAAAAATGTACGGATATGTAGTGAACGGTGCATAGCAAGATGGGGCAAAAATGGACGGACATGCGAGGTGAATAGTGCATAGCGAGATGGGGCAAAAAGTCGGGGAAAGGAAAAGGTATTGGGGCACCAGCATGCCCCAGCATGATCGTTCGAGCCAGCACGCGCATTCAAGTTCAATGGGTTCACTCCACAGACGTCATCGAGTGGTCCAGCGCATGGTACGGGTACGACAGCGTCGACTCGAGCACGTACGAGTCGAGATTTGGCGACACGATCTCGAACTGCGACGCGTCGAGCCGGCTCTCCCCCGAGTCCACCGACGAGCGCGCTGCGAACGCCGCACCGTGCCGCGGAGGCGAGCTTGCCGGATTCAGGCGCGACGACGCGCGCGGTGGCGATGACGTCGACGACGCAGACGAGGACGTGCTGCCCTGCTTACGCGGAGACGTGCGCTTTTCCTTTTCGCCTAGCTGCGACTGCCGGCTGCTCGAGCGCGATGATTGCATGTGCGCGAACTGCTCAGGTAGCGCAGGGCTCGGTGGGATGTCGACCAGCGTCGCCGACGAGGACGACATTACAGAGCCACGTCGCGCGGACGCGATGCCGTCCAGAATACTCGGCCGTCGGCGCTTCATCAGCACGTCCGGCGGCTGCGACGCTTCCGAGTGTAATGTGCCCCCGTTGTGCGGTGGGCCCCCACTGGGCAGCGACTGCGCGGAGAGGCTGCCTGACGCCGACTTCCACGACTTGAGGATCGACTTGCGCACGCTGCCGTTCTTCTCCGCGGGCGGAACGGGGGAGGGTATGGGCGTCAGCGGCATCGGCGAAGACATGGCTGAGTCAGGCGTGAAAGTGCGCAACGGGACGGGCGGCAGCTGTGGGGAGGGCCCTCGTGACAGATCAAGAGGCGGCGTGCGACTTGGGACAGGGTAGCGGCCGTCGACCTCAACACGCAGACTGTGCATTGACGGCCTACGTTTCTTGACCAGCACTGGCATACCATCGCTCGATACGTTGACGTGGTCGCCCGGCTGAGGGGAACGCGAGATAGTCCTGGACATCGGGCGGCTTGGGGGTTGGTCCTGGAGGTGCCCAGTCGGCATGGTATTTGGAGATGACCGTCCTGAGTCGGGCACGATGGGCGTCGCAGACCCCGAGAGCGACAGTTTGTTGTTAGTCTTGCGCCACAGCTTTTTAATGCCCTTCATGCTCACGATCGACGCGGTCTTTGATGGCTTCGGCCCCTCCTCGGACGTGGCCGAATCGAGGGAAAACCGACTCGAAGGGGTCTGCGAGGCAGATCTGTCGTGGTCATTCTGATCGCGGCTGTTCACGCGAAACGCTGAGTTCCTACTATGCGGCAGCGGGGGGAGCTCGCCGTAGTGTCCTGCCGCGTGCTGCTGGTGCTTCTCGTCGGACAGCCGTACTACTTCTGCCTCAGAGGGAAACCGTCCAAACGGGTCCGGCGAGAGGGGTATCACGGGCGACTGCGCACCGCTGCTCTGTCGAAAAAGTGGCGATACGAGCGGAGGGTATAGCGCCGCCTCCTCCTGCTCGCGCCGCCTCGCCAGCGTTTCATCGGAGATCGTGCCCGAGCGGGTACGCCGCTGGAACGGCGACCGCGGCGGCTCCGTCGGGATGCCGTTGAAGGCAAACTTGGGTGGGGAAGGAGGCAGATTCGCTGCATTCGTGGGGGGCGACAGCGACGCGTCGCGCCCGCTCAGTGCAGAGAAGGGCACCGCGGGCCAGGACGCGCCATCGGTTGGCAACTTAGCACTTCTAGTGGCAATGGAATAATGTGAACATTAGTCTGCGGTCCCTCGCGAAGATTCACAATGGTTTGACTAACCCCTGGGGAGGAGACCCCGCGTTCTGTACATTCAATCTAGGAGATCTCCACTGCGACGGTGGGGACAGTGTGGATGCCGAATGGGTGGGCCGCCGTGGACTCTCAGCCAGCTCTTCCGTGCCCAAGTGATGAGGAGAGAATTGAGCCAGGTTCTGAGGAGTGATATCAATAGCTATGCCAACCGAACACCAGCAAGGGCACGCACCCTCTCGATCTCGTCGAGCTGGGCCTTCATCATAACCTGGCTTCGCCGCCGGTCATGAGGGTCGCTCTCGTCAAACTGAGAGCACGCATCAGTGAACCAAACGCAGAGCAACGATTTGAGAAATGTTACCTCCAGGCCGAGATCGAGGTCCTCGAAGAAGGCGCCATCCCGTTTTTCTTCTTCGGGGCTCCTACTCTTCTTGAGCTCAATCATGTCCTCATCTTCTGGGGGAACAAGAAGTGTCGTATCACCGCCTTTCATGTACTCTGTCGACTCGGACGTTGCAGGCGATGCGCCATCGAGGTATGGCAAATGCGAGCGGTCGAGGACCTGTGCGGAGGGCATCAGGTTCAACGGCGGTGGAGGCTGTTTCTTGATCGTCCCCGCCGTCGTGAGCGATGACCGAAGTCTGCTTGCAGATGGCGGAGAAGCAGGTATTGAAACCACTAGCGAGGGTTTAGAATGCCTATTCCAGAGCTCTGCTACCTCCTCCTCGTCCCTGTCTTCTGTCATGCTATCTTCGAGATCTTCTGGGACGGCGGCAAGAGCGCTGCCGTTTAATGCCAGGTCGACCACGTTCGGATCCTTCTCCCTGTCTGTCTGCGAGTCTGTATGAACGTGAATCCAGGTCTCCGCATCCGTACCGAAGACATCAGCGAGCGGGTCATATTGAAGCCCGTTCAGCCGCGCAGTTGGATCGTCGTCATCTGTCTCATCGCCAAACTCAACATCCTCCGGAGATTCAGGAAGCTGCGAGTACGCTCCCTCCGTATCGATCTCCTCCGCCTCGGCCTGCCTGTCCCGCAGAAACTGAGGGGTGGGGCTGCCCGGCCTGACCTTGTCCACGAGCGCGAGGTCAAGGGGAGCCTTGCGCACATCCTCGTCCTCTCCCTCGTCGCCGTCAACGCGAGACCCGGACCGCTTGCGCACGCCCGCCCGGCTCTCCGCCCGCTTTGCGTGGTTGATGCGCCTGCTCCGCGCCCATGGCTCGTACCATGCGGCCTTCCTGCGGTCGATGTCGAACTCCACCTTCGCCAGGACGGGGATGAGCGTAGGAGAGTGCAGACCCGGGAGGAGGAAGTCCTCCGCCTGCGCATCAGCCCCGCCGAGCGCGGAAACGGACGTTATTGACTCGGGCGTGTCGAGCTCGGACTGGAAAGAGAAGCCGGAGTATGACGGTGTGGAAGGCGAGGGCGTCACTGCCGACAGCGATTGAGGGGTCTCAGCTCTTCGTGGCGGGATCGCCGGGAGCAGGCTATTCGAGACCACGTCCTGCAGGAGATTTGGCGAGGATTCTGTGGCGGGACTAATGCCCAGCCCGAACGACCTTCGACTGGTGACCACAGGTTCGTCCTTCTCGGCCTTCACGACGCGTAACCATATATGCCGCCATATGTCCTCTGATATCCTGGGACCTGGCTCATCGAGCGCGTCGACATTCTCGGAATCATGACTACGTTTCGGGCTCGGCGTAGATGCAAGCAGATATAGTAACATGCCCGCTGTGCTGGGTAACGCGTACTCCTTCGCAATTGCAGCCAACTGGCTTGAAAGAGTGGGACACACCGGGACAAGAACGCCACGCTTGAACTGGGCGTGATATCCAGACGCAGTGGGCGGGGGCGGGCTCAGCTCCAGGTCATCAGACGCGTCAGAATCATGGGGCAAGTGCAGAGGAGGGACGACATGAAGAAGAAACTTTGTAGAAGAGTGAGACGTGAAGGTTTGGGCAGATGCGGCAGAGGGCGTGGGGGAGCTTCGGAAATGGTCAAGAAATGACGAAGATGCGGACGAGTGGGGAAAAGGAGGGGATATCGATGGCGAAGGCGCATAGGTATGTACGGCAGGGAGCGGGGTAGACACACCGAGAGCATTAGCTAGTTTTGCGAGTCTGTGCGGTGGGAGAGGGTTGCGTGGAGGAGGCCATGAGGGACTTGACATGGGAGACGGGCGAGAGGAGCGTTCGGAGATCGTTGTTCCTGGCATGACGGTCGTAGAAAGCGGCAGAAGTTGAGTACACGAAAGATTATGGTAACACCATCGGTCTGACAGCGGGAAAATACAGAAAATGAACACAACTGCTACAGAACTTGGAGGGTAACGTGACGCACTACAACCGGAGAAAGACCTTCCCCAACGCTGAGATTATCGGACGAAGCCAGGACAGCCAACCTATGCCAAAAGAAAGTGGAAGAGAGCAGGAGGACGCGCGAGACAGAGGAGAGACCGTGTCGGACTCGGAGAGGGCAAGTACTAAATGACCTTGGCAATTGGACCAGACTCCCGGTCTCCCGTAAGGACGGGTCAAACTCAGGTCCCAACATCGAACTCAGATTCCCGAATCAGGTTCTTCGGTGTCGCCTCCGGGAACTCGCCTGGCAGCCTGATTGCGCTCCGTCCTCCACTGTCCAGGACAACGCTGCGCCAACAGTACTTTCTCCTCTTTCTCATCCACAATTACTCCTCTCACCCCGTTTGCTTGAGTGCCCCTGCGCAGCTTGAACAATCTACATCTGGTCATCTTGCTGCTGAGTACTCCGCACCCCTTTGATGTGTCTCAGTGATTCTGATTGATGCTCCGTACGCTCAAGATATTCCCTGTCTCCCACTGGCTGCGGAGTCATCGACAGTGCTGTCGTACTCATCCGAAGTTTGCCCCCAGGGAGATCCCAGAAGCCCATGCAATTGAAAAACCTGCAGCGGCTGTAGACATGCCAACTTGTCTTAACAGTTCGTCAATGATTCGGAACGTTCGTCCAGTTCCCGTCTCATCCGTCCGTTTGGTTTTATTCCGTTATGGTTTCATCTGTATCACCCGGATCCTCCTATCTGTGGTGCCCGGATTACAAGCGTATGAACGTTTAAGCCCTATGTCTCGGCTTTGACAGCCGTCTTGCCCCTGGTGCTGCAGTTGTATCCGAGACAAACCTCTGCACCCAAATCGATGCTGCATATAAGCCCCGCGTGGATCACTTGTTCATCACATCTGTCGACTCGGCATGCGAAGTCTTATTTCCGACTTCGGATCTCGTGCGTTCAGCTCCACCTTCACTTGGTTAACGTTGATGATCCCCATGCCATCCCACATTTCATGCCACGCAGGTGCGACCCGTTCTCTGTACGCCTTTGCTTTTTCCCTACCTCAACCTGTTCGGTCTATTGCATCCTAATTCTTTTGCATATTTATTCTGTCCATGACATAGAAGCCTACACGACAGGCGATTTACGTGACAGATCTGTCTCCACCACTTACTCCCGATTTCCGGACTCGCGTGTTCATTGCTGTTCATGTCTGACTGACACTTTCGAGCATTTACCAATGTCAGAGTTCTGCTACATCGCTGGTAGCAGTCCGGAATCGTCCGTAGCTCTCCCACTAGCAGCCTGTGCAGGTGCCAATCATGGCTTTCTCGTATCTTCCCAATGAACTGTCATAGGCGGTCGTGCCACGAAGTCGAAGCGAGTCTGAATCAATCAATTGACTTGGTCGTGTGAGCGACATCCCGGATGCCTTGTGCAGGACAACTCTCCCATTCCAGAAGCATCTCTGCGTAGAACTCTTCCCGCTGGTATGCAGTCTGAACATGGAGATGACGCGACAACGCGACATGACCCTGTATGATCCTAGATACGTGTTTGCCATTGGGAAGTCGTGTGCAGTATGACTGCGCCAACCCCGACAGGCCCCGACCTTCCAGCTACTAAATTGTGACCTCGATAGTATTGGACAGTGATTAACGAAGGCCATGCGCGTCCATATATCCGCCAGCCATTGCTTGCAACCGCTGCGGCTAGCTGCATTAACATGAGCACAATCAACTCAGAGTCGGACGACTTTCCTTGTTGCTTCCATTTCCCGAAGTCTATGTTGGCATAGTCAGCTAAATTTATTCGTTTTCTCGTTTTCTGTACGTAGCATTATGCCGAAACTATGTGTTCGTCGTGAATCGTGACAAATAGGAAAGTAACGTAGGGATCGATGAGATTGTATGGTATGCCGACAAATCAAACACATATGTGACGAAGTCCCAACGTAAAAAGTCAAGGGTTGTCCGGAACGGTCGAAATGTCCACGACGGTATTACGATTGTACCAGGTGACCAAACTAGCCAGTGAAAGTCTGTCCTATAGATGCCAAAGGCGCTATATCGATGTCTAGAGAGCGACAAAGGCACCTGCGACGGCGCCGACGGCCATGACGATCCACGAACCGATGCTCGTATCGATGTGCGCCGCGCCGTTGCCGTTGAAGGAACTAGGTGAGGGCGCGTTCGACGAAGAGGTCTGAGATGAGGACGATGAACCGGTAGAAGAGGCAGATGATCCGCTGGATGATCCCGTCGTCGACGCGGACCTGTCAGGTGAAGGGTGAGTTGCGAGCTAGATGCACGCATCAATTGCACATACGCAGATCCGGAGCTGGAGGAGCTGGCGGCAGTCGAAGATGAGGAGGCTGCCGAGGTGGATGGCGTCGCACCAATGGCAAAGTCACCGGACTGAGCGAAGACGTCGTTGATGTTGCTGTGGGGGAAACGTAAGACTGGTTCTCCTCATGCTACCTGACTTTATACTCACGAAATGTTCACCGCCTGCAGAAGGTACCCATCTCTGGAATGGCAACGCAACTTCAGCGAATGATGGCAATAAAGAGACGCAGAAACATACCCAGGCGGGACGACTGGCAGCTCGACCAACAAGACACCCGTCGAAGGGTCCACGTTGTTGGCGAGGCCGAACGAGTTGTGAAAGTTGACAGGGTTGACCAGCTCGAACGACCACGTGGATGGATCCGTGGATGCCGATGTCCAGGTAATGTTGGCTTGAATGGCGCTATCCCAATTGGCCGGTGTCTGGATGGTGAGAGCCGACACCAGCGGCAGCAGGGCGGCGAGAGCGCTGAAGGTGACCAAACTCAGTCGATCCCGCAGCCAACATACGACAAAGTAGTACGAACCTAATCTTCACAAACATACTGAGCAGTTTTTGAAGATGTCGGGCTGGGGTGAGCGGAGGGGGAGTGAGATGGCACAACGCGAAGAGGCGAGGGAGCGAACAGCTGGGGGACCGTCTTATGTAGGCCGAGGCTTTCCCACGCTGCAGCGAGAACCTTCCTCAGGTCACGCTCACGCTCTCGACTATTTTTACGCAACTCAATTTCTCATCCTGGAATACGCCCGGTCGCAGCTGGCCGCGGCCTGTCAAGAAAATAATCTTGACATGCTATCCGACACGATGTTTGCCGCGTTCCAGCTCATGCCTCCCATACTCAGCCACCGCACCACAGCACAAACATTGCGCTAAGGCTCCTGCTTATAGGAGCCCGCAATCGGGACGTTCTCAAGCTCCTAAGAAGGGCCTATACCAAACACCCGGGGCGGAACGATCTATTTCATGATCACATCTAGTATATCTGCAGAACAAATAGCGTTTAGCCCCCTCTAAGTCTCCTGAGCGGATACCCCCAAACGCACCTCGTCGAATGGTCTAGTGTCATTGAAGCAGCTATCCCAGACCTCGTTGACAGCGCGCTCGGCAGCCGCTACGTCTGGACATGCCGCATTCGCACTGACGGAGAGTACAGCACGCCGCCGGACGCACTCCTGTCCGCAAAGGGCTCAGACGCGTCACACACACACCAAATGAATGAATGAACGGCACGGCGCCCCTCTGACCTGATGCTGCTTTGAGAACGCGAGCTGGCCTCTCCTTAGCTCCCGCGTGAATTTACAATCGCCGCTCAGGCTGTTCGCACGGATCTCCCCGGCGAAACATGTCAGCAAGCAGACGGAGCGTACGATCAGGAAGCACCTACCTCGCTGCATGCATGGTGCCGCAGGTTCGTCCAGTCGACCTTGAACTTGCAGTGGTCATACATATGCACGAGCTCGTGCACCATGGTGTCCTCCATATGATTTCTGCTGAAGAACTTCCCTTGGCAGAGGGCGATTACACCAAGCTCTGGGACGAATCCGCCTGCGCGGTTGTAGTCGCATGGGGTGCACACAATGTTCTCTGATGACACGGGGCATCCAGACAGCCTAAGGTGCTTGAGCATGAACACTACCGCAGGACCTGCATGGTAATGATAGAATCAATATAGACGAGACGGCACAGCATAATGAAGAGGCAAGGGATAAAACTGACAGATACTGACTGTAGTTCATGAGCTCCCTCTTCCACTTCTCGCACGTCCGGTGGTGATGCTCCTCGAGGTCAGCCAGCCGCTCTTCCTGGGAGCCTCCGAGGCCTGTCATGAGAGCAAACTTCCGCCTCCATCGCTCGAATTCAGAGGTGCCAGAGCCAGAGGAACCAGAGCCAGAGCTGCCACTGGTGTCCATAGCCAAAAGAGAAAACACCTCCCACACGTGATCCGATCTGCAACGTAAGTTTTGGATCTGAGATTCGGCATTCAACGTTCCCCAGGAGCCTTTTGCTTCGCACAATATTTCTACATCGGTTTTCTGGGAAAAGTGTGCATAGGTGTGCATATGCCATGATTTGGCAAACCTTCCCTTGGCATTTGTATGACACGCTCATCATTCAATGGTATTTCGCATAGTCATTGACACAAAACACATGCATAATTCTGCCATCTCTAGACCAACGCTTCAGGGGTACGCAGAGATCATGCGAATGTAAATGGAATATCATAGTTTCGCTGGGTTGGTCCACATAGGCTTCCGTTTCTGTGATGGGATTAGCTCGTTTGCGAACAGACTAGAGAAAAATGCTGACATGCCTCAGAGAATGCTTTGAGTCCCTCCTGAAACCAAACTCAGCATCAGTACGTAATTCATGTAACGTCCTAACACTAACCTTCATGTTGTAGCTGTCATACAAACGCACGTTCTCCTTCGAACGAATATGTGCAACCACCGCGTCCTCCACACTCCCGTGGCGATTGCCCTCAAGCAGTGCTCGCTTCGTACTCTGGACGGAATCCGGAGAGTTCTCGTTAATTGCGGCAGCCCATGCGAGAGCAGTGCGGAGCAATTCCGATCGAGGGACGACTTTGTTCACGCTGTTAACATCGGCAGGTTTGAGTAGACGTATCATGACGCTGATGGCTTCGAGAACTACAACTCACAAACCAAAGCGCGTTGCAGCCTCAGTGGCAGATACGGTCTTGCCAAGGAGCAGCATCTCGCTCGCGAGCTGTCAACTTCGCCATGAGCGCACGTTTCCCAGAGCCGACCAGATAGACTACCAGACCTGATGACCCGCGATCCTGCCCAACCTCGGCATACCTACGCATGAAATTCGACTCAGTGGTAGAATTGCGAAGAGCTAAAGGGCAATCACAGACCGCCTTGGATGGCACAAACACCTCGCTTGACCTCTGGCAGGGCTAGTTTCGCATCCTCATCGGCAATGACGATGTCACAATTCAGGATCATCTCCACACCGCCCCCATAAGCGCCGCCGTTCACGGCGGCAACCATAGGCTTCATGCAGGTGGATCGGCGCGAGATAGATCCGAAGCCGTGCACGTCAGTCACGACGTCCTCTGCGTCGTTCTTCGCACTGCCGGCCTGTTGGCGTTGGTTCCACCTGTTCCAAAAGCCTACAGTGAATGCCGCGTTGGGTAACCCGTGTTCTTTCGCACTCACGCATGCAAGTCTGCTCCGGCACAGAACAAGCGCCCTTCGCCAGTAAAGATGACGGCCCTGTGTTAAATTCGTACAGGACGCCCTGAATCGCATAACATTGGCACAGACCACAAACTTGGCTCATTCTCGAACCAGTCAAGGATGTTCTTGATGTCCTCGGTCATGGTGGGCGTCATCGCATTGAGCGCTTTCGGACGGTTGAACGTCAGGAGCAGGACATGAGCTTGAGGAATCGCGACTCTGACTTCATTCGAGTGAGCTGGAACTTGAAATTGGCTCGACATTGGCGGACAACAATGTCGACGTGCAGCTTGGAAGCCAGTTCACTGATGAGGGGTAAGCGCAGAGAGGAGGATCACCGGTACAGAAGGCGAAAGCATCGTGATTCAGAAGGTGGGCGCCCGCCGCCGGGACATGGGTAAGATGCCTCACAGGCTGGTCATGAGACGGAGGCGGGGGATAGAGCATGGAGTGAGGTTAGGGTTGGTTTAGGACTCAGTAATTCACACCGTCTCATCACGCATGGGTCCTGCGTCAAACAATTTCAAGGAGTGCACGCGCGGGCCTGAGAGAACGGTGGGACGTGATTTCGTAACCTGCAGGGGTCAGAAGCGTACGACTTCCTCAGTCTTTCAGGCAGAACTCCCATGTGCGATCCTCTCCACCTTCGCCAGTTTTCCCTAGACCGTGTGCTCTCTCTCCTTTGGTCATACGATGCTCGTAGCCCTTCCACTCATTGCGATGGAAAACGAATGACCTCAGCTGTACATACCGAGGACTGGGTTTCCTACTTGCCGACGACGAGGGCGGTGGATCTTTGGCTAACTTAGGTACATCCCTGCGATCCAGATGACCATTGAGGTTGCGACATTAGGTCAAAACAAATATAAAACACACCATAGGGTATATGGAGGAACATTTCGCAATGTGATCAGTATCGTTCCCCGTGTCTTGGCATTCGAACTGCCTATTCCATCCGCATGCACCCCTCCTTGTGATGCATTATCCTCTTCTGCTTCGTCCTCTTCGTCGTCAGCTTCTTGCTTTCGTTTTCGAGATTGCATAACAGAAGGTATCATGCCCGTGGTAAGGATGTTCGCGGCTGAGCGCAGGAACTCCATCACGAGCAACTGGTTCGTCAGAATATTTCTATCTTGGTCTGTGATACCCTTCCCTGTATAGCCTTAGAAAATTTCCCGAGTAACAACAGCGCCAATATACACAACTCACCTGCATGAGGGAAATTCCACACAACTCTATTCCACTTTCGCCCTCTTAAGGCCGCGCACTTCTCCAGCCTGGTAGCATCTACCCCAAATACTACCTCCACTCCCTTGTCTCGTAGTGCAGAGACTATGTCAGCAGCATCGGGATACTTCGCATAGCAGTCTTCCTCGCTATCATAAGCAGTAGCAGTGACATTCGCCGCTGGCAGATATACAAGAGAGGAGGGGGGATGAAAAACAAGTGCACGTGCGAACGAAAAGTTGCCTTCCCCGACAAGGAGTATGTGATCTGTAGGATGGAAAGGGATGGTAGAACGCGGAGGAAGAGCCTTTCCTTTGCCTTTCGACTGCGACTGGGTACCTTTCTTGCTCCTCTCGGCCAGGTGTGCAGCCTGCGACGCCACCTGCTTCTTTTTCAGCCGAGACTGCTGCGAAGAGAGCGCTGCCTTCAGAGATGTCTTTTTCCCAGATTTGCCTTTTGCCATGACAGGCATGAAGTTGGGAGGCGGTTGTTTGGAACGGAAGCCTTTGGTACACAATGCATTACAGGACCAAACTTCAGATCGAGGAATCGCGACACGTTATCCAGACGACCGTGACACGACACGACACGCCTATACTCACCGCGCTACACTCTAATTTCTACCAGTCACTCTTTACTTCTTGAGATTAAAATGGTGCGTGCAACACTGACTACATTTCTCAGGACAGGCAGATGTGACACCTTGTGTCGTACAGCCCACCGAATTTGAACTGCGCCGCCGGAACGCAGAGTTTGCAGAAAAATCCCGTACTGGCAAGAATCCCATAAAGCCTTCTCGTCGGGAGCAGCTATCTAAACGCAGTCCCATCAGCCTTTGGGCTCTGGGGGCGATTATTTTTGTTGTGATAGGCGGAAGTGCGTATCGCGCTCTCTCCTTCAAAGGTCCTCTGCTGATGCGACGACCCCAGTCCTGTTGGAAGTCCTTCGGTTGTTGTTCCTGTGACCTTGTTTAATCGCGGATAAAGCAGGGTATGGTGTTTTGACTATCGTCTGGACTTCAGGTATAATGGCTCCATCGACGGACATCATGCATTTCCATTCGCGTTATTCGATTTTTTTGTCTGGAGACAATCCCGTCATACGTATATATCTACTCATCGCCCAAGGTTCCCGTTAGGCCCACCCAGTACTCACTTCGCGCTGTCGACATTGCTGCTCCCGCTACGCGCGGCGCCGCCGCTCCCTGAGGCTTCAGCGACTGCGGAGCTACTTTCGATTCCCTCCATAGGCTCGCTCTCGAGCTCCCTTTCCTCGATCTTGATCTCGTCGCCAGCCCAGACATGCATAGTAGGCTGCCAGATCATGACGACGTTGTCCTCCGAAGTACTGGCAGCAGTCCAAGCTTCTGACTCTCCTGGAGCCCAGCAGAAGTCCGTCGGGCGCGACGTATGTCCTAGAGCAAGTGTAGACGTCCTGTAAGGTGGGCAAACGGGAGCTCACACGTTTCGACGTACCTCCGTGCACAAACAGCAACTCAGGCGGACCATCCTCCTGGTCGTCTGGTGTCTGCTCAACGCCGATCAACGAGAGGTCCCAGACGTTGATTCTTCTGTCGCTGGAGGCCGAGGCGAAAATCGTGGGGTTGTGTGGTGACCAAGCGACATGTAAGACCTCGTCTAGATGTGACTCGAAAGTGTGAAGGCGTTTCGCAGGCGAACGCAGGTCATGCAAGATAATGGTCTACGTTTGCGAAGTGTGATTTCAGTACTCGTGCAAGGTCGTTAATACTAGCGTGGCTTTGCTCACTCTGTCTGCACTGCCAGTGATGCACAAGTGGTCAACTGCAGGACTGAAGGCGACCGCTAGGATTTCGCGGTCATGAGCTTGAATCTTCGTTGACGGCTCAGATGTTGCTCGAGTGTCCCAGCTGACAACGGAGGCAAAAATAAGCTTCTCGTCCTTCCAAAGGCAAGGAAAAGGCGCACATCATGAGCATCCTGTCATCTCCCACACTTGCAAAGACGTTCTCTTGTTTTGCATGCCAGTCTACATCCTGCGCAATGTCAAACCTGTGTCGGGCCGCTGATCTATACGCTTGACGAAGCACATACTCACACCAACAACGGACGCATGCCCTCGGAAAACATTCGTCGGTTCTAGAGTCGAATTTGTCTTGGCGTAAGAATTCACATCCCTAGATATATCACCGATCGATAACGCGAGAATTGGATGTGGCGCTTGCAACCTACCAGTGACATACCGTCATATCTTCGGATGCACCGAGAATATGGCCCGTCTTGACTGGATTCCAGGCAAGCCCGAAGCTACCAGAGTCACATCAGCACGTTGAAGGGTTCCGCCGAAACGCCGACGCGACACACACCCTTCTTTGTGCTGCCCAACCAAACGAATGTCCGGCTTGCAAACTCCCCCGCGCTCCGGCTCACTAGAGTGCTTGGTGCGGTCGAACACAAGCACCTCTCCGGACACCGCCTTCGTCGCGATCAGGTCGGGGTTCTGCGGCATATACCTCGCACGGTTGACTTCGCCCTGGTGATTAATGCGCTGAGTAATCTGGATGCGGGGTTGTGGCGGAATAGTGTGGCCACCCAGCTCGCCGCGTTCGTCGTCATAGTTTGAGCGGTCAAGCCTGTCTGCAGAACTGCTGTCGTCGCGCTTTGGGAGTTGCACTGTGGCGATCTGGAGGTAGTCTTGCGCCTGTCCTGAGGTGTGGGTGCCGAGAAGAAGCCTATGCACTGTGTACGGCTTGTTTGAAGGTCTATCTGGAGTCAGTTTGGGCTCTGAGATAGGGACAGTATAGCATACGATTCTTTGTCTGGGAACCATTGGCAAGTCAAACTCGGCCAGTCCAATGCATGCGTGATTACGACGTCGTACAAGTAGGGCGCATTTTTCTTCCTATACACAACACGAACATATTAGCTCAGATTCCGCATCTGTACACCCGCCTCACCATGTTTTGTATTCCTGAGTATCGCGAGACGCGAAGGCGCATCGTTATTCTCTGTGTGAAACCAGATGATGGTGCACATTTACCTCGTTGATGAGCTTGTTCTCCTCCTCGGCGGCAAGATCATCCTCAACCTCTTCCTGCATTGTGGGCTTCATGGCTACGAGGTGATAACGAACGACAGCGGGTGTGTATACTACCGCTTACGCTGAGAGAGGTTATAAACCGGCCGAGACCTGCCTGCCTTGGCGCGACGCGTTGACAGGAACGCGTACCCCATATTATTGTCACACTATATACTGTCACATGTAGTCACGCCTATCACATTTCGACCGTCTAAAGGCTTGCTCACGATGGGCGAATGGACGCGTCGGCTTTTGGTCTCTAGAGATGCTGTAGTGCATTTATACGCTTCCGTGGGTAGCGCATCGGCACGTAGCAACGGCCTCGGTGCTCGAACGAGATTGAACAGGGAACGGGTATGTGCGCCTCAACTCGACTCGCTCTCCCACTTCGCGATCAGTTTTTCCAGGTCGAATCCAGGATCCTCCGGATCTGTTATAACTGCCAAAAAGTGTCAGCCAACCCGACAATACGCAAAATGTCACAGACACGAGTCTGCCAACTGTAAAGGGAGAACCGGTATTTCAAGGAAGCGCGTACTTACCACCATCCTTGGAACCTTCCTGCTGCTTCTTCCATGCCTCCTTAGCCTGGGCGATCAGATGTTCCCGCTCGTGGATCGCATGGTGCTTCAACTCCTCGTCGTGTGTCTTCTGGAGTGTCCGGCGATGCGTGATGCCATAGAAAACACCGGTCAAAAGAGCGGTATACCGGACAACCTGGGAGAGTAAGAAATCTTTAGCTGCTCCATACTGCACGTCCTTGTCTCCAGGGGTAGCGTACATTAACGGTAGAGGAAGCCATAAGTGTCCGCCTATACCCGACCAGGTAGTATGGTGCAAATTGGTTCAACCTGGAGAATGAGGCATACACAGTATCAATAGTGTGAAAATATTAAGAGAATATACTTGGGACATTACCTGGACAAGACACCCACTGGTGAGGACAACGGGATATGTTTCGCGCAACTTTCGTGTTCGCTGTAACTCCGGGAACTTCAGGGAGATGCTGACATAATATTAAGCACGTGCCCCAAGGTTAACTTATTGCAATTGACACTTCGTAAGGAAACTCCTTGTCTCGCATACTTATGCACTTCCCAGTTTACGCTACCGTACGTGCATCGGTCGTCCGATGTGGAGAATCGTTTCCGGGTTTGACTTCTAAGCAATGCAGTGCATAACCGTGAAGCTATTGGGAAAGACATCACCGTTTCCGGAATATGTCCTGATGCAGATGTCACATTCTACCACGATCCCTGGCCAATGTATGGTTTGTGCTTACGCGTATGCGAGTGGTCTTGAATGATATCACACTGTGTGAGAACGACCTCCAAGTTCACTTGACATTTGACTACCATCCGCCATCGCGCCGCGAGCGCATCGCCACTTCAGGGCGGCACGCAGGTCGTCTCGCTAAATCGCAGGACATGTCACAGTTCCGCGTCTCTCCTTGGATAACATACGATCCCTCTCCCGACGCTCGCAACGAACCTTTGGTCCGCAGTAATATCCACTTCTCCAGCATGAACGAAGACGTCGACATGGACGCTCCCCAGATCTCCACTCTGCGGGAGGAAGAAACGCCAGAGCCGCAGCCGAGCCCGTCTCGTACTTCTAAATTCAGGGTTAAACTACTGGTCAATGAGGGAAAACGCTGTTCATTACCAAGTACCAGTACGCGGAAACAAGCTCAGGCAGGGAGCGAGGATGACGAGGAGGATGAAGATGAAGAGGACCAGCTCATTGACGACGATGAAGATGACACACAGGCTGCGCCGCTCGCCCCTCCTGCACAACCTGTCGCTAGCACACGAGGTCTGCCTGCGAAGCGTGGATTAGGCAGGGGGAGGGGTGGAGGGAGGAAGAGAGGCGGGCGAGCTGGTGTGTCGTTCTCCATTCTCGCTCAAACATGGTCTGAAACTCTTTGTCCGTCAGAGGGAGCCTCAAAACTGGTGGCACAACCATCATTTGGGGATACATTGGATATGACTCTTGCTGGCAGCAGTACAGCGCCTGGAGTTGCTGCAGCGAAGAAGAAAGCCGCACCTGCTAAAGGTGCAATGGCGCAACGAGCCATCCGCAAAAGGCCCTCCAAGTAATGACTAGCATGTCTTGTCTCAGTCGCTCGATTGATTATTCTTCGCATTGCAGATTGGCGAAAGCACCCGTAGCTCCTCCTCAACGAGATGATGCGGAGAGCATCGGCGAAGGCGAGTCCTGCTATATGCACGCTACTAGACTCGTACCGTTGACAGTTTTTAACCTCAGCCCAGTATCCGGGAACGGCAGCTTCGTCACCTATGCCTTATGACGAGCATACCCCGGAGATTGACATCTCAGCTGTGCCTATAATATCGGCACCACCATTCGAAGATAGCAGTCTCGAAGGCGTGCCTTTACCCATGTACCCTCTTCCATCTAAACCGTTCCCAGTCCAACCACCGCAAAAAATAGGCACAGGATTTGCCCCCGTTATACCTCTCGACAGGAGCAGAAAGTCTGTCCGAGGCTGGCGGCAGGTAAATCGAGAGGTGCGGGGCATCGCCGGAGGTCGGTGGTTTAGTCGAACCTGGGTTGGAGAGAAGGAATCCGAATTTGCATCGGCTACCTCAGCAGCAGTTGCCGCGTCTGCAGCAGCTGCTGCAGAGCGTGAAGCTGCACTTGGCTTACTTGCAGGTGCTGGAGGAGTAGCTCTGCCGAAACTTCCAGCAATTGCCATAGCGGGCACGACCGGAAAACACTCTGGGAGGGGAAGGGCTGCCAAGCTGGATGCTGCATCATCTACAGCATCTGCTTCTCGGGCAGGGTCTGCGAATCCAGACGGCATTCCTCAGGCTGCAGCTGCTCATCATATACCGAAGAAGCGGAAGTCTACGTCGCTGGCTACGCTCAACGCGGAGGCTATTGTACCACACGTCCCAGAATCAGAAACTGTCTTATGATTTTTGTTGTCCTTCTTGCACTAGTTATGAGTTGATGGACTGTTCGAATATTACATTTTGCTTTGCATGTAACTACTGTACTTATATCTCTATGGGCGTCAAACAACCCAGTTCTTCCACGTGCCAACACGGTGTCTCGGTGCTCGCATCTCATCTTCTTTGAGACCATTGCGCACTGCGCAGCTCGTCTGCCTTTACATGTCTGCGAGTACCTCTCCTAGCCTTGGTGCTCCCGACGCTCTGAAGAGAGGGCCTTCACTGTCGTCACTGCAACCGAACGAACGTGGTTGGTGCTAATGTTACGCTGCTATTTTGCATCTCACATCGGAAATAGCGTCTACCCCACCAGCATATGCCTCCGATCCGAAGTACAAGAAATACACGCAGCAAGTGGAGAAATGTCTCAATTCATTCGATAGTGTGCACGAATGGGCAGACTTCATAGCGTTCTTGAAGCAGCTACTCAAGGTACGCGACTATTAGTATCTTCAGAGTACTGACCTTAACTGTAGTGTCGCCGCAGACGTTCCAATCCTATATGCAATTCAAGGAAATCCCTCGCAAACTCGTCGTTTCGAAGCGTCTGTCTCAATGCTTAAACCCTGCCCTGCCTACAGGAGTGCACCAGCGAGCACTGGATGTCTACTCGCATATTCTGGCCGTTCTTGGGGTATGTCCCGCATCATGGACGCGTTAAATATCGACTCTGATTGACTAGTGCGCGTAATTCAGTCAGAGGGGCTCCAGCGCGACCTAGCACTGTGGTCATCTGGACTCTTCCCTTTTTTTGCATATGCTGCCACTTCCGTCAAGGTGAGTGCTCGCCTACTCGAGTCATGTCGTGCCGTCGTTCAACTATTCCATAGCCGACGTTGCTGAGTCTGTTTGACACTCACTATATTCCACTACAACATGGCCTGCGTCCTATCATGAAATCCTTCGTGCTGGCCCTCCTTCCTGGTCTGGAGGAAGAAACAGGGGAGTATTTTGACAAGGTAAGATCGTTTACGGCCGCATGGTGCTGTACTGAGAAATGCGCATAGGTGGTAGGTCTGCTGGATCGGCTATCAGGAACCGTTTCGCAATCTTTCTTCTTCCAAACAATATGGTTGATCATGTTAACTACTCCTTCGGCGCGAGGGACATCACTCAACTTCCTCGCCCGACGCTTACCTGTCCTGAAAGCCGACGAAGGTAAGATTTATTCTACTTGTGTTCGTGAGTCAAAATTTGACTCATCTCAGAGCGACAGATATCACGCACATCGTTGGCCGAGATGTAGGGCTAATGATCCGGGCATTCTCATCTGCGCTTGAAGACGACGACTTACTCGTACGGAGGGGCGCGTTAGACCTCCTACTGCAAGCCTTGCGTATCAACAGTATTGCTGTTGCCCGTGCTCAGCCAGAAGACCGTGTTATTCTGATGCGAGCAGCAAGTAGTGTGGTTCTACGGCGCGATTTGTCTCTTAACCGGAGACTCTACTCCTGGCTGCTCGGGCCAGACGATCACAGTCAACAGCAAGTCGATTACTTTAAAGCGAATGCTCTTGAATTGTTGAGGTCGACTTTAAGGGTAATCGAGTATCATTTAATTGCTTTTAAATGTAGCTTATAGCCTCTCTAGGACGAGATGTTCAACCCTTCTGCCGAGTACGCTCAATCTCGGCCATTCAAGATATTCATATCTTTACTGGACAAATGGGAAATTGGCTCTCCACTAACAGAAGTCCTCGTCTTCGATGCGTTCAAAGCTATCAAGAAGGCCATAGAGACGGGCTGTGATCCTAGTGACGACGTGCGGACTATCATTGAGATTTTAGTCTTCCTCCCTGACAAATTTGTTAGTTGACGATGACGGCAAACACACTGTACGAAGCAGTGGAGCCCCAATTGCTATGGAAGGAGTTCTTCTCCATTGTGTTTGTAGACCTCATCTCGGATGGGAGCCACTTCGAGGTATTACGAGTACTTTGCTGTTGCAGGGTATACCGACGCTGATGTGACTTTCTACATTAGGGCTTTAACATGGTAAAATATCTGCTTGCCACCCTGCATACTCGAGACGAGGAGATTGAGCATGTTCATCTACCTGTTGGGCTTTGTGCTATTCTTGAGTTACTGACTGTAAGCATAAGTATCAAGGCCTACTTGAATATTGACTGAGTCGATTAACAGGTTCGCATGAAAGATGAAAGGTCCAGAATACCGTATGCGTCAATGCATGAGGTACTTTCTCTGCTGGCAGAGATATTCCGCCATATTCCTCCTGCAGCTACTCTAATGTCTCGTCCTCAAGTCAATGGTCAGCCGGAGGCGACAACTGGTAGTGATGGGTCATACCAATTTGCATGCGCATTTTATGGAATCGAGAACAGAGCACCCCGTCTCGCAAATCGCCGCCAAGTTGTCCCATTTATTACGGCATTCGAGGACCTCGTGGAGATGAACACCCTCATAGGAAACGCGCTTATGATATCCACCACGGATACGAACATAATACGTGAAGTGTTTGTTCAGTCTTTGATGCTCTTTGGTTCTCTTGTCGGCCGGCTAGAACGCGTGCAAGATCCGCCACTTGCGATAGACTGGGATCATACTGAGTGGCTATCGGTTATGATGCGGTGTCTAAACCACAAGGTAAGAATGCCCGGAGAATCATCTACAAGTGGAAAGAGGTGATAATGACTGCGGTAGACTGCAGCATTCTCGATCGTGGACAATGTTGTGACAATCTCGACCAGGTTGCAACAGGTCTCACAGGTCGAGCCGAAGTTCTCTATCGACAATCGATTGACGATATCTGCTATGATCAATATAGTCCGTTTGCGCGTTTTGTCCCCAAGAACATATCTGACTACGGGTCTATAGCTTCTCAAATATCTCCGTCAGCCCTGGGTCGCATATCACATGCGGGCTGTTACTCTCTTGTGGTCATTGGAGGGAACATGTCGTAGTGCACATGTGGAATCTGTTATAGCTCAGAATATGGCATCAAGCCAGCAAGCCCAAGTTCAAGAAGCCTGCGAGGCATTTGGAGTGCTGTGGAGACTGACAGGTCGTTGTTATGCTGTATGCTATACCACACTGCTTACTTACACGGTATTCGCAGATGACAATTTGGTACCGGGCTTTCGATTGAAGGTGCCAATGATGATTGTGCTTGACACACTGAAAAGCGAAGACACTAACTTGCGTCGCATCGGAGAGACGTGGATGCGATGTAGCCTCAAGTCCTATCTCCGGTATATCGTGATTTCTGTTTGGTACAGCCACACATTCTTACATCGTCGCTTTAGCGTGTTGGACCCAATCTTATTCGATCTCTTTGACCCGTCTATCCAACGATTACCGTCTACCGTCGAACTTAATGGCAAACAACTGGACGGATTCTCCTACGATCGGCCTTTCGACCAGCATTATGTGAACCACGTCTTGGAGTTACTGTTGTCTGTCGTCAAGTTCGGTGGCCAGGGATTCAGCAAGGTCGCACGAACCACCCAGATGACTCGTTCGCCTTATGCTCCACTTCTTCAGCGACTGCAGTTGAGTAAGCACACTTTTCTGCGTCATACTTTCTCCTCCGTCTGACTCGTGCTAGGGAATACTACTTTTCCTGATGCAACGTACATGGACGTTGTGTTGCACATGTTACTCGGGTTTGTGAGCTCGATAACACTCATCGAGTCGGCATCTGAAGCAATGTCATCTAGATTTTTGCAATCAGAGCCAAGATCCGCGCTGAAGCCGGCTATGCACTCCTTCAACATGAGCTCGCAGTCAGTTTCCGTCGATCTATTACAAGCGATCGTTGCTCGCGGTGAATTGGATTTCCCTGCGCTCCAGCCCATAGAAGCTGCAGTCGTCAAGAAGCTCTACTTTTGTATCCATATGGGTCGCTTGGATCTACAAAATAAGCTGCTGCATCTCCTTCACTCTGTCATCTCGGCCTCCCATGGAGCTGCGGAAGGTTACAAAGGGTCGAAAGCCGCTCACACCATCAGGGGGACGGACGGAAGTATTTCGCCTGATCTGCCACAGAGTCCCGAGACGGTGTCGTACACCATCGATCCATTATTGATACAGACTCTTGTCGATGGTATCTCAACCTCTAACAACCGGCCTGTATTCCAGCATTGGCTTGACTTCATCCTTATGACAGTTCCGCAGTTCCACTACACGATGCAAACTGCAGTTGGACCGCTCAATGAGACCGTGTGTCGCCAATTGCGCTTAGCCTTGACGGATGTTCGGCGAGCGTCCGCAGATGGACCATCGCACGGCGATGTAGTGTCATACTCTACGGATTCTGACTTCATGATGCTCCTGACCGCAGTGGAGCGACTTGCTCTTCTCAGCCTTTCGAATCTTGCTGATGCAACTCAGATTGAGGAGGAGAGTACAGTGGAAAAGCCCGCTCAGGAATCAGGTGGACTGCTTGGTTACGTTTCCAACGTGTTCAGCTCTGATTCTGCTGCTGGAACAACCGAGGGACAAAATGTAGGTATCTCATGTCATCTCCCCTGCCCTGCAGATACTCACATAGCTTTAGACCAAGTCGTCGGACTATGTCTGCTTGCACGAAGCTGTTCGCGTACTATATAGCATATGGGAGGGCTTGTCAGGTCCAGGTCAACATACTTGGACATCCAGGGAGGAGTCACTCTCTCTCATTTTCACAAGGACAAGAACTCGTTGTCGCCGGGTGCTTGAACATCTTTTCCGCGCACATTCTACGGAGGTTCTGGAGTCCATTGTCGATTGTTGGCACCGAGAGTCAACGGTGAGTTCCGTGCTTTCCGTGAGTAACCACAGCCTGATGTCATTGGAGAAGAACGAATCGGCTGTATTTGAGATTGTGGACATCCTGACATCTAGTGCTCAAAATGTCGTGCACATGGTATGCGAATGTATTTTGAGTCGTATGCCTGGGCTCTCTGAGCGGACAAAGAAGCAAATCGCTATCCCTAGTCTGTGAGTCATGAAGTGTAATCTTGCGCAGCATGGTCTTATCCTGACTGTAACAATGGTACAGAACAGACATGATTTTGTTCGATTTCCTTGAACAGTATATGAGGCGGTTAGAAGGCCCACTTGCAATGCAAGTTTGGGGTCAATTCCTGCACTTGGCCAAAGACCTCGTCGCATCCCTGCGGGAATTTAAGGTGCAAGCGTTTGCTACACTTCGGTACGTTTACTACGTCATGTGTGTTGCTACTGGCTATTGAATTGACTATGACAGATGTTTCACCGTGTTGGCAGAAAAAGTATGCCAAACAACCGCAACGGAGGACCGACGATTACGCAAGGAGCTGCAAGTGCGTTTGTGGTCGTATCCTTCCCCAAATGACTGACCCACTTGTGCCAGGAAACGTACGGCAAACTTCTGGATATCTGCGTGATAGCAAGTCGTTCATTCGATCAAGGGTCATGGATTCGGCGTTCGCACAAAGATACGTTGCTGCCGAATGGTAGGGACTCGCCAAGACCACGCGGTGAGTATGGTCGCGCGTGCCGAAATTCAGACACTTATACTTGAACACAGTACCATCAGATACCAAATATGAAGAGAGGAAGAATATCAGTGTGACCTCTTTGCAGGACACCGTCAAACCAAACTACAGTGCGGACGTAGTCGAACAGGTATATCTTGTGCATTCCCTGAGAACGTTGTGGCAGCTCATCTTGGCACAGATCAATATCTACATTGCGACCGACGTCTTGCCCAACCTGCGCAGATTCTTGATGGAGGGCGACAAGATTTTGAGTGCATGCAACAACATCATCTACAGTGTTGTCAGTCCCTCCCTCAAAGGGAAGGCGAGGTGCGTCCAATTCTCCGACAAAGTAATACTTTGCCTGAAATGCACAAGGCCATTGGATGTGGAGGACAATGTCTTGCTTCTCATTCAGGAAATGTCCAAGATCGGGGCAGCACAGAAGGCATGGCGTGGACCGATCGGTGATGCACTAAACGACAATCGGTGCTTCAACTCATCACCAGAATCGGGTGGGAAATGGAGACCCATGATGAAGGCGCTATTCGACTCCGACAAGACCTCACTGGCGGAACTCTTGAGTGGGTTGTCCCTAAACGACGTGGTCCACCTACTGACGGGAAAGCAGACAGGATAACCACTACAGCATCGTCCAACATATTCACAAACAGAGAATATGAGATGCTTTTACGGTCGCTGAACCTTCGACGACTATCCTATGTGCTTCTCTCGGGCGAGAAGAACCATTTCTTGACACAGCTGCCAACGATCCAGGAGAAGTTGGTCGACACTCTGCGGAATGTTTCCGCCCCTGTGGTGCAGAGTGAGGTGTACCTCTGCATACGAGTACTTCTGTGCCGACTGTCGCCTCACAACCTATCGAGTTTCTGGCCGGTAATCCTCACAGAACTTGTACGTGGTCATCATTGCAGTTTTCTGCCGAACTCCTGACTATATAGTACGTTGTAGTACCGCCTGTTTGATCAAGCACTGGCTAGTTTACCATCCGACGGATCGGAAGAACTCGGTTTGATCCTGGCTGCTTGCAAGCTATTGGATCTACTGCTGGTCCTCCAAACAGAAGAATTTCAGATGTGAGTCCGAGGCGTTGTGGGTACAGAAATGGTTGCTAAAGTCTCACAGACACCAATGGATATTCATCACTGATACTGTGGATGCTGTATATCGACCAGACAACTGGTTCCCGGAGGCAATCCTAGACCGTTTAGCAGAGGCGACCAACGACCTCCCGATCGCAGAGGTGAGCGCCGCTACTGTACTATATACTTGCACCAGGCCTCACTCTCATGTGCAGCAGAACGGCACGCACCCCTTCCCGACGTCTGCGATGTCACTGACCGAGAGCAGACCCATGCGCCGGCCGATGCTGCGCTCGCTCCGGCAGATCGACAGCATCCGCGACCTCGTGCCGTTCTTCTCGAGCGCGAGCATCGTCTCGTATGAGAGCGTGTACAGCAGCGGCGGGAACATCGACTGGGAGGCGATCGAGCAGGGTCTACTGGAGGATATGTTCGAGGGTCGGTGAGGGTCATTCATAGCGTGGCTGGATCGCTCGGCCGCCATGCTCTTCGGACATACTGTACTCATGTATAATACTTGCTCACGTTGTGAGTGCTGTAGCCTGACAGTGATTATACCACGTAAATATTGCACACTCACTGCCGGCGCGGTAAGCACGCCAAGTGAATAACATACGTGGTAATCCAGGATTTCAAACTGCGATGGTATACATGGAGCGACGGTCAAGCAAGGGGCGGATTGCGTGTATACACTCAACCCAGGTAAACCAAGCTGTGGTGGTTTTGAGAGCCTTTAATAAATTCTCCGAAAATACAAAGAGAGGAAGGGACCGACAAGAAGAACACAATAAACGTAAATAAATACTTAGATGCTCAGAAATCGCCCCAAGTTCGGCGGAACTTGTACTACAAAAAAATGTGCGTCAACATTGAGACTTGTCTGACAAAGACCAGATTACCTTGTACGGCAAATTCTTCCTATATTTGCAAAATATCAGTCAGAAGAGTGACGGCGCAAAGCTGTCAAACCAACTCACTTCAGTCGATCTGACGGCGAACGGGGAGGCTTATACCCTTCATCACCCCACTCGCCCTGCGCCTTCACGCTCTGGAAGCGCACTGCAGGGTCATCACTCTCGGGCACAGGGCGCGACACCCGCGGGATGCCGCTGGGTGAGTCTGCGGCCTCCTTAGCGTGCTGGTCTACCACCTGTTGCGCGCCGCCGGCGGGCTGCTGTGCGACGGGCTCCTCGTGCGGCTCGTGCTGCGCGAGCGCCTCCTCGACGGTGATGCCTTGGAATTTAGCTTCGCGCGCGGCCTCCTCGCGCTCAATCTGGTCGTGTGCGGCGAAGTGCTCGAGATCTTCAGGGTGCGAGTAGGCGTCATCTGTCTGCGTCTCGGGCAGGGAATGGAATTGTTCTGGGATGGGCTGAGACGGCGGAAGGTGATATGTCGGGAATGCGCGGCTTACCTTCGTGGTGGAGGAAGAATTCTGGGAGAAGGAAGAAGCTGCGATCAGAAAAACTCGAAGGAAATGCCGATGTATAGCACACACCGCTCTCGACATCATAGTGATGCCCTTCTGCGCCTAGGGCGTCAAAATTGGGCAAGCCCTCGAGTCCGACCTGCTTGAACTCTTCCAAGGTGATCTTGCCGTCGCCATTCTTGTCAATTAGTCTCAACACGGTGTTAACGATGTGGTCAGCCTTCTTCTGGTGCTCAACCTCGTCCTATGCGGATCCAACGATCGTAAGTGGGCGATAGGGATACACGACGGGGTAGGCGTACCTTGGACTTTTTCTGGGAGTAAACGTGATGCACACCATAGATAGCCTCAATCTCCTCCTTGTCAAGAACGCCGTCTCTGTGCACGAAGCTGTGAGATTAACTGGATGCGTGAGCAGGTTCGGGACGCGCACCGGTTGAGATCATGTAGGTGGAAGAAGCTCTCAGTATCGAACGAGTCGCTGTGCACAGGATTGGGTGAGTCGCCGCGTTCCCACAAAATTTGAACGTGTCACATACATGTGATGCTCGGAAGCCATCTTTGACAAAGAATGAAGATTAACACGGCGACTATGACTAGCGGAGGTTCACGTACGTGTCTCTGTGCATATTGCTGGACGGTCTCTCCTGGCGCTGGCTCGTCGTGGCCAGTATGAGTAGCGACGAGGCGGAGATAGACGAAGAAGGCGAGGCCGGGGAGGAGGTACATGGCTGCAGTCAAGAAGACGCAGCAGAGAGTGCACCTTAAGCGCCCATTGCCCGTACGCGGGACCAAAATAGACTTCCCCGTTTGGGTGAAGTCTATTCGGCCCCGTGCCGGCCTCCCAGCGCTCATATTATTCAGGGTTTCGCAGTCCGACCCTGCTTTTGCCGGGCCAAAGAAGGTGAGGTTTCATGGTAGTCAAAGCCTAGGAATGTTCATATGAGGTGTTAGATGATGATACTCTTTCATCAGGTGAAGACCCTCAATATGGTCCTGAAGGGCAGGTGAAGCGCGCGGAGACTGCGAGCGCATCTCCGCGTCACTGTCTGAGTTCGAAAAAAGTGTATGGGATGACAGTACAAATCTGTTCCCATCTCTCCGATTGAATCGAAGGCAGTCTCAGATAATTCGAGGACCATCTGAGAAGAAATCTGCCTCGATGGACCAATGACGATGTACTTACTCCTCCTCCTCACGATCAGTCCACGCCGGCGAACTACACAAACTCGACTTTACCATCTCTCCGCAGGATTTAGGACACTAACTCGATATGAATAATATCTGGCCCATTCACGACCACATCGTCAGATTTTCCTCCTGGCAGATTCTGAGTCAGTGAATGAGTTAGCTGACTCGGCGGTGAGCACCATCGATCGATATGGTGGCGGCGGACGCAAGGAATCCACCCTGAAAATTTCGGGTGAGCTTACTCACGTACTAGGCAATTACGACTGTGTCAAATCCTTTCCCCGTCATGATTCCCGATTTCTCGGGCTTTCCGACACGTTGTGATGTTCGTAAGCCCTGATCCGCCCAGTTTAAATATTACACCATGCGTGCGGTAATCTTTGTCCCTCCCCCCTCACTCGTCGAGTATCTCTCCCAATGTCAGAAACTCCTCCGGACGATTCCCTTTGGGGAGGTGACACTCCCGTTGCTCACCATGTCGATGTCGCCCAAGCGGAGGCCGATTTTGAGTTGCTATCTCGACAACTAACGAGGCGTGCCACTGCCGTTCAGAACGAGAAGGATCTCGAAAAGAAGGATATCGAGAAGAGCATTGAGGAACAGCCCTTCGACCTACGTGAATACCTCTCCTCCTCGAATGACGCGAACCAGGAAGCCGGCATCATGCACAAGCATGTCGGTGTCACTTGGGAACGGTTACGCGTCGATGTCATCGGCGGAACAGGCCATAAGGTGTGTACATATGCTTTGTGGAGAGGAGGTTCATTTCGTTTATGTGGCATGTGTAAACCTTCAAGATATATGTCAAAACGTTCGGCAGTAAGCAATGTCGTCTTTGACTTGATTTTTCGTACTGAGAGGCGCTGCAGCGGATGCACTCAACTTTTTCCTCACGCCCATCCTATGGGCATGGTCACTCATTACATGGATGGTCCCCGTGAAGCGCCACATGGAAACTACTACAATCCTTCATGAGTGAGTCCATCAATCAAGTCCCGTCGGTGTAGCACTCACCATTCTCAAAGGTCTGACGGTGTTCTCAAACCTGGAGAAATGTGTCTGGTCTTGGGTTGTCCCGGAGCTGGATGCACTACTTTCCTCAAAACGATAGCGAATGATAGGGAGTCGTACGCAAATATCTCGGGCGACGTGCTCTATGCTGGAATTGATGCACATGAAATGGCTAAAATGTACAAGGGTGAAGTCACCTATAATCAAGAAGGTTTGTTGGTTCACCTTCCTCACAGCAGCACGAGATTTCGATTGACGTCGTGCATAGATGATCTACATATTGCAACGCTGACTGTTTCCCAGACTCTTGAGTTTGCTCTGTCGCTTAAGACTCCTGGCCCGAATGGTCGTCTCCCTGGAATGTCTCGTAAAGAGTTCGATCAGACCGTGAAGAATACTCTCCTCCGTATGCTGAATATCTCGCATACCGCGAACACGTACGTTGGCGATGAGTTTGTCCGTGGCGTCTCTGGAGGGGAGCGTAAGCGTGTCTCCATCGCAGAAATGATGGCTACGCGCGCGCATGTCTTGTGTTACGATAATTCCACTCGAGGTCTCGACGCGAGTACTGCCCTCGACTTCATCAAGGCTCTGCGAGTAATGACCGACGTTCTTGGGCAGACTGTGTTTGTGACGTTGTAAGTCTTTTGTCTCAGATGCCGCTCTGGAAGCTTGCTGACATGAGCATAGGTACCAGGCTGGCGAGTCGATCTATGAGCAGTTTGACAAAGTTCTCGTCCTGGACAAGGGTCGCCGAGTATACTTTGGCCCGCCTGCCCAAGCCCGCCCCTATTTTGAAGGCTTAGGCTTCTTGCCAATGCCCCGCCAGAGTACTCCGGATTACGTGACAGGCTGTACCGATCCTAATGAACGCCAGTTTGCACCCGGCCATTCCGAGGCGGACGTACCTTCGAGCCCCGAGGAACTGGAATCTGCCTTCTTGGGCTCGTCATTCGCTCGTGAAATGAAAATGTCGCTAGAGGAATACAAGAAGTTGATGGCGGCGGACAAGGCGGACCAGGAGGCGTTCCGGGCTGCCGTGCTCGCTGACAAGAAGCGGGGGGTCTCGAAGAAGAGCCCGTACACGCAGGGCTTCATTGGCCAAGTTCGTGCCTTGACTCTTCGTCAATTCCGCATGCGGCTCCAGGACAGGTTCCAGCTCATCACCAGTTTTGGCTTGTCCATCGTGAGTTTGTTAAATGCCGAGTTTTAGAACGGATTGGTGGGGTGCTGACTCGAGCGTAGGTCCTCGCCCTTGTTATCGGCGGTGCGTACTTCGACCTAAAGCCGGATTCTGCTGGCGCGTTCACGCGGGGTTCGGTGATTTTTGCTGGAATGCTCACCGTCGCCTTGGACACGTTCGGAGAGGTATGTTATTTGTGGCGTGTGTAGCCTCTCCTTCTTTACTGAATGCTCCGCTCCTAGATGCCTGCGCAAATGCTCGGACGGCCGATTATCAAGAAACAGGTGTGTTTAACGGGATTATCAGTCTTCGAAAAAATATGCTGAGTGCACTCCTATAAAGACCAGCTACAGTCTGTACCGTCCAGCGGCTGTAGTAATCGCCAACACGTTCGCAGACATACCTTTCTCCGCATCGAGGGTTTTCATCTACAACGTAATAATCTATTTCATGGCCAATTTATTCCGTTCCGCAGGCGGCTTCTTCACATTCCACCTCTTTGTGAGTGTTCCTCCTTCATGGAGTGCTGTTATGCCACTTATGCCTTTCACAGGTCTACTTGACATTCCTTACGATGCAAGGGTTCTTCAGGACGTTCGGGTACATGTGCTCGAATTTTGACGCTGCATTCCGGATCGGAACCTTCTTCATACCGAACATGGTTGGGTATACAGGTTACCAGATTCCTGTCTTGACGATGAAACGCTGGTTGTTTTGGATTGTGAGTGACGATTAATAGTTCATGCAAGTGCGAAGGTTGACAGTCGGATAGTACTACATAGACCCCCTCGCGTATGGTGCGTTCAATAACCTAACCTGTTCGGATAGAGCAGTCCGTATTCACGTTGCTCTATAGCGTTGACTGCGTGTCTGGAGAATGAATTCATGCGATTTGACGTATGTTGCAGTGCTTCTACGACATTCTATCACCCGTTCATCTTTGATGTCATAGGTGACGTGCAATGGCAATTACATCGTACCCCGGAACCCCCCCGGTTCTACCACCTACCCGTACGTCGTTTCGCCCTTACCCTCACCGCTTATTGACGCCAGGTATAGGGATGGTCTTGGTCCGAACCAGGTCTGTACTTTGTACGGATCTGTGCCAGGCCAGACCTTGGTTTCCGGCCATTCGTATCTGGAAACTGGGTACGGAATTAACACGCATGATCTTTGGCGTCGTAATTTCCTTGTGCTCGTGGGCTTCTTCTTCTTGTTCCAGCTCACGCAGGTCCTCTTGGCAGAGTTCTACACGGTAGGTTTTCTTGACATGGGGTCTTGTATCTCCATTGATAGTCCGCTGTAGCAATTCGGCAGTGGTTCTGGTGCTACCATTTTCGCTAAGGAGGATGCTGACATGAAAGCTCGCAATGCTGTCCTCCGCGAAAAGAAGGAGCAACGCGCCGGACAGTCCGGCGCAGACAAAAAAGAAAAGCTCGAGCTGACTGAGTCTCGGACGTCGCAGGCCCAGAGGTATGACTTTCTACCTCATCTACGGTGGATTGTAACCTGACTGTGTGCAGCAATACGGTCGCCCAGCGCAGGAGCTTCACGTGGGAGAAGATCAACTACTTCGTTCCAGTGGAAGGAGGTACTCGCAGACTTCTCCATGACGTATATGGATATGTCAAGCCCGGCACATTGACTGCGTTAATGGGCTCGTCCGGAGCAGGTAAGATCCATGAAGTTTTATCCGTCAGTTTGTTCAACTAACCTGAACCACTCCAGGCAAAACAACATGTCTGGATGTTCTCGCACAACGCAAGAACATTGGTGTTGTCTCGGGTGATTTGCTTCTGGAAGGACGTGCCCTTCCGCGCGACTTCGCGCGTAGGACGGCTTATGGTGCGTTCGCTCAGAATACTTCCTCGTTCGCCAGGTTGCTAAAGCCCACTTAGCTGAGCAGATGGATGTGCACGAAGGTACCGCAACTGTGAGAGAGGCGATGAGGTTTTCAGCATATCTTCGTCAGCCCAGCGACGTTTCCAAAGCCGAGAAGGACGCTTACGTGGAGGAGATGATTGAGGTCCTCGAGTTACAAGACCTCGCTGACGCGGTGGTGTACAGCCTTGGTGTCGAAGCGCGCAAGCGACTAACGATTGGGGTGGAACTTGCGAGCAAACCGTCCCTACTTTTCTTAGATGAGCCAACCTCTGGCTTGGACGGCCAGAGCGCGTGGAATGTTGTCAGGTTCTTGCGCAAACTCGCAGATGGTGGACAGGCCATCCTCTGCACCATCCACCAGCCCTCCAGCATGCTCATACAGACATTCGACAAGCTGCTTTTACTGGAACGCGGAGGTGAAACGGTATATTTTGGAGATATCGGAGCAGACTCACGTATCCTCCGGGCATATTTTGCTCGTCATGGAGCGGTATGCCCCAATAATGTGAATCCTGCCGAGGTAGGTGTATTCGTTGCAGCCGATCGATGTATCCGAAATGTTGATTTCTGATGTGATTCGCTTAGTTCATGTTGGATGCAATAGGTGCCGGCTTAGCTCCTCGTATCGGCGATAGGGACTGGAATGACATCTGGCTGGATTCCCCTGAATATGCTGAGGTACGAGCCGACATAGATCGCATCAAGCATGAAGCGGATCGCCCGCAGAATGAGTCTGACGCTGCAACTACATGTGAGTTTGACCATCAATTGGAGGTATTGGCTAACGGTCTTTTCAAGATGCGGCGCCCTTCTGGTACCAAATGCAGGTAGTAGTAAAGCGCAATACTATGATGTTGTGGCGCTCCCCGGATTATGTCTTTAGTCGCCTTTTCGTGCATGCTTTCATATCATTGTTCGTCTCGCTGCCGTTCCTGCGACTTGGGAACAGTGTGCGTGAGCTCCAATATCGCGTCTTTGGCATGTGAGTGTCCGGTATTGAGACTTTGACCTGCGACTTATCTACCTACAGATTTTGGACCACGATCGTACCTGCAATTATCATGGGCCAGTTGGAACCGCTGTGGATTCTCAATAGAAGTAAGTCGTGCATAGTCTTCCGTAGGATCTTCTTAATAATCAATGACGTACATAGGAATATTCATTCGAGGTGAATGAACGATGCACACTTGTATGAGTTACCATTATGCTAATATGTTGTGCAGAATCATCCAGCCGTATCTATTCGCCGTACGTGTTCGCTGTCGCCCAGCTCGTCGGTGAAATACCTTATTCGATACTTTGTGCCATCCTATATTGGGTGCTCATGGTATGTCCTTTTCGCTCCAATTCACCCTGAGTCTCAGTATTCGCTCAGGTATACCCGATGGGATTCGGCAAAGGAGCAGCGGGAACGAGAGGCACATTTTTCCAGCTCCTAGTCATTCTGTTCATGGAGTTATTCGGTGTGAGTCTAGGCCAGTTGATTGGGGCACTCTCCCCGAGTATGCAGGCAAGTTGTCGTTCTCTCTCTTGAAGCGACCCTTTAAGTAATACTTGAACGATGCCAGATCGCTCCGCTGTTCAATCCCTTCATCGGTGTGTTCTTGGGGACTTTCTGTGGGGTCACCATACCGTACCCTACGATGGAGAAATTCTGGAAAACCTGGATGTACCAGCTAGATCCGTTCACTCGCACCCTCAGCTCTATGCTGTCGACTGAATTACAGTGAGTACCTCTCTCGTCCCTTCTCCGACCTCATACCGAAAAACGTTGGTAGTGGTCTCGTCATTCGGTGTCGCAGCGATGAGTTCTCCATCTTCAACCCGCCATCCGGACAGACCTGTCAGCGTTGGGCGGGCGAGTTTGTCGCTGCATTCGGTGGTTACCTGAACAACCCAAACGCCACTGAATCCTGCCAGTACTGCCAGTACGCTGTGAGTACCTGCGCGTCCGTGATACTAGGATCCTAACCAAGTCATGCCATGAATCAGTCCGGCGATGAGTACTTCACGCCGCTGAACATTCGATACTCGAACCGTTGGAGGGATGCCTTTATTTTCTTGTCGTACTCTGGTGAGTGTATCTTTGAATAACATCAACTTGGAGATACAGTTTTTCATTAACGGCACACTAATAGTGTTCAACGTCATTGTCACGATCAGTGAGTTTCTTGTGCCTTCCGCACTTGACTCATAATTGACGACCAATATCTCCATGTACAGTTGCCTCGCGCTTCCTGCGCTACGCGAAACGTTAGACGGCATTTCACTATCAATTCTCCGCACATGCATCCGCAATATCTCTAGAAGCACTTTCGATAGATGCATCAAGCACATCGTACGATTTCAACTCTAACGTCTATTCTAATCACTCGCCTTGGTGCTGTTTTCCACTCGTTCTCACGCGCAATTCTTTATCGACCCTCGTCTTGATCGGAGACGGAACTATGCAGACTGCTCATTCTCTAGATGTCTGTCGTAGAGTACCTTATTTGGATGTGTAGCTTGTGTAGCACATAATAACATAGATTTATCGCGCTTTAAATGTCTGAGTGACTTTTGCTTCGCGATCACGTGCCTGGACGCGGTTGTGGCTCCAATCGCTTGTGCGGACTTGCACATATTTCTTTGTCGATAGTACACCCTATCAGATTACGTATGCCTTGACGAACAAGAATTGAACGAAACAGCTACATAACGATACCCCCAGCGCAAGCATTTCCAGCAACAGACACAATGGAGCCTCACAGCGCATAGAGCCTTCAGTGGTCTCGCCAGAATTGTACCGGAACGTCGGAGCACCCGCGGTACAGACTAGCCTAGCATACATCAGGAGGAGTTTCGGGAGGGGAGTAATAGCCACATAGCAACAGCAGAAGAACATGTAGCCGCAGACAAGAGGTTGCTCCAGTAGTGGATATGCCGGGAAGTGGGCACTCAAGCTCGAATTACTGGAGATAGGAAGACAGTGCTCAAAGAAAAATACGAACCACCACATGAATGTACAAGACGATAAGTAATGATCACAGTTCAGTCGAGGGGGCATGCAACATAATTCTCAGATAAGATGATCAAGAAAAAGGGGAGAGACGAAAATAAAACGAGACAAACATGGAAACAGAAGCATAGCGTGCCGCCGGATTCAGAAGCAGACAAACATCGACAGATTGAAGCAGCGATATGAACCAGAGCCGCACACAGCAAAAGAGGATCAAAGCACCACTGTCGGCACATAAAGTTCCACGCAAGTCGATGCGTAACCAAGTGCATTGCCGCCTCCGCAGGATAAGAACAATCATAGGAGTCTATACGACGGGCATAGCTGCAGTCATATTTTCAAAGGGCATACTTCCACGACAGATGCAAGGCAGTCCCGATATGAATAGCTGTCACAGTAGAGATCACAGCCAGTGGAGAAGGCCGAGCCAAGAGAGAACAACCGGATTCCATCGCGCCATAGTCAAAGCCAGAAGAGCAACCGCCGCAACCGCCGAGACCGCTGAGACCGCCGAAGAGCAATGTTGTCGAGCAGAATAGTCATGTCAATAGTCGAGGAGTACAGAGCCCATACTTATTACCAGATATAGCACCAGCCCGAGCATAAAGGCGAAGCACGATAGCCATGGTTACTAGAACAAGCAGTGACGCCGCCTAGAACTGAAAGGCCAACCACCAGCTCGCGGACAGCAGAAGGAAGGAGCACACCTTGAGTTTTTGTGAAGCTCGGATGCGGCGCGAGTTGGTTTCGCCCGCCGCCCGAAGGCGACAGGGTACTCGTCCCGAGGACCACATAGAGGTCCGCGCCATCCTCAGGGGGGTCTTTCCACGCGATTGTCGGTTCAGAAAAGCGAGTGTAAAAGAGAAGGAAGACCAGCATCTGCAACTGGTGTTTTTCTCGGGGGTCTACAGCCGCCTATGTAGGACTATGTAGGCTCGGCTAGCACTCGGCTAGACAAGTCCCTACTATATAGTCCTATGTAGCCCGTGTAGACTTGTTGCAGTTTCCAGATGAGCCTCAGTGCCACAGTACGTCGCCAAGCCCAAGCCCAAGCGTTCAGAACGCGTCATCAGTACAGAGAACGCTGCACGAGGTGATACCCGTCGCGTAAGATGAGCAATAGTAAGCCGTCGACAGTCCAGCCAGAACCGTAGGAGATTGTCGCCAGAAGTAAGCTACAAGTCGAGCCATCGGTCGAGCCTCCTCAGCACACCCCAGCCAGCTCAAGTTCAGACTAAGTACGTCGCCAGTCTCAGACTGAGTATCGCCAGTCACCCACACACCCACCGTCGACAGAAGCAAGCAGAGTCAGCCGCCATCAGATTCGCCACAGAAGTCCAAAGGCAGTGTGGCCACAAGTGTTGCCCAGCTCAGCTAGCGTTATCAATGTCGCCGCAGCTTAGAACTCAGACATCCTCGCCAGTATCCAAGGCCCACCTACCCACCGTAGACAGAACAAAAGTCAACCGCCAGAGTCGCCGTCGAAGCCAGTGTGGCCACAGGTGGTCCCTAGCTCCGCAAATGCTGTTGATGGGTCGCCTAGCCTAAAGCCTAGTTCAGTACTGTAGTTGCCGTCGAAGAGTAGAGAACCACAGACGTCGCCACATGGGTCATTGCCGTTGAAGGGTACAGTGCCGATATTGTCACAGACAGACCGCCGACCAGTATTGAGATGTCGCAGCAGCACTGTCTTCAGTTATCGCCGTCGATGAGTACAGAACCGTTGTGGCAAAAGTGGTGGTCACCGTCGCCAGAACAAAAGGTAAATACAGTCAACGACGAAGAGGTCGCATCGCCGTGTCACCCGGCCATACAAGCCAACCAGCGACCCCAGTCAGAAATCCAACTTGGAGATGGTCTTGAGGATATTAGAGCGCAAAGTTGAGTGACCTGCGGTGAAGCACGCGTCGGTGGGAGTAAATGGCGGACTAAAACATCGAGAAAAAATTTACCTTCGCTGTTTCACCTGTCGCCGCGGACACTAAAAGTTGAGTAATGTTGCTAGAGGATGGGAGAGACGTTGAGAGCTCAAGGACTCCGAGGGGACACCAGTGAAGAGGAAAATGATGGGAAAGAGAGTGAAGCAGAGCCCTATATATACTTTTCTGAGCAGCATCCGCAGCGTTGCTTTAACCTAGCCGACAGGGCACGCTTGGACCCTCAGTAGTGCACTGGCATTGTTCGACTGCCCAAAGCGTGGATGAGTTGCCAAATCGAGCGAGCAGTGCAACGCGCCACACGGAGCAAACGGCACGAGGCTCGGACAATGGGACCCAAGATCGGAAGCTGTCCGCAGCTTCAGGCCTATTGGACTGCCGCTTTACACCAGAACCGACAATACTTGCTGCACCAGAGTCCTGTGGCGGGAATGCAGAAGCAGATATCCTACACAGGACGCATAACCCCTTTTTTCCCGAGGAAATAACTTGGAAAAATGTGTGGAAATCAATAAAGTTATACTGCAGGAAAAACATGAGGAAAAAACGTGTAAAAGAACAAAGCATTTCCGCAGTTTTTCCACTGGAAATAAGTTGGTTGCCAAATATAGTAATTTTGTCCGGGTTTTGGCATGTCCTGGCATGTCCAGTTGCCTGATATGGTAGGCAACTTATTTCCAAGGGAAAAATCGTGAGAATGTTTTGTTCTTTTCTCACTTTTTTCTCGAGGTTTTTCCTCTGAAAATATATTATTGATTTCCATGCTTTTTGCCAGGTTATTTCCAATGGATAAAAGTGGTAATGCTTCCTGTGCTAGGAGAGACTCAGTTAGTATGTTTCTGATGAACGCGTACCAGCTGTCACAGTCAAGATGCGATGAGTTTACCTTGAATGACGACACGCGGACCAAGTTGACCTACAGTTTTTCGATTATTTCAGGCTCGACTTCTCGACATCATTTTTGCACACATCCAGGTAGTCAAATATTCAACGTTCAAGTCCAGATGAAGAAAATAGTCCTCCCCGTATCGGTGTATGAGTTAGCAATCCAGCTCGATCCGCGACGACCGCCAGCGACGACACAAAGCTTTTTGGTCTCATATTCGTGTTACACTTTCGTATCTAATTTACCATCCATCGCACCTCGTCGAATGGATTTTTCTTCTAGGCAGTGAAGCCAAGGATGCTCACAGCAGTGAGATTACCACGGATGAACACGTCTCGAGCTTCTTCGGAGACAAAGTTCGTGGCGATGTTCCCAGTGCACCAGCGTCCTGGACAAAGGTGAATGAATGAAACATGCCCCAATTTTTGGTTGGTATCGAGTGTTCAAACATCGGTAGGTGTAACACGCACACGTTTCTACGTACTGGTTTACCTTGAAGGGCGATCTAATCACATCGACGTCGATGGCACCACATTTCTCTTCCTTCACGATGTTTCGTGCATTGGCGCGAGTTCTGACAAAACTGCTGTCGGATGATGTCCAGTCGCAATTGAGGTCGCCGGTTTCTTCGAGCTGGACTTCATCCGATGAGATCATTTCCGGTGATGCGGAGATATTTGGTAAATGGTTTGAGGAAGCGGGAGTAGTTGATTGTATAGGGACATCTAAAGGACTGACCACTGATAGAGAGAAGCTCGAGAACGCTATAAGAGGTGGTTTCTGCATGCACACCTTGTTGGTCTTGAAGTTGGTTGCAGGATGTATAATGTTCGTCCACTAAATGTTTTCATTGAGTCTACGCAAGGAGTGTGCAGCCCGTATATATGCGCTCTATTGGAGCCATGCAGGCAGAGCCAGATAGTTGGTCGCTGTAGGAAATTGCGCATTCACGAGTTGGGGGTTATTACATTGATGGCGGATAACTCGGGCCAGGTGACGGAGTACTAGATTGTATGCAGCAGAGGAGTCTAAAATTAGCGAGGATGAAAACCTATTGATACAACAACTGCGGTATGGCGAGGGTAGAATACAGAGGACGCTGGTATCATTGTTTCGGTGCGTTTTGGAACTGGCAAACGGTAAATCCAGTTGAGCACTACGAAGAGAAGGGAACGGGTGAGAATGAACGTACGATATCGCGGAGCTGGCCTTGGGCGTCGTTGAATTGTTTCTCTAGGTATTTCGCCTAGAGGAGCGTTAAGTACCAATAGGCAAGAACGAAAGGAGTGAGCACACCTTCTTCGCCAAATTGTTGAGGTCATCAGCAAGCTCCTTCTCCTCCGTCTTGAGCTCCTTCTCCATTGTGGGGCGCGGGACCATCATGAACCTGCTCGCATTAGGCGGTGAAAGGATAGATGCACTGGCCACTCACATCTTCCCAACACCCTTGTACAGGTTCACATCGCCTTGTAGAGAAGTGATCTCCTCAATCGTCAGCTGCAGAATCCGCCGCTCTCGCTCCTTCGCGGCGATCTGCTGCCGTGATACATTCAGAGCGCGTTGCGACTGCACAGCGGTCTGCTGGATCTGCACCAGGATCTGTTGCGAGACTTCAATGACTTGTTCTGAACAAGAGAGACGCGACGACATACCTTGCGTAGTGTGTCGTCTGAGAGCGTGGCCATGGCAGGTCGACGACGGCGAAGTGGCGGGGCAACTTTGAAGACGCGTCGCGAGTTGGGCGCTTAGCGCTCCTGCTTTCTGCAACCGTCCACTGTGCTTCGGTCCTGCGGTTTCGCCACTCCACGTCAAAAACTCCTGAAGTGAACTTGCTGGGTCAATACTATTTGTGGTCATCTTTACTTTGCCTTTTTCTGCGGCTTTGCTTTTGCGTCGATCGTGTACAGTGCCCTCATAACTTTGCTCCACTAGCCGATTACTCTCCAACATGGCATCGTTCGAGGACTACGATGAGTTCGGAAACTACATTGGTGCCGACTTGGAGTCCGACGAGGAAGAAGAGGTCCCCCAAAACGAGTTCGTGCGCGAGGCGCAGGCCCAACCGCTTGAGGGTTACGAGGAGGAACCCATGGAGGTGCAGGAAGAGACGGCGTTGATGGAAGCTGACGGTACCTAGTCGGCCATCCTCTGTCCAGCTAATCATTTACATAAGAAGCTGCTCTAGAACCAGTACACAATGCGGTCGTTCTGCATGAAGACAAGCAGTACTACCCGTCAGCGGAAGACGTGTATGGACCCGAGGTAGAGACTCTAGTCCAGGAGGAGGATGCGCAACCGCTCTCCGAACCCATCATCGCGCCCGTGAAGGTGCGAAAATGGGCGGTGGAAGAGAGGGGAATGCCAGAGACGCGGTTCGACAAGGCGTAAGCATCATGTTCCTGCAGCCCTCCCCTCTTAATTTTTGATGTTGGCAGTTTCATGTTGAACATGACCGGATTTCCCGAGTTTGTGCGGAACGTCGCCATCGTGGGGCACCTGCACCACGGAAAGACGGCGCTGATGGACATGCTCGTGTTCGAGACCCATAAGATGGTATGGGATTCAGATCGTCAGGTTCGCTCGTTTCTCACATCGTCATTGCGACTAGCCCGACTGAGCTTTGCGTGTTGCAGACGCGGTATACGGACACGCACGTGCTGTCCCGGGAGCGGGAGATATCCATCAAGTCCTCACCCATGTCACTCGTCTTGTCGTCGAGCTCGGGGAAGTCACACCTCATTCACCTGATAGACACGCCGGGACATGTCAATTTTGTCGACGAGGTCGCAGCGGCGATGCGTCTTGTGGACGGTGTTGTCCTTGTGGTGGACGTCGTGGAGGGGGTCATGGTGAATACTGAGGCCGTCATCCGGCACGCCTTGCAGGAGGGGTTGAAGCTGACCCTCGTAGTGAACAAAATCGACCGCCTCATTCTCGAGTTGCGCATTAAGCCTGCGGATGCGTTCTACAAGATCAAACACACAATTGAGGAGGTCAACAATGTCATTAGGTTTGAACTACACGCTCTGCATATATGTGCCGCTCTGACAGGTATTACTAGTGCCATTAACCCAGATCCAGCCCTGCGACTGAGTCCAGAGAATGGAAATGTCGCGTTTGCAAGCACAGATATGCATTGGTGTTTCACTCTTCGCTCGTTTGCGCAGATGTATGCCGATACATACGGTACGGCGACATACACGGTCGAGTGCCACACCTGATTGCCCTTTATGCTAGGTCCGATGGACGTCCCCGCCTTCGCTAACCGTCTATGGGGCAACATCTACTTCAACAACGAGACCCGCAAGTTCTCGCGCAAGCCCGCGGATCCGGAGGCGAATCGCACCTTCGTGCACTTCATCCTCGAGCCGCTGTACAAGCTGTACAGTCAGGTGCTCAGTGAGGACACGGACACGCTCAAGGAGACGCTTGACGGCCTCCGCATCCAGCTTGCACCGGTAATGTACAAGATGGACGTGCGCCCGCTGCTAAAGGCCGTGCTCGACCAGTTTTTCGGACCGGCCACTGGGCTGGTGGACATGATTGTGGAGCATATACCGTCCCCGGTTGAGGCTACCGCGGCGAAGGTTCGGGTTTCGATTGCATATTTCAGAAGTTTAGAACTCATTTTCTGCCAGGTGGAATCGACTTACACGGGCCCTATGACATCGGAGTTGGTCTCAGCCATGAAGGCGTGCGACCCCGAGGGCCCGTTGATGGTGCAAGTCACAAAATTGTACCACACCACCGACGCGCAGTCGTTCAGGGCCTTCGGACGCGTAATTAGTGGTACCGTTCGGAAGGGCATGGACCTGAAGGTATTAGGAGAAGGTTACTCCCCAGAGGATGAAGAAGACATGGTCAAGGCTACCCTGGATGACGTATGGATAAGCGAAGCGCGGTGAGCCATTCGCCGTTTACAGCTGTATTGTGAAATTGACGGTGTCCCTGCAGATACTTCGTCCCTGCGGAAGAAGTCCCGGCGGGCAACCTGGTCTTGCTAGGCGGCATCGACGCGTCCATCACCAAGACGGCGACACTCGCTTCATTCGACATTGAGGATGACCTGCACATATTCCGGCCTATCAGGCACATGACGCAGTCTGTTCTGAAAATCGCGATTGAGCCCATCGCGCCCTCGGAGTTGCCGAAGATGCTGTCGGGCCTTCGGAGTGTCAACAAGTCGTACCCACTGGTGTCCACGAAGGTCGAAGAGAGCGGCGAGCATGTGGTAATTGGCACTGGGGAACTCTACCTCGACTGTGTCATGCATGATCTGCGCAGACTGTTTTCTGAGATCGAGATTAAGGTATCGGACCCTGTCACGAAGTTTTGTGAGACGGTGCTCGAGACGAGTGCGCTCAAGTGCTATGCCGACACGCCGAACAAGAAGTGAGTCCTCTACTTATCCCGTCAGAGCCAATTGTTGATAGTCATTACTCTCCAGGAACAAGATCACCATGATTGCAGAGCCGCTGGAGCGAGGCATCGCAGAGGACATTGAGACCGGTCGTGTTACTATGCGTATGTCCGCCAAGGAGCGCGGGAAGTTCTTCGAGGACAAGTATCAGTGGGACCTGCTCGCCTCCCGATCAATATGGGCGTTTGGGCCGAACGATAATGGTGCGAATATTCTGCTTGACGACACACTACCATCGCAGGTAATTGCTGATTCGTACACGCGTCACTTCCAATCCGGCTGATGATGATATGCAGATTGACAAGAAGCTACTGAGCACTGTCAAGGAGCACATCAAACAAGGCTTCCAATGGGGTACTCGTGAAGGACCCTTGTGCGATGAACGTCAGTGCATTTACCGTTATCCATACCGATGGCTAATCGCCACCTCATGCAGCAATGCGCAACGTCAAGTTCCGCATACTCGACGCGAGCCTTGCACAAGAGCCAATCTTCAGGGGTGGCGGGCAAATCGTGCCAACCGCGCGTCGTGTTTGTTACTCATCGTTCCTGATGGTGAGCAGATTGACTAGGTTTGCGCACACATCAGTCTTAAGTCCAATATTCTAGGCTACACCACGACTTATGGAGCCTGTTTATTTCGTGGAGGTGCAAGCACCGGCGGATTGTATTTCGGCAGTGTATACCGTTCTGGCCCGGCGGCGTGGACATGTCACGCAAGACATTCCGAAGGCGGGCTCGCCGTTGTACACAGTGAAAGCGCTCATTCCTGTGATAGACGCGAACGGTTTCGAGACGGACCTGAGGACGGCGACACAAGGGCAGGCGTTCTGCTTGCAGGTGTTCGACCACTGGTCAATCGTGCCAGGTGACCCGACAGACACGAGCATCAAGCTCCGGCCTCTGGAGCCCGCGTCAGGGCAAGCGTTGGCGCGAGATTTGGTACTCAAAACCCGGCGGCGGAAGGGTCTCGGTGATCAGATCGCCGTGTCAAAATATTTGGACGACGAGTTCATAGTGCGCGATCATGCATTTGAAGTTGGTGTATTTGCGCTGACTGTCTCTTCTGCAGCTTGCGTTATCGGCGTCGGGGCATGCAGATTTGCTGGGTTAGTTTGTGTAATGTAAGGTGTAGATAGGTGGTGAACACGCTCGCTTTCGTTCTCATCATGATGGGGAAACGCGTGGAATATGAACACAACGGGGAGGTGCACGTGGCAGGAGTGGAAAGTGTGTACGTGGCAGGTCACAGCCGAGGACATTTAGCAGAGACACCTGTCTTCTCCTCTTTACCTCACCCTCCTCGCTCTTTTCTTCCTTCCCATCTACATCTCCATCTTTCGGCTTGGTCCTTCGTACATAATGCGAAGAGTAGCGCTTTCCGCCGCCCTCCTGGCCCTCGCTGCCGCTACCGTGTCGGCTGTCGACGAGCCTAAGCCTGTCTTGAAGGCATGTCTGTATTACTCGCATCACGCCTCTCCAACCTTATGTCGCTCCTATCATACAGCCTACGGATATCAGGGCACCCTTCATTGAGCAGTTCTCCGAAGATTGGGCAGAACGTTGGACAGCGTCAGAAGCCACCAAGAAGACCTCCGTTGGCGGCGAGACCTTTAGCTACGTAGGCAAGTGGGCCGTCGAGGAGCCCATTATCTCCGTCGTCGAGGGCGACAATGGTCTCGTAGCCAAGACCAAGGCTGCCCACCACGCCATCTCCGCCCCCTTCTCTGACCCCATTGACTTTAGCGAGAAGCCCCTCGTCGTCCAGTATGAAGTCAAGTATCAGAAGGGCGGCAACTGCGGTGGAGGCTATCTCAAGCTACTTGAAGATGGCTTCCAGACGGAGGGCAAAGAGTTCTCTGACAAGACCCCATGGACAATTATGTTTGGTCCTGACTTGACATGTCCTGGGACGAAGGTATATATCTGGAGCCCTGTCCCGGTTCATCATGTTCGCAGCGCTTATTGGTTGATATTGCCGGCTAGATTCACTTCATATTCCGTCACAAGAACCCTATCACTGGCGAGTACGAGGAGAAGCACCTTAAGGTCCCTCCCAAGCCCACCATTGAGAAGCTTACGAACCTCTACACTCTCGTGCTGAAGTGAGCTATTTTTCAGCAATTTATATAGTGCCCATTCGTTGACACGTCACACAGTCCTGACAACACATTCGATGTGCTGTTCAACGGCGAAAGCAAGGCATCCGGCAACCTCCTTGAAGACTTCAACCCTCCTGTTAACCCGCCGAAGGAAATTGACGATCCCGAGGATTCCAAGCCCGCCGATTGGGTTGACCAAAAGAAGATCGCAGACCCCGAGGCGACCAAGGTTAGCACGAAATACTGCAGTCTTATGTATCTTCCAACTAATTTCCTACCCATAAGCCTGATGACTGGGATGAGGATGAGGCTTATGAAATTCCCGATGAGGATGCCGGTAAGCCTGAGGGCTGGTTGGATGACGAACCTGAGACGATCCCCGACCCTGGTATGCATAGCATCTTGGCCGAGCGTACTATTTCGTATTAATCTCGTCTTTGTAACAGACTCCGAGAAGCCCGAGGAATGGGATGACGAGGAGGACGGTGACTGGATCGCACCTACCGTTCGCAACCCCAAGTGCGACGAGGCACCCGGTTGCGGCGAGTGGAAGCGGTAGGTTTCATTCGGTTTTGTCCTTCGCCCGCTGAATTGTTTTCGCTACCTATAGTCCCACTAAGGCTAACCCGGCGTACAAGGGCAAGTGGTATGCCCCCTTGATTGACAACCCCGCATACATTGGCGAATGGGCTCCCCGCAAGATCCCCAATCCTGCCTACTTCGAGGATCTGAGCCCCGTTAAGAACCTAAACAAGATTGTTAGTACACTGGTCTCACTTCTATAAGCTGTCTGATATCCACTCATTACAGGGTGGTGTTGGTATCGAACTCTGGACCATGACCGAGGACATCCTCTTCGACCACGTCTACATCGGCCACTCCGTTGACGACGCCAAGGCTCTTGCCGCGGAGACTTTTGACATCAAGCACCCTCTTGAGGTTGAGCAGTCAAAGGCTAAGAAAGTCGTTGACGCCGATGAAGAAGAGGAGACGATCAGCTTCCAGGAGGATCCGATTGAGTTCCTGCGCGCCAAGATCTTCAAGTTCGTTGAGCTTGCCAAGCTTGATCCTCTTCTTGCGTTCAAGACCCAGCCTGAGACCGGCGCGGCCTTTGCACTTGCTGTTGTTACTCTGTTCGGTATGCTCGGTATGATGTTTGGTTTCATTGGAGCGTCTCAGGCAACAATCACCAAGGTATGGATATTTTTGACCTTCCACTTCCTTGCTGCTCACTGCCTGCTCTTTCGCTAGTCTTCGAAAAAAACTGACGCACCTACACCCGATGACAAGCAGAAGACCGAGACTACGCCTGTCGTGCCAGCGGGCGGAGAGAAGGTGGACACCACTCTGAAGAAGCGGAAGTAAAGGGAGGCGATGGTCCACCGCGTGCTAGCGTACTGTTACGACCTTATCCTGTTCTGTGCTTGTTTTGCAAAGATCATTTCTTATTTCTGGGCTCGTGCTGGCAGGAAATAGTATGGGTTTACCTCCATTTCAACATTGGCTATGATGGTACACTCAGTTCGCTGGATACACAATACACAAAATGTTGTCTACAAGAGCATATGAGCTAGAAATACAGACTTGCGGCGAATACAACTAAGGACGTATATACATCAGGCGTGCCACTCGCAAACATGGATTGCAAGACTCACTGTCTCTTTTGATTTTGATTTGGCACTCCTCCATCTTCTTGAATAACTCGGCATCGCCAATGACGCGAGCTGCGTCTCTGACTTCGCGGCAGGTCTCGTCCAGACGGGTGATTACACGGACGATGGTCCCTTCTGCCACATCTGTCAGCTCTGTGATTTGTTCAAACGGCTATGCGACCTTGTCAATTTACTGTCGAGGACAAGACGCAGAAGACAAAAAGCGTACCATGCCCTTCGCCCACTCGTATACAACCTCCATGAGACCGAACTTGAGCCCGCGGAACTCCACACCTGGGATCTTGTGCGCGTCCTGTATTCGCTCGACACGGTCGCTGATAGCCATAATGGCGTCGCGGCCCTGCTCGAGCTTGGAAGGAATGACAGGCTCCACGTCTGTCTTCTCCTGAAACACGAATGCCGACAGGAGCGCGACGACCTCCTCTGGCTCGTATGCCGCAAGTGTGTTCTCAAGGATTAGCTCGGTCAGGATGAGCTCGTTCACGGAGTTGATCTACACGAAGGTTCAACCGGTAACTAAGGCTGCGTTCATACGTTATAGCAACTCACCTCGCAAGCGACTCTGCCTTTGAGCAGGACTGTGGAATTTTCATCGATGAGTTTTAACTCCTTGAGAACGTCTATTCGTTGCTCGTAATCTGGAATCAACTCAAGGTTTTGGTCTGATAATGTCCGCTGGAGCTCAGCGATGTTGGCAAGAAGAACCTTCTCGCCATGAGTGACGATGTACTACAACCAAAGCCAGATGGTCAGCATCTCCAATCGGCTCTGTATTGCATGTTGCTCACATGGTCGTCGAAATCCTCGCAGAGAATACAAGCATAGCCAGGGAGGCGTTTCGCGAGTTCATTGCGCGAGCGTAGTGTCTCTTGGAAGTCTAACGAACGTATTCGACTCCAGTCCACCTCGGGTATACGTCCAGACGCTATCCAGTCACTCAAGACCATCGATAGAGACCCGATGGCATGTTGCATTGATGATATCCGATGACCCGAGACGATGAGATCCACTTCAACCTTCAAATGAATAGTCGGCCTATGTCGAGACCCAGATAGAGAATGGTGCACATACCTTGATTACGCAGTCGCACACCATCGCGACGCTCGTCAATGGCACAGGTCTGAGCTCGTACGTTGCATCGTCCACTGCGAGTGAAGCTGGCGTAAAGGGCCACCGCGGGGGTATGCTCTGAGCATCCACGTCTGTTGAAGTATATTATTAATCACTCATCAATTTAAATCGGGTACTGGGAGTATGCTCACCGTGTTTCCCACTCTTGGTATCGGGGTCTACCATGGCTAACATGTAGTACACTTTGACATTATCGGAAACACCCGCAGACTTCATCATGACTGCTATGTTTGATCTAAAATGCTATGGAGGTGTCACGTCACATCATCTTGGGAAGAAAAGCTCCAGCGCACCCCATCTCGGAGGATAACCACTCTTCCGATGCCCAGCAGCCTCAGACCTTGCGAATGTTTTGCAGCCATATTCAGCAGCATTTGATTATGTTCGATGATATCGAAGGATGTGTCGTAGTAACTTTCGATATCTGGTGAGCACACTTCGCAAGTTAGCTTCTCTCGTTTGGACAACGCCTTTTCGCTCTGCATCTCCAGCGGTGAGAACGTAGCAGCAAGAGGGAAATAAGAAACTACCTCGATCATTTTTCTCTGCTGGTGTGGGAGAAGTTTCTGGGACCTGTTCTCGGAGAAACTCCGTTTGATCATCTCCTCAACTCTCAGTGCCTCCACACGTAACAGATTGAGAATCATGTTGTACGTGAGGCGGAATTGTGATTGCAATTTTGACGGGGTACCAAGTATCATGGTCAACAAGGTGGTTTGCTAATAATAGCCAAAGTCTGAGTACCAGAAGGAATCCTCGTCGGAAGACACTGACCTCGGGAAGGTTATCGTTCGCCACTATCACGACAGTACCTGTCAGGTCCAGACCACGACGCCCAGCACGGCCCGCCATCTGTGTATATTCACCAGCCAGAATATCTCTGAAGCTACGGCCGTCGTGTTTCCGTATTCCTGAGAAAACCACACATTTTGCGGGCATATTCACCCCCTATTTGGACGAGTTGCATGAGAAAAAAGGGGAAGTCCCCGTTTTGTACTTGGACGCACCATAGCAAAGGTCTCCGTCGCAAACAAGACTTTCACTAAGCCACGGGCGAATAGCAGCTCTACGACCTGATTTGAATATTTAGCATTGCGTTAGTGAGATATTTCCGGCGCTCACCTCCTTCACGATAGGAAGTAGTCCACCATGATGTACGCCGATACCGCGAGAGAGTAAGTCGCGCATACGGCGGATTTGTGGCAGCTGTCTATCGGTCCCTGCTCGGCGAAACTATCAACTAAAAATGCATAGAAGATGCAGATGATACAGACCCTTCAATCGCGACAACGCCTTCTCAATTGCGACGTGTATCTCACTTTTCTCCACCGACGTACACAAATCGGCGTTTGTCAATGTTCCTGCATTTTCCTCGCATCGCTTCTTCGATAGAGTGAACACAACTACGGGCAGCAGCGCCTTCTTACGAAGGTGGCCCAGAAGATGCACGTATAGGTTCTTATCGGGCTGGTAGAATGTGCGAGGCGAGCCTCCCCGACCAGCCGGAGGGCCTCCTCGAACCGGCGCACCACCTCGTTGGCTGCCACGCCCGGAGGCACTACCGCGTTGTCCCCGCTGTGGCGCTGCCGCACGTGCTCCGAGACGCTGGACTGGAGGTAGGCCAGCTGCTTCGCGCTCCTTGTCTTGTTTCCGCCGGAGAGCTTCGCCTGCGTCTTTGTACCTGGTGACGGAACTCAGAAAGGCCAAAGTAGCATGGGAATGGGGATTGCTTCTCATACCCCTGTGTCACGAAATTCCTATCGGCGTCTACAATCTTGTATAGCTCTCGGCCAGCGTAAAGATAGTGTTCCAGCGGTACTGGTCGCTTCGCGGTCGAGATCACATATATATCTTTCTTCTTTGTGCGCCTTGGGAAGTGTCAAGTTCCATTCCGGAATCAGATGAAGGAGATATGGATGACTCACCCCACCCAGTCCGCAAATTCTTTTGTATTGGGAACAGTAGCGGACAACAGAATAATATTGACATGATCTGGAAGCATGATGATAACTTCCTCCCAGACGACACCTCTCTGTGCAATCTCAATGAGACATCATGCGAAGCAGATAAGTTCAACGAACTCACCTCCGCGTCGTTCACATAGTGGACTTCGTCGAAGATGACGAACTCAACGTCTCGAATTAGGTCGGCACCTTTGTACAGCATGCTGCGCAAGATTTCAGTGGTCATGATGAGACAGTTGGCCTCTGGGTTAATCTGCACATCTCCCGTCAAGATACCGACCGAGGACGACGAGAACGTCTGCTTGAAATCGCGGTACTTCTGATTTGATAGGGCTTTGATCGGTGATGTGTAGATAGCTCTGTAAGAAAGGTCAAAGAACGAGCAGCGCCGTAGGTCTTGATTGACGAACCGCGTCATATGTTTCGCGGCCAATGCAATGGCGTATTCAGCCACCACCGTTTTTCCCGCCGACGTGTGGGCAGCAACAAACACGGAGTGACCCATCTCAAGATGGTACACAGCCTGTTTCTGAAATGTGTCCAACTCGAACGGATACTGTCAGTGCAATGATGAGCGAATTGTATTGGAAAATCGGCAACCAAAGACCTTGTGGGCCATATCTGGAACCAGCTCGTGGAAGTTAGTGAGAGGCTTATTAATGTCAACTTCATGTGCCCAGTCTCGTTTCTGTATGTTGGTGCGCCGGTGGGATCTGCGCGAGGCGGGGATGGAACTTAGCTGGGATCTCTACACACGTAAACATAATATAAATTGCTGTCGTCTCAGTTGCATGAAGAGGCTGCTTACTGTAGTAGGGAGAAGTTCATCTATCTCGGACACACCGTTGACTACTGACGGACCAGAGATCGCATCCCCATTTAAGTAGAGAGGTACTTCGTCGTCCTGAAAAGATGGCGGTTAAGAAGTGGACCCCACTCGGAACAATATTATAGATACTTCGCCGTGGCCAATCTTCCCGCCCCCTTGCGAGGCTCTCTCCAGGTCTGCTAAAGCGGACTCTTCGGCATCATCGCCAGGAAGATGCAGCCCACGAGTCAATCCAGGTGCAACTGTTCTCAAGCCACGGGAATCTTCATGAAGATCACTCAGCGAGACTGGGTCTTTCCGTATCTCCTCCAACCCTCCAGGCCAGAATGGAACATATCCTGATTTTCCTCTAACGAAATTGCTACTGGGGCCAGGAGCGCGATCAAGGGACGTCGAGGTAAGTCCAGTCGTGACACGCGGATTGGAGACCTTGGGCCAGCATCAGCTCAAGAGGAGACAACATGGAATTCCAATGATTTACCTCTGTGTAGCCTGTAACACGGCCTTGAAGCCCAGTCCGAACGAATGCAAGGGTGGTAGGTGGGGGAGAAGGTTCGAGCTTTAGCAGCGATGGGATGGAAACTGGATGGTCCCAATGTCTAAAAAAACACTCATGTTTCAGAATTCATCCATAACGGTTGCATGAACGTACATTTGATAGGTGGGGAGCCAATGGTCGGGTAGCCGTTCCTTGGGTAATAGCAGCTTTTGCTCTATTTCTCTGTGCACCTGTTCTTGTGTGGGTAAGCCAGAGAATCCGAGCTCCTTGAGTAAATCTTGAGCATTCGCGGGAGTGGGACTCAGAATTTGTTCAATAACACCCCGGTACTTCTCATTCAGCATCGTCGGGACTCGAGAGCATTAAGCGTCTACAGTAAGCGCTCGCTGTCGCAATTTCAAGTTCGTCCACCAAAGTCTCGAGCTCGACTCTCAATCTCGAGCTTGCATGCACCATCTCAACGTACGTCGTAAACAGCTCCCACAGGCTGCAGTGGCTGGTGTTATACTCTGGCCGATCCTCTGACATGGATATCGACTGCACTCTCTCGCGGCGCTCGCCTCAATTGCACCCCACTCTTCCCCGACTAAGGCCGGGCAGGATGTCCCTCCCTGAAACTATTCGCTCCACTGGTCTTGCATCTGGTGTGACAAAGTCTGTAATATACTTGAAATGCGCGTTTTATTTGTGAAACTGCTCAATATCGTGTGCGGTCTCACAAGGCCGCGCGCTTCCTCGACTATCCTGCTTCTGATTTAATATAGCGCCAGTTTCTTGACAGTTGCCAACAGCAGGATGTTAGCACACCCGTCGTCAGTATTAGTGCATTTATGCGATTTGTTCCAGAAGAGAGTTTGATGTCTGGCACGTCTGCATCTGTTCAATTCAAATCATCTTCATAGCTGGTCTCGCCGAGAAGATGACTACCCATTTCTCTGTTCGTCGTTTACACCTTGTGGTTACAACGTAGCCCTCCGCTGTCCAAATGGGCAATGTATGGAACTTCACTCTCTGATGACAGCTCTGTTCTGGAGTACACCCCGTATTGTAAGCAATGAAATTCGCTGCGGGTAATGCTTTGATTATATGTTTGGATTCCAGCGGAGGGGTCTCTGGAAGGTGGCGTAGAGGCTGCTCTGCAAGCTGGTTGGATCGCCTGGTACTCTGGATCCCAGACGAACTTCAACACCGTTGGAGGTGAATCAGCGGCTGGCGATTCATATCATATCACTTCTTTCCCGGGAGCTAGCGTGGAGTTGCAGTTCTACGGCAAGTCCATGCCTACGTGCGTCATGATTCTCCTATTTATACCGTCTACAGGTACTGGCGTTTCCCTGTACGGATTTGCGAACTGCTCGTATCAGGCCACCATCGATAGTGGCGGCGTGCGCCAGTATTCTCCTGAAGACAATTTGGACAAATTGCTCTTTACCACAGGCACTGACAGCCTCACGCCGGGTACTCACTTCGTCAACTTGACTGCCTTACCGAATCCCAACAGCACTCAACAGCTATCGTTCGACAACGCCGTAGTGTCTGATGCGACACTGTAAGTTGCATCCTATACTTTTATGCAAACGCTGCTGTTCTGACATGATTGCAGCGCCCAGGAGCCCATTCCTGTAGTATACAATAATTCTGACTACGAGGTCCTGCAATATGACGGGACGTGGACAGTCCCAACAGTGGTTGCCGGGATTCCTAATACTTCAGATCCATCCCCATTTCACCAGACTGTTCAGTACGGGTCATCCGTGTCCATGAACTTCACGGGTGCGTCCGCGGTGATCGTCAAAGGTCCGAGGAACTGGGGTCATGCGGGCTACAATGTGGTAAGTAAAATATACTATCAAGGGTTATTGATTTACTCTCGCGGCCTTACAGTCCTTGGATGGAATCAACAGCCAATACAATGCAAGCAGTTATTGGCTGATCGGAGATTCGTTGTTATTCTACCAAAGAGGTCTGGACGTCAATGAGACCCATTACCTCGACGTGATCGACACGTCCCCCAACGGCGACAAGTTCATCCTGAACTACATCACGGTCTTTAATAAGAACACGATCGAACCAAGGTACGTGTCTGCGGTGTGGACAACGCGTTGACCACCTTCACTGACATGGTCCAGTTCCAACTTCTCCGTCAAAAAGAGCGTCAACGCAGGAGTCATTGTTGGTCCTGTGGTGGCGGGAGTTGTCGTTCTCGTGCTATTGGCGTTGATTGTGATGCGCCACCGGAGGCGCAAAATACGCCCTGAAGATCATATCACCCCATATCCTTGGTGGCAGAATTTCAGAGAACTTCGCCACTTAAGACGCACACACGCGGATCCTCCAATGGTTTTCCTGGGTTCAGTGAGGGAGAAAGGCAGCCTCTCACAGCTTCAAAATACGAGACCATCTACCCATGTCACGCCTGTCCCTCCCTCACCTAGCCCGAGGAGCAGTTCCACCGCAGTTAGACCAACAAACTCCGGCGCTGCTTCTCATTCTGGTTCAGATGTACTCCATATTGCGCCACCTCGTCCATTGCCTGTTCCAACAACATCACGTCCTACCCCTCTCCTTCCTGCTGTGGCGCAACCACAACCGCAACAACCTGTGCTGGATGTCAACAGCATCATCGAGTTGATTGCACAGAGAATTGACAGACCGCATCCGGCATCGGATCGCGATTCTATGCCTCCGAGCCACCCTTCATAGCCTCTGCATCTTCTCTTCGACATATCTGTTCTTCGGTAACCAACAAGGTGAGACACGTTCCTCTGGCATTTCATATCATCTTAAACCCTCTCTGTAGATGAACGTAACTTTGATTAATTTGGATGGACCTTCTATGTTTGAGATACTCGCTTACAAGTCATTCTCTTAACGTTCGTTTATCAGTCGGTCTCAAGTACGAAGCTCTACAAACACCCTTGCTAATCCGTATATTTTGTGAAGACTGTCCGCCGTTGTTCACGAACGATTATACGCTTACCGCCGGCGTTGCAGTATATCAGCGCGAGACGCTGAAAAGTCCTTCGAAGTCCTTTGATATCCCACTAGTCTTCATGATGTTAGCGACCTTCTCAGCGCCCGGGATATGGAAGGCACTGCAGTGGCAGCGAGCGCAAGTTCACCGCCCTTCGGCGCTTTGTGGCAGTAGACCGACATGCGTCTGCGAGATGCCGTGAACGTCTAGCTCCAGCTTTCAATTTCAGCGCTCAGCGCTAGCGCTGAGCAGATCTCAACTCTCAGCGTCCGCGTCAATTGTCGTGCGAGCGTTGCCACAGTACTGTGTCTTTTCTGGCTGAAATTGTGTCTCTTTTGGCTGCTTGAATCGTGTCTCAATGACCGTGTCCTCGGTCCGTCAATAGAGAGCCTGTGAGAGATTCTGCAACATAGTGCTCGCTGTTCGTAGCTCACAGCACAAATCAGGTCAATGCAGATTCACACATGCAAAGGCATCTTGTTGTCCAAGGCAAGGTTGATTGAAAGCTATGGCGTACCTTACAACAGCAGCGCGTATGCCCGGATGATCACTGGATCGTCGTGCAGTACCAGTACTTGCTTCTCCCGCTGCATTGATGGACCTCGCTTAATCGCTTGAATAAGTTTCATCGGTGCATCCCGCATTTTCTCAACTAGAGCAGGACCCTAGGCGCTGGGAGAACATGGCAGACATATAAGCTTGCCTAAGGCAGGCTGCCCCCTTTGCACCAGTATTGACGATACTGAGCATGATGAGTAGCAGTGTTTGGAACTACACCATTGATGATTCCAGTTCCTATTTGACCTACACGCCTCACGGTGCGCTCTTCTGTGCCGGATAGTTCGTTAGCACATTTTCGATGATTGACCCGTCTGTGCAGGGGATGGAGGTATTGGGGACTGGACCCACACCGGTTGGCAGCCATGGTACTCAGAGTCTGGCGGATGGAACACTGCCGGTGGAAACTATGCTACAGGGACCTCCTTGCACATAACATCCTTCCCCGGTGCCAGCGTAGAGCTCCAGTTCTATGGTGAGCGCAACACGTCAGTCATTGTCGGCTGTTCTAAAGACCTCTGTCTAGGGACATCAATTTACGTGTTCGGGACTTCGAACAGCTCCTACAATGTCGCGCTTGACAGCAGTATCTCTTCTAACCTGACGCCCTTGTCGGGCGACCTCTTGTTCATGCAGGAGGGTTTGAGCCGAGGAACACATTTTCTCAACCTGACCGCACGCCCAGAGTCAAATAGCTCCCAGCAGTTAGCGCTCGACTCTCTGATTATTTCTCAGAAAATGGCCAAAGAGTACGTCGTCGTGCTTGCGATCCCCCAATCTGTCTTGCTCAGGTATACTTTTAGTGAAAGTGTGCCTATACCCGTCATTTACGACAATATGAACGCCTCGTTGCTGTACCGGGGCAATTGGTCCGTTCCCCCACTCAACAATCAGATACCTAACACCACCGACCCCAAACCTTATCACGAGACTGCTTTCATGGGCGCTTCTGTATCTCTTAACTTCACTGGTATTGCTATAGCTATCAATGGAACGCGGAACTGGGGAAACGGCATCTACAATGTGGTAAGTACTTCCTCAATCCTGTTGAACCTGCGTGGTGAGACTCTCGTCACTTGGTTCCTTGTCTAGACATTAGACGGAATCAGTACGCAGTACAACGGCAGCACAATGTGGCTCGTCAGCGATGCTTTACTGTTCTACCAATCTGGTTTGAATGCTGATCAGACTCATACCTTGGAGTTGATCAGCACGGCACCAAATAGTTATAATCTGTGGCTCAACAGTATCACCGCGTTTGCCCCAAACATTACAACACCGAAGTACGTTCTTGATGATTATCCGTCTAGTGCTACTCGATCTCAGACCAATTTTCGCAGTCCGAGAGCTACTGGTTCAGCCAAGAAAACCAACGTCGGCGTTATAGTTGGTCCTATCATCGGTGCCATCGCCGCACTCCTTCTACTTGGAGCTGCATTCTGGTGGTGGCGGCGGTCACGCCGTGTTCGTGCCTATGGATCTGAAGGCAAGAACTTAACACCTTTCATTCAGCCAACGACTGTTCAATTCATCGATCCCTCCGCTCCCTATGACGCACCCCACGATGCTGCGAGCTCGCATGCAGCATCGAGCATCATCGCCCTCTCGAGCATGATGTACGAGAAGGATCGCTCCGTGCGAACCCTGGTGTCGCCGACAGGCGCCACGCAGGCTTCATCCATTTCTCACATCCCATCCAGCATTCCTCCGGAGAGTCAGGTTCGACCACTAACTGTGCCATCAGCCCAACCACCAGCACCTGCTCAGCAACCTGTCGACGTCGATCACATAATCGAACTCATTGCCGGGAGGATTGATCGCTCGCAAGCATTCGATCCATCTTCTCCCCCGCCGCAGTATCAACTTGGGCATATGTAGTGCCATTGCGAGTTCGGCCTGCACGGTCTGCTTCTGGTATCTTAATAGTGTCTGTGTTTATAATCCGTCTGTTCTTCTGCCTGTGTCTGAGTGTTCAACGCTCAACGTCCATTTCTTGTAATGCTTCTGTCCTTTACACGACTCGGAATGCCCGTTCTCGACACAATATTCGTATATTTCTTGGCTATGTCGAGATGTTCGCTATCATGATTATAAGATATGTTCACTGGCACACAAACTTTTCGGTGAGGTTGGCTGCAGACTATGGGGTGTAATCGCATAAGACCTTACCCACTTGAAAGGCGGCATCAATATTGGGTTCCGGCTCAAAGCTCAAGGGCGGATATCACTCACAATGGGGCTCATGCGGCATGTGGTATGTGCCAGCTCCTCGAATTCATAATCTGGAAGCAAAACCTCATCGCGACGTTTGAAGACCTTGTGGGAAGGCATCGTCGGGGAAGGCCACCAGGGATGGCGACACAAATCGATGTGAAGTAAAAGACTATGGTCAACTGGTCATTTTCATTTTCTGTCAAACTTACGGTCAAAAGAACCCTCCTCTTGTTTCAGAGGCCAATCGGCACCACCGCAAAGTTAGACATCTATTACTTTCTGTTTACCTACTAATCTGACACGGATGATCATTGTGAGGAATTCGGAGGTTCGGGGTGGTTTCAATCTTCCTTGATGATCCACTCGTATGGATGCTCGCGCTAAACTGTACTGGAAAGTGGAGCTTGTGCAGAGGCCTTCTGATGCAAGAGGAGATAAGAAGGACCAGCTACTAAATAGTTACTATCTCGCTCACCGCATCGAAATCCTGGCGGCTCGTAATACTACTACGTCACCAAGTGGCAGGGCTCACTGCTGCCGCGATGGGTGAGAGAACCCAATCTCATGCGAGCATCTTGATCAGCTCACCTCGAGACGGACAAAGATGAGAAGGTAGCTCTGGGCCTAGACTCCAGAACCTAAGAACGCTTCGACGACCACCCTCCTATCGCTGCATAAGTATTTATTTCGTTGGCATCGCCGAGACGAATTCAACGTTGGAAGAGTGGAGGTAATAGATACGTCCATCAACGATGCCGCCGCGTAAACTCTCTTCCATAGATGCGTAGACCCACGCAAGCCGCCGCCGATCGTTTGTGCGACCCTCTGTAAGTTCGGCGTTTCGGTCGTGCAGCTGCCTCCGCCGACATGGTGAATAAAGGCATATTGAATCTATTGATTACTTACGTTCATTTGCACTGTCAACGTCTTAGTGATCGCAAGGTGCGATCCGGTAAGCCGAGGTGAGCTGTGAACGTAAATGATAACGTGGACGGGCCGGGGATGCACGCCATCGACAATCAGTGAGTATACCACATATCGTCGCAATCTACACTGTTCAAAGTTCACCACCATGACACTCGAAATGGATGGACGTCTAGACATCTTGTCAGCGACTCGAGAGCATAATGTAGACTATGCAAGTGCAGGATATAAATGAACCAATTAGTTGGTCTACAATACGACTTACACGACAGCAATGTGCACAGTGTAACGAGACAGAGGCAGGTCAAGGACCAGTGTCATGGGCGCCTCTTACGGGCGTAGACATGCTCAACCAGAATATATGCAGGAGTGCGTGCTTCCAAGAGCTCACGACGCGCATTTCCTTCGAGCTCATTGACGACAACCTCAGGGAGACCGGTTCCAAGTAGGAGAGGACGTCCGGATTTTAGGAAGGCCTGTGGTACAAATAATTGTCGGCATGAATAACATCCAGATAGGTTAGGCACCCACCAAAATGTCTTCCCTGAACACCTGTGCAATGCGGTTTTGACGTAGAGACTCTGGATCATTGCCAGTTCTCCATGGCGCAGTCGGGAACCAAAATTTTCTGTACACAACGTCTTCGAACGAGCCGTGGTCCCTCATCCAACCATGCAAGTAATTTGCCGCATCTGGCTCTCCTCCTCTCGTGAGGACGGCCATATGACAATGGTTCATCCATCGCGCCAACCACGACGGCGCGTGCTGACCTAAAAGTGGCTGTTTGTCTATACTGTAAACGCGAAAGTCGAACTCCAAGAGGTCAACAAGTCCGCCTGGGCGCAAAGTCTGGGAGATTTGATCGACCAAGCCTTGGTAGTCTCGAATCTGAGATGTGCAGATATAGCCACATAAGGAAGGTCATTAGGGGACGGAGATTGCGCAAGATTCGATCAGCACAGATCCGCGCCGACAGAAGGGGTCGAGACACTCACTCCGGAAGAGACCAGCCGGGCATGCACGACGTCGAATTCGCCATAAAAGTGTTGCAGACCAAGATTGATGTCGTCCACCTCGCTCCTATCCACGAAGTTCATGAGCTGGAGAGTGGTTGGGAGACACGCCCTGAGGCATTCTCACCTACAATTTGCCGGCATATTCCTGATGAGAAAACTGTCAACCAGCCGACTCGGGGTGTGCACGACAATACTCACAGCACTTGCATGGGAACAAGATCGACCGCAACCGTGCTGCAGTGTGGAAAATCGCGAGCAACATCCAGTATCCTGGGGCCGCACAAATTCATTAAGGTGAAAATTGTAGAATGGCGAGAGGCCTACCAACTGCCACTTCCACAACCAAGATCAATGCAAGTCTTTGTGGCCCCAGGTGTATCGTCGGCCAAAACTTCCGGTAAAGGTGGAGGATACTTGCCCATCACCTCAGCAAACAGCACATGCTGCTGGTCTAACACAGCGCGTCAGTATCGATGGAAGTACGAGTAGAGTCCGGGGTGGAACGTACCCAGCCGCTCGAACTCTTCATCATCTGCCGGCAAGCGGTAAATCTCCGAATAATTGTTGAGGCCACGCCCATACTCGAGTGTGTACGCGGCGGCACGCATAGAACCTGTCATGGAAAACACGGAAGGAACGGGCGACGCGGAACGCATCTCCCAGTCGTTGGAGGTCGCGGAACTGGCAATGCTCGGAGCAAAACGCGGACAGGAGCCGGAGAGCATGGAGAGAGAGTCGGTATCATTGTCTGAGACGTCGTAGAAAGGAGACATGGGTGGCGGAGAGTGTACAGCGTGCATGGGGTGCGAGAGTAACATTATAATATATAGGCGGGGCAGGCAACACTTTAGTATAAATTATAAATTTCACGGCGGAGGAGATGGTGGCGACCGACGCCCAACGCCCGTGACGCCGTCCCCATCGGAGGCACGTGACCTCGCCTCTTCTGGCATCACTCTTCCTCTTCTCGAGTTCCTCCTCACCGCCATCTCCGTCTCCCGTTCCCGGAATCATGTTGGCTAGCATATGTTTAATCGTCCTTTTCCTGTGCACCAGCCGCGTAAACAGTACTTGCATTCATCTCACTGAACTGCTTTTCTCCTATCTGTCGCCCCTCAGCGAATCTACACCCGCGAACAACACTGGCATCTTCTGCGGAGCCAGTCTAACGGCACGACGAGCTACTGGCCACTTCCTCGCCTGCTGACTTCCTCGTTCCGCTTCCGATCGAAGTATCCCCACACCCGGTAGCTCTAGCCAAAACGTTGACAAGGTTACCACCTTCCAGTTGAGTGTTCCCCTGCAATGCAAGGTCGCTCTTCGGCTGATGCGCGAGATTAACTCTCATAATTTCTCCGGTCCTTTGTTTGACAGCGTCAGTCCCTGCTCCCGCCAGTTCCCTTTGCTAACGCTGCGAGGTCATGTCAAATTTGTCAAGCACCCTAGATCTTGCACAGATGTAGTATCTGCGAACCTGCCGACTTCTGGCCATGAACTCGCCGCTCGTTACACCACCTCTTCTCGAGCTTTCCATCGTCGCCTCTTAGGGATCTGCATTTACCTATTCTGCTCGCACATACTCACTCTACCTTCCCGCGACGCGTTGCGCACAGTTCGGAGGAATTGAGTTTGGTGCCGCAACTGCCGTCTGGACCTGGATGCATTGTTTACTTTCACAAATTGCGTCGCTCCAGTGGCTCTATCGGATATACTTTCCAGTTGCTCTCGAGCATCATCAGTTCTCTCTCAACTAGGAACTTACCGGCTACCATATTGCTGGCCTACGCACTGAAAAAGTGATGAGCCGTGACAATACATCGTCGGAAACCGGACGGTCTGCTTCCGGCTCTGACTGATTACATGGAACAGACCGGCGCTATTTGTGAGTCGCTTGCATGGTCGCTGCATTCCCGCGGTATTTCAATCGTCTTTCTGACTCTGTGCGCCACCATCTGTATCCCCTGTTCATCCTGTGGTTGGCACTCATTAGCAGCTCTCTGAGAGTGTTTGCTTGGTTCGCCAATATGTGCTTGACCAGGCATCATATGCCCGAAGAGGCAATTTGGTTGTGCCCTTTCGGCTGAGCGTCAATTGTCGTCTATGACCCCAGGGCGCTCAGTGTGAGACTTCAACTTTTTTGTAGTAGCATTGCTCCAGCCGTTCCACTGCTCGATAAGCATCTCCGATACCTGGAGACTTATGATATGGTGAGTCCTCGGTTTTTCATGTCTGATTGATCAAGGTGGTGGCAGGGTCCTGCAATTGTCCGTGTATGCTATGTCCCGACCCACAGGCGTTCCGTGGGATTCTCGCGCTCTGAACACTCCGAGTTGGGTCAGTTCTTACTCGCCGCCGTGCTAAATTCATTCCACTCGTGCCGCTGTCCAAATTGTTTAACAGGACATGCGAGTCCCATACCCACAGTGGCTGGTACGTCGAGTAACATGCATGTTGCAAATGCTGTATTGTGTATTTCACACTGCTGACTGGGATGTGTGTGCCCATCTCAACACCCTCTATCACCGCCGGCACCCATGGAGAGCGTGTAGGAAGACCTGGGAGTCTGTCATTGAATGGCTCGCGCTACTTGGCGCTGTGATGGAGTTGTTCATACTCTCCGACCGTGCTACACGCTTGATCCTCGGTCTTGAACACCGCCGACTGAGTGTGTCCTCACTTTTGACAGTCTAGCAGGCGCACTGGCGGTCAATTTTTATTCAGGCCGAATCGGCAGTGCAGTGCCATATACTTTAGCAATATTTATTCACAAGCGAAGCATCAGCGGATTGTTTCGCCAACTTGTTGCACCCTGTGTACGTTCGGGCCTGCCGTGAGCGTGTTCATCACTGCGATAGTGTCAGCTCCACCTAGAGTATCGGAACGACCAGGCTAAAAATCTGCTTTCCGTTGCCGCGGTATTATCGATCGAGAAGGTGAGTGTTTGTTCCATATCAGGACATTCGGATAGCCATCCATTCTCCTCCAGGTTGTTACAAACCACAGTCAGATTCGTGCACAAAGACGCCCCTGTATCGGACTAACAGGTCGCACATTTTGTGGTGCTCGCAACGAACCACGTTGGGCTCTGATTGCGGCAGGAGTCCGCTATGATGCGGGAGATCGCAACATGGGAATCACAAGGCAAGAAGCTGAGAATGAATATTCGAGAGGTACCTCCACGCGTGAGCTCATGGATTTTAATCTCGCCAGACTCGCTCACGGACAGTCACCTGTGCTATCTTGGTGTGTTCGGCTCGTATGACATACTGTGCCATCTTAAGCGAATGGTCGCCTGTCGACCAAATATTTTGATCGTCCAATAAACCACGTACATTCACCGAAAGCTTTGAGACCTACTCACCAAGGGATGCGGAGAAAACACCACTCAGAATAGCAGCACGGAAAGCTTCCGTACGGACGAACGGTCAATACTTCAGGGTCTAGCCTGCCGTTGCGTTCCTTAACTCGTGCAAACAGCTTCCTGCGCGCTATCATCCAGACCTTGGGTGCTCTGCGCGCTTGGCACCGGCCCAGAAGGATTCATCCGCGTCCCCTGTGACCATCGGAATTGCGGTCCAAAACCTATGCTGGTTCTGTTCAGACATGCCCTACCACAGTGCACATAGTGCATGTCAGATGGTGCCGGCGGAGCTAGCAAGTGCTAAGACTTTCGGGCCTCGTGTAGGAGAGTCAAATCTGTCCGCTGCTCTATCGCGGAGCCCGGAGCATGAGTCACTAATGAGCCGTGCAGTTGTTCAACGTCCAACGTTGAAAAGTTAACACCACCTAGATCAAGGCCCGGGTACGGCAGTACTGTCAGAATAAAAAGGTATATGAAGTGCTGCACTTGGACTTGTATATCAATTCAAATTCTCAACACTTGCGAATGTGCCAATAATTGCTGCCAAGTCTTCGTCTACATGATGCGGTAGTCAAGATGTGTCAATGCCATGAGCTATGCCCCAAAAGTGAAGACTCACTATATTGGCCAGCTCCTGGTTGTGCAACATCATGCATATACGACACCCACCAGTTCGAGCACCGGAACGATTTTGTAGATGATCAGTGTGCGAATCATCTATCAGGCCTTGCAGTCATAAATACATTTGGCATCAACGACGATCAAGACGTCCTTGAGATTGAAGAAAAATTTATGGCTACACAAACACGAACATTTCATGACGCATACATACTATCATCGGCGGGAATATGTTCACCACATGTCCGATGTCATCGTTTCTTCAGGGCCTCGAAGCGTTTAGCTAGGGTCTCAAAGTCATCTTCTTCCTTGACAGGCTTAGGAGGTTCCTTGACAACCTTCTCCTTCTCTCTAGGTATGTCCTCTTCTTCTGTGGGTGGCAGCTCAGGGAGTTTCGGTGTCCGCACGCCAGCGCTCCTGGCTTCCGCCGAGATGGTGACGGAGTCAACTGGCTTGGGAGATTCGGGAACTTCTTTACCATCAACGATGGCCGCCTGGCATGTCCTTCAGCGCGGCGCTCGAGGAGAATAGAGACGGGGGCTTACCTTGACTCCACCATCTCCGCCGGCATCGTCGGTGTCGTGGTTGGGATATTCTGGGGGAGACCAGTCTACGCCGTATCCCTTGGCGATTTCAGCAAGATACGCGTCTACCAGTGATGGACCTGGTGTAAAAACCGCCAGCTTCCGTGTGACCTAATGAACAGTTACAACTTCGCCTAACTTCCAGCTAGGACGTAATAAACTCACCCGTTCACTGACACAGCCATCGCGATTTTCCATGACTGCAATCGCGAACTCGCGGCCGTATTTGTGCATGAGCATGTCACGTAAGACCTGCAATTCTTCAGATGATGTGCGGTCAGAATGTAAACCGGGATATTCACGGGTTGCATTACCTTTCAATTCGGTCCGAGGTGCCGCATGTATTATGGCACAAACTCCTTCACTTACACCGGCATCGGGTTCCCGCGTGCTAGCTAAATCAGCCCGTGAATCCTCTGAAGAGGCGTCGCAGGTGCACTCACTTCTGATCCAGCAGTCCGAATCGCGATATTAACAACTCACAATACAATTCCAATAGTTCCAGTAACTCTACGTAAATGTCTTCGTGGATGACTGGACAACGAATGAGGATGCTGCAGTGAGAAGCGACTGTAGCACGCACTGTTCTCCACTTTAATCCTGGCCGTCTCAAGCTTCCCCTTCTCAAGTAGAAAAGCAATGTCGCGTCTCGCTGCTTTAGCCTGCGCGCTCTTCTTCTCCTGCAGGGTACGCAGCCTCTGCACACCCAGCCTGAAATCCGATGCATAAGAATGAGCTGCTAGGCCTCGAACCACAGGTGAGAGTACCGGAGTTGGACCTGTAGGGGTCGCGGGGTCAGGAAAAACAATTACTTGAGCTACAGCGGATCTTGGCTCACCTTTGCTTTGGCAGGAACCCACGGCACCATCCTGCAGGTCGAGGCTGAGGGAGAATGCTGTAGGAGATAAGGGCGCTTGATTTCTCTGATCTAATCTTCGGCCTCCCTGCCGCGGCCATCCGTCGCGCAATTGTGATCATCACCTCCCGGATTATCTGTTCAGCATCTACACACTGTACTCTCACGAGAGCTAAGTACTGGAAAAGGGCTCCCTTCGGCATGCATCATGATCAAGCAGCAGCGTTCACCGACATTTTCTCATAACGTTCTCTCGCTACCAAGGAAACTATCATGGGTATTCTCGACAGACGTGGAAACCTTCCCATGTTCACCTTGGCTGCTCTACCTGTCTACTGAAATTGCAATGGACCCGCCGCCAATGACAGAGCATGTCACTCTTTTCTGGCGGGATCTGTACCTTTGCGCGGTCATTCACCACCCGTCTTGATCTTCACCTGATGATAGTGAGCACTGCGCCTCGTAGGTGTGTGTTTTAGTGGTATTCTCCCTTTGATAGGCTGCAGTTCTATGGTCTCCGTTCTACGCATTTTTACTTACAGCTCTCCGCCCACCTCCTTCAGACTTCGTCATGACTTACCCGTTCTGTCGACCTATTCTTACCGTCAGACCCGAGGTTGAAGTCAATCATTGGTGTGGGTTGGTGAACGGTTCCGTCTCATCTCGAGTACGATTGGCAGGCTTGGGTACATAACTGCGCGGCAGTCGCAGGAAGACGCAGAAGTTGTTGCAAAGGACAGGTGCCCGTGCTGCATATACGATCATTGATGCAGGGCCCCGAAGCTGCAGGATCTTTGCGAATGCCTGAATGTGACCATCCATTGCACGGCATGATGGTGATGATGTGGATTATGTTTGTCAGCTTCAAGTTATAGTTGGACCGGACGATTCTGACATCTGCACATCGCCTCGCTGATAATCTCGGGATGAAGCACTGGCAGGCTGACTTTTGGGAAAGGTTGTCTTGCGCAAAGAAGTTCGTTTATGACATCTCACAGCTAGCTCACCGCGTCGCAGTCCGAACTGTCCCCACTGCCTGCAAGTTGAGGCTGAAGTGTGCTCTGCATACTTCGTTGGCTCGTGGCGAGGCGTTCGGTATATCCTCGCACGTGCTGAGATCACTCAACGATGATGGTTGCTCGGTACGGGCGATCGGATGTCGTGCCCGGAGCGCCATGGTATACTGGTGTCGAACAAAAGCCCGATTGCTCTCTGTCTGCTCATCAAGACCGTGTCTGAGCTGAGAGCTCACCGGATACCCCACCCTCACTCGACATCCATCTACGTTATCGTGTGTATACCGAGGTGTATATTCCTCAATGGCCTCTTCGTGCATGCCGTCACGTAAACGGGGCAGCCAGCTTCCTCGTCTATGGATCGATTCTTCGCTATGTAGCTACAAAAGGTCGCTGCATACACCAGCTTCCACACTGTCATCTGCCCCCTTCAGTGCAGCTATCAGTGCAGCTACTATATCTTCTTGTGGTCCATCTACAGCTGATGCATTTCATGTCCTTTGCCTTTACGACTTTACCTCGGACGATCCAGATCAACTATCTTTCAAGAAGAACGAGATCCTGGACATTATCAAGCGGGAGAACACCGTAAGCCTCAGTTATCTTATGTAGACTGCTCTCGTACGAGGTAACTGAAATCCTCTCATAGGGATGGTGGGCTGCGGTGCGGCCTGGTCATAATTGTGTCGGATGGATCCCCAGCACCTTCGTGGAAGCCATTTCCGAGAACAAACTACTTGGTTCCAACGGGGAAAAGAGGATATACGATCATATCAGGAAGATGTACGGCTCTCCTGTTATCCCGAAGGGCGGCCAACTATTGATCGCCTCTCCTGGAGGAGAGACGGGCGAGCAAGACTGGGTACCGTTGCCAGACGATGAACAAGTTCGCGAATAGCTTTACTGCTCAATCAATTACGGATTTTGATCTTTCATGCAGGCGCCAGTAATGCAGCTGTTCAGCCAGTCTGCCAAAGACTGTGCTCCCTTCGCCTTCAGTCCGCTCATCCCTCCTCACGAAGGCATCGACAGCACACCATTGAATTTCCACGACTCAGATAGTGACTCCTCCCCTGATAATGGCATCATGTCGAGACTCATCCCGAATCCCGGGTCATCTAACCATCGAATGCTCCAGGTTCCTCCGTCCAGAGGTCCACCAGCTCCCAACGATTCGGCATCTTCATTGCACAAGCATCTCTTGCCTTCACCAACGTCGTCTACAGCCCGGCACAGTCGTCCACGACCAGTCCTTATTGACGATTGTTCTTCTCTCAATCGACTCTCTACACTCTTCGAGACCAAGAACGTCGAAGAATTAGGCTCTCCGCTCATTGCTGAGACGCTCGATTCATTTTCGCGGGCGGCCACAGGGCAGTGGTCGGATGTGTTGAAGCAATCGCATGAGATCCAGGTGAGACATGACGGCATGGTAACTGCTGGTTCGTTGCATAACCTTCTGGAGAAATTGACCGACGACCCCGGTGAGTATAATCATTCTACAGCGGAACAAGCTTGTCTCATCTTCCATACTCAGCATGGCCTCCACCTTACATGAAATTTCACCGTATATTCCTGATGACTTTCAGGACTTTTACCACTGCCGAAGAGTCGTTCAACTTTCTCTCGAAGCAATTCCACATGACTGCCCCTGCCGGTCTGGGTCCCAAGGAACTCGAGCAATGGGAGGAGACGAAACTCCACCCGTTGCAGTCACGAGTCTTATCTATATTGAAAATATGGTCCGAGGAATATGGAATGTACCAATACGACCGACAGATCGTCAGACAGGTGGTGGATCTGCTATCCTCCGTCACTGCGCCGCCTCTACTCGCCGTCACGGCGCAAGCGATGATACAGTCTGTCGAGCGCCTTGTAAGAGTTTATCTATTATCCTCAGGTGCGCTCGACTGATATTTGTGCGGGAAGATGTCTGGAGTAAGCCGTGCCGTTCCGGGCAAGAAGAATTTGAGAAAGGCGAAAATCGAACTCCTGAGGATGGATCCTGCCGTGGTGGGGCAGCATCTGTCCATGTACGAGCACCGGCTTTACTCGAAGATACGTCCCCAGCAGTGCATTGATTGGGGAAGGTCGCGCGACGATGTTGCAGATTTGATTACATTGCGCGCAACTCATCACAAGCTTGGCGCTTGGGTGAAGTCGAGCATCCTCAGTGCAGACTCATCAAAAAAGAGAGCCAACATGGTGGATTTCTGGATTTGCGTTGCAGAGGTCAGTAAATCCCAACTTTCGTTGGTGGACATTACTAAATTTATGAATTTTGCTCAGTCGTGCAAGTTGCTAAACAACGTGTCGAGCGCGAGCACGGTGGTTTCCGTGCTTTCAAGTGATTGCGTTCCTCAGCTGCACCCAACCTGGGCGGATACTTCGCGCAAAGCACGGCTAGACATCCTCTCGACTTTCATCCAGTCTTCAGGTCGCCCTTTGGCTCCGGAGCAAGCTGATGATGTGCCCTGCGTGCCACACATCGAGAGGTACCTCAGAGACATCATACACACCAACGAGCAATACCAGGACTACACCGTCGTCCCAGTGCCCTTCATAAACTCGACCGTCTCGCTGATCAATTTCGCCAAACGGGAAAAGTGGTTCGACATCGTACAGGCGATGTTGTGCCATCAGTCGAAGACTTTTGACTTTCCTGAGGATGCCACCTTCATGGAATTCATTGCTGCGAATTTGGAGACTCCGGCTTAGATCGTCTGGTGTGTCAACCAGCTCGAGAGGCTCAGTATCTTCTTTACTTTGGCGTGTTGATCGCACGGGGGCTCTGTAAGTTATTCGTCTGTACTGGGCGGACTGCAGTCGAGGATGTGAGGACCCATGGACCTTTTGCTGTCACTGGGGTATTTTTTGCGGATCGGCATTTTCTAATATTTCTCCTAATGTTTTACAATTACCTGCATTGTCGTGTCATGTCCTGCAGTCGTCTTCTAGATCTGGCAACAATGAAACATGCAGTCCACATGCCAATGTCCATATGTTAATGAGAATGTGCGGGATGTACGACAGTTAGAATACAGAGAAGGCGCTTGATCATTACCTCTAGCAAGACGGATAAAGAGTAACGCATCACGAAAGGAAGACATCGGGGTTAAACTGAACAAGAGGTGAGCACCGTGTTCACAGAGCCAAGACGGGCACTAGCGGTGCAGCAGGCAGGATGGTTCTTCAGCAATTGCACTGCTCCCCCTGACCCGGCGTGGTATTTGCCTGCCTATTGAGATCGACTCCTGCTCTGCCCGGTGCTCCTGGTCTGGCTCCTCTTGCAGATGGAGCCACTGTCAATGGCAATTTCTTGGCTGTAGTCATGGTTAGGACGCAGAATTATTGAGGTAGGGATAGAGATTCCAACAGACCAATTGCAGTGAATATCTCTGTGACGCCTTCACCGGTCTTCGCACTCGTCTCGCCCCACATCAAGCCCTCTTCCTCGGCGTACTTCTTCGCTTCTTCTTCTGAGACCTGACGTCGCGCAGAAAGATCGGACTTGTTACCGCAGAGAGTGATCACGATAGATGGGTCCGCTTGGCGCTGGAGTTCACGGATCCATGACCGAGCCTTCTCCAGTGATGCTGCCTGTGTGATGTCGTACACTACGACAGCGCAGTTCGCATTGCGATAGTACATTGGTGCCTGAAGAATAATGAATATAGAGGCAATTCACGCAGAATCAGAGTACATACGAGAGACTACGCATCATGGTCAGCACGGGCCTAGAGCACAGGCGTAATCGTCACACACCTTGTATCGTTCTTGACCAGCAGTATCCCTACACACCTTGTTGATAACATTAACGCAGGCTAGATAGAAGGTGACGTACCATATCTCAAATTTGACCGTGGTCTGGTCATCCAACGTTACCGTCTGTGTCAAGAACGCAGCTACAAAATTACCACGTGTTTCAATAGGTGACCTGTGCAAGCAACGCAGACATACCCCCAATAGTGCTCTCCCGGTAATCATCGAACTGGTCCTTCACAAAACGCAGTACCAGACTTGGGCAAAGCGAGTCTTAGCACACCGGCAATAGTGTGAAGCCTGACGCAATACCTTGACTTCCCAACGGCCGACTCTCCTGTCGGTGATGTTAACTTCTTCAAGCAATGTAAGGATGTGCATATGCTACTCACCGAGTAAGACAAGCTTGAACTGATGTTGTTTTGACATAGCACTTGGGATGGAATGGAACTGAGAGCACTGGTGGAGATACGGGTGGCGGAGGCGATGCCGACCCCTCCTAAAAAGGAACATTTCTCACGGTGCCACGCCGATACCAACCGTGAAAATTTGAAACCGCCTGACTTGACTTGTTTCCCTCATCGTCGCCTCGCTGGCATCCTTCCCCTCCTCTGTGTTCGACTTGAGGCCATCAATCACATCACACTGCGTGAAGCCGACGTTCGCCACATCGTCTGAGCTCGCTTTAGCCGTTGGCAGAATATTTGCAGAACCTACTGCGACTGTCTCGCCGATTGTTCAAGCTTAGGTTCAAGGCCACAAGTCGAAGGCGCTAAGAAAATGAATCGACACCATCCATATGGTGGGCCGTATGAGAATCCATCTCCGCGAAGAGGTGGTCCGTCGTTTGGTCCAGACAGATCCCATCGCTTTTCTGAGCGCGGTGGCCCCCGCGGACGAGGTTTTGGCCGTGGGCGGGGTGGTGGAGGCGGAGGTGGTGGAGGAGGCGGAGGAGGAGGCGGAGGCAGCTCCTATGGGGTCTATGACGGAGGTGCTACACCATATGATCAAGGTCCTTCACAAGGCGACATGAATGGTTACAACACGTATGAATCTGGGCCCGCGCAAGATCCCTTCTACCAGAATAGCAACTTCAATTCAGCAACACCGGGGCAATACTCCTCGCCTGATACTTCTGGTCGCTACAATCAAGATTTCGGTGAATTTGAAGGTGCGCTTGAAAATCACGTCGAACTTAAGAGCATGAGTTTCAGGGCCTCAGGATTTGAGGCGAGTCAGGAGTCAGGCGTTGCGTGTTGAGTATCTTTCTATCAAACCTTGAGCCGTCAGTCAGCGCGTATCATCGTGTGAGCTCGAGCTTTGGACAGTTCTCTGCTTCACCCTCTGGGGTTCTTGGAACTGAACTTTGTGACACAACTACCGCCGTCGCTGCATCTAATTATTCGGAGAGATTTTTTCTCCTGTGCTACCTTTGAGCTGAGGCCTTGCTCTATCTCTCCCGTCTGTTTCCAGCGTGCTAAGTTTCTGTTCTCCGATTATTTTTGGCCACGTCGTCCATGTAACAACCGTTCTCACATGTCGATTCACCCCGATAGACGGTTCAGGTCCTTCGTTTGGTCAGGGTAGTTATGGTGGTCGACCACCGAAGCGCATTCACCGTCGTGAAAGGGACGATAAAGTCCACGACTCAATAATCGAAGAGCGGATTCAGCGAGAACGTCCATGTCGTACCTTGTTCATTCGCAACATTAAGGCAAGTTCAACTCTCCGATACCGGACCTCGGGGTCATCCGACGCTCTCTGTGGGTTCATAGAAAGAGCTCAGAGCTGATGAGATGCCCTTCAATCCGTTTTACAGTATGAGACCAACAGCGATGATGTACGTCGTCTGTTTGAGGAGCACGGCGAAATTCGCACATTTTTCGATCTGATTGCAAACCGAGGGATGGTATTTGTTACTTACGTGAGTCAATCGTCCGGCCGGAAATGTGGGTAGGAACTGATGCGATGCGTGTTTGCTAGTTTGATTTGCGCGCCGCGGAACGCGCCAGGGAACGGCTGCAGGGGTCAGAGATTAGTGGGCGTCCAGTGAGTTTGCTCGAGTCTGCAAGCCAGCCAGAATTTGAGAATGAGTTTTCGTTCCAGATCGATGTTCACTATTCATTACCTCGTGACGATCACAGTTCCCGAGGAGACAAGTCCGATAAAAATCAGGTATGCATCTGGGCGATACTCGACTGAATACCAGGCTCAACGTATTCTGCGCCAGCAACTGCAAGGCACACTACTTGTCACGTTAAGGAATTCAGCCACAGGTCAAGCAATTGACGATAACGAAGTTCGGCGAAAGTTCCAACAGTTTGGAGATGTGAAGTCTGTGAAGCCTGCTGGAGATCGAACCGAGTGCGTGCAGCCATTCAGTCTTCGAGTTCTCATCGACCCATGATGACTTTTGTTCCATCAGTCAGCGATACGTTGAATTCTATGATACAAGAGTAAGTGGATATTGAGTGTCTTTGGATGTTTTGTCTCACGTTTTCCTGTAGGCGTGTGAGGAGGCACACGATCGCTTGCGGCACCAGGGTCTCCAGGATGGAGTAATGGATATCGTCTTCGGGTCTGACAGCGATGATCCCCGCGCTGCTTCTCCTCGGTACGCTCATTACCTGCATGCTCTTGACCTATTTTCTGACTCGCTCGGGTCGACAGAGGATACGACCGAGGACGTGACTGGGATGAGCCTCCGGTACGCGGGCGTCGTGGCGGTCGCGGTGGGCGTGGCAGGGGCAGAGGATATGGCAGCGACGACTGGGATCGTCGAAGCGAGTGGGGCAGAGATCGCGATCGTGGACGTTCTTACGAGGACGAATACGGCAGGAACGGACGTGGCAGGGGTTATGATGAATCGTTTGATAGTAGGACTAATTATGGACCTCCTACTGGACCGTCCGGTCCCTCTGGCTATGGCACTCCCCCTGTCCCGCCCCCGTATGCGCAGCAGGCCGCGCCTCCCCCGGTGAGTCTGAACTTGATACTCATGAAAATGATACTGACCTATATTACTAGCCTGTTGACGAACGCCTGGAGCAAGCGAAGAAGGTGCAACAGGTGAGCAATGCGCAAGTCTGTTCCCTTCGCGAATCCTTATTGATGTCCTTCACAGTTATTGGCCGCTCTGAAACAGCCGCAGAGCGGTGCTGGAGCACCCGCTGCTCTGCCGGCGGCCCCGGCACCCCAACCAGCGATGCAGCCACCCCCGATGGCACAGCCAGTAACGAACGCGCCGTCATACTATGCTCCGCCGCCCATGCCAATGCCTCCACCGCAGCACCCTACATATCCCCCGAGCGGCATGCCTGCCCAAGCAGCGAACTCTCCGTACTCAATGCCACCGCAATCATCGACGCCCCAGCCCTCTGCGCCGCCTGCTGGCTCGTTGGCCAACTTCCCATCAAATATTCTTGCGTTGCTGCAACAGAGCGGACAGGCGCCGCCTGCTCAGGCAGCACAGCCCTCGATGCCGCCGCCGCCTCCTGCCTCGTACGGGATGCAATCTGGACCAATGATGGCGTCGCCGCCACCTGGTATGCCTACGGGGCCTTCTGCCTCGCAGCCTTCCTACCAACAACTCATGGCGTACTTGGTGCGTGCAGTTGCTGTTTGTTATGTGAATGGCATCGTGACGATCCAATTGCTCCCCAGTCGCAGAAGCGTACGTGAGGAGTGCCAGTGTAGAAAAGTGAAAGCGTAAGTCAATCTTGGACCTCGAGTGCTTATTGGCCGCAGAAGTAATTAATGTACTTGGTGTACATCGTCGAGCTTGTCTATAGTCTTCGTCATCTATTTCTTTATGTTATGTTATGTACGTTTCGCATAGTTTTCCTGTAGCTTTACCCGGGGTGATCAGGGTCCTGGGAGCTGGATGATCGGCGCGTCCGAGCGCGTCTGGACTGCCACTTCGACTTATTGACATGTTGAACCTCACGAATGTGCGCAATTTGCTCTCGCAGGTGCTCGAGCTGCCAGCGCTGCACACCGCGGTGCTGTTCACCCCGCAGGGCGAGCTCATCTCGTACTCCGCGGACGCGTACACGCCAAAGGACCACGTCCGTGTCGTCGTCGGCCTCGGCGGGGAGGTGTGGCAGGAGACGAAGACGCAGGGGATCGGGATGGTCGCTAGCGAGGTGCGTCTGCGCATATGTGGGAGATGGCGCGAGTTTTGACTGTTTTGTAGGTCGGGCGGATCGTCGTTCTGCCTGTCGGCCTGAAGGAGGAGGGACCGAAGGAAGAGGGGGAGGAGGATGATGATGATCCGTTCATGTTGCTCGCGGTGAACGCTGATGACTCAGTGCCCTGGAGCGAGCTCGAGAGCAAGGTAGTCCGTTATGTTTCAGTTTGTCTTTGCGATGCTAACGCTGACGACAGGCAAGAGAGCTGGTGAGGCATCTCGAGAGACCCATTGGCAGCTTGCGCGAACGTCTGGCTGCATCGCCGGTGCCCCTTGTGAAGCCGCGCCCTGAGCGCGCGACACGGTGAAATTCGACTGAGTCCGGTGCGCTCCCGGAGAAGGTTAGTCATCACCCAGTGGTTATATTTCGCGGTACATCATGTTGACATTAATATTCTCCCTGGATTAGCCCTGCTAGGCTGCACACGTAACCTACTGCACACGAACATCCAGCGCTCGGCCCACGCGGCGTGGTCGGGTGGAGTTATGACGCGTTCGCTGAGCGGGCTCGGTCTCTACAAATACCCTCGCTCTCGAGCAGCAATTATAGCAAGAGCGTAAACCACGTCTCGCGTAGCGAGGTGCTGCTCGGAGTTCCCTGCGCGCCCGACGTATGTTTGCCGAGACGTAGATAGAAGTCATACGAAGTGTGCATCTCGCATGACTTCCTAGTAGCTACTGTAGGTACGGAGCCATAGGTGACATGGAATGTGATGATCCGAGTACTGGCGGTTGAACTCTGCGAACCAGTGAATTTTTTGAGAATTTTCAGTAGCATTAATTGTAGGCTGGGCACGGGGACGTGTCGACTCGCCGCCAACCGTGACGTTGCGCGTCCATCGTTCACTGTTCAGAGACTTTACCTCCGTGACCGCGAGCTCCCCGAGCTTTAGACGATACCTCGCGACGCTGGTAGTTGTGTCCTTGCCTTGGTCATGCGAAAATGTTCTCTCCCCGGAATGCGCGCATCGCTTCCAACCAGCTCCTCTTCACGCACAGTCACACGCCCATCTCGAAAATTCACCGTCCATGCTCAGCAGAAGCGGTCTCTACCCGCAGAACCACAAACGCAGGCCTGCGATGACCGCGTATATTCTAGCCCCCTCCCGCCAAAACCACCAGCGCGCCCCGACCCGTATACCATGCTCTCCTCACAGTTGGAGCACCTGCGCGGAACCCTCCTCAACCTCCTGGGTTCATCTCACCCATCGCTCACAGAAATTGCAAAGTACTACTTCCTCCACCCCTCAAAACAGCTGAGGCCGTTGCTCGTCCTCCTCTTCTCGCAGGCTACGAACGGCCTTGGCGGCAACTGGCATGCCAAGCAGTGGGCAGCAGAGTGCGAGGGCGCCGGTGGGCGCACCGAGGAGCTCGACCGGCCCCTCAACCGCCCGGATGTGCTCAACGACTGGAACCCGAGCATGCCAGACTACACCGCGTCCTTTCAAAACTCTTTCTCGCTGCGCCCACCGCGCCCGCCATCGCAGCCGCCGCTGCCCCCGCCTCCCCCGCGACGCGACGCTTCCCCACTCGCACCCACGCCGTGCCTCCTCCCGACGCAGATGCGCCTCGCGCAGATCGTGGAGATGATACACGTCGCGTCGCTTCTCCACGACGACGTCATCGACCGCTCGCCCCTCCGCCGCGGCGTGCCCTCTGCGCCCGCCGCGTTCGGGAACAAGCTCTCCATCCTCGCGGGCGACTTCCTCCTCGGGCGCACCAGCGCCGCGCTCTCACGTCTCGGGGACAGCGAGGTCGTCGAGCTCATTGCGAGCATCATCGCGAATCTCGTCGAGGGCGAGATCCTGCAGCTCAAGTCCGTGCACGGAGACGAGCTGGGCGTCGCGGAGGCGCCGAGTCTCGGGCGCGATTACCTCAACGTGTACTTGCAGAAAACGTATTTGAAGACGGCGAGTCTGATGGCGAAGGGTGCGCGCGCTGCGGTTGTGCTCGGCGGGTGCGCGGAGGGCGAGGTGTGGAAAGAGGTGGCTTATGCGTATGGCCGCAATCTTGGTATCGCGTTCCAGGTGCGTGCTCTGTGGCTTCGCGCTGTCGTGTTCCGTCTTACCCTGGGTTTCGCAGCTTGTGGATGACATTTTGGACTATGAGGCTGGCGAAGCTACGCTGGGCAAACCGGGCGGGGCAGACTTGCAGCTCGGGCTCGCAACGGGACCGGCTCTGTTCGCGTGGGAGGAGCATCCAGAGATGGGTCCCTTGATCAAGCGCAAGTTCGAGCAAGAGGGGGACGTCGAGCTCGTAAGTGCTATCCAATCCAATCTGAGTGGTGTCTGATCTCCGTCTTGCAGGCAAGAGACCTTGTACGGCGGTCATCCGGGCTGGAGCGGACACGCGACTTGGCACGGAAACACGCTGAGAAGGCGCGAGAGGTGCTGGCGTTGCTGCCGGATAGCGACGCGAAGAGTGCGCTGGAGGAGCTGACGGAGCGGGTGGTGAAACGGACGTGGTGAGGACGATAAGCTACGGTCTCTGATACCTACTACTGTACTGCAGCTGGCGCGCGACTGCAGTATATGCACTTCCGGGCCCAATGGTAGACTTGCTGGTATTAAGCTCTGTTCCACTGGGATTCGGAACTCTAGATCTAAGATAAACCATGCATTGGAGAAGCCCGAGACACCAGGCAGCGGGGCCGAGACCCGACACCGAGGCGACGGGGTTAGATTCTTTCACAAAGATAGTGACCTTAGAAGGAATTGTGAGCGGCTCCAGGTGAGCATACTTCTCCACTGCGACAACATTTTCACGTAGAGAAGGAAATGCAGCTTCCAGGAATTGCTTATCAGACATTCATCCACTGCTCCACCTGCCACCATCATCTCGGCTTACCCCTATTCCCGATATTCAAGAATATTGCTCTCTACTGCTAAAACGACACTGATGACTATCGTAACGTATACAACATGTTTGCGGAAGATGGCTCCATGTCCAGCGTCGACGCACAGCGTCCACTGCTACCCACCTTTTCGCGCGGATGCCCACTAATGGCGGTGGATGCCCTTATGCTGCGGGAAAGTGTTTACAGATGGCAGCTATATGTCCAGCATCGATGCACAATGCTCGCTACTCCCGCCTGCTTCTAAGGCATGCATTTATTGTGTACCTTCCATGTCCAGCGTCGACGCACAGCGTCCGCTGCTACCCGCCTTTTAGTGCGGATGCCCATCGATGGCGGTGGATGCCCACCGATGGTGGATGCCCTCAGACTGCGAGGAAGTGATTACCGATGGCTCTATGACCAGCGTCGCCCGCTGCTCCTGCCTGTGACTGCGGATGCCGACCAATGGTAGTGTTCTACCTGTCACTCACCTTACCCCTATTTGTGTTGTTCATGAATATCGTCCTCTGCTACTCTAACGACACCGTGGACCATCGTGACATGAGAAGTGTGTTTACAGAACACGATGTTATGGTCAGCATTGAGACACAGTGCCCGCACTGCCCGTCCTGTAACGCGAGTACTTTTGCATGCGAGCATTCTCATCCATCGCATTGCTGTTGTCGACCCCTTGTCCGCGAGCCGTCGCGCTACCTGTATACCCCAGCTCGAGATCCAGCAGTGTGCAGCACTTCCATATTATGCTCCATGTGCACATCGTGCATCGGGCATCGTGGTGAGTGGGGTCAAGTATGCACAGTGACTGTGCTGGCATTCTTCACACAACCTGTAATTACTCTTTCAAATCATGACGTGCAGCTCTCACTCTTTGCTACCTGTGAAAGTGTCACACTTGATGTGTGAACATGCAGCTATGTCCCACTTGCTTTTTTGTGTATGGTGCAGAATATCTGGCACATCCACGTACAACATCCTAAGTGTTTCACACAAGGAAGCATACACTTCTTCCACATATAACAACAGCTGGAGAGCCTACTTAGTCTCATGCATCCTTGATGGATTTCGTGGGACAGTGCTCTTGTTGAAGCAGCTCCCTGAGTTCGGGGTTTTTCCCACTGGGTTTTCCCTTGCCCTCAAATCAACTTCGATGCACTGGGAGCTGTGTAGATGAGTACGCATTGATCGGAGCAATTTCTGTCCTGGATGTGTTGTATCCTAGATTTCTGTAGTGTACTGTGCACGGGTACATAGCAGAGATCTAGGTGTGACAACCCGGCGTTCCTGAATGGGACCAATGCCGGTAATCTACCTACCTACCTACCTACCTACCAGATTATTGCTGATTTCAGAAGTCATATTGCATGGCCAAATACATACAGATTTCCACCTCGACAACCTTCAACTTCAAACACTGATATCTCCTCAACAGCTGGGCCATTTCTCTTGATTATTGCATTTTCAGACTGTCCTCATCCGTGTGCAGGGCATGGTACCAAGAACTATACATATTCGGTCCATTCATGCTCACTGCTCTGGTGGTCATCGTGCTATTGCATAAGCAGCAACAGATGGTATAGTAGTGGTGATAAAATTCTCTCCCAATGTATGATGACCAGCATGAGCATACAAAATGTACTATATTCTAATTTCACTTAACTCATTTCATTCAGCACTGTTTATTTTAATTTTTGTGTGTAATGTTAGATTGAATTTAAATTCCATGTAATGCATCAGAAAAGCTTAACTTATATTGACCTTTTACATAAAAGGATGGTTTATCTTGCTCGACATCTTAACATGCTTATTATCTCATCCTGCAGCCCTGCTTATTATCATTTTATCCTGCTTATTGTCTTATTTGCTCATTATCTCACTTTATTCATCATCTTATTTTACTTATTATCTTGTCTCTTATACATGCTCCTCTATACACATTCTTTGCACTAGGGCTGAGGCAATCAACAGGCTCCCTCAGCTTGTCAGTTTTCTCAGAGATCTAAGCACTTATCTTATAATTTTTAAGTTGATGTATAAACATTATATAAAGGTACTTTTAAACTTTAAATAATTTTCTTCACACTTTCGAACTGCAGCAAAAAGCCTGATGATCTGGCTATACTCTTGTATTTTAAACATAACTTTTTCACCATCTTTAACTATAAGAACACTTCAGGGTACCCTTTATCCCTAGCTCTTAGCAACAAGATCTTCTATAGTATGTCATAGCTAAGAGCTTCTTAAGTGTCAGACTGACCATGGTATCTATTATGTCCCAGAGCATTCTGTGAGATTGCTCAGAGCATAGATAGGATATAGGCTGAGCATATGGAATGATTATTATGTGAGATATCCTACTAGGCTAGGACATTAATTGTTTATCCCAGTATTACTGATTGTTCCATGGTGTCAGGGGTACATAAGGATGTCCCACTGTTAGCAGAAGATGTATTTTAGGCTGTTGTATATTTGTTGTTTCATCTTTTCATCTACTGCCATACTATATAAACTGTAATTACATAGTACAGTAAATCAGTGCTTTATTAACACTTTATATAAAAATGGGACATTCCATTTTAAGGACATCTCATTTTAAGGACATCCTAAAATGTGATTTATTTGTATGCTGACAGCTATTCAGGCTATCATTTGTCTGAATATATCTGTTAGACTACTATAATTACCTAAAGACCTATAGTAGTCATTGTATTATTAAGATTGGAGAGTAACAGGTTCTTAGATGGGATATCCCATCCTATAGCATAATGTCCTGGAGTATAAGAAGTCATTGGATGAATGTGTTTGTGAATGCAACTTTACTGCAATCTTAGGCCAAATGTCTTCCTTGCTTTGTTCAGGTACATTCTATAGTAGCAGACCTAAAGTGTCTCTTATTTGCTAGTATATAAGTAGACTGTGTTACACGGCAGCGAAACACAAGCATCAAGTCAAGTCGTCATGAGACAAGGTCTTTTAGTCTAAGACACAAGTCCGTTCAAGAGACACTTCTGGCGATGTCCTCGCACTGAAGGTCGATCAGAGTTCATTCTTATGACTCGTAGTAGCTGTCTGCTACTAACGGTCGATCTCAGTCAAAGGCAAGTGAAAAGCTGGTTTAATAGTAACCAGGTCGAGATGGGGATCCAGCTTGACGAGGTCGTCTACTTATATAAAAGGTATCCGCAGTACTACGCAGTAATACGGGATTGTTCATTGGCTAGATAAGGTGAAACGATGACTGGGCAAGGTAACGGTGAGGAAGTAATATGTATGGAAAAGCTGAGTAAGATCGTGAGAGATAATCAGTACTAATGGGAATAACGAGTCATTTATCAGAACGAGGTAAGGATGAGGCATACATGCACATCTTGCATGTGTGATAAGAAGAAGGTCCGGAGTTGGATCCGGTGTAGCCCTAGACTAGGGGTTCTGGACATCTGGGTAGAGAATCGGAGGTTGTGCTCTGATGAGTCACGTGTTGGATCACGTGGTCTGGTAAAGTAAAGAGAATGAAGAAAGGAAAAAGAAAAGACGTGCCATAACTGAGGAGCGTTGTAACATCAGCTTCCGTCTAACATTTCTTGTCCCACAAGAAATATTGTAGTCTTCATTGTCATCGGGGGCAATCCTGAACATAATGATCACCTCCACATCTGTAGCACGTCCGTCGGCTGGTTCGTGGTCCTCGTTCATGTGTTCATCCATTGCGATAAGGATGACTGTGATGCAAAGAAGTCGATGCAAGTGAGAAGGAGGGTTGTGATAGCGGGGATCGACCCGTAGGTACATGTGAATGAGGAGGGTGAGGTCGAACAGGAATTGGTTCCGGTGATGATCGAGGAGTGGATGCGGGTATTGCATTATTGGTGTATCCGAGAATGTGTCGGACGTCTTCATCTCCATGCTCCCTCCAGATCTCCTGTGCTGTACGAGTGACCGTACTGCGCATTAACGACCAGACTTGGTCAACTCTAGTTCGGGCTCTACTCGTCCTTTTCTCTGCTGCGATAAGCTCTTGTCTGGCCGTCTGCATCCACTCGACCATTTCCAATGCTCGCTGCATAGAAACCATCGCTTGTCGATCTTGCGGGCGATTTTGTAGGGCAACGAGAATGTCTGTGAAGTCGACGGGAACACGGATGGCCGAGACCAGATGTGTGGCAAATTCTTGTTCGTCTGATGTGTGACTGAGTTCGATAGAAGGCGAGGGCGATGAAGTGTGGATAAAGGGTGTCTGTGTTCGAGAGGGTACTCCATTGACAAGCGTAGGTGATGCGGGGGTGCCCATAATCATGGAAGCGACTTCAGCGAGTATATTGTGAACAAGGTCGTCTATAGCAGAAGTGGGCATTGATGATACATTATCTTCTTCTCCTTTTATACCTTTCGGTCATTAAGGGGATCACAGTTATCTGTGATATGAAATAGAATGTCGTGGATGTGGGTGACAATCAAATAGATGAAAATCCATTGGGCGATAAAGAGTATTCCCACGGAGATAAGAACTGCCTGGTCAGTTCCAAGCATCGTTCTGATCACCTCAGCCGTTAGCGTGTGGGTTGTCTCGTGTGAAGAGTGTATGTTCGATGAGTCGTCTGATAAGGATTCTGTGGGTGATCCAAAGGAAAGCAAGGGTTGTGCAGTGGAGGACGATTAGGAAGATAATGAGGAAGGCCGTCGTGATAGTCATTCCAGTTTCCTCGTCCTCTACTTGATTCTCCTGGTCCTTTTATATGCGTCGAGGGTTTGCTTTGCATTCTGTAAATTGTGGGCAGGTTCCCACGAGTTTTCTGCTGACGAATATCCCTTCCACTTGACTAAGTACCTCAGGTGACCTCGGTATGTCTTATGATTCAGGATGGCTTCGACTTCGTACTCTTCTTCGTTATCGATGACATCAGGTGGTGGGTTCACATAATTCGGACCATGTATGTCATTTTCGCGATAAGGAGATAGAAGGGCGGCATGGAATATGGAATGAACTCGCCAGGTTTTCGGGAGTCTGAGATGATAGTTGGCTGGTCCAATGACTTCAACGATTTCGAATGGCCCCTCACACTTTGGAACTATCTTGCGTGAGGCGTAGTTGACCTTCAGGTTCCTCGAGTCTAGCCAGACCTTCTGTCCAAGTGTAAACTTCGGTGATCCTTGTCTGACTCGGTCCACCATCTGTTGTCGGGCTAACTCGTGCATGGCTAGTGCCTCTAGTCTTATCTTCTGCAACATGTCAAGCCTGGATTCAACCGATAGAATGTTCGTGGTTGGGAATACGGAAGCGAGTCCACGTGGTTTGTATCCCATCATGATGCGGAATGGGCTCATCTTCCATGCCGAGTGTTCCCTCATGTTATGACAAAACTCGAGGTCTGGCAGGCGATCGGCCCATGTTTCAGGGTTATTTCCGCAATAGAGTCGAAGATAGATTTCCAGCTCCTGGTTGACTCATTCTGTTTCTCCGTCCATCTGAGGGTGATAAGCTGTGCTCATCGATGATCTAATCTGGAGTAGTTGATTTAACTCTTGGAATACCTTGGATGTGTATTGAGGTCCTCTATCCGAGATGATTCGGTCAGGTAATCCGAATCACGAGTAAACTTTGTTGTGAAAAATCTTGGCCGTCCCTTCAGCTGTGATCATTTTGAGGCAGGGTGTAAGAATCACCCCCTTCGTAAGGTCATGGTCTACTACGACCATAATTAAATCAAAGCCGTTGGAAGCGGGGAGGTTGGTGATAAAATCTGTGGTGCAACAGAAAAATGGTACTGCGTGTGGGTCTGCGGAGATTGGTTCCAAAGGAATACGAGTTGGGTGAGTATTCAGTTTCATCTGTTGACAGGCGGCACAGCCTTCGATGTAATTGTTGACAAATGCATACATGCCGGGCCACCAAAATTCACGACGTAGGAGTTCAAGAGTATTGAACTTTCCAGGGTGGCCCATGTCGGAAAACTCTTAGCGCCCATATAGTGTCATGATTTTGTCACAATTTCATTGAATATCCTTGAGTTACAAATTTCGTTGCCTTTTAAGGCCATTATAAGGTTTTGTCCCGAAGAAAAATGCCCAAAAATGGTTTAAATGGTACTCAATGAAATTGTGATGCATTGTGACTGTCACTTTTTGGTCACATTGCCATCAAGTACCATTTAAACCATTTTTGGGCATTTTTCTTCGTGACAAAACCTTATAATGGCCTTAAAAGGCAATGAAATTTGTAACTCAAGGATATTCAATGAAATTGTGACAAAACCGTGACACTATATGGGCGCTAAGAGTTTTCCGACACATGGCAGGGGAGTCGTGATGTAGTCAAACGAGGTCACGATGAAGAGGTTTGGATGGTGAAACATAAATCTTTCCCTTGTAAAGGATGACACCATCGCGAACTTCCCAGTCAGAGAGCGAGGATTTTATTGGGAATGGCCCTTTGTGCGCGATCACTTCAAGGGCTTCATGAACAATGAGGTCCTTTGCTGCGTGATTTCTGATTTCGTCAAATAGCATCGGGGAAATGGATCACACAAACAGTGCATCAGGTAAAAGGATGTGATCTTCGTTGTCACTTTCACTGTCATCGAGTCCGTTATGACGAGATAGCGCATCAGATTGGATCATCTGAGTGCCAGGGACATGGATGAGGTGAAGATCGAATTATGATAATTTGAGACTCCATCGTGCTTGTCGGTGGTTTAACTTCTGGGCTGTATGGAAGTACGTGAGGTTCTTGTGATCACTGCGAACTTCGACGGGATGAGGAGAGCCTTCTAGATAATTGCGCCATTCGGTAAGGGCTCGAATGATTCCAAGAAGTTCGCAGTAGAATTCGTAGTTTCATTCAGCTGGATTGAGCGTCTGTGAAATGTAGGCACAAGGATGGAGTTCTTCATTGATATCGGCTTGTCGTAAAACTGCACCCGTAGCAAACTTGGAAGCGTCAGATTCGACAATAAAGAGTTTTGCTTTGTCGGGCAGCAACAACACTGGGGCAGTACTGAATCATTGTTTCAATGCACCAAAAGCTGTCTGACATTCTGTTGTCCATTCAAAAGGTGGAGATCCAGCAGCAGTGCACATAAGGTTCGTCAATGGTTTGGCAATATCCGAGAAGTTGGCAATGAATTTCCGATAGAAGTTTCCAAACCTGAGGCAAGAGCGAACACCTTTTACCATGCTTGGTTCAGGCCATTCTGCAATTTCTTTGAGTTTGATAGGGTCCATGCCGATGTAGTTTTCTCGAATAATCATGCCTAGGAATTCGACTTCCTTAATGTCAAAGAAACACTTTTTCGGTTTAAGGAATAGGTCGTTGTCTTTGAGTCATTGGAGTACGCATCGGGTTCGAATGTGATGTTCTTCCAAATTGTTCGAGAAGATGAGGATATCATCCATGTAAATGACTATTCATCCTTCATCGATCATGTCCTCGAAGAGTGCATTCATCATCATTTGGAAAGTCGCCAGGGAGTTGCAGAGTCCAACGAACATGACCATAGGTTCGAAAAGTCCGTGGTTTGTCTTAAATGCACCCTTCCACTGGTCACCATCTTTGACTCTGACGTTGTTATATCCAGAGCGTAAATCCATTTTCGTGAAAATCGATGCACCCTTGAGTTAATCCATGAGTTCAGAAATGAGCGGGAGGGGATAGGCATTCTTCACCATCCCTACATTCAGGTATCGGTAATCCTGACAGGGGCATAGTGCTCCATCTTTCTTTCCAATGAAGAAGAATGGTGAGGCCATGGGTGATTTCGACGGTCGAATGTATCCCTTTCACAGATTTTCTTCCAAGAAGTCATCCATCGCTCCTTGTTCCTTGAGTGATAACGGGTAGACTTTACAGTCGCATGGAATAAAATCGGGTTTCAAGTCAATGGCGTGGTCCCAAGGCCTAGTTTTTGGGAAGTGTTTGGCTGCTTTCTTCTCAAAGACTGACTTCAAATCGTGGAGGTAGTTGGGGACCAACTCCTCGATGGTTTTGGGTTTGCCTGCAGCTGATGCTTCCTTGTGTGCCTGTTGTGCCAATTCTTGTGATTTCTCGGATGGTTTATAAAAAACCATATTCTGTGCATTACAGAATAATGGAGATCGAGTATTGTGTGTCATTCTTCCAATGGTGGGGCCTCTTCGTATAGTGAAGACTGCAGTTTCAGTCTCTTCATTCGTTAAAGGTGATTCCTTCCTGATGGGTTCAAATATCCCAATAATTGGTTCTCCCGCGATATAGGAGATAACTAGATCGTCATCATCAAGCTGATCCATAGAAGGTTCTAATGGTGGGTCGTCTTGTTCAGTACCATTCTGCACTGTGGGTAACTCGCCACGCTCAGTGTTATCGGTCATGATTTCTCTGATAGATTCTGAATGTCCAGATAAGGTAGGAAAAGTTTCAGTGGTGATTAACTCTGAGGGTTCATCTTCCTTGAAAATTGAAACTTCTTCGTCTGGTACATCTTCGACAGTGGGTTTCAGTGGCCATTTGGCGTCTTTGCCAAACCAAAAGTCACCAGTTTCCCAATTGATCATCGGATTAAGGCGTTTAAGCCATGGCATGCTGAGAAGTATATTCTCTTTGCCAATGCCGGTCAAGAGAAAGCGAGTAAGTGTCTTCCTTCCCCCAATCTTCATCATCTTCCAGGTACAGTGAGTAATGGTACCCATCTGATTTGGTGTGCCGTCCACATTTACGACTTTAATCGGTTTCAGTAATTCCCATTTGATGAAATCATTTTCTTCCACAAAGCGAATATGCATGAACATTTCGGCCGCACTGGAATCAATCAAGGCTTCTGTTGTAATGTCTTCCTTCTCTCCCAACGAAATATTCACAGTGATTGAATTTCCGCTAGTGTTACAAATAATGAGGGGAGATAATGGTAAAATGTGATGGTCCATGCGTTACTAATGGCCATCGTTTCAAAAACCCAACTGAGTTCGTTCTTCATCAGTCATGTTGTTGAAGATGTTTCGCACATAGGCGATCTGTTCCTCTCTGGTTTCTTCCTTCAGCATCTCCTTCTTCTGTGCAAGGTCTTCTCGCATCTTCTTGATCCATGTAATCGTATCGGTGTCCAACCCAGGCTGTATCGTTCTAGCATGGGTGAAACTTCCAGACTGGAAGTGGAATTGTCTGTCGTTGGCCATATGGCCCTTCTTTCCGCATAGGAAACATAATCCTTCTTTCATTCTCTTCTGTTGCTCCTCTGGGGATAAGCACGAGATATTGATACGATCAGCATCCATTGCATTCGGATCCTTCGTAGAAGTCGAGTAGTAGGGACGATGGGTAGATCGGCTTTTTCCTCGTGTCATCGTAGTGGCTCCTCGCTTGAAGATCTGAGCAGATCTCCATTGGTTGTCAAACTGTGAGGTGTATTCGTACCACTTGTCAAGTGTCTTGGGCATGCTCTCCATCCCATATATCCTTTGTCGGAGTGGGTCGTTAAGTCCCCACTTGAAATACTCGATATTTCTGGCATCTTCTAATTTCGCCTTGGATTCAAGTGATCGGAATTCGGCAATGTAGTCGTCCGTGGTATGAGTCCCTTGCTTGATGTTACGCAGCAAGGTACGAGCAGTTTCTTCAATATTTTCATCGCCAAATGCTTTGTTCATATTCACAATGAACTCTCTCCAACTTCCATAAGAAAGAAAGTCGTCATTGGTGAGTTCCGTTTCTATGAAGCTCTGCGCCTATGATCCTGCTGTTCCTCCTTGCATGTGCGATAGCACGAATGCAATCTTCTGATTGTCCTCCTGGTAGACATGGCTATTTCCAGCCATGTAATTCTTGCATTGGTTTATAAATTCCCTAAGCTTCGAACGGTCTGAACTGTTGAAGATCTCAGGTTTTCTAAAACCAAGTTCCTTCTGGCTGACATGGTGGTGACCTTCATCCATGGTAACTGTAGCCATTGGTGGTATGTAATCGGGTACGATTGGTGCAAGAGTCGGTTGGGGTATAGGATTCTGGACAGGGGGGTTCCAAGGGGCGTCTGGTCTCTCTCCTGGATAGGAGGTCATTATACTGCTGTCTGCGATATGCTGGAGTACTATCCCACCAAGATTATGGGGGAGTGTTCTTTCGAATTCCTCTGGGGAGTAGTCGAAGTTATGGTTGTCTGGCCTGATGAATACGGGCCTTCCTCCTATAAAATGTGCATTTCATTCTGTGCTCCACTCTGCTTGGGATGTGAGGTGCTCGCGGTACTGCTCTGGAAGAGCAGTCGGGTTGATGTAATTCAAAGCCAGCATGGATAAAGTCTTCTGTGTGGCCTATGTCTACACGTAGACTGCACACCATCCTCAACTAAGTGGGTTCGTTCGTCGTCGGCTAACAAGCCCGTAGAGTGTCTTCTGTCTTCAAACTGATATACCTATTTCCTAATTGCTCGAGTGATTACCTCAGCCTCCTCGGCCTATTGGTCTCTCGGACAGACCCCTCTCCAAGGATGAGTGATCAGTCTATCCCTTCAGCTGCCTCGATTACAAAGTAATCTCAAACGGTGCTTTAGCAATTGAATCCAGGTGTATCGTTCAGTCTTCAAGGTTCGGTCCGGTCGGTAGTTCATTGTTAGACTTTGGGAAGTCACAGAGAGTAATAAGATCTCAACCTAATGTTACGCGGCAGCGAAACACGAGCGTCAAGTCGAGTCGTCGAGTCGTCACGAGACAAGGTCTTAGTCTAAGACATAAGTCCGTTCAAGAGACACTTCTGGCAATGTCCTCGCACTGAAGGTTGATCAGGGTTCGTTCTTATGACTCGTAGTCACTGTCTGCTACTAACGGTCGATCTCAGCCAAAGGCAAGTGAAAAGCTGGTTTAATGGTAACCAGGTCGAGATGGGGATCCAGCTTGACGAGGTCGTCTACTTATACAAAAGGTATCCGCAGTACTACGCAGTAATACAGGATTGTTCATTGGCTAGATAAGGTGAAACGATGTCTGGGCAAGGTAACAGTGAGGAAGTAATATGTATGGAAAAGCTGAGTAAGATCATGAGAGATAATCAGTATCAATGGGGATAATGAGTCATGTATCAGAATGAGGTAAAGATGAGGCATACATGCACGTCTTGCATGTGTGATAGGAAGAAGGTCTGGAGTTGGATCTGGTGTAACCCTAGACTAGGGGTTCTGGGCATCTGGGTAGAGAATCGGAGGTTGTGCTCTGATGAGTCATGTGTTGGATCACGTGGTTTTGTAAAGTAAAGGAAACGAAGAAAGGAAAAAGAAAAGATGTGCCATAACTGAGGAGTGTTGTAACAGTTTGCCGCCTTTGTGCATTTGAGCTGCTCAAGGTGATAATTGCCTGCACTTTGCAAAGCTTTGTGGTTCTCCGAGAAGATATGACTGTGATTGATGGGTTAAGTAACTTCGCACTTGAGAATGGAGCAAGATGAACCAGTTCCACCATCTGAGAAGCTCCTGTGCTTCCTTGCAAAATTTTGGGTCTGCAAAAAAGGCACAGATATTGCAATAAAACTCAATGCAGCGGTGATCCTTGCTGAATTTATTGAAGACAGTTGCAGAGCAGAGCACAAACATGAGCTGCAGATGGGGGATCAATTATTAAATGAATTTGAGTTTGTGATGGAGCGCTCACCTGACAGGCCACATAAGCGATTGATTGTGGAGTCACAGTCATCATTCCATTCATCTCAGCATTGCCAGAACAGGTGGATCAATTTGATGATTCTGGGTCGACATTCTCACTGTGTGCATCCTCGTCATCCTCAGAATAGGCCAGGGATGGGCTCAAAAATACGTGTATAAATGCCTGTAAAAGCTTCTCATTTGAATGGCCATAGCAGAGTAGAGCAACAATGACATGTACTTGAACGAGCAAGGGTCCATGCAACATTCCAACCCAAGGCAGGTCAAGGTTGTAAGTGCCCGAATACATAAAGACAGGCCAGTCGGTACCATCTATGGGATGCCTGTCGATCATGACGGTGTGCTCCTTAAATGCCTGCTGAACTCTGGCCAGTATCCAATGGTCTCATCAATAGCATTCAAGAGCAGATGGTGGAAGACTACTTGGGTGGGCATGCATAAAAGCATTTTTCCTCCTTGGAGGGTTATCAGATGTAAGCCCCACCATCAAGCAGACCTTGGATGCGCTGCCCAAGCTGCAGTCACACACTTATGTCATATGTTTACTCCAAAAAAAAGAGTAGTGGGAGAAGGGGAGGTGACTACAGGATAGCCATCAGGCACAGGCAAGGGGCAGGTAATTCTAAAAGTTTCGACATCAGCTACCCAAAAGTTCAGCCAGGACCCTGGAACCAGTTTCAAATACTTGAATACTCAATATAGGAGTGAGCCTCCCACCCAAAGTCAGACTTTGTAACATCCTACTGTCATGTATGCTCATCCACTTGACCAATGTCTAATACTGGTCTCAACTTGAGATAAACTGTTTAATCAAAGCAATTGGGACTCCTGATAAGGCCTGAATCACTTGCACAATGCCTCTGCAGGGCCATGCTGAGGCTCAACTTGACAGACAGACTCATGCAGTAAGAAAAACATTAGTTGTGTGTGTGAAATAGTACATCATATCAATCTACCCTCATATAAAAACATATCCACCAAAGGAAGACAGCCTTGAGTGAGAGAAACAGTATCGAGAGGCAGGGAAGTGTACAAGTGCTCAATTTGTCTCTGAGCTCGGGCAAGCCTCAGCCTGCGAAGAGTAAAGATGCCGTAGTTAGGTTCTGAACCACAAGAATCGGTTCTGAACTCCGGACCTGACCGTGGTCCAGTCCACCATTGGTCAGGTTCGGGATGGTTCACAGCAGGTCAGGTTCAGGTTCATGAGATTCAAGGGTCACCCGGACCATGTGTGAACCTGGTCAAACCATGACCGAACCATGAACCAATGTTATTTCTCCTGTAGAAGTATCTCCATCTATAGCTGTCTCTGTGGCTGTCAATTTCTCAGGGCTTCAATTTATTATGGTACTATCAAGTTATTAAAAGCCTCTGTAATACGAGTTTCTGCAGAACTACCTCTGAGTTCATAAGTCTCTGGCCAACCCTCCTGGTGATGAATTCAGATACCCCTGCATTGAATGCTGATGGATCACTGAAGAGCGCAAAAGATATGGAATTGGATCACTCACCATCTTCATCTGTAGCAGCTCTTCCTCGTCCACCTGACCTGCTATCTGTTCGACCTATCACCTTTATTGAGGTACAGCCAGGTGAATCATCATCGAAGGGTAAAAAAAGGTCTGGACTTGACAATATTAATGATATTTCCACGAAGAAGAAGCCACACATCACAACATCTGTCCAAACCCGGAAGGTTGCACCCAAGGTCAAGGCAACACTGAGGCCTGCAACAGAACACCTTCTCCTGCCTCAACCATCTGCGGCAGCAAGTGAGACTATCCTCGGAACCCCACAAGCACCAGCAAATGCATCGACATCCACTGCCACTGAAAGTTCGGCACTCAATGTCAATGAAATAGTCGCAGTGGCCAAGAAAGCACACAAGAAAGGTAATGTGGTGGCCGATATCTCGACAATATGCACCCTTGTACCACGAGACGATGGAAGCAAGCAGTGAGATGTAATATCTGCATGTGAGTGATGTTTGGATATGATCAATTTTGAACTCACATGTGACAACACTCCAGTGCATTGAAGAAGAGCAATCATGTCAAGTTTGGGAAGCTACAAACAATGTTCAAGGGTAATCACTCTACCATGCGCACTCACATTGCACGTCAAGGGATGAGCCATTACAATGTATATCAAGAGCGGTGAGTCGAGAGAGGTATTGAATTAAACAAAAGAGCCATGCCGCAGGAAGAAGAGGAACGACTTGCTAGTGGGGACCAAACTCTGAGTGGAGAGCCTGTGGATTCTGATATATAGTTGTTCGTGGCCACGTAAAGATGTCTGCATCTAAAAGTAATAAATAGGAACTTACAGACAGAGCTCAATACTGCAATATGCTGAAGTGAAGGAGAAGTCAGTGAAGTGGTCCAAGGAAGGTCTCGAGGAGAATATTCTCCAGTTTGTGGTGGAGACAGATCAGGTGAGAATGACGGTGCATTTCAATGACTTGCAATGAAGACTAACTGAAGTCTCAAAGGCGCTAAACATCACTGAGCATGCGTCATTCCGAGGGTTGCTTCAATATCAGCACCGAAAGTCTACAGACAAGGACATACCGAAGCACACATATGTCACCACACGCATCATTGGCCATGCAGCTGAAATCCAGAAAGAGCTTGCCAAGAAACTTCAGGATGCACCCGGGCGAGTGTCACTGACATTTGATGGATGGACATCTGCAATCATGCGTGCCTACCTTGCGGTGATAGTCCATTACATAACAGATGACTGGAAGCTATGGACTGAGTTACTCGCATTCTCGGAACTTGAGGGTAGCCACAGCGGTGAAAATACAGGCTTAGTCCTATATCAAATATGCTCAAGGTATGGTATACTTGATAAGGTTCATCAGTTATCTGCCATACTCCCAATGGCATGCTCAGCCATTGATACTGATTTCTCGACTCGGACACTGTACGTTACAGCTGCAGAACCTGACATCTGATAATGTCACAGTGAACAACAAGGGTATGTGTACACTAGAGGTGCAACTCAAGAACGACAAGATTGCATTTGATGCCAAGGAGCAACGATCTCAGTAAGTCATTAGGATGGTCGAGATGTTGACACGTACTAACTAATAGCTGTACAGTTGTTTCTCACATGCTGTAAACCTTGGTGAGGGAGCATTCCTTTGTGTGCTGTCACCGAAAACCAAAGAGAAGAATTCATGGACTGGCTAGGAAGAGGACGTCCCAATTCTTGCACCGCCTGCTGATGCTACAGATGGTGAAGTTGTTGCAGATGAAGACGAGACCAAAGATGATGTTGAGGTCCTAGTGAAGGAGGTTGAAGCCACGATTGCAGCACTTCCCCCAAATCTGAAGGGTTCCACGACAATTGCAGCACTTCTACTCAGCCTCATCATTAAGGTGCGCTCGTTTAGCCTTCACAAACTCTTATTCAATTCATAAAAGTGAATCTGTAAGGTTCACCGGTCACTGCAAGTAAAGGTGTTCTTCAAGAAGTGCTGTATTAGGGCTGAATGTCCGACTTTGGAGCTATTGCCATATTGCAAGACACAGTGAGGATCATGGCATGAGGTACTATGCCGAGTTTTACTAGTCAAAAAGGTATTTCGGTCTGCTGTCTGAATATCATTTACTTGCTAACTTGTGCAAAAGGCTGTGATCTCATTTGTTAGTCTCGCTGATGACTCTGATGAAGTGCCGAATGTCGACAAGGACCAGCGAGGCTATAGCTACTACAGGCTGTTAAGTGAGGACTGGAATCATGTCCAGTTGATCACCGAAGTCCTTCATGTGAGTTTATTCTCATATCCTCTCATTCACCTTTGACTCTTGGGTCTCCAGGCTGCCTCACTGGTTCAAGAGCTGTTCTCATCGGAGACAGTCCCATGTGTATGGCGCATTCTCTCAGGCTATGAGAAGTTTATTGTGACATGGCAAGAAATGGCCAAGCGTGCAGACATGTATGCCCTCAAGGAGGCTATTCTCATTGGTGTTATAACACTTGAGAAGTACTACAACAAAACGGATAATTCCTCGGCACATATTGTGAAGCTGTGTGAGTTTTAATCCACGGTTGTGCCAGTGTACGACTCAAACACTACCAGATCTCAATCCATGTATCAAGAATGAGTATTTCATTGCTTTCTGGGATAGCGACGGTCAAGTGCATGCCCAGACAGTGATGGAAGCAGTTGTAAGTATAACATCACTATTATTTGCTTTTCCTGGCCAGTGCACTGACATCTCCCATGAAGTTTGATAAATATAGTGTGAAGCATGTCTCATTGAATCGATCCTCAGCATCTCAGGGGACAATTGTCGTACCAGTACCTGCTAGCCGTAGCTATGGTAGCTCATGGCTTGCAACAGCGACAGCAGGCAGACGGGCGCATGAGAAGGACATGGTTCGAGATCCCCGTGCAGAGCTAAAACAGTATCTGGATGAGGACCTACTCTCCTTAGAGGGTGGGAACCTCACCGGGATTCCCCAGTGGTGGAAGGTATGTCCCCTTTCCACTGTTGCTTCGGCCTTCGCTTATTCTCCTTTTCTACAGGTTAACGGCACTCATTTTCCGATCCTCAGCTCCATGGCATGGGATTACCTTGCAATCCAGGGTTCTTCAGTGCCTTGTGAACAGGTGTTTTCGGATGTAGGACTCACTGATACAAAGTGTTGCAGCAGGATGATACCTCCGACGTTTGAAGTCATTCAAACATACAAGGGAAGGTACAAGCATGCAAGAAGGTGGGAGGCAATGTTGGCGGCGGTGCGATGTGCAGCAGAGAAAAGGCGGTTAACAGATGACTCGTGTGCGCAGGTTGCTGCGCAAAAAGTGAAGTGTATTACTAGTTAATGGGACAGGAGTTGCGAACTACTACCTTAGCTTCCATGTTGGGTTATAATCATGGTTCGAACCAGGTTCGGACATGGACCGGACCACTTCGAACCTGAACCTGGCTGAACCCAAGTTCGGGTTCAGGTTCAAGTCCATACAAATTCTGGCTGAACCGGACTTGGACCGGACAACGGCATCTTTAGTGAAGAGTGCCCATCCATCACATGATCTTGCCATTCCTGTCTGATTCGAAGACAAGGATCAGCTTCTACACTTCCTCTGAAATGATTTTTTCACACAAAAAATAGAGGGATGCTCTTGTGATGCATGAAGAAACTACACTGCCAACTCAAACTACGGAAAATTGAGGTGTGCCAAAAAGTTCATCGGAAAGTTCAGAGTAGGACACCGAACCGCCAAAAAGTATTGAATACGGGGGGAGTTAATGTCGATGATCAAAGTTCCGCGTGCCCCTTGGGCGCAGGAGAGGCGGTTTTCTACACCGAAAGTCACAGACGTTACGCTGTGCTGGCTGCAGTGGTTTTTTCGATGTCCGACGTTAGTGCTCGGCAGCCTCCGAGGCGGAGGAACGGCACAGTATGAACGTCACGCTTGCGAGACTACATCTGTATTGCGTGTCCGGAGGTTAGTGTTGCATGTAAAACTGTCATGTTTAAAACATGTATGTTTTAAACGTGTTTTTAACACGTTAAAAACATGTTAAAAACATAAGGCCAAAATGCCTATGTCAATAAGTCCGGCGCCAATGGTCACATCGCGTCGGATTTCCCCATAGCGTACTCGGCCACGGCGTGCGGGGGTTGCTCACAAGGCCTCATTTGAGGTCAGATGCTCTAGTTATAGACTACAACTTGACAGCCACTAACAGTTCTCCTTCAGATTTCATGTCCTTTTGGTCGAGCAGGGCGTAAGAGAACAGGTAACAGGTCTTCAGATGTAGGCTGACAGTTCCACTGGTAGGATACGGGGTCATCGAGTAGTAGAGTAGGAATATCATACGTACGGGCCCTCCGATCTCTTCTGCAGCCTCCAGAACAGACGCAAAAATGGAGAAATCTACAGTTTTTAGTACGCGAAAATAGGTCATGTGACCACATGTTTTAAACGTTAAAAACATGGTGTCAAATACCTCTGGGACCTAACATGTTATAAACCTAACGTTAATAACCTGCCTTGAGTTTCTTACGCAACACTACCGGAGGTCCGCCTGCACTAGCCTCTAAACACGAAGCACGGGTTGACTGGATCCCGTAGCTGCACCGGTGCTACACCTACCTCAAGAAGGTCCCTCAAGAGAATCTCCCGCGTACGGATACTCTCGTTTGATCTCGGAAACCAAGGAGCTAGTATGGCAAAGCACACCACCTCCTGCGACACCTTCCTTCCCTCAAAGTGCATTCCCGCTTCAGCCCGCATGTCCCCAGCAGCGGCGCACCCATCTCCGCCGGAGCCGAAGCGCAGAAAACTGTCACACTCAATGCCAGACACGTCCGTGTCTACGTCGAATAGCAGCAAACGCCGCGTGAACCCCGAGAGCCTCGCGACACGCCTTGGCCCGGAGCTCGTCAGGGAGCTCGACGCGCTGCTCCGCCCCGGGATGTCGGAGATGCCACCCTTCGCGGTGCGCCAGGCGATACAGGCCAAGTTCGGCGCCAACAGGCGGCACATCTACGACTGGTTCCACAGCAAGGGCCTCCGCGTGACCAAGGAGGAGAATCGTAGGGTGCCCCAAGACAGCTGCCCGCGCGCGCCGGTGCGTATTGGGGTCCATATATGCGCGCGATTTTGGTCACTGACGGTGGTACGGATGCCGGTGCACAGAGGGCGATCAGGCAGGGCCCGTTGGCCGACTTGGCGCGGTCTACACCGTCGACGCCCAACAGCTGGAGTGATGACCCCACAGACAGCAACCGGTCTACTCCCAGCTTGCTTCTCACCCCTCCGAGCGGCGTACCCTGCGTATTTGGTCAGGCAAAGCAACGATGGTTCACCGGTAACTGCGACGACTCACTGTATGAGTTCTCTTCCGACAAATACGACATGCGCGCTACTATGGTTCCTGTCACTTCCCTAGACGGTGTTCCCTCATCACCTTGCGTTGTCTCTGGCTCTTCTGAAGACGTCTCTGCTCATGCCAAGCAGCTGTTCGATCAGGTTGCCGAACTGCACAAACTTCAAGAGATCCGCAAGTCTGCTTGTCTGTCTCCGGTGCTACAGAACGAGAAGCTCAGTTTCCTGCAGCCTCTGGCCGACGGCGGTTGTCTATCTCAGCCTGAACGGGAAGCATACTATGAGTGTCTGTCTGGTGTCCTCGGCCCTGCGTGCGGCGTACAGGAGTCGGTAGGGACGTACAAAGCTTTCATGACGAGACAAGAGCAGATCTATTACGAACGGCTCCTCCCTGGACATAGTGTCTTCCCATTAACGCAACCGCAATGGGTAAATGGCAATAACTTCATGTCTACTAGTGCTCCTCGTGCAAGTCGATCCTTGGCTAGTGCTACCCTGGCTCGAGAGAGCCCTCTCGTTCCTCAGCTCAACTCTGACAACGTAGGTTGTCCTCCTGCGTCCCTGTTTGTGACGGACAGCGGAAGCACGGACTTCAGCAAATGGGTCCTTCACGGTGGGCGTTCCCACCCTACGAGCGCCGTATCCTCTCCTACGCACACGCCGACGCTGGCGTACAATATCAGCACGGAATCTGACATCTCGAGCTTTTGGGCCTCCGGAGCAGGTGACGTGCCAGAACTTGATACTGCGCTCGACATCGCGGACATTCTGGAGAGCCCTGTGCTGCGGTCGCCGAATTCAAGCCATGTACCCGAGCGACCTATGCGTGAACGTGCAGGCTTCCATAGCTTCCATGTCGCCTTGACAGAGCTCCCGCTGCAGTCGGTCCTTACGCCACACTCATTCGCCAACTTCCATGGAAACGGGTTCTCACTCCCGCTGCAGAAGCCCAAAGCGGTGCGCGGGCTGGAGAACACGGTCAAGACCAAGACCAAGGAAAAGGCAAAACAGAAGAGCCGGGTGGGAAGGACGCGCACGCACTCTGCCGTGGGCAGGATGTGAGCGGGCGTGTCAGTGTGTTTTCTTGTTATCTCCGTCAGATTGCCTTTCTGTCGGCGCTGACGTGTTGACGGCATCTGTGTGTTCTGCAGACATCACTATAGCTATGCCCCGAGCTTCGTTTGAACTGTTGTTTGCATCTGTCACGCCTCATCTCTCGATACTCTTATGTGTAAGTCCCTTGTATTCTTTCATGTTGGCTCTTGTGGGCTCATTCTATTTCGGTTAGTCGGTTAATTTCCGCGTGCGTTCTGTTCGCTCCTTGTGTCTGCTTTTGTGTGCTGAATTCGTTCTAGTGCATTTTCCAGGCGATACTAGATACAGGATTTTCCATTCCACCCTCTGCTGTGTTCTCTCGTCAGCGCCTTCTCGTCTAGATCTCCATCATTCTCCTTCTCCATGGCTTTGTGTTTGATCTTCCACTCTCGCTCTTGTTCTTCGCATCTTGCGACTGTCTGTTGGGTGCCTGCCCTGCGTCCATCAATTGCCGCCCGAAGTCAGATCTCTCGGAGGTCTCCAGCTCGGGGTTCGCCGTCGTCGTGGTTGTTCTCCTCCGGCGCAGCACCGTCCATCCATCCATCCATTCATCCATTCATCATTAGCGTACATCCTTCGTCGTCCGAAATTAATTCTTTGTACATATTGCCCCCGAGTCGTCTGAATGTACGTTCTTCGGGTATCGATATGAAGCGTATACGTGTGAGCTGCGTACGTCTATGATCCGGCTGTGGTCCGCTCTGGCTTTGGCTTCCGAAGGATCTGTTGAGTGTTGAATCCCAGTCAAAATCGACACGAGGCGCTAAGAGAGAGAACGAGAGACACAGATACTGGCAGTGGCCAGCGAGACAACAGCGAGACGCCTCTCGACGCTGCGTGCACGTGAGACCTCTCGTGCCTGCCGCAAGCGCGTCGCGTCTGCGTCTGTCTCCGTTTCTCGATATCTGCAATACCGCCCCGGCCGATTGTTGCTCCTTGCTATATTCGACTCTAATTATACTATTCTAAATATTTCTCTCTGAATCTCTGTCATCTGTACATTATTTGCGAGGAATACAAGTTGTCTGCTCCTTGCTATGTCTGGCCGTCCGAAAATTCCGTGTCCTTGTCCCAAATGCAACGGCAAGCCCGTTTCTCCAGCTACCTACCGCCGCCACTGTAAGGTCGAACACTCCACGATATTTCAGAACCACATAGCTGCTTGTGCGAAGTCTGGATCACAGCTCGCGGTTTCTGTATCCACGGGAGGACTAAGAGTAGCAGGCAAGACCAGTGGAGTGAAGCATAGACTTATGCTCGTTGAATCGGAGGTGCGAATACACCAGCTTCCTATTGAGACCCATATTCATACTGGATATGCAGCCAGGACACCAGCAGGCCAGCAATGCTGTTCAGGAAACCGGGAATGATGTTCTTCGAGCAGGCATGTACGACAACGCACACGATAGCACTTACATGGACATCGACAACTATGATGGTGGCAGCGAGCTTCCTGCAGTGGGTTTGGTCGCACATGTGGGCACGGCCAATGCAGGCATTTCGAGCACTGCAATTGAAGCCGGAAATGGCGCGAATGGAATCACGGCAGATAGAGCAGTGTCATCCGATGATATCCCTGATCCAGGATGTCTAGCCTTGGATAACATACCAGAAGACCCGGCTGAAATTCCGGAGGTTGATCGCGAACACGCAAACATCATCCGTATGGCACCTCCGGAATATGTAGGCTTGGACGAATTATCCGATCTTGCACAGCTTTCCGAGATGAAGCTGTCGATGGAATTTATCCGTGCGCTCGAGCAGGCATCTTTGGATGACGAGGGAATGCGACTCGATGCAGACACACTGGAGCGCCTTCGCAACCCACCTCGCACCACTGTTGATGTCACAGACCCGAGTCTACGTCTCGCGCTCGATCTCTTCCTGGCTGTGGGCAATTCGTCACAGGAGACATATAACACCGTTCGTGATGCCATCATGCGACGCTACCCGGACGATATCCTGCCTTCATATGCGCAGATCAAATGTCAAGTTGCGGAACTCAGTGGTGTCGTCCCTCTCATCCACGATATGTGCATCAATAGTTGTCTCGCTTATACGGGCCCTTTCTCGGCACTCGAAACTTGTCCCAAATGTGGAGAGTCACGGTATGATCCGATTCAGCTTGCTGTGAGTGGTGGGCAGAAGAAGATTGCACGTCAGGAATTTCACACCATACCGATAGGCCCGCAACTACAAGCACTTCGCCGAGATCCTGCCAGTGCAACGGCTCTCAATTATCGTGCAAAACGGACTGAAGAAATTCTTGAGACACTCCAGCAGAATGACGGCAATCTGCCGGCATACGAGGACCTGTTGGATGGGAGTGACTATCTTAGTGCAGTTGCGGATGGTCGTATAAAGTCTGATGACATCGTTCTCATGCTTTCCCTTGATGGAGTGCAGCTTTACAGGAACAAGGCTTCAGATTGCTGGATATATATATGGGTGGTCTTCGATCATGCACCTGATGTGCGCTACAAGAAGAGACATGTCTTGACAGGTGGTTTCATTCCGGGTCCAAACAAACCCAAAAATGTCGACTCATTCCTCTTTCCGGGACTCCATCATCTTGCAGCTCTCCAACGAGAAGGATTAGGCATGGGGGATGCTGCACGAGACACCACTTTCCTTTCCCACCCGTTCCTTGCACTCGAAACGGCAGACGGTCCTGGTATGGTATATCTGAATGGTTTTGTCGGACACCACGGACGACGGGCATGTCAACTGTATTGTGATACAAATGGATGTCACAAGCCAGGCGGCTCTCACTACTATCCAGCACTGCTCAAGCCTCTGGATTATGATGTAGAGGGTTGCGACCACAATGATATCAATATACACAGTCTTCCAGCATGCTCGTCGGAAAAATACATGGAGAATCTTCGATACCTCATGATGTCATCCAGTGAGACACAGTATTGCAAGAGGCGTCTTGAGACAGGAATAACAAAGCCGAGTATATTCCTGGGGTTTTCACTGCAGCATACCCTTGGTATTCCTGGTTCCTTTGGATCGGACATCATGCATCTGGCATCACTTAATCTGCCTGATCTGCTCATTCCCCTGTGGCGTGGTACTTTCGAATGTGACAAGACTGACAGTAAAGCAACCTGGGATTGGGCGGTTCTTCAAGGCGACAGATGGAAGATCCATGGGCAAGCTGTTGCTGATGCAACACCATACCTTCCTGGATCATTTGACCGCCCACCACGCAATCCCGCAGAAAAAATCTCCAGTGGATACAAGGCCTGGGAGTTTCTCATATACATCTTTGGATTGGGACCTGGCTTGCTCTATGGAATACTCCCTGACAAGTACTGGAAGAACTTCTGCAAGCTTGTGGGTGGAATACGACTAATCAACCAGCACAAAATCACACGTAATGATCTACAGCAGGCTCATAAATTGCTTCTGCAATTCTGTATCGAATTTGAACTTCTGTACTATCAAAGGCGTGTTGATCGACTCCACTTTGTCCGGCCCTGTGTTCACTCGCTACTTCATCTTGGCACTGAAGTGGTTAGAGTGGGCCCTCCTATATGCTCCTCACAGTGGACCATGGAGCATACAATCGGCAACCTTGGTCAGGAGATACGACAGCCATCAAACCCTTTTTCCAATCTATCGCAGCGTGGACTTCGTCGTGCTCAAGTGAATGCACTCAAGAGCATGATACCTGATTTAAAGCCAATGGAGGACAGCCTTCCAAAGCATGCAATCAATCTTGGTTCTGGATATGTTCTACTGCGTGCCAGGCAGAGAACAGCGACACCTCTTCGTGACTGTGAGGCTGTGGCACTCACTACCTATGTACACGACACATTGGGACTCACATGCAATCTGAGCTCCTTCATGGCACCATCAGTTCAACGATGGGCACGCCTTCGACTTCTGAATGGTCAAGTTGCTCGGTCGGCCTGGAAGGAGAAGATGAAAGCACTTAAAAATGTACGCATGGCTTGAAATGTGAAAGTGAGTGTGGCTAATACTCTGCATCTTGTTGTTTTGGTATTGATCTTGCTCTTAGTTTCAGATCGGGAATGAATTGCACTTCGGAGAAGTGCTTTTCTACTTTCAGATTTCCGTCAATAATGAGATCAAGTCACTCGCACTCATCTCACTTTATTCACGACCGCACGCTGGTCTCCTTGAGTCTTCCTCGTACACACTATGGTCATGTGCATACCAAGGAGATGCAGCGCTTCAAATTGTCGATGTGAACACAAGTTTGGCGGTCGTTGCAATGGTTCCACATAATCCATTTGGGGATGCTGACCATCATTTTTTTGTGGTCGAAAAACCTGGGCTTGATGTGGCACACATGGGTGGAAATGATGAACTGGACATTAACGAAGGTGATGGTGCAGAGAACGACTCGTAATATCTTTCTAGGAGAGTTGCCATATTTGGAATGTTATTATGGTGTGACGTGCTTTGCTGTCAGGTCAACTTCTCGTCGAACCCCATGTCAGTGAGATGTCATCGCAAGCACGGCATTGGCCTTATGGCCGCTCTCAACCTGGCTATGGGGGTGGACTGGCTGCTGCCTATGTTCTAGATGCTACCGGAGAAATGTACAGTGACGGTGCAACCTCTCCTACACCATCGTCAGCATCCCCAGGCCCTCTCTCTCAATCTCTTCTCATGGGTGTGGACGAACAAGACAATAGTTTCGCCATGAACACCAAGCACACTCTTTCACATCTACGGTCTTTTCCTGTAAATACATCTCAAGTTACTCCAACTAACACTGTGAGTATCTCGGACAATGATGCCACGTCACATAACCAATCTGAATGTCCTTTGCCAGAATATTTCGACAATTAATCATCTTAATGCACCATTCATTTCATCTAGTTCCAGTCCCTTTCCTTCGTCTCATAATAGCATGTTCTCCCACTCTGTGTAACCTCAGTCCAGTCGGCTACAGCAGCTTACAATCAAAAACCAGCAGCTACAGCGTGACATTCTTGTTCTCCATACTGAGAAGGCCACAATGATGTAGGCTTTCTACTGATGCTATCATGTATTCCGAACTTTGAGTCTGCAAATTTTACAGGGCGGCATACCAGACTCTTGCGGAGGCCATCCCCCAAGCACTATCAGTAACTAATCCCTTTAATCTGACGATATCCACCTCCTCTACATCAACCATCCCTTCTGCTTCCTCCTCTCTTCCTCCTGTAATGCAAGATGACTACCCGCATGTCAAATGGTGGACCAAGGAGAGTTGGACAAAGCGCGCCGTGAGACCGGAGCCATACAAGGGTAACAACATGATGTTGTATGTTGAAGAAGCGGATGGCACTCCAATCAGCGGTGCACGTGTAGACGAGATCCGAAAGGTCGCCAGGTCAATTTGGGCGCATCTTGCAAGCATCCAACTCACACCACTGACGTGGGGAAAGGCAAGTGTTGTTGCAGCGCGATTGTACAATGACGAGATGGCCAGAACATTCCCGGAGCTTCAATATTGTGCATCGAACTGGAAGGCGGAACAAATCGGCATCGACAACTACCCGTCATGGCGGAACTATCGAGCACGCAAGGCAGCTGGCGTCAAACAAGAAGAAGTAGATCCCACGGCTGTAGAAGTGTCACCACGCAAGAGCAAGCGTGGCCATCGAGATGAGACCGAGAACGACACCCAGTCGATCGCGCCGGCAAGTAAGAAGACAAAGACAGAGTCATCGAAGACAGGTATGGTTATCTTCTACCATGTTCGCGAGTCTCTCTAATCTCTACCAAAGCTCTGATCTCGGTTACCACGAGCGAGGAGCTGCTGAGGAGCTTGGATGACGAGTCCGATGCTTCCCCGTCAGATAACACAAGCATAAGCATTGTGGCGGAGAAACCTGGATGCACATCCGACAAGGGTAAAGGACGTGCCGTTGAACTCAAGGTAAGTATCTCAATGGTTCTCAAGCTTTGCCGTGAGCTGTCAATGGACTGCCTATCAAGCTTCGCAATCCACTGTAAGCCCAGTTTTCTTTTCAGTTTATTTTCATTTCGGCACTTAATTATTTTATACGTACACTGGCAGGAGTTCCATCACGGCGGGAAACATCGTTCATTCGGAGACACTATATGCTGCTGCCGTGGTACCTAATAATGTGCCTATCACTACGCCGGTATCGCGCGAAGTTGGCGCAACTCCAAGTCTCGCCGCGACGAGCGCTCCCTCGGCACCGCCTCCATCGAGCACACCGCCGAATGTACCTATCTCCCTCGATCATCCTGTCGTCACTTCCGTTGACCTTGTATCGTCGTCATCGGGCTCCGCGACTGTTCCTACAGCTCAGTCTGACGAGCCATCTGACTTGTTCTCCATGGTGGCCCCCCCAACAGAGCAAAGTGTGGATCTAGCTGCGTCAGCAGGCTGCAATCCTGGCGACACGGACAGCATTCCGGCCATACCTAAATTCACAATGTCATCTCATACCTCCAACATCGAAGCCCAGGCTCTCCTCAAGGGTCCCGCAAAGAGGACCAAACACGCTAAGATGCGTCCGGGCGATACAGTCACGCCGAGGTCAGTACGTCCAGGTTGTATGTGTCAGTCAGTATATGCTGATTGCTTGTCGCGTATGGAGGAACTTGTGCGCTGTAACGTGGATCAAGGCGCACCCTGACGGGACTACAGCCGAGTTTAAACAATATTTTGATCTCCTTCCGGCTGAGGAGAGGAAGGTATATGTTGATGCCTTAGTCATACTCTCGCAATTGGCTGAACTTACTTCTGGTGCAGCCTTTCGAAGAAGAATCGAAGCGCCTGGTAAGTAGCTTAGTTCAATGACTTAAATTGTCTGCATACTGATAACACCGGGCGACAGAAACAGACAGGAATTGCCCGTCTCAGCGTCATGAGCTCCACGATGTCGGGCAGTGCAGCCTGACATGGAGATCAGCTTGGATGGTCCGGTCAAGAGCTGGTACGGGCAGTACGAGTTTCTCGATATTGCTGTGTCTCGATGACGCTCGGTGGGTATCTGTCCCAGGAAGGTGTCGGTCACGTAGTCTCTCGATGACACTCGGTGACGCTCGTTTTGATGCTATGTAATTTCGTGAAAATTATCGATTGCGCTCTATGGCGCTTGATCTTAGTGCAGTACTTGTAATGAGAACACAAGATACTATCAAGACAAAACGAGACCGACAGAGTCTCTCGCTCTGTCTCACCCACTCTCATATCAGCTCGATCGAAATCGAGACAACGCTCAAAATCCTGAGACGGAGCAAGAAGTATCGAGACGCTCGATTTGTCTCGCTCCCTCTCTTAGCGCCTCGTGTCGATTTTGACTGGGGTTGAATCTTTAGCGTCGTGCGTCACCGCCTTGCGTTGGGCGCTGCGCCACTGGGAGCCCCTTCGAGATAACGGAAATGAATTCATACAATATTGGCCGGCGGCTGGGCTGGGCTTGTGGTGATTGGGAGCTGTGCTCTGCAATTCCCGTCTCATCTTGTCTGGTAGGTTCAAAACTCTGTTCTTGCTGTGTCCCACCAACGTAGAACCGTGCCAAGCTTCGACCCCAGCGCTGTGCAATTTTCGCCTACGGTGTACATATATGCTCAGTCTGCGCCGCGGCTTGGCTTCCGTTGTCGTGGACCTCATCTAAATCGCGGTGATGAATCGAGGACCATGCGTACACATACGTAGGTGGCTGTGAGCTCTTTAGACAGGTGCGCTATGTCATACGCGAAAGTGTAAGGGGCGACGCGTAGGATTGGACTAAGGATAAGGGACATCGTAGTAAGCAGGCCTCAGATGGGCCCAATCCCCTCGCGAGACGCTCCTCCTGAGCAGATTACACTAAGGTCCTTTCCTCGAACGCATGGTAGCTCGTTCTTGCTCGGGGAGCAGGCTATCTTAATTAATTACCGCAGGCGGAAATGCTAGGCACAGACATGCAAGCTAGTCTCGCCGCAGAGTCACTGTCTTGCCTTGGAGCCACAGGGTTCGGGCCCGCGACGCGCACGAGTACAGGAACGATGTGGTGCCCAAATCCGAGAACAGGGAACAAACAGCACGCGGGTGATAGACTCGATATCGCGAGGCCGACCTCGATGAGCTAGCGCGCATAGCAGGCAGGTATTGTATTCATGCTCGATGTTCATATGACACCAGGAACAAGCCAAGACGCAGCGCGTGTCCCCTATCGGCGACGACGTCATGCAGAGAGGGAAGAATCCGATTTTCAGCCGCAACAATTCGACGTTCGCGATGTCGACGATACCAGACAGCATCAATCGATACGAGCGTGCAGCCAAAATCGGGGGAGCGATGAGTCGACGATAATTCGGCAGCTAGCAGCAGGCACAATTAGCGCTGCCAGCGGGTAGCCGACAAGACCCCGATGTTTACCATCAAGCTGAAAGCTGTGTTCTCGAGCGGCGCAGAATTAAGCCAGAACGGAAGGGCGAGCGGACGCCGCAGTCGAGAATGTTCACAGAGAGAAAAAGAAGATACACGTGGAGATGCTCGCAAGGGCGTAGGAAAAGAATGGAGCACAGCAAACGGCAGACATGGGAGGAGGCGCAGGCAGGAACGCCCGCCGTCCCTTCGAACTCGAACGCTGCGAGACAGGGCAGTCCACGAGACCTCCCATGAAAGGGTGCGGCGGTCGGAAATGAAGTGAAGAACATCGCGCTATGCTGCGTCGTACGTCGCGGCGGTCTAGCTCCTGTCAGAGAAAGTGTGCCACCGGAAAAGAGAAGGCGGCGGTTTGCCAAAGATATCTTGTCCTTGCATTGGTGAGACGGGCAGACGGGGGTCACGAGGGTCGCCCCACCGAGGAGTGAGTAAACAGTCGCGCGGAATTGTCATTGTACCTGCCGTCCACGAACCGATGGAGGGAGCGAAGCTTGGGATACGTCCACGGAAGGAGGAGACCCAGGCCAGATCGACGGCAAGCACGTACCCCAGGTCATGATCACTGATCAGCACACAACGCGGGCACAAAATGGAGACGCGATTGAACCATCCAAACATCGATCGGCGCGGTCATGCGACCAGTGAAATGAATCCAGTGACGTATGGCATCGATATCGAAGGCAGCGCGAACTGGGTGTGACGATCTGGCTTAAGTGATAGCAGGGGCAGTTAATTCAGTCGTCGAAGGAGAAGTACGTACGGATAATGGTGGTTGGAGCGAGCGGGTTGGTCTGGGCTGCGAGAATGCACATCAATGACTGACTGGGAGGCATCACACGACCGCGGGCGAGATTGCATGACGCGACTTGCAAGTAAGGATGTGAGCCTTGGCGACGCGTGTGCCGGAGGTGTAGCGATGTGCTCACGAGACGAGACGTGGTGATCATGCCAGTGGAATATCAATACCAGTAGTCATGTACTGATCATCTGAGCGTCGGAGACGCGGTACAGTGCCGCGGAGGGAACCTGCTTCGTGTCGATATCGAAGAGCCATTATTGAAAGGCATTGAGTGACTTCTGAACGCCCAGTGGAGATCAGGGGGCACGATGCGCGCAGACTGAGCGTCCGACGCTCATTCGACGACCTCGAAAGCTGCGACGCATGTCAGTGCGCGTCGCACTGACCTGGCGATAATCACCTTCATCATATCCTATCAGCGTGCGGTGCAGTGTCGTCTCAGTCCGTATCGGATCAGTCTGCCATGTCTGTGGCCAAAGATATGTATTGTATACGTCAGAACCACTTTAAAGACGCTGCACCGTGTCCGACCTACCTGAAGTGAGTGCCTGGGTGTCTCTCCTACGACGAGCCGCACGTTCAACGTGTGTTCAATGAGCCACCGGGAGATATGAGCGTGCCTGACTCGATCATACTAGGCAGTTGCGATGCGATGACTACTGCTCGCAGCAAAGCAGACACTGACAGTTGGCCGTGGCGTACGCGTCAGCCCGATACTGGGCTCTCAGAGCTGCGATTCAGAGCTATAGGTAGAGATACGGGCCTATCTGTGTACCCACAGTCATCTCTACCACCCTACACGGATCATGTCTCATCTTGTGTTGCATGTGCACCCTACCTACACACGAACAGATGTCATGCTGCTTGGGGAAGGCGCGTCCCAGTAGGAAGGACTCAAGCGACGCATCTACGCGTTCCAAATCTATCAAGTACGATGAAGTTGAGACATATAGATATCGCGGTCAGCGAACGTAAGCGCGAAACATGGCAGTGGGAGAACTTCGTGCCTCGTGTCTTCAGCGGCTCAGGATTGTCGTATCGAATTCCGCAAGCGACGCGAGACGCAGGCATCGGCCGTATCTCTATCGACACGTTACGGCACGCGTCAATAAGAACGCGAACAGTGGAGTGCAGCGAAACGCTTGCGCCCAGCAAGCTTGTGAGACCAAATCTGAGAACCGCTGCAGGACACGCCTCCGACCAACACGTGTACGTGCAGTTGTTCTGAGGGCGACATAACGAGTCGCAGCGTGTCGCAACACGCTGCAGGATATCATCGACCCAAGCCTAGGACCAGCGTACGCGTAGCAGGGCACGGGGCTCTGCGAACGACAGCAGTGGACGCCCTCGTGTAATGCACGACGTTTACTACGGGGCGCGGGAGTGGGTGGTTGCGTTCGGATCTTGGACCTACGGCTGTTCGATTAGATAACAGAAGGCATTGAACGCGAATAGAACAGATGAGAGGATGAGAATTCGGATTGTAAGGCACGTTCGCAGTCATACAGAAACATAAACACGCCGAGCGGGCCGGAGGGCGCAGACACGGTCGCGTCCGGGAGTTGTACAGTGGTACGGAGGACGGGACGGGACGAGGAAGGCTAATGTTGCGAGTGGTAACGGTGGTCGTCGCGATTAGCTGAGCATAACCACGGACGGCTGCGGCGTGCGGGCAAAGCGCGCTATTTGTAGGCGACAGCCTGGGAGCAGGGAATGGGTGCGGTGAAATTGGCCAAAGCTGGGAAGAGGATCTTGCACGGGTAACTGCGAGAGCTCTGTCGGTGTGAACACATGGAAGATGTGCGGAGGTGCTGACTTATGCTTGCGGAAGGATTACGGGCGAACTATTCGGTGCCGGCGTTGGGCTAGGTATCCACATAACCAGCGAGGACGATCGCGGGCGCGGAAGCATATCTGTGTTCGGGCTCAGTTGGGCTCGGCGACATTCATAAACGGCCATTCGGGTGACAACAGCACATGGAGACGGAACACAAGCCATCCTGAAAGCGAATTCGGATGACGAGTAGCAGAGAGATAAGTACGCCCTGGGCCGACGGCAGTGTGGTTGTTTGAGATGAGCATGTTTTCCGGCAGATACCCGTCATCAAGGTTTTTGTGATGAATTAACGGCATGACAGTACAAAGCGAGAGGTTTAGTGTGGGATCGGAAGAACAAGTGTTTGAAGTAGCTAGGAGAATAATGGGATGCTCAGGTGGCACGCCGCACAGCGACCGAGAGGAGGGGACGAAGGACAGCCAAGCTGCTGGACCCTCAAAGGGTCGTGCGCTGCTGGCTTTCGTGACATCTGACAGAGGACACCAGTTCTAGATAAATGGGAAGAGAGGAGAAGACGACGCGCATTGAAGGCGAAGTTACCCGAATTGGCACGCGGGGACTGCCGGCTTAGTCAGGATTATTATCTGCCAATAAGAGGCGTGATATAGGCGTGGGAAAGGGAAACAGGATATCCAGGAATTGAAAAATAAGGGGAATGCCCAAGTCCATTTTGTGGCGACAGGATCATCCCCTGCTCCTTTCCTCCTCATCTCCGTCTTCCTCATCGCAGCAGACGCTCCGCTCGAGTCAGATCATATCATTCACCCATCAGGCGTCCCGAGCTCTAGTAGCCTGCCTCGAGGCATTCCGTCGCGCATATCCCCGTCGCGTGGCTGAGCCTGCACTGCACTCTTCTTCTCACAGACCCACCAGGTATATTTACCCTCGTCTTCGCTCCATTTCCCCCTTTCCGTCGTCCCATAATTCAGCTCCATTCGTCCGAAGGGCGAAGGCTCCTCCATCGACCATGGATTGTCGCGGTCGCTCGAGGGACATCTCGCCCATTGCATTCGCCCGCTCCTCGCACGACCGTCCAATTCGCGCGCAGATATCCGTCAACTTTGTTCCCCAATCTAATCTCCTCAAATATCCGCCGCGCCACGACGCGAGTGCGGCCACCTATCAACCGCGTTCTCCCTCCCCATTCACGCGCCACTGCCGCAACATCAACATGGCCTGCATTGTTCAACCAGTCGCTTCAACTTCTCGTTTGTCTTCCTCGCCATCACCACCGTCAGCACACTTCCATCTTCCGCTATCATCCTCTCCCGTTGACTTACTCGTCCGCAGCCGTTCCGCGAGCACAATGGACTCCGACTCCCCCAAGTCCACGCCCCCCGAGCCACGCACTCCTCCAGAGTTCGTAAACCCCCTCTCGAGGCCACTTGACTACTACGACTCTCCGCCCTCCCCACCACGCACTCTGCAGGACCAAATGCAATCTGCATACGCACTGGACAATATGCACCTTGCCAAGGTCCTCCTCTTGAAGCTCCAAGGCATAGAAGTCAGCGGAGACGACGACCCGCGAATTGCTGCCGTCGCAGATGAAGACTTCTCGAGCTCGTTTGTTCCTCCGGGCGGGCTGCAACTTGATGAGGAGATCCAACGAAAGTGTAGAGATGGCGAGAGGCGCGAGCGAGAGAGGCGCCTGAGGATGGAGCGAGCGGCACGCTTGAAGGCATGCGAGCGGCTATGGGAGGTGAGCACCCGGAGGGTACGGGAAGAGCGGGCAAGGATCACTAGGAAGAAAGAGGAAGAGGCGCGCCTAAGACGGAGGCATGAAATTGAGGCGCGAGAGCGGGAGAAGGTGCGCGAGGCGCGTGAGCGCGAGCTGGAGCAGCAGAGGCAGAAGCGACACTTGCGTTTGGTCAGCAGCCTCAACCAGCGCCCGCTGCTCTGCTACGACGCCCTCCCATACGAGCGCGCTCCCCAGCCGGGGTCTCCCTCACGGCAAGTGGATGACGACCTCTTTCATTACGCCGTGATGCCGTTTACCCCGTCCCGCTCCTCTTCGTCCTTGTGCAGCATTTCTTCCGCGGACGACCATATCCTCAGTTTACCTCGTGCTTGCCGCGAGTTGGCACTGCAGCACAGCCAGAGCATAGGCCGGGCCATCCCTTTCACCGACGTGATCGCGAGTATGCACGGCCCTCTCTTTCCTGCGGACGAACACGCACAGTCATTCTCGAGACGGAGCCCAGCACAGATAGAGCTGTTGGAAAGTCTCTTGAAGGTTGTTGACTGGGAAGAGGACGAGCAAGACAAAGACAAGACCCGTGAGAACCTCAGCACGAGAGACACAGCCGCTGAGCGGAAAGACGCGGACCGTGCCGCAGCGAAATGTCTCAGTCCTGGGACGAAAGCAGGTCTCTCTACCAGGTCGTCCTCGGTCAACACCATTACTCGCTCGAATTCATGGTTCTCATTCTGCAGTCGCAGTTCGCGGACCTCGGTTTCGACTGCCCTCACCACTCCGTCCTCCTCACCGCTCTCGCCACATAAGGTTCCAGCGCTTCTTCCTATACCAGCGATATCCTCTCCGCTTGCAGCTAATGAAGTCAAGCGTCCATCTTCTCGGCCACCCCCTTCTCTGAGCCCACTTCCGGCGCCTGACCACCCCCTTGCACCTATCCCAGCATTCCCAACTAAGCGCTCGGGTCCGCTCAGTCCTGCTCGTGGTCGTCCCCTCACCAGAGGTGCGACTGCGCGGCGAGCCCCATCAACTGCGAGTGACACGACAGTACGGAGCGACACGACAGTACGGGGCGAAGAAGTCGGACTTGTACGGCGTATGAGCCAGTCCGTATCGAATTTGGTGGACCTCGCAACCCAATTCCAGCGTGCATACGTGAAGGCGACTTTCTTCAGCGTTGGCGTTGATGTTCTCTCGCGCTCCCGCTCTGACTCACGGGGTAGCTCCAGTTCCCGCTCGCCCTCTCGTTCGCGTGCGCGGTACGTGCAAGACCTGCGGATTCCTAACACCGGCGGTCCCAAGGAAGGATTGAAGCCAGAGGGGTACCGCGCGCTTTCTAGCGACGTGCACGTCTTCATGTGCGCGACTGCAGAGCGTTCGGACGCTCTGCGCCCCACACGCTCACTCATCCCACTCTCATGGACCGGCTCGTCTCACATATTCCCCCCATACGCGCGCATATTTTCACCGCCTTTGTCGCCCCCACGCTCACCGTTCAAACCCCTAAGCGTGCTCTCGCGGGAGCCGCGCCTGCGTCCCGTCGCGAACCCGCTCCTTCTGCGCCTGCAGGCTCTGCAGAACATATGCGCAGATCACGAGGTCGTGTGGGAGGGCCGTGCACGCGAGGGGCGCATGTCCGCGGGGAAGGAGAAGATGCTCGGCGTTGCGTGGGAGGGCATCGGGAAGAGCGGGCTCGGGTGGGAGGTAAGTGCGGTTTACTGATGTTCGTTGCTCGGACTTTTGCGTCGCGAGGTCGGGGGCGTAGGCGTGCCCCCTTGGATAGTGACTCCTACGTTAATTCTAATCGTCGTCGTCGCTGTCGATTGCTATGGCTGTTTTCCCTTGTAGATTCTAATGTGTACTACCTCTGTAGCTCGTTCTCGCGTAGATACCCTGTCTTGTATGATTCTTTCGTATGTTAATACCACGTTTAGTCGATTCGTCTCGAAACTTCGAGCGTGTGTTGAGTTGCCGGTGTGTAATCGTCGAGGAAGAAGCCGATGTTCGGACTGCAACACTGGATGCGGATTAGACCAATCTGCGAGGCAGACACGTCGCAGACGGTCTATGTCGAATGGCGCAATCTGCGCAGACCCGGATGGACGTGCCCAGGGGTGATTGCGAGGGCCCAACGAAGTCTGCGAACGGTCCAATCCCTGGCTCTGGTCCTCGAACGGGAGTATGCAGGTGCACGCCTCCGGACCCGTTGCTCTGCCTGGGGGTAACCAATCGGCTACGCTTCTCCTGGAGACCTCAAAAGTAGGGTTGCACCGGTGCGGCTCCCGAGGGTTGCGGTTCTGCCACGGGTACAATTTGAATACGAGATGCTCGGCCGAGGCAAGACACTGCAATATGCCTATCGTCGGCATAAGAATCGGTGCGATATGATGGACGAAGGGATACCCTTGCCTTCGAGAACTAAAGGATGTTTGAAATTGGAGGGCGTAACGTGCATATGCATGGGACTCCGAGAGATTGACATAGAGGTCTCTAGGGAGGATCCGTCCTGCTTATCAGAATTAACCCGGAGGAAGTCGGTTGGGATTGCAGGAATTTCGGAAATCACGGCCCTGCAGAATGCAAGGAATGGGGACGGAGGGACAAGGGACAGCAAGGACTGTATTAACGTGCTGCTGCTGAAGTTGCCGCCACAACGCGTCGATGCACTTCTCACTTATCGCAGCTGTTGACAGTTTGCAGAAGAACCCCGGTCCGACGAGCGTGAAAAACATTCAAAATGACACTGATTATGTTACGCACCTGCACTCCATCATCCATAGCTACGTGAGTACAACCAATGACTTCAGGCAGACCTCAAACGAATATTAACGGGTAGTCAGGATGTAAATGCCAGTCAAAAGTGATCGTCGACAAGAAATCATGGGGTACAGCATACCGCTTCATGTCGGTTGACAAGGCAGGTGACTGTTCAACCCACTGACATGAACGTCGAGCAGCCACCCTCCAATCTATGCGAATATTGCACCCCGAAAAATGCTAAGACATTAATGCATTCTCCGTGAGAGTCAGTCTCATGGACTCCTTACGACCGCAAAGCCTCACCTTAGTGACAATTGCCGAAGGGGTCCGTGAAGATTCTTGTAACAGATGGATGTATATGTCACGCAGCCGAAGCACGGCTTCCAACGGTCATCTTCAAATCATACTCGACATCTTGTTAGCTGTTGCGGGGCTCAGCAGAAAAATAGTCACGACTAAACCACGTAGTATGATATATTCGTCGGCAGGTATATGAAGTATTGACCAAACAGCGATTCCAAAGCTGAGAGGGAAGTGAGCAATTGCAACATGCTCTTTTCGGCACAACACCACTTACACGACATCAAGCCACCATCATCGACTCAAATCCAAACCGCCTTGTGCCTGCCATGGTCTGTCCGGCATGAGTAACTGATGATTCGGTCCGTCCCATATCTGGGGTCCCCCACCCCGTCCACGCTGTCCAAACATGGCTGGCCGGCGGCCCTGCATCCCACGCATGCCCGGCTGTGGCATTTCGGGCGGTCGTTGGAACGAGTTACCTGGCAGTTGGAAGCCATTGCCTCCCCCCATTCCAGGTACGTGTGTCATCGGATCGAAGCCCATGGGCGGGCGTTGGGCTCCACCTATCACTCCAGGACCCGTACCTGGACTTCCCGACCTCTGCGTAGGAGAGGGCAATTGTCGACGGATGGAGAGCTCGCGCGCCTCGTCTTGCAACCACCCGTTCGCTTCTGCTGATTCGCGGTCAATGCCGAGTATCTTACGGAGTTCCTCGTTCTCCTTCTCCAATCTTGCAATCTCGCTTTCGCGTTCGAGTGCCCAGTCCTGCCGGCCCAGGAGCCCTTCCAGTAGTTCGCCGTCAGTCTGGTTCAGACCGCGCTCGTCCTCGCCATCCGAATCCGCAGCTGACGCGGCGCGTGAAGCTTCTGAGTTGTCAGAGAGATCCGATTCTTCACCCGCGAGTGTTCGCAGAAGAGCGCGAAGATTCTCGGATATTCGTTGTAGTGAGTGTGTCACAGCGTTATTAGATGAAAGGTCGGCTTGCAGTAGAGAAGTCTCACGCGCGACGATGAGATTCTCGTAATGCTGAGTAAGAGTAAGTTCGTGTCGTTGTGCTGCCAGCTGTATTCACTTATGAGATATGCCACGAAAGACGACACTGCGTACGTACCGCATGGCTTCGGAATTTGGACATAATGGTCTCCATAGTGTGCTCACACTCCTTCAGTAACAGACTAAGCTGTCTGTTTTCTTGCAGCAGTGTATGGTTCTCGATAATGATCTGGGCGTTTGTACGCTCCAATTCAGATTCGAATACCTCTTCAGGACGCGCGCTCTCAGCCTTAGTTCACAAAAGAGCTAATGTACAAGCTCACCCTTGGATATATCGGTATTGAAACGTCGCAGCGTAAAGCCAGTAGCAGAGTTAGATGCTTCGGTCTAAATTACTTCGGTCGTATGATTCTTCAGTCGTTAGACACAAGGAAAGATTGAAATGTACTTTGAGAGCGCCAGCTTGAGATTGCAAAGCCCCCGCCATCTTCTGGTTGTGCGCATTCTGCTCGCTCAGCTCGTGAAGAAGTTGCCATACTCGTATGAGATCGCTGTCGATGTCGTGGTACATGGTGAGCAACGAATGCCAGGCGTTAATCATGAGCTCTGGAGAGAAGCAGGCCACCGGCAAGTGCCGCTTAGCGGGCAGAATGAAGAAACAAACAGAAGAATCACCGTCCACCACCTGCTTGTTCCTTCCCGCAGTCGAGAGCATATATGCAACCCGTGTCGACAACCTCGTATTTTTTCTGCTTGCTGCAGACTAACCAATGCATGTCGGAGGGAAAGCGATCGTGGTGGGCATTATTTTTTGGGAATAATTCGGATTATGCAAGCGCCCTGATTAGAAGACCGGCGCCTGTCTGGCAGCGACTTCGTCTGTTACACTCGTCTTGTGGCTATCCTGTACAACACCAACCCCTCACTCCTTCCTCCACGAAAAACTTCCCGGTTTTCCTTTACATATACTCTTATCCTTAACTCTTACCCCCTCGTCCTCCCGCCAGTCGCCTCGCAGATCAGCGGCTTCTGTCGACACCATCTCTTTTCGTCTTACTGCTATCTGCATACATAAACCTCCTGTTGCCATGGCAGCGTCCCTTTCCCAGCTTTCCGCGTGTGTCACGCGCATTCTCGCGTTGACAGGTTTTCCCAAGGAGCTCAAGACGAGGGATATCCAGACTGCCTTCTCCGAGTGGGAGAACGCTAACGGAGGCTTCAAAATCAAATGGATTGACGACACCAGCCTTTTAATCGTCTTTAATGATGCTACAATTGGTGAGCAAGTCTCTTTTCTGTCGTCTGAATTGTACTGCACGATGTGCATGCACGATCTTCGCTTGTGAGGACACGTTTTAACCATTTTCGCTTATTAGCCAAGAAGGCCTACCTTCACGCCCTTGCCTTCCCCCCTGCCATCTTCTCCTCCCTGACTTCATCTCAGTCGGCAACCATTAAGCCATACGACGGACCCGACGCGCAGGCGGTCATACAGAACGTGAACGCTCGCCAGCACAATGGCAATGCTCGCGGTCATGGTGTACGCGGATCTGTTTCGCACGGGCGGGGGGTCTCCGTGAGCCAGCCACCCCGGGGCAATGCTGTGAATACACACGTCAATGGGAATGGCACCGAGCACAACGCGAACGCATCACCTCGTGAGCGCGAGCCGTCACCAACTCTCCCTAACATCCCCTCTCATCCGACTCTCAATTCGCTTATATCCTCCTCCTTGGGTGCGGACGTCGCAGACCCGACCATGTCAGATCCCGCTATCATTGCTGCTCAGCCAGAGCATGGCGCTCCGCGCATCGGGGATCCTGGCAAGAGGATGCTGGGCGCTGCGCTGGGTGTCAGACATCCTGCACTCGGACCTCGCGTACTGAACGGTGCGACCAACGGAGTGGCAGACATGCAGAGAGCGATGAGCGGTCTGGTGATCGCTGAGTAGACGTGTGCTGGCGGAGGGATATGGAGTCGTGTGAGGGGAGGACGCGCATTAATCCTTAGGTGCTGTTTGGTCGTGTTGATCTTCGAGTTCTATTCACGATTCTCTTTACCACGCTTTGAAGTTGTGAGTGTTTTGGTGGAGTGAAATTGTGGAGAGGGTGTTCCGGTGTTGCTACGTTCCTCTCTTTTGTATTCATATAGTTCGTCTCTCGTTCTAACGGAGACTTCTTTCAAGTTCACCGTTCCCGCGAATATACGTTCAACAGCTTTGCGTGGGCTGTGGTACTTCGTTCCGCTGTCCGTTCGGAAGCCACGACAGACATGCTTTGATGGAGCTCTGCCTCGTTAGGGAACCCACGGTCTAGAATGGGGGCGATTTAAAGAACGCGTTCAGCCATTCCAGTGTTTCTAATGGCTCGCTCAACCGTACAAAAGCTAAGTCTGTTTCCGAATGTTGTCTTCGTCAGAGGTGAAGCTTTGAAGGGTGACGCCCCGTACCACTCGCCCGCATTCAGTGATCTAGAGATGTCAGTTCTCCTTTTGTCGTCTTCCAGAACCATTTGGTCCAATCTTACCTTGCGCATTCAGGAAAACCCTACGGCTGTTTGTTGGACTCTCTTGGCAAACATCAGCGCATCGTTGTGCCTTCCCGTTCCTTTTTGTCTGAGACTGTCAGTAGAAAATTCTGAAACTTTCCATCAAGGCCTCCATGTTCATCAGCGACTCTTCGGAAGCGTACACTCGCGGTAGCTGCTTCGGCCAACGGACACGCTCAGCACGACCGTAACAGAAGATTTATGACTGTGGAAGCCAAATAAATCCGACCGGCCCGGGTGCAGCGCAGCTACCATTCAGCTTCGATGCTTACGACCGCTCTCTCCTGATAATGTCATTACAGTAACTGCGGGAGGACTGATCAATAAAACGATGTAAGTAGATTCATTCCAAATTACCTTGTCCTCAGGAGGCAGAGTTAATAGTTGTAATCATAAAGTGAAGCCAATAAAGTGAAGCCAATACCCCGCGATTGACTGCTAAGCCTAGGTGCCTATGCGAAGTGGCAAGATCGATAATGCAAGCTCGGCTCTATTCGCCCACCATGCCTCTATCATAGTACCGCTTCAGTTATGAGATATTTAGAGTCGGATCTCCATCTCCCCATTCGGCTAGCCCGTGTATCTCGTTGGTTCACAGTTACCTTGATGCCAATTCTTAGGTCATAGTGTCGTGGATCAGCGCACCTTTTACACCACGAGCCGTGCTGATTGGAGCCAACTGCTATCCTATCTCACGATATCAAGTTTGGGTGATCCAAACGCGCACTCGGTAGCTAGTTCTGATCCGCTGTTCTAGTTGTGATATTGATTGTTGTTTCATGCATGACATCACCACAGATGTTAACGCGACCAGGCTAACGAAACTCGAAGTCGTAGGAACATCAGAGGTAACTGCCATCTGTTCGCATTTACATCTTGATAACCAATCCCTCATTTACAAGCGCAGGCACCACGGGTTTGTGCACAAACAGGCAATATTGCGTGGTTTATGTGGAGGCGAGGACGTTAGCTCATCTGCACCGTGCACAGCTCAATCGAACCGCGGTGTCTCATGCAGTGGGGTGCGCAACGAACGTCAAGGGTGACGCACTAACATGTTTGCATTAGACGGGTAACTGACAGTTTGTCTGGGACTATCTCTATTTGCTCAATGCATATTTCACATTTGTTCATATCCTAATCAGGTCCCAAAATCTTAGCGCAATCTCCTCTCGAAAGTCTAACATGAGCAATGTGAATCTGGAATCTCTATGGCAGTAGGCCGTCGCTAACTCACGGGCAGGCGTGTCCGAGCACGGCAGGCAAGTTCCGTTTTCTGACTCACTTTCTGACATTACCTGCGAACAGATGTCGTGAGTGCTCCGCTTGGCATAGTCCAACTCGCGCTAACTTTCCTTGGAATGTTGTCCCTACGAACTAGGGATTGCAGTCCCAGAAAGACCGCAAAGCATGCCTTACATTCTGAGAAACAATACGAGCGGACCGCCAGCTGCTGCGCTCGTTAACGTATGCCCTTGTAAATGGTTTACATTTGTCTTTCGCTTGTTCGGGACTCATCACGGTGGCAGACTTCCACTATTTGGACACTGATACTATCAGCCACTTCTTTCTTGGAAAGGGATTAAACGCTCGGATAATCCGAGGACGATTCTCTGAGGACGTGGATATTCTCGGCTAGCCATCGGTATTGATGCACGGACAGGCCATAGACGAGTCCGCGTCTTCCCTGGCTCATACAAATATTGGCGCTCATTATTGTCCTTCGCTCTAGACGTCTGTGGCTAAGTGTATCCTGGCAGCACGTGTTTTGGCAGCTCGGTAAGTGAGCTCGAGCAGTACTCACAACATCTGCTTCTGCGATTAAGAGCTCAGACGCCGTCACAATTCTCTCGTGTGTAGATATACTTCTCCATGGCAAATATTGTGCACGGTTAAAGCTTGTGGTTGCGCACCGCCCTGCGCAAGAGCATAATGATATATATAGGCCTTAGCTTGAGACCTTCCTATTAAGGCAAGGTTTAGTCCAAAAGAAGACAGCCAACCGACCCCATCAGAAGGAACGTGTCGCTTCGCGGCCGCATTGTCTACCTCAGGGTTGCCTTTATGTAACTTGACACCACCCACCATGTCCTCTCCGTCCGAGCAGTCCAAGACAAAGGCTGAGGAGCTGAAAATTGAAGGGAATGCCTTGCAACGGAAGGGTGATTACCGAGGGGCTCATACCAAGTATTCAGAGGCCATCAAGTTCAACAGCGAGAATGCGATATTGTTTGCGAATCGCGCTGCCGCTAGTTTGTCCATGAAGGAGTGAGTTGCCTTCTTGGATCGTAACACTGGCAGCGTATTGACGTGTGAATCTCATTTTACAGATTCCTCGATGCAGCCTATGATGCTCAGAAGGTGTGTTGCAGTCCAATTGCTGGTGCTGCAACGACGGAGTTATTCGCTAATACTTTATCTCAGGCAACCACTCTGGATCGGAAGTTTTCTAAAGCATGGGCGCGTCTAGCGAAAGCAAGTCATGTTGGTATTCATCGTTCCTCGAGATTACGTGATTGGCCCAACTTATGTGCACAGGAGTTATGCTTGTATTCCAAGAGCATTGAGGCGTGGAAAGAAGCACTTTCTTGTCTTCCGGCATCCAACCTCTCTCCTGTAGAACTCAAGCTCAAAGCCCAGTACGAAGACGGTTGGAGACAAGTTGAGAGTGCTAAATCGAAGATAGAGAACCAAAGCCCGGAGGACGCAGGCCTCGCGCAATTGGCAATTATCCCTGAAAATATGCCGTGGTCAAGAGCGTCATCTATGGAACAAGATCTAGTGCGAAACAAGACATTTTCCACAAGCGTACGCATCTTGAATGCTATACTTTGCGCTGTACTGAATTTCCCGATATGACCCGGACGGGCAGGCTTGGGTGATCATGGCCGCATACAAAGTGCGCCGTCCAATCTTACTTTATTTTCCCTGGTCGCACATCTCCACCCTTCTTAGGAGTTCTCAGAGGGCGTCCAAACAATGAAACGCATAAGAATGGTTGAACCGAATCGTTTAGAAGGGACTCTTGGGGTAAAACTCATCCGCCCACCATCGAAAGGAAGGATTACCCATTAATTACCGCTGCAGGCGTTGGCTGATATTACCAATGGATTACTTCGGGACGACCGTGTATTTCATATGGACGTGAATAACTGGAATGAACTGCTCCACAGGCAAGGTAAGTAATCTCAACATGGTTCAGACATTTAACTCACCTGTACAGTTCAATTCGAATGCGGAGTCACGAATGCGTGGACAACAGGTGGTGCGAGCATCATCCAAGAAGAGGCGCCGAAGAGACTGAAGGCAGGCGGATGGTCGGCGGTTCGTCCAGCGTTATCTAACACGGTTCGGTGCGTACCAACTATGTGGCAGTTGGCATTCTCATAAATTGTACCAGGACTTGGGTCCTGCAAGCGTTGTTTTCTAGCAAGGGGAATGTCAGTCATGAGCATGCACTCAGTCTCTATAAGAGTGCAATATCTATACTCGAGTGGGGTGCTAAGACATGGAAAGATGCCCGAACAGCCGATAGGGGTGTTATATTTGAGAAGACTTTCATCAGAGGGGTCAAGCGACTTCGCATGGAGGCATATCTGGCCGTACGTCTCAAGCTATTTCCTCGGACCTCTATCACTCACTGTATGTGCTTATTGGTAGGCATGCAAGAAGTGTGGACTTAACTCGAAGTCCTACACGCTCCGAAAGCTGATGGACATGGCTGCAGATATCCTTGCTGACGTGGATGGAAATCCACCGTGCATCCAGGAAGATGGCCTCTCTTATGATGCGGGCTCCGTCCTTTCTTTCTGGTACTATCCAAAGGCGTCTGCGCTCGCGTGAGCAAACCTTCAAGCTAACGCAGTTGGCGGCTAATATTTTCTCAGTGCAATGGGATTCTGTCAGTTTGAGCTGGCGTCACAGTCGAAGGACGATCCTGAGGTAGCCTACGCGTTCTGGGAGGAATCAGGAGACTACTACATGCAGGCTGCTCAATGTTTTCCTCAAGATGACGAACAATTTCCTTGTATGTTATTTTTGGACGTGTTAAACCCGAATCACGCTCATGTTAGTTGCAGATTTTCTAAAAGTAGCTTTGGAAACACAGTGGCATCGTGGGTTACCGCTGAAGAAGGCGCTGGAAACTTGCGCCGGGATCCGAGAAGGGGTGACACAAGCGAAGAAGATATGGGAGCACGGTGCATTTTGGGACATCGTTGAGGGCAACCTTGCTCGGGTGCAGAGATTCGAGTTGGAGGCTCTAACTGGGTTGATGGACGGCAGATATACGATGGACACTCCATCGGTACGTTCGCGTCTTTTCCGTGGCACAGGAGGGTTCGGCACTGATCGTCGCCTATTGCGACGAATAGTCATCTATTGCATTTGTTTAGAGTCCGAGCCTGGGTCCAAGTTATCATGCTTCGAGAAACAGGTGTCTGTTTACGGAAGTACGAAGGCCGGGGCTACGAAATCCCTGGGCGAATGGGCGCGGCGCCACGCTAGTTAAGTTATCGGCACCTATTGGAAAGTGCTTTCTATTGGATGGTGCATCAGTTTGTATGGTAACGCTTCGAAAGGCCCCGCTTACTTATGGATCTACAAAGCGTGAATTTCCAGGAACTAGATAGGTGTCTAGTATGCTCATCAGGAAATTATTGATCGGGTTTATATTGAACTACTTATTCACTGAGGGAAAACTTCCGAAAATGGAAGAATAGAATGTTCCGCCGCGCGTAAAGCCAAGTTCCGCAGCGGTTTGAGTGACGCGCCGCCTTACGCAGGGTCGACGATTTGATCTTGCGCAGTCAGTTTCTCGTTTGCACGATGAGCCGCAAAATTTGTCTCGGGTTTGACATGCATCAAATAGGGTCTCCGTCTTTTTCCTCGCATGACTTGGCCACTCATCCATCCAATACGGCCTCGGCGTCCTGTGAGTCCGACCGTATACCGCCACCCTCACTCACCTCGTCAGCGCATAAAATCATCATGCACCAGCGGCCGAACTGCGCAGGAGGCAGTTATGTTATATCTTGATTGTTCGCAGACAGCGGACGCCAGATGCCAAGGGGGGCGTGGTGTCAGAAGCAGTGTGAGAGACACGAGTCGGCGGTGAGTCCTCTTCCCTTTCAAACGCAACTGCGGCCTGCTTCTGTGTTGTGCCCGTTTACTGCTGTACTCCATTTATGGGCGGTACTCGGTTTCAGCCTTTGTTGCATAAACTTTGTTCATTCATATCCGATTCGTAGCAATGGGCTGATCTTGCTAGTTATACCTATCAGACGCCTAATCTCGTGCCTCGAGTTCCCCATTCGCCGTGCGCTTCTGCGCTTCGGCGTGATGATTCGCAACTACCGCATGCATCTGGATCTGCTGTTGTCTCTAATGCTTTGTCCAACAACCTGGTCTGTGCTAGCGGCGCCACTCTCAGTCATGGCATTCTTCGAGATGGTTATAAGACACGTCTCCGTTCCTCCCCTCCCCCTTCTGTCTTTACATATACATCCCTCCGCTGCTATCCCGCTCCCATGAATTCGTTCTATGACTATGCCTCCGATTCTTGCTCGTCACGACAGTATGTGCACCGAGCATATGAATACTGGGATGACAAATTCTCTGTCGAGTTTCCATCCGCTGTACCATTTGATGGCACAGCAGAAATAATGTACAATATTTCTCCCGGTGCGTATATATTTCCCAATAAGTTGCTGGGACGAATTTTGACGAAGCTGTACACCTCCTTCTTCCAGACGCTTTCACCTCTCTTCCACATATCAAGATCCCACACGGGCACAACCATGGCGTGCTTTGTCAGGAGACATTGTCGCCGGTTGATCGCTGTGCCACCAGCTCCAGCCTCAGTTCCACATCGTATTGCGATTCGTTTCCACCGTACGCGCAAGATATGACGCCCGATTCTGCGCCTTTGTTGTGTACCCCTTTTGGTGACAGAGAGGAGACTCTTATCCCCCCATTCGATCAGAACTTTGACGGCCCATCAATCCATCCAGTTTATGATAGCAATCAGGGCGATGGCCTAAGTGTCGGATGTGGGCATGTCCTTGTGAAGACATCTCCATGCTCGTCGCTACGGGGAGCCTTGGGTGATCCGGACGGCCAAGCGTTCGATTCACATCGACACAGGCCGGATTTCGCATGGGCCACATCTGTCCGCTCCGCTGCCGCTGGTCATGCCACGGTACCATCATGGGATTATCCGAGCAAACGCCCCCAGCCGCCACAATCAGACAACCTCTCCCAAGCAGTCACGTCATCCATGGCGTCCTATCCCTCTGTCATTTTACCGACACCTGACCTGGTGCAGAATCCGACCGCACCATGTTCTCCATCGCTGTGTTCGGAGCGGCCACTTTTACCCCCATCACAGATACCCGCAGAACCCGAACTTATCATTCACCAACCCCGTCCTATCCGGTACATCCCTGTCAAGAACTTCGTGTTGGATGCCACTGCGGCCCAACACGAACCGGAACACTGGCCTGATACGACTACAGCGCATTGCCAGGTTGTGCCTTTTCCAGAACAACTGCGGTTCCAGTCGGTGCACCCGGATCTCGGGGATGACGATATGGATGTTGATGACACCGACGAGGACGATGAAGAGAGCGAATACATCGACGACGACCGGCCTCCGTTGGCGGAGGAGATTGAAGTCGGCCCAAGTATAGGCTTAGGTTCAGGTTCCAGGCCACTAGATCCGAGCTCCTTGCTACTGCAGCCTATATCGGAAGCGGTCAGATCGCAGCACATATTCGGTGGCACAGAGTCGCGCTCACAAACTCTGTGCGACAGGCAGAACACTCAGCCACCAGCAGGTGCCCATTTCGACGCTCCTTGTTTCTCACTCTCAGGCCCCTTCACCTTCACTGCGCAATCGGGTTGCTATTTTCCGGGTGCAGTCACATTCTAGCTTCTAAAATCTTCGTTCGATTTCGTTTCTGGTGGAATGTTCTCAGTCGTCATCGTTATGTATACCTTGCATTCCAATACCACCGATCTTTCGGTCTCATGCAGCGCCGGCCGTCAGCAGTCACATTCACGAGCATATGACAGTAGTCAATAGTTATTCATGTATACGTTACTTTACAGACTTACAGGTACACGCACCACTATTGTTCTGTGAACTGAGAATTCCCACTGGTTCAGTATTTGTCGGAGGCCCCGCACGTTGGGTAAGGTTAGGGTCATACCGTGTAACCCCGCGAGACCCCGCGCGAAAGTCGGATCGAGTATAGTGTACCCCACACCGGCTAGTATCCTCGTCTTAGCACCGGGCTGCCCTTCCTCCCGACCACTTCACATGTTTCGCCTTCCTGCTTGCTTTTTCTCAGCCCCTTTGCTGCTGCTGCCATGATCTCTGTGTTGGCCAGGACCGTCCGGGCCCTGAATGGCTCCTCTCAAGCGGACGATTGCTCGAATTCGCAGGAGGAAGACTTTCTCGTATGTTTCTGTACGCTGTGCTCGTGTATCTGGAACCCTAAGACGCATGCCTAGTATGTCAATCTGGAAGTGCGCGACATGCTCAGCCCATTACCCGAATTTCCGTGGGCCAGGGTAACAGATATGTGTGTAAATACGGTCACACCTGTGTACCGGGTGATTCGCAGCACGCTGCACGACGATATGGAACAATTGGCATTCATTCTCGCTGAACGAAACCCGCCTCGAATTGAAGACGCCGACGCCCAGGTAAGTGTAGGCTGTGCATCCAATTGTTTACCCCATTTTTATGTCTCGCAAGGTTCTTTCAGAAGCGCTACCTTCAAGGACTGCGGATGAAATAGCCAGAGCAACCCGCCCGGAGAGACCCTTGCGCAAGAAGCGAAGATCATCTGCTGTGGTATGTGTTGTGATGCCTTTGCACAAGGTGAAGTTGACGGAAATTGCAGGATACGAGCGCGATGACGATTATTCCGGGAGCCAATCCTTCAATTCCGACTATAGTTATCACACTCTGTCCCTCGCAACCACGCGAGCCTGCCTGCCTTGTGCCCTACCAAGATGCGTCATTTGGTAACAGACTTACCGTCCCTACGCATCATGCGCTCAATCGCGTCTTCCCGCCTCTCGTGGCGAAGCCATGTCCCTCTGTAGAACACTGGCGCTACGAGAACGGGCATTGGTGCGCCCTACTCCCAGATCTGGAGGAGCAGGTGAAGAGGAGGCTATTCTCACGCCCTATATCGACAAGAAGGCGGAGAGCGTGGCTACACAGCCGTCCGCCGCCTGTTCTTTTGTCACTGGCATCCGCCGTCCAAGCCTAACGACGTTGATGCAGGACACGTCGTGTTGGTTTCCAATGAATACCACGTTTGCAAAAGTGCATGAGGTGCTGTGCTCCGAGCTAAGACACCACCAGTTGCCAGTATGTAGTTGGGAGTAATTTATCGAGTTCTTGTATTCTCAGCATGTTCAATTGTATTACTAGCATACCCTACCTGCAGTTTGTCCTGCCTCTCTACCCGTGTGTGCTGCGGCTAAGTAGTTTCAAAATTTGTTCGTGTCCACTAGTTCCGACAGCCGGTCGTGGAGTCGGCATTTTGGGCGCACGCACGTGCCCAGTTGCGTATTGGCGCAGGGCGCACTGCATCCAGCACACCGTCACAAGTGCACCGAACCATGCACTCTCTTCTTGACTAGACCCTATACTACCGTAACAACTTCATTATTCCCTTCTTCTTTCCGACAGCGATACTGCTGTGGGTCAGAGCATGTCGTTCAAGGCGCTGCTCTACGTATACGTGCTCGGTGGAGTAACATTTATCCCGTTGCTCATCCTCGGAGCCATCGTCTACACCATCTACACCTCCGTCCCAGTCGAGGATATCAACAAGGAGAAGGCCACGCAACAAGTCAAAGAGCACGCGGACGCGGACGCGGAGCGCGAGGATGCGGAGCCCTCAGCGACCGGTGCGCAGGCGGAAGTGAACGACCTCCCGAAAGTGCGCAAGGGCTGGCTCACCGTGCGCCGGACGTTCCACCAGACGCCGTCGGAGGCGTCGTACGTAGGCATGGTGCGCGGCTTCCTGGATGCGCGCTCCAAGGACGCGAAGCGCTCGCGTCCGAAGGACATGTGGTACGTCGTGCTGAAGGGCAAGATACTCTACCTCTATGAGGATGAGCTCATGACCGAGTGCGAGGCCGCCATCGAGCTGGGCAGCCATGAGGTTCTCATCTATCCCGAGGGCCAGCCGGACGGCGAGCTCTTTGCGCGGCGGAATGCGATCTGCCTCAGACCCAAGATGCCGCTGCTGCACCAGGAGATGCCGAATATTACGAAAGAGATGGAGATGGAGGACGAGGATGTTGAGGAGAAGGTGGAGGAGAAGGGCGGAGGTGCGAAACATAAGCAGAAGGAGCGGGAACGACTGGTGGAGAACGAGAAGCAGCGGGAGGAGGCTCGGGAGGAAGCACTGGACATCTCGACGCCCTGGTTCATCTTCGTCCGCTCCATCGTGGACATGGAAGACTGGTATCATGCTCTGTTACACGCGTCTGACCATCCAGCGAACTGCCCGATGCTCCCTCCTCTCGAGCCAGTGTTCCAGCCGGCTGATATGCTACACCTTGTCTCCACTCTGGACGAACAGCCAGACGTGATCCCGATGCGATGGCTAAACGCGCTTCTTGGGCGCGTATTCTTCAGCTACTATCGCACACACAAGCTGGAGAAGTACATCATAGGTCGGTTGATGAAGAAGATATCTAGAATCAAGCGGCCCACGTTCCTCTCAGACATAGTCGTCAGGGAGGTATCCGTGGGGAACAAGACGCCGACATTGAGCAAACCCATGCTGAAGGAGTTAACCAAGGAGGGCGATGCGGCATTGGAGCTCCATCTGCATTACAAGGGCGAATTCCGCATCACCGTGGAAGCCACCGCCACCATCAACTTGGGTGCACGTTTCAAATCGTACACCGTCAAGCTGGTTTTGGCGTTGGTGCTAAGGGAAATCGAGGGAAACTTGCTCCTCAAGGTGAAGCGGCCACCAAGCAGTCGGATCTGGTATGCATTCACACAAATGCCGAGGATTGTCTTGGACGTCGAGCCGGTCGTGAGCGACCGTCAGATTACGTGGAGCATGATACTGAGTACTATTCAGTCGAGGGTGAGGGAGGTGGTAAGTGGAAATGATCTCATACTGGACGATGTAAGAGGCTGAAAGCGAATATTAGATTCAGGAATCAATAGTGCTGCCCAACATGGACGATATCTCGTTCTTCGAGAGCACAAAGTACCAGCGCCGCGGGGGAATTTGGGCAGATGCTTCTCGTCACGAGCAACCGAAACCACCATCCTCATTTTCTCCACCTCTCACTCTTCCAAGCGAAGGCCGTTCAATGGCATCTGCGCAAGTACCAGACGCAGCAAAAGGCATACCGCTCACCACTGAGCTGCCGCAAATGCAGCGGTCTCAGTCCGCTGTGGAGCCTCAGACGGAAGGAGAATCTTCAGGACCTCCGGAGGGTGTTCCGATGCGTGCTACCGTCTCAGGTGTAACGACGTCCACACCTGCTATGTCGCCTCCACGGCGTAGGTCATGGTTCGGTGCTGTGGCCGGAGACGAATCGGAAGCGTCTAGCAGTAAACTGAATCCAGATGCGAGCTACGACGGGATCCAGAGGGGTAGATCTTCCGGGGCGGACAGCATCTCGGCGCGCAGGTCCGTTTCCAACCCGATCCATGTCACCGAAGACACATCGGACGGTTTCACTCCGCAAGCGCTGGACGGCGGCGACGGCGGTGACTCACTCGCGCCAAGTCTTGCTCGCCGGACGTCGTCGCATCGCTCTCATTCTTATTCCTCGTCTTCGCGGGATGCGTCGTCGCCACCGTCTTCGGATGAGGAGTCCCCCGCTCCTTCGGTCCGTTCCAGCATTATGGGGAACCGTGGCGTGCGGACGAACGGTTCCGTACATAATGCACCTGCTAGTCCAACAGCGTCTTCGTTCCTGCAGACTCTCAAGTCTCGTGCGGGAGATAAACAGGCGCTCAGCAATACGGCCAAGGAGGCGATGCGCAAATGGGGTGTAAACTGGGGTGGGTTGCGGCGCGAGAGCAACGGAAACACGAGCAGCGGAAATGCGAGCGGTCGAGACGATGCTGACAACGCGGATCCGCAGCACCTGCCAGAACCAAGGACGCATAGGCCAAGACCCAGTTACGCTGAGGTCCGGGCTACTGTCGAGCAACGACGGGAGCGCGGGCTCTCTTCGGAGCAGACGCTGGGAGCCGATCTTCGCGCATCCGACCCGATTCCAATACCGCAGAACGGGAAGGGGAAGGAGCGCGAGCGTAGTGTCTCTCCCTCTCCGTTACTGGATAACGCGGGATCCTCGGTTCATTCTACTGGTGGTTTATCAACGTCCACCCCGCCGCAGCCAGGTGCAGGTGCCCGATCGACTTCTATACCAAGGTCCGTCTCTCCGTCACTGGCCTTGCAGCGAAGCGAGTCGCACAAGTCGAACGATGAAGAGGAGCCGCATTTGCCCATTCACACGCAGCCACCCCAAGCGAGGACGATGACCATTCCAGGCATACATGCGAGTCATCGCGGAGAGGTCATGTCGATGGGCTATGCTCCACCACCACCGCCCCCCAATGTACCGTCGGAGACAAGGAAGGCGCCTGCCATCCAGAGCGTGTACCGTCTCTGGAAGAACCCCAACGCGCCTTCTTCCAGTCCACCGCCACGTGGGACAGAGTCTGCACCTGAAACGCTCTCTGGGTCCGGCGGACATGACCAGGACCCTGCGCTGTCACCACCCGAAGCCCAAGCTGACGCGCCTCCGCCACCACGCCCCGTTCCTCCCCCTCTTCCCCCACGCACGAACTCCGCACACGCTCTGCTGGCGAAGGCTGACGTGGTCAGGCGCGCGGCTGAGGCAGATCCGTCGGTGTCACCTGCCTCGGCAGCGTTACAATCAATCGTGTCGAAGGACAGGAGCAAACGGTCGTCGCTTGAACGTCCTGCAGTTGCAGGGGCGAGTGCACCGTCATCACCTGGCCCGTCGGGTCCAGAGGGCGCGTCCGACTCGGGGTCGGCTTCGCCTCCTTCCATGCCGGTCGACCCTGCTTCCTCCGCAGCCCCCGTGCAAAAGCTTAGCCCAGTGCCGCCCGCCCTTCCGCCAAGGAGGAACATGAACTCTGCCCCCGCAGCGTTATCGTGATCTTGCTCGGTCTGTTGTAATATGTCTGGTTCGCGCACTGTAATTTTACCTGCATTGCTGCTTCTGTCTTGTCGTGGACGTCACCTGCATATCTTATTGTCTCACTGTGGATTTACGTATCGCCCACATACAGTTGTCACTAGCTGGACTCGTGGCGGGGATGATGACCGATGACCGGTAGGCGTGCTACTCGGATTGGACTCGATGAGAACGATGTCAGGTCAGTCAGGTTGCCCCTGCCCAGTAGGATGGCGGTCAGATGCGCGTTCATCTCTGCCTCGTTCTTGGGAGCAAAATGGGTCCGCGAAGAGCGGTGACAGTTTATAGATATGATGATCACGGATGAGCACGTCAAGTTCTGAACATCTGAGCATCTGAACGTCCCCCTCGTCGACGTGCAGATGCACACGCGTGCCTTCTCTGAGTCAAAAAGTATGCCGTCGAGAAGTCGCTGAGGACGACGAGGACGACGAACGACTGCGCATGCTAATTTGAGTCAACGTTGATCGGGCGTGTGTAGTAAAAGCACGTTGCGGGGAAGTTCGCGGGTAGGTCGATCTCTGGCGCCGGCGGTGGTCGCCATTGCGACACCGGATAAACATTAGCCTCTGAGCTTTGTGCGTAACCGATTGCTCTTGCACTGCCAGGACCCGTCTCCGCCTAGCTCAGGTATTTATCTTATCCTCTTCTCTCCGACTCCCTTTTCACTTATTGTTCTACAAGGTTGGCAGAGACATTCACGAACACACATGCATGGCTTCTAACACCACCAGTCACGATACTCACGACACACAGAGGCCGAAGGCAGACGCCACCGCCGCTGCGCCTGATGATCCCGCCAACTCTCTCTCCCCTGATCCGTCAACTTATACCAAGTACAGGAGTCTCGTCATCTCCCCAAACCTCCATGCTGCCCTCGAGTACGAGGAACGCACGCGTCCCGGTGCGTACAACAACCTAGGTTACTCCTCAGGCTCCCCGGTCGCTGGTGGGCTGCCCCCGCCACCTCGGCCGAAGAGTCGAGGAAAGAGAGCACCCTCACCGCCAAAGTCTGCCGCTTCATCTGCACAGAACTCCCCTACAGTTTCTCTACACTCTATCGGCGCTGGCAATGCGGATGCTTCCTCGTCAAACCCTTATATCAACCCGGCACCGAGACTATCGTTCCTACTGCGCGAGAACACTCTGCCGGTAGCTGACCCTACCAGTGCGCCTCACGAACCCTTGGATGACCAGCACACGAATGCTACTACTACACGATTCCGTGACGATCCACCCACATCACCCAGAGACCCTATACCTTCACCGCAAACCGAACTCAGAAGGGCTTCCACAGATCTCCAGCGGCCAAACTCCCGACATAACCGGTATTTCTCCTCGTTAGCTCGAGTTGAGAAGATCTTCGGCAAGGGCAAGAATGCCCTCGGTGTATCCTCTGATCCCAACACGCGCAATGAGAGACGAATGAGTGATGCCGGCCTGCCTGAGGCGGGCGATGCGCAGGAGACGGGTAGTAAAGACACAGTGATGCGTCCATATCGACGCATTTTGGACCGCGGTGCGAAGTTGACCACTCCTTCGCAACATCACTACGCGCTGAGTGCGCCGAATTCACCGACTAGTGCGTTCCCCTCGTACATGTTTGAGAGGTGGTACCAACGACTAGTGTTTTACTGCAGATGGATTCCAATCGCAATCAGTGGCGTCGCCGTCGTCCCGTGTCGCATCGCCGACGGCTATTGCTGGCCAGGCGATGGTCCCTCGGCCTTTATTTTCCCACGCCCGCCAGGCGTCGGATATGTCGATGGGCAGTCTTTCTCCCGACTCTGAGTCCACGCACAACCCGCCCTCTACCATCACCCACACCCGTATCAGTATTTCCAGTACCATATACTCCTCTAATAGCCGCTCCTTCGACGACTCTCACTATCGTGCTCAAGGCCGGTCCTCCATGAGCGCAGATCGCGAGTCTTTTATCGACTTTGCTTCGCCTTCCTTCTCCTCATCCTCTTCGGATATCCCCCACGAGAACGGACCTAACAAGCTCGTCGTGTTTCCTTTTAGCGCGCCAGAATCATCCGCATCTAAGTTCAGTCCTAATATCGAGACGTCGTCATCGCCTGCGAAACCCGTACTGCCGCGCTTGACCACCACAACCACAACCACAACCGCTACGACCACCGCAATAACGGCAACGCCATCCGCAAAGCCCCCGTTGCCAACTGCACCGAAGCCGAATTTTCGTAGATCAAGGTCTGCTCAGCCCCCGACTCGCCGATCGCATCCTCCTGATGACACCGCCAGGCCCACCACGCTGCACATTTCCGCAGCAGACGCCGACCGCCATTTCCACGGCATGCCGCCGACGACAAATCTGCTAAACCCACGCGAGCGGGCAGAGCTTGTCCGCAAGACACAGAAGCTCACACATCTGTTCGGCCAGACACCAGGTGTCGCATTGGAAATGCCTGGTTCCGACCCCGTCATTGACGGCTGCCTGCCGGGAAATTTGTCGCTCAATTTAACGAAGAGGAAGCACCACAAGGGCACGTTGTCGCTGTCTGCTGACACACTGCTGTCAGGACGTAACCCTGCGAGCGGCCAGTACACGATTCCCGCCGTGCGAGGAAGGCCCACTCTGGCCCACCACGAGGATAACTCCACTTATTCATTTTCGTTTCCAGTGAACCGCTCGTCCGAGGACAGCGCGCGTCCGTCGAGAGACGTGGGGCATGTGATCGAGATAGGCTCTCAGAAAGGGGACCCGTCGAGTGATTGGGATAGCCATAACGGCCACGGACGGCCAGGCCGAGGGGTGGAATCGCCCACCTCGTTCATAGACCTGTCAGACGAGGAGGGGGCCCATGATGCCATCTCGGACCATCACCCTGGCCAGACGCCTAAAATCCGCAGGCGTCGCGACCGCCCACTGTCCCCTTCTTCCCCTTCTACACCGTCTCTGCTCAGCCTGTCCTCAGAACAGCAGGCGGAGGAGGAACGGCGGCGAAAGCGGGACAAGCTGGCCAAGCTCCACCGCTTCCTCGGATCCCGCGTTCCAGCGCACCTCGTACTTGGCACGCTCGACGAGGGCGAACCCTTGCCTGATCCAGCACCGTCGCCGCAAGGCGTCATGTATGAAGAAATCGACACTAGGAAGGTCCGCATGCCTCTCAGGCGGCGCCGAAGCAGCTCGGCGGCCGAGTTTTCTGCCACCTGGTCGAAGGATGTCGAGAGGCTGAAGGAAGACCTAAATGAGCGAGAGAAGGCGATTAACGTGCGAAGGGCTGTGAAGATGGAGAAGGTGCGTACACATTTCTAGTTCCCGGACCAATGAACTGATAGTCCGACCGATAGTTGTTCGGAGTCGCGCCCCCGCAGAAGTTGTACCACACTCGTCAGCCTGTCTTGGGACCTGTCAGTGGTGCGTCCGCGGTTCCGGGTGCGAGTGGTCCGCCACTTTCTCCCAGTTCCCCCGCGTTCGCTGCTGCACGAGGCTTGTCGACGAGTCCTCGTAGTAGCAACATCAACCAGTCGTCCTACAAACCCAAGTGGAAGAAGCAAGCCCGTCCTGGCACTGCCGAATCTTCCAAGCCGCTCATCACATCCGAGCAGGACGACATCCTCGATCCATCTCAGACCCTGTCGGACGTCTACCTACACTATCGTCATTCATTGAACTCGTTGAACGATATCATCGACCGGGTGAGTCGTCTCGGTGTCTAGCTTAACGTCTGAGTGCTTAGCTTATCCCCTCACCCGTCAGGACGATAAGCAGTCCTTGGCGGAGTTGCATGACTACCTAAGCGGCAACCAACAAGATCCTCTTCCTCAATCTCCTTCAAGTGGAATGTTTACCCTCGTTCCGCCGTCTGCGAAGGCCGACCGCCGCCACTCACTACCATCTCGAACATCCATAATCTCCGTGGCATCGTCTGAGTTCAGCATCGCCACTCCAACCCCAGAAGACTCGACGTTCCAAGCGCGGCGTCGCACAGCTGCCAAACTGACACAGTTCTTTGGCGTCAACTACCGCGATCTCATGAACGAGATTCTAGAGAGCATAGAGAAGGGCCTCGAGGACGAACGTGGCAGAGGCAGCTTGAGACCGGCGGAAGTTCAAGTACGTTTCTGCTCCGTTCCTTACATCCCTAGTGCTTACAACCACCCCAGGATCTGCAGCAGAAATTAGTGAATCTGAAGACGAAGCGGGATCGCTTTAACTAAAATCATCAGATACCAATGTTTGCATCGGACACACCATCTATGTTACTCGTCATCCCATATAGTACTCATCTTTCTTTAATGGCATATACGCTGCGCGCAAGTCATAGCTCGGTCTTCCTCACTCTGTACATCAGTCGCATAGCTTCCACAATGTACCGTAGCCTACAGTCTATAGGATTACAAGGTCGCCCTCGCACGAATGACACCAGAATATGTGAGCTTCATCCAAGAACTGTGGCTTCTTCAACGACGGAGATGCTGGTTCAGGGAAGGGCTCGACGACTGTAGAGAGGCCTGCGAAGCTCGGGAGGGGAGAAGATAACTTTGACGATGGACGAGAGGTGTTGATAGCAGCCGCGACTTCACTGTCAATGCGCGCCTTCAGCATGCCCAGGCTCACCCTCCGCTTGTGCCGAGCCTCCAGTGACAACCCGTCGAACGCGGACGGGGGCGGCGCAAGATTGGGTGACCTGTGAGACGTGAATGACGCGCGACGCAGCTCATCTGAATGGTCGACCGCCCGACTAGAAGGCCGGAAAGGTAGGGCAGATCTCTGCGACGCGCGAGAAGACGGACGTAGTTGCGCATGCTGATCCTCCAATACCGAAACCTGTTTCTGCAACGAGTGTGCCCGTGCTTCGGCCTGGAAGATGGACGTCTCGAGCGAGCGTATTTGTGACTGTGCTGAAGACAACTCGAGGACATGTTGTTGCTTCAATGAGCTCAACATCTCCTCGTCGAGAGAGTGAGGTCCGGGAGTGGATGGCGACGAGACCGCATCCCGGAGATGTTCCAGCTCTTCGTCTTTCGATGCGAGCTCAGCGCGCAGCGCATCCATCTCGCCCCGGGTATGCTCGAGGAAGTCCTGCGCTTCCTCCTGCGCACGCTGGCGCTCTTCCAACTCGATACGTAGTTGGGAGAGCTGTTCCATGTGCGTCTGCAAAGTAGAAGACAGATGGTCGACCTCCTCAAAATGACGCTCCGTCATCTGGTGGTAGTTGGCGCGTTCGGCTTCCAAGTCCTGGATGCTACTGCGTGTCTGCTCGAGTTCTAACTGCAGTTCAGTATATGCTTTGTGGAGCTCTAACGTGCTTTCGTGGGATGACGAGCGTTCCTTCTCCAAAGTAACCTTCGCCGCCTGCCGTTCCCTGTCCGCCTGTTCTTTGCCGTCCCGCAGCTCATCCAGGCTGGCTTCCAGCTGGGCTATGGTCGCGTCACGAGCTCGCAACGCGTTTTGCAGGCTGTCCGCTTTGTCAGTGAGATCCAGCTTGGCGTTTGTAAGCTCGACGATCTTCGGGCGCATCTCATTGACATTACGCATGAGAGTGAACCCTTCGGTCTGCAGCTGCGTCTGCATTCGTTCAGCCTCGTCCACCCGCAGGTTCGCCGTCCGCGCGTCGCTCTGGGCCTGCTGCAGTTGTCGAGCGGTGGTCGTCAGCTCTGCGGCGAGGCGTGCCAGTCTCTGTTGTAGGTCGTTGACAGCGCTCTGGCGGTCTTCTTCCTGGGACAGCAGAGATGTTTTGTCATTAGCCAAGCTGTCTCGTTCCGCAGCTACGGCTGCGAGCTGCTCCTGCGTCGTGGCATGCTGTTTCTCCGACTCAGCATGGCGGCCACGCCAGTCTGCCTCTGCATCAGTCCGCAGGCGGACCTGTGCTTCGAAGGCATCCCGCTCGGCTTTCATAGCACTATTGATCTGAAGGAAGATATGAATGACTACCGCAGGTGGCAAAGCATTGCATGTACCTGTTTCAGCTTGGAGAGCTGGAATTCTAGGTCATCAGCGCGGTCCTGGGTATTCTGCAGCGTCGCCTCCAGGCGTTCTACGCGATCATCGCTCTGGATTTGTTCTTCCAGTTCGTGTATCCGACGAGAATACTGCTCCGCTTGGTTACGCAATTCGCTAGTGGTACCTGTTAGCAGTTGGATTTCTCGCTCCTGCGGATCATCTATGAGGAAAACATCCTAATAGAAAGAACACGAGAACGAACTTGATCTTTGCATTTATCCGTCAGCACCTTCTCGCTGGACGAAAGCTGGATGAGCTGGTCAGCGGACTCGCGTCCTTCAGCTTCTAGCTGGTGCACGAGCTTTTGAAGCCTCTCTGCGTTTTCTTGCTCAGTTTGAAGTAGGCTTTCCGCTTCCTGCAATCCTGACCGGTGGAACTCGTGAATCATACAAATACAAAGCTGAATAATCCGATTCAATACGCACTTGACTCAACATCTCCTAGTTGCTCCAGCGAAGCAGTCAAAGATGTTTTCTCTGACACTAGAAGAGAGATGGTCTGCTGTTGCTGATCAGAGCGGTCGCCGTAGTCCTGGACGCTTCGTTCAAGCTCCTTGATGCGTTCATGGAGAGTCCGTGAGCTGTTGCGCTCGGTGATGAGGGCGGCTTCGGTCTCCTGGACCTCTGCCGAGACGTGTTAATACTATAGTCGCTGGTATCGAACGAAAGTGCATACTAGACTGCACCAGGTTCAATTGGTCAATGGTCCGGCTTAACGAGGCCGTCTCAGAAGCTAGTGTCGCCGCCGCTGTTTCCTCTTGCCGTTTCAGCTGTCCTGAAAGTTGTTTGGCGTCCGCCTCTATTCGCTGGAGATCCTTTTGAAGCTTTCCAGACTTTGCGCACTCTTCTTGTAGGAGCTCATGGGTATGCTGCGCCTCTGTGAACGCGGTCAGCAGAGAACCTGGTGGAAGAAACAACTCTTACTCGACTCCATTTGCTTTAGATGCTCCAGTGACGCAGTCAATGAAGCCTTTTCTGATTCCAACACAGAGATGGCGCGTCGTTGGTCCTGGACTAAGGCACGCAAATACTCTCGTTCAGTGGCATTAGTAGGCGGTGAGAAGGAGGGACTGGAGGCAGGCGGGCTGATTATAGGCGAGCTGGAAATAGGTGGGCTGATAACAGATGTGCTAGTTGCAGGTGGGCTAGTTGCGGGACTACCGGCAGTGGGCAAACGCGAGTATACTACAAGAGGTGAGGGAACAGCTACCGCATGCGACGGATTAGAGTCCACTCGATGTAGCCCGGACAGCCAGCTCGCATCTGAGCCATTCTCCGGAGCATGCTTCCCGAAACTGCATACGATACAATTAGCCGTACATAACACGAATTAGGGGTAGTAATATGTACCTACAGGTCTCCTGCATTCCTGGTGCCCTTCTCATCTTCCACGACCGTTAGGGAGGTGTCCGAAGGCGCAGGTGAGAATGCTCGCGAAGGCGGGAGGTTCGGGGATGAAATGGTGGGACTAGAAGCAGCTGGTGTACCACTAGCCTTCTGCTGCTGCCTCTTCTTGAGCTAGCGTAATGGTTCTGCGTCACTAAAGTCATCCTTAGAAACGAGATGTACATACCATGGCACGCGCTCGTGCAGCCTTCGCTGCACGGTCGTCCTCGGACATGGTGTGCGTGAATTAGAGACGTCAGTCGTCAACGTTGTCAGAAATAAAGCACAGAAGCTAACAAACAACCGAAGACAGGGAACAGGTAGGAGGTAAAGATGCACAGATAGCCTGACAGCGTAAAGGTGAGATCCACGTTCTGTGTCTTGGGCACGGGAGAAGAAGCACGTGATTTCTCGAAACTTAACTCGCATTGAATCTCGAAGACCGACCGAAGACAGACACCAGCTTGGTCCAGTCAAACAGGAGACGGAAAGTGTAGATTCTGTATTCTGTAGTGTCAAAGGAGCAGGGGAGGCACGTCGAGACAGGAACTGCCGCGTGAGCGCGAAGAGCGGAGGAAAGAGCCTCGAACAGAGTATAAGTCACAAGAAAAATGATGCCACTCCATGTTATATAACTGTTGAAGAAAAGTGCTAATGATGACGACGAACGCGTAAAGACAGGCTCTAGGCGAACCCGTAACAACGGGACGCAGGTGAGTAGTAAAAATACCCATATAAACTGACAGATATCGATATAGCGACAGAGGAGACTACGATCCAGGGTGCACTCGCAAAGAGGCAGAGACGATATGAGAAGCAGAGGATGTAATGATCATGGTATGAAGAAGACAGGCTCCTGTCCAATGGTGTTTACGCCCAAACCTACGCAACATAAGCTGTTAGCGCAAAGCCACCATGATCAGGCGCTTAAGATATCATACCCTGAGCGTGCTGTCCCAACTGCCTGTGCAGAGCGCCATGCCATCTGCGCTGACTCCCAAGCAGCTGACACGGTTCTCGTGACCAGTGAGAACACCCACTCGCTCGCCTTTGAGGGTGTCCCACACATTGCAGGTCCAATCGTCATAGCCACCGAAGAGAATGCGACCAGAGATTGAAAATGCGACTGAAGTAATACCGCAAAGAATGTTGTCGTGGGTGAACGAGTTCAGCTCCCGATCCGCTCGGATGTCAAACAAGCGGCAGGATGCGTCATCTGAGCCAGTCGCGAAGGCATCACCATTGGGGAAGAAGCTGAGACAGTAGTCAATAACTAAACGACTGTAAGAATCTCAGTAGACTCACTTCACAGCATTGATGTCTGACTCATGACCGGTGAAAGTCTGGGTAGCCTTACCACTGCGGATATCCCACAGCTTGGCTGTAGCATCACAAGCACCAGAAACAAACACATTCTGGTTAGGGCCCAGCGACAAGCTGTAAGAGACGGAATGAGTGCGATACGGACACGGAACTGCTGAGAATAAGTTCACCTCATCACGTCACCGGTGTGGTCACTGAACTCCACGACACGAACTCCTGCCTCAATATCCCATAGCATGCACGTCATATCGCCGGAACTGGTTACAATTTGACGATCGTTGAGGAAACGGCAGCAACTGAGGTAGCCCGAGTGTGCGCTAAGCTCACGAGCACCTTTGACGTTGTTACCTTCCTTCGAGTGCAGGTTGTAAATGGAACAAATGTTGTCGAGACCTCCACACGCAACGTAGTTGCCGGAGGGTGAATAAGCGCAGGTCATTACCCAACTTGATCGCAAGGGGATGGCGTGAACCTTGTTTGTGGTGTAAGCATCCCAGACGATAAGCTTGCCATCCTGCGAAGCGGAAACGAGATGTCTGCGGTCAGTCGCCCAGTGCATAGCGTAAATCTTGGCCAAATGACCGCGCAGAGCCCGGCGCGGCCGCATAACGATGCGAGGCAACGCAGCGACTTCCGCAGCCATAGCTCGCACTATAGTGACGCACAGATTTTCCGCATAAGCAACGCCTGAAGGGAAAGAAAAGAAACTACTAACAACTGGTGTCAGCTGAGGACTCTCTCCGTGCTCGGATTTTCTCCCTCAGGCTCTCTGCCTCGCGCCTGGCAGCCGCAATCCTCTCCTGGATATCTCCCTGGGGTGATTGAGACATGTTTTTGCACTGTTACCGAGCGGAAAGAACGAATAATTGAGCTGTGCAGAATGTGAAAATCAGGTGCACTGGAACAGGGCACAGAGAGACCGTCGCACGATGCTAGAAATCGCGCGCAAAGGGAAGAAGCAGAGCAACGGAATGAGTCTGGATTTGTGCGTGGGAATACCAAGACTTGCCCGCGGCGAAGCGAGATATTCAGTGATGGATACGAGGAAAGCTCGCAGAAGAAGGAGAGCAACCACGGCCAGCAACGAGAGCTACGAGGTGGGACAGGGGATAGACGGAGAGAGAGGAGATGGCGACTGTCAGAATATGGGACCGCTGATGAGCAACGGCCAGCGGACCTGTCCGCTCTCGTCCTCCCACGCCCGCTACCCGCTTCTTGCCGGCCCTGGTCTAGCACATCCTCACCCAATTTCCCTCACCACTCACAGCTACCACTTTTGCGGTGTAAATTCAGAAAAATGTCCAGCTATCCCGGTTTTTTTTTGCACATGCAGTCCGAGCCTAAGTCACCGCAAGCGCTAATGTTACGACAGGTAACCAACTCATCTTCCGTCTTCCAAGGATCGCTCACTGATGGCGTGACTCATTGACAGTCAGAGCTTCATCCATGGCCAGAGTACACATCCGTGTAATGGCCGCATGCTCCTGAAAATAATTCGTCCTGGTCGCAATGCAGCTGGTCCGCTCGGTCGCCCGGTTTGTCTTCGTGCAGGATTTTCTCCCAGTGTCCAGGCCCTAGCGGATTGCACACAACAGCAGCGACAGACCTCTGAATTCGTGCCATTTACTCTGGAAATTTCAGCGCAGCTACAGTCTCCCGACTTTGAATACCGCAATTGTGATCAACGATTTCAGCGATCACCACAGCGCCTCCCCCAGCGCCAGCTTCATTGCCCCCATGACATCATTCGTTTGCCTTTCAACCTCCTTCAAAGGCTGCGATGTATGACTGTACTGAGGATATCTCCTCGAGGGGGATATTTGCCATCTTCCCCTGCTGTAGCGCCGACATATTGTTTCCGAAAAGCCCGTGCTAGGAGTCACTCCGCTGACCTGTCTGAGGGTAATTGTCCTGGGGAGCCGGAAGCCGTGATCCAATACTGCGTTCAGCGCTGCTTCGGTACAATCTTATACTCCCGGTGTGCGTTCTATGGTGGATGTGGATGTTGAAACCCACCACCTCTGGCCCACTTCGGTAACATATTGGGCGACCGAAATTTGAGCGCGGTTGCGGTCTTTCTCTCCTGACGTTGGACGGAGCATAACCTCAAGGTTCCGTGAGACATTAAACAAGTACACGTGTGGATATGTGTTGAAGGGTGTCCTCGCGTGGGTATGGGCACCTGGCGTGCCTGCGACGCGCACACTTCCTTGCTGCACCAGATTGCCATTGGCGAGATGGCTCCGTTGCTATACGTAATAGCTAGGTATGTTTAGCTTCTGCAGGTATCTGATAACTGTGCTATTGCTAGGGGACCTTCCGTCGCAAAGCTCTCTTCGTGGAAACGGATCCCGAAGCTCCGCTTGTAGTCGGATCACAAACAGCGTCCCACATCCTACCGCGCAGTGGATTCAGTAACTTGCGGCGACTTTGTCTTTCAAATGGCGACCACATCTGTGGAGTTGAACCTTGAGCTTGGCTATAGTCACTAGAGTGGAAAGTGCCATGCACTTCAGCAGGAATGTGCCCCTAATTTATTGCTGGCGGTTGGTGAGCTCACGCTCTGCACTGTGTCAATAAATGGATAACTATGAGCATGTCCAAGTGTTTTGTGCTTTAGAAATCATGGACCGTCGGGCCTTTCCACTGAGCTTTTCACTTACAGTTATACCTTAGGCGATCGTCCTCTTATATCGGCCAGTGCACTGGAGAAAACGCCCTTGCAGACAACGCTGCAGGGGGTCCACAATCTGGCACATTTGGCTCCAAGGTGGTGCTATCTCGCAGTTGTGCTCACCACTGCACTAGGTGTGGTCACTGTTGTGTCCCCAGTCCTCTGTGGTTGTCGACTTGAGGTCTCAGGATTACAAGGCATTCCAAATCTCCTCCGTCTGGTTATGACATCTTCTTGGCAGTCGCTCTGTGGTACTGGTCGGGTGCGCTTGTGGTCGTCGTCTCTGCACACCAAGTCATGAGGAACATATGGTATGATGAGGAGGTTCCCCATAGCGTCTCTTCCTCCTATAAAATTTAGGACTACGGACTGGATGTGCTCACCAACACCAGCATCGCGAATAATCACAGCCCAAGCCCTGAACTTCTTCGAATATGTCCGACCCTTGTGCGTGTTGTTCCTGGTCAACAGTATTGGGCTTTCGGACTGACGGTTCTTGTACAGCTTACCGCACCCGGGTTCATGATTACGTCCAGAGGAACGGCTTTCAAACAAGGTTTAAATACGAGTATAAACCTGAGGGTCCTCCTTGGACAGTGGAGGCGTACTGTGAGTACGACCTCCTCTAGCGCAAGATGGCGCTGCAAACCAACGCCCACCCTCAGTCGATAACATTCTGTACGGGAGTGGCACAGCACAGACTCAAGCAGCAGCCAAGGAGACAGCCGCTAAACAAGCCTACGAAGCTTTCATGGGGGACCGTGGCAATTAAGTGTCTCTCTTGACCCTGGTGTAAGTAGTTGATTGTCCTGGATATGGTCCGGTCATGACGTGGATATTTTTAACAGGCTACACTGACAAGCAGTTAACTGTTTATTTGGTCAGGCAGTGATAAGTTCCTAGGTCATGACTTGACTACTCTTACTTGGCACTCAGTTGGTACTCGGTAACTCTCCTTCGAACGTATGCTACGTCTTCGCAATATCAGATTCTTAAGCCATAAGTACTTCCACCGGAGAATAGAAATTGGACTCGGAAATGAAAGGCCTGCCGCTTGTTAATTATTCGAGGCACGGGAAACACGCACGAATTTGGCAACGGCGCAAGTCTATAACATATCCGTTCAACCGTTGTGAATGTACCTGCGCACGTGTTTGATGTCAGAGTTGAAACATCTCCTCGCTTTTTGCCTCGAAAACCCCCCAATTCACTGGGGGTTTGCAGGAGACAACATAAACTAGTGGTTATCCCCCGATATCATGTGTCTTGCAGACATTCCGCTCCGGGGGAGCGACTCTGCGTCTCGCTGAGCTGCGAAACGAAGATTTAACCATATTTCTGGACGTACGGGGGATTCGAAATGGACATGTTCGGTCACAATAGATGGACAAATTTGCTATGGACTTGGACCGTCCCGCAAATCTGTTCCTTTCCCGTGAGTTAGGGTCGAAGATAATCACCTGCCGCATTTGGCTAGTAGAGAAGCTGATCTACGAGTCCGACTCGGAGTCGTTGTGGACGAGGTCAATCGAACATAGGCCAGTTGGACCACAACTAAAGTACTCACCCTGCGCGAATTCCTGGACATTGACTGTAGATCTATTACGCTCGACGCTGCCAGAATGGACTGCTCTAGTGCCGGCGTAGAGCGTCGTTCACGATAAGTTCGGCTCTTAGTCCCATGCAGCGACCACGCTGGGGCGTGGCGGTCAGCATGCCATGGACGCAATCAGCACATCGCTCAGCGTGGCAAAGGCAAGGGTTTCCGGCCAATACCAAGATCTTCCGACCTATCAGATTACCGGACCACTCACTCAATTGGGACCATGGAAGAACTTCCAGTACGTATATTCCATGGCCGCAGTGTTTCTTACTACCCGCAACTCTCATTTTATCTCGGCGTCCGCAGACAAGAACCGTGTTCACACTGTCGTTGATGCGATACACGCCTTGGGCGAGGCTTCCGCCTTTGTCTTCGAACTTGTCCGCGAATATTCATCTTCACTGCTCTGCAAATCAGCTTTGGCCTCGCTTTAACCCTCCTGCTTTTTCTCCCGGAGCTTTTCACCGGCAACCTCGAAGACCAAGCGTTCAATGGCGTAGTGGATGGCGGCCTTCGGTAATTGATACGCTTTTCCCGATTTTGGTCGTTCCCGTTCGTGAATCTCATGGCTTCGTTCTCGCGAGCGACCGCTCTCCACTCCAAAATAATTATTGCGCCCCATTTCCCATCGGCCACTAAAATTCTGGATCGAGAGCAGCAATGATGCGCGCGGTTCATGTAGTTCATGACTTCTCATTGTTCGCAGAGGCTGTGAACTAAACAATTGCGTGGCTTTGGATGGGCTCGATTGAACGCATGAACATGCTGGCTTGCTTGAGGGTCATGTACAAGCGAGGTCTGTCGTATAAAATGTCTTCTGTCTGGAGGAGTTGTCCTCTAACCACCGAGATACAAGAAACATGTCTCTAGGTCAGCCTTCCCAATCGTCCTGCACCGTTTCCCCACCACTCATTTCTATCCCACAGACGGAACTGTTGCGCTAAATAACTGTATGCCATACTTGACGCCGACGGTTAGCTCTCCATACTCATGCCTTACCGACAGATTTGCAGTCCAAGAACCAGCACAGTCTTGTCAGTTGGGTTGACACTACATCGGGTCCTCGCCACGCTCCAGAGTGGACTTCCACTTGTAAATGTGGGTGTTTGAACCACTATCAAAATTTCCTTCTGAACTAATATATTTTATACAGTCAATGGCGAGGTAATCGGAGTGGGTCAGGGGGCCCAGAAGCATGTTGCTAGAGATGCGGCCGCCAAAGCGGCATTGGAAGTTCTCACGCAGCAGGCGGCTGCCAACGACGAATGAATGACGCTAAGCTTGGTGGGTAGAAGGAAACCCGCTCGCGGTCTCATCCTATGGATGCCCAGTGGCATCGTCCAAGGCAGTTTGTTTCGACGGGCCCGTCTCGAATCCCTCTAGCCGTTACTTGTTATTCTTCTGATTTTTTTGCTCTATACGGCCCCATATGATGTGCCATTGTTCCTCTTCACGTCCGAAGGACTTACCTTGTCGAACGTGTTGAATATTTCCTGTTGTCCACGAATTTATTAAGCCTCACACACTTTCAAGAGGTGGTCGAGCGGATTCACAGGAATTCTACTCCAGTTAGTAGTATGACGTGAGTATTCAAGGGCTTTGTGGCGTCTTGTGCACTTGAATATCGACGCACATGGGGAGTTTGGTCCAACACGCTTCTGCCGCATTAGTGCTCCGAAACGGCTCGGTCCCTGGCTGCACGCTTCCAGTGCATGCACCACAATTTTTTGTACACCGAGCCTCTTCCCAGTTCTTCACCCTGCGGTTTGACGGTGCAACGACCGCGCGACCGCGGTGATCGAGCCAGCCTGCGCCAAACCCCCGGTGTTGGCCGCAGGCGGCCACCCTCCTCTGCCAGTTGCCCGGCGGGGAGAGCAGCTAGCGCAGCATCTCTCGGTACTATCATCTATGACGCAAGACTCCTGGGCGGCCTACCACCGTGCCTTCACCAGGTAATTCAGCGCGCGCTCGAAACGTGGCCACGTCTACGGTCTTGCGGATATGGTGATAAGGTTATTAACTGCCAACACTTTACTTGAAGCTCACCTTCTTCTGTTTCCATTGCCTTGCCACGCAGGCATCTCTGTCTTGGTACGTCTTGGACTCCGTTCCTGTCATTTTAAGAGCTCCGAGGAATTATGCGGCCGCAACACCTGTACTTCGTCGTCGAAGGAACACATTGTATGTTTATTCCTAAGTGAGAGAGTCTGTTGGTCTCTCCGTGTTGGCCACTCATCAGTGTTGTAGTGACTGTTTGTGATTGTGTTGTGAAAGCATCCCAACGTGCCGGTGCTTTCTTGGAGTTTTCAAGTTGGAAGAACTGCCTCCTTGGCGCTCATCATTTCGATGGCGTTAGACTTCAAATTGTTGGTAGCTTTGTCCCACTATTCTCCGGGACGGCAGGCAGAAACCTGTTGAACAGTGTTCCGTGTTTTGTTGATGTATGAGTAGCCTTGGTCGAGCGCTCAGCTTTCCTCTCTTGTCCTAGGGAATGTGCGCTCATGAAATCATAGTTCGCACAACTGTCTTCAGTCGGCCGACAGCAAAGCCATCTGGTAGCGCCAAAGACAAAGGCTTCGATGCGCATATGTCATACGCTTTCCATAGGAGGCGCTGCGACCCTGAGAGCGCCACGGGTAAGGGTTGTAATATTTGTCTGTGGCTCCGATTTTACTGATAATTTCAGCTGCCCGACTGATCCGCCAACACGTTACTGGCGCTCTCAATATTTCATCGCCGTTCATTACTGTCTCAAGTGATACCGCATCTTGACGGAGGGCTTCTCTGACTTGTGGGCGCCCCGACGATTATCTCACTTCAGTGTATGTACTTGGATTATCGTAAAAAATTTGGCGAACTTACTAGTCACCGTTTGTCGCACTGCTTGCGCTCGTGATATGTGTACTCCATCTACTCGCACAGCACCCTTCGATTGCAGTTACTGTCTGTCTCCCCTCCGTATTCAGACGAAACCCATGACGACATCTTTTCAACGGACGTGGATACACTTTCTGTCCAAGGTGTCGGCTCTGGCGGCTTATGACTTGCTTGCACTCAGCGCCACATCTCTGTCGCGCTTGTTTACGACCAAAGTGTGTACTCCGTTATACATTGCTTGAGCGGTTCTCCATCGGAAGGAGGTAAAACACCGGGCATTCAACTACCTGAGATGCTATGCCGATTTGGGGCATCCAGTCTTTTTTCTGTATAGTGAATATGGCGCGCACTGGGTATATATAATGGCCCTGGTTTGTCTGCAGTGCCTCAGTCGAGTATCTGTCTATCGCATTCACATCTTCTCATAATGTCTAGTACGTTTCTGACAATGTTCTTTGAGCTCGAGAAGGTGACATTGACCGTACAGGAAACTACTCTATCGAGCTGAACAACTGCAAGTCTCACTCCCTTCTTGTTCACGATCTGACTCACCAGAATGTCATTTAGATCTCCAAAAGAACAACCTTTCGCACGCCATTAGCTGGCTCAACGAACAATGTGGGGGCGGTAATGCGGAATGGACCGTGACTTGTAAGAGTAAGTGGCGTGCTTTCCAGTGCAATGATTCACCCTCACCTGAGATTGCAGTAAATGGGGAAGTTAAAGGAGTTGGCAAGTCTTCAAAGAAGAACGCGGCCAAGGACTACGCCGCTAAGCAGACCTTGAGGTCTCTTGGTGTCCAGGTTGATTAGCTTCTTCAGCATGGCTATATCAATCCGTCCCTCCCATCTCTCATAGGACTGATTTTGTAGTCTGGCTTTGGGAGACTAAGCATGGCTTGCGTTGACTGCCAGACACATAATATAATGGCACGCAGTACGATAGTAGTTTCACTTGCCTCAATTCTCACTCCTATTCCTTTCGTCACCTAGTTATGTTTGACAGCTGTCCGTCCCTCTTCTCGAGGCCGATCTGTTCTTACTTTCCAAATATATGCTTGTGTGTGGTATTACGTAATCTGCAAGAACTCCGTCTAAAATCCGTTTAACTTCGATAGCTTTTAGAGATGCTATCACGTAGAATAATCCCCTTTCTCGTCGCTGGCATAACAGGTCAGGGATTTACTCCTTGTTAAATGTTGACGGAAGCTTATAGACAGTAGGCGTCGTCTCAGGCGTCTATATATTCAAGCCATTGTTGGATGAGAGTTCAAGGAACGATGTTGACGCTACCAAATTGTCAGTTGTTTCACCAGTATATTGACCACCAATTACTATGTCTTATCATCGTAAAAATGGCGGGAACAGACCTGCCAGTGAACCGCCAGATTCACCAACCACGTCATCTCCCGCGACCGTGAACTATTTTGCGACGAAAGGGGAACAGGCGAAGGACGCCACTCCCACAATCTCCGCGAAGGCGAAATGAACGTGTTCTCGTTGATGGACGCTCCTGCTTGATCGTTCTCATCTATCTGATCGTTTGTCGGCACTTGCATCAACTTCAAACGCTACCTGGGGCACGGGGGCATGGAGAACAACTAGAGGCACGCGGGCACGTAGACTCCGAACAAGTACTTGAAGAGTCAACACCGTAAACGGATCATGTCGCCCAGGTAACTCAACTGCGTATATGTGACGTTGAGGCGTTGCCGAGTCTTAGAACACCGACCTGAACATGGTTGCACCAACGCTAAATACAGGGGCCAGATGTTCCGCCATCTGCACCCCTCAAGATGGTGTTCAGCATTGTTTCTCCGTGAACGCCTAAAATTGGTCCGCGAAGAACTCCCTGAGTCTGGGTGTTCAGGACCTAACGTCCATACTCCCGTTTGGCTTCTCACCACGCGAATTGTGCGAGTCCACTCTTCGTTCCCATATCTGTGCAAATTGTCAGGAAGAAAGTAACATGCAAGGCATGGCTTAATCCTACCTGCAAGACAGTTTCGCCCAAAAAGATCATCTCCTTTCGGATCTCTTCAACAATCAGATCCTGTATCTGGTACCACTTCTCACTTTCTCCACCCCCGGCCCCAGCACGCAGGTGCACCTTCCACACCGTGCTCTCTTTATCACGGGTCGTACCTGCGGCTGATTCATGCGTCACATTCGCGATCAGATCGTAAAGTGTGAGCGGGTGTCCAGGCGGTGGATCGAGGTCTGAAATTCGTCGCAAGATGGGTAAGATAACAGAAAGCCGATAAAATTCTTGCGTATGTGAAACTCACATTCTCGGAAATCAAGGCCTCGCAAGGGAAAGTTTACGATGGTGGGGTTCTTCTCCTCCACAAAGATGTTCTTGGTGAAGCGCCTGAAGTGCAGGATGATGTAAGGAGGAAGACGCTGGCATTTAAATCGCCGTAGCTGTCCAACAGATTCCTGAACGGGCGTGTCAGCGGAGTATTGAGTATAGCAACCCGGACAAATGGGTACCTGTGTAGTCCGACCGTCGTACTTTGCTAGTACAGAATGAATGCCGACTTGAGGGATAATGTTCTTTTCGACAGCATCTTGGAAAAGCGGCGGCGGCGGCAGGTCAACCGCAAGGAACAAGAATGGAGATACAGTTGATTTTATCTCTGTCAATTGTGGTATGAGTGTAAGGAAAGTATTCACACGCAGTACATGCCTCGGTCGATGTCGAAACGCGGCTTCTCGTGTTCTCCAGCGTCGGGACGCACGATCACCTGCTGTGTTTCCATCCGGACCTGTCCTTGGAAAGCAGCAAAAATTATACCTTGACAATGCGCAGTCAGCAATCAAGTAAGGGCAATTCTCCATCGGATTGCACTCACTAGAATCTCTTTTCTTCGTACCGCCCAGATCCTTGTGGAGATGGTTCAGTAACCATCCTAAGAATTCCACCGGATCGCCCTGTTTTTCTAGGCTGAACTTACCCCCACTTGCTCTGCCAACTTCCTGCAGGAACTCGTGCGGGCTGACTTGGCTCTTGAATAATCTGGGGTTCCAAATTTTCTTGGCAAGATTAGCGAAGCGCTTCAACAGTTCCGGCTCCTTGCCACGATAATTAGAGAGCAATAAGTAGTCGCGGAGAGGAGAGACGTGAAGCAGTGAGTGTATGATGACATTCATGTAGTCGTTTCGTTTGATATCATTGAGTCCTATATAGCCAGGAGTATACGGTTTTGAAGACAAGTCGTACGAAGGTTTTAGAAGATGTGCAGGTTTCGAGAGATTGGCAATGGATAATGGCGTAAAGGACGGTGCGAGAACAAATGCAATGTCTTCCAACGACGGATCAGAGACAAGGTACCCGTCAGGCAAAACATAAACCTTCAATGCAACTTAACCTACAGGCTTGACAAGATATGCAATGAGTCTCACCTTGGTGGTCTCCAAATTTATGAACACGTGGTGGTCATCATGTATTGCATGCGCGTACGCGTATGACTTGCGTCCTCGTCCTTGGAAGTACTTGCCACACACTAAACAACCGTAGATGTTGATGTTTGAGAGAGAAACGGAACACACTTTCTCGAAATCAAAGTCGAGAACAGCCCTGTTTATCTGGTAGAAGGTGAGTGCTACTTCCCACAAGCCAACGGAATCGCCGTACTGTATCAAGGTACAAGTCCGAAGCCCGCGATATCTCCGGTTGGTCATTCACCTCCACATCCTCATTCTCCTCAGTGTCCTCATCAAGTCGCGTCTGCTCTTCGAACTCCTTTGGTACTGTAACCTGGGTATCAGGATCTATTCGTGGCCGTTTCAGGGGCCTTCCATCCTCTTCTACGTCCGCTTCCGGGGTAGAGCGTGATGGCGGCATGCTCCTATCTGTTTGAGAGGCCACCAGAACTTGGAAGTAGGATGGAAGAACACTAGTGATTGCAGGACCCCTGACAATAGGTGGAGAGGCCTGATCCAAAATTCTGAAAATCAGCCCCAAACATCCGGAGAAATTTTGTGATTTTTTGGCCCATACTTCCGGATGAGATCAGACCTTCGTCCAATTTTTGGGTTCCTGTCCGGGTACCGCATCAGGCTTTTCGACCACCGACGGCCTATATAAGGCAGGTATGGGCGCTTCTGAGAGGCGGCGGCTCCGCCGCCGGCTCGAGGTCGGCGCTTGTCGGCTTCCGGGGCGTGGATGGCCGGCTGAGGATCAGGCCTTCGCCGAAACTGACAGGAACTGCCGGACATGAGATCACCTCCGGAGGCCTTCAGGGCCCTCCGACGTCTGGATGAGATCAGGCCTAAGGTCTCAAAAATCCCAAATTTCGTCCGGATAAGTCATCAGGCCTCTCCACCTATAGTCAGGGGTCCTGTGATTGCTGGGTCCAGTGGGCGAAAGGCAAGAAAGGTCGCACGTGACCACCCGATCGAGCACTGCGGCAGAATCAGATTTTCAGCGTGAAGTTCAGCGGCACGTTCACCATCCCTGCATATACCCAGCTCCTACTGAACAAAGCAGTTGCGATGCCTCCAAAGTCTATATTTCGGCAGCCAGAGGCGCAGCACTTTCAACTCGTTCATCGGTCTCAGCGGGATCCGCTCATACATGACCCCGAAGCCAGCCAACATGTTCTGAAAGCTTTTGAACGGAGGAATTTGGCCAAGGTCTCTTCCACTTAATCTCGTTATCTTACGTCTCTAATGATCTATATCAAGGGAAAATCTAGAGCAGATTTAGAAGGCGTAATTACTCCCTCGGCCTTGGCTCATGACAATGAACGGGCCAATATCGGGCAAGCGGCCCTCTATGGCGTCTACTTCGATGACACGGAGTACGATTACATGCAACATCTGCGGACTTTTGGCCTGCAGGAGGATGGTGTCGACAGCATCCTCATAGAGGCCCCCGCTAAACCCAAGGCTAAGGGCAAAGCCACAGATTTGTTCGATTTGCCCGCGGAAGCACTCCCATCTACATCCGAGCTGCCGCGTACGTACGAATCTCAGCAAGCTATCCCTTCATCAATAGCAGGCTTTCAGCCGGACATGGATCCGCACTTGAGACAGGCGTTGGAGGCTTTAGAGGACGATGATTTCATAGAAGATGACCTTGACGACGACTTCTTTGGCGAGTTGGTCCAAAAAGGTGAACGGGGCACAGACGAGCACGTCGACTTCGCGTTCCGCGAAGACGGATTTACTGACGGAGAGCAGGAGAAGTCGACGCCTGGAACGGAACAGACAAAGGGGACAGATGATGAGGATCCCAGTTGGGAAGCGAGGTTCGCTCAGTTCAAAAAGAATCAAAAGGCTACTTCTCGGAATGGTACCTCTGATGTCGATGCCTACTCGGAAGGTGGCGACACTGTTGGAACTCTCCCTCAACTGTCGGTTATCGGTGGTAAGAGGAGACGCAAGGGTACCTCGGATGCCTCAGGGTTCAGCATGAGTAGCTCTTCCATGTTCCGTAATGAGGGATTGACTCTTCTGGATGAGCGTTTTGATCAGGCGAGTAATGATTGTTGCAGCGACTGTTTTGCACTAACCTTTTAATCGCAATTGAGGTCATCAAAGAGTACGAGTCGGATGAGGAAGACGAAGATGGTGTCGATTCCGACGACTCAGATGAGGCCCCAGAGCTCATCACTTCTCGTGAAGATTTTGACTCATTGATGAGCGAGTTTCTGGATAACTACGAAATCCTGGGTGGCAAGATGCGACCAGTCCTTCCCGGTGGCACAGGCATGGAGAAATTGGATTCGATCCGCAAGGGGCTAGGCACTATCACATTAAGAGTGCAGGATGAGAACAACAGTGAAGATGAGATTCTAATGCCTCTTGACGTCGACGACAAGAAAGACAGATGGGATTGCGAAACAATTCTTAGTAAGCCCTGCCCCTTCCTTTGTATGTTGTCCTGATTCCTTGCTGCAGCTACCTACAGTAATCTCGAGAATCATCCGCGGTTGATTCGCGCTAGTCGAGACAAGGCTGTTCCTAAAATCCGCCTTGATCCAAGAACAGGCCTTCCGATTGTTAAGGAGAACCACCCTCAGTCCCCTGACGACAACGCGCAGAGCGGAACGTCTTGGGTATCGGATGACGAAGATGATACACGCCGTATGTCTCCCGCAGAGCTCCGTTCTGTATGTTGCTCATCGAGCGTAGCTACCCGGGTCACTGTCACAAGGTCTAGGAACGAGTCGAAGGAGGACAAGAAGTTGCGAAAGCAGGCTGTCAAAACTAAACGCCAAGCTCGTCGTGCGGACAAGAAGGCGACGACGGAGAAATTCACAACGGAAGCTAGTCGTCAGGCTAGGATGCTCGTGAACAAGGAGAAGACGAAGATGCGGAAGCTATGATGCTCAGTTGCGTTTGGTATTATACACAATCAATGACGATAAATGGAGGGTATAAGGCGCATAAGGCAATTGCTATGTATGCAGTCAAGAGACACGATTTAGGTGCGAAGTCCAAGTGATGTGAGTGTTATGGTACATTGAAGGCTGGCGCAACGCGGGAAGACGAGATGCAGATCCAAAAGATGCGGCATAAAGGGGGAAACATAAATCACCAATCTGGCCATAAGTCAAGCAGATTGTTGCCCTCTTCTTCTGGTGCATCGTGCTGCTTCATCCACCTATCAGGAACCTATCGATCACGATAAGTAAAGAAAGAGAAGCGACGGACAGTACGTACCAATGGGAAGTATCGTTCCATAGCACTCAGAAAACGTTGGCGATATTGTCGAGGACCAATGATCGTAGGCTCCCCTTTATTCGCCCCACCTAAGAAGGCAGAATCCTTGACCCAGCTTTCCAATTTCTTGTCCCACGTGTAAGTCCTGATATAGTCTGCAGACGCCTTGAGCAGATGCAAGTCTGAAGAAAGACAATTACCCACCAACAACACCCACGACCAGCTCGTTTTTTAAGCTGTCGACACCAACCACCAGCGAGTAGTCCATTACGTTGATATCAGCAAGGAACTTGCTGTCGTTGAAAAGAGAACCACGGAGTATACGTTTGGAGTGTTCGCGAAGATAGAATGGAGCTAGGTGAGAGGCTATGAAACATCAGAAGTTGTCAATACAATGGACGCCTGCTCAGTTGAACACTCACTTTCAACCAGATTCTCATCCAGAAGAACCTCGTTTTCTCGTCCAGTCGACTGCACGTGCCTATTGCGCGTCGACCCCTTCAGGTCGTAGATCTAAAAGGAAATACGTTTGTAACGACCAGATGATGAACAACATTGGAACGTGCCTTGGAGAAACGACGGTCGTAAAAGAGATTTTCCATGACCAGGAGGTTCATCTGTGTCGCCTTTGATTTGCTTGCTCCTTGATGCTTGTGAGTCTTGCGAAAGGTGATCTTGAAACAACCAAAAATCTTTGCGAGAAGGGTTGGGCGCTGAAGAACATGTCAGTATGCTCCTTGGACACGGGGCTAGATGGACCAACATTAGCGACTACTGCGCTTGACATGTAATCAAAGTAGGCAGGTGCGAAAGTTTCCATTGCTTGGAGTTCGGCTCTTGATAATTCCTTGGCAATGAACCGATCATCTGCATGAGATTCTAGTAAGTAACGGTTTACACCGTCGAATAAATCGACATACCGAGAGTCTTCAAGAATGCTGAACCGGACTTTCCTCCGTTTGCATCCCATTTCACGCATCGTGCTAGCGATTCTATCATGCTTCTCTCACAATCATATGTTCGGCGGAGGGCATCAAACTGCTCAGGATAAAGCACCGTGCAGCCAATTGTCAAACCACCACTTTCAAAAGCTATCCAGAAAGAAGATCAGGCAATAAAAATCGTCACATGCAGTAAGATACACTCACAAATGGCCCATGGCTGCTTCGAGGAAGGCACCCGTAACTCCTCTGTCGGATCTCCGCCTTCTGAACTTTCCACATTGACAACACCCCATGTGGATGTGGAATCAGCAACGGATTTGTCATCGGGCATGAAAGCTTCGCCACTACCGTCTGTCAGCTTTGGTTCCTTTGCCTGACGTTTCTCAGCACGGGATCTAGCTAGCATGTCTCGATATTGAGGAGAACTGCACCATTGTTAGCAGAGAGGCTAAAATGAACGGTGCATCATACTTACTTCAAAGCTAACGCGATGATAGAAGTGGGTTCGTCAGTGCGCACAACCATTGACGAATTGCGGAAGATGTGTTCGGGGTCAGACATTGGATCATCAATATCCACGTCCACTCGGTGGCGTGGCTGCGGGACCTGTTGAGGCCAAAACCCAGACAGCGCCTTCAGGATAGAATGACGTTCTGTACCCGGGGCACCGACGTCCAGGTCAGGAGTAGGAGAAGCTAATACAGTGGTATCAGATGTTATGGCAGACAATACGGGTGACCCAAGCATTGATTCAGACGAAGCAGCATCATGAGCCAATTCTCCAGGAAGAGAATCGAGTTGGTCTTGTGCAAGAGGCTTTTCAGGTAGAGCAGACGATTCGCAGACAGCATGAATCTCAGTACAGCTTCCAAGATGCGTATCCTCTAGAGGTGAGGATTCTGCCGGCTTGAGTTGCGCATTATGTCCAGGCAACTCATCATCGTCATCTTCATCGTCGGCTTCGCTAGAATCTGAACTCTCAGATTCGTCCTTAATAGCATCCTTGATACTATCGAGAACCTCCACTTTCGCGCGAGCAGAAGCCACTGGACGCGGTTTTCTACCTCGAATCACAGCATAGCGTCGATTGGTGCGTTCGCTGTCTTTGCTGATGCGCTCAAAGTGCTTTGTGATGTTAGAGACTTTGCTTCCAGGACCCGGTTGTCGCCTGATCGTGGATTTCGGTCCAGCGCTACTAGGAGGACGCGAAGGGGGTGCCCTTTCTCCTATCGAGCTACGCTGGCCTGGTTTGATTCTTCTCTTTGGGTTGAAAGGCGTAACAGTGTTCTGTCTTCCCGCGGAAGGGGAGGGAGGCCTATCACTCCTTGAGATAGACTCTAGATTCACAGGCAACAACACTGACCGTTTATCCGGGGAAGCTCGGCGCGATGGCTCTCCAGAGTCCAACGAGGACATGGCAGGGCCAGGAATGCGACTGTTCTGAATACCTTGCCCAAACGGTCGTCTGGCGTGCGTGAGATACTTGGGTGCAATGTTAGCAGCATAACCCTGCTCGAAGTCGGATGCAGACGACTTCCTGTTGAGGAGCTGACGTTTCCCTTTGCTGCGTATGCGAGATCGCGGGAGATGCACATCTTGTTCACTCTCCGACACAGGTACGCCAGGAGGGAATGCAGTCTTTGTCAGCTCTTCCACACCCTGAGGCGGTAAGAAATCTTGGTATCTCTTGACAAGCTCGGCAACGCTGGGGTAATTGGTTGGCCTTCTGGGTAGCCGTGAGACATACTGCAGTGTACGTTCAACATCATTCCCGTCTTGATCTAGCTGAGAATAGCTACATGAGCTGAATTTTGTCTGTCCCAACTGCGGTTGATACTTACCGATATTGAAACCTCCAGGGAAGAAATAGCATCTCCGCGCTCCACGCCAATAGTCGAGTCACTGTCGTGATCTGATTTGACGGACACTTCAGCTACAGCTGAAGGTGTGAAAGGAACCTCAGTAACAGAGGATTTCGTTGTCCCTGCGGCAGGTAGCTTTTCCTTGCGTCGCATGACAGACTCCGTTTCGGAAGCATCAGAAGCCGAAGAGGTCGACGCGAACGATTCTCCGGTAACCCTCCGCATCGAGGGACCTCCTTCTTCTGCCTCGGAAACACTTGACGAAGGTGCCGGATGGTTCTCAAGGGGACCGTATGGTCCATAGACCTCTGTTCTCCTGGGCCACATCGCACGCACTGACCCAAACGCTGAGGCCTTCCTGCTGTTACGGTCAATCGCTCTCGGTTTCGGCAGCTTATCGAAGTCTTGCTGCCATGCGACAATCTTGTCTTGACGATAAGCTCGCACCTGGTTTAGTGCGAGAGTGTCTGTCGGAGGCGTCTCTCGGTAGAGTTTGTTTACGAGCTTAGCAATATCAGTCTTCTCTAATTCGGCCTTCGTAATTAAGTGGTTGATTTCCGCGGTCAAGCGAGCATCCGATTCTTCATCGCCAGTGGCCGCATCGATGGTTATCAGTTTGAGATCGTCAACCAACGCTGAATGCCAGAGATTATTTCTGAGATGCAGTCGCTCGAAATCCGAATTCTTGATTTCCAGCTGGGTTTCTGGACGAATTCGAACGCGCATGGGTGGATAGACGATCTCGTGTAGGACTACGGGATCTGCCTGAAAGCGTACCGTCATACCTCTGATAGCGAAATACCTGATGTGATATTGGTAGATGTTATGGTGGCAGCCTGCACCCTGGACAAGCTGCACATCAGCGGGGTAAAAGTGGAGCTCGAGAAACTTCGCAAAGGAGTATCTCTGCATTTCTGGAGAGACAGGGATGAATGGCGTTGCTGAGCCACAGACTCGACAGGCACTCCAAGTGATGATGGTATCATTGTTCGTCCTGTTCACAATCTGGCCATCCCACTGCTCCACAGCAACAATCAGACGGGTCTCGTTGTGCACGAAGACTTTGCAATGGCGGGCTAGTGGCTGATTGCACGTCTTGTTCTCGCAGATCGCTCTGGGATCCAAGAAACGAACGAGAGTCTCCATGACGGACTGTTCTATGAATTGGCCGAGTGTGCAATCATTTTCCCCGTAGAAAGTGATGTACTTCAGCTGCGGAGGAAAACAAGCACGATGGATCCCAATTTCTGTCATGGGTATTGTAGCTTCCCACAGACTGATACACTGGTACTTCTCAACGTCAAAGTCGTCCTTGTTCTTGCGCAAATACCATTCCCAGATGCGGCGATGCTCCGCATGCTGCCATTGCACATGCTTGAGTCGACTCTCAAGCCTAATGTCCTCCAAAGTTTTCATCGGAGCTGGAAGTTCCTCGCTCAGAAGACGAGGAAGAGGAGAAGTCATGACGCCGTTTGAAAGTGGTTTCGATGGGAAGCTAGCGCTCAGGTCGAAGTAGCTGGGGTGTTCATCCGGCACTGAACTTGTGTCCTCGGGCACAGGAGTCATCTCTAGTTCAGGAAGAGGCAAGGACTCAATCTGGGCTGCAACATCGTCCATGTCTGGGGATCGTGGGACGCTCTGGGCCTGCACAATGGTATCCTCCTGCTTGTGGGCAGAAGCAACTTTTTCCTCTCGGCGTATGACTTCGTCCTCCCACTCCCTTTTGACGCGGATTAGCTCGTCATCCAGCTCCTTCATCCGACGAATTGGGTATGGAGGGGGGAAACGCAGAGTGGCGGAGACAGATATGAACGTCTTGTGGTATGGTTCGAGTGACTCCTGTATGCGTCGCGACAGACGCATTTGCTCCGCGTCTTCATCCGGTAAATCTTCCACCATGGGATCGAAGTATGCCTTGTCCGAGGCTGTCTCCTTGGTCTCGCCAATATGTTGAGACAACAGATGTTGCATCGAAACAGAGATGGATGGAACCGACATTGATGGACTCATAGAAGCGGAAGAGTAATTGGCCGGAGTGGCTTCCGCAGTGAGTGGCGGAAGAGTAATGATTGAATCTTTCCACAGGTGGGTTTCCAATTTCAAGTTACGGACGATGAAGGTGAGGAATCGAGTAACTTTCTTGATGCGTTTCAGCGTGTCGATGTCGCCTCCCCGGAGGACGATGGTGCAACCCATCTCGCCGTTACATCCTTCGAACCGCATATAGGTTTTCCGCCGACCGGGAATGAGAGGATGATCGAACGTCTGTATGCGAAAACGGGCACAATGTCCGAGACGCGGCTCCAATGCCAGCTTGTCCATGGAGGAAAAGACGTCTCCTTGAGTCATTCGGGCTACAAATTGGACGGCAGATGGCTTGACCGTCCGTGCCACGGCTATCTTGTGTTTCGCAAGGGCATCGAGTGCCAATCTCGAGACGGAATTCTCTGCCAACACGACATGTGGGCGCAGAGCAGCGATACGGCTCGCCAAATTGCCGAGATACTCCTTCTCTTGTCTGAAAATCTGTCCGAAGTGCATGTACTGTCCTTCGACCCGATGAAACTCCAAGGGAAACGTGACGAGCATGATGCGCGGATTATGCTGAGTGCGAAGCATCTGCTTGTGAGCAACATTCTTCGTTATAACCGCCCCATCAACGTATTCAGAATCTTTCGGCGCACCGCCTGGGATCTTCTTGATCTTGACATAACGCCGCACGTCCATGTCTGCACCTTGACGGTTGGGATGCGCAGTGAACGTCAGCTCACGAGCTATCCGAAGGGCAAGCTTCAACAATGTCTCCTCCCACTCCCCAATATTAGGAATATTCTCTGATGTCAACATTTGGCGGAGCATGATCCGCAGATGGAACATGGAGATAAGGTTCAGTTCTTGTGCATATCTATGGTATCGATGGTTAAAGTCTGAAGTAATGTGGCAGAGTGGTAAGAGGTACTTACGCAGTGCTTTCTCTGCGGGTACGCCATCCCGGTTCACCGCTGCCAATGCTATCGCCCAGTCGGCTTTGGACGCGGCTGCGAATGAATGGTGTAACAATCTCAAAGTCAGCATACGAATTGAATCGCGACCTGAGCATCCCAGAACTCTCGAACGCGTACGCCTGATCCGGAGAGCTGACGGGAAATTGAACCGAGCTCATCGAAGCGTCCATTGATATTGGTATTGAGACAGGGAAGTCGACGGGAGTCTTGGAACCGGCTGCGGTTGGAGAATTGTTATGGCTGAACTTTGCAGAGAGGGAAACAGGGTCCTTCTCCTCCTGGGTGAGTGCTCTTCGAAACGGTGCAGGGTTCTCGCGGATGAAGCGGTCGGACCCAGAATCATCGTTGGGCGTCTCCGGTCGAGAACCAATCATACTATCATCGGACCCGGAGTATCTCTTTGTCTCCGCTATGGAAAACAAGTTAAAGGGCTCATCTGTTCGACCAAATAGCTGGGATGCAGCAAACGGAGACTGTGGATGGTGCGCAAGGGCAAACGAGAAAGGCTCTCCGCCTAGCTGATGTGCAGCGAACGGAGACGAGACATTGGAAGTGATGGATCGCCTATCGTCGTCGTCATCGTCATCCACTTTCGCCAGTTTTTCCAGGCACAGGTTGCAGATTCGCACCATCCCGTCGTGACCGAAGCGAGCTCCCTTAATGATATTGGAAGCACATCGCGAGCAGAAAATTTGGCCTGCGCGAAGTGTCACTTTTCGAAGATGGCAGACTACTTAATTGAAATACTCACCGCATATGCGACAGTGATGCTTGCGACGCCAAGTGGTAAATACGCTCCTGCAGTCGTAGCACTCTTTGCACAACTCGTCATCCATCCAATAATCACGGGATAAGCCTCAAAAACACGTTCAATAAGCCAACAAACACACAGGAGCCAAGTAGCATCTAACATACCTTCCCCTCGAATCCTTCGAATGACCTTCGACACCGATGCAGATCTTCGTATGCTGCCCGTTGTCCTGACGCTTCTGGCATCACTGTCTTGGATAGGAAAACCAGGGATAACAGTTCCAAAGGCACCACCGTCCGGGGTGTCAGGGGAATAACATCCGCCACGAGATGGAGGTCTATCGTATTCTGCGTTGTAAAATGGTGTCTCTGATACCACTGGGGTCAAGGAGACCAAGGGAGGAGCAGGGTTGGAGAGCGCGACGTTAATGGGGTTTAGACGCTCGGAATAAGACTTGCTAGATTGATTGGAGACGATGGTATGAACGGAAGGCCGGCGTTGGTCAGAGGAAAGGGTACTCTGGGTGGCAAAGGAATTGGCGGTAGTCGTCGAAGTGGCAGCAGAAGACAGAGGTGCAGATAACGTGCTCTTCACCTTGGAAAACAGAGACGTGACGAGGGCGTATGAAGATTGATCATTTTCATCTTCTTCGGAGAACGGATTGAAAGATGTTAAGCTCGTAACGTCTTCGACAATCTTGGTGCTACTGCGAGACCTGGAAGACGGGGCACTCCCAAACGGGGGATTGACGAGAGAGTACTGAGGTGATTCCATGAACAGGTAGTTCAATGGGTGGTTGTAGGGGTGTCAACATGAGAGGAGATGGGAGTGGGTGCCCATCATGACGAGCGTTTATAAGTCAAGTTCGCCGTTACCGTTTGCAGACAGCTTGCACGACGCGTCCACGTAAGTCACGTGCGCGACGTCGCTTCGGAGCAATATCGGTGAACGCAACGTCGTCGCTGGTACCTGGTCAGATGAGAAAGCAGTATATTATCTGTACTACACTTCCGACGACTTCAACACGTCGTCGACCTCAATATCAATGGTATGCTAAGTGACCGACAATATATTTCACGTCCCAAAACTTACAAGTACAGTACAATAGTCGGTTAGGGCCGTATCTGAATATTGACACCGCGCTTGACTACCTGCGCATGACCGACAATGTTCTGCGGGATATACGGCTCCTCCAGGTACTTTATCTCATCTTCCCCAAGTGTTACGTGCACTCCACCTAGGCATAACCGTCAGCGTTCTGACTGTCACAGTCTTTGCAGGCAGTTGGCGATACTCACCGATGATATCCTTCAGATTGTCGAGGCTCGTGGTTCCGACAATAGGAGCACTCACGCCATCTTTGGCCAGGCACCAGGCAATCGCGACTTGCGCCATGCTGATGCCCTTCTTCTTGGCAACCTCCTCGACACTGCAAGCATCGTCAATACACTGCAGCCGCCTCAAGAGAAGGGGATCCATGAACCGCTTCACAATTTCCGGGGTACCAACACCTTTGTAAATCTTCTGGAAGCTGGGTACAATATCTCAGCTAAGACATCGTGAAGTTGTTTGCACTGCAGGTATCGTACGGGTCTGTCTCTCCGCGCTTAGAGTTTTCGGTCAACGGCCGGGCAAGCACTCCACGCCCCAGAGGCGAGAAAGGGATGGACCCTACACCGAACATCTGACGGATGATGTGTCAGTGATAAAACAAACTTCCCGGAGACTTAAGTGCTGCACCTTCAGAGTAGGGAACATCTCGCGCTCCTCTTCGCGGTACATTAGGCTGTAATGGTTCTGCATGGCGACGAACGGAGTGAGCTTGTTTCTGATGGCGTAGTCTGGAAAATCTGTTAGCTATTAAAGGCATCGGGGTGGCCCTTTCTGACTTACTCTGCATAGCGTGGACTGGGGAAGGAGGGTGAGAGGAAAAGTCCACCAAATTCATGGTCACAGGCACGCACATTGGAAGGCGTGGCAAGAACTCATGCCGATGTAGCGCACGTATCCGGCTTTGACAACGTCGTGTAATGCTTGCATCTGAGGGGCATAACATAGGTTCCTCATCATTGCAATGCTATACAATACTCACCGTCTCCTCGATGGGAGTTTCGTAGTCGAACCGGTGGCCTGTATCCCAATACTCAGTAAAGATGTCCGATTAGCTGATAATGAGACACAATGCCAACATTGATAGAGGTCAATGTAGTCGAGCTGCAGACGTTCCAAGCTGGCCTTAACCGCATCGAAAATATGCTGCAGCAAAATCGCACTGTCAGAATACCGGTTATAGTATTAATTTGAATACCTTGCGGCTGAGTCCGTGTTGGTTGACTAGGCCGATTTCGTCCGCGCTCTGTCCAGAACTGAAGATGTTGGTGCCCCATTTACCGGGTGTAAAGGGCATGAAAAGCTATTCAGAATTGTGCAGCTTGTACGCAGCTCGACGCTATGAAATATCGACACCGACCTTCGTCATCACAACAATCTCCTCGCGGGGAAGGTTAAGCTGCTTGATCGCCTTGCCTAGGATGACCTCCGACAAGCCGTTGGAGTACATCTATAGAATGTTCGACCAGGTCGACATTACTCGCAAGACATGTCAGTGATAAGCGTACGTCAGCAGTGTCGAACGTTTGAATACCGTGCTCGTATTTAGTAGCGCGTAAGTTCCTTCTAACAAGAGCGTAGCACCACTTACGCAAACTTGATGTGTCTGATAGCCTCCTCTTCATCGAGAACCCATTCCTGCCAGCCTGAGCTACCATAGGACATGCAACCCAAGATGATCTTCGATACTTTCAGTCCGGAGTTACCCAGACGTACTGTGAATGAAGTGTCAGTCGTAGCAACTTCAAACAGAGTGCCGACCCTCACCATACGGCATTTTCTTTGTTTCCAGCGTAGTCATCTTGGGCAGGTACTTACTACGTGAGAGATACTCAGAGAAAGTGCAGTGATAACTACAAACCGGCTAACTTCTGGTGTAAGTAGGAAACTTACCGGTTCGCCGTACCGTGCCGAACGGATGATGAGGCCAAGTACACCGCCAACTTTTCACACATTGCACCAAGTTCTAATTGCGGGCAGCTCGCAATACATACATTCCCCAGTGTTCGGCTTCAATGCCTCCCATGCACATCTGTCGCCCAGATGGTCTCACATGGTAACATTACTGTAATGACATGTCACGGGTCACAAACCCCTCTGTTGTGTCAAAATTTGGCCGCTGTCATGGGTCACACTCAGTAAAAACCGGAAGTCAGTTAAAGTCTGGTGTTGTCGGGTTGAAGTCAATGGGATTCAAAATTTTGGCACCATGGTCAGGTAAAGTCCATAGAAGTCTGTTTACAGTCACCAAACTCATCATGCCAAGAAATTATGTGATCAAATGCCATCAAATTCTAGTCTGTAAAAGTCAGACACTGCAGTTAATTCTCTCAGAATACATGGCATTCTGGAGCTTATATGTTGCTTTTTTGCACTGAGGGGTTGGAACATAACTGTACAGACATGGTCTAAACTATATGAGGTCATGCACTATAAGAAAACCATTAGAGTAGTCACAAGTAGTCATTAATAGTCAAATTTGCCAAAATTTTGAAGCTGGCTGACTACATTTTGACTTCCGGTTTTTACTGAGGGTCACATGGGTACCGGTCACAGGTACTGTTGGAAGGCCCTTGCACAAAATTGGGGAAAATCGCCTGATTGGGGAAAATAAAATTGGGGAAAATCGCCTGAAAATGTCGAAAATTTCGGCTGGTCAAATTGCGGCAAGAAAACCGCACAGACGGCGACGACAAGCACAACGATCCAAAAGAACATACCCAAAAAGCAGGAGTTCATCGTTATCAATACGGTAGGAAGAAGCAAAGCAAACGAAATGCAGAAACCAACACTCCATAAATGCCGGCGTGCCGGAATAGGAGGCAGACCTCCTATCCTTATGTAAGCAAAAGGCTCACCATCCCCAGCTCATACCCGATTTAGTGAAATCGGAATTGGGGAAAATCGCCTGAAAATGTCGAAAATTTCGGCTGGTCACAGGTGACTGGTGACTAGCCAAGTTGTCTATCCACTGGAGGCAAAAGTGGATATTCTGCCTTGGAACAGTGTCTGAACATCCAAGGAACAGATTACGTTTTTGGACATGTCACATGTTCTGAACATGGTAAGGAACATCTAATATGTCTCGCACAATGTTCCATTGGAGAGCATGCTGGAGACATGTTGCATGTACCATTCTGGAACATATAATATGTCTCACACAATGTCTCATTGGAGAATGTTCTGCAGACTTGCTGCATGTTTCATTCTGGAACATTTATCATTTTGCTACTATATTCTGGGCTTGTCTCTTGGTGCAATATGCTCTGTATAGTAAGGATTTCCCATGGCCAAACACATTACATTTCTGGCCGCCGTTAATCTTCAGAACATTGTGAGAAGATGTTAAGTGCTCCTACTCCAAACATACAAAATGTCCTGGGCACCAAAAACATCTGCAGTACATGTATGATACATACTAAAATCATACTAAAATTTTACATGTACTGCAAATGTTCTTGGTGCCCAGGACATCTTGTATGTTTGGAGTAGGAGCACTTAACATCTTCTCACAATGTTCTGAAGATTAACGGCGGCCAGAAATGTAATGTGTTTGGCCATGGGAAATCCTTACTATACAGAGCATATTGCACCAAGAGACAAGCCCAGAATATAGTAGCAAAATGATAAATGTTCCAGAATGAAACATGCAGCAAGTCTGCAGAACATTCTCCAATGAGACATTGTGTGAGACATATTATATGTTCCAGAATGGTACATGCAACATGTCTCCAGCATGCTCTCCAATGGAACATTGTGCGAGACATATTAGATGTTCCTTACCATGTTCAGAACATGTGACATGTCCAAAAACGTAATCTGTTCCTTGGATGTTCAGACACTGTTCCAAGGCAGAATATCCACTTTTGCCCCCAGTGATCTGTTAAATCGGTACCACACTGTCACACATCACACCAGGCATTGAATTGATTGAAATGGTACAGTATACTATGGGTTACGCAGATCCTGTAAGTCCGCAGAGCTCATGAGCCCCCATATGAGGGAAAAATCCAGGGTAGGCTCGCATCTTCTCAGGTCAAATTCCCGCTGCTTAGAACATTTGACCCGAATTCTCCCTATACATGGGAAAACTGCCGACTTACAGGATCCGCCGAGTGAGTGGTAACCCATAGTACTGTACATTTTCGACCAACCCAGCCGGAGGTGTGACCTTTGACCTCAAGGAGAGTCCCCAGCGATTGGGTGGGCCGGCACGAGGTTTTAGTGGGTAGGGGGTCACCAGAGCGAGCGTAGCCATAGCACACCACAATGAATGTGGCTTGAACCTCACACTGCCAGCTCTCGAGCAGGCATGCGTAAATGCATTTTTCCTCTTTGGAGGGACATCGGGTGAAAGCCCCACCAAGCAAACCAGGAGGAGTTGTCCGAGTGCAATTGCCCCCTGTGTTGTTAAGCTTACTCCCAAAAAATGTTTCAATGTGGATATACAACAATTAAATACAGTGTTCATGCTAATTTTGTGGCCTGCATGTCTCTTGATAGCTTCACAACAGTTGCCTAATTTGGCCTAGCCCATGGCCCGTCATTTAACCCGTGCTAACCGTAAGGTAGGAGGCCTCTATCGAAGTGCCCCAGACATGTTATCTGCGGTGGTAGGGTGCGATGAGATAACCGTCTGGACGCCAATCCACGTCGGTTAGGGTTGGTTTCAGGCATTTGTGTCACGTGTGAGTTGGAACGCGTCTTGCACGTGCAGGAAGTTTCTTTTCCACGTGATGGAAGCGCCACTCGCGAACGCGTAACTAGGTAAGTAACAGCCTCGACCCACTGTCACCTTACATCTTCTTATACCACCCATACTAAGACAGCCATGGATGATGATGACGCCGATTACATGCAAGGAAGCGATGATGAGGTCTACTTCCTCAGTTCGTGCTAACTCATACAATGAACTCACTACGATCCAGGACTACGGCTTCGACTACTCCGATGAGGAAGACGGCAATGATGCAGGAAGTGCGGATGTAGAGAATATGTACTACACTGCTAAGTGTGAGCTTCTCCGGCACTCGATTTGTGGACTACGAAACTGAACAATTGCGAAGCGAAGAAGGAAGACAACCCCGAACAAGCTCTGAAAGAATTCCGAGTGATTGTTGATCAAGAGCAGGAGAAGGGTGACTGGTACGACCCGGTGAAATTCCTCAACAATTTCTGATACCACCTCTCTATGATTGTCGCATAGGGGTTTCAAAGCTCTGAAACAATCGACGAAGCTACTGTTCCTCACTCTCCGCAGACCAAACGATGCGCTGCAGACGTACACTCAACTACTAACGTACACGAAATCTGCAGTGACTCGTAACTACTCCGAGAAGACAATCAATGGCATATTGGATTACGTTGGTGGTGGAAAGGGTGGTCCGGTCGAGGTCGACGTGCTGGAGAAGTTCTACCAGGCGACTAAAGCAGCGCTTATCGAAGCGAAGAATGAAGTGTGTCTGCCCCATTTCCCATCACTGAGACGTCTCTGAACATTTTATACAGCGGCTATCCGTGAAGACCAACCTGAAGTTGGCGAAGCTATGGCTTGAGCGTAAGGAGTATGGGCGATTGTCGAAGGTTCCGCCTTCCCCCTGATTACATGATATAGCTCTTTGAGTTTTATTATAGCTGATTCGCGACTTGCATACCACCACAGCCGGTGTTGACGGCGAAGATCTAGCCCAGAAAGGAACGCAGTTACTGGAGATCTACGCTCTCGAAATTCAGATGCACAACGAGATGAAAAACTTCAAGAAGTTGAAGGTTGGTCTGAATGCAACAAGATTGGTCTCAATCTCATTCTCCACCGCAGGAGATCTATAATGCCTCGAACTCCGTACGTTCCGCAATTCCTCACCCACGAATTATGGGTGTAATCAAGGAATGCGGCGGTAAGATGTGGATGGGAGAGCGTGAGTAGATCTTATTGTGGCGAAGTAAAGGTCCCAAATAGAACCTTTCGCTAGGACAATGGAATCGAGCGAGCGAGGACTTCTTCGAGTCGTTCCGGAACTACGACGAGGCGGGGTCACCTCAGCGGATTCAGGTTTTGAAGTATCTTGTACTGGCAAACATGTTGACCGGGAGCGAAGTGAATCCCTTCGACAGTCAAGAAACAAAGCCGTAAGAATATCGATGACCTGCCCTTCGCATGCTGAAATATATTTTTGCCACAGATACAAGAATGACCCACAGATCAAGGCAATGACTGACCTCGTTGATGCTTATCAGCGTCGCGAGGTACACTCCGCTGAGAAGATTCTGCGAGGTAACATTGTTTTCGTTCGATCTACTGCGTAACTGACACCCCACCTTCAGACAACCGCTCTACCATTATGGACGACCCGTTCATTCGGTCATACATTGGCGAGCTACTTCGCAGTCTTCGTACGCAGTACCTCATCGACCTTATCAAGCCATACACGCGCCTTGAGCTTTCGTTCCTAGCGAAGGTGGGTATTGACAGGTTCTCATGCCACCCCGACTGACATCATCGCTTCAGCAACTGAACGTGGAGAAGGACGAGGTAGAAGAGCTTCTCATAGGGCTGATCTTGGAAGGCAAGGTAGAAGGGCGCATTGACCAAGTCGCCATGAGGCTCGAGCTCGACCGCAAGTCAGTCATTTATATTGACTTAATGCGTGTTACTCTGCTCACTGGAACATTTCACACTACCAGGCAAAGTTTGGAGAAGAAGCGGTACACAGCACTGGAGAAGTGGACAGGGGCACTGGAGTCCGTGCACGCTGCAGTCATTGGGAAGACCCAAGGACCTAGTCGAGGTGCAGATCCCTCATTCGGCATGCCTTCCGATCCTTACGGCGGTAGTTTTAGAGACATAGAAAATAGGTGGGGTGATCGATTTGGAGGTATATGAAGTATACGTTTTATGACTACTCGTATCACTGTCCAATCGGACCTATTGCTTTCGTCTTGCAGCCGATGGTGGCGCATGAGGTTCAGTGTGTCTCAGAAAGAATTCACGGTTCGCCGTGAACTTGTGGACGCAACACGATGCAATCCCTTCTCGCAAAATTGGCCATTTGGATACATTTGTATCCAGGACATTGATTCTGGTGGAAACAGTGAGAAATGTGGGCACAGATTTGCCCGCGCGAACTGGACTTACAATATATCTATGGGGTCTGGTAGATGGGAGTGTAGTCGTATTGCCATCCATCCCGAGGGGGCGTATCTGTCGGTGTACGGAACTCTCTGGGAAAGAGACCGCGGATCCTCGCCTCAAACGCCTTCCTCTCTGGCCCCTTCAGAGTCTTCACAAACGCCTGCTCCTCCGGACTCCTCGCGCGTGGGTCCTCGTCCTTGTTCGCAGCTGCATACAGCCTGGGAGAGACTTGGCGGAGCACCTCCATCGCGTCATGCATGCACTGGAACTTCCTCTCCAACTCCGCCTGCCTCCTACGCCGTGCGTGTCGCTGGTGCAGCAGCCACGCGCGTTCAATTGTCTCGTGCGCTTGCACGGAAGGTATAGCGCGCTGCAGACGTCGGCCGACATCTGGACGCCATGTGCCTACGGGCGAGGCCCTGTTACGAATGTTGGACGGGTACAGCGCACGTCGGATAATGTCAAGTCTCGGATCTGCCGTGGACTTGGAATCCTTTTTGCTCGCGTAGCGCACGGAAGTCTGCGCGACACGGAATGACAGTACGGACTCGCGAAACGCGAGTAGAGAGACCGACATGATGAGAGGACGCTGGATGCTCCGGCTGCAGAGCACCGTGACAGTACTTAGCTTGATCGAAAGAATTTGAGTTGCGAGCGCTGTATTGCCTAGATTGGCAGTCAGAACGCGTCGCCGACGGCCCCCTGCAGACTTCTACACAGCTATGTCTTTCCCGTTAGCAGGTCTGGGATCGTTCAGCCGGCCATGTAACCGTGTGCTGAACCTAGTGGTATGCTGACCTTATTCCTCTGCGTGGTTCAGAGATATATGATCGCGTTTGCCAGGCTTATTCGCGAAGCCGACAGTTTCACTCAAGCGATGCCCTCCGCATCCGTCACAAGGAGAGAAAGATCCCAGTACTCACGAAGAAGCAGTTGGCAGCTAAGGAGCGGAAGCGGGCTCTTAAGAAAGCCAACAAAAGTGTCTACGCTAACGAAACCATGACGCTCGCAGATGCCATTGGTGTTCTGCGGGTAATTATCGTATACCGCGATTGCATTCATTGTGTGCTCTTAACATTATTAATTGTAGGCGGTGGAGGTCGCGTCTCCGAATGCTACCTATGAGCTTGTCATCAAGACTGCTATGTCGAAAGGCACAGTCATTCCCAAGGGTCGTTTCAGTTTGCCACGAGAGGCCAAATCGTCAAACAAGGATCGCATATTGGTCTTCGCGGAGGGAAAACTCGCAGATGAAGCGAGAAAAGCAGGAGCGGACATCGTTGGTGGGCCGGAAATTGTCGATGGAGTGCGTCTAATCCTTCACCTACCCTAAATCCTCTCGTTAAATCCGCAATACAGGTGGTCAGCGGCCGATATCAAGCTACGATGTTCCTGAGTACGAAGGCCCTCATTCGTGCAATTACTCCGAAACTTGGACGCGTCCTTGGTCCAAGAGGCTTGATGCCGTCTGAGCGGCGAGGCACTGTGACGGATGACGTCGGTGGTTACATCCGACGACTGAAGGGTACGAGTGAATGGAAGGGCGACAAAGGCGGAACAGTTCGCACTCCAGTTGCCAAGGTTAGTTACTTGCTACCCAATCTCGTGCTGAAAGTGAATCTCAGATGATCGTAGATGAATTTCCCCGTGGAGGATGTTGTGAAGAACGTTCGCCACTTCCTCACATTAGTGAAGCGCGCCACGGGCAACCTGATCGACCCAGAAGCAGCAGCTGCAGACAAGAAGGAGACAAGTAAAAAGCCAGGTAATCACATTTAACAAAACGGTGGTTAGTTTGTTCCTAACATCATTGATAGTGAACGCCATCACGAAGGTCGTATTGAGCTCACCGCAAGGTCCTGGTATCAAGATATCAGACATTTGAGAGCCCTGATCCTTCTACGTACTCTTATACATGGCATGAGCAGAGATTATGCGAAGAGATACACTGATACTAAATCGCAGAGATAATTTACGTCATCCAGAGATCGTCTTTGCTGCGTCTCCTTTCTCTTCGTGATTTTTCCTTCTGATCTTTAATATCTTCTGAAAGCTTCCCATAGCTTGCCTTGTCAGAAGAAGGGTACGTTTTCCGCTTGCCGATATCTTCACCCTTCGTCGGTGTAGTACCACCCTCACGTTTGGCTCTCATCGGTTGATATCGTTCTTGCGGCGGATTCTTCGGTTCGTGAGGAAATATGTCTCCCCAAGATGATTTGCGTGCGTCATAGAAAGGTTGTTTGCCTTGCGACTTGGGGATAGTCATCCGCATGAGTTTTGCTGGAGGGAGATAAGTCAGTCAAGAATCTAAATTAATGAAGGGTAGTTTACCTTCGGCTGTACAGGCATCTAAAATAATGTGTCCACTTTTCTTTATCGGAGGAAATACCAGGCGAGGCCAGCTGAAAGCCTCTAATCGCAATGCAGCCTGCATGACTTCTGCGTTGAGGGAAACTTCTGACATTTGCGAAGATGTATCCTCAACCTTGGCAGCCTGAGATGGTGACGTAGATGTATCCTCGGCGTCGGGGTATGGAAGCACTGCGTCAGCATGCTCCCCGTGGGCGAGAAGCTCCTGCATTGGCCGCTGAGAAACCGATGCTGCCGACGCTCGTTTCCCGACGTCACCGATACGCCCAACTTTGGTAGTAGCCGCTGCCGGTCTGCTACCCCTGCGTATCACAACATAAGAATATCCTGAATCTTCGTGGCCCACGCCGGAATGTTTCGTCTTGCGTACGAAGTCGGGTCGTTGGAGTCGCTGTGAGAAACCGCATACAAGTTTCGACGAACCAGGGTGATACAAAGGGCAGGCTCCGTCATGGGGGCACTAGACAAAGGGAAATGATGAGATCACCGTTCTGACGATCTACCTTAGTGAAGTTACCGGCGCCACGACATGAGAGCCTCGGACCTCCCATCCCTCGGTTTCGGGATCTTCGAGCTCCTTCTTTCCCATACGCAGCAGAAATTCTCGGGCCTCGGCGATGCACTCGAATCCAGCACGCGAGTTGTGATCTATTATGATCTGGGAGATACATCACCCGAATTGGAAAGAGAAAAGATGATGGCAGGACGTGACATACTATCATACCTGCACCGCTGTCCCACATCTCTTTAACAAGAGCCTTTCTTGCAAGGGTAGTGGGTATGGACGATAACATGAAGGCAGACAATGCAAGAACATCACCACCTTCTGCTCGATGTATTTTATCGTCCTCGTGGAAGGACTTTTGCCATGATACACTCAATCCGCCCATGTCAACGTCTGTCAAACCAAATGTTTAGTTCGTTCTTAAGGGATCACCAGGGAGTGTCGTATTGGACAAACTCACCTTTGAGAAGTCGCTTCCCAATGCTCACTAGACCTTCCCGCTTGTCGATGCCTAGGTAAGTCGACACAGATGACGAGGAAAGTTGCGCATCATCTACGCTGGGAAGTAACTCCAACTGGACTTCCTTCTGGAATGAGTGGGATGTCGCCCTAGAGCGAAGCGTAAGGGATTGTAGCATGAACGTAATAAACTGAAAACATGCCAGAGTCCCGTTCCAGTTCCACACCCCCAGTCGATGACACGATCGATACTCCACCCGGGACCAAGCCTCTGCTTGACATGGTTCAAGACTGCGTAAACAGCAGAATAGTGAGAGGGCAGAGCGACGGAAGCAAATGCAGTTCCGTCTCTCTCGGCATGACGATGAGCTTGTCGACGTGATTTATACTTCACATCATAAGAGGCGTCCCACGCAGCATCTTCTCCTGTATCGTCAAGGAAAAGTCGAGCAGCATCTGTGTGAAGCGTAGGCTTGTCCGACTCTGTAATATGTTGTCGGTCTGGAGCGACCTCACGGGAAGGACGAGATGCATACCTCTAATCAAGCGTGTAATTGTTTGCTGCAATTCGAAAGGCATGACGACAGACCCAATTTGCTGGCTGCCAAACAGAGCTGCGGGTGATTTCCTGGTCTCCCTTGGGTCGGAATAACCCTCTTCAGATTCCAGCTCTGTAAGACTCCTCTCATATGCAGTGTCTAGGTCAGGGTTGGAATATTCCTCCAGTTCACGAGGCACACGCGGCTGAATAACCTCGGCATTCGGATGTCGAGGTTTATGCTTCAGTATAGAGATATCCACATCTCTCAAAAGCGTTTGGAAAGAAGGATCAAGTTCTAATGGCGCATTGGGTTGGTGAGAAAACACAGCAGAGCTAGAAGAAAAGTAGGCAATGTCGAGACGACGACGTAGAACCTCCTGCAACGACCGGCTGCACCTCGAGCGTAACATGCTGAGTGAAACCAACTGGCCAATTAAGTCCAATTACGGCCCTGATCACGATCCAAGGACGCCAGGAAGAAGCTGGGACTAGCTATAGCTTTCTTAAATCTGAACTTCGGAAGATGGGAGGAGTTACCGAATATGGAATTGTATCGCGAACCGTGTCGATCACGTAATCGTGGCCACTGACTTCTTGACAAAGTGGTCGATGACCCGCTCATCGTCACTGTCTTCGCACAACGCTTTCGCCTGATCGTATTTCGCGTTCGACAGTCGCGTCTCACATCTTCCGCTCTGACCTGCCTCACTCTCTCTGAATAACTCGCTCAACTACATCTTTCAGCACCAAGTCCTCGCTCGCACGGCAACATGCAGAGAGAACACAACCGCAGAGGTTTCTCCATATACGTGTTTCTCGCGGTTCTTTCTATTCTGTGCATTGCGTATTGATGCTTCTTTGCGTATCCACTAGTCACCAAAAGGTGGTCCTCGAGATTGACTTCTCTGGAAGCCTATGGGTATGCCAATTGAATCGCGTCCGGTTGTGGAATTTCTCACCCACCATCCTTAGGGCTATACCGAAATCACCGTGGTTCCAACAAGCAAGGACCTGAAGACGCTTCACTTGCATTCCAGGCAATGCAGTACGTCCCTGTCTTTGTCGTTCGATCCACACTCATCCCTCGTCCATGAAAGCCATTCACTCAGTCACGGTTGCCTCCTATCTCGCCGATTTCGTGCATCACGATCCTCTGTCAAATATCCATATTTCCAATCCTCAGGACTGTCACACCCACCCGGAATTGAAGCGCAGGCTATATTCTGCGTTGGCTGAGGGTGACGAGGGCGAGTTATCCATTGTGATTCCCAAGGAGGTTTCGTTGAGGCAATCTGGTCATACTGCTACTGGAATTGTCAGTGAAGGTGTGTCTGATGAACAGCTGTTGTCTTGTATCTGCTCTTATGCCAAATGCTAGCCGCCACTCCCGAGCCTCAGACTCCAGGACCCATTACCCAGCCTGCTCTTCCCATCCCAGAGTTCGTTCCTATCACCGTCAACATTTCATACAGCCTTCGCAATCCAATGGATGGTATTCAATTTGTCTTACCAACAGATGCCTATCCATTTGTGAGTGCAAGTATCGATGAACATCAGGAAGTGCTAACTTCCCAGCTTAGCGCGTGCCGCATGTTTACACCACTCCCTCTTCCCCAGATGCCGCCAGGTGCTGGGTTCCGTGTGTGGACAACTTGTGGGAGAAGTGCACGTGGGAGTTTGAATTCGTCGTTCCCAGGTACCTTGAGCAAAGGGACGAAGTAGCAGAAGACGACGATGAACTTCGTGAAGGTGACAGCCCCACGGTTGTTGTATGCAGCGGCGAACTAGTTGAGCAGGTATATCTCAAAGCTTATGTTGAGCATTAGCAGTCGTTAACGACGTATATGCACTAGGTGGCGCATCCTTACAACTCCAGCAAGACCATTTTTCTATTCTCCCAGAGCACACTCACATCTGTCCAGCATGTTGCTTTTGCTGCGGGACCGTTTCATGTTCACCCAATCCCCGCCGAGCTCAGTTCTGTGGAGGATGCCTCGGGATCATCTCAGCCGCTCATGCATGCATTCTGCCTTCCGGGTCATGAGTCGCTCCTGGCCACCTCTGTCTCGTTCATACGCTCAGCCATGAGTTTCTACGTCACCGAATTCGGTTCCTATCCTTTCGGCTCTCACAAGGTGGTATTTGTCGACGAAATGCCCACGCAACGTTTCGATGGTGCCACTATGTCGCTGGTCACAGTTGATCTCCTTCATGGAGACGACGCGATAGATCAGGCTTTTGAAACTCGGCAATGCCTCAGCCATGCACTTGCCTGTCAGTGGGTTGGCATCAACATCCAGCAGAAGACGTGGTCAGATACGTGGCTCGTAAACGGCCTTGGCCTTTACATAACTGGATTATTTATCCGCAAATTACTGGGTAATAACGAGTACAGGTTCAGGTTGAAGAAAGACATGGAGCGTGTGTTGGAGATGGACATTGGCTCGATGCCTCCCATATGTCAACCTCAGATCTTGGAACCTCCAGACCCTGCGAATCTTCCGTTCATCAACTTGAAGGCTCCGCTCGTATTGCATATTCTTGATCGTCGTCTCGGGAAGTCTGGCACATCCCTTGGGCTATCTCGCGTCCTTCCGAAGGTTTTTTTGTCTGCAATCAGCGGTGAGATGCCTTACAACGCGATATCGACTCACTCGTTCCTTCGAATGTGCCGGAAAGTCAGTGGCATTGACCCGAGATCTTTCGCGGAGCAATGGATCTATGGCAGTGGTTGTCCGACGTTTGGATTTTCGGCGACCTTCAATCGAAAGAAGATGGCCGTCGAAATCACGATGCGTCAAGATGCCCCAGCTTTTAAGGTACACGAGAATAACGAAGTCGCTAAGACACTCATGAAGCCTGTGCCTTTCTTTGAGGTAGGTCAGATCGCTCTCATACCAATGTGCGTATTGACATGTTGTTTAGGGTCAAATGACTATTCGGATACATGAAGCAGATGGGACACCGTATGAGCACGTCTTGGACATCCGAAGCCCGTTCAAGCGTTATGAAGTGCCATTTAACACGAAGTATAAGCGGGTGAGGCGCAATACGAAGCGCTACTTGGCGCGTCAAGCCGCAGCACAGGCAGCTGCAGAAGGAGACGCCGAAGCAGCAGCAGCAATAGACATGATTGACATGGGGTTTGGTCTCGAGATCTGGGAGAAAGAACAGGAACGCGAAAATTGGAAGGTCGCAGATTGGACAGAGGAGGATGAGCAGAACATGTCTGGGCAAACCTACGAGTGGATACGTATTGACGCAGATTTCGAGTGGATCGCTGCCATCGCCTTCGATCAGAAGGACTACATGTGGGTGTCTCAGTTGCAGCGGGATCGGGACGTCGTTGCACAGTATGAGGTGCGTAACCTGTCGCATGCGAATTCATGGATGTGGTTAATGTCGTCTCAGGCGATCCTCGTTCTGTCCAAACTGGCAAATCCAATTATCTCCAGCACGCTCACGAAGACTATCCTCGTATCTAACTACTACTTTCGCATTCGCTGCGAGGCAGCTCAGGCTCTTGTTACGGTAAGACATGCCAGCATCGTTATCGACGTTGCGCCCTCAACTCCGTGACAGTGCGCCGTACAACGGCTAGAGTGGATTGGCCTTTTCCATTTGTTCAAGCTCTTCCTCCGTTATTGCTACGAACCCGACGAGGCCAGGCCTGACCTATTCAATCACACGTATGTACCGAGGCCAAACGACTTTAGTGACTTGGCCGAATATTTCGTACGGAAGGTTAGTCACTGGCCACTTCTGTCTTGATTCAACAACACATCACGATATTGAAACTCTCGGCAGAGTTTACTGAAAGCGATCTCTCGAGTTCGTTTCGAGAATGGTAAAACCCCGCCAATAGTGCGCCAGTTTCTGATCGACCAGCTCCGCTATAACGACAATACCGCCAATGCAGTCAGTGACTGTGTTATAATTCGTCTGACCACGACGGTTCTGATTATCTGTTTTAGTACTCTGATGCCCTGTACATTTGTTCTATTATTTCGTCCTTGTCGTGTGCGACCATCTCAACTGTCCCGCCTGAGCGCGGTGAATTCATCTCTGCGGATTCCCAGCCTATCCAAGATGCCCAAGACGCCAATCTGCTAAAGCAAGCTCTGGCGGAGGTCGATAGGTACCGTAGCATGGATAGGTTGATTCCTACATACCACAATGTGGTCACTATCGCTGTCATCGAGGTAAGCCCCCCCGGAGCCATGCAGTTCAGCGTTTGTGACCCTTTGCGACTAGTTCTATATTATGCTCAGCGTTGCAAATCTTATACCTCACGACCCGCGCATGTTCTTCCCGTTGACTCGGTAAGTATTACAGTCGGCTGGATATATGCGATATACTAAACATACTTCAGTGAGGGTAATTACACTCAGGTCCGTATGGCAGCGTTCGACACTCTTTTCTTGACGAAGTGGTATACACCGAAGATCATGCGTTACATCCTTGCTGTCATGGCAAATGATCCATCGCGGGTGATTCGCCGGCACGTCGCGCAGAATGCTTGTCTCAGTCTTGCTCTACTTGTCACGATGGGGGACATGAAGACTTCCAAGGAAACAGAGTCGTTACTTATTGAGGAAGACGGCACAGCTGCAGAGAAAGCGAAGGAGAATAACAAGAAGAGTGATATCGATGTCATGATCAAAGCCCTCCGAAAGGACAGGGAGCTTGGTAAAAACGAAGTCATCAGGGAATTCTTGATGCCAATTGCGCTGTGGGTACTAGTCAGTATTGTCTGGAATTTGGCAGCACTTAGACATGCTCTGCAGGGCTCCGGATACTGACAACGAAGTTCGCTGGTGCTTGTTGAAGTTGGCCGACCTGCTCATCCGTGGTACAGACGAGACTCCTCCGAAGGTCACAATACACCTTCCTCCTACTCCCGTAGCAGAAGTTCCACCGCCTCTCCCTCCGGTGAAAGTCCAGCTCAAGCCGCAGCGTACTCTGAAGAGCGGTGCTCCTTCTACTAAGAACCTTATAGTTCCTTTCACTGTGCCCCCTAAGCTCAAGCTGCTACCTAGCAGTTCTCAGCTTGATGGTTCAGCAAGAATACCAACCGCCGAGAGTCCTCTTTCCACCCGCGAGAAAAGGAACGAGCCTTTCCCCATCCCGAAGCTCCCGAGAAAGGTTGTGGTGGAGAAGAAGAAGGAGAAGAATGTTCCGAAAGCTCAATCTGGTGGGATGAGTCTCAACGATTTGCGGGCTAGCCGAAATGCCTTGAAGAAGCTGCAAATGCACAAACACTCGGCAGTGTTCATGCAGCCTGTGGACCCTGTTCGGGATCGCGCGCCAAAGTAAGCAGTCAATTCTCCGATCAACTCCGTCTTCGAATACTTAGTCAAATGTAGTTATTTCGAAGTGATCAAGAATCCTATGGATCTTAGCACCATGAATGCTAAGTTGGAACAAGGGAAGTACAATGATCGTTTCGCGTTCGAAGCCGACTTCCATGTCATGATCAGCAACGCGAAGCTGTACAACATGCAAGGCAGCTTCGTACATAATGAGGCCCTCATCCTTGAATCATTCTTCGAGAAACGTGGGAACTTCATCTGTCTTCCCCAGGCGTTGACTTGATTGCTAATATTGCATGTTAGAATGGGTTCGCATTAATAAGACCCTGGAGGTTGCGGACAAAGCTGCGCAGCCACGCGCAGCTACTGTTCCATCTTCACCACCTGTAGTTCGAACTCCAGCTCCTGTCCCCTCTGCTTCTACGCCTAATACTACACGCCCGACCATCAAGTTGAAGGTTGGTGGCGGAGGTGGTGCGATTTCAGAGGGGACATCTACTCATCCCGCGACGGCCGCTCCGAAACCTAGAGGAAGGAAACCACATGAGAAACCCCCTTTAGGCCCTCCGCCTACCGCGCCAGACATCGATGATGGCTCTGCTGATTTACTGGAGGAAGTTATTGCTATCGAGCGGGAGAAGAACGAGAGCCGTAGGCTTCGCTTAACGGCTACGGAGAAGGACAAGGACAAGGAGAAAGAAAGGGAAAAGGAGCGGCATGTGCCAAAGCTCGTCATCGGGAAGCGTAAAAAGGTTTCCGATGAGCCAACTGAAGACGAGCTTGCGGCACTGGCAACTCCTTCTAAGAAGGAGAAAATCACCGCCGCAACTCCTATGGCAGGACCGTCCACTACCTCATCGCCAGCTAAAGAGTTAAGTCCAGAAGGCGCTCCACCTCTCCGAAATGGGACGGCCACTCACAAGATCAAGGAGAAGGCTGCTAGACCAGTTCCGCCTGCGGCACCCGAACCTGGCATTCCGGCATCGCGTCCTTCTGTCAAGGGCAAAGAGAAGGAGGTTCCTACGGGTAACTCGACACCATCGAAGCCCAAGAAACCGTCTCCTCAGACTACGCCATTACACGAAAAGAAGTGCAGGGATCTTTTCAAGACGCTGACAAAGTTGCCCGACGCCCGCATATTCCTCAAACCTGTCGATCCCGTTCTGGATGGATGCCCGACGTGAGTAATGCCTTCTCAACACAGGTTGGACAGGCACTTATCATTATTCGTAGATATTACGACGAGATCAAAGAACCCATGGACTTTGGCACGATGTCCAACAAACTCGGCGAGGGTGTATACACGACTATGGAAGATTTCGCTAAAGATATTGAGCTAATCTTCAGTAACTGTCGGACGTTCAATCCACCTACGACTTACCCTGTCAATTGTGCCGATGCTGTGGAAAGGGTGTTCAAGAAAGAGTGGGCAAAGGCTATGGAGAAGAAACTCGCTTGGAACGAGAAGAGGAGTCTGCAGGCTATTATAAACAAGCTTGTCGCAGACCCAATGTGAGTTTTGACCTTATCTTTATTTTGCCTGAGACTAAGGGCCACACCTATCATAGTTCCTTCGTCTTTCGAGAGCCGGTAGACCCAGTTCTGTTAGGAGTGCCCACATACTTCGACGTGATTCCTCGGAAGGACGCACGAGATCTCCGCACGATCCGGCAGAAGTTGGAAGCAGACAAGTACGACTCCGTCGAAGCATTTGAAACGGACATGGACCTGATGATCACCAATGCTATCACTTTCAACGGGCCCACTTCGGAGGTTGGAAAGATCTCGGTGTTGGCGAGGAACAAGTACAAGGACTTGCTGGCGAATTTGAGGTCAACTGCTGTGAAGAGGAAGGGTAGTGACAGAGGTACTCCACAACCTCCCAAGAAGGCGAAGTTAGGTTGATTTTCTGTATCGTTACGGACTGGATCTTGGATTGTGCTCTATATACTACCTGTATTCTTCTACGTTCTGCCGATGATTTTCGCTATCTGCTCTCTCACCAGTTCATCATACCCCAGCCTATCGCCTAAGAGACGTCGGTAATAAGTAGTTGGTCTAAGAAGAGATTACTCCTCTAACCCGTTCTGTAACAACGGTTCCTTGAATCCAACAGCATCGCACATTACTATGCCTCACTACTCAAGTACTCATATAGTACTCACCCCTCCACTCGGCGGTCACACCCATGGTAACCGCACCGCAAAGGCAGGATCCTCGCCCGTCACGGCGCGAGCCGGCAACTGACTTCAGCATGACATTCGCGAAGACAAGAGACCTTGCCCATTACTCGTCCGTTCGGGGTCATTCAAGTTCGAAGTAGAAGCAGATATACTACAGAGGCCTCTTCCGAAGTAGCTAAAAGGTGTAGGCAAAATTGGGGGAGATATTGGTAAGTAGGCGGGTGCGCCGACTGAGCGGTAAGGCATAGTATTATAATAAGACCACGGGGAAATCATACAATCTTTAGTCTGCCCCAAAATATGTGTCGCATCTACCTGTTCAATCAGTTGTATCCATGGGTTCCTCCCTCGATAGCGCCGGTTCTGCCACCTCAGAGGAAATCGTGTACTCTGAAGGTGTAGGGGGGTAATAGGGCGAAGAGGGAGGAGAGTTAGGATCCACCACCTGTACAGCTACCTCTGGCGGTAGTGAAGTTAGGAATACCCCGTTATTGTGTTTCACAGAATTCTATCACCGAAGTAAGCCTCGCCTTATAGATGGCCAAAGAGAATTTACCTTCACGTCTTCAGGCCATTGCTCACGCCTATTCTCTTCCTCTTCAGCCAACGCACGGCTGTATATCAGGAAAAAAGGGCCTGCTCCAAGGTGCAGGCCTATTGGATCATTGAGAACAATGTCCTCAGAAACCTGAAGAATCTTGACTCAGATATTAATTAACAAGATCTGGAGAACTGCGTACTTGCGTAACCGCATAGTCTACGGTTTTCCACCATATGCCCTTGTCCTTGACGTAAGAGTAGATATGGCTTCGACCAAACAGACCATCATGCACTAGAACCACCCGGAGGTCGTACTAGAAAATTGGGATTGAAATTGCTGAGGCAATCCGTTAATCACCAGATAGGAGTGCATTACCCTGTGCTGCTGCAATTCTGAACATTCGAAGGCATTCGCCGCTTCATTTCTCAGTTTTACTACTGCTGCATCAATGGCTGCAGTCATACTTCTCAGCCATGGATAAAGTGAGTTACGTCAGAATGACTCACTCTGAAGTTCGTTCTCGATTCGTGTCAGAATTTTGCGCAGTTTGAGGGCAGTATCGTGGATTTCCGCCTTACGGTCTGGATCGTCGTTGTGCTCAGCAACATTCTCGTAGTAGTGCAGCGAAGACCGAAGGTCCACTAATGTGTCCCTATCCTACACACGCCATAGTGTGAGTAACCGCATAGACATCAATAAAACGGGAGATCAACTTTGAACCGGAGTAGGGAATCCTTCTTTGACAGCAGACTCTCAGCCTCGGCATTCAAGTCGTGCCTCCGCGCCCGTTTCTGATTGGCAGGCACCATGTTATCCTTCAAGAACTGGTCCAGATACACAGATACTGGATACTTGAATGTTTGCTTCTCAGCGACCTTCGTGCCAGATGGGCCTTTCATGATCGAAGAATATGCGGGAGGGGCAAGGTTGTCACGGATGAGCTGGAAGGCTACGACATCGGATGCCTCGAAGATGACTTGCTGCTTAGCAGAGGGATCGGTTCCAGTCAGCGACAACTCGGACGAGAGGCATGAAACGAGGTCGTTCGTGTCTTCAGAGCCCCGGATGTCGACTTTGACTACGGAAAGGTCAAGGCGGCGGTCGAAAGGCGCTTGTGAGAGGTCTGCATCACTGAAGCCATATCGGAAATGAAGGAGTCTGGTGGACAGTGCAGGTTTAGTACGGCCAGAACTGACATCCAATTTTCATACTCAACCTTGGCCAGGGTGTATAGACTTCAGTCGCAGCTTCAGGATGCAGTGTGGCTTCTATCGTCCATGCCAATCTACTGTAGAACTCTATGATAGCGAGGAGAATGAGCGAAACCGCAATCAATGCGAAGAACATTTTCCATACGGAATGAGACATCTCCAGGACGCTCCACGGGGGTACTCCAATGCTCTGCGGCAAATGCTGCTATGGCGGCATCAATATTAAGCTCGCTCGTCTGTACGAGGTCCATATGGGCGAATATCTCAAGCAGAGACCAGAGCATCATGTCTAGGCAAAATTTAGTACTTATCAAGTTCATCCTAAGCTGTACAAATATCTATGCCAGTAGAAACGCTCACCCGGGCCATCATCGGTTGGAGGACCCGTCTCCTGTTCACCTACCACGTCTGCTTCCGACTCGGCAGCTGACGAGAGCGGCGGGCGCCACTTTGAAATATAATGGCGAACTTGTGGAACGTAGAAGAGACCATGTAGGATGAGCCCGGCATGAGTCAGAGTTCCCTGGCTGGGGCGGAGGGCGATAGGCCTAACAATCATACACATCACTCAGGTGTGCTGGCAGGGTCAAGGCATCACTGACCTGCCTCCTTTCCTTACCCTTTCTTCCAGCGGAAGCTCTTCGAAGTAGTCGCTGTTGTAGTCATATTGGAGGCTTGCCTCAATTGCACGGCTGAGAGACTGGTCGTCCTGCGAGATACTTGCGCCAGTCTCCACCTCCAGAGATGCGAACACGTCAGAATACAACAAATAAAAAAAGACAGCAGAGAACTACATTGGATGGTACAACAGCCCAATTGGGGTCTGGAGCTCGCTCACTCGGACCAAATTTTGGTGGTTGATCTTCCAGTGATGCCTTGAGCGCAAGGGATAACTCTTTGTCTTCATCGTCTGCTGTCAAATCAATTACAGCTGGGGCTTGTTCCGGCCTTGAAGCTAGGTAGTCGGTAAATCAACACCCCTACGTGGACCATGTCACCGCTAGCAACAAATCAAACTCACGGGGTGGTGTACGCGGCCCCGGCGACCCCGACCGTGGCGCCTCGTCACCAGGCAAGCTAATGGTGGGTATGTGCATACCGCTCCTGTCGTTCTCGAGAAGTGCGATGGCAGCCTTGTCCATTTCTCCATTACTCGCACGGAGGGTGCTGAGTGCGATTTCGGGGGCGACATTGCCATCCATCATGGTGATCAGAGCTTCAACATCTTCCAACTCTTTGGCACTTGGCGGCATCGCCACTTTGGGATATGCAGCCATCTTCTGTTTGTGAATGTCCTTGGAAAGTTCGTGGAGACCGGACAATTGCTCTGTTGGCATAGGCTCTCTAGTGCAAACATTGAACTCTCACAAAGACATGAGGATGATGACAACTGACATGTCCTGGTCACTTCACCAGGGTCTGAGATATGGATAGAGACAACTCAGATCGCGTTACGTGCGGCGCAACTGACCAACTTGAGTACTGGCAAAAGTAGGTCAGAATCACGGTGGTACCTCTCCCTTCCCGGTAATAGAGGTAATGCTGGACGTGCTATCGTATGAGATTGCATCGCTCACCGGTGAAAGCTTGAGCAGTATTGAAAAAGAGATGGAGACTCTCGATGAAAGACTCGCAGCCACCGTGACAAGCCTGAGAATCAGGAGCGAGCGATCTTAGATCTCTACTAGATCTTTACCTCCAACCTGGGCGTGACCGCATCACTCGTTCTTGCCGCAAATGCCATGAAAAATGGGCGCAAGTTGACTCCTTCAACTCAGATACATGCGCCGTTGACGCCACGCGAGGTCACCAAGATTGTTCTGCAGACATGTTCTCCGATTTCGTTGGCAACTCGAGCGCGATAGACTTTTGTGCCGGTATCCTCCATACAGGACACGGTTGAGTCTCCAGTACCCTCCAGAGGTAGGTGCCTGATATTGTGCCTCGTTCTATCAAATAGTATGCCTCGCAGGTTCTCAGAGGACCCTGGATAATCCCCCCAAAGGTCGTCGCCCAAACCCCCCCGATTTACAAAAATCTGTCCGGCCCATTTTTGGCCGATTTGGGGACTTTTTTGTCCGGAATCGGCGACGACCCTCGACTTGGCCAATCTTTTGTCCGGATCGCGCAGACGGCCTAGGCCTGAAAAAAGCGATTTTTTTGTCCGGATCATTGCAGATGGCCTTGAAAAGGTGACTTTTTTGTCCGGATTGCGCAGACGATCTCAGAAATGCATTAATTTCGACAAGAAAAAAGGTCGCAGCGGGATTCGAACACAGTGTTATCTACAACATAAACCGCTACCGCTGACAACACTGTACTATGCTGTACCTACTAGTCACATCGATTTTCCAGGCTCCGGCTATCCAAACTCATGTCCGGACAACAGGATGGCCTAGGATCCTCTACCTATTTTTGTGTCCGGATGCTGCGATGGCCATGGTGGCTTTGGGACCCTCATTTGTCCGGATATGGCGATGACCTCGGGCCAAAATTACCAAAAATTTGTCCGGATTTGGCGACGACCTTTGGGGGGATTATCCAGGGTCCTGTTCTCAGTCTCCGCTCTTCACATCTGTTCGGACGTCGACTACTTGAATGTTCGTTTCATTGGTCATCGCCCCTTCTTGTGGTCAATTGTTCTTCTCTCCTTCTCCTCATGCCGAAAAGGCCGCTACTGAGTACTGATGTCTGCGCAAACGTCGATTGTATTTGAGATTTTTGGCGCTGTACGGGAGCAGCAGTGTTTCTCGCAAATATTGGTCGTCCTGGTGAAATAAGCGCCTTGCGGCCCAGGTGTCAGCGTTTCTCTGCACTTAGTCTCCCCAGGCAGAGTAGACACACTGCTTCAACCTTCGTGCCTCAGGATATCCGTGTCTGCACACAGCCGTCTCGGCCCTGGATATCATATTCAACGCTTTTCTAAACACAGTTCGGCGCAGCCGTTGAAGAAAAGCAATAACTAAACTGACTTGAAACTGACCACCGGGCCATTTTATCCCACATACTCACTGTTCATGGCGACCAACAGGAACGCTGCTCCGGGCGGTAGTTTGAGCGGTGCCGGGCAGACGCAAGAACTTGACCCCATATGGATGTCAAGTCGGACGGCGAGACAAATATACGCTCTCGGGGAGGTCGAGAAGGTCAGGACACTCCCGCACAGTTACACTTTGTTGCGACTGTCAATGAATCTCTACGCAGGATATCAGCCGCCTTCTCTCCTTAGCGGCGTCCTCCATCTCACTGCTGACTCTGCCCCAGACCGATGGCGCGAACGACGGCTTGCCACAGGGCGGAGAGCGGTCGGAGCAGTTCGTGTTGGAAGTGAGCGAGTACTTCGAACGGTTGGATGTGAGTCCGTTTCCTTGTATCAGACGCGTCGCCTCGATTTCCACCCGTCGTCCGCACTGAACTATCGATACTCAGAATATACACATTGCCATCCGCTCTTCCTTGGCGCATATCAGGCAGTCACGAATAGCCCCGTCCGCGATCAATGCTCCGCCACCCGGCTTCGTTCCTCCTTCTCTAGGAGTGGGCCTGCCTTCGTCGGATGGTGACTTGCAGAAGGAAAGCAGGGGTTTGCAGGAGGAGAGGGTAGAGAGGGACGCGTGGAAAGGAATCCTGGATGCGCTGACGAGATTGAAGGAGCAGAGAGACAGGGATCGTGCTGCGAAGGATCAACTTGGCCGGACAGCGATGGATGCGCAGATGTCTACGACATGAAACTAGGGGTACATTCAAAAGTATACAGGTAAGTTCTACTACTCTTCCACTTCTTCTCACCATTCGTACGCCTACGTGCTGACTTCTTCGAAGATCGCTTGGGCTTGCACCAGCTCCTCGCTGTTTCCCATGTCTGGTATTTTCTCTGCGGTGACCTGTAAGATGGATCAGGACAACTGCCACCTGACGGACGTCGGACACTGACAATAAGCTCCCTCAGCTCCTGTAGCGCGACTCCGAGGCGATTCGCGGTGTCTTTGACCATCTTCTGGGACTCCTCCAGCATGCGAGTCTGCATCACAGTAGAAACAAAAGTATGGTACAGAGCGTATAGATGTCTTTACGCACCCCATTTTTGATATCCCAGTCCTCCGCGCCTACGGCCTTGAACTTGTCGACCTTGATCCTCTGCTGCACCTCCTCAGTCTGATACGACTTGTGCTCCTTCCATAGCCTAGTTTAAGTATCACCGCAGGCGTTAGTTGCAGGTTCTGGAAGATGCTCGCAGAGTTAGAGTGGTTACAAACCGTTTGCAAACACCGTTCTTGATCTTGAGCTGGCGGCGGAGAGCAGCAACTTCGGCCATGTCTGTAGATATACTGGTTTGTTCAAAGTCAAGAGAAGGTTTCCAGATTGGGATCAGCAGCTCCAGCGTGGGGCAGCGACGTCAATGTGCACCAGATCTCCATCTTCTCCAAGAGATCCTGGATACAAGATGCAGCGATTCCAATTCGCGCGATATCTTATCATCAATTTATGCCCCGCCTGACGTAGTTGACGCGAAGGTAAACTGGGTGCAAAACAATAATATTGTCCGTGTTACGACCTGGCTGTTATCGTATGCCCTCAGTTTCGGACATAGTACGGAATTCGATGGATATAACATTAAGACGACATGATCGTACGCGACTAGCCGAGCCCTACGCAAACATGAAAGGAACTCGAGGAGTCGATGCCCACTGGGAAATTCGTACATCCCACAGGACTATAGCTCGTCCATCGTGTAAACTTATTCATGCTCCTCGTGATATATATTGGCCGACTCCTAGTGGTCGCCGAAGAGCGGCATACGCAACGCCATATGCTGCCGTGGATAGGCGACGAACTCATCGACGTGCAGAATACCATGGCCACGCGCAGAAATCGCCATCACTGACTACTCGGTAACCCAGGAGGCCGCTGCGGACCCAGCACACATTCGCATTGCAAGAGACGTCGTCTACGCCAAAGGATAGAGGTGCAGTCAGTCATACGCGAAGAATGCCGGGAGAGCGGGATGGCCCATTCACTATCTGCAAGATATGGGGGAATCTCGTTCGCATAATAAGTTTGAATGAATCGACGGCTCACAGCTCTCGAAATCAGATCGTGTCTCGATGCAGTCAAGCGCCTCGGACGAGCTCCGACCAGCGAATCTGTAAACTCGACTACCAATGAGCCCCCTCAGCGCACATCGCATGCTTTCGCATAACCGTGTAACTGGAGGGGGCAAGGGTTTTCAACATTATCGGGGTAGCTACAAGTCGCCGAGTCTGCTGTTCCTTCAGTCCAGCGCGAGATGAGTCAAAGATCCGAAGACTCGGAAGCAAGGACGTGATATAAGTCAACGCATCTGTGGCTGCTGCGACGCCAAAAGATGTACCTGCCTAAGGTGGCAATCAGTTCACAGCGGTCGCACAGAATTATGCCTGCTCACAACGTTGATGTATGCGTTCAGTTCATCATCGATGAAGCCTGCGATGCCCAACTGGCCGATCCATATCGCTGAGACAAGATATGTAAAAAGTCAACTGACAGATCACCCATATGATGTCCTTCGTAGGGGCGGATGGACCAGGATGGACCAGACGAGCAGCAGGAGTGGCAACACTACGACAGGTCGACAAGCAGTACAGCCTGAGTAGAACAGAACAAAGCCGCAGATACGAGTTGCACGAAATATTATCAGTGTAGTTCCCATGCCAGTCTGATAGAGCATGCTGCTGTGGAGGGGCGACGAACGTGTGGTTGACGTGCACGATACCGTGGATCCGAACATCCGGGCCCCAGACTCGATTCTTCTCCTACAAAGAAATTGGCACAAGAAGGGACAGGGACGCGCAGACGAGTCGGAACAGACGAAATCCAAGAGGAAAGTCTGCCCTGCAGACTCAGTCACTTTAGGGCACTCACAGCGAAGCTCGTCGAGGGTGCGATAACACCAGAACAAGGGAAAATAAACCGGAGGGATGATAGCGGATGGATGATAGACACCGTGACCACCTTCCAGTATGTTCGGAGATGCGATGGGTGAGGAAGAGCAATCGTACTCAAAAGTCACTAGCCTGAACCTCTGCACAGCCAGTCTGTATGCGTCCCAAACGAATCGAATATACCGAGACACTCGTTCTGCTTTCCGTGTCACCGACGACGTGAACGACGACCAGTGCATATCGTGTACGTTGATCCATCCGATATCCTGAGGCACGAAGGTTCAAGCAGACTCGAAGTATCAGTCTGCCCACGGGAGACTAGTACGATCCGCGCAACTTGGCCTGGACGGCGACGGTCAAGATCACACAGACGCATACATACTAAGTAGGCATGTACTCTGAGTGTCGCCGCAAAACCACTGGTATTGGAAGACTCAAGAGTAGCTCATCAGTTCTAGGAACACCAAGAAAGCCACAAACGATGCATGTTTTGGGACAAGACTCACCGACACCCCGACGGCGTTCTTCACAGCGTCGGAGACCGCACACCTAGCAGAACAGTCACGGTTCGACGGCGAAGCTATAAGTGAAGGGACAGCCACGGGAAGCTGAGTAGAGGGTAGTCGACGGTCGATGACAGCTGCATCATGTACAAGGATATCGATAACGACTCCACAAGTGCCAGAAGCGCACAAAAAGAGAAGATGAAATATCGTAATCCTGAAATCAACGAGACGGAACACTCACGCCCGGGCTCGAGCTCCTCGGAAGGTGGTAGATCACCAAAAACGCACCAGGATCCGCGTCGACGCCGATCTTGACTACCAGGACCGGCCGGCCGCGATTCAACAAAACCTTCACACTGGTGATAACGTTCACACAATTAACACAATGACATAGAGATCGTCAGATATCATTGGATCATCGGTACTACAAAGCAGGCACTCGTACTGCGCAGCAAGATACAATCAGTATATACAGCGCATCCAGGACCGAGCGCGGGGGAGATGGCTACAGAAGTGGGTACCGCGGCGATAGGGATACGCGCGGGAGCAGAGGAAGAAAAGGTAGGGGCGGGGGGCGACAAGCCGACGCGGACGGGGCACGGTGATGTACGACGATGAGTACTAGCTAGTAGCACTGGTGGCAAGCACGAGCAGGCGACGATCCAGGGCATAGGCGGGGCATAGAGACGAAGAGCACGCGGCATTCCGTCGGGACAGCGCGCGCGCGAAGCCTGCAAGCAGACTCGCGCGGCGCACGCACGACTGCAACTCGCACCGCACCCACGGCGCTCGAACACCGCAGTGCACTCAACTCCGGTTGGGCGTGACTGGCACGCGCGCGGTCGGGGCGAGGCGAAGCGGGTGAGCAGCGGGTGGGGTGGAGGAGTCGGAGCGGACGGAACGGCGAAAGTCTTCATGAACAAATGCCCGCCCTCGCCATGTCTTCCCTGTCTGGAGTGCTGGCTGTCGTGTCGCGGTTGGGGGTGCCGCGCGCACACGGAACGGCGCGGGGCTTGTCGCGTGCCATAGCCAGGCAAGTGGGACGGAGAGGGCGGGTCAGGAAGCGGCGCAGCGGACGCGGCGGTGATCAGGCGCCAGATTCGCGCGCGCGGGGACAGTGCGAGACGGGCATATGGCATACAATTGATGGGGGTAGAAGACGGCGAAACTGGTGGTTGTGGAATCGTTCTGGGGTGTGGTAGAAATGTCGAGACGGTAGACGAGACACGAGCCGGTGTGTCGGCGCGCACGGCGGCGAGGCACGTAACCACAATTAAGTGGTCGTCGCCATCAGCCGGATGCGCAGGGCGGGACTGGTACGGGCTAGAGGAGGGGACAAGCGACGGAATGAGAAACAAGAAAGCTCGCGCGGGGAAGCGAGGCACACGCTCGGCGTCGCTGCAAGCGGACGCGGCTGTGCACCTCAAGCTCCCTTCCGCGGTCTTGCGTCGGTGACGTGTCGCTCCTCCACATCGCACACGTTCGTAGGCGCCATCTTCGTGAGGTAGTCGTCGAGTCTCCGGGGCGCGGCACGGCCGCGAGACATTTCGGGGAGCCGGCGTCGAACTGGCGTGCGTCGCGGACACACGACCAACCAAGCTCGTTCCGTAGTGAGAACACCCTGGAAAGATAAAAAGACGGAAGACACTGTGGAAGGCGGGATGGAGAATGCAGGGGACGGTGATGAGTGTGAAGGAGGATGGGGAAGAAGGAGATTGCCGGTAATAAAGAGAATAAAAATTGCGTAAAGGTGTTAAAAGGGGATGCGTAAATGTAGAGTCCTTCGTAAATCGTAAGCATCTCTGCGTTCCTGGCAGGGAAAGACTCGCAACTTCATGCGGGGTCATCGATACAACGTAAAAGTTTTGTCCGTTATCTGTGGGCGCGCGTGTCCGGACGCGCACGACGAGCTTTTGCGCAGTGATTGCGGGAGGGGCAATCAAAACACCGTATTGGTGGGTGCCTGCTGCGCAGCGGCGACCGCGGAGGCGGCGGCAGCGTGGCGTTGCTCAGCGGTGCCGAGCATGAGCGCCTCGTTGACGTGCCTAAGACGAGCGGTCTCCGACTCAGCCTGCTGGAGTCTCGTCTGCAACTGCTGCTGTGTCATCTCGAGGTAGCGAATGTGTGTGGTGGCTGCACAGAAAATCAGCATTCATCAAATGCTGGCTGGGAAACCTTACTCACCCCGATCCAGCAAGGAAACCTTGCTCGACTTCTGGTTCGACACGGGGAGGGCATCCTTCAGGCGGCGGTACCCGTCGCGGAGCTCGTCACGTCTCCTCTGCTCCGACTCGATGCGCTGGCGGCGGATCTCCTCGCGGCGCATGTCGTTGTTCGCGGACGTCGAGACGGGGTTGAAGTCGTCGTCGTCGTCGCTCGCGAACTCGTCGACCTTGGCGCGCTTCTTCTGCCTCGTCGACGAGCGAGTGACGGTGGCAGCGATGGGGTTGAAGCGGTGGGAGCGAGGTACGGCGGCGAGTGAGCCGGGGGGAACGGAGGGGCCCGGGGAGTGGGTTCCGCTTCCGCGGCGACTACGGCTGGATGTGACGCTGTCGGCAGACGAAAGCTCGCCAGCGCTCAGGGTGTTGAGCGCACCCGGGTAAATGCTGCTGGGGGTGAAGGGGCGTCCTGGGGAGCTGCCGTTGTAGGTGCCGCCGGAAGAGTAGGTGTACTCGTTCATGCCGTTGGTGAGGTTCAGGGAGTTGAACCCGAGGCGGGGGGAGCCCTCTGAAGGAACTAGATAAAATTGAGTACGTTACGCGTCTAAGTGTGGGAAGGATATACGCACGTCCGAGGGCGAATGGGGAGTGGGGGTACTGCAGGTAGTCGAGACCGGTAGAAAGATCGTAATTGCCGAAATTAGCAGAATCCATGAAGTCGGTGTGGGGCTTGGCGTTGTCGAGGATGTGCTCAAGATGGGCGGTCTCCATTGCTAGTGGGCGGTGCAGAGTAGACGTGGCTGAGAAAAGCTGGACGTGGAGCGGCGTATATCACAGATATGCGGGAGCGTTGTGCGGGCGGCAGCGGAGGAATAAATGAGGTTGAAATATGCCAGATGCCTACGCGAAGAAGAGAAGGGTTATTGTGGGAGCGTTGTCCTGGAAGAGAGCGGGGACGTACTTGTACGGAGACAACAAAGTCGGGAGATGTTGCGACCGAGATGGGAGGAATACAAACGGACAATAAGAAGAAGAAAGCCGGCGGGGGAGGAGAGGTGGATAGGCGGGAGGGATAAGGGAGAGCACTCATGCCGAAGAGGCTATATACAACAGGGAAATGAATTTCACTCACCGTCTGCCGTGACGCGATCACGCGTGACAAAATACATCCGCGGCGTTTGGTCACTTCCAGCGGCTTGGCTTGGATCGACTCGCCATCACCCGCGCAGCGTAAGCTCCCTCTCGCTCTGTGTCACCTTTCCCCGCTGCCCTGCCCTCCTCATCGTTGATTTCACCGCTTTTCGAGACGCTCTGCCCCACCCAGCCCTCCTCAACGCACCCGTAGACACCGCGGGCGTTCCGGGAGGACCCGCGAGTAGCGTAGCGTGCAATCAGCAGAAAATGCGTTTAATTTTACATACACGGCGGGGACCATCGATCTCCCACTCGCTGGCGAGAGCTTATCGCACGGACCATCGTCTGGGGGGCTCTTCCCGGAAAGGAAGGTGTCCCAGCTCCCTTCGCCGTCCGAACCTTGTTTTGCGTCCCTTCTCTTCTGAGCGAACCCACCTGCCTCGTGCCCGCAACTCCGCGTCCCCTCCAGCGCCCACAGCGTTGTTTTCATTTCCCCAGCCAGCCGCGCCCCGTCTCTCCCATTTTCCCTCCATTGTCTCCGTTCATTTCCAGAGGCCCATCCTTGGTCCGATCATTTTACCCATGTGCGCCCCCACTCCCGCTCTCGCTCTCGCCCAATTCTCGCTCTCGTCTCCGTGTCTGCGCTGCACGTTCCACGCAGCACGCCCCGCCAAAATGGGCACCCTCCTGCCTCTTGACGGCGCCACTCTATCCAACACCGGTCGGAACTCTGTACCACACTCTATCACTCATCTCTCGTAAACTCCGCGTCACTTGACTCCCCAGACGCGCTCCGAATGACACCGGTTCGCACACGAGTGTATTCCCCGCGCGCGTATTTCCAGGCGCCGCGCGTGTAGCTATCTACACGCCTACCGAAACCGCACAACCAGAAGCAACACACAGAGCACAAGACCACAAAAACGCAAGAACAGTCGTGAGATGTCGTCAAGTCCAGGCAACAAGTCAGTCGTAATGGGCGGTCGTAAGTCATGAGGGTCGTGATCGTGAGAGCAGTCACAGTCGAAAACAGAACAAGAAGATGGCAAAACAGAAACAAGTGACGTCGGAGAAAAACAAGAATGTGAAGAGCACGTAGAAAGCGTCCCGTGCTGAGCCCGTCGTCACAGATCAGGCGTAATATCCTGCCCAAATTTTTCACTTAGAGTCAGACGACACAACACCGAAGCCCGCGTCAAGGACATGTTGGGGCACCCACCATTGCCCGTCGCCTTCATCCCTGCGTAGTCCTCCAGAAGCTTCCCGTAACGCCACGTCAAGAAAAACATGTACAGCTGCGTAGGGGGCCGACAATGCCAATTCAGGCAAGTTCGCGCAGCCATCATATTAGTGCGGAACTTCAGACCGTGATACCTTCCGGGAGGTGCTCACCTGGAAGGCCAGGTCGACGATCAACGAAACTATGAACGCCGCATACAGCGAGGGAAAACCCGCAGTGCAGAAGGTAGACGGCAGCGCCGTCTTTCCGCCATAGCCCGCCGCTGCTGACGCAGACCATAGCTGTCGCCCGTTGGCACACTCCCACTGAAACTCGGCTTGCCTGTCGGAGGCGCATGAGAACGTTCACGCGAATCAGGAGGCACAGAACAAAGAAGACACAAGAAATTTGGAAGAAAAACGTGGTCGAGCCAGAGTCGGTCATCTGGCGCATCCGGAATGAAGTGTAATGTGATGTTGAAGAATGGGATGTGAAGAGACGATAAAGGTACGAGAATATTGTAAAGACAGGGTGGCAACCCTGAAGGTCCGCAGCTCTTCTCGCAGTGAATGACTTGGGCCACGGAATGTACGAGAATCACAGCGAAGTTGATGTAACAACAGAGTTAAGGTAGGACCCCTCAAAAATCCACATTACCGGCTTCCACAACGGAACATGCGAAGCAATTCATCTGAGAGCCAGCGGGCAATAGGAGACCACAAATTGAATACATGGGAGAAAACAAAGCACAAATCCACACAGATCCACACCACCGGGTAATCAAGAATGGTTCCAAGTAAAGAGAGAGAGGGTCAGACACTCACCCGCGTTGCAGTTCGACGATCATGAAAATGGCACGAATTGCGCAGATGATGATGATGGCCTATGGCCATAGCCCTACGCATACGCGTGTCCAAAGATACGACCGCTGTGCGCCCAGACCGTATACTCGTCAGTCAGTCGATTTCACCGAGGCTCGCGTGAAGCGGAGAAATTGGAGGGCACGTACATTGGCCAGCGCGAGCATATTGATCAGCGCAACGAGGGCTACGAGTAAGCCAATCCCACCGTAGATCTGCCTGCGGTTTGGTGCGGTTAATTCATGTAAAAAATAACATGTATGGAACTTGGACAACCATTCTGGGTATGTGAAGTAGATGTATGCGCCCTATACGAATAGCACGACCGATCCGACGGCGCTGTACAGCTAGGGGCATATAATGAAGTGTTTCAGAGCGTGGTATGAATCACAAACTGAAGAGGCAGTACAGCAATTAAGAGGGCCCACGCCATGGCGCCCGAACGCTGGGAGATGGCTCGTCGTCAGTGGCACACCGCGTCACATAATTATTAAGATGACCGCACCAAGGGAAGGAGCAGAAGACAGTTGTCACACCTGGATCACCGCACGCATCCAAAACACAAGATTGGTTAGTTCTTCACTGAAGCCCTTCACACAATCGTACACCACGCACCACATGTTGAAGGAACGCACGCGAGAAGAGGAATGAATGTAATGGGGGCGTCACTACTGAGCTAACAGCAGTGTCTTGACGCTCGGATAGGACGAGAGGGTGTCGCGAGGGTATGTGTTGTGAGGAGGGCGGGGTTGAAGACGGCGTCGAGGGTATCCGAGCGCTGCTGGGCGAGGACGAGGGGCAGACCAGGCCGACGTCGACGGGCGGGACGATCAAGGCACACACGCTAGTCCGCGATGCACGTTTGCGCTCCTGTGACCGTCACACCTGCTATAACTGACGTCACTTTCCTGGTATAAACCCGGCCCGCCCTCCCGCGTGTCACATAATTTATTCCTCCGCTGTGACACGATCTGCTCCCGTTGAGTCAAGATGCAGATCCTCATCTCCTCCAAATTGCCTGCTAGTCGGCATGAAGGCATCCAAACGAAACATAATATTTCCACGGAACAGTATCGCGGTTCAAGAGAAACGTGCCAGAACATCCATTGCGGGGAAGCATCTCAGCGCTACCAACGCGGAACGCGGGAAATCTGCGAGTGCCGAGCAGGTTTAGGACCTCGTTCTCCTTCCTCCTGAACATTCTACTCACAAAGTCCATCATACTGCAGAACTTCATCTGATAGATACGTTTATGCAGAAGAATCCCGTGGGCCGAGGCGCGGCAGAAGTGAGAGCCCGCTACACAAGTTCTAACAGCTCACTCCGGCGTCGTCTTCTGGGTATCAGATGGTGGAATACAGTGTAGACGCTTCGATCCCCTTCCTCCTCCTGCGGTGGCATACGGTGTGACGCTGACGTACCGGAGCCTACTGCACTGTCACGCGAATAGGTCAGGCACCCACTCTTGCTTCGTAACCCAGAGCAAGCAGGCTTTGGCCTTCTGACCGTCCGGAAATACGATGCGGGAGTCTACGAGCGGTCGGAACGCGGCTTGACAAGAACACACGTGGAGCTCCTGGACCCTGCTCGCACTCGATTCACGAGGCCGACACAGCAGTGCGTTTCCTTCCTCTACGCCACGACGCCTGAAAGGTCGCTTGCATTGCACGTACTGAAGGCCGGGTGCGTCTGTGCTCCAAGGTCCGTGTCTGCAAACGGATACACCTCCGGTGCCGATGTCAAGTGAGTGGAAATGAGTGCTGTGCTGCAACGTTGTCGTCTCATGCACGCTCTCGAATGTATTCCTTTCAGTCACGCTCTTCCTGCCATGCACTCCAATTTACAATTACTAACCCACTTCCAGGAAATCCCTACCAGTGACAGAACGGACCATCGATGTTCAAGAGAACATGCGAATGTTCCTACTCCTTCACTTCTGCGCAGGCGGATGCCGGTTATATGACACCCGCGCTGAAGTTGCAGATGCGCGTTCATTTATGGTGGGGACTTCGGATTCCATAGTCTGGACTTTCATTAAAGTGTTTGCACCACTCGCGTGCACGACGCATAACGGTATCTATACATTGCCACATATCTCGTAGGCTTCGAAGACTCGTCTTTCCCACATTTCTACTGGCTGCTCGATGATGGGGTGCTCTCCAACTGCTCGAGGAAGACGATCCATCGATGGCACTCGTATATCGCATCTATCCGTAGATCAGCTCGCAAATCCCGCATCTTGGGCGTCGCAGCACAAGGCAACTGGAGAACAAGAGCAGGTCTTTGGAACAAGTTAACCTCGTTAGGCCGAGAGTCCTGGAAATCATGGGGATGAACGCGCGATGGAATGTCCGGATGGGCCTGATGTACCGCTGCCCGTGTCCGCTCGAGGCGTACGAGCGTTTTGATACGGTTCAATGTACCACAGCCGGGTTCAAGGTTCGTCTGCTTGCCAGATACAATCATCTCCGCCAGCGTCTCAGCCGCGTCTCTCCGTCTGCATTTTGTGGAAGGCGACACTCTGGTTTAACATTTGGCGTCTGAACGACAATTACCACATGTATGTACCGACCTCCCGCTTCTAGAGCCTTGCATGACTGCTCACTGTTCTGCCGAGTTTCGACCGACAACTGCCTATGGCAGCGTTTGCGAGTGCTCTGATGCCGAGGTTAAAACACGTTGCCTACGTGCAGCTACGGCGTCCATTTTGACTGAGCTTTAGGTGTCCGTATCTCCGGGAGAGTTTGCCTCTGGGGACGACGACGATCTGTTCACTCGCTGCATTAGGAAATATCATCCAGTTTTCTGCTTCTTCTGTTCACGGAAAGGGTCGTAGCTTCACGTCTCTTCCTTCTGGTAGCCCTGGCTTCGTTCCGTGGCTTCTCCAAATCCGACTCAGGCATTTGTTGCCCATAGTTGCTATTCTCGACTATCTGTCCGCCCGAAGCTGGGATTCTGCTACAGGACAGCGTCTCGTATGGTCACCTCGGAATTTCTATCTCACTGCGGTGCTTTTGTTCGAACGCTATTGAGTTTGATACGTCGTCGTAGGTCGAGCTTCGCCCGCTCTCCGTCTTCTGGGATTGTATGCCGCAATCGCACCAACCACCGAATGACCTAATACCGGTTAACCGATGCTGTTGAGGCTCTTAGGGGCCTGGTTGATAACTGGCTGCAGCAAGCTTGGATCTCGAATTTGATTCCCCGAATATGTATGGCAATGCCTCTTCCGCCCCCGCGCCCCAAAGTGGCAAGTGCGATACGCGACTCCGTCGCGTAGGCAGACGCTGGCTTCGCCAACGATGCGCTTGTGGGCGCAGACGGCGTGTCCAGCGACGAAGGATGCACTTCTTGATCTCCTACGCCCCGGACTAACGCTGTGGGGAATGATATTCTCATCTCACACCGAGAGCAGCTTCGTGCGCTTGCTACCCGAAGTTACGGACCGTCTATGACTCATCTTTTGTGTGCAGATGTAAAGTTTTAGGTTTCTGTTTGATCTGGCTGCAGAAGGGGTCCCTGATGACTCTGGCCCCAGACCCGAAGGCTCCCCGACCTCGACAACTGATACGTGGCGGGCTTCGAAGTTAAGCAGACCACAGATTTCATAGTGAGTCTGTCTATCATGTGATTGCTGCTACGGTGTTGCTCAGCCTTTCTCCCACAATATCGAGTGCTAGAACGGCGACTGCGCCGCCCCTCGATTAGCTAGGCTAGGAACACGGCCGACTGCCCATCTACGAGACTTGCGGCGCAAAGGTAGGCAAGGGTGCGCACTGCGCACCACCGGACGCTGTTCCTATCAATATGCCGGAGAACGCACTAGCGCAGCCCTGGCGTCGCGATTCCAGGCCGACGCTATACTTATACGAGCCCTCTCCCATGGAGTCCCTCGTCTAACTTAATCCTCCCCCCGCTTCCAACTTCATCGCCTTGCCTCGTGTACGCTGGCACCACTGCGCCCATGGGATCATCCTATCTCTGCCTTATTTTACTGTCTCCGATTGGCATAATGTCGGTTTGTCATGGCTTCCCCGAGTTGCGACGCCCTCCTCAAGTCACCGCAGCTGGGTAGCAACTGGGGAGACAATCTCGCAAATGGGTCCATGCGCATTCGGACAGCCCCCGCCATCCTTGACTGGACGTTCGCTTGCACCTAGTCCCCTACTTTTGCTGATGAGTCGGACAAACCCACTGCTATTATCATCGGACCGACTTGACTCACTGTTCAAGATTTGGTTCTGTGGCCCCACAGTTTGGGATCTCAACAGGACACATTTAGACGTAATAATGTTTGGACCAAGGGATCAGTGATGTGACCACACTTCCCAAGCTCTTGTTCTAAGGTGGTCGCATTCCATTGCCAGAGGTTAGTACAAGCGGTTAGTACGTACGCAAGGAGAGATGGAAACAGATAATGTGTAATGTAACGGCAAGGACGCGGGACCAAGAGATAACGTAGCGTTCTCTGTTCTACAAATGACATTGTTCTCTTCAAATTTTACCCAGCGATCCGGGACGGGGAAAAAGACATGGGCGACTCAGACGGACCGACAGCACAGCGGATGGGGTATGGGGCCTCGCGGCCTCGCCTGGCGCCTTCTGCTCTCCTCGGAAGTAACTTCGACAAGGGAGGCATCACGCAAAACGGGCATGCAGGAAACGCCGGCGACCACCCGATCATCGATCAACGAGCTGTGGCGGATCGACAGCGTACATCTCGGATCGGACAAGCGGATAGCGGACTGCACCCTGCAGCGTGTTTTCGCAATGCGCCAGCCTGCAGCGTCGAGCGGCAGAGCTGTCCCTACTTTCGAAAGGGGAAGGTGGGGATGGGAGGGAGGAGCTGTACCGACGCACGCGCCGGGCGGAGTACACGTCTCGCATCCCTTCGGTCGCGTTCGGTGGCGTCGTCCCCGCCGCCACCGCCGCCACAAATTAGATGTACTGCATCATCCTCCTCTGGGCATACGCGCGCCACACTTCCAGAGGTGGCAATGGACGACGGATAAAACGGGAGGTGGGTGACAAGAATGGAAACATGGAAAAAACATGGAAGAAACATTGATTGAATAGATGAGATTGTTGTTGAGATGACAATGATACGGCAGACTGTAAAGATTGAGGTCGTAGCGAGAGAGAAGTTGGAGAGGTTGTGGGAGATGGAGGGCGTGTTCGTGTTCGTGTGGTTGCGTTAAGACGTTTGATGGCTGCTTTACGCGTCAATAGCCACCATCAGAGGGAGATGGACTCGACTCTTCGTGGGGAGGCTCTTGGCCTGCCACAGAGGTCAGCTGAGACTGCTGCGAACCTTCAGGCGGTGGGGACAAAGGTCGCGAATCCATGCCGCTCAGCTGTCCGGGCGAAGGAGAGTTGCCTACGCCCAAAGATATTTTCTCGTTCAGTGACCGCAGTCTCTGCACTTCCTGCTCTATCTGGGCGAGACGAGCCTGCAGTTGCCGGTTTGACTTCTCCAACGATACAATGTGATTTGTCGCTGAGCGCGCGGAAATTCATTAGAGGCACCTGGAAATGAGATGTGGCGCAACTCACCGCGCTCGAGAAGAGAGACCTTGCTGCTCTTCTGGTTGGAGACAGGCAGGACCTCTTTGAGACGAGCGTAGCCATCGCGAAGTTCATCTCGGCGCCGCTGCTCAGCCTCAATCCGCTGCCTGCGCGTTGCTTCCTTTCTAGTATTAGCAAGGCTCTCTGCAATGTTGACACCCATATGGTCGTCCTCGTCGGATAAAGAACGGCCGCGGCTCCGGCGACCGGCGGATGAGCTCGTGGGGGAAGGCGTCGGATTGTACCGCAGGGGGTTGCGGTGTACGAGACTGTTTGCGCGGGAGGAGGAGGGAGAGCCGGTTGCGCTGCTGTTCCTGGAGTGGTGGTAGATGCCGTCCGCGGATGTGTCTGATCCGGAGATGGGGGGAGAGAGAGGGTCGTACATATTGGGTGATTGCGGGGGAGGCGAGGCGGAGACGGGCATCACGCCATGAGGCGGGGACGCGGAATACACGGGCTGGGAAAAATGCTGGGCGGGGATCATGTTGAGGGAACGTTGGTAGTGCATTGCAGCCTGGTGCATGTCCGAGTCCGACATATGACCTGTTCGAGGACAATAGAAAGAATGAATGAGACCGGAAAGCGGTACGATTTACGAGGAGACGCACGAGGAGGCGGGCCAGGATGCACGACCTGATAGGACGGCATCTGGGGAGGATACACGAGGCCGTACGAAGAGTCGTCCTCTGATGGGTACATGGCAGAATAAGAGGCGGGGACGTTGAAGTTTTGCTGCTGATCGTCGTGGACGGACTGCTGCTGGTGCTGCTGGTCCATGTTTTCGTGGCGGGTCGTACACGCAGGAAATGCGATTAAAAGGATGTAGAAAACAAGAAGAAGGAGGGAGACACCTCGACTCAATCCCAACTTCGGAGCGGTCAGTTAGCGTCCCGCCCATCAGGCGCCCGCCAGTTTCTTTTATCCCTTTGTTCCTCCGTTGCCACTCCCCTTGTCGTCTTTGACGTCCGAGGATACACATCTGTATAGTTACAGTACTTCACAAACGAATCACCCCTGCAGAGTCCATGCCCGGAGGCCGGGGCGTCGTCGTGGGCTCGCCCTCACGCCCGGCTTCCGGGTCACGCGATGCCTCCTCTTCCTGCTCATCCAGGAACCCAGGAGGTCCACCCATCATCGACTCATGCTCCTCGGTCATCCCGCGGTAGCCACCGCGCCACGAACCGTCTCTGATTCTCTCCATCCAATCGCGGAAGAATGCCACCATGTCGCTGAACGACATCATAGGAAGTCGCGGTATCTGGTCGAATCCCCGCAGCTCCAGTACGTATCGCTTATACCAGGTTCCCACGAGGATGTACAACATGAACACCGTGCCGAGTCTGTATTTTTGTTCGCGTAAGCGTGACATGCCTTCCATATAGTTGACAAGGAACCTACATTGCTACGACGATCACCAGGAATCCCCATGAGCCTCCACGCTCGTTCGTCGGACAAGCAACCTAACACAATCAGCACAAGGGCGGGAACACAGCACGGATGCAACTGACATGGGTTCTCCACTCGACAAAAAATGCACAAGCAGAATCGTCGTCTGGCGGCAACTGTGCAACCAACTCAGGACTTCCTGTTCGGAACTCAGTCGAACGTCCGGAACAATTCAAGTATCCGTCTCACCTGCACCGAACACTGACGTATCGCAGATGAACCGGATCGCCGTCGACGCAGTCATGTTATCGGCAGTAGGACATTGGGACCCATCCGTCGTCACGAGTAGTGGGTGACCATTCCGAACGAGAAGGGTTGTATTCGTATACCTGCGTTTTGTGTGCTCAGTCCGGCTGGCACAAATAATAACACGAAGCAGGCTCACCCTATGGAGAAGTCACCCCGCGGCCGGTGTATGAACCCGGCGACATCCTTGGGCCTGTCGACGTGCATTGCCCATGTTTCACTGACCACAGGCTTGCACACATTGATAGTAAACTTCTCGCCGCTCGGTGACATGAATACATAGTCTTTACTGAGAACTGGCGTTGATTAGCTTATCAGGATACATAGTGGAAGGGAACTGAAACTGTTTGGACTGTCAAAGGGTATGAAGATACCTTGCTCTCAGTGGGCTCAGATTATAAAAGTTGTCTCCATCACGCGCGGTGCATGGCTCATCCGCAAGCGTCCTTGGTACCAATGCTCCCAAGACGAAGAATGCTATAAGACAGTAGAGATGCAAACAGTGCTGCATTTCCGGTCGACCCTCTGAGGAGAACAGATGAGACAGAGGAAAGAGCAAGCCGCAGTCGCAGCGACTGGAAGCTGTAAGACTTGGCGGCAGTGGCACAGCGGCTCGGTCTTCAGCCACTGTGACAGTCACGCGACCGTGATGCCACATTCCCAAATGCGGCCCGGGTCGACTTGGTCCGTTTGGCACCGACAGCGTCGACGACAACGACGACGATGGCCTCGACGCTTCTCCGGCGCCAGCTCGCGCGGGCTCCGCGCCTGGCTCCTCTCATATCCTCCCATGCGTCGCCCCTGAGTCGCCACCTCTCGAGCACGCCCACTGTCTTGCAGGCAGAGCCCGCTCCTGGGCAGGCTGGCGCACGGACGCTGGGCGGGAAAACTACGTTCGACACTCACACAGTCGAAGATCTCCAGGGAATACATGCGTCTGAAATTTTGGCTGAGACAGGCACGAGGCCAGAGTCAACGATGCGGCACTTTACTGGTATGTCGGCGAGTCGGTTCTTGATCGCGCTGTGTTTGATTGTCATGTCGGATTTCAGTGAACTTTGGGTGAGAAGCTGAAGCTTCAGCACGCCGAAATAATGGAATAGACTGCTTATACTTCTGCAGTCCCCAACATCCTGCTGCCCATGGTGTACTTCGGTTGATACTCGAGCTGAACGGTGAGGAAGTGTTACGCGCAGACCCAGTGAGTTCCATGAGTTCGTAACCAAAAGTACGACGCGACTCAATCTTTGGATAACCAGCACATTGGTCTCCTTCACAGAGGGACTGAAAAGCTCATTGAATACAAGACTTACGCTCAAGCTCTGCCCTATTTCGATCGTCTTGATTACGTTTCTATGAGTATGTCCACCGTTTGTGCAACAATGCCGTTGATATTTGACGGCTGAATCAGTGACGAACGAGCTCTGCTACTCGCTCGCCGTCGAGAAGCTGCTGAATATCGAAGTACCAGAGCGTGCTAAGTGGATTCGAACGCTCTTCGGCGAGCTCACCCGCGTTCTGAACCGTAAGATTTGTTCAATGGAAACGAACTCCTGAGTATGTGTTACTCACCGCCAAATCAGATCTCATGGCAGTCCTCTCGCACGCTATGGACGTGGGTGCGCTGACACCCTTCCTGTGGGGTTTCGAAGAGCGCGAGAAGCTCATGGAGTTCTACGAACGCGTCTCCGGCGCCCGCCTGCACGCTGCTTACGTGCGCCCCGGTGGTGTCGCGTTCGACCTCCCGCATGGGCTACTTAACGACATCTTCCATTGGGCGACACAGTTCAGCTCGCGCGTGGACGAGATTGAGGAAGTCGTCACGGGTAACCGTATCTGGAAGGAGCGTACCATTGGCATCGGCAGAGTCACTGCGAAGGAGGCGATGGACTACAGCTTCAGCGGTGTCATGCTGAGAGGTAGCGGCATTCCTTGGGATATTCGCAAAGTCGCCCCGTACGACAAGTACGACGAGGTATGTGCGACTGAATATTCGCGGAAAGCACACAGTTCAATGTCCGGACCCTGATGTAGGTCGAATTTGACGTTCCGGTCGGTAAGGATGGCGACTGCTACGACCGGTATCTGTGCCGTGTACAAGAGTTCCGAGAGTCTTTGCGGATCATTGACCAAGTATGTCACTATACCTCTTCCCGGATATGACAATTGATCCGACCATCCGCAGTGTTTGAACAAGATTCCCACTGGGGCGGTTAGGGTCGACGACTACAAGCTCGTGCCCCCTCCGCGTGCATCCATGAAGGAGAGCATGGAGTCTCTCATCCACCACTTCAAGGTGGGTGTCGTAATCCTGTCCTCGTGATGTTACCCCTTCTCACACTTCATGACACTTCCCACTCTAGTTCTTCAGCGAGGGCTACTCTGTGCCTCCCGGTGAGACTTACAGTGCGATTGAGGCTCCCAAGGGCGAGATGGGTGTGTATCTCGTCTCGGACGGGACTAATCGTCCATACCGCTGCAAGATCCGTGCACCTGGGTTCGCGCACCTGGCCGGCGCCGACTTTATGATGAGACGTGAGTGCAGTGCCTCTTCATTTATCTGCCTGAACGTGGTTGCTAATGCATGTCCGCCACAGATGTAAGCAACGCTTTGTACACGAGGCCCCGTGTCCGACCGCTGATTCTCTTTCTCTTACAGCACTTCATTGCGGACGTCGTTGCTGTCATCGGAACTATGGTATGTGGTCGTTCTAGGTCTCTTACTGGTGTCATGCTCACTTGTTGATTACAGGATCTCGTGTTCGGGTGCGTATTTACCTTGTTCTCGAAAATGTTCTTCGTATCTGACTGCGATTCACCCGCCTTGTCTCCACTGTGTACCGTAGTGAGGTTGACCGGTAAACTAATATACACTCAAACTACGTTCTTCATTCAAATTGGCGACGCGAGAAGCACGGCTGACAGCACTTGTGGGAAGATTACAACGAAGGATAATGCAAATGTCAAACGGAGTTCCCTCTGTGAACATCCACAGTAAAGGAGAACATACAAGGAGGCTGCCTGAGAGCTAGACAAACCACAGGGGGTGATGATCAGTCTCGCTCACTCGTACCTGCAGCTTACTCAGCGGCGTCTGCAACGCTGGTGATGCTTCACGGATCTCCAGTTGCAGCTCTGCGGCTATTTTCTCGGCGAGCATCGGCAGGTATCCGCGCTCAGTATTTGTGTGGCCACCTGGGCAGGCGGGATGGAACTCAGCCAACCTGACCAGTTGAATACAACTTGGATACTTACAAAGAATGACATTGCGTCCGCTCGCTACCGCCGCGAGTACTTCATGGTGAGGCATTTCCCCCGTGAAGTATACATCTGCGTCCACGCCGAGCAGCACGGAGCTGCCGGAGCCCGCACAAATTGCAACAGATTCGACGTTAGTGATGTCCCATGCGGACGTATATGCTGCTTGGACTTGCAAGACAGTTTAAGTCAGGTAGAGAGTACTAGCCGGCGAAGGTAGGTAGTCTTGCAAGTGACGGACGCACTTTGCTCCAATTTTAGATTCTGCTTGATCCTCAGTTCGAGCTCTTTCATGGGAATGGAGTCGAATTTAATCAGACGTCCCACGCCGCCAGCCCCTTCCGGGTCCGCGTCGCCGATGTACTCTACCTCTTTCGGTGTCGTCCAGTTTGTAACGACCTGACAGAGCCAGTCGTTGATGCCACCAGTAACAGAGTCAAGGGCAGTATGAGGAGTGTAGATGGATATTCCCGCCGCAGCACAGCGCAGGAGAGAATGCTGCAGAGGATCGGAGAGCGTGATGGAGGTGAGGGGCTTGAATATTGGCGGGTGGTACGAGACGATGAAGGCCGTGCCAGAAGACAGGGCTTCGTCCACCACAGCGGTGGTCAGGCTTGTGCATTCGCAGTTAGTGGATACTGGAACAGATGCTGGCTGTCAGACGCACTCGATTGTGAGAAGAACGCCGTGTGCATCTGGACGTTGCTGCGGTGCCTCTGATACAGACGTCTGGTGAATAACAAGATCGCAACGGGTGGGTGAGAAAGCAATTACCGAGCAGCAGGCCGACCTGAACAGAATGCTATGAGTGATTTTGAGGCAAGGTAGAGTATAAGCTGCTAACATTGTCCCATTTTTCTGCGAGGCGCAGGGGGGCTACGCGCTCAAGGGCTCTGCAGATATGTTTTACGACCGACATGGACGAATGTGCTCTCCGGAAATGGCAATATTCCTTCGGGGAGGAAAGGCTCACGTGACCGTATTGCGCGAGAGGTTGTCATCGATTGACCGTTCAAGAATTAATGTCATGCAGGATGCTACCGCGGTTATATAGAGGCCTATCTTCTCTGTTCGCTTCTCCCATCCCTGACCCAGTAAGCCAACTGAGTCCCTCCTTCTAACACGGATTCACCGTCTTCTTCCAATCCCTCTCGACACCAGCGTATCCTCATGGCTGCCAAAGACGTCGTTGAGGTATGCACCGTGCGCCGTGCCTACGTTGCTCATGCTTGACTGATTCATCCTGTCTATCTAGACCACCATCTTGGACAACAAGATCGCCATCTTCTCTAAGAGCTACTGCCCGTACTGCAAGCGTGCGAAGGCGCTCTTCGCTGCCAAGTTCCCCGACGTTCCCACCAAGATTCATGAGTGAGTAGACAGATTCTTCCACACAGATATGCTATCAAGTCTCATTTCATCGCGTCTCAGGCTTGACTTGCTAGGAGAGGAGGGCAGTGCCATCCAGCAGTACCTGCTGGAGAAGACTGGCCAGAGGACCGTGCCTAACATCTTCATCAGTGCGCACTGTCTCTTACCGACATCTCGATTCATGCAGCTCATACTTGATACACAGACGAGAAGTTCATTGGTGGATGCGACAGCGTCACCAGCCTCGACCAGGAAGGCAAGCTGGCCGGCCTTATTGCGGCGTAAGCATCGCTAGGTCCTTCCTTCTCTACCACGGACATCGGGCGAAGTGAGACTCTGGTCGGGGATCTGTCGATTACCCCTTATCTCTGGCAGTGATACCTCTTCTTCTCGTTTGTAATTCGTAGCAATCAAGGATACTACTGTAGAAATATATAGAACTCTAGTCTCGGAACCAGACGTTCGGTGGTAGCAGGGCATCACGTGAAACTGACAGCGGAGAGCGAAAAAGAGATGCACAGCTACCACCTAGAACGTCTGGTGAAATTCGTATAGGCGGGGGGGGGATTGTCACACTTCGTGACCAGCGCGTCAGGGCGACGTGTCCTACGGGCGATGTGTAGTAGTACGCGTCTTCTGTGTAGTGTCTGTAGCAATCACGATACATCTTCCCCTCATACATATTCTGCTTCTATGTCCTTGAAGTTGCGTGTGCGAATCTTGTGCGGTGGATCACTCGGCTCTCGTTGGCGCCCAGGTGTATTGTCAGTGTCTTCGTCTTCGTCATCAGATGAGTCCGCACTATGCTCATCCCAGTCCGGGTCGTCAAGTTCTTCATCATCCTGCACGGGATCTCCAGCATTAAGCTCTGATAATAGGGTATAGAGGTTTTCAGAACTCATAGGACTCTGGTGTAGCAAGTCCGGGTATCATGCAGAAGGTCCGGGTATATTGTGTACTACGACATGGTACCTGCTACCTACATCTCTAGACGCGACGCGCGACACGCCTGACGTGCAGAAAGACGCGTCAAGATCACGTGAATGTGACAATCCCCCCCCCGCCTATACGAATTTCACCAGACGTTCTGTCTGCGGGCTGTGCAGGTGTTTTTCGCTCTCCGATTGGGGGCCCGCACTGACAGAACGGCTGGTTCCGAGACTAATAGAACTCGTGTCCGAGCAGGTCCGAGCTTCTCATGAGATAGGTACTGTCACGTGAAAGTTATCCTTAAATAAGTTGAGATCTGGAGATCTACAGCTGTGGATACTCAGCGACAGCGACGTCGGACACGACTCTGGCATCTAACTCTGAAGCATTGTACGAAAACCTCGATACACCTAGCCCAGGACACCTTCAACGTGCTGGATATTCCAAAAATGTCTGCACAAGCCCTACAAGAAGATGACCTCCTTGAACTTCTTCTCCAGCTAAAAGTGCGTGCTTCGTTCCGCACCATGGGTGAACTTCATGTGTACTTGATTTGCAGAAGACTACACCAGACCAGGCACGGATCATCTTGAATAGCCAACCTCAGATTGCGTTTGCACTTATGGCTGTCATGGTGAACATAAACGCAGTGAACATGGAAGTCGTACAGGTGCGTTCAGTGGCACGAAGTCGGCCACCTTGTCATCTCCGAATCGAATAACTATAGAAATATTTTCGGAAATCTCTTGGCTTAGCCATGGTGCTCACCGTCATCACAGAAAACTTTGTCTGCGTACGGCACACTACCAGCAGCTACCCCCGCAGCCCAACAAACCGCCCCACCTGTACCTACGGCAGCAACCGCCATTCCCCCTCATCTGGCTGTACAGCCGCCTCAGCGCAGCGTCACGCCGACATATCCCCCGCAACCTCAGCCTTCGGCCTACGCACCACCATCGTATCCAGCACACAACACTACGCCGAATTCTTACGCGTCCTCGTCGCACCAACCACCTGCATATTCGGCACCACCTCCGACTGCACCTACTGCCATGATACCCGATGCACTAGCGAACATACCTGATGACCAGAAGGTGCGTGCGTGTTAGCAGTACCGTTTAATCCCGTCATTTCCGGGTGTTCCGCGTTTGTGTTGACTTCCGCTGCGTGGGTTTAGGCACTTATCATGAAAGTGATTTCCATGAGTCGCGAGGAGATCTATCAATTGCCGTACGCGCAACGAGACAACATCATTCAGCTGGTTCGTCTGTTGCGTCGCCTTTGTGTTGAGTGCGTCTAATCCCTTTGCAGAGAGCTACCCTTGGGTTACCAACGTGATGCTAGTTTGTACGAATGTGTTTCCCATCGCTACCTTTGCTGTATTTACTGTGGAATGGGACACTTTAGAGCCATTCCGATGTTTCCACCACATTTCCGCGGCCCGAAAACTACCAATGTTATCACCAGTGGTATAATGCGGACACCTTATACACCTTGCCACGCGTCTATATATTTGCCATGACCGGCCAGTAGAGTATCGTTTTGTTTTCTAAGAACCAAAGTCACGGTCGTGAAACGCTGTCCGTCACACGTGTACTTGCCAAATGTAGCAATCATACTCTACGTTCACGCCTTCCCTCCAGAAGACTCTCTACTAATTTACTTCCCCGAAAATGGCTTCCGCGGACGCGTCTTGCTACACTATAGTCTTCGAGGACAGCTCAGAGACACCTTCGACCCAAGACCTCCGCACGGCGCTGCAGAAGGGTTCAGATGAGGTTAAACTCGACACGTTGCGCAAGATCATCGTCTCGACAATAAATGGAAACCCTCAAGTGTGTGCTCGATGTTTGTCTGCGGCTTTATCCATTACTGAGCCGTCATGCATACAGCCCCAACTGCTTATGCCAATTATTCAATATGTAATGCCCACACGGAACAAGGCGCTGAAGAAGCTCTTGCACTTCTACTGGGAGGTGTGTCCGAAGTACGACGAGAACGGGAAGCTAAAGCAGGAGATGATTCTTGTGGTGTATGTCACCGTCATTTTCTTGTATGTGCTGCTCGCTGACGGTCTGTGCAGTAACGCCATTCGGAATGACCTAGTAAGTACTCACCGCGAGCGACGCACTTCTCGGGAGTCTAATAACCACACGTACAGCAACACCCGAACGAGTACATCCGGGGCGCGACCCTTCGCTTCCTCCAGAAGATCTCAAGAGATGGGGAGCTTCTTGAACCCCTCATCCCGACCTGCCGCTCCTGCCTGGAGCACCGACACTCGTACGTCCGCAAGAACGCCGTCTTCGCCATCTACACGATATACCGCGAGTTCGAGCACCTCGTCCCGGACGCACCGGAGCTCATGCAGACGTTTCTCGCCGCTGAGTCGGACGCGACGTGCAAGCGCAACGCGTTCGTGTTCCTCGCGAACTGCGCGATGCCAAAAGCGGTGGAGTACATCCTGCAGGTGTTCGACCAGATCCCGAACATGGACGAGCTCCTTCAGATGAGCATTATTGAGGTGATCAGGCTAGACTGCAAGAAGGACAGCAAGCACAGAGTACGTGACTTGGTGAATGTCTCATGCGGTCTCTGTCGATGACGCGTGCCATACAGGCGAAGTACATCTTGTTGATATCTGAGCTTCTGAATGCGCCTTCGCATGCTGTAAAGTACGATGCAGCAACCACCCTAACGTCATTGACGCAGAATCCTGCAGCGGTCAAAGGTGTGTTTCTCGAGTTCGTCTAGTCCCGTTCGGCATCTCAAGCTCTCGCAGCTGCCGCTTCATGTTATATCAACCTCATCACCAAGGAGTCGGATAACAACGCGAAACTCATCGTCCTTGACCGTCTCGACACCCTGCGTTCCAAGCACGGTCATGTGTTGGACTCGCTCATCATGGACGTTCTCCAGATTTTGTCTAGGTAAGTTACCTTCTGGAGTAGGATTGGCGTGATCATTGAACTCACTGAACTCACTGAACAAGTAGTCCCGATCTGGAGGTCCGCCGTAAGGCAATCAGCATTGTGCTCAGTATGATTTCGAGCAGAAATGTGGAGGAAGTGGTGCTATTCTTCAAGAAACAGTTGCAGAAAACACAGGAGCAGGACTTTGAGAAAGTATGTATGCAAGCGCACTAGCTATGGTCGTTTAACACCCTCCCGCAGGCTCCAGAGTACCGGCAACTCCTCATTCAGTCCATCCACGTTTGCGCGGTGAAGTTCTCTGAGGTTGCTGCGAGCGTGGTGCATGCATTGATGGATTTCCTCGGAGACTCCAACAACCCGTCTGCACTCGACGTCGTCGCATTCGTGCGGTGCGAGCATCTGTGTTACGGAGACCGCATGGTCGCTGACAAGTCCATTACAGGGAAGTGGTGGAGAAGTTCCCGCCATTACGTCGTACCATCTGCGAAAAACTCATGCAGACGATGAGCGAAATCAAGTCGGGTAAGGTCTACCGCGGTGTGCTGTGGATCCTCGGGGAGTATGCCGAACATATTTCTGAGATTCAAGATATTTTCCGTGAGCTCCGGAAGGTTCTTGGGGAGATTCCCATATTGGCGTCAGAGCAGCGGCTGCTGGAGGAGTCGGCAGACGAAGACGAGAAGAAGGAGGAGCCGCAGCCGAAAACAGACAGCGGAAAGCCTAGGGTGTTAGCTGATGGCACATACGCGACTGAGACAGCGTTCACAAGTATGTCTAATGCGAGGCTGGAAGCGGTGAAGGCGGCTGCGAAACCACCCTTGCGAAGTGAGTCTTCGAAGTTCAGACTCTGGATTGATGACTTGCTCACGCTCGGAAAACAGCCTTGATTCTCGGCGGCGACTTCTTCACGGGATCTGTGCTATCATCGGCATTGACCAAGCTCGTTCTGCGATACAGTGAACTCTCGAGCGATCAGAGAAAGTCCAATGCTCTCCAAGCAGAAGTAAGTCTCTACAGACGTCAGAGAGTATGAGCTGACAACGTCCTATTTTCAGGCTATGCTCATCATGGCCTCTATCATCCGCGTTGGGCAATCCAAGTTCGTGACAGTTCCAATTGACGAGGACTCGAGCGAGCGGATCATGAACTGCATCCAAACCCTGAGCGAGTTAGAGAATGAGCCAGCTGTTCACGACATCTTCCTAAAAAACACAAAGGCCGCCTACTCGAAGATGGTGTCTGCGCAGGAGGTATGTACGCGTATCTTGGTTTCCACCATTATTGATCTTCCAACGCCAAACGAACCCTGAATCCACAGAAAAAGGCTGCAGAGAAAAGAGAGCAAGAGAGCGCGAAGGAGAAGATTGTTCAGGTGGACGATTTGCTCACTTTCCGCCAGTTCTCCAAGAAGCCTGTGGAGGAGGTCTTTGATGTGAGCAATTGTCAAAGGGTCTGGACAGTATTATATCTGAGTGCTGTCCCAGGATCTCGAAGACGTCGGCCGGGCGACTGGTGCGGGTGAGGTGCCGGAAGACTTTATCTCTAATCTATCCCGCATATGCCAGCTTACTGGTACGTTGTGCGGTCATAATACTTCGAGATGCGTTCTCATATTTTGTCTCAGGATTTTCTGATCCCATATACGCGGAAGCATATGTCAAAGTGCAAGGCTTTGATATTCTCCTGGGTGTGTATAACTACGTGTACGATACTCGTCTATACTAGCTCACAATTTCTTCAGATGTGTTGTTGGTCAATCAGACGCCGAACACTCTGCAGAATCTCTGCTTAGACTTTGCCACTCTGGGTGATTTAAAGCTCGTCGAACGGCCAACAGTATACACTGTTGCACCTAACAGCTTCCAAAGCATCAAAGCCACCATCAAGGTGTGTTCTTCTCCTGCCTTCTAGCCGATCACTCAAACGTCGTCCTAGGTATCGTCGACAGAGACCGGTGTCATCTTCGGCAGCATCTTGTGGGAGGGACCTGGGATGTCGGAGCAATGCGTGATTTTGAACGACATTCACATTGACATCATGGATTACATCAAGCCTGCGTATTGCACAGAAGCACAAGTGAGTCCGGGCCATTCTCCTTGAACGTCGCATTTCACTAAGACTTCCCGTCCAGTTCCGCAGCATGTGGACAGAATTCGAGTGGGAGAACCGGGTGAACGTCACAACATCAATTTCGTACGTCACTCATTGTCGGTATGTGATACTGAGGTTTCTCATGACATGGTGCACCCAGCGATCCGCGAGAATACTTGCAGCATGTCATGAAAGCGACGAACATGTCTTGCCTCACACCGGAGGGAGCTGTCTCCGGCGACTGTGATTTCTTGTCGGCGAATATGTATGCCCGAAGTCTCTTCGGTGAGTAACTCTGATCTTGCCGATCCGTGTGAGATACTGACCGCCATGCAGGCGAGGATGCTCTGGCAAATCTCAGTGTGGAACGAACTGAGGCAGGCAGCATCACTGGTCACGTCCGGATACGAAGTAAGACGCAAGGAATCGCCTTGTCTCTAGGTGATCGGATAACCATGGGTGAGCGATATCTCCCTTGTCATCGCGTGAAGCTTGTGCGTACTGATGATGACTGCAGCTCAAAAGGACAACAAGCCACCTGTATAGACGTGCACGTCCATGTCCCTTGAGTTCTCGGACCTTATTGTAGATCATCTGCATTGCTGTCTGGACGTGCGTAACTGCATAATTTATTGCCCTCGAGCACCGGTGAAGGTCTCGCTGGGAGTTTCTGTGTCGGTTGAACTATCCAAAATTCAGGTCGAGTGTCATTCTACTACTATGTAGTCCGCAATCATGGCGATAAGTACTAGATTGCTGCGCAACCGACAGGCACACATGCACATGGCTGTACTACGTAGTAGCCACGCGTTTCCCCGGTTTGAAGAGTCTCGGCACCGCCGAGATAAGAATAAACCAAGATTCACTTCCGTCAAAAACTTGATCAAAACACATATGTAGTTGGGATGGCACACGACGCTGTCCTTACCTTTCTCCTCCCCCGGGTGTGCTATGTCGGCGAGCTATACCTCGGAAAATGACCGGGAGAAAGGATTCGTCGACGACAAGGAAGATGTTGTTATCCCCGTCAAGGAGGACGATCCCGGTGTCGTCTTGGTGAAACGATATGGCCGGCTTGGACCCATCCTCGAGCGCATGTTCGCCAGCGGTGTCGAGGCGAGAGGCGTCGAGCGTGTCCCGGAGGATCAGAGAGAGAACAAAAACTCATGGAACAAGTACGTGCGACTGTGCTGCTAGATGAACGAAGGAAAGAAATGCTGAAATCGCTGGGCAGTCTTCTGATGTGGTGGTCAGTATGATCCTAAGACGAGCTAGCGCCAGTGACGAGCTTGAGCGGATTTCAGGTCTGTCAATTGCGTCTTGACCACCATCCCCATCGGCGTCCTTGCCCAAGAATATTACAGTCTCACTCTACCGTTCGTATTCTTTTTTCCCCTGTCTCTGAGTTGATTTCCATCTCATATTTTCTTGCTCCAGTCATGCCATCGCCACTATTTTATGTTTTGGAGCCCTGGGCGCATTGGCTACCGCGTTCATTAGCACTCTCGGGCCAAAAACTGGCTTACGGACTATGATTATAACCCGATTCAGTTCCGGTTACGTTGGTGGAACACTCTACGCCGTGCTCAATGTCCTTACACAGTAGGTCTCCACTTACCGGATGTGCTTCTAGATGAGTGAAGGCTTATTACCATTTGCATAGACTTGGTTTTGCTGTCACAGCAGTCATTCTGGGTGGGGAGACATTGGCCTCCATAAATCCTGGTACCCTTCCTCTGGTAGTCGGCATCATCATCGTCGGTCTGTGCAGTCTGATCCCCTGCTTCATCGGCTACCAGATGGTTCATTATTATGAACGCTATGCATGGATGGTCATTTTCCTCGTGATGCTTTTCTTGTGGGGCCTGGGGGGCCGTGCGGGATTTAACATCAATGCGCAGAAACCATTTGAAGCTACTGGCAGAGCGCTTTCTGCCGACATTCTGACTTTTGGCAGCATTGTCTTCGGATCAGTTACCGGGGTGTGTTCTAGTTCTCGACTCGTTACCATAGGACTAATTCTCTGTACGCAGTGGGCCCCCGTTGCAGCCGACTACAACTGCAAATTGCCGGCCGACACCCCTAGTGCTAAAGTGTTTGTGCTCACGTTCTTTGGGCTCTTCATCCCGATCGCCTTCGTAGAAATTCTCGGAGCTTCGTTGATGACCATCAGTGATCCTTCGTATGCGGACGCTATTACATCGGGGGATACAAGCGCTCTTCTGTCCAAAGTTCTCTCCCCATGGAAGGGTGGAGGAAAATTCATCCTCGTTCTCCTTGCCTTCTCTGTTGTGTACGTCGATTCTCCTCGATATCGGGTGGCGCCGTTGTCTTTATTGGCAATGATTTCACATATAGTGCGAACAACATCCCCAACACCTACTCTGCTGGATTGTCTATCCAATCGCTGGGAAGACCGTTCGCGATGGTACCCCGGTTCTTCTGGGTGCTGTTCTCATTTGTTGCGTACACGGTTGCTGGAGTTGCTGGCCGCGAGCACTTCGATGCTATCTTGTCCAACTTCTTGAGCATTTTGAGCTACTGGACCGCTTTCTTGGTTGTCATTGTCGCGGAAGAGCACTTCATTTTCAGGCGGAAAAATGGTCCCCTCGGTGGGTATAACCTGGACGACTGGGACACTCCCAGCAAGTGAGTATATGCAGAGCCTGTTACTGAGGTGTTTATCGCTTATTCGTTTGCCAGGCTCCCAGTGGGCGTTGCTGGAGTTCTTGCTGCTTGCTGCGGTATCGCGGGTGCCGTTGTTGGAATGTCTCAGGTGCGGATCTATTATCAGCAAACAACAACGATGAGGCTAACAGGCGACTTCCTTAGGTTTGGTATACTGGGCCACTTGGCGTTAAGGCTGGAGCCGATGGGTATGGTGCAGATCTCGGCTTCGAAGTAAGTTGTTTACACTTCTGCCCTGCATCGTTGGTAATTGATGATATTCTTCCGGATAGCTTGCGGCCGCGTTCTCGGCAGTGGCCTTTCCGCCTCTCCGGTGGCTAGAGATTCGTCTGACAGGACGATAGTCCCACTCACGACACCCACCACAGCTCCTCTCGCTTGTAATGATAGAGGCCTACTTATCAGTGTAGATATTAATGCTGTCATGCCATTCTCTGCGACTAAGAGTCATGTGGGTTGTGCTGTCATGTCAGTGCGAACTTTGGACTGTGTCTATGTATGCAGTCTGTCTTGGCACGCCAAGAAATGGAGAGGTATTCCTGCTGGTGGTGGTGGTGGTGGTGGTGGTGCCCGGGATAGCATGGATAGCTGACTCTCACTGCACACCAATCATCATCAATGCCCGTCGCACGCTGGTCTCTGCTATCCAAAACGCCTTGGATTGCTAGGTCGTCTCATTCCGTATCAGTAACAAAATCGGGCGTCGTCGTTGTTTATGGGGGTGAACTAAAGCCTCGCACGCCCGTTGACTCCTGCACCGATGGACAAGAAGGGATAGTCAAGGGATCCGTGCATCTGTTCGATCTGAAGGATCGCTCTTCTCAGATCGCACATCGAGGATGGCGGACACTCAGTCCCGCTTCGAACGCTGCCAAGGATGCTACGTCTGGTATCCCAGATGCCAGAGTTGGAGCGACGATTGTCTGTGATGGTCAATCATTATACCTGTGGGGAGGGCGTGGAGGAGTAGACATGGCTCCCCCCGACAAAGCGCAGGTCGGGATCTGGCGCAGTGAGATAAAGGATGATGAAACCTCTACAGTGATTAACTGGCAGAGGATACCTGCTGTGAACGAGGAACAAGCTCCAGAATCACGCAGCTTTCATACCGCAGTTACTTATGCGGTACGGCTTTCTCTCTCTGAATGCTCAGGGAAGCTAAAGCTAAATATCGAAACCGCAGGGAAAAATCTACATCCACGCAGGATGTCCGACGACTGGGAGGCTTAGTGCATTGGATTCTTTCGATATCGCCACTCGCACCTGGAAATCTCTTGCGCCAGCCCCAGATCCTGTGCGCGGAGGCACTTCTCTTGCCATGGCTTCGCCGAACCAAGGGGGGGTGGTTTTAGTCCGATACGGGGGTGAGTGTATAGTATATTTCCACCGTTGGGATACGTCCAATACTCGTGACAGGTTTCAGCGGCTATGAACTGCCTTCCGAAGCGGGGAGCCTTGACGTCTATTCCATTGAAGAAGATAAATGGTTTACCGTGCAGCCCAAAGCAGATTCCGAGCACGGCAGCCCCGGGTCCCGCTCTGTTCATGGCTTTGCGCCATTTCAATCGACCTCGCCTTCATTAGTAGACGCCGTCGCATTACTCTTTCACGGAGAAAGGGACGCGAGTACCCTGGGGCATGCCGGTGCCGGTACATTCTGGCACGATGTATGGCTGCTCACGAAACAGAAAGCCGACGGTGTGACAGATGGATGGGCTTGGAAGAAGGCGGAAGTGACTGCTACAAATGCAACTTCCGAAAGCATTCTAAGCGTCCCGGAAGGCAGAGGATGGCTTGGTTCAACAGCTTGGGTAGACGACAAAGGTAACTCGCGGATTGTGATGCACGGTGGATTGCTGTCTTCAAACGAGAGAAGCGATGAATTATGGGAGTTACAAGTGGAGTGAGTACTGAGCGGAATGCCTAAGTGGAATGAAATGTACTATGCGTTGTATGGAGCGACATTACTATGAGTCTTCTGCCAATGGTAATCTGTCGGATTGGTCATGTACCGATGAGAGGGGCGACGAATGAAGTTCCATTGCCGCCGAACGACGTGTAAACTCCTCGTTGAAGCGCGTCTTGAGTTCGGCATTCAGTCAGACGGGTGCGGTCACTAAAGTATAGAACTCACGATCCTCTCGGTGCCTACCAAGGCTGCGTAGTAGTCCAACCTCTCCTCAGGTGTTTGATCCAAGAAGTCTTCCAAGCTGATCTGGCATAGAACTATCGAGGCAGCGAACATATTCATACCATCGACGCCCGCTAAATCAAGTTCTCCCTGATACGCCAGAATCACGAATGTTACATGGGAATACAAGGAATGGTACGCACATCTTGTTCATCCAAGTCAAGCCACTCACGCGCGCCCCAGATGGCTCCGCCTGTAGCATCTCTGTCCTGAGCGATGTCTCCATACACTCGCGTGAACATGGCTGCTTCTTCGACGGTGTTCGCAAAGGCGAAGTGCACAGTAGACATAGAACACTTCGACCGACATGCATCCGCAATGCTTAGATCTCGCCGTAGCTTCTTGACAGCTTTGACGACAGGAGGCGAGAAGGCGTAAGGAGCAGCGGTAGATGAGTCATGATCATGCCTGTATGAAGAGGAGGGAGGATACGCTTCAAGGATAACAAGAAGATGCATATATCGCCATGAAAGTTGAGTCAGCCTCATCATCAGTGAGTCGAGTTCCGAAGGAAGAGCCGCAAGAGTACTGAACAATATCGCCGTGTCTGGATCCACAATGAGTTCGACATCGCCCAGCCGTTCTCGCTCAGTAAGGTCGACCAAGCACTCCGACGAGGAAAGAGCCACAACAAGGGCTCGCTTCTGGATGAAATCCATTGATGCCATGTACCGGTGAACGGTAGTGGGTAGAGTACGATGATCATGAAGGCGAAGTGTGCGAGAGTCAAGGAGTTCTTCAGGAATATCGCGAGAGGTAGCAGAGTCATGCACAGCAGGGACCGACAATTGAGCATTTAGTGCGGAATGTGGATCAGCATTGGTCGTCGTAGCAAAGGACTTTCCACGAAACTTCAAGAAGTCCGCCAATGATTGCCTAGCCGATGTCATTGGAGAGAAACCCGAAATACCGCGTGCCGGAGCTTGGATCAAGGTAGTGGAGGAAACATTAGGTGATTCCCGACCGTCAGCAGAGATAAGTACATTCCGTTGACTTGGATCGACATCAGGCGCAAATCCATAGCGACGTGGAGATGGAGCATCTGGTTCTGGAGTATGAGGAGCAATCGGTACATGGGCAGAATCAAAAGACAGAGGCATGAAGGCAGCAGAGTTTTCAGCGTCATTCACAGGCCACAATTCGCCTTCATGGTGGTAATGTTGCTCAGGTAAGCCAACAGCAGCGGTAGTAACCTCGTAAGTAGAATGTGCATTATAGCGAGCAGATACCATTGGTGAGTAGCGCAGGGCCCGCGGTGAAGCGGAAGCGTGATCAATGTGGTGGATAGGATCGATGTCCCGGAAAAGGTCCCCATCCGCCAGCGCGCCCTCGAAGCCTTCCGCGCCGAGCGCAAGTTGGCTAAAGACATTGTCGCTGCCGTTGACGCAATCCGGCTCCACCATCAGGATCCCAGAGTCGTCCACTTGGTGCAAATCGTCTCCATAGTGAGCAGGTCCATCAGCTGTGCGATGATGATCGTCGAACTTGACACGCTTCTTCCGTTGGTCCACTTCATCGACACTCGCATCCTCGTCTTGGGACAGATTGCCGAATGCATCACCTGATAATCCGTTGGCTTTCCGTCGGTCCATCCTTGTCAAGATGATGTTATTGGTGATGTAGTCCCCAGACCGGAGGTCATCAGCCGCGGATCCACCGTCCCACCATCCGTGCATAGAGGGCGGGCAACTAGTCTCAGCGTCAAGATCAGTATCAAGAGAAAGTGCTTCCTCAAGTAGACGTTGAAGCTCTGTTACGGCTCGAGTCTCATCATCACCTATCCACTTGAGGATTGCATCCCGGATACTGTTGGCATCCGTGACTCCCGCACAGTCCTCGTCAGTGGGAATTGTGCGACCGTACTTGAACGGCCTACGAGAGAGCAAGTCGATTGTAAATCGCCCTTGCCTGGGAGTAAGTAAAATACTCACATCCAGGTCAGCTCCATTGTAAGCGATCGAAGGCCCTTAGCCTTCCTGAGTCCTTCAAAAGGCTGTTTATCGTGAGAGGTACTTGGTATCAAGGGTTCCGGTACAGCGACCAAATCAGACAACTTCTTGGGCAGGAAAATGCTGGGAGGATGCACGTTTGGCGGCGGCAGTTCTGGCACTATCAGTCGTGCGGACAACCATAGTCAGTTGGAAGACGACGCCCGCAGAGACTAGCAGAAGTGAACAGGAGTGTACCATCCATCAGCAAGCAATACTTCTCGTCTATCTTCTCTCTGATGATCACGTCTGTCAGGTCCTCGTCCGGAACCCCGCCGCATAATCGTCCTACAATATCTTCCAGGTCTGGATCTGACATATAGCCTCTGAAGTTGTCAGGTGCAGCGTCTCCGATATTAAACTCGTCTTCGAGTACTGAAGGTGGCTGACCCAGCATCGACATGGTGATAGTTGTATGAGGCGAAGAAGGGTAGGATTTTGGGGTCGTAACGATCTGAGCACGCTCCTTGCGCACTTGATGCGGCTGGAGTAAGGAGCCCAGGAAAGAACCCAGACTGAAGATCACCCATTCAATGTTTTCACTTACGGTTCGTACATGAACGGACTTACCTTTCACCCTCACCGATCACCTTGGGTCGAACCCTCGCCCTCCCAACCTTCTCCGACCTCGGAAGCTCATACTCATCTGGGGTCACAGTCGGCTTGGAAGTTTACGTCGCACGTATATGCACTCACCCATCTGAGCAGATGCCAGAGATTCAATAAACAACTGGGTGTTCTCCGGAGAAGGCGGAAAGAGTTCGTCGATCTCACTGGAACTGCCGCCCAACGAGGGTGTCCTAGACGGGGAAGAAGGCACATTGTAGGCTTCTAGATACCGATGGGCACGACTTGTGAGCTATGGTGCCTTCTCATTTCGCGAATGCAACTTACGCCAACCATTGACAACAATTAGATGCTCTTTGTACAAGTCTTCTTCTTCATCCTCCTTCTTGATTTCGACTTTGGGCACCAAAGCAGGCAGGTCTGACATGCTCTTCAATCCCGCTGGATGGGGATATGACACCAAGGCATTTGGTCTGTGGCCTGGTAACCTGTCTCTAGCGAAGAGTGGAGGAGAATCAAGCTGAGCTGGCATCGGGATGGGGGAGTCTGCTCTGAGGAAGTCGCGGGCGTAGGCATTGTCACCCGGAGCAGAATCACGCGAGTTGAGCTGTCGAGCGGCGAATCTGATGGATTCAGTCACGGCAGCGTATGTCTCCGCATTCATGCTTGGTTTATTGTCCCTGAAGAAGACGTTTGAGAAATGATTACAGAGATGCACAATATGACCTTCTCACAATGCGTCGTCCAAATCTAGTCGGGGCTGTTCCTCATCGTCTTCCACCTTCACAGGATGTATACCATAAGAGTCAAGAAAGCCAGTGTGGGACTTGGGACCCATGTCTGCAGCGCTTCTTGAACCCAACTTCGGCGTCTCACGCAGCGCATACGCGGTCAACACGGGTGACATCGGTCTACGCGACAGCCACCGTTCATAATCAACTGCTTCTTTGTCAGCCTCGTACATCGAGCTTGACGAGAGAATATACTCACCGTCCTGGGCTTCATCCCAGATGGTCGAGCTCTTGGGCTTCCCTGGGCGAGGCAGCTTTTGCTTCACATACTGCAACGCCTCAGCGCTAACTACCGGATGCTCCTCATACTCTTCTATGCTGTCCAGACGCCACTTTTTTGCGAGAAAGTCAAAGGGATCAGTCGGGAGTAACAGAGAGGCGGGGTCATGAGTTGGGATGTAATTCAGGCTTTCCGCGAGTAGCTGCAATACAGTTAGGCGTAAATACTGATAACACGGAATATTTTCCGACCTCCGATGCAGCCTGTCGAGTGAACTTGACATGGTCGATCGTGAGGTGTGTACGGCAATAGTCCAGTAATAGGTTGCGAATATGCGCGCGCAAGGCGTGTTCGTTGTCGCCCATGTCTGACGAGAGATTGACCAAGTCTCACTCACGCATATATGTCTGTAAGCTTGCGGTGAAAACGAAAGCTGAAGCAGTGTGAGCAGAAAACATGGTTCGTAGTCACGGTCGCGTGTTTCAGACGCGTTACGCTTTCACGCGACCCGGGCGTCACACCTGCGTGACAGACCTGCATAGAACCGCCATGTCCGACGACCGCCTCCGTGTGTTCACTTTCAACTGTTGGTCAGTTCAGTAGCATACCCGGTTGTTATATTCTGACAGAATCGCAACAGGGGGCTGAAGTATGTTTCGAAAAACCGAGCAGAACGTATCTCTGCTATTGCGGACGCGCTGGTAGCGTCAGACTACGACCTCATCACCCTCCAAGAAGTCTGGGTGTTCGCAGACTATGAGCTCATTCGCGCCGCAGTCTCCAAGCGTCTGCCATACTCTAAGTTCTTCTACAGGTGAGTGGTGTGTGGCTCTCGCTTGGCGCTGAGTTTGACCGTGAATTCATCACCGTAGTGGGGCTTTTGGTGCCGGCTTGGCCATCCTCTCTCGCTTCCCCATAATCGCGACCACCATTCATTCGTACACGTTAAACGGCTCTCCTATAGACGTTATACAGGGTGACTGGTTTGTTGGCAAGGCAGCCGGTAGTGCCTTGATTGCGCACCCCATCCTAGGACAGGTTCAAGTCTTTGACACGCATGTACGCGCCTCCTTCTGTTTGTCACAAGTGGATCGCTGACGTCGGCCTCAACAGCTGTATGCACCCGGCGGTGACTCAGGTCCAATTCACCAACAAGCCCACCGCTATGTTAACGCCTGGGAATTTGCGAAACTCACGCGTCAAGCAGCTGACGTGGGGCGATATGTCATAGCGGCGGGCGACTTCAACAGCATCCCAAGCTCCGTGCCGATGGCGATCATCAGCGAACACGCCGGCCTCACCGACGCGTGGGTCGCGACTCACCCTAACGCACCTGTACAGACACTCGCTGGCCCTTCGCCCGCTCTCACGTCCCCACACGATGCAATCCGACTGTACGGTGTCACGGCGGACTCGCCGCTTAATACCTATTCCGCTGGCAAGCATTTAGAGCCCGTCGCACGCAAATACCAAGGCAAACGGCTAGACTATATCTTCTATCGTCAACCAAGCATTTCTCCTCCGAGCGGCCGGAACCCCATCCTCAAGTGTGTGGATACCAATGTCGTCTTCACGCAGACTATACCCAGGGCGAACTTCTCGTTTTCGGACCACTTCGGCGTGGAGGCGACTTTCGAGATCTCACGCCCCGAAAACGGCGACATAGAGACACATGTCGCCGCACCCGCTGAGCCAGGGAGCGTGCTAACTCCCCCGCCGATTCCCAACCCCTCGCTGTCACCGGATTCCATCAATAGAACGCTGTCGTCCCTCACATCGCGCTACCGATATGCGCAGCATCGCGGTCGGTCCCAGCTCACTGTCTTCGGGAGCTGCACCAGCGTCATCATCTTCATGGCCCTGGGCTCGGCGTGGCTCCCTCAGTCCTGGATAAACCCCATCTTCGTGGTGGCGACGATATTCCTCTCGTGGCTCGCCACGACCATGTTCTACGTCGGGTTCGTCTACACGAAGTGGGAGACGAACGCGTTGACGAACGTCATCGAGGAATTGGAAATCTACAGGGACAGCCTCGAAGGGCTCGACGGGCGCAACGGACTGTAGGGCGGACTGACGGATGCGTTGGGACATCTGCGTATCATTATGGATTATCGACTACTACTGCTACGACATGCGGTGCGGACTACTCTGCGTAACACTATCCTACATACATACAAGCTATAACAAGATAGCGATCCATGCAAGCAACCAAAAAGACAGCGAAAGTTATGAGCGTTGTACAGGTACGTGTTGGGGAAGCAGATACATCGGTGGTGGAGTGGGCGGGTGTGAGGGTATACTAACTACAACATGTCTTTGCTGGATGAGGAAGAAACAGTCTTAGAGCGTCCGCGCTTCGGGGCCGGGTCGGGCTTGAATGTCAGTGTCTGGTGTGCGGGACCCGAGCTGGCGTACTGCATGCACAGCGAGCTAATATCCGGGTGACTAAACTCGGAGCGACGAATCGATGTCTTAGGCGCGGGCGCGTTCGCCGACGATATACTCATAGACGAGACGAGGTACCGGCTCGTCGGCGAGTGCTTCTGCTGAGACCCGCGTGCATCTCCGAGATCAGGGTACGAGGGCGACCGCCGCAAGAGGTCTGAAGCGGACCGGAAAGACGCATCTGCGATCATCGACACCGTCGACTGCAGGCGGCGCAGAGACGCATTCTCCAATGCAGGGCTCCGCGCTTCGTGCAGCGTGTACACCGCGGCCTTCTGCCCTTCGGTCTTGATCGGAACCACCTTTTCTTTATCGTTGTCCGGCGTCGTGGGTGGCGTGGGCGGTGTGAGCCACTGCACCGCCCAGCTCGCATCCTCTTCCCGGCTCGGCGGCGTGAGGTCGCGTTTCGCTCGCTTCTCAGAGAGTCCGCGCCCTTCCGTGGAGCTGTCCAAACCGGTGCCAGTTTCCGTGCCGTCGCCTCGGACCACGCGCGTCTCGTCGTTGTCGATCTCCCGCGCCAGTCCGAATTCGGCGGAGCCCTCCAGGTCTTGCGGAGAGCGTGTCTGCCATCGAGGAAGGAAGCTCCGAATGAAATCCCGACAGGACGAGAATGCGCGCCGCGAGGCGTCCAGAAACGGGAGCGTTTGGAAAACATGCACCTAGTGAAACGGATGAAAATCAGAAATCGGACATACCAACTGTGCTGAGACTCAGAGAACCCACAGCATCTTCGTACAGCTCGTGTCGAATCTCAACCCCAGCAAGACTCGCCTTGTGGGCTAACAACGTGATTTCGTCCCGCAAGACCTCCGCGTCGCCGGCTTGGATGAGCATCGGTGGCAGGCCTCTGAACTCCCCAAACAACGGGCTCGCATACGGATGCGTAAGGTACTTCTCCATATGCTCTCCGAGATAGCACGCGATGGGGTTCATGTGGTCCCCAGGCTGCGGCATAGGCACATAGTCGAATGGCGCATTGCTGTCCCACGAATCGCAGCTCAACGTCAGATCTGTGTGCTCAGTTAGTAGACATTTGCGGAGAGAAAAATATACCACCAGACGCACCGACCCAAGGTGAGAACAAGATCGCACTGGATGGCAGAGGGTAGTCGTTGTCGCGCAGGTACATTAACATCGCCAACGCCAGACCACCGCCTGCGCTGTCACCTGCGATGATTATATTTTCTGGAGGGATCCGTAGATCGTCCATAAACCTGAAGTAGGCCGAGACCGCATCGTGTAAAGGTCCTGGAAAACGGGTCTCTGGCGCGAGCCTATAATCGAGCGCTGAAAATGACGTAGATTAAGGTCAATGCCGAATTCCAAGTCGTATGAGCTCACCAAAGAGACGCGCGTCGAGATGTTTCGCCAGGGGAATCGTGATCAGCCTGTGCGTCGCAGAACTCAACATGTAATACGCTCCTGCGTTTGGAGCATGAGCACACCGTGGACATCAAGCGATGAAACTTCTTACCGCCGTGCAAATACAGCACCACTCTCTCCTTTTGATGCTCGTGAAAATCCGACGGCTTCTCGATCGTGGGGCTTGCATGCTCAGCCCTCCACGCTTGTTGCTGTCTGTGCCACGTCCGCTTGCCGACGACCCACTCCCCAGAAAGTTCGCGAGTGCCGTCTTCTACGGCATCGAACTCTTTGAGGATACCGCGCAGTCGACGTTTGCGCACCCTGAAGGTCACCGGGGTGACAAGGGCGTCCGACGGGACGGGCACATACCCTCCGATATTCATGAGCATTCGAATGGTGAACTGTAAAATCAACTTTTGTAAGTAGAACGAATGCAGAGACGTGGGAAGACTCACGACGTCGGCCAGATGTGAATGCCGAGCAACGTCTCGCATCATGCTGCAGAGAAGGGTCATTTCGATACCCCAAGACGGCTTCCTTGGTCCCCAGATATTGTGCGAGAGGACATCGGCGACTATCCCTGTGGCTGGAGAAAACGTCAGTCATGCGCAAACATGTGATTCTGGATAGTAGAGAGCACGAGCAATGAAAAGAAAATGAGCAATTTCAGCGCATTGTCATTATCGGAGCTCCTAGAATAACTCCCGTTGGGTTCTCCACCGGGGAGTGACACTGATGTCATCAGAGAGGGTGGTTTATAACTGTGTTTTGACAGTCATTGACAGCATTCGTGCACATCTGTATGTGTGAGCGGCAAAGTCCCGGACCTGAAACCAGGTCGTGTGCGCGGACATAGCACCGAATGAGGAGGCCATACGAGTAAAATCCACCCTCGAGTTCATCACTGGGTTACAACCCTGTTGCGAAGAGCTGGAGCGTCATCCTGGAGCTCAGGCTAAGCGCAAGCTCGCGGAGACTTGCACACGAGCACCGCAGACTATTACATTTTCACGGCATAAACCGCTCCCGTCTGACGTTGATTTCAAGCGGCACACCGCGGGAGCTACCGAGTAGAGGTTGGACATACCTTTCATGGCGGCAAATGAGCCATACTTCCATATTTGCCAAGGGGTAAACGGCTGGCTCTCACGCTGCTTGAGCTTCGGGTCCCCGACACGGGCGGAAGGCGGAAGTGGGACACCGGGATTCTCAAAATGGGGCAAAAGATCGATTGGCGAGGATGAGGATGGCGTTTTAGCGTCCGGCAGCACTGGGGAGTGCTTCGATGCTCCCGCAGAGGCGGAATCGGCTATGGAAAAGAGAGAGAGCGGCCAGGGCATGGTGAGGAAGGAAGGGAGAAGGGCGGTGGATGTGGAGGCGGAAGAGGACATTATGGCAGGCGGTAGGATAAGGTTATTAGGATGCATGGACGCAGGATAGGGCACAACAGCCGTCCATCCCCTGGACGTCGACCGGCGAGGAGCTGCTGCCACCTTCTTCGCAGTTTCTCCGAGGATGTGCGCGGCAATCCCAATCACATGCCCTCCCCCGTGTCACACCACCGAGCACCGGCCCCGGCCTCGGCAGATCGAGACGAATTTTCGGACTTTTAGCCTTAGGCCTGGTCTCATCTGGTCATCTATGGGCATTCCTCAAGGCTCGGCTGCCCGGCACCGGCACAGAAGCGCCCACACCTCCCTTATATGGGTAGGGTCCGGTGCAGCACCCAGACATGAGGAAAAAATGGGCCGAAGGCCTGAGCTGTTTATGGCAAAATAGGGCAAATGTCTACATTTTGGGCCCGATTTGCGAAAATTGTATCAGAGACGGCGCTCAGAGCTCATCTCAATCAACGTTCGTCATGACTCCATCAGTGTGTCACTGCTGCCAGCACAGGAAGCATTACCACTTTTATCCATTGGAAATAACCTGGCAAAAAGCATGGAAATCAATAATATATTTTCAGAGGAAAAACCTCGAGAAAAAAGTGAGAAAAGAACAACACATTCTCACGGTTTTTCCCTTGGAAATAAGTTGCCTACCATATCAGGCAACTGGACATGCCAGGACATGCCAAAACCCGGACAAAACTACCATATTTGGCGACCAACTTATTTCCAGTGGAAAAACTGCGGAAATGCTTTGTTCTTTTACACGTTTTTTCCTCATGTTTTTCCCGCAGTATAACTTTGTTGATTTCCACGCATTTTTCCAAGTTATTTCCTCGGGAAAAAAGGAGTTATGCGTCCTGTGCAGCAATACACAGACAGTTACATGTCCTGACTAATAGTCCTCGCCCCTGCTGACCACCTCCTTCCTCGTCGGACGCAGTAAAATCGTGTGCTCCTACACCTGCCATCAGCCAGCTATACTTCCGACACCGGCGGCGACTCACAAATTGGGCCGTCATTGCTCCCCGCTGGTCACACAGTGGAGGGTAGTCCTGAACAATCCCTTGGCTGACCAGATGATTCAACTGCATCGCACAAGTCAGACCATGACAAGGAATGACGGACTTGACAACTGACCGCAAGCAGGTACTTCGTCTCCCCTAACCGGTCAAGGTACCGTCGACAGAACGGAAGCGTGCCAAAGTTCTTGTTTATCGACTTGAGCAGTGTCTTCGCCGACGTCAGTCTGGAAGAAGCGCCATGAGCGTCATTAATTGCTCCCGTGGGGTAACACATGCACACCTCAATGGTACGTGTGGAGCATCCACGACCCGTGCATAATGCGAAACGTCGCCCTGCGCCCTCCCGTGAGTAAACCATCACGTACAGTGAAACAGTGGAAGACCGTACATTTTCGACCACACGACCCCGTCCCGTTGAACCGAACGTCTCGATGGCAAAATATTCTCCCTCCTCCATTTTAGTCTGGTCGTCGTTCTTGACCAACAATACAGACTTTCCACCGTGTATTTGATACCTATTGATGGAATGCCCACTCAAATTCTCTATCGCTTTGACTGATGGGCCGGTCAGACATCAGCAACAATCAGGAGTACGCGCGACAAACCGGGATACACCTTCCCGTTGACTTCGACTTCATATGACTCCATGGTCTCTTGGATAGCACCCCCAATCTCCCCGAGACGGACGTCGATGCCTGCTTCCTACGCATATGTCCAATGGTGAGTAAATAATGCACAAACCGGATGAATTCCGGAGTGACAGACCCGGATCCCAGTGTCGGTTGCGGCTTTGACAGCCTCCAGGAGTTTATCATAGCTGGGTTCGAAAGTGAGGGTGAATGCAGAGTCCAGGATGCGGCCTTTCACATGTACCCCAAAGTCGACCTTCAAGACATCACTTTGTTGTAGCACTGTAATTGCGAATGTCAGTTGGCACCTACGGCGATCTCGCGCGGGTCCTCGTACCTATGGTATCGCCGGCATTTGGAGAGTAATGCGCGGCACAGTTGTTCAGACTGAGACCCGTCGGGAATCCGACGCCAGACTCCAGCCCGTTCTCCTCTACCAACGCTCTTGTGCCGTTCTCAATGTTCTCCGCGATTTCAGTCATCGACATTCCGGGTTTGATCATCTTGCGGGCATATCTTCGCACTTGCCTGTGCACCTCGGCCCCCCGGCGGATGTCCTGGTACGTCGTTTCTGGGTCTTCGTTTGCCACGCGCTCGTTGTACCGCATTTCCTCGGAGGTGGTACGCCACGCATTGCTGAAATACACACGTTAGAATGTAAGAGCATAGCAGACGTTGTATGTAACGCACTCGTCCTTGTACTCCTGCAACTCGCCTTCAGGATAGATCCCGTCGTGGAAGAATTTGGACAGACCAATGCGCGGGGGGTCGCTCTGCTCGACCTTCTTTTTCTTGGGCTTTTTCTTCTTCTTTTTCTTCTTCGCGTCGCCTATGCAGCGCAACGGGCGCGGGGAGAGAGGCTATCAGCAGTTGCAACGATTGCCCCGAGATCCGCAGCAATTACTCACCGCCGCTCGGGTGCACCTCCGCGACCCCGTCTTCCTCCTCGTCAATGTCGTCGTCGTCCACGACAGCGGGCGGGATGGCGTCCTCTTTCGCTTTGACCTCGCCAGTCATGGCGGTATGGGGTAATGTAATCTTACTACGACGGAAGGATCCTGAGATTTTCGGGATGCATTCGATGGCGTCACATGATGATCGGACAGCGGCTTCCGTGTCCCAGAATGGCAAGTGAGTTAGGTTAACCTCATCCCTTGTCGTCGCCTGCTTTCGTTATCAGTTGGTCTCTCTCGACCGTCACAATATTCTCATGTCTCCCTCGGGCGATCTGCAAGAAACGATCCCAGTTGTTCCGGGATTTTTGCTCGAGACATTTTCGCTGTCATCCGATGCGGACGACCTCGTTTCGGTTTACATCGGCGACGACGAAACGCACAGACGCACCCTGGTGTCGCCAGATCCAACGAAACCATACGTCACACTGACCTTTGCGCAATCTTTGGATGCCAAAATCGCTGGAGCAGGTGGGAAACAGCTTGCGCTCAGCGGAAATGAGAGCATGGTCATGACGCACTGGTGCGTTTCCTCGCGTAAATTGGCGTTCATCAGGCCATCGTGTCTATATTGTAACTCATTCGCACTCGAAAGCTCAGGATGAGGACCATGCACGACGCTATCTTGGTTGGCATCGGAACCGCGTTGAATGACGATCCGCAGTTGAACAGTACGCTGTTTCAGTCTCTCGTGGTATAGCCCAGTCCCCCATAGGTTCATTCTTCCAGCACGGCATCTTCCGCCTCTTCCCTTGCATTATCCATACCGATATTATCTACCAAGACCAATGATTCTCGACTCGAATCTACGTCTCTCGCCCGACTGCAAGTTATTGAAGAACTACAGAGAAGGCAGAGGAAGGAGGCCGTGGGTGATCTGCTCCAATTCGATTGATCCCTCTGGGGGTGACCGCGATGCATTCGCCACACGATTGGCACGGAGACAGGCGTTGGAGGAGGCGGGCGCACGCGTCTTAGAAGTTCGCACAGACCATGGTGTGTTTTTAGCTGCGTTCCTCATGGCACTGGAAAGGCGAACTATTGTCAGGAATGATATCAATACCCGAGCTTCTCAGGACTCTGCGGGGTCTGGGCATCCGCTCGCTCATGGTGGAAGGAGGAGCCTCAGTGATCAAGTCGTTTCTAGCTGCCAATAAGCATCCAGCAGGCCCAGACAGACCAGCAGCAGTTGCAGAGCGAACTTTCCTAGATATGGTCATTATTACCATAGCACCTACACTAGTCGGAAGGGACGGTATCTCGTACGGTTCCGACTTACTTGCTGAAGAGGTGAGTGCGTCGATTCTGACGATGATTGTGGGAGGCGTTGAGTTTGTTCTCAGCTGCCTGTCCTGCGACATCTCAACACAGAATTATTCGGTCGAGACGCTGTGGTGGCATTGAGGGCCGTGCTGGAACGATCTGACCGCACAGAGCAATGATACAGAATGATCGTGCAGCGATTTTTTTTCGTCTGTGTATCCCCGCAAAATCACCGGAGTCGACACCCGTAGACCAAGCTTGGACACATAAGGCAAGATCCAGACAAGGTATGATTTCAACCTCCTGGTTGTGGTTGACCAAGGTGGAAGAAAAGAACAGAGGTATAGTAATTTTAGGCCGCATACTTCTATACCCACTGCTCGAGAAAGAAGTTTAAACTCACCTTCCAGGTCGCGAGAAGCTGCGGCGCAGGTTCCTTGCTCTGCAGTGAATCTCGAGGCCGCTTGACATCGTGAAGTCACGGCGCGCCGTGTGCACGGCAATAGCAACCACCTGAGAGCGGACTGCGATCATGTCCGGTCAAGGATCTGGGCGTAAACCATCGGGCGCAGGTTGCGCTCATCGCTTCCCCCGATTTCCATCTTTGAAGTGAGTTGCGTGATATCTCCGCGAATGAACAGACTGAACGCAAGTCCGACTACTTGGCGGAGATTTCTTAGACATTCATTCAGTATGCTCAAACTTCCAAACTTGACCGATCATCGGACGTGGACGCCCGCGTTCGTGTGAGATCGTGGTTCTACAGATGCTGCTTGCGTTACATACGACAGCTTTACTTTCTGGAACGGTCAGTGATTTGTTGAATGAGTAAGGGCAGACATAGCTGATGAAGAGAAGAAATATCAGATCACCTCGCGTAAGACCCCGCTGCGTGGCGCATAATCGTATACTAACAAGTCGATCTTCGTCCATGCATTTGGATTCGAGTGCGGTCACTGGCAGTCTCCTTATAGTGGTAGGGTCGGCCGGAAATTAAATAAGTTAAATCAAATGAATTCGGGCAAGTGAGAAAGTATTTACTCTGCAGCTTTGCGTGATGCCCAGCATGTCCTTAACTCCTGCACACAGGTGCCTTGGTGTATGGACATCGGGTTTCATGTAACTTACACAAAATCCAAGATGATTTTCTAAAGTTATATTCAAACCATGCAGTACAGTCAGACATGGGAACACAACTGCAGGGATGACTCTTCTAGTGATGCAACCAAAAAAACCCAGGCTCTGTAAATTTTACATGTTGATGACATGCAGAACTTCAAAATTTCTCCTCACCCTTCGGGCGAGAGTGCATGTCTGTCTTGTAGCACAATTAAACTTTGGCCCAGTGTGGTTACATTCACTGTAGCTATCTGAATGCCAAGAGTACTCCACCGGAGAAAGCTGAGACCACAACCTAGGGAGAGAGAGGTACCCTTGAGGACCTTAATTGGGTTTGTGCACATGCATATATTTATGGCTGTAGATAGCCCCAGATGTTCAAAATGATACTTCTGTGGCTCCACTAACTTAGATGTCATATTCTATAAAGGCCACGGTATCCTCTGGCCTCATCTATGAGCTGCAACCACAAAACCAGTGCCTGACAGGCCACAATTCCATCATTGAGCTCATCTCAAAGACCAAATCTCCAGTGCACTATGTTTATTGAGAATATGTACATGCCTATGAGAGGGGCAGTGACATTTTTGCGAAAGACACTATGGTGCATCATTATTGAGCACTTAACATACCAAAAACAGATAAGACCTTCCGCTTTTGGAAGGAAGGAGGGAGGGAGGGGTACCCTGGGGACCCTTATTTTGGTTTTGGGAGTTGTGGTAGTGAACTGACGATACTCGGGCAACATAGCCTGCCGTTTGGAAAAGGGGAATGGTCTTTCTTCCAGCGAGGAGTCGGACCGCTTTCATTTCAAAGGGCTGAGTGAGGAAGAGGGAGAGTGGCATTGCATGGGAATTTGGGACAAGCTCCCGGGAGTGAAATAGCTGGTGGCGTGACCTGGTGAATCTCTCTTGTGTGCAGTAGAAGAAATGTTGACTGCTGGGGCTCAAGGTAACTCTTCTGCTGGTACTGGAGCTCCCCTGCTCGCTGGCGGTGTGTAATGGGGGGGCAAGACCTTATTACACCGAACCTCAGATACTGTGCACCAAGCTCTATTCTGGAGCGTCGTGCATGTATCAAGGTCATGGTGTGTAAAGTCTCTGACTTCAACACACCGACATGCGCTCGATACACGCAGAGCGCATACAAATAATACACAATAGTTACATAATACGTGATGAGATTAGATAAGATTAGGGCACAAGTACCGCTTGGTACTTGGGCCCCGCAATACAACAGCAGTGCATTACACCCCCACTGAACACGTTCCACAGGACCATAACGCCGACTGTGTCATTGAATAGATGACGCAGGCGATGATGCGAGGCAGGATAGCATGATGAGGTAAAATGACATTCCGGGGCGATGACAGACACAATCAGAACACACAGGCAGTTTGCAGGCACATGGAGGGTACACATCACATCCCCAGCCAGAGCCCACAGCAACATGTCAAGAGTAGGCACACCAGCGTACACTAGTGGCCACCCATGTCATGGTCGGGGTCACCAGCCTCGGGGGTCACACCGGTGAAGGGACGCAGAGCGCGCTGAGGTAGGAATCACATCCGGGAAGCGGTCTCACATTTTGGAGATACTACAGGGTGCTACACAAACCGACCCCTAGTCTGACATCAGTTGGAAGCTGGTTATTGGAGGAGGGCATGCTACGAGCCCGAATGCTACTTCCAATTCCTCGACTGTGATCCGCAACCGTCTCAAAGTACCATCCGCCAGCTCGCGTCTACCAGTGATTCCACGCATGACATCATACAGTTTGCGGGCCGCATTGCGCAATGTCTCAACCCGAAGGTGCAAGGTTCCTGATGGTGATAAAAAGCTGAGGAACACGACTCCAGGAAAATAGGGACAGGACGACCGCGCACCAGTGTCAGGGAGACCATCCGGTGGGTGGCCTAAACCAAAGTCCTCGCGGACAGCAGGGTCGTCATACAGAACGCGGGCAGTCAAACCATGAGGAATGACCGCAGGAAGGTGATCCGCAATTCGGGGTATCATCCGACGACCACCTTCTACAGTGTGAGCTGTTGCCAGGTGTATTTCCACCTGGGCCAGGACAGGGATATCGCGCGGAAGGGGTAGGATGATCCCCACGCTGGCTGCTTCAGACTGGGCTTGGACCATAAGGACCTCAGGGACATGTGAGGGTCAGACAGCAAAGGATCATATGCTCGTGGGGGCCTCACCAGCAGGACGTGCATCCGGACCGCCCATGCTTTCCACAGGATCGGATCGAAGGGCTCGGTAAAGATCTCAATGCGAAGAAGAGCTTCTGCGAGGGTGTATTTGCGAAGGATCACGCTGGCATCCATGGATGGGAGATTGAGTTTAGGATGGGAGATGCCTCCGAGACGGATGGGTCCTTATTAGGCGCTCGGGCGGGTTTGGTGACGGAAGGTCCCTCGGAATGAGTAGGAGCGTGAGGGGACGGGATTGTGAGATATGGTGTGATGGGCAGTGATTCAGCGGAGCGATTGTTAAGCAGATGCAGGCAGTATCGGGAGGGCAGGAAAGGTCAGGACTAGTTAAGTATGATGGCAGGGAAAAAGGGGAGGGGGAGAACCCACCGTCCCGGAAGGTACGCTTGCGAAAAGACTTGTTTCCCATTCCCATCCCATCAAGTTAGTGCATCTTTGGGCAGTCTTGCATTTTGTGCGTTTTCTGGGCAGTCTTGCATTTCTGCGTTTTAGCGTTCTCCTTAGGGCAGTGCGATTTTAGTCCGACGCGTTGTCCAGCGATCATTGCGACTACAGAGATTTTCCTAGCTACGCTTTCGGGCCACCCACCTCATACCTCTGGAATAGACTCTTCTCCCTCGTTGCATCTCAGACCCCACGCGGACTTGATTCTGCTCGTACTCCACCTTTCCGGCTTGCGACAGAACATCAATCACGTCACCGGGGTTGGGACTGAGCTGGCTGCTTATAATGGGGGGGCGAGACTTTATCACACCGAACCTCAGATACAGTGCACCAAGCTCTATTCTGGAGTGTTGTGCGTGTATCAAGGTCGTGGTGTGTTAAGTCTCTGACGTCAACACACCGACGCGCGCTCGATACACGCAGAGCATGTACAAATAGTACACAACAGTTACATAATATATGATGAGATTAGATAAGATTAGGGCACAAGTACCGCTTGGTACGTGTGCCCCGCAATACAACAGCGGCATGTTACACCCTCACCCACTGGACACGTTCCATGGGACCATGATATTGACTGCACCATTGAGTGGATGACGCAGGCGGCAATGCGAGGCGGGACAGCACAATGAGGCAAGGCGATGGATGAGGGCGATGACAGACACGGCCAGAACACACAGGCGGGTTGCGGGCACACGAAGGGTATGCATTACGTCCCCAGCCGTGGCCCACAGCGGCACGTCAATGGGAGGCACACCAGCATAAGCTAGTGGCCACCCATGTCATGGTCAGGGTCACCGGCCTCGGGGGTCGCTCCAGGGTTGGGACCCAGCTCACTGCTGCCAGCAGGAGCGTTGCCAGCACTGGGTGTGGGTGGTTTGGGGTCTGGCAGCTGCATGCCACATCCTCATCGATGAGCGACAATAACTCGTGGGTCGGGGGTACCGGTCGAGCACGTCCATCACGAAGGTCCGCCGGGAAGTGTCCCTCGAATGGGGTCACATCTTCGAGAACCTGTCCGAGGATGTAGTTGCGATGTCGACGGTGGAACTTCTCGAGGAATCCAATCCGCATGGGATGGAATCCGCGGGCAGCGTACCATTGTGCGACATTGTAGACGGACAAATTTTGTGTGAACGAGCGGGGAAACGGGGCTGGCTTGTTGTTGTTGGCCACGGGGTAATGCCCAACCTGTACGATCCACACATACAGTCCGGGGATGGAGAAAAGCTCTGCAGTGTGCTCGATGAACACATTGCGGGCCGTTGCGGGTATACCAGGTGGGATGATGGGGGCCATGTGGCGTGCAAGCCACATCACCTCCAGGTCCTGGTGTAAGGGGGCCTCCGAGTGATTATTTTTCAAGTGTCTGATGGCCCAGTGAACCTGACTTGGGTTCTGTGCGTACCACGCCACCCACTTATCGAACATTGATGAGCTGGTGGGGTTGGTTATCCTACGGGGAGGCGGAGCCATCAGTGGGTGGATCACTCCAGAGCTGCCATGACGTCGCCACGACATGAGTAAGTTCATCATGCCGTGGGACGCGGTCAAGTGTCCGTCTTGCTGCATCTGCCGGATGAGGTCGGTCGCCCGGGTGCATGCATCATCGTCGCCACCGTGGGCCGCATCGATGAGTCGCTGCGAGTCATGGACGTACCGGGGTACAAATTTGTACCACTCGGTCGCCCTCCACGGCCACTAGTAGGCAGCCCCAATGTATACAATATCCCCATGAAGAGCCAGCTTTATTGTGCACGCAGTGGTCAGTATTGTATTGTACATAAAGTAACCAGATTGTATACATTGTTGTACACAAAGTAACCAGATTGTGTACATTGTTGTACACATTATAACCAAATTGTGTACATTGTTGTACACATTAGTAACCAAATTGTACATTGCAAATGATATTGTAATTGTAAACAAAGAAGGGCAGATTGTATACAATTGTACAAAATAAACTGCATCCTGCCAGAATTGAACTCTCAACCTCCTGACATATGCTTACATAAGCACATATGACATGCACATATCCAACTGAGCCATTTGTCCTTATTTGTCCTTCAAACTCAATTCTATATAAGGCTATTGCCTTTACTAAAAATGTTATAATGTTGTAATAAAGCTATAATAAAAATGAACTACATATTTGTAGATGGTTAGATCATCAGTAATAAGTATAATGTAGTAGTTCTTACAAAACACTATAATATTTTTTAGTAGAGGCAATAGCCTTATATAGAATTGAGTTTGAAGGACAAATAAGGACAAATGGCTCAGTTGGATATGTACATGTCATATGTGCTTATGTAAGCATATGTCAGGAGGTCGAGAGTTCAATTCTGGCAGGATGCAGCTTATTTTGTACAATTGTATACAATCTGCCCTTCTTTGTTTACAATTACAATATCATTTGCAATGTACAATTTGGTTACTAATGTGTACAACAATGTACACAATTTGGTTATAATGTGTACAACAATGTACACAATCTGGTTATAATGTGTGCAACAATGTACACAATCTGGTTACTTTGTGTACAACAATGTATACAATCTGGTTACTTTGTGTACAATACAATACTGACCACTGCGTGCACAATAAAGCTGGCTCTTCGTGGGGATATTGTATATATTGGGGCTGCCTACTAGTGAATAGCGGGTCCTCGCCATAGCCCTTTTGGACTGCGGCCAGGAATGGGGTATCCTGTTCCAAATGGGCCTTCAGTGGAGGTCCGTTGGTACGTGATTCAGCTATCGTTGGGTCCTCGTCCTTTGCACCTAGAGCTGGTGTCACTAGAGGCAGGTGGGAGGCCATCTCACTGGCCTCCTGATCCCTTGACTCCTGCACATCCTTGGGCAGCTGTGCTGAGCGCTGAATAGTTCCGGCACGCAGCTCAGCAATGCAGTTGGAGGGTAGGTCATCCCACTCAGGGTCTAGATGAACATCTGCGTTCACATAGTCCTGGATGGGTGCGAATTCATCCGCATTGTCGTTCTCGTAGTACCTCGATAGACAGTCTGCGACCTTATTGGTCGCGCCTTCTACATCCTGGATTTTGTATTGAAATCGAGACATGTACTCATTCCAACGAATCTGTCGATTCATTGGATTGGTTACGCCTTCGAAGTACTTCAATGCCTGATGGTCGGTCGCGATCATTATCGGTCGGCAGAGTAATTTGTCCTCCCACTTGAGAAGAGCTTCCAGTATCGTGAGTGCCTCGTGTTCATATGTTTTATAAGCACGTTGCGCACTCGTGAATTTCTTCGACAGGAAACCAGTCGGGCGACATGTTCGCCAGTCTGGTCCCTGTCTGTACATCGCTCCAATGCCGTATAACGACGCATCAGATATCACCCAGATGGGTTCTGGTAGACGTGAATCGATTGGCTTCAGGATGGGTGCCTTACACGCCAAAGCTTTGATCATTTCGAAGCATTTGGTGTGCATTGGGCGCCATACGAATGCTCGGTCGTTGTGAGCCATGTCCGACAACGGCGAAGTGAACACCATTACATCGGGCATGAAGTGTCCCAAGTAGTTCACGAGCCCTAGGAATTGTTGTACTTCTTTGTAAGATCGAGGTATTCGCCATTCGCAAATATGGCTCATCTTGTCTGAGTCTGTGTGGAGTCCTCAGTCATCGATTAGATGACCTAGGCAATCCATGCTCCATGAGTATAGGTCACATTTCGTCTCGCTGAGGTAGAGCTTTGCCTCCCTCAGCTTACAGAATACAATTTCCAGATGACGCTTATGTTCTTCGATTATATCGGAGAACACGAATATGTCGTCGAGGTATACGTGGACGTATCATCCGATGCAGTCACGGAATATCAACGTCATGAGGCTTTGGAATGTCGCTGGGGCATTACAATTGCCTTGTTGCATGACGTGGCTTACGAACGTACCGTATGGGGTGGAGAACACTGTTTTCCAGACGTCCTCCGCCGCTGGACGTATTTGTTCATATGCATCGGACAAGTCAATCTTCGATCGGTACTTGGCACGAGATACGTCCATGCGTATCTGGTCCTGGTCTGGGAATGGGGTTATGTCCTTTATGGTGTTGTCATTGCGTTTACGTGCATCGACAACCGTCCGTAATTTTCCACTCTTCTTCATAATACATATCATGGGCACTGCCTGAGGAGCCTGCTTGGACTCCCACCAGCCAGCGTCCTGGTATCATTGGATCTTGGTTAGAAGCAATGGCTTCATTGCATCAGCACATCTCGGTAATTGCTGTCGATACTGCTCATCGTTATTGATGAGCGGTATTTGATGGTTGATTTCACGGAACGGTAGAAGAATTGAGGGCAGGGGACACATTATGTCCCTCGTCTTCTCAATCCAGGCTTTTCGGTGTTCTTGTAGTTTCTCCTTGGATGCTATTGCGTCTGAGGGTTCTATGAGTGTGGCATGAATTTCTTCGTCTTTACAATGTTCGTTCAGTGCGAATGCCATTAAGTCATTTAGACCTAATGGGTTTGGCTGACTGAACCGGTCTCATTGTGGTTCGTTTATCGAGTGTCTAGTCAGTGCGAATTTCTCTGAGATGTCAGGGAAACAGTCCTTTTTGGGCTGTTTCCTGTTTCTCGTGGTTGGTTTTTCTTTTGCCTTGACATTTCCATCATTCCCCTCCCCTCTTAGGACTGTCCCAGGTTCACACCATGAGACTGGGGTGGCTTCGCGGCCATTGGTCTCATTGCGGGGTCCTATTGTGGGTTGTCCGGGGTTATAACAGTAAGGGTACCGACGTTGTTGTGCACGTGGTAGTATGAGTGCGACACTCTTTGTCGTTGGATCAATATGGTGCGGTTCTCGAAGTCGAGAACCACGCCATATTTATGCATGAACACTGTGCCTAGTACGACGTCGTATCAATCGATATCGACGACGTCTAGGTAGTGTTGTGCCTTTACTGGGCCTATGAATATTGTGAGTCATGCACCATAATTGATGCGCATCCTGCTTCCCTTGGTGCCCAGTTGGAGACCTATTTGGTCATCCAGATCGATTCGGTCTGCCTTCGAAATGTACGCCATCTCCGGAGAAATGGAGTCTGTTGTGCACCCGGAATCGAATAGTGTATAGGTCTTGATCCCATTGATCAAGACCTCTGCACATAATGTTCGTTGTGTCTGCAGGTTTCGCTGAGGCTGCATGGCTGGGTCGGTCAGGCGTCGTACACGTGAATCGTACAGCCATGCATTCCTTGAGGATCGTGCATCTGTTGTGGGTTCACTAGCATGGAGGTGTACAGTTTGCATACACTTTCCAGGCTTGTGTTGATGTATGGCGCTGAATCTCATCGATCCCAGATGAACATCGTATTCATCATTCCAGCCATCATCTCCAGATGGGGGTTCACGCTCATCTGCTGATGAGTACTGTGATCCCTCTGGAGCCCAGTCCGACTCAGGATATGTCTGGTATCCTGTGTCGTTCTGGTATGGCCCTTCATTTCTGTCAGTTTTAGGGTTCATCCTGTGGAGCCAGCTCCTGAACTGCAGCCTCTGGTTCCACCGGTTCTTGATTTGTCTGTTCCTCATCCTCGGAGCGGTCATCAACTACACGTTGTACGTGTAGTCACGCTGGCCGAGGTTTACTGTAGTTCAGGCACGTCGGGTCTGTCGAGAAGTGGCCCTTGCCACTGCAAGAATAATAAGTGACGTTTGCGTTCATCGCCTTGTTGTTCGCTGGTGGTCTCGATCCCGAGACTGCCGAGTTTGTAGTAGGATGACCACCCCCATGACATTGTCTGTCGCGTGGGTTCATCGTTCTACGGCCAGCATTACCGGCCTGCCGTGCATGTCCTGGGTGTGCCCCTCCTCATCCTTGTCCTTGCGGGCGGTAGGTAGGTCGTGTATCTCCCGTCGATGATATCATCGGCGCGAGGAATGACATGGTGTTATGCTGGGGCGTACCACTAAGACTAAGTGTTGATCGTTGAGCACACACGAAGTGAAAGACTAAGTGTGGCGAGTCGCGAAGTATCTTCACACGAAGGCTAAGTGGAAAGCCCGTGTATTGAAGGTAAAGTAACCAGATCGAGACTGGGGCTCCAGTCGATGATCTCAGTCTTATATACTAATAGTACATGCTGAGTAATACATGCCAGTAATGGCTGAGTCAACGAGTACCCTCACAGTGAGGGATGAGTCACTACTAGTTCTAGACTATGATGTCATGGTCTAGATAGAGTCCGGATCGAGTTGAGAAGCGTCGAGACTTAAAGTCTCAAATCAACGCATAATCGTACAATGTAGTTAGAAAGAAAAAAGATAGGTACGCTGCGTACTGTTGTAACATAAGCCCCTTCCTATGCCGCCTTTGCCCTTAAAGGTGTTTCCTATGTGTCTCCTGCTCCGAGGGTGTTACGCTGTTCATTGGGAACCCTTCTGTGTACATCGAACCTGTCCCATTGAAATCAGAGAATCGTGGATCCGTCTGAGGGTCGGGGTGAGAGAACAATATACTGCATGCGTCGTAATTGGCGTAAAAGTCGTCAGCATGGGGGCAACCTTCTAACGTGTGGCCCGGTGCTTGCTTTCCACAGTAGTAGCAACACATTCTGTTGGACAACAACATGGGGCACGCGTTTGGGTCGTGAGATGCAGGGACTGCTTGGCAGACTATGCAGATGGAGAATGGGCAGGTGTACTTCGGATGAGTATACTGTCCACAGAATACACACTGGGGGTGTGGTCGCTGGTATGCGACATACGACGGGATGGTCCTTTGGGGCCCGATGAGTGCCGCAGAGAAGGCAGGAGGGAACGGGGGTTCACTTCCGTCGACATCGATGAGAGTCTGGCTCGACTGGTCGGAGTGCCCAACTTCCTCGGTCTGCGTAGCATCCTCTGCTGTCATCGGGGTTAACCCTTCAGCATGATGGTTAGGACTTCCACTGAAGTTCCATTCTGGTATGTAGTCTGGAGGGGGTTCTGCACACAGAGGGCATGCAATAGAGAAGCCGTTGTGAGTCGATGTCGGGAGAGAAGACATTGAGGTGTTTCCTAATATGTTGAACAGTTGTGGGGTGGGAACCGTTATGGGATCGATGACAAGATGCGATGGTCGAGGCGGGGGTATAGGAGATGCTTCTTCTTGTGGGGTTTCCGGTGGCATGTCTGTCAAGAAGCTAGGTAGGAACGGCTGTGTGGCATCTGCATCTAGCTCGACGAGCCATTGGTACGTGTTCATCTGAGCAAACATCAGCGCTAGCATCTCCTCTTGTCGCTGGATCCTATCTCCCATGCTTAATGCCAACACTTCCATCCTTTCTGTGTATCGTCGTGCTCCTGCTATCACGTGCTGCATGGAAATGACTTCCGATTTGGCAGCTTGTTGTGAGTGGATAATTCTAAGAGCATATTGGGCGTGAGAGTCGTCCAACGTGGCTAGGGCGTGGAGGTGGCGTGGAATACGGAGTGGATTCTCCATCCTCGTGGTAGGGTCAGGTGGTAGTCCACGGGGCCTATGCATTCTTCGATAACAAAGGGGCCTTCACATTTCAGAGCCATCTTCCATGTCGGGTACCCGATGTTTAGGTTCTTTGTGTCGAGCCAGACCTTCTGACCCTTTGCGAAGTGTGGCGAGCCTTTCCTGATCCATTCCACCATATGCTGTCTTGCTAGCTCGTGCATGACTAGGGCTTCATCTCGGATCTTCTGGAGTTCAGATAACTAAGTTTCCACCGAGGGTACATTTGTCCTAGGGAGTACCGACGGGATTCCGCGTGGTTCGTATCCCATCATCATGCGGAATGGCGACATCTTCCGCACTGAGTGTTCGCGTGTGTTATGGCAGAATTTGAGGTCCGGTAGTCGGTCTACCCATGACTCGGGGTTGTTACCGCAGTAGAGTCAGAGGTACACTTCTAGTTCCTGGTTAACGCGCTCCATTTCTCCATCTGACTGGGGGTGGTAGGCTGTACTCATCGAGGACCTGATTCCTAGTATCCTGCATAGTTCTTGGAATATGTGTGATGCGAATTGTGTTCCTCTATCGGAAATCAGTTTGTCTGGGAGTCCGAATCAGGAATAAACTTTTTTGTGGAAAAGTTTTGCCGTTTGATCTGCCGTGACCGTCTTCAAGCAAGGGCAAAGACTTACCCCCTTCGTAAGGTCCCCCCTTCGTAAGGTCATGGTCTACTACGACCATGAGAGAGTCAAAACCACGTGATACTGGTAGGTCTGTGATGAAGTCGACTGATGAACAGGAAAATGGTAATGCGTTCGGGGTTGCTGGTATGGGCATTGGAAGAGGTTTAGTGGGGTGCGTATTAATCTTTATCTGTTGGCACCCTGCACATCCTTCCACATAGGCGCAAACTGCAGAGTAAAGTCCTGGCCACCAGAAATCACGTCGGACGAGTTCAAGGGTTTTGTAAGAACCCGGGTGTCCCATGGCCGGTGTGTCATGGTACAACTTGATAATATCATGTCGGAGAGGTTGTACTGGGGGTACATATACACATCCTCGGTATTGGACAAGCCCGTCGGTGATTTTCCAATCATCGAGGGCAGATTTCATTGGTGGTGGTCCTTTGTGCTGCAAGGCTTGGAGTGCATTGTGAACAACTTGATCTTTAATTGAATGTGCGCGAATATCTTGGTATAATTGCATCGATATCGAGTGTACGAACAATGCTTCTGGAAGAAGGATACGATCTTCGTTATCATGGTCCCGGTCGCCCTTTCCAAGCAACCGAGATAGGGTATCTGACTGTATCATTTGCATTTCTGGAACGTGCACCAACTGGAGTTCGAATTGTGGTAAGAAAAGACTCCATCATGCTTGGCGTCTGTTCAGCTTCTGGGCTGTCCGGTAGTAGGTCAGGTTCTTGTGATCGCTGCGTATTACTATCGGGTGAGGAGAGCCGTCAAGGTAATGACGCCACTCTTCAAGGGCACAAACAATCATTAATAGTTCTTTGTCATAGATCTCGTAGTTCCGTTCGGCTGGGTTAAATGATTTCAACAAATATCCACATGGGTGGAGGTCTCCGTTGACGTCGGTTTGTCTTAACACCGCTCCGGTAGCCACAAGCGAGGCATCGGACTCGATGATAAAGGGTTTCGTCTTATCTGGCATGAGGAGCACGGGGGCAGAGACAAACTTTGCTTTGAGCGTATCGAACACTTGTTGGCAGTTGGGGGTCCATTCCCATATCGGTTTCTTTGTCATCATCGTGAGGTCTGTGAGCGGTCGTACTATCTCGGAATAATGATCGATGAACTTCCTGTAGAAGTTCGCAAAACCAATGAATGCGCGAACAGCTTTCACCGTTGTTGGTTCTGACCAGTCCTAGATTCCTTTCAACTTGATCGGGTCCATTCCAATATGGTCCGGACATATGATCATCCCAAGGTATTCTACTTCTTGGGAGTCAAACGTGCATTTCTCCGGTTTGACGAACAGATCATTTTGCTTGAGTCGTTCTAGGACTCGAAGCGTATGCTGTCGATGTTCTTCCATGTTATTCGAGAAGATAAGGATGTCGTCCATGTAGATGATCATCCATCCTTCATCGATCAGATCCTTAAAGATTTCGTTCATCATTTTCTGAAACGTCGCCGGGGAGTTGCAAAGTCCGAAAAACATCACCATTGGTTCGTATAATCCTCAATTTGTCTTGAATGCCGCTTTCCACTGATCGCTGTCTTTGATTCGTACATTGTTATATCCGGATCGAAGGTCCATCTTTGTGAAATAGCGTGCTCCTTTGAGTTTGTCGAGGAGTTCCGTGATCAGAGGAAGTGGGTAAGCATTCTTGACCGTTCCTTCATTTAAGTATCGATAATCTTGGCAAGGCCTAAGGCTCCCATTCTTTTTTCCTACAAAGAAGAAAGGGGACGCCATCAGCGATATCGATGGTCGTATGTATCCTTTTCGTGTATTCTCGTCTAGGAATTCGTCAAGTGCCATCTGCTCTTTAGGGGATAAGGGGTAAATCTTGCAGTCCTTTGGTACAAATTCCGGTTTTAGGTCGATAGCATGGTCCCATGCTCGTGAACTTGGGAACCGTTCTGCTGCTTTCTTTTCGAAGACGTCCTTGTACATCATTATCATTTATGAAAGATAATATATACTATTAATTAACAGACCTTTAAGATTAGCAGACTCTTTACTTAGCAGACCTCTTCCAGAATTATCTTATCAGCAATCCTTCAAACTGGAGGATTATCTCTTTGGATAATCTTAAGATAATCTTTGAGATAATCCTAAGGATGATCCAAAGGATTATCTGAGTTTAAAAGATATTTTTTAAGTTGTCACCAGCCAGAATTGAACCCTCAACCTTGAGAGAAAGTCACATGATCAACTGACACCAGACACTTTAGCCACTACACCATATCAGCTTACAAACTTACTCTTATGTATAATACATATAGAAGATTTTGCTAAAGAGACTTAGGCAAATTCTGTCTACATAAGAGAGTAGCTAAGTTAAAAACAAGGCAAAGCATGTTATAGTAGCATTTCATACAGTTTATACTGCTGTTTATATTACAATACCTATATATTAACTTTGTATATGTTGTAAGCTACTGTTCACCTTATAGGTACTGTTAAAGGTTCATTCTCTAAACTTAGAATTTATGATTATAGTCTTTTTGTAAAAGATGAGATCACAATGTGATTGAATTATAAAGTATGTACTGAAAATGTTATTATAAACATGCTTTGCCTTGTGTTTAACTTAGCTACTCTCTTATGATAGACAGAATTTGCCTAAGTCTCTTTAGCAAAATCTCCTATATGTATTATACATAAGAGTAAGTTTGTAAGCTGATATGGTGTAGTGGCTAAAGTGTCTGATGTCAGTTGATCATGTGACTTTCTCTCAAGGTTGAGGGTTTAATCCTGGCTGGTGACAACTTAAAAAATATCTTTTGAACTCAGATAATTCATTGGATCATCCTTAGGATTATTTTCAGACATTCAAAGATTATCCTTTGCTAACTTAGGAGCCTGCTTATCCTCTCATGCTGTTAACTAGCACAATTTATTATCACCCATAACTGACATCACTGCTGTGTGGTGTAATAGCCTGTCGTATAGCTCACTCACGCCACTGCGTGATAGGCTGTACGTTGCCTTGTCGTACGTCTCAGATGCTATTAACTCCGAGTCCTTGTGTAGGGACCATCAGTGAAGGTGCGTCACTGCATTCTCGAAGTACCACTGTTGTACTTCGCCGTTCGGTGACTGCACATTCAGGAAAAACCAGTTGGCAGCATCGTCTTTAAGACTTTGCCCCAGTATTCGCAGACGATCTGCATCCATGGCGTCACCAGTGATGCGGAGAGTCTTGAAGTATTCCAGCAATTTCTGTAGCCAGACCTCGAATGCATCAAGATCGTCCTTTCCATCGTATTACAGCGGTGGAGGCATCTTGGTGACTCTGAGGTAGGCTGGTGGTTCGTCGATGGGATCTCTTGATACCATCTCATCCACCATTGTATGGATCCTCTCGATTGCGGGAGACGTATCCGGAGGTATCGCTCCTGGGCCATGCAATCGTTGAATGGTCACGTGGCCTGTGTGCATACCTGGTGCAGTGGTTGTATTCATTCCCAGGAATTGAGGGGGTCGGTTCACTGCAGTAGTGACTGTCGGGTTTGGCTGGGTCACTCCCGATTGGAATGTTACGTTCCAAGCGATGTTGGGCTATTGCATAGCCGCCATTGAGTTTACTGCAGGACCTTACATCGGTCCTGCAGGTTGTGTGTTCGTTCCCGCCGTGGGCTGCCCTTGCAGTCCATGGGGGTATCCAGATCCTGCAGGTCATGTTGGTCGAGGAGGCAGTGGTGGTGGGGTCGATCCATTGGATCGCGGTAGCTGTTGTCCTCCAGGTCGGTGTCCCCAGGGTGGTGTTGCAGGCCTTTGACCATTTCTCCTGAAATGGTCGAAGTCGTTCCTGTCATCTCTGGGGTAGGGACTTGAGTCGTCTGAATCGTCACTTCCAGGGTCACCTTCGGGAGCTGCTACTGGAGCTGTTCTGGACTGGAGTGATCCCTATGTCATGCGAGGTGTCGATGATACTGGCGGCTGTACTCCGAATGCCCTTAATGTCCTTTCAGACTCTGAGGCCATCCTGTCCAAGTATCTGGTGTATATTAACACCCTTTGATTGTAATCCTCGTCCAGCTCTCCCTCCTGTTGCGGTCAGGTCAGCCGACAGTACGCGCTCTCGATAATTATATCGGGAGCACCTGCCGTCGGGTCCTCGAACTCTGAGGGGTATAATCCTCGTTCTACCGCTATCTCCTCGATGGAGTTCCTCGTTCCCGAGGGGACAGGTTAATCCATTGGGTCAATTTTGTCTCCTGAGGAATTTTCGAGTTCGTTCATTATCCTTTCAAACTGCTCGTTCTGCGCTTGGCGGGTCCATTCGTGTGCCTCACGAATGGCCTGCATCTCGCGTTCCTGCTTTTCTTGCAGTGCGTCGAGTTCGCAGTTCACCTCTTCTCGAGCCCACTGAAGTGCCTCTCGGGCTCTCTCTCTGCGCACACATTCTGACGAGCTTGTGCTTGCAGTGCTCCCTGGGGCTCTATCCTTAGCGCGATGTATTTCGTCTGCTAAGGAAGATGTCAGTTGCGCTGGCAGGGCCGGGGACAGAAGTCTCTGCGAGTAATGCGAAGGATGTTGTGGTGTCCTTCCCATTCTCGTCATTTCCATTTCTTCACTGGCTTGGTGAGATCCAGTGGATCTCACCCGTGTTCTGATGTTACGGTCAGAGGCAGATTCCCACTGCTGCTCGTCCATTCGGCCTCCTCGTGTTGAGCGTGGGGGTTCGACGTATGACAGTGTAGGGGATCGTGGGGCTGGTGATGCCAGTTCTTGCCCACGGTCCGTTATTTCTTGTGCTGACGTGCTGATGTCCGCGTGCACACCATCGTGGGGTGCATTCTCAGCCACGTCTGCCAGGGCCGCATGCTCAGCCTGTCTTGACTGGGAGCGCATTATTTGTGTGTTTTTGGGGCCTTGACTTGCCATTGGGTGGCAAGTTAAGGTTCTTGATTTCTTGATGGAGGTTTTCGCTGTCGAATAGAAATTTTTGCAGGGAGAAATGGACTGTAAAAAAGTATAATGCGGGGGGCGAGACTTTATCACACCGAACCTCAGATACAATGCACCAAGCTCTATTCTGGAGCGTTGTGCGTGTATCAAGGTCGTGGTGTGTTAAGTCTCTGATGTCAACACACCGATGCGCGCTCAATACACGCAGAGCACATACAAACAGTACACAACAGTTACATAATACATGATGAGATTAGATAAGATTAGGGCACAAGTACCACTTGGTACTTGTGCCCCGCAATACAGCAGCGGCACGTTACACTGCTATCAGCAGGGGCGTTGCCAGCACCCGGTGTGAGTGGTTCAGAGTCTGGCAGCTGCATCACCATGTAAGCAACTGCGCCTCGGGCTACGAGTGGAAGAGGATAGAAATTGGCTTAACTACATAGAAGCCTGTTGAGCTCCTTATATACTGTAAACTAAAAGACTAGAAACTACCAGACTGTTCTTGAGACATTGTCCTTACTAATCCTAACCCTACGGACCTTTCTCGGACCTTTCCGTAGATGCCGGATTGCTAATCCGCACACCTCCAACACACCCCCTCAATTCGGCATCTCCAAAATTCATCGGCTATCCATACTTGGAAATCCTGTACCTCGCTATATGCTGTGGGAGCCCTATGCTCGTGACAAGAGAGCCTCCTGCTACCATCCCGCCAGATCCTTCAACCACGACAGCAGAGCCAATGCTTCATTCCCAAGGTACCTCCCTTGATTCCCACGGTAACCCTAACCCTTCAAAATGCAACGTCTCGCAAATCAAAGGCAACCGACGCCTTCTCGGCCTTTGCCGAATTCTTTTCGTTGTACCTGCCCGGTAAGCGACAATCACGAGCAATGTGACCACGCTTTCCGCAATTGTAACATTTCGTGTTACGATTTCGATTGTCACGTTCTTTCTGCGCGAATAATGCCATATTCTCGACTTCTTTTTCATCGTCCGCTTTAGGCAATCCTCCGCGTCGTCCTTTTTCGTCAACTAGAGCACCTGTCACATCTGCTATCTTCAGATCACCCTTGGTGGCTGTGAGTGTGCCCGCGATATTAGAGTAGTCCTCATGTAGATTGAATATAAGGACATCAGTAACATCTTCGTCTTCGAGCGCAACTCCAATGCCCTTCAATTTTGCTGCCAAATCGGTAATGCCGCTGATGTAATCCTAGATCAGACACTTGGGATCATGCACGAAATTTTAGAATTGACGCTTGAGGGCGATTCGGTTCGCGCGGCTATTTTTCTCGTAGACCGCTGCCAATGCTTTCCATGCCGCCGGTTCATCCGCGCAATCATGAATGTAGCCGTACTGGCTCGGATCGACTGTGAGCCTGATCAGTGTGAGTCCATCTTCCGCTTTCTTCGGCCAGTCTCCCAACTTGTCTTCGGCAGGCTTCGACACCTTTCCACTCACAACGTCCCAGCACGCGTTGCGCCGCATGACCATGGAAACCGCAAATTTCCAGTCATAGTAATTATCTCCCGTGAGGGTCGGGAGCTTGACATGGGGATTTAGCGATGCCATCTCGCATGATAAGATCGAGTGATAAGATATGAGGGAGAGATTAGATATGAACTAGTGTGAGCGCGAGGCTCATAACCTGTAAGCAACTGCGCCTCGGGCTACGAGTGGAAGAGGATAGAAATTGGCTTAACTACATAGAAGCCTGTTGAGCTCCTTATATACTGTAAACTAAAAGACTAGAAACTACCAGACTGTTCTCGAGACATTGTCCTTACTAATCCTAACCCTACAGACCTTTCCTGGACCTTTCCGTAGATGCCGGATTGCTAATCCGCACACCTCCAACACACCACATTCTCATTGACGAGTGATAATAACTTGTGGGTTGAGGGTACTGGCCGAGCGCATCTGTCATGGATGTCCGCTGAGAAGTGTCCTTCGAATGGGGTCATGTCTTTGAGCACCCATCCAAGAAGGTAGTTGCAGTGCCGATGATAAAACTCCTTGAGGAATCTGATCCTCATGGGATGGAATCCTCGGGCAGTGTACTGTGTACCACTGCACAATGTCATAGATGGAAGAGTTTTGGGCGAACAAGTGGGGAAATGGAGCTGGCTCATTGAGGTTCACCATGAGGTAGTGTCTGGTCTGTACGATCCATGCGTACAGGCCGGGGATGGAGAAGAGTTCCGCTGTGTGCTCAATGAACACATTGTGGGCCATCGCCGGTACACCTGGTGGGACAAGGAGACCCATGCAGCATGCAATCCACATGACCTCCAGATTCTGGTGTAGCGGGGGCTCTGAGCAGTTGTTGTTCAAGTGCTGTATGGCCCAGTGAACCTGGCTCAGGTTTTGCTTGTACCATGCCATGCCACCCACTCATCGAACATTGATGAGTGGGTGAGGTTGGTCATCCTGCAGGGAGGCGGAGCCATAGGTACATGGGCCATGGAAGATATTCTCCCTTCAGACCTTGCAAATGTGGTGTTCGATAACCTGATCAAAGAGGTGCAGTGAAACACCATTTATCACTGATGTGTGCATCATAGTGTATGGTGTTGGCTGCAGCTGGGCAGATGCGAGTTGACTGTACCTTTGAGTCATGATGCACAAGCAGAATGTGCATGTCTGGCATGTGAGAACTCATAATTTTGGCGTCAGAGTAGATATTCACATCGGCGGGGTCTCCCATTTGTTTTGTGCCTCTTGATTTGAGGCGCTCACTCAGCGAACAGGTGTTCACCACGAGGCGGAACATGGTGGGTGGCTTAACCTCACAGCATGCCTTGTCTCTGCATTACAGTGGAGAAATCTGTCGCGAGGGAAACACCTTGTGAGCTATTGTCACATTCCTTGCCACTCTACTAGCAGATTCAGCATTTCACACCTTTCAGTCATGTTACCTGAACTGAACTCCCATTTACCCTGACATTGTCATGAACTGGACAGCCAGCGGACGTCGGCCCATCATCACCATGTTGACCTCTACCAGCAGTGGGCCCATATCTTTCATGTGTGGGATACCAGCAGTAGGCCCACTGCTAGTGTTCTTCTCCTAGTGCTCGGCCCACTAGCAGGGCATATTACAGTGTTGTAACCATTAAGCAATGGGCCCACCACCACAGGTCAGAAGGTGGGCCGATGCCAGAGCATGTTATCGCCATCAATGGGCCCACTGCCAGAGCATGTTACCGCCATCAATGGGCCCACTGCCAAAGTGTGATCAATGAGCAGTGGGCCCACCACCAAAGGTCGGAGTGTTAACCAACGCCAGAGCATGTTTCTCTGAGTAATGGGCCCACTGCCAGAGTATGATGAATGAGCAGTGGGCCCATCACCAAGAGTGTAAGATGACCGATGGGCCCACCGCCAAAGGTTAGAGGGTTGACGATTGCCAGAGCATGTTATCGCCAGCAATCGGCCCATCGCCAAAGCACCCTCAGTGAGGGCCTTACTGCAAGCACTCATGGGATAGGTCATCGCCAGGACATATGACTTTACATCCTGGTAATGGTGTGACTTAACTAGTAAAAAACTCGCCATCCTGGCTTTCCTTCTTTGGTGAAGTTTATTAAACTTGGAGGACTCTGAAACTTGTAGAAGAGGACTTATAAAGTGCACTGCCACCATTCTATGAGTTCCTAGTATATGGCGAGCCATGGCTTTACATTCTGGTGATGGCGAGACTCAATTTGCCAAAAAGTCGCCAACTTGGCTCTCCTTATCTGGCGAAGTTTGTCAAACTTGGAGGTCTGTCTGAAACTTGGAGAAGAGGACTTATAAAGTTAAATTCCATCATTTTATGAGTTCCTAGTATATGACGAGCCATGGCTTTACATCCTGGTGATGGTGAGACTCAATTTGCCAAAAAGTCGCCAACCTGGCTGTCCTTCTCCGGCAAAGTTTATTAAACTTGGAGAACTGTCTGAAATTTGTAGAAGAGGACTTATAAAGTGCAATGCCACCATTTTATGAGTTTCTAGTATATGATGAGCCATGGCTTTACATTCTGGTGATAGTGAGACTCAATTTGCCAAAAAGTCGCCAACCTAGCTCTCCTTCTCTGGCGAAGTTTGTTAAACTTGGAGGACTGTCTGAAACTTGTAGAAGAGGATTTATAAAGTGCAGTGCTGCCATTCTATGAGTTCCTAGTATATGGTGAGCCATGGCTTTACATCCTGGTAATGGTGTGACTCAACTAGTAAAAAACTCGCCAACCTAGCTCTCCTTCTTTGGTGAAGTTTGTTAAACTTGAAGGACTGTCTGATACTTGTAGTAGGGGATTTATAAAGTGAAGTGCCACCATTCTATGAGTTCCTGGTATATGGCGAGCCATGGCCTCACATTCTGATGAAGGTGAGACTCAACCAGTAAAAAACTCAGCAATCTGACTCTCCTTCTGTAGTAAAGTTTGTCAAACTTGGAGGACTGTCTGGGATTGATAGTAGCTGCGGTATCAAGTGAAGCACCGTCATTGTTTGAGTTTCTTGTAGATGGGAGCTATGGCTTAATATTCTGATAATGGCTAGACTCAACCGATAAACATGTCACTAACCTGGCTCTTCTTCTCTGATGAAGTTAGTCAAACTTGAAGCACTGTCTTGAATTTATAGTAGACATTTCATAATGTGAAGTGCCATCACTTTCTGAGTTCCTGATCAATGGTGAGCTATAGCTTCATATCCTGATAATAGCTAGACTTAATCAGGAAAAGAATGACCAATCTGGCACTTGTTCTCTGATAAAGGTTGTCTAACTTAAAGCACTGTTTAAAAATTGAAGTAAATGTTATATCAAGTGGTGCTAGCATTTCATGAGTTCCTTATAGATGGTGAGCCACAGGTAAAATGTAACTGGCAATCTGATACTTCTTTTTTCACATACACTGATGAATTTCATATGATATAAAGTACTAACTATAAGTTGTAGCAGTAGCTATATACTATGATGTCCTTTTATATGGACTTCTGGCTGATGTCAGGCTGTGTTTTTACATTTTGGCAAAGTGTGGATGCACTGAGATTCAATGCTGACAATCTGCTATTTATTATAAAGTGAAGTATCTAAGCCTTTCAAAACTTAGAGCAGCAGTTGCATTACTGTTCAATGTCAGTGTTGTATGACTTCGTAGTTGGTTGTGAGCCACATCTAATCATCCTAAATACACTCACAAGTTAGCATGCTAACTGGCTGTGATAATCTTATATATATATAACATGGAAGAGTGACTAAATCTTATAACAGCAGTTGTATGCTTTAAATTAGAAGCCTTGCATTACTTCTTGAAGTTTAGCAAGATACACACAGCCATTCTAATGATCTGTGAACACTTTGAGAAGTTCAGCATACAACTTACCATTTCTCTGCATGATACTATGTGTAATAAAGTACAACACTTTATATGCGAGATATGAAGTTCTGGTTAGTTTTGATCGTAATCACTTAGTGTTATGTGAAGAATTCAATATTGTCTACCTTTAATGAACTTCATGTGACTTGCTGAACTGGTCAAGGAATCGCACTTTCCTTTTTAGTCTCTGAGTGCACATACATCTACATGAACATAATGGCTCCTATATGTGTTTTCTTCTATACATTTGAGATTCTTCTTTAATACATTTTTCTATCTACATTAAATGATGATGATTACATAGACCTTATATCACAGCTAGATAGATTCTTGACAAGCTTATAAAAAGTCTATAGAGCTCGGAGTGAAATATTGCTAACTCTTCCGAAGTGAACTTTGCTGCTTTTTGAGAAGTAAAGCTTGTCAATTACTTAATGTTACAGTTGACTACATGTTGTCTTAAAAAACATATATCTGTCATTTTCTAACAAATGTCTGGCATTTAGTCATATGAGAAGCAAAACACACTTCATGAACTTAAGTGTAGCTCTCTCCAAAGAGTTACACTTAATTGTTATTGAGAATTAATATCTGTTAAGTCACAATATGATATTGCTACTCCAAGTTGCAGTTCATACTCCACAGTATATAACTTTGGCCATAAGTTTCAGATGATATTCCATTGCATATAGACTTTATTACAGAAGCAGTGCCAGCTGGTCATTTAGCATTTTTATGTGTGAAATCATGGCTGGCCATCAACCAGAAACTCATATCAATTCCAGACAGTGCTTCAAGTTGAATTAACTTTATCAGAGAATAACTGCCAGGTTAGTGAAGAATCACCAGATTAAGTTTAGCCATTGTCAGGATGTGAAGCCATGGCTCAACGTCTATCAGAAACTCATGAAATGGTGGTGCTTTACTTTATATACCAACTACTATGAATTCCAGATAGTGCTCTAAGTTCTGTGAACTTTGCCAGAGAAGGAGAGCCAAATTGCTGAGTTTTTTACTGGTTGAGTCTCACCTTCACCAGAATGTGAGGTATGGCTCACCATATACGAGGAACTCATAGAATGGTGGCACTTCACTTTATAAATCCCCTATTACAAGTTTCAAACAGTGCTTCATATTTGACGAACTTTGCCAGAGACAGAGAGGCAGGTTGACGAGTTTTTACTGGTTGAGCCTCGCCTTTACCAGA